TGGCTTCATTTCGTTTGGACTCCATGTGTATTTTATGAAATCGAAATTGTTGAAAAGCTTGTTTCTCCTAAATGAGAAATTCCTTGTTGGGAAGAAAAAAAAAATTATCAGGAGTTGATTCAATGTATAGGAAGTTCCGAACTTCACACAAAAATAACTTTTTGCCAAGTTTTCATTTTTTTTGAATATTTTCTTTCCTCTATTCTCAAGCCTTTTTTAAAGATTTTTTGTCTAGTTTAGAGTTCGATGTGCATTCGAGAATCATGAAATCAACAAATTGCTTTCCACCATGCTATTTCAGACTGAGGTGCCATATAATTTCCTCCCAAATAGTGTTTTGGTTTAACCATCGCCGAACATAGGCACAAATATCCGGTGGATGATCGAAACTAATCAGTGAGCTTTTGAGCATTTGCGAAATGTGCTCATTATCCGTCCCGGATCCCACGCTTTGACGCACATCATAGGCTCAGTCCACCAGAAAAGCAAACGATAACTTGATTTTCCATTGTAGCTGTTATGACTGATAACGCGTGCTGGCGTATGACGAATTAGCGTCAGCGACTACAGTACTCCCCGTCAAATCGGATCAATTGGAGTACTTGTATCGCTTGGAATGTTGAAATCCATCGATTGCAACATGCCGATTGGTTTCAGAAAAGCAATACTCATCAGTTACCGGAACTGAATCAGTTGGTCAGATCTTTTTGAAATTGACAACTTCTGCAGAATCCGCCGTAACTTTTTCACCTTTTTTTTCTCAATTGGGGGACCTCATCGCATTGCCAGTACTCAATTGTGCGATGAATGAAATTACGCAAAGTGAGCTAAACGACGATTAGTTTTGCCACTTGCAAGAACGCTTTCATCCTTCCAGGATGCGCTCCAACCTCGTTTTCAACACATTCTTCCCATTATTTTCAGCTCGTGCGTTTGAAATAAATTTGACGTTGCTATAGAGCAAAAAAGCGTTGCACGATGAGAATTCATTGCATTGTCCCTTCGCCGTTTACCTATAGTAATATGAGGCTTCATGGGGCCAGACAGCTTCCTTTTCCTAATTGGAAATTGGGAATTGACGTTTTGTCATTCTTTACTCTATGATTTCCGAATAAAAGCTGTAGATAGCAAAACTCAAACTATAGTAGCGATCCAGAGTTCAGCCCAATTTAAGCGGCTAAACTGAGAAATTATTTTGAAGTTCCTAACTCAGTTTTCATTGACTCTGAAGTCTCCAGTGGCAGAAATGACTTTTTCAATCGTCATTTTCTTTCTTTCTCCATTTCTGTGAATGAACTATTCCGAAAAAATACGAACCGCAAATTTCATAACAAGTCCCCTTTTTGAGAACAAGTTTGTTGAAAATAATCAGCCAGCACTTCTAATGAACCTTTGACTATAACCATTGTTTTTGAATTTTTTAAAGAGAAACAATATATTTTAATATTTTGATGTTTCATACAAAATCTTAAAAAAAGAGGATCTGCACCCTCGAAATCGCCCTCGTTTGTTGTATTTTAAGCGAGTTTGACGTCTGTTCCAGATTTTGCTGTGGAGGTGGTTTTAAGCTCAATTTCCAGATTCGAAGATTTGAAAAAGATTGATAAGAGAACACTGAGCAATTTTGAGGATTGTAACCCAAAGGACTCTTCGTGAAATTAAAAATTTTTCCATTGGAAGTATTAGACAAAATTACATTAAACAAATTTGATCATAAAAAAACTTGATGAAAGCGAAATTTTTTTCCGATTCTAATTTGAAATATATATATATATATATTTCAAATTTGTTGAAAAAAATCGTTTAGTGATCAATAAATTTGGATTTCTCCATAAAACAAACTTTTTTTTGGGATTTGAGCGCCTTTTTTTCTATTGATTCTATTTTTTTACCTTGCGAATAAATGTTTAGAATAAAGTGACTGGGAGGCTGAGAAGTAGAGGAACAACTCGAAAAAGGCTGCGTTCCAGAAAAGAAAGCAATCAATCAATCCTAGTTTGGTCATTTTTTCGACAAGCAACCTCCAAAGTTTTCCTTCATTGCTGATTTTTGTTTGACGTAGATCTTTTTTGTTACTGACTTGAAAAGAATTAGATTTTCCACCAAGTTTTCTAGGTTTCAGTCATTTCTTATTTTTCAAAATATTAGCCTATAATCTGCGCACTCAGAACTTTTGGCCTCAGTCAATTAGTTTCGGTCAGTTGCCGGCCATTCTTTTCGTGTAATTGTCGCAGTGCAATTAATTGTCGCAGTATCCGAGCAGACTGAACCGTTTTTCAGGCCTGCAAACAGTCAGATTGGTACCGGCCGGCGTCTTTCGCAACGCTATCGTCCTTCGCCATCGTCCGACAGGTGTAACAACGGAATTATCGCTGTCGTGTAAGCCAATTGCATCGATAGTCCGGTAATGATTTTCATCTGAACTCTCGGTAATTCGGAGCGTCTTATTTGAGAAACTCGAATTAAATTGAACAGCTCGAGTTTATTAATTCAAGAGTTAGTTGAAAATCTTTCATTTCACTTATCTTGAACTAGAGCCGCAGAGACGGCGCCTCTGTTATTTTAAACATAATTAAATATTCTTATCGAAATAATTTTGTTGAACTTTTGTGCAAATTTTTTCGTTGTTCCATAAAAAACTTACTAATTTTTCTAGCTGAAGTTTGTAACTGAGTAATTTTTTTGAACACTCTTTGAAAAGTTGATTGATAACTTCTGAGATTTATTTTTTTCAACTCTTTTTCTTTCAGCAGTAGATTTGTAAAAATGAGAAAAAATATCGAAAATGGTTACAATAGACAAAGTTTGCAGCTTTTTTTCAATATTCTCAACTTGTTGTTTTGACTACTTATTTTTGAGAAATATTACACATTTCATGCTCCGATGAGTTCTAATTTTTTTTTTTGCGCGTTTGACATTATTATCACCTGCAGCAACCAATTAGTCATATTTAAGGTTTTTGCCAAACTTTTTTTGGACTTACAGAACTTCAAAAATAAGGAGCTCATTAAGTTGGTTTCTATGTATTCATAATGATAGTTCCCCGAATTTATCAAGTCTGACTCGAAAAAAGCTAATTTAAGTTGTGATTCTTCTTCCCGTATTTTTGATCTCTTAAATTTATCTGCTTTAGGTTTAGGTTTTGCACTAATCATTAGGAGCATTATGACAAGAAAAAAAAAATAAAGAAATGCATAATAATTGCTTATCGAATAGTGTCGCAAATGCTGGCAATTCATTTACATTGCATTTGATACGTTGTTTAGGCATTTATGGTCGTTTGGACAGGGCTTCGACAGAATAAGATGACACATGCGCGTGTGCCACGAGCTCATTCATTCATTTAAGCACCGCGCATCCTGGCGTTTTATCCTTTTATCTATCCGGAGCCCATTAACACTGCGCCTCCCTACAGTAGCTTTCTGTTTACCTTGGAACTTCCTACTTGCTTTTGGCGCGTTGACACGCGTGCATTAATTTGGTGCGAATGCGTATTAGACGTTTGAGGTGAAACGTCTTGGCGTTTGTTTCCTGGCCATTGTGAGGACAGTTATTTTTGATTGGGGTAATTGGGAAGATTAATCGATGCATTCCCTGAAGCATAATTGAATCGTTGTTCTTGTTTGGATACATCTTACGTAAGTTATTCCTCTTTTAGTTTAGAATAGTTCAATCACACGAAAGTCAGAGCTTTCCAAAATTTCTCCAACATTTTCTAATATTCAGAACAGCTAAAGTGTGTTTCATTTTTCGAAAGGAAACTTTTCAGAAAATTCAGGTTTATACTTTCATTTTTTGGAGCGCTCAGTAAAAACTTTTTGCTAGGTTTTTGAATTTAGGAAGTTCCCGATGAAATTACTTCTCTTATTAACTGCATGGAGTTTGTGGAAATCTAATAAATCCGGTATGCAAGACTTATTTCGAAGACTTCAAAGTTGTTTCTAGACTTAAGGTCAATGAAAATTGCAAAATTCGAAAAAATATTTGACTATAGAAAATAATCATCAAAAATAGTTATTTCCATTTTAACACGTCATTATAAAGAAGCGAAAGGTTGCAATAGGTTAACTGATCTTCTTGTCTTCCTGGTGATTTTCTAATCTTGGAGATGATGAACACCTGCTTGAGCTGCTCAATTCGAGTCAAGTAGAAGGTGTCATTTGAACAAAAAGCTCAGATTTCCAAGAGGCTTACAAGGCGGACTTAAAAATGAGTTTTTATAGGAACTGGAAAGCTAAATCCGGCCTTGATGAATGCAAATATAGCTAATCACACAACGAGGATCAGTAATGTGATAAGCTTTTGCCTGCGACAGCCTCCCACATTGCGAGATGTAAATAATTCGAGCTTCCATCCATCTGTGAATCCTTTTGGGGAAGAAGAACCTCGAAAGATGCTTACGGGAACAACACTGATATTATGTGATTATTAGCATCATTCTCGGTTCACCTCGCGCCTAGCCACTGAGCTTAGATTGCATTTCCGCCTAATTTGTTATATTTTCATCATTTGCAGTGTCTTCATTTCAGCTGTCATTCAGTCCAGAGTCACTTTTTGTCGTTCAAATTATCTCAAACCTTGAGTTTTCTTTTTGCAGAAGAAAAAATTAATTCTGATGTCATCTGAAAATCATGCGAGCCTAAAATATAACGCCGCGAAACAAAAATAGAATAAAGCCGAAAATCCTTTAGACAGATGACATCTCATTTGTTTTATTGGTTGTTCTTTTCATATAGCTGAGCATTATAATGATGGAGGTGCTGAGATTTTGAGACGCAAATAAGCATGCAATTCTTCCAAAAATGCTTCTTCAAACTTTAATACCTTTGTTCTTTGATATTTTGAGTTATTTTCGTTATTTTTTTTTACAATTTCAATTGATGTGAGTTTTCTAGAGTGAAAATTAATATAAGGGAGAGCCAAATGTTTCTTTTTCAGTGGCTGCAAATCAACTATTCATTAAGGTTAGTAAGCCGAGAATCACACGGCATCTTGATTTTTTAAGTAACATGAATGCCAAATGAGGCGATCTGCGTCGAGTTCTGGCGTTTGCCTCCTTTGGACGCCGCTCGGAGTACTGTAGGCCTGGCGAATTGGATCTCATGCGAGCGCCGCATGTTGCGCGCTTTTCTTCTTCTCATATCGTATTCGCCAGATGACATTCTCCAAGTTAGTTTTATTATCGAGTATTGTTCCACAACTGCAACTTTCACGTGGTCTCTAATAAATTACTGAAAAAAAGAAGATAATTTTACTCGTAACTATGAAATTTTTCAGATTTTTGATATTAGTGGAAGTTTCTAAAACTAAGTGTCGCAATCCTCATTTCTTTTTTTGTGAAAAAATTTAACTTTCACTTTTTTTATGTAACGTGTTCAAAAAAAGAGTTCACCTGGAGCCTTGAAAAGTTTCAAATAGCAAGTCTTTAGTTTTAAAAAGTTCTTCAATTTTTTCTTTTGTTTGGAATAAGAGTTAGCAATTTATTTTTCTTTATTTTCCCAATTTCGCCACCCATGGCGTTAAATAAGACGAACACCCAGTAGTTTATCTGCTCGAGTAGATTCGAATAAGCGCGTTGCTGTCTGTATTGGATTATCGGACGGCAGCCGCTGCCAGGTAATATGCTAATTTCAGGTAGACTCATTATGAGCGATATAGGCACCGGCGGTTTGCCCATTTAATATGAAAATGGACGAGGTTGCTGGGCTTCCAACAATTGGCCGCTTGAAAGCTTTCCGGTCCGTCGGCTTCTGACTGTATTCCTTTTGAGCATTTTATTGTCTTGGTGGTCTCTCAAATATTTGAAGTCCTCAGATTTTAAAAATTTGCAGATATTGCAAATTTTGCAATAATACGAAAAAAATGAAAAAAATTTTGCAAAGATGGGCTCTCAATGAAAAAAATTAGTAAAACTTTTTTTGGAAAAACGGTTTTTCTACACTTTTGAGCATAAAAATTGGTTTAATTTCGTGAAAACTCTGGATACAACCAAACCCGCGTTTGTAAAAAAACTTTATTCGAATTGAGCTCAAAGATCAGTTGATTTACTGTTTAAGTGAAAGAAGGATACTCATGAGATATATATTGCTGGAATTTGGACAATCTTCACAAATTTTATTCAAAAATTTTTTTGAAAGATCAAATGAATCTTTTCAAAGTATCTATTTTTTTCATAAAGTCCCTATTGAAAGTCTCATAATGCTATCAAAAGAAAAGAACTAGCGTCTAAAGAAGTTGAATGGAAAGTTACGCTCTCACGGCTAATAAAAACCCTAAATTGTTTGACAAGAGGTCAATTACATGCTCTCGAAACAGTAGTCTCACCTAGCGCTCACCCTCACTTCACCAAACGGACATTGGCCGGAAACAACTACATGGGTCCACTTGTATGTGCAAACAGCGCGTGCCATAACATTTTTGCCATCAGTTTCTGCTCTCGAGTGGCCGTAATTCTTCCATTTATTGCATTTACACCCCAACAGTGATAGATATACAAGGTGTCAAATATCCGTCTCCGGACGCGTGCTGCTGGATTTCGGTCGGAGGAGAGGGGCGTTCGTCCTGTGAGAGGACGAAATGGGCGTGGCTTGTCTTGCCGGAAACGCGTTCCGTTTCACACCTTTGCCATTGTCAGCACGCCTGCCTCCCCTCATCATTTCCTGTCTAACCTTAATTAGCGGACCATTCACCAGTTTGGCGAGTTTGAGATCGCTTAAGACCCGAATACTGATTACTTTGATAAGCATCATTACCGTTATTTAACTTCCTGATAATCTTTCCAAAGTTGTTATTTTGCGAAACTTTTTTCCGGAGTTTCAATTTGAAATTGAAAAATTTGGATTGCTTTCAAAATAGGTACCTTATACTCACTGCCCAAGGGAATTTTTTATCAGGAGCCTATGCCCTGTTTTCGATAATTATTTCAGCGATGTTTTTCGTTTTTCAAATCCTCTCTCAGAACTGAGGTTTTTCTGCTGATGTCAGAACCAATTTTATTTCTGAGCAGTAAACTGTTTTTTCCATTCATTCTCTTTCTTTTTATGATTTTTTTAATTTTGGAAATTCCGGTGAGAGTTTTAAAAAGAAATAATGAAAGCGTAGATGACTTTTGAGTATAGTTATCGTTGAGTCGTATTAAGCAAATGAATTCCTTACCTAATTAACTTTATACATAAATGTGCTCTGCACGTTATTTGTAGATGCAATTGGGCTCAGAAAACCAGCTTACATTATGTCCCCATCAATAGAAAACAAATTTATGAGAATGATTTTCCACGCCTGCAATTAGACTAAATTCTCACATGCCGGAACATTTGATAAAGCTTTAAATGTAGCTGTGAAAGAGAAAAAACATCAAAAGTCTTTTTTTAAGTAACACGCTTTACTTTTTCTTTTTTTCAAATAGATACAAATTTTTTTGAGCTTTTGAGTCCAAATGCCTCTATTAACTTGGTTATTTTTATATTTCAAACTCATTGATCAACCTTCAAATAATTCACCTGTTCATTGAGGTTGATTTTTGATATTTGATATAAATTTTGTGTAGGTGAGAAATTAGCGTTTATTTTTGCCGGTGAGTAAACATTGTATACGAAGCCACTTGACTTCATCTAAAACATTTTTCTAAAAATTAGATCTCATTAGAAATACCATATACCTGCTTTTAATACGTAGAGAGCTTATTTTTTAGGATTCCAATTAAACTAAGATATTTTGCAAATTATGACTCTGTCTAACAATTTAATGAGTGTCCATCAGGGATTTGAAGCACGCACTTTCTTAATAGTGCTTTGGTTCACAATGAAAGCAAACTACCAGCTCAAAGCTCACCTTCAGGTATCATTTTGAGAAGAAACTGAAATAAAGACCGTTGCGTAGTTTCTGACTTAGCTCAGGAGCTTATCCACAGCTCAAGAGTTCCGTTTTCTTCTTTTTAGTCGTTTTCATTCGGATCTGACTTGTTTCCGACCTGATCCGTCTCCTCCGCCCACAAGCTGAATCTGCTTCAACTATTTTTATCTCGACTATATCTATCATCATTTTACAATTGTCTTCACGTAAGGATTACTACAAACTTATAATGAGAGACATGTCGTGTTGTAGTTCTAGTGGCGCTGCAATAGCGTCAAACCGAAGTTGTAGTTTTCGATCGGGCATTTGCGCGTTGTCTACTTTTTTTGAGTTATAAATATCTTTGTAGAGTTAAGGAATTGAGGTATAATATGACGAATGGGCGTACTAAAAAGTATATAAGATTTGGCCATCCCTCTTCAGCTCATTCCGATTTTCTTGCTTTTGAATGTCTCCTACCTTGAGCCTTGTACACCTAAAATTACTTAGAGCCTTGTAACCTGTGACGGGGTGATTATTCGAAAACAATTGCTTTAGCGGTCTTCTCGTTAAATAGGCCTTATTGTTTGCGCAATACGAAAACAGCTTTCAAAAAAAATGTGAAAATAAGCAGTGCGGAAATTGGCGATTATTCTGATGCCACCTCCTCTCTCCAACCTCTCGCTCAAGGTCCAATTACAAATAAAATATTTTAATTAAGTTAAGCGTCGCAATCGCGTCGCTACTCGTCCTCTCTCGTTCAAAACGCTTTTAGCGATGCGTCGTTAGTTAATTCAATTAGCATTTACAAGTCGCTTGGAGGACGAGAGCCCCATAGATTGAATATGTACACACGCAAACTCCAACTTCTACCCAGAAATGCTCATTCCTCACATCCGCTTTATCTTCTTTTGTTTCATCTGCACTTCTTTCTCAAAAAAAAAAGAAAAACCTCTTTGATATATTTTTATATCGCCTAAACAAGTCTCATTTTATCAAATAGAACTCTTGTTTCCCAGCATTCCGTTTTTATGAGCTTATAATATTGCTATTTTCGACGTGAAACTCTCTCAAAATTTATTATTTTTCTCGCCTATTGTTCCGTCATTTCCTGTCTCGCGTCGTTTTTCGGTACTGAAAGCCTCGATTTTCTAATTTGTTTCTATTTGCAGCGTCGCTCAGCTCATTTCCCGTACCTGATCGCGGTTGTATGTTAGAGAACGGACTGCGGATTGAGGTCCAATCTCCTGAAGCTCGCACAGCCCCGTCGACCACGCCTTCAAAAGTCAAGCTTCCAAAAATGAACGTCGCTCAAATGTTGCGTCCTGGTACCGAGATGAACCCTCTTCACAAAAGCTTCATGGAACAAATTCAGGTACTTGATATTTGTTACCGAAAAAAAAGTCGAATCTTTCGAAAAAAAAATGAAGAGAAATCGAAAAAAAAATCTTTTCCCAAAATTCTCCGATTCATTTTCAAAAGATCGCTCAAGTTTAGTAAAAACTATAGTTCAAACGTCATCAGATTGCCATGATTTCTCGATTAAATTAAATTAATCTAATTGGTCATTTTTCCAGTCATCAATTAAGTGTCTACACTGAAATCGAACTAAAAACCAACGGCCATTATGAGAAAATAAGTTTTAGGCATGCGGCCCGCCAAATATTAATTAATTTGCTCACAATGACATTTGCAAATAACAAGCCAGTCATAGAAATTCGTGTTGATTTGATTATGGTCCTACCTCTAATAGCAGTTTTAGTGAAAGAGAGAGCAGCTGCAAATAACTGAAATGCCCAGATAACAGAGCCATTTTGGCCTAGGGGAATAAAGTGTGATGATGGCTGTTCAGGCTCAACTTTTTGCGGCCAACAAGCAGACTCCTGCGGTTTTCCAAGGTTTCCCGTCGCCTTTCACGATTGCCGCGCTGACGAAGCACGAGAACAAAGAAGAAGACGAGAAAAAGAGCCCCATCGGTTTGTGTACAATCTGAGGATTAGATCAACTTTTCAGCTACAGGTCTTCTCGATGGTTCTTGTGCTTCTGAAAGCCGTGAGAATGGATCTCCGTCTGACGGAACAAACAGTCCTGACGAGAATGGCAAGCGGAAGCAAAGACGGTAATATTTTGAAGTTATCTGACGAAGAAGTTTTCAAACTTTTGATATATTTCTTTTTATCTTTCTTCTTTCCAGGTACCGCACAACTTTCAGCGCCTACCAGCTGGACGAGCTTGAGAAGGTGTTCGCTCGAACTCACTACCCTGACGTTTTCACCAGGTAGGACAATTGAATTCAATTAAACCAGCGGCCTCTGAAGGACGAAGTGCATGCGCACCAGATGGTGTTAATTGCTCAGATTTCCGTCGTTGATAATTAACAACACCCGAAAACTGTCAGTAAAATTTTTTTGTGAACCATGAAATTACTTTGTTTCCCAAAGCATTCTTTTTACGGTTGCAATCATTTTTCTGGAAATGCTTTGCAATTTTTTTGCATTCGAATAGTTGATTGTTTCCAATGAGTTTGGACATATTGAAGTAGGTTATTTGTTGGAATATAGTTGATGTGCGAAAAGAGAGGCAGCCCCACCTCATCATCGCCAATTATGCTAAAGCGACAATATCAAGTGTCGTTTCTGCGTGTGGCAGCTCTTAATTGACGATTGTTGTTGTCTGGCCGTCAGGGCTCGCCGAGCAACCGAAATGAAGGGCGGCTTTTTTGATATAAAAGTTGTTTATTTGATAATTTTGAATAAACGGAAAATCTGGCCTAAAAGAGCGATTTGAACGTCGTACTTTTGAAAACTGGTACATTGAATCGGAGGTCGCAAACAGAAAGTGCAAGGAGCTCAATCCAAATAGGAAGTCGTATCAGGCGCCAGGAGCAACGCGCGGCTCGAGACCACCTGTTAGCTCATCAATTAGCGCGCTCTCTTTATGTATTAATTACCCACGGAAGCACGCTGGCAACCAGACCTACTGTCTCTAATCCGAAAACAATGAGCATTGAGCAATTGTCGAAAAGCCGAAAGGCGGCGCCAACCTTCTTCAAACGGGTAACGTCGCCATTAAGCTCACTAATGAGCAAGCTGTAATTATGATTGCAAAGGGATTAGACTCGATCTTTCCAAAATTCACCTCATTAAAAATCTCATTCACGAACTTTTTGTAATTCTAATTTTGGCCTATTTCAGAGAAGAGCTTGCAACCCGTGTCCAACTGACGGAAGCACGAGTTCAAGTGAGTTTTGCCGACTTTCTCGAATTATAACGTGACTAGTATATTAAATCAAATCGCGCACGCACTTTCACAAATGAGTTAGAGATTCCACCCAAAGCTACGGCACGCGATGTTATCGCAGAAACCCGGCCCGCTAATCGTTATCCTTTAATAGCTCTGCAAGTAATTGGCGTAGCGCAAGGATTTTCGGAACATCGCAAGATGAAACCGCTGTTGCAGGTGTGGTTCCAAAACCGTCGTGCCAAGTTCCGGAAGCAGGAGCGCAGCTCGTCTCATCATCCGTATCCGGGTGGTATTCCTGGACCTCATCTCAACGCTGAGAACCCCTACCACTTCATGCTCAACCAGGACACCATTCTGGCTGCTTTCAATCAGCAGACGGCAGCTCAGCTCGCTTTGAGTAAGTTTCGGAAAGAAAAAACCGATAATCAAAGAAACTGCGAATTCGCGACTGATAAAAAACCTATTTATAGTATCATGCAAATTTGCAGCCAAAAAGAGAAACTTCAGAATAGTTTACTTTGATATTTCTACTTATTGGAGAGACTTGTGCGGGAAAAATAAAAGATAATGAAATAAAATTCAAAATAAAATGTCCAAGTTCTCTCCTATCATAATTCAATTCTTTTTTATTTTTTGCATCTATGCCAAAGCATTCGAATAAAAATGAAACTTAAAAAGGGAGAAATTTTGAGTTGATCAATCAGAAAACTGAGACAAAAATGAAAATGAACTGCTAGAAGAATCTACTCTGCTTTACATTCTTGAAACGATTGTTGAGAAAAATATCTCGAGATACCGAAAAACCAAACAAAGCTGAAAAAAATTCAGAAAGCAAAAAATGAGGTTAATTTCCAGCAGAGTCGATGTTGATGCCTCCGGTGGTGGGCAGAAGATCGACATCACCGTCGGTTCCCGTGTCGACGACGTCGCCAGCTCTGCCAGTCACGCCGACTTTCCAGACGCCCAATGAGACGCTCAACATGTTGCTTGGCGGGATTCCGCCGCAGCAACTTCTATACATGCAGCAGCTCAATAGAGCCATGGAGACGCTTCGTTCTCAGCTGACGGCTCCGTCGACCAGCGGAGCCGGGGCAACCGCCGAGGTCGTCGAGGGGTCTCCGATCAACACTGCCGCGGCTTCTTCTCCATCTTCCACTGCCAGTCCCAACAACTTTGCTGATCTCAGCACTCTCATTTCGCAGCCACTCGCATCTTCGTCGGAAGAGTCCAGCTCTCAGAGCAAGGAAAACTGATTTCAATTTTCATCAGTTCTAATTCTCCCCAGGACATGGCTTTGAATTTATTGTATCTCTTCTGAATAAGATTGAAATCTGAAACAAATTTTTTTACACCGGTTTCGAATCTATATTTCAAAAACATCTGAGGTTACTCTAAATCAAAAAAATAAACTGCTCCAATTGATTCCATCTCAGAAAACCATGCTAACCTCCCGAAAAAAACTTTTTTTACAAAGCTTTTCCAAAAAAATTGGGAAAGAAAAGTTTAATGCAGATTTGAAACAAGTTTGAGAGCTGTTTCAAAAGATCCGAGAAAAACACAAAAGTCGCAAAATGAATTCATACCGTGTCCTGTTTAGTTAATGCGCTTCGTCTTCTTTGGTCTTTTGTAGATTAAGATATGACGTGTGCAGGTGTGCGTTGTAGCAACCGAACTTTTTTCTCTGTCACCGTCAAATCTACGTAGAATGTCTTTTTTATTTGCACCCATACTTACAACTCCCATTCAGCAATAAAATACTAATGATAACTACTTCAACCTTTATGAAATTGGGTTCTAATTAATAACCGCCTTTGTTTGAGACCGTTTCCCGCCGGTGACTCAGTAACCCATTCAGTATCGAGCTCTTTTTGCTTATTACTTTCTCACCTTTATTTCACATTTTAAACTTACTGTTATATTTCTGTTGGTTTTTTTCTTCTCAAAACTTACGAATTTTCCTCCTCACCTTGAAACTTTCTTTGCACACTCCGAACGCATTTTAACTTTAATATTGTTGGTGATCTCTATGCGACGCTTTGTAATTTGATTCCCGCATTCATTTTCATTTTTTTTTCCATGTTCATCAAAACGACGAAACAATGGAATTTTCGCTGTTGGGTTATAAATATCATACTAACCGGCTGAAGCTTTTTCATTCTTTTCGCACTGTGTTATAAAACACAACCATTCTGTGTAGCAAGATTTGCATATATTTCATTGTTTTCAATTTGTCTCCACAGTTTTGCATTTATATATTTGCTTTAATTGGAAATATGATTAAATGCAGATATGTCGTAGATTTTTGTGTTTTGCAGTAGTTTCGCAAGTTTTTTTTACATGTAATATTTATTGAGAGTTGGTTTTATTGCATACAATAAAGGACTTGAAAAAAGGAAAGGAAAAGTACAACGCAGCCAGAAATGTAGCAAACATGACCTATCTAGACTGTTGCCATGGAGCGTCGTTGTCTCGTTTGAACGGCGTTCTTAAGTTTTTGTGAAAAAATAATTATAATGTTATTTTTTATTGATGGCAAGAAATTCCGAGTTGAAACTCGAAAGTCCTTATGGCAGTATTTTTTTTTACAGTTATCGTTTCACGTGATGTCATTTTGACCTGTTTCGCCTGCTTGAAAAGAAAATGATTGCCGGTTACCAAAATCCGCTATTTCTGCTTTGCTTCGACTATTTTTATGCTCCAAAAAAGGACATTCCATTTTTCATTTTTTATATTGCAGATTGGATGTTGGTCAACTTCTTCTCTTTTTTTCCTTGGTTGTTGTTTCAGGTATTTTTTTATTTAATCTTAGAACAATCGAAAAAAAGAAGATTTTTTTCCTCAAAAAAACCTTTAAAACAAAAAAATTTTTCCAGTGGATAGAACAAACTTTTTATTAACTTTTTTTCTGAGCGATGACATGCTGATTGAAAATTTTAAAAACCATGTCTTGTTTATTTTTTTGAAGGAAAAGTTGAAATTTATCTGCATTGATTCTAATTTTTTTCTAATGGACAACTTTACCGAATCTTTTTCAATTTTTTTCAAGTGCTTGGACGACACGTGGGAGAACTTCTCTGTCGGGAATGCGGACAAGTCATAACCCGTCAATCTGAGTTGGCCAATGCGACCGGGGTGAAAGAAGATTTTGTCAAATACAGCTATAACTTTCCTCTCGTTGGCAAAAACATCAAAGTCAACGTTTTGAAAAATCCAGCAGGTTGTTCCTTTTAATATTAACATGAGTTCATTTCAAACATTTTCGGTTTGTATTTCAAATTAGAAAAACAATCGTGAAAAAAATCAAAGACTTATTATTGAACTGATTTATTTTTTGCTTGAAACTTGAATATTTCTGATCGATCTCAAAAAGACCTGAACAGAATAAGAGTTTTTTTTAAACTGAATTTATTTTTTTCTAGTGACATTAGAATCCTTATTTTTCAAAGACATCCAAGAAACGTTTGCATTAAAGAAATTCAGGAGAACATTTCCACGTTTTTTTGCTGCAAAAAAACCGCTCACCTACGATTCAGCGGAAAGGTATCAGTTTTCTTCATTCACATTTTTTTTTCTTCGTGAAAGAACTAAATAAAATTCAATTCATTTTTTTCACCATAAATTCGTCATCAATATACTGCACATTGCAATTTTTCTGTACTCAGTGATGCTGAAAAACTGCGGAACGCGCTGAAAAATAAGCAAAGAAATGATCCAAGAATATAAAAGTTACTTCGGCAGGTTTCTCAAGAGGCGAAAAACAAAAATAAAATTACCAGTTTTAATATTTTTATTTCTAAAATATTTTTTTAATAAAAACATGATTCAAAAAAAAATTGTCAGGAATTCGGGTGAGTTTCAGTTTGGAGCTGAACGGGTATCGGCATTTTCTTATCACACGATGTTCCAATAATTTAAGGCTCAAGCGGACGCTAGCTGGTTTCCGGGAATGCACTGGACCGTATGTGTCTGCAAATCTTGCGGAAGGCATATGGGATGGTACGCTTCAGTTATTTTGTTATGAAAACAAGCAAATCAACAACTTTCTCAGGTATTTCCAACCTGAAGAGCCGACTTCGCAATTGCTCAGCCAAGCGAGTTTCGTTGGACTGGTGCTTGACAATGTCATTTCAGCCGATTGTCAGTTTATTTCTTTTACCAAAAATAGTGATTATAATAAAAAAATCAGTTCAATCCGGAACTGAATACTGTTTCACAAGAAGGGGTTGAAATTTCAAAAAAATTCGAACTGAAAAAAAGTCAAAAATCACATAACTACATACTTGTAAAACAAAAATTCTAACTCACTTCATTGGATTTCGAAAATGATTTCGAAACTTGCAGCTGATGGAGAGATATTGGAAATAAGTTTTTTTGAGATACAAACATTTTTCTGTGAAATTTTTGGATTTCAGTTGACAAAAACAGCTATCATATTGAAAAAAATATTTGTAAAAAGAAATTTCCGAGGGGCTTATGGAAATTTTTTTCGTTTAAACAAATACAGTAGATACTGAAAAATTGATTTTTTTATTGTTGAGTGTGCTTTCAAAAATGAATGAAAACGATAAGAAATTGTTAAGCCACCCTAAAAAAAGCCTAAAAATTTCAATGGAAAAAAACCATCTTTCTACTTCTAAAGTTCAATTATGAAGAAAAGGAGAACGATCAAAAAAATTACGTGTCAATGCATCATGATGAATATAATTTATTTTATTTTTCAGACGTCGACACGCTGCCAATAACGCCCTTGGAATAACTCGCATCAGTTGATGGTTTCATTTGTAGCTAAACTTTACTTCATTTATTACCCTTTAATTTATTATCTTGTTCATAACGTTACATTCCTGTTATAATTACTCTAATTTACTTTACTTGTCGTATTTTTTGATTGAATTACATTAATATTTCTGCTGAAATCTCCTCCTCAACGGTTCCAAAAATTATCCTGCTTCATAATTATATTATTACCTGAAACTTGGAACATCGGTTTGATTGAAAATTGATCGCTTTTGATTCAAATTTAAAAATAACTGATTATTTTACTAAAAAGAACATGTTTTAAAAATTGTAGGTTGATGAAAACTTTTGAGCTGAGTAACTAAAAATTCAGCATAGTAGATATAACACAGCCTTGAAGTGATATTCATTAAAAAACTTCAAAATATTAAACACTTTTTTTCAATACTTCTGTTCCAAGCAAGCGGTGATGAATAAGAGGCTTGCACTATAAATTATCTGATTTTCCAGAAAGTTAATTGTTCCTTGCAGAATCTATTTTTGATTTCTCATTCATGATATCAGTACTGATGCTATGGGTTACTTCCTGGGGTTTTTCAGTGTCGTCTATTCCTCCGTTCGTTTTTCACCGGCAATAAATTATACTCGAAAAAGAAAAATGACCAAAATAAGAGGTAGCTTTATGAAAGTGGCTTGTGAGGGAACTACTATTTCCGAGTGATTGGTCTTGAAGGCGAATGATGATGTCAAGCGCGAATCGGAGTACCTGCCTACCTGAAGTCAGTTTTTCAATCGGGAGAAAAGCTCTCAAGCTTGTCCAGCTTCTTCCGTCGATTTTTTCAATCACAGAAGTTCTTTTTGAGCTCTGCTGTTCATTTGAATTTCATCTTGGCGTCTAGATTTTTTTTTCTTTTTGAAAAAAACGCTCTCCGATTCATTTTAATTTTATTAAGAAAAAAATGAAAGGTAATCAGAAAGATTCTTTCATTCATCGATGGCAAAAGCTACTAGCTTCAATTATTCATACCAATCATCTATTGAATTTTCCAAACGAATCACAAAAAAATTTTACCCTCTAAAAAAATCACGGATGTAGAAAAAAAGATTCATCATATGCACACAAACTTTACCGAATCAGCTGCTTGAACTTCGGAACTCATGAAATTTTTTTAGCTAGAAGCTCTATTTCAAAGATATTTTTAATGAAAAAAACCATTCAAATTTTTTTTTATCACGCGCAGCCGGAAAAATTTTAGGGTCTTTTCGATTCCAATCAAACTCTAAGTAAGAAGGCGACAATTAGATTCAACATTGAAATCCGATAATTGAGCAGTTTTGTGGTGTTTTAATGCAGTCCCAGTTGTGGTATCTATTTATGGCTATGCTCGATGAAAATCTCAACACAATTAGCACAAGTTCATGCCAATTCGAACAGGTTCTGAAGTTTTTATAGCAATTCTCTTCCAAGTTCAACTTGAATAGAGTGCTCAATCACTAATGTTGCGGAAAGATGGATTCGTGTAGGCTCTCAGTCACGTCCCCAATGACGTGGACCAAGCTGAACAAAAGTTGTCTGCATTGTTTCCACCCAATTCTCCGGAATTATTGCCCGTTGAAACGTTTACCGGACGCATTCAGGCGGTTCGACAAAGCCTTGCCCCCGGCGCCACTCCATTCATATCTGCTCCTTGCAGGCCGGCTCCGTCGGTTCAAATGGGCTTCTTGTCGTCGTTCTTCGTCGTCTTCTGTGCGGTTGTACTCCTTGCACAAGGCGTTCCTTTTCGTCAATCTGACCTTGAGACCTCCTACATCCAGAAACGACTGAGCAATGATGCCTTGATCCGTTTGATGATGAGGTCAGTGAGAAAAAGAAAAAAAATTAACACATTTTATCAACTTTTCAATCATAGGCCAGTGTTTCCACACAATGATTAGTTATTATTTCATTCGTGCAGCTGACTAGACTTTTCAATCTTTAATTTATTTTTTGAGTCAGTTGAGACTCTAGCGGTACACAAGCTTGTTGGAAAATTCAAGCGAAAGCTCGAAAATTATTGAAATACTGCTTCTCACGCGAATCTTTCCGAGAAAAAGTTTTTTTGATTGTAGATACATAGCCGACTCTATTCAAGTCTTGGGATCGAAATTTGATGGAATATAATCGAAACAATGTATTCCGATGAGCTCAAAGCAACGAAATCTCTTAGTTTCAAGTATGCTCTTCCAAACTTGCAAATCGCCGAAGTTCAACTAAATTTACAAGCCCGGAAGCGAAGAGAAACTAAAAAGCGTTCATCAGTCTAAATATAAACCAAAATCTTCACGAACTTCAATAACTCCTTTTTTTATTCCAGAAACCGCCCGAACACGGCGCTAAACATCAAAAGGAACACGGATAAAAGATCTGACGTGGAAAGAAGAAGTTTTGACGACGACTTTTCGAACTGCTTCCTGTCGCCTGTCCAGTGCATGTTGCCAAACTCCCGCAAATGAAATCTTTTTTCTCATATTCTTGCCTCTCAATGTCAATCCAGTTTCCATTTGTCAATTCTCCTGAGCATTTCAAATAAACGTGCATTGTTACATTAATGGAAGCTTTAAAGAAGAAAACTTCATAGTTAAAAATAGCTTTGCTAACAAGAAAAACGGAAGTATTAATGAGGTTTTGATAATATTTATTACTTTTATTAAGTTGACCGTCGTATTCGATTTCAATTGCACTTTTTCTATTGCTCGCCGTTTGGTTTGTACATTCTATTTCCTGAACGGAACTACAAGTTGGAAGAGTTCTAAAGAAAGCTGCGTTCCAATCGGCAGATCGACCTGAAGAAAAGTTAGCTTTTTTGAAAAACTGAATCAAACAAACAGTCTTTTGTAGAACGTTGCCCAAAAAGTCATTGATCCGCTGCCTCACTTGTCCGACAGCCTTAATTTCAAAATCGAGAGCCAAAAAAACAATAATTTGATACCCAGAAGAATGTGGTTTGTAAGATGCTCTGATTGACATCGCTGTAGCAAGAAGCCAGCATGTCATTCACAATGATTCGCCCGTTGGTCGTCAGAGGCGAAAAAATTCCTTTTCTCTTCGTCAATTCAATTTCTTGAATTCTTTGTTGTCGGTAACGACCCTGAGAAATTTTTGCTTCGAAAACCAACACTTGAAGCCTCACCTGATGCAAGACTATCACGCAGTCACCAACTCTCAAGTCTCTGGCATACACTGCGTGGTCTTCGCCAGGCAAGGTTTTTATGTATTCGTTGAAGCGTTCTGAACATATTCTGACGCATCTTCGCCACTTTCCTATATGGCAATAACTCACTGCCGCATTTCGTTCGGAAAATAAAGTGGCGCTCTGTAAGAGCAAGCATCTTCCCAAAGTCAGTCATAATGGTCACAAATTCAGTGATGTGCTCTGGCTCCCGATGAATCCAAAGCGTGATGGGCGAATAAAAAGTCTGAAAATTCTCAATTGATTCATTCCTGCGAAATCACTAATTTGAAAACATGAAACGACTTACAGACGTCAAGTTGGCCGTCAGAACATAATCGCCAACTTGGAGCTGGTCCATTCTTTTTTTGCCAGTCGGAGTCGTCACCCAAGTGTCGGTAGAAAAACAGGCACCCGCTCCAGCAGCAGAAGAAGAAGAAGAAGCTCCGCCAGCCGCACCAGCACCTCCGGCTGCCTGAAATCCAAGCCTTCATTGTGAAATGATGTGAATTCCTCATTAATTACTTTGATATATTGATGAAAACGTTAATTTGAATTGAACTTACAGCGGCAGCAGCAGCTGCTGCTCCAGCTCCTCCTGCACCAGCGCCTCCAGCTCCAGCCCCACCTGCTCCAGCACCTCCAGCTCCAGCTCCTCCTGCTCCAGCACCCCCTGCGCCAGCGCCTCCAGCTCCTGCTCCTCCAGCTCCACCAGCTCCTGCTCCTCCAGCTCCTGCTCCTCCAGCTCCACCAGCTCCTGCTCCTCCTGCTCCTCCTGCTCCTCCGGCTCCTCCTGCTCCTCCTGCTCCTCCTGCTCCTCCTGCTCCTCCACCTCCGGAACCACCGCCGCCAGAACCGCTTCCTCCTCCTCCAGAACCACTACCTGATCCAGAGCCGCTTCCTTAAATTTTCAACATTATCGTAGAAACTTCTGTTAAAAAATGAACTTTTACGAAAAAATTTCCAATAATCATAGTTAGCGTAAAATAATTTTTTCATCGAAGATCTGAACTCACCAGAATTGCCGCCTCCGCCTGATCCTCCAGATCCTCCTCCACCAGATCCACCCCCGCCGCCTCCGCCTCCACCAGCTCCAGCTCCATTGCCGCCGCCACCGCCACCGCCGCCTCCGCCTCCGCCTGAACCTGGGGGACCAGTGGGACCGCCCAAACTAGGATCGTTTGGCTGAAAAAAAAATGAATTTATTTCGCGTCTCAAGAAGTTCAAAAAAAAAATTACAATGTCGATGAAATCGGTAGCTGGCGGTGGCTGAAAAATACTTTGTTTGTCCAAATTTTTTTTCAGACTTACATTGGCGCTTGATTGATAAGATAAAGCTGTGTATCCATTTACATCAATTTTAACAGTGTGCGCGTTGAATTTATTAGTGCCCCAAGTGAAATCGGCTTGAGCCACGATCGATTCGAAAGTCGTGTCAAATCGCTTTTGAATGCTCCGCGTAAGTGACTGGAAAGAATTGGAGTAAGATTCGGAGGATCAAATTACAAACTTTGGCAATACTTCTCGTATCAAACTTGTTGAAATCTGGCTGTTCTTTCGCCATATCGATAGCTTTGATCACTTCATATTGTAACCCTCCATCACAACTAGCTCCACCTAAACTGAGATTTTCGAAGAGAACATAGCAATGAAGTGGAAACCTGCAAGACCAGCGGCTCCTGCGGGACAGTTAATAGGCACAGCGCTACCAATGTCATTGAAAATGTTTGTGTGGAGTTCGTACTGAAATTCCGTTTATTTTGAGAATTCCTATCGTTTTTTCCTGTGTTGAAAAGCTTGAACAGGTTTCCAAAAGTACGGATTCTTTTTGAGATATCAATGGACGTTTATGAAGCGTTTTTGAGGAAATTTTTTTTTTGCTTATTGAGATGTTAAAAAAAAAAATAATGCATGTTAATACAACGTAAAAATTCAACTGACTGGAGTGGCTCCAAGGGCTTGTCGTTTCCATCTTTTCAAATTGTTGTCCGAGGAAAAAGGATCGAAAAATCCGGTGTGCATCATAGGTATTTCAGGATCATTAGCTGATTCAAGCTCTCTAGTCGAGTCCGAAATGGCTTGCGGATCATCTTCTTCCACGATTATGTACTCTTCTTGAGGAGTGGTGTAAGCCAACAAATGGTACTTGTCCACTCGATATTTGCACGTGAACTCGTTTTCGTGGTGGGTTGCGATAACGAAGTCATCGAGGGAAACAATTACTTCGGCTGCATATTTTAATTTTTCTTCCACCTCGTATTGTATGGCCTGAAACGACCGTGGTCTCCTTCATGGAATGGAAAAATAAGAACGACCTTTGCGATGGCCCGGAGATTGTAAGGATCAAAATTTTCTTTCATTCTGAACTTGTCATAAGCGCTGTGCATTGCATTGAAAACAGTCAAACTGCAGCACTTAGATCCTAAGAATGGATTTTTTTTTCTGAGATTTCGTACAAAAGTTACCTGTTCTAACTTCAGTACAATGAGAGCCGACTGGATAGCCGGCTCGTGGGCCTTCGCCCTCAATACTCAAGGGCGTGTGCCATGATTTTTGTTTCGGGAGCTTTATGTCTGTTGATCCCAAAGGCTCATCTCGTGAAACGCCGAGAAAGTACTCTTCTTTTTCTTTATCGTCAATATCATACTGCAAAAATTTGATCATTCGAATGAAACTGTCGAAAAAAGCTGACAAATAGGTGCTTTGTTTTCTGGAATCATTTTGGAAAAAATACAAAAAATCATCTAACGTAGACACGACCTCCCGTAAGATGTTTGTGAAAATCTCCAGAGAGCCGAAGAAGTTGGGCTATCTTTTTAGGGTTTGTTATAAATGCAGATCCTGACCTGTTTTGGTGTGGCGTAGGCAAGGAGAAAGAAGTCTTTGAAGTAAAATTTGCAGACGTTTTTCCCAATAAGATGAGAGGCAAACACAAAATCGTTTTGAGAAACAATTACTTCGTAAGACTTTTTGAATCGCTGTTGCACTTGTTTTTGAATGGCCTGAAAGACCGTGTTTTGTATTTGCAAATGAAATTTTTCACTTACTCCAGCCATTACAGCTTCCTTTCCAACACCAAAAGAAGGAGCAGTGGCCAGAAGCCGCATGGCATCGCGCATTGTAGATGCCAACGGCCCATCACAACATCTATTACCTGTAATCAAAGAACTGTATCTCTATTTTCGAGGTACCAACCATCTGTTCGATTTTTGTCACAATGAGTGTCAGGCGGAAGACGATCCGCTTCTCTGAGGTTATCGAAAACACGAGGGATTGGCTTGGGGCCTGGAGCGGCTTCTTCAGTTGAGTTTCCAGTTACGTTGAACATTTCCATTGAATCCGCCAGAGTTGTTGCGGTCATCATCATCTCTTCGAGCGCAATTTGTTCGGCCATCAGCCCAGCCGCTTTTGACATTTCATCGTCTAAAATGAGCTTTGATTGAAACAATCTTCAAATTGAAGAAGTATAGAAAAATGAAAAACAACTTTAACTTTTTTAGGATTTTATGAGGGCGGCTAGAAATTTTTGTCAAAGTGGACTTCGGAAAGCCGGTAAGGCCAACTTTTTTTCATATCTTTTCATTTGATCTCTTCGGGAAAAGGGTATAAATCATAGACTTTTTTTCTCTTTTTAGAGGATTTCTGGAAAAATATTCTATTTTTTTGCGTGCATTTTTTTCTATATACTTATTTTCAAAAAGGTGCAGTTAAACAGTCCAGTGTGAGAAGGAATCTGCACGTCAAACGGAAACATTTTTTAGAAGTCGAAAGACGGTGACTATTGAATATTTACACTTATGTCAAACTTCTTTTACCAATATATCTTACTAGGGAACTACTCGGACTCGGGTACGGGTTTCAGGTTGAAACTTTAGTGGTTTATAGACCTAAGTAAGAATACTTGAAAAACAAGTGAGAATATCTGCTAAACCCAATAGAGAACCGAGAAAAAATTAGTAGAAAATGTGAAAATTAGGCCTGAAATTTTTCAGAATACTGCTTTTTACCTTATTTCATATTTTAATACAATCGCCTTGAATGATCCGGCTATGATAAACTCTAAAAAACTTTTTTCCAGTCAAAAGAACGAGGAAAGCAAATATTTGATAATTTTCAAGCCTAAATTGTTCATTTTGAAAAAGCTTTTTCTTAGAAGCCCATGGGGTTTAGCAGATAATCTCTCTTGTTTCCAAGTAATCTTACCCGGGTCCATGAGCCACCAAAGTTTCAACTCGAAACGGGTACCCGAGTCCGAGTAGTTCCCTAGTTAAGACGTATTTTTTTTTATATAATCACTCGTTTGAACGACTTTTCTACTCGAGTTCCATTTTCCCAATGGAAAATCCAAATTACCTGGATCAGGAAACTGGAACTTGTTTTGAAAGCCGTCGATGCTGTGAATGTCTGGTTGAACCGAAAGATCTTCTTAAAAAATCCATCGTAAATCGTCATTGATATGGAAAACCAACCGCCGGCGGTGGAATCCTCTCGAACATCGGGGTAATCACCGCGGACGTTGTCCGGCTTCGTACCACCAAGAGGTTCCTCTGCGTCGATACTCGACAAAAGCTCTTCAGAGAACAAATCGAAGGCGTCATACTAAAAGCATTAGGTTGGCTTCATATTTCATTGTTTTATCCAAGTAACTATCAAAGATTCGTCTTCTAGAACTTTTTTCCAAATTATAGTATCTCTTATAGGAAGGTTTCCAGCACAAAGCGATGAGTCGACAATGATGAATCACGAGTTAAAAAAAGTACAATAAAAAAATGAGTTTCAAGTGAAGAGAATAGCCAAGGCCCTTTCTATTTCATTTGTAAGCGGTTAAACTATACTAAATAATTCAACATACTGTTGAAGAAGCAACCCTAATTGGCGATTATCACGTTAGTTCTTATCAACTTTCTCTAGCCTTAAGGAACAGATTGTAGCGCGAACAGGAATCGAGGGAAAGGGAGAACGAAGAACAGATGTTGATTAGTTCGCGGTCATCTTCTTGAACTTCATTCTTCTTGGGATAGCGATTCCGAAAGACCTCATTTCCCTCGTATTTCTAAGTACGTCTGCTGTTTTTTTTTTCCCGATACGATAAATCGAAAGCATCCCTGTCAACGGAAAAGGTTTTGGGAACGTCAGATAAAAAATCCTGAAGAAAGGTTTAATTCTATTAGTCGAAGAGAAAATTCCTGACATCTAACACCACAGACTAATAGGTTTGAAGGACAAGATTGTTTCAACTTTCATTTTTTTTTTCTTGAACTTAATTGACTCCCGCAACAAATCGGGAAAGGGAATATTGACAAAATAGGTTAACGCCAGCCGCAGAAATGGCCAAAAAACGAGGAGAAGGGTCAGATTCAATTTTCTGATTGCGTTCGTTGAGAATTCAATATGGATTCAAAATACACAAAGCCTTTTAACGGTTATTCTTCATCCATACTCCAAATTCTGAAGTTTTTTTTTTTGAATTTGATCAGAAAAAGAAAAATCAGAATGATAATCACCCTCATCTCTTTATTATTATTAAAAATCAGAATGATAATCATCCTCATCTCTTTATCAGACTACTCTCATGGTAAAATGAAAGAGATATTTTTCTGAAAATTGGTTTTTGAGAAAAAAATTAGGGAAGGAGTGCAAAAATACGTTTTCACTGGTACAGTCCAGAAGCGGTAATGAACTGCAAAGTTCGTGTTTTTCTTTTCTTTCAGAAAAATTTGCAGCTCATAAAAACTCTAATCTCTGCTGAAAAGTTAACTTAATTTGAAAAATACAGAACTCGAATTTAAACAATTCGATCCTGTTTTCATGATTGTTTCAAAGAATTCAGAAAGTGAGACGAAACGAATTGATACGACAAAAGCGACTGAATCTTTTTATCCCTGATCTCAATTGGTCATTGATCTGACGGAATTTCGAAAAAGCTCACCTTCTGTGGAGTGGCATAGACAAGATAATAATAGAGACTATCATGAATCTTGCAGGAATATGGACCGTGGTAATGCGAAGATATGGCAAAATTCTTTTTAGAGACGATTGTTTCGAAAGTTCGGCCAAAGGTCAATTGGGCGCGCCTTTGAATGTACTAAAAAAGGAATATTTTACGAATCTGGCTGAAATTTACCTTCGCCGCATCTCCCAGCTTCGGTGTGTGTATTCCGAGATTTATTGCGTCTCTCATTACTTTTTCTAAGCGTTCATCGCAACATTCCACTCTCAACGAAAGGAACGGTCCTTCGGCTTCTGAAATGATAGTGTGATCCTGAATTATTTTCGGAGAGTCAGATTAGCTTAACTGTCAATAACTGATGAAGAAAAGGGTCTAAAAAATCTTGAGAGACGACAAACTGACAATTTTTTTGCGCTGCTGGAGAATTCTGCTAAGACTTTCATATCGATGAAAATTTCACCTGTCGTAGAGTTCCATTCACAAACGCCTCGTGGATAGTCGTCAAAAGTGCGTCCAAAACCACGGTTTTTGAAAGACGGCTGTCCAAAGACAGTGACGACCAAGGCACAGAGCGCAAGCGCTTGTGCCGAAATCATGTAGCTTACAGCTCAGGAACCGAAAAGAAACTCAAATACAGGAAGACCGTGATTGGCGAACGCTAAGGTCAAGTCAATCCAACCTAACATGCTAATGTGCGCAGGACCGCCCCTCGGCCATTTCGATCATTGGAGACCAAATCTTCGCAGCAACTTCGAGAGATACGAGATGTACGCTGCTGTGTTCCAGGACGAATTACGCAGTGTCGCGTAAGAAACGACAAACGGCCCGCTTTTCATTTATCATCAGTGTTGGAACATAAGTGACCCCTCTCTAAAAAATGCGGGCCGATATCACTTAATCGATCATGCCTTTTTTGTAAACATTTGGCAGTCTGCTATACAGTTCGATGGTATCTATTTTTCCGGATAGTTGGAAAGAGATAAATATTTTTCCTACAAGTTCTTTCTAAAGGTTTAATGGAAGTCATTTGAAACGCTGAAAGTTTCTAACTTCGTGAAAAAAATTTTCTTTGATGCGAAAAGAGCACGAATCATGGTAGTGGCCTTTCTGCGCTCCATTACTTACTTCAATTATTTGCTTGATTTTTTTTTCAACTGACTGAAAGAAACGGGAAAATGAATAAACGGATTCTATTCTGTTTTTGCACGAAAATTTAGGTTTATCAACTCGAAGTTTATTTTTGCCTTAAATTTTATTCCAATAATTACTGAGAAACTATCAAACTCAAAGGTGAAAAAAAAGGATTTTGAGGAGCTCTAAGTAAATGAAGAAATAAAGAAGAGAACAATCTTTTTTTTAGGCAAAACTAAGCGATTGTGTTCAAATGTGTTTAAATTCATGTAGGTTTCTCTCAATATTCTTGATCCTCGACGACGCAGACGCGGAAAATGCTGATTGCACACGCGATGATTGCAAAGAGAAAAGCAACGAGTTGCATGAACGACGAGAAACCGAGCTGAAAAGCCATTTTTTCATCCCACTTTTTAAGATGAATCGGCTTTAGAAAATGCTAGGAAAATTATCTCGGAATGGAAACTCGCTCTCAGTTACTCAGGATTGTTTTTTCGTTTATAAAAAAACTTTGATATATAACTTTATATGACGACGTATGCTGTCTTGGATTTTATTCAAAACTTTTTAGCTCATTCTTTCAGATTTTAGGTTGAACATCCTTCGAGATAAAAATCAATATACCTTGACATATTCTTTGATGAGGCCGTCAAGGCCACCGTAACCAGCTTCAAAAACGACGAAAGCAATCAGACCGAGCAGAGCTGTGACGGCGGTAACACCAGAAGTTAATAAAAGGACCATCTTCTCCATTTTCACGCTTCCATTGAAAACGGAAAAACTGTAACGATACATTGAATTTCTGAGATTTTTTGTGTCATACACATATGCAGCCGTCACAATCAAGCAAATGAAGTCGATTGCGAAAGTGAAGTACATCAACCAACAAGTAGCCAACAACCAATCAGGCAGTTGCGTTTCCTGTGTTAGCAATTCGATTTATCGTTTTGCTGTCATCAAATTTTTGAACCTAAAGGTCTTCCTTCAGTTGTCCCCATTTACTCGTACGGATATGGAGACGCCGTGCGGCAAAAAAACTTTCAGATGTCACAGTCTGTTTTATGTTGTTTATAGTTTGTTCAGAGGGAACTTTTGAATTGACCAGTAGAACAGGGCGCAAAGTATCGCTACAAGGCTAATTTTTATTTTGAAGTATTTTGGCTAACGTTTTGAGTGAGAAACTGCTGTGAAATCTTCAAACACTCGAGCCAGTTTGAGAAACAAAAAAGCGTGCTATGCAAGAAAGAATGACTCGATTATTGATAATAAAAAAAATCTGGAAAAAACAAAGCTCATTCCCAGGTGGCTAGGAGCAGCGAACTGGCAGTCCAACTTTTGTGGCAAAGTTCGGTTGTAGCAACTCTTCATTTGTCTTTGATATATCATCTCATGTTTTATTCAATTTTTTTTGAGTTGCTGTAGAGTAATATGACATTTAAAAACTAATGAAATAATTTTAATAAAATACCAAATTCAGGAAAAAACGTCAGGCGTGAATAGGCTATGACAGAAATACTAACGTTGTAAGAAAAATAGAAATAAGCGCGAAAGTGGTATAACCTGTGTACCACATCTTCGAACGACATTCCGCTGTGCCGCTGCGCGCCTTTGCGAACCTTGGTCGCGCTTCTAATTTTTTGTTTCTTTTCTTAAGGTACTCTACTTTCATATGCTACCACAGCAATAACAATCAATTGGAACCGTGACCTAGATTCGAAAGACGCTTCGCGAACACACGCAGCGAAACAGCGGAATGTCGTTCCGTGAAATTTCAAGTCGTGGCACACAGACTATATTGGTAACCCGCATAATTTTTCGAAGAAATCTATGGAAGCATTTTGATATAGAAAGATCTGTTGGCCTTACAACATGTATCTATTTTGTGTATGCTTCTAGAGCCCAGGGATCAATAAACTCTTGAAAATGTTCTCTAAGCTCTTCACCTCAAACACAAACTGGACCGAAATTCGTTTTATCAACTTTTTTTCATGAATTCATCTTTATTTTTTTAATATTTTCAAGTTTCCCACCATATACTCGCCGCCAGGGTAAGGAGTGAGTCCTAAGCCGATATCACCAGTGCAGTAGTCTCCGTAACAAACTCCTTCAACGAAAAGCCAGCCTGAAGTCAGAGCATTTCAAACTTCATTTCCCGCTGACGATTTTTTGAAAGGTTTTTTGAAATACAGTTTTTTTCTCGAATTTTCGCGATCATCTTTCAAAATTCAAAATTTGAAGAGCTTAGTTGAAGTACCAACTTTAATATTTTTCGATGAACTTAATCTTGAGATTTTTTTGCAATTGGAAGAACTCCTCTGGAGAACAGTTTCGAAGATTGGAGGTCGACAGGAGAAAATCCAAACATGATATAATATCAACTCACCATCTGTAAAAAGCGCGATCGCCGTAAAAATTGTGCTGATGACAACCGAAGATCCAATTGCAACGGCGTGAAGCAGCGACATCGGGATCAACTTTCAAAGAAACTTTGTTGAAAACTCTTCACAAACAGAAACTGCTAAACTAACGGAAAACGAGCGTACGTAAAATATTTTCGAAATGTTAACCTATCAACCGAAAATAACGACATTTTTCAATGGGTTTCGTTTTGAATCATCTGAATAAACAACTTTTGATGTGAAATTTCTCAGATTTGCGCAACAATCATACTGAAAAATTCAGTTTTATAATAAGAAAGCGATCAAAGACTTTTCTAACTACAATTTAATAATTAAAATTTACTACCAGGGGAAATTCAAGTTACAGTATCGAAGAAAATATCCGACTAGGAAAGTTTATGAAATGTAGAATGAAGATCCAAATCTCTTCTATTATAGTGTTAAAAGCAATTTTGGCAAAAAATTTTTTCAAAAGAATGGCTTTTTGAGTTCAATTTTCTCAGTTGTATCGATGTTTCATCCAGATATACATGCCTTCTGAACAGAAAGACGATGTCAAAAAATTAAAAATGAAGAATCCTGGCTTCGTTCCTCCAATCTTTAAAAAAAAAAAAATTGTAATCTCAGATACACAGAAAATGTTTTCTTCTTATGTGGCACTTTTTCTCATGAGCTTCGTTTTTTCAATCTCCCTTACAAGAGCTTTTTTTTTGTCTTTCTCGCGCTATTCTGACCTTATGACGTATCATTAAAACCAAGGGGAAAGTGAACAGTGCTTGGGCGAAATCCTGTTCCCATTGATATAATGTAAAGAAATGCCAATTCCGTCGGCAGACAAACATATCAGGTCGTTTCCGATGATTTTTCCTGTGTTGATTGCTTCTCTTGTACTCCAAGTGCTCTCTCAAGGACAGTTGTACCCTCAGCATTGGTATGGTGCTCATCAGGTTCATAAAAACCAAATTCATCAGAAGACTGTCGTTTTGAATCAGGGCAATATTCGATCCGGCGTCGTTCCTGAATTCAATCCTCCCCCTAGCGTAGTTTCTGGAACCATGGCTCCACATATTTGTGGTTTTAACACATATACAAGGTTTTCGTAGAGAAAGAATTTTTGAAAACCCTTTTTTCAGAAGATGTATGGATCCTGAAGGTTACTGCCCTGGAAAATGTATGAACTTCCGATACACTTACAATACCTTATACGATTGTCGCTGTTTGGTCATTTAATAATCAGTTGCTCAAGCTGTGATCCATAATAAAACTTTTTAAGAATGGAAATTTAGGAATTTGAAGTTTTTTCGGGAAATCTTCTCTCCAAATATATCTCGTATTTGACAGCTTGGAACATCTTATTGCGGCAATTCAATCTGGGAACGAAACGATCAGCAAGCGGTCGGAGGACACCCCTTATTTCCACGACTCATGATGGTTCGTGCGTTCAGATATTCCTTATCATAGCCGCTAGACGGCTAGAGATCCTTCGCTGTCTTTCTGAAGCCCCTTGAAGTCGGAGACGGCAAAACAAGGAGAAAACGTTTATTTTGGCGGCCAAAATGTGAAACCTTGTCTTGTGAAAAATGGAATACATCAACTATGTTATCATATGCTCAAACTACTTTATTCAGTAACAGTCTGGTTTTCGTAAAGTCTACATAAACTTATGATCGAGCTAACACGAAAATGATCGCTTCCGGTGCTCATGAAAGGCTCAAGACTTGCTGTCGTAATGTCTCGTGGTCAAAATCTCACATAGCGAAGACACACAATTGTAATATCGGAATCGTTTTCGTTGTAAAAGTGGATGCAACATATGAGAATTTGCTTGTGTTAAGCAATCTGGTCCCAGACGGGTCGCGGTTTCGTTATTTTCAACTAGTGATCAGTTTTAAAGCCTATTGATTTGTTTGTCGATAGTCTGCTTTTAAACGCGGATTTCCGTTTTATTCATTTCATTAGCTTTTATGTACAGAAAACGCGTTAAAGCTTCTTGTTATTTGTTCACTGCTACTTTTTTTTCGTTTCGAACATGCTTCTCTCTGCATTTTAAACTCTTTCTGGATTCCCGATATCGTTGCGTTCACTTTTTGTAACTCTTTCGAGATGCGAAACGTTTCGAGGACAACAGCCACGCGGCAGAAAATGAGAAATATTAAAACATAAAGGATGAGCTGAGTGGCATGCCCTCTCAACTATGTCAGAGTTTTCATATCTGAGCTTTTCGTTTCCGAGTCCGCTTCTTTCCTCCATTTTCTTTTTCACAATGTTTACCAGATCATTGGTATAAATTTTATCAATAAAGAATTCAGTTTATTTTTTTGCCTGAAATTATTTTTTTGAATGAACAGTTGAAACATCTTCTTTCAGAAAAAAGTTATAAATAACGAGGAACAGAGATTTGTAGGAAAATTCTCAACGCGCTGACCACAAGACGCGCCGTCTCGTCATTTATCTCAACAACTGTGCCATAAATTAATTTGAAAAATGGGAGCTCCGTGCAAATGTTGCGTGAGCCGCCGCAAAGTGGATCTGCTCTGAGATTTTTACTATTCGGACGTTTCCATGCCGCTCAGAAAATTAACCTCTCGGAAGATATTCGTCAGACCTTGACAAAACGTAGTAGCTTTTATGGATTCAAAAATGCAAAATTTTCATTATTCATAGTTTTTTCAGAGACATCTAAAAATTAAAAGAAAAAGCCTCGTCCCTATTAAGAAAATTAATGACACAACTAAGCTAGAATCTGTTTCGATTTTCGTGTTTTTTCTTTGTTTTTTGCTTTTCCGTTTGACTTTTATTCCAATTTTCAAATTCGTTTTTTTTGTAGAATCCTCCTCCCTTCATATATTATTGCTCTCGTTTTGTTTTGCGACCTAGGATGTTTCACTTGTAGACTCCACCCCTTTGACTCAGTCACTCGGGAGGATCGACCGCCGACATGCGGGCTACAGTGCTGGTGCTCTTCCTCGTTGCCAGCGCCTTAGCCGCCAAAACAGGTTTGTTCAATCTTTTGGTGTGGAACAGTTTTCTATCAAAAACGGTGTTTCCTGAACAAGACGGAAAGCAAAAACTCAGAAGAATTTGAAAAATTTAATCAATTACAGTCCCAGTAGTTGCTATTTTTGTATAACTAAAGTTTATAACTCGAAGAAAGTCAAAAAAAGCGTCAGTTATCTGATTATTTCGATTAGAAATTTTGTCTGATATATCAGAAAGATTTCGAAAAGTTTTCTGCAAAACCAAACTTCCCTGTAAAAAAAAACTTGTGATAGATAAAACGAAGTTCAAAAATGTTCCTACCTTGACGAAATTCTCATTTTCAAAAAAATTTCTTTGCGCTTTGTACATCAAAAATGGGTTCGAAGCTTTGATATTTGAAGCTTTCCATATAGATTTTGTTTTGAAAAAAACAAGACATTAATTTTTTTAAAAAGGTTACTCAAATTTGTGAAAAATGTATGAGTTTGACAAAAAAAAGTTTAGTAGCGAAAAATCTTAAAATAAGCTTATTGTGTCGTTTGCTATTGCTGATATTTCGACTCTCAGACAGACAGACTTTTTAATGTTTTTTTTTTTTTCAATATTACTGCTTTCAAACTTTTGCGATCACGGAAGTGCACAAGATCAACGGCGAGCACGTTGTGAAATCGGCATAATATCGGGAAAAGATCTTGAAAGAGAATACGTATGTCAGTTGGCAACGTTGCCATCACGCAATTTTGAGTCACTTGTGAAAGAAAACGAAAAGAAGGTGACGCTTGGCGCTTCCAAGAATGACAGCAGCCGTCGTCGGCTGTGACATATCAGCCAGCTTGCACTGCAATTTCGAACTTGCAGGTCGCGGATTCTCGAAAGACGTTGGGAAAAACGCAAAGCACGATAATGTCTGTGCTAGGATTCACAATAACACCGCTCTGGGTTTGTTATGGAACTTCGAAATTTGGAAAAAATGTTTTCCTCTTCAGTTGGAACTTCTCCAATCGACATGATGCAGGCAACGGCTTACGAATGTCAAAAGAGATGTGTCGATGTGTTCCCAAACTGCACAGCTGGTAAGACTTTCTAAATATTTGCATAATTCAGGCGTTTATAAAGTTAATAGCCGCTTTGATTCTAAAAAAAGTTGGACCTTTAAAAGTAGTTTCCGGTTTGAAACTACTCCCGAACCATACATTTTTTTTCAAAGAGAATGGATGGTAATAGGGAGACTCGCGAGGCGAAAGTTAGGCAACGCAACAAATGGCACGTTTTTGATTTTGATAGATCCCCGGGCCTTTTTACACTCGATGACTTTTGCAAATCACGCCGTTTAAATTCTAAATCCAAACAATTGAGAAGCGATCAATTACAAGATTCTACTTACAGTGGTCTACTACTACCTACACAACGACACCAAACACCATCACTGTTATCTTTTCGAACATAACTCCGTGTATGAAAATGTGAGCAACTTTCGGTCGAAATTGCAATTGAAACTTTTAGAGGCTTTATTCTTATTTCAATCATTTTCGTAGCATTGATTGATTTCTTAGTCTAGCCAAAAACCTTAGGTTTTCTTTACTTTCTTTGAAAATTTCAAAAAATTTCTGTTGGCATATTCAGGTGGAACTTGTCGAGCAGAAGCCTGAGCACAAAAAAGACTTGGTGAAAATGCTCGAGCTCACTCGCAGATGTCACGAGTTCGATGCCCATCCTCCTCTCGTTGAAGATGGTCTAGCCTCCTCGACAGACAAAGTCGATCGCAAAAAAAGACGTATGATAACGAAAAGTTTTAATTTTTGAGATCGTGCTTCAGAGCACAAAGATGATTCTGAGCTTGGAACGGGGGAGTGGACTGATTGGTCAGCATGCAGTGAAAACGGTATTAAAACCGGTGAATAATATGTGCCAGTGAAAAAGATTCCAGGACACGAGACCCGATCTCAGGAGTGCGCTTATGGAAGAAAAATTCAAAGAAGAGGCTGTCCTGCTCGTCAAGCTCCTCAACGTCTCCCAGCTCCTTCGGCTGATCAGTACCGCCAGCAGCAGCTTCTTCAACAGCAGCAACAAGAACAGCAGCGACAGCTCCAACTACAACAGCAGCAACGTCAACAACAAGATCCACGACAGGATCCTCGCCTTCAACAGCAGCAACAGCCACTCCCAGCGAGTTATTCTGGCGAATACACTTCCCAAATAAACCTGCAAGGCCGTGTTCCTCCTCAGGCACAACAACCTCAACCTCAGCAGCCTCAGCAGCCTCAGCAGTCTCAGCAGCCGCAGCAGCCTCAAAGATCTCCTTACGATCAGTACGCTGCTCTCTACCAACAGAGGATGTCACAGAATCGTGAAAACGCCAACCAGCGCCATCCTGCAGTTCAACAAGCCGTCCCTTGCAGCGGAGGTGTCTGCGAACCAGTCCGACCTCAGCCTCAACCTCAGCCTCAACCTCGTCCTCCTCAACCACCTGTTCTAGCTCCTGTTATCAATACTGCTCCGTGGCCACCAGCGACTCAGCCTCCACAACAAGTTCCGTTGCCAACTCGCTACAGACCTGCTCCACCTCCTCCTCCAGCTTGTGATGGACAAGGATGTGTCTCTCCACCGCTTGTTCCAGGTGAGAATAGTGGGAATTTGATGCAAATTAACTTTAAACTCACAGGTAACTGGCACGATTGGTCCGAATGGTCTACTTGCTCTTGTACCTGTGACGACGGAGCGAAATCTCGCCGACGCGAATGTGCTACCAATAACTGTCAAGTGAGCCAAAAAGATTGAATACAACCTTGGTAAATGATTTTTAGGGACCAGAATACGAAACCGAGCCCTGCAACATGGGCCCTTGCCAAACCTGGTCTGACTGGTGTGAATGGTCCACTTGCTCAGCGAGCTGTGGTAGCGGTCAACGCGAAAGAACCCGGTTCTGTCATCTTGGAACTAACCGATGCGAAGGCAAAGACTACGAAGTATAGAAAATTCCAGAACCCCTTATTATTGATAAGATATTTTAGTCTGAGCAATGCCTTGCTGGTCCGTGTCCAGAATGGTCAGAGTGGGAAGATTGGGGACAATGCTCAGTAAGTTGCGGAACCGGAGCGGCTATTAGACAGAGAACATGCTTGGGTGGTCTACACGGAGATTACCTTTGTCCTGGTCAGTTTTTTTAATGATTAAGGTCAGAAGTGGTTACACGCGCCTCTGAACGAAGCTTTTTAATCAAGATTGAGTCAAATATTTCTCTCTGACAGTTCTGCTGGATTCGTGGATTGAAAAAAATCGAATTATTTCTCGGGCTGTTTTAAATAAGTTCAAATTATCGAAGCAAGTGCGTTGCAGGACCGAAAACTGAGCAGAAGCTGTGCGAGGCCGGCCCATGTCAAGAATGGTCCCCATGGCAGGAATGGAGCGCCTGCTCGGCCAGCTGCGGCGACGGAATGAAGAGGCGTCAACGTATTTGCCAATATGGAACCGACTGCCAGGGACCAGCGGAGGTTGGATTCTTCGGAAGCCCCGGAAAATGAGGAAATTCCCAGGAAAGTCTTTTCTGCTATGGACCCCCTTGCGCACAGTGGACAGAATGGTGCGAATGGTCGGGCTGCTCAGCAAAGTGCGGTCCTGGACAACGAACCCGAACACGAGGCTGTCTTGGACCTGATGGGTTGGAAAGCACTGCCTGCCAAGGATCCAGCATTGTGAGATCAATAACAAAACGGAAGCTGAGATAAATTTTTGAACAGGAGACAATCATTTGCGAAGGAACGTCCTGCTGCAATTGGTCAGAATGGTGCCACTGGTCTATGTGTGACAAGGAATGCGGCGGAGGAAAGGTAATTCAGCCGTTGAAGAAGAAAAAACGATAACCAATTTTCAGTCACTTCGCACCAGAACCTGCATGAGTAACGGCGCCGCCGATTCAAACTGCCTCTGCGAAGGTCCTGATCGCGAAGAGAAGGAATGCAATACTCAAACATGCACACCGCAGTGCGCCTGGACTCAATGGTATACTAAAACTCGGATGAAACAGAAAAATAAAAGTATTGAAGGTGTGAATGGAGTTCCTGCAGTACTCAGCTGTCATGCGAAGTCGGAATTCAGAGTCGGTAAGTAGTAGGTTTCAGATGGGAAAGATAAACTTACCAATCTTTGTATTGGTTAACTAAGATTCTAGAAGCTGTAAGTTGTATGACTCTTCATTTTTTTTTTGGAAAAAGTTGAATTAGACTTTTTGATCCTTTTCAAGACTTCCGGGAAATATTTAAATGATCTTTTTGAGCTGTTTAAAGAATAATATTCTTAGTGAATTGTTTCCGGAAATCTCATTGTTTGATTTTCATTTTCAGAAACCGCCAATGTGTCGGCGAACCTGGCTGCCACTGTCTTGGACTTGCGGACGAGAGCCAACAATGCCGAGGACCAAACCCATGCCCACAGAAGCCTCCTTGCTAATTATCCCACTAATTTGGCCTTGTATGAACCGATTTAACTAACAACATCCAACAACAGGGTTGCTCAACAGCAAAAAATATGTAATACACCTCCTTGCCTCAAAATAGAAGAATCTCAGAATTCTAGTCATTCAAGTTTACACTGTTTTGATATAGGTATTGTTTAAATATTCAACACTGCCCAAAAAGTATACGATCATTGCGATAAAGTTTTTGGTTTCAAATTTGATGGTTGTATTAGCAGTCGAGCATCTCGTTTTCTTCTGGTTTGTAGGAAGGATCGAGCATGAACATCAACTTCTGGATGTGCTCGGTAGCAAGTCTGAAAGTTCGAAAACTTTATTATCTCCTGAAGGAAACATATTTTGCATCTTATACGGAAACTTCCGTAGAATTGCTAAAAAGCGTGAAAAAACATTTCTTGTTGTTGCTACCTGTTCCAAAATTAATTTTGTCGTATGCATTTTTAGAATCCTTTTTTTTTAAATCGATTTCGGATATTGAATTCAAAATTTGAAAACTTGTATAGAAAGTTGAAAGTCTACGCAAGGAACGACTACCAAGCATCTTCAAGCAGCAATTTTTGGCCCGCTCAAAAAGAAAAATTTACAGTACAGTGACCTCCCTCTTTAGGCCGACTTACTTGAGGATAGCCACTCGGGTGAAACGAATTCGATAAGGATAGTTCGGATAAATAAGCTCCTGAAGCAAGCTGAACATCCTGGAAATTTCAGCCACTCGTCTTCGCTCTCTTCTGAAAACAAGAAAAGATTGGACCAAACCTAAAAGTTCTTGAGATTTTATAAACTTCGTAACAGTCATACACCTTTTTGAAGTCGATGTTTATGGACAGTTAAGAATTTTTTATTTACTGAAAAATTCCATCTAAAATTCTCGGTCATTAATTTCCGTTAAATCTTCTAGAACTTATCGAAGATCCCTGAAAAGAGAAAAAGTCCAATACCTAACCTAAGAGCTCAATTACACACGTGTTCAGGCCGAAAGCAACTTTTAAGAGACAAAGAGACGTCGGCGCGACGGAAAAGGCACCTGGCTGCGCTTTTTGTCTCGAATCAACGTTTCGCGCAGTTGAAAAGGAGAAGCCGACACATGTTCTCGCGTCGTTCTATAAACAGCGTGATCCCTTCGAGAAGGAATACCGTAGCCAATGAGTCACAGAGATGAACTTTTTTCATCCGAAACGATCTTTTGTTCTGCACTCAAAATTGTACTCGATTCATCTCAAGGTTTGGACAAAAATACGACGGAACATCTGTATTGATCATGTAATATTATTTCTAACCGTTCTTGGAATATAAAAATCATGAGAAAAAGTTCCTAACAAAAAAAAAAAAAAGTAACAAAAAAAGTATAAAAAAAAGTAAAAAAAGTATGTACGGCAACTTATTTTCTCAAGTTTTTCCATGAATTTCGATTTTAACTGAGGGCACTTTCAGTATTTTCAAAGTGAAAGTTTTTGTAGAGGCAGTCAACAAACAATTTTTTTATGAGTTTTTCATATTTGTATGTTCGAATTCCGGCATTAAAATTTCATTTCTTGAGTCCAAAAATTTGACTGTTTGGTTTTCTCGCGCAAAATCTTTCCTTCTAAAAAAAAGGAAGCAACTTTTCTCGCGTTCTGATGATTGTTCAGTTTCTTTGAGGAAAACCCCATCATAATTTGTTTCTAATTAATTTTTTTGGCGAATTTGCGGCTCATTTACAATCAAGTTTCATTTAATTTGCACTCCAGAGTTTTTGAAAATGTCTTTGAAAATTAACCAGCATAAGTGGCTGAAAGGATGAATCAGCTTTTTAGTTTCGAAAAAAGAGTTTTACAGGCAAAAAAATCATTGACAATTGGTAATTCATAAGAAAAACAGTAGCGAGTCTATCTCAAGGGTTTAGAACTGAAAATTTTCATAATTGGAGAAGATTGATAAAAAAGGAGAACGCACCTGTTAGCAACAATTCTCGATTCCGAAGCTGAACGAGTCATCGAAAAAAAGCTTTTTGGAGAGGATAATTGCCAGCCGGTTGATCGATGAAAGTCTCTTCCGACTGTACGGATGTGAGCGGCGAGGAGGACGAGAAGGACAGGAAGGACACGCCCTCTCGGAGGCTCATATCATCAACTTTCCATTGGATTTCGTAGATTCTCTGACTAGTACGGTTACTTTACGAGATCTTTTTTCCTTCATTGAGAGAAAAATCAGACCATTCAAAAGTAAATTGTCTTTTTCTTCAAATAAACTTTCAAAATTTCCAATTGTAACATTACTAGCCGGTTTTCGAGAAAACTTCAGGATTATATTCATTTTTTGATGATGAGGAGTGCCTTTCTGTTTAATATTCCAAAATGAATGTTACGGGAAGTGAAGTATGTTTTCTGTCATTCCACAGTAGACATCCAAAATAAAATAATGAAAACTTTTTCACTTTTTTTTTCTTTTTTGCTTTCGCAGTATTGATCATCAAAAAAGAACTTTTTGAAACTTGGAAATTACAGGTGTTACCTGGAACTGGTAGAGATTTTAAGAATTTCCTGTACATCAATAGAGAATATTAAAGAATAATCTACTTTTTTTTATTTATTGAAACAGGAAAAATCACGTATGTTGCAGGTATAAGAAAGTCAACAAATAAAAAGCGGGTATCTTTTCGTGAGTTGAAAATATTGTCGTCATTTATTGCGTTTAGTACGCAAACACATCAACTCGGTGCAAGCGGTCTAAAGAAGACCACGAGCCTTTTCTCGTGATTGCAGTTGATATACCGTTTTTTTTCAATCTTTGCTTTTGGTTAATCAACAATTTTTGTCTCCTGGCATCATCATAATCCTTCTCCAAAGTTTGTAGGGGTCCAAAAAATTTTCTTAATTTATATTAAATCCACTCTTTTGACGCTTCGAAAAATCATCAAATATAGGCATTGTTTTTTTCGCGAATATTTCAAAATCAGAAAGCTCGAACAATGACGAGGAAAGTTTCAGAAAATGTAAACTTCATTTATTTCTCTATGAGACGATCCAATGACCGTTGACTGAGTACTCAACATAATTATCAGTAAAACTTTAGATCCCTAGATAAAAGTTTAGCTGTTGGTCATAGATTCTTATCAACATTAGTTCTACAAACTGATAGATTTTGGAGAAGAAAGTCAGTCTTTGGAAAAGTACGAGGTGTAATGATATTGAGCGATAACTTTGAGCTGTAACCCAGCACCTCAGAGAAACGATCAATCTTAATCAGACTCATCGCGTCGAAAAAAAAGAAGAAGGAAAGGATAGTTGCTCAAGCGGCGGACTTGGATTGACACATGCCCCTGTTTTATGATTTCTCACCCTGCCTACTGGTGCCGAACATCGAGTTTTTTTTCGATCTATCCAAATTTCATCGAGAAAAGCTTCAGTGTAGAGAGTCTCAGTTTGATTTTTGTTCTGTCTTGAAAACAGCTGTTTTGGTAGATTTCTCGAGCTTGAGACTTGGTGGTTTTTAGGTGGCGTGTGAGATGAATTGTCTTTGGTGACGACATGTGTTAACCTTGTGCTTTATCTGCCCCCAGCAACCACTTCTTTTTTGCCGGGTCCTTCCAATTTATTGTTGAGATTATCATTTAACGGCCTCAGGATGTCAAACAAAGTGTTTCGTCTGAGAAATAACTTTTTGAACTCGCAGACGTACAATTATGAAGTTCTAGTACCTTGTTATTTAACATTTTTTTGAACTTTCAGCTTTCTGAGTCAAAGAGATGTTCATTAATACTCAATAATCGTGTCTTTTTCTTGGAATTTTCAATGATATAATCTATTTTGATAGTACGATATTTCTTTGTTTTCCGCTCAAATTATTTCCTTATTGAATGCAAAAATTCCTGTTGTTTTGTTTTTTTTTCTTTCTTGGGAGGAACAATGTCTTTCCTTTTGCCTTATTTAATTTTTAATGTCAATTTTTGCCTCGCTTCATTTTTGCATTTCTCGTGTTTTTCTCATGTTTTTAAACTTCTGTATGGCTATTTGTTAATTCACAATTTGTTTCAAAATTTAATTTTTCCGTGAAATTTTTTTCCTTGTAGATTCATCCTAGTTTGCCTTTTTTTATTATTGGCCTTCTTCTTCGATCATTGTTTTTCACTCCCATTCTTCGCAAATTGAAAAAAAAATCATAACTGATTTTCGAAGCCGTTAAAATTGCGTCGGTTGAGTCGGCGAGCCCGAAATGCTTCATAGATCACCTTTAGCAACATTTGCTTCATTTCTGTTTGCGAAAACCTCAAACAAACCGCGAGATTTGTTGAAGAAATGAGATCCTTTCCGATTTACAGGCCCATGCACTTGCTGTTCCTCGCGACGCTTCTGTCCCTGGTGATAAGCGGCAGAAGCGAGGTGCGACTGCTTCTGGCCGTCTGGCGCCACGGCGATCGCGCTCCGGAACAGCTTCCCTACCCAGGAGATCCTTACAATGAAACTTTTTGGCCACGTGGTTGGAATCAGCTAACCAATGTAAAAAAATCTTAGAATACTGTACCTCAACCGTTTTTTTTAGCTTGGCATCGAACAAGCTTCAAAATTGGGAAATTTTCTACGACGGAGATATAAGGACTCCGTTTTGAAGACTTTTCATCGGAGCAAGGTTATTTTTGGAATGAATGTTCATTCACCCCATTTCTTTGATTTGAAAAAAAGTTATCTATTTATTCATTAACGCATAATCTAAGATTTTTTTTTCTGAAAACATTTGAACGGATTTTTATTATTATATTGTAATTTTTCACCTTATTTAAATGTTGTGAAAACAATTTTTAGGTTCACATTCGCGCTTCAGACGCTGATCGAGCAATCGAGACGGCCCAAGCCGTGACGGCGGCGATGTTCCCGCCTGAAGGCGCTCAAGTGTGGACACATGGAAAACTTCGTCATTGGCAACCCATTCCCATTCGAACAAACGGCGGTAAACCGGACCCGGTGCGGTTTTTGACCATGGCTAAAAAACGAAAATGTATATGTAGATGTTACGACCGAGCCAAGTTCGCTGCCCAGCGTATGAAAAGTTGGTGCTAGCCCAGCGCAAAATTCTGCAAGAACAAACGGATGAAAAGTAAGTTTTTAGATGCGGAACAACTATTTTGACCAAGTCTCAAGAATATTTTGAGTCCCTAATAGGCAGAATCTCTTTTTTCCATTAAAAACTGAGAAATCATGTCGAAATTTATTGTGTTGGAAAAATTCGAGGCGTCTGAGCCTTGTGTGAGGATTTCTTAATAGAATAATTGAAGGGAGTACCGGACTTCAGGGAAAAGGAAGAAAACTGGCTGTAATCTTCCACATCTCAACTTTTTGTGTTGTACCTTTTCAAGCTCTAATGCTCCCGTCTGCCAGGTTCAAAGTCCCACTGTCAATCGTGACAGAACGCACGGGACATTACTCGCGCTACAGTAACATCAAGGACGTTTACAACGTCATTTTAGAGGTTAATTTACGCTTTCAGATTTTTATTACTTTGTAGATCGTTGCAAAAGACGCCGAAGTAAATTACGAGCTTTCAGCACTATAACGGGCTACCGCTTCCAAGCTGGGCCTACGAGAAAGTTGGGAACGCCACTCTTCTTGAGCACGTTTCAGAAGTGCGTAGAATTTCACGCCTACAACTTTTCGATTCAATCGAAAAAGCCAAGTTTATGTCAGTTCGAACTTAATTTGGATGCTGAGAAAAACTTTTTAGGGGAGGCTACTTGATCAATAACTGGGCTGAGCATATGGTTTCTGTATCAAATGGTACCTCAAAAAAACAAGCAGTTTTGTACTCCTCGGTTTGTTTTCTCTCCGATTTTCTGCAATTGAAATAAAAATGCAGCACGATGGAACTTTATCAGCACTCCTCTATGGGCTCAATATCAGCAACGATCTATTGATACCGTACACCGCATGTGCCATGATTGAGCTCCATCAGGATGAGACAGTTCGAGTGAGTCATCGATCTGTCAACTTTATAAGAAAGCGTATCGATAATTTAATCATGGAAACATGTCATTTTAGGGTGAAATTTGAATTACAGTATCGTCAGAAAAGATACGAAACTTTTTTTGTTAGAATTTCAATCTTTCTGAATTTTAGGAGTTTTGATGACTGTTATCCTCAACACGCTGATCAGTTTTCAGTTCAAAAAAGCGCAGCTTCAGAACTTTCCGGAAGATTGACTTCATTACTAAAAAGTTGTGACCAAAGTCGCGATTTTTCGTATCTTTTCTGACGGTACTGTATTTCATGAGCTTGCTCAACTAAAAGAAGAATATAAGATTTTTTTTGATAACTTTGAAAAAACTTCGTCCAATCAGATCTTCTATCGCAACACGACGACAGAGGATCCACTAGCAGTTCATCAGCTGATTGTCCCGGGCTGCACCGCCCGCTGTCCTCTGCCCACTTTCCTGCAACTCATCGAGCACATTCGAATACGAACGCTTGACGAGTTACACAGCGTGAGTGCGCGACCTTCTGTCACGAAAAAAAGCTGATTGTTCAGCATTGCGCAAGTGGAGACGCATCCACGTCCAGCCTCCGTCCAGCCGTTTTACCCATTTTCATCTTGTCTGTCATTGTCACTTCTCTTCTCTTCTTGTGATTTTTGTCAACATTCCAACCAAACTCTGTTCAAATATCGAAATTCGACAGTGTAGCGAGTTCTCAACTGACTTGAGACAAAAAAACGGATCAACTTTTCAATTATAGAAAAGAAGGAAATTTCGAAGAGCGTTTTGAAACCACAGAACATCGCTCAGAAATCTTAAAACCTTCGAAGTTTTTTTACTATAAAATTTGAATCGAATTTTGAATTTGAAAAAAAGGTATCCTTAAAGTCTAAGCCCATAAAAAACCCCAAAGTTTCAAAAAATAAAAATCGGTGTTCAGATTACCTTTATTTCAGTGCTTCGTTGATTTGAACAACAAGGCAGATTTTTCAAATATTTTCTTTCATGAATTCATTTTGTGAAAATTGCTAAGAAAGTGACTAAAAGGATCATTCCCGTCATACGTTTCAACTTTTTTCCGAAGAAAAGGAAGCCTTGTGCACGCCTTTTCACAGTGTTCATACATGCATTTTAATCTCAAACGGCCGGTCATTGTTCAATTTTTCCCATTTTTTCTATTTGAAAATTTGTATATGAACTTATCTAAGCTAAAAAGTTTTTCTGTTTTCATTCCGGTTTTTTTGTTCCTTTTTTTGTGGATATTTTGCCCATATTTGGATTCGTTGTTTCTTATATAAAAATCACAGAATTTGTCATAAAGAGTTTCGTGATTCTTTTTTTTAAAGAGATACAACTATTTTTCAAATCGACGAAAGTTTTTGATGAAGGTTATCTCAATTGGAAATTAGTAATTTTCGAAATTTTTTCAAAGCACCCCTTATTTTGTGTTTTTGAGTTTGCATTATCATTAGCCAGCAGAGCGTGATGCGAAATCGAAAAAAAAAACATTTGGAGAAAATCTAGTTTTGGGCGTTCCCATATGGCAAAAATTCAATTTATTTTTGTGCGAATTTTCATTTCTCAATTCAGATTTCAGTTTTGATATGAACAACTAGGCCATTGCGTCACGCGACAGTTTGTCTCTGCTGTTGACGGTAGGTTTCGTTTTTTAAACTAACTTGTGAAGAATTATTTGAATCACTCGTTTGGGGCGTATTACAGAGAACTTCAATTCAAATGTTTTGAAATCTTTATTGATTCATGAGAAGTTATTTTGAAGCACACTTTTGGAGCATGACGGTTTAATGAAAAGTTGGCTCCCGATAATGAGTGGTAGTCATCCAAATTTCAGCAAAATCCTTCAAGGGCGTCAAAAATAATGCTCGCAAAGTTATGAAACCAAAGACCAGGAGATAACAGTTGTTTCATTGTGAGAAGGTGCGAAGTAGGAGAAGAAGCCGATAAAAAACACTGCGGTGAACAACGGAAGATCGAGCAATCGGAATCAATGCGGAATTCTTGGCGCGCCGACGTTTTGTGTTGTACACCCCCGGCCGTTGCCTCCGGCGGCCTCCCAACAGCACGACAACTCAGCTGCACATTACCGCGTTAGCGCGTTTTAAGTGCACTTTATTAGAAGCTCTTGACAACTCCATGGCCTTGGTCATTAAACTTTGCTCCCTGCCCTCGTATTCTTTTCAAAGGAGGTTCCCAATGGTGAATACCTACTCATCCATTCGGTTTTGGTCGTCGAATTCACAGTTTTCGTCCTAATTCATCAGAATTATCCGATTTTTCTGTGAGGTTCAAAAGATTTTGCAATGATTCCTCAATTTTCTTGATCCGCAAAGCATTGCAATCAGTTTTTGATGCGTTATTCTGACGATTTCGGAGTGAAGTTGAGATCATGTCGTTAAGCTGATAGAAAGAAAGATCTCAAAGTTTCAAAAGAAGTTACAATAGTAAATTTGAAATTTTTTCAGCCCTTGGGTCTATCCCCGTCAGTTTCAATTTTCATCAGAACGACTACTTTAGGTCACTTTCGGGCGCCGTCCAACACTTTGTTTTTAGAAAAAGCATTGAAAACTAGTCCCCCTTCATTTAGAACGGCGTTAACTTTTTGGGCGAAAATATTCCCTCATTTTTTGAAATTAGAAAAAAAAATTTTTTATTTGTTATTAAGTGCACAACATTTTCAGCTTCAGTAAAAATATATTATTGTTTGTATTTTTTTTGCAATTCTATTGTGAAAAAAATATCATAAAAAAGACTTTGTACCTCAGGACTCTAGACAGTAGGAAGCTTTTTTTTATGTGCTTGTGAAAAATCTTTTTCTGAAGACCATTCATCAAAAACAACGTCACCTGCTCGATCTTACGTGGGCTGAGGCGTTTCGTACATGCTGAACCATACGCCAATCAGACGGGTGTTCGAAACCTGACGAAAAGCATTTGGGCGTAAGCCTATGGTTTTCACACAGATTTGCATATGCATGGCGGTGCACAACTCTGCCGATCGAGTTCTCCCGTACGGACCGATTGTTCCTCATTTACATGACGTTCATTTGGACATGCCGCAGCGAAATTCTTCTGCGGGAAGCCAACAGTAAGCTTCTGAGCTATTGTAACGCTGCGAGTACCAAAAAGTTTCCAGTTCAGTTGTTCATGATTATTCCGCTTTAGTACATACTCCAATTTTTCTTGAATATAGTTCATAAAAAAATGAATAATTTTAATACACTTCATTCCACTTCGAAGGTCAATATTCATTCTTCAATGACTTATTTCTCGGTTGTTATGACAGTTTATTGTTTTCCAGCCTTCTTTTCGTAAGGTTCCCACAGAAATTTGATTTTATGTGAAAAACACGGTCGTAAAAGAAATGTGAAATTTACGAGCCCCTAAGACGTAGAATATTTTGGAACGCTGTGAAGAGTCGGTTTTTTTTTCTGAAGAGTCTTTGACTTAAGCTTTTCTCATCTTTACTAAAATTTATCTTCTGATTCTCCTCATTATATCATACTGCTTGTTCATCACATCATTTAGTACGGTGCAGTTCTCTGAGATCTTATCTTTAATTTCTGTTTTATTCATCGTTTATCGAAATCGAAAAGAGCTGTTTTTTTAATTTTGGTAGTTTTCGGATAATTCGCATTCATACCAATGAAATCTGTACCTTGAACCTTGTTGCATATTTTCTTTATTATTTTATCTCCTCCTATTCACGCAATCATGAAAAATCCCAAGATTTTGGCGCACCAGTCTTCCATAAACAATCAAGCAAAGCAGAAACCAACAAGCTGGTCCTCTGTCACCTAAATTAGCCGGGATCCTTTGTCGACCTTTGGCAACGCGCTTCTTTTCCGGCCACCGACCCCATAAAGAGCCGCGCTCTCAACCACCTCAGCGGACCTTTTCGACCAACCCAACGGCTGTTTTATGTGCCCAATTTGTAGTTATTGCGCTCCGTCGACCGAGGAAACCGTCTGTTTCAATGTGACGGTCGGCGGCGCCCGATCGGCTACCTTCGATGATTTTTCGCCGAGAAAAAAAGTTACAATCTGTTGGTCTTGCGCAGCTATGTCGAATGAGACTGATCTTATTCTTCTTGATGGCCTACTGGAACTTCTGAGAGAGCTTGGATTGAATTTTGAAGCAAATTTCTACACGTTTTTAGTGGGAAAAATTCGTTAAATACAAGTTTTTGATCGTTTGCGATAAAAAAAGAATTAGATTCGTTATTGTCTTTTGAGCTACCAAAATTTTTTTTTGGGTTTTAAGCTCTAGGTCGACAAAAAAAAGAGAACAGATACGAGTGAAACTATCTCGTATTAAGACAGCTGAAATGTATCCTTTCATTTCAAAATCTCATTTTTTCAAAGATAGGAATTGTAGAAATCAGAGATTCTTCTTATTTTCCGATTTCAGCTTTTTCAAGCGACCCTTCAACTTTCAAACTAGCTAATAAGAACATTCATGAAAGTAAGCTCAAGAACCCTCGATGACCTATGTTAGTCGTCGTTGATCTAATAAGTACGGCCCCGCCAAACAAACCAGACGACAGATCCACATAACGAACCTACTCTGCTCAATCTTCGGTCGATCCTGACCACGAGAATCTTTGCTCGCACGTGTTTTCTTATTAATTTGTTTTTTCTGTTTAATGCCTGCATAATGCCGCGCTAGCCCTGAGTCATGAAGTATTTTTTGTGCGCTGTTGTGCCGGCTTGTACAAGCTGAATGGTTGTACTCTCGTCTCCCCGTTACTGACATACGATGCAATATGAACTTTTTCAAAGTTTATTTGAAAGGAAACGCAGTGAAACAAATTGATTCTAATTCGGTTGTAAATGCTAAAATATTTACAGAAGCAGGTCAAACTTTCGGCGCTCATCGCAATTTTCTTCAATTTTTTTTCATTCCAGTCAAGTTTGGTTTGATTTCTGATTTTTGGCGGTTTCTATTCGAATATTTTGAAAAGATTTCATAAGTGCCATCTAACTTATGATTTTGAATATCTGTCTGAACTCCATTCCGTGACAGAAACTAATTTGGAAGCTAGAAAAAAAGATCATAGTTTTCATTACTAGGTTTCAAATCGAACTCAAAACTTTTTTCTGTCTTTGAATTTTACATCACAAAAACTTTTGACTTTATGACTACCATAACATTGTACTAGATTTCTTGTATTCTCTTTGTTCCGTCTAGAAGGACAATTTGCGACCTCGCAATTAGTTCTGCACTTCGTAACCTCAATCTGAAAGCGCTCAAAACACTGATCGCGGCCATGTTTATGCGGCGAAGTGTGGCCTTTCGCACAAGCAATGGCGCACGTCACATCAAATTTTTGTCATTACCACGGCAAAACTCATTTCGAACAGATTCCAACGTTGAGACGGCCGTTCACACACTTGCAATATATATCTGTTTGGATTGTCTACCGTCGCGGTTTTTGCCTACTCCATAAATCAATTCCGCTTTTATTCTCTCCGACTTTGGCTGTTTTCTTTTTCATCTGCTTTATCTGCAATTATTTCATTTTCATTTTATTCACTGATATTTTTCCGTTATTTGTAAACTTCTGGATCATCTGAGTAACGAAAATACATAATTAAAAAAATAATCTTTCGTATTTTTCGTCATGCAATGTTTTATTGTTCACGACCGTTTTTTTTAAGAAACTCGGGTCCTGAAACTGGTCAAGTTGACGTGACTATTGGTCAAAAACTTTCCCAGAATATCAGGTTGAGCCAATTTTGTCAATTGTTTTTTATATCTTCAAACTTCTTTCAGCCTCTATGGGGAATTAACGTAATCATTGAAACAGAGTTTTCCCTTGTTTATTTTCCTGAAAGTTGAAAATATTTCAAAAAATTCTCAAGTCAAAGCTTTTCACACTCCTAAAAATTGCAAATTACCCTTTTCGGCAAGACATATCCTTCGACAGGTTTCTATGGCCGTTCGCTTTCGGATGGGTCGAAATTACAAGGGAGGAAGTGTGAAATTAGAGGACCACATGCGCTCGAGTTTAATTACCGACGGCCAACGAACACTTTCGGAATACCAAAACAAGTTCAGCGGCTCTTTGAAGCCTCTCATTCTGAAGCTCAGATTTGGAAGGAATATGGCAGGAAAAAGTTATTCTTTGAATATTATTCAAAAATTTTTCTTTTCTTCGGTTTTTAAGGAGATCAGTGATAAAATTGGAACTTAAGAAGAACTGAAAAACTCGTGAGGGTGACCTAAAAACCGGTTCTAATTTATTTATCCTTTTCACCTTGCGGATGAATAAATTATTATTATTAAAATTGAATGAATTTTTTTAGAAAAAAAGTCCTTTTTCAAACTAAAAGCTTTCACAGAGTCTCTATTTGGTTGTCAAATATGATATCTTTTTCTTGGCCTGTTTTTTTCGCCTCATTCTGAAAAAAACTCAGAGCGAAAAGCCCATAACGTAATCACGCGAATAGAAAAAGGTTATTTATGCAGAGTTGGGGCATGATAGCAAAAGGTTGCGCAACACCGTGCCCTTGCCCTTGCGAGCACGTCCACAACAAACAGTATTGTGATTTTTCTGCTCGTCTTCGATGGGTCTTTTTGGAATTCCCATCATCTATGTCAAACTAACGGGAATAAGTGTTGAGTTTTTGATTCATATTTAATTGCCAAGATAGGTATATTATTTTCCTTCGCAGGGCAGGGATACACCCTTCGCATATAAGTTCACGACAGATCATTTTTACAATTGGAAAGCCCCTCTTGCGTCTATCTATTTTCATGATGGATCATACTTAAGCAGTACCGCTCATTTCTAACCGACAAGAGGATGGGAAAAATTAGAAGATTCCAGGAAAGAGACCTCATCAGAAATTTCAAACATATCCACCTTAACTTCATGCCTGAGCGGCCAACACAGAAGCAGAATAAGGATTACGAAGTGTTTGTCTTATAGACTAACGCACTGACCGAAGCCTCAGCCACGGTCATTTTTGCTCGTCAGCCATGCATGCAACGCTTCGGTCGTACGAATTCCTTCGGATTTTATTTTTCTCATCCTTTTTGTTCCAAAAATTGGCATTCATCTGTCATTAAACTCACGAGATTGTTGGTTTCCTGAACTTTTGGAATTTCCCTTTTTTCTATACACCGATATAAACCAAGAGACTGGCGTTGAATTTTCCAAAATGAGTTGGATATTTCAGTGGCCTAAAGTCTTCCTTGAGCCATTTTTAGGTTTTTTTTTAAGTTGAGTTTATATGCGGCGATTTTATTGATCAAAATTAAGACCATTTTTTCTGCAACAAAAAAAATAAACGTGATTTCCACTTTTTTCATTGTTTCTGCAATACTGAGAAGGCCGGGGGAAGTAGAGACCGGAGTTGAGATCCTTTTTTCTTTCTCAACTAAAAAAATTAAGCGTCCTCTCTTTTTCACTTGTTCCTAATAATTCTATTTTCTCATATCTCAATTCTCTCCATGAAAAAATATTTTTTAAAACCCCTCTCTCATTCCTACACGATCAGAGATCAGAAAAATTCGACTTGGCTAGCCTATTTTGAAGACCCAGAAAACTTCCTTTCCCAGCCGAGTGAACTAAACAGTTTGGAACGTATCAGTTTCAACGTTGTCCGTCAGTTTCATTGTGAGGACGCATGTGTTCGAGCATAATGCGCCACTTAGCGATTCCCTTTTCAACGGAAGAATTCATGCGCATCCGGCGTTCCACGCAATGTTTCTCGCTTCAGGGCAGATCCGCGACGCATCTTTGATTCGTTAATTACCGGCTCCCATGCACTCCAGTTACTCCAAGATTCTTTTTTTTTTCTCAAAAATTTCAGGAGTTTTCCTGCTCTTCAGAAAAAAATAATCTTATCGAAAGAACTGCTACAATGTCTCAGAGAAAAAAAGATTTTTCCTTCGCAAATGGAAGATTTAAAAAAATTAAAGTTAGTCAAATATCAGTTCGCACTATTATGAAAAGATTTTGGAAATACTAACCTGCACGAATCCTCATTTCACGAGATCGGAAGCCTCGAAGTTGAAAAAAGCTGCCTTAATTTTTGTTCTACTTCTACTTGTTTATTTTTCGAACGACTAGACCAACGTTCTACTTTTTGAAAGAAAGGGTAAGACCGGCATGGCCAAAAAAGAAATGTCTTGGCGACCGGCCACAAACCGTGTGAGTCAGAAAAAAAAAGACGCTACCCTACCACCTCTGGCCTTTTTCGACAGATTCGAATTTTTTCTTTTGCATTTTCGCTCGAGGCGGTCCTGGTTTTTTTTCCTCATAGTTCTACACGTGCAGCTTTTTTTCGAATTTCTGCGATAGAAAAAGTATTCAAACCAAAAACTTAGCGCCCTTGAGTCTGCAATCAACCGTAATAGTTCGTCTAATTCAACAATTTTTCCAAATATCGCCACGCCTGTTTGCGCGAAATTAGCCTTCAATGAGAGATGTTCCTGCGTGGTCGGTCAACAAAAACCGTACTTTTCCTGCTAGTGGTTCCAGTTGTGGTGAATACCTTTGTATTAGTATTCTTGATTCCGCCGCTGCGTTTCTGCGAAAGTGGCTGCGGCCACCCATACAATACGCATGCTTATCATTTTCATGGGCATTTACGCTTTGTGTGCACAGCTTCCTTTTCTGCTTGTATTCGTGCTACTATTCTTGTTCCTTCTTTTGCTTTTCAACACTTCCAAAGGAAATACCTTTTCCTAAATTGTGATGTTTCCATCTGTTATTTTCTACAAAAACAGCTATTAACTCTTTTATATTTCCTTGAGTGTGTTTTCATTTCAACCAGCACATTTTCTTTATCAATCGAACACTCTCAGTTAATTATTCAGCGTCATAAGGCTAAGAAAGAAAGCAATTAGCTCTTCAATAAGTTCTTATATCGCCGACTTCGGATTCTTAGCGGGGTGCATCATTGTCATCTCCATTGTCCACTAATCTGAACGCGGGAACACAAAGGTGGGAGCGGAAAAAGGCTTGCCTTAAGGAAATTCCTAAATGATGAGGCTTAAGCATTTTAATTACTTTTGGCTAATTATGTAGAGAACAGAAAAATATCAACCTTTTTTTTTTTTCAGGAGAAATGCTCGCGGCTCTTATATACAACCACGCATTTAGAGACATCTATATTCACTTCTCTAAAATCTAGCTTGTCTGCGCTTTCCTTTCAGCATTTGTTGTCTTTGAAAAAAAATCAGGTTTAATTTCATTGGAACAAACTGGTTATGAGATCATATCAATACCCATAACTATTCTTTTTTGCGTGAAATCGCAATAAAATTTATGGACTCCAAATTTATTTATTGCTAGTAATCTCATTGAAATAACGTAATGAAAAAAAAAAAATAAAACAAGTAGACATGTTACAAGATCAGTAAAACGACTATCATAGTTTCACACGTATTTTTTTCGGTTTCTATTTTAGCTAATCCACAATTTCTTCGAAAGATCTTTAAGATTACTCCAAAATCATTCCCAACAAAATACTCTACTCCTTATGAAATATTCCACCCTTTCCCGTTTAGGAACCGTCATTTCTTGAATGAAAAGCTCATGTCAAACTGACGAGTTGACCTTGAGGCGGCGATTTTGGCTTTTCAACGAATATCGCATGCATATCGGTTATTGAGAAAAGCGGTCCCACGAGACGTCGACCAACTGTTGTAGAGAAAATCCGTTGGGCGCCGCTTCTCCCCCGGGAGCCTCAAGAACGGCTTCTCTTTGTTGCAATAGCGACACCTCATTTATTATGCAGATTGAATCGCGCGCTGTTCCGTCCGGTGCGGTGAGCTGCTCGTGAACATGTTAAATGAGTTATCAGGTGGTCCAATTCAAGCGCTGTCGAACGCAAAAATTACTAATCTGCTTTAGATAACGAAATGTCGTCTTCATAGATATAAGCCATTTTGTAATAATTTTTGACTTCTTTGAGTAGAAATTCGTCGGAAGTGTACCTCGCAGACAAAAACCGATATTTTCCCTGGCCCAGGAAACAGAAATTAACGTGAAAAAAAAAACGTAACAAACTGAGCTCTATAGAGCACACATAAACCTTTGTGGGTGCTCAAAAATGACTTAACTTGGGTCTACGAGCAAAAGTTGAGATCTTTCAAAATTCAAGTGCAAGACACACAAAAACTTCTTCATCAAAATTTTGAAACATTTTCAATTTTCACCATTTCCGATTTTTTTCAATTTTTTTTGGCATATCAAACAAAATTCAATACCAGATACGGTTTTTAATGTTCTCACGTTGTCCACCTTTTCCATTTGCATAATTGGGTTGTGCACGCTTTCTTCGAGAATAACAATTGAATCACGCATTTTCTCAGGTTTTACAAATAAGAATACCATTTCGCGTGCGAAAATCATAATCTAACTATTGAAAAGTTTCCCACGTTTGTGGACAATGCTGTACGTTGTGAAAGAAAACGCTCAACGTCGTCCAGACTCTGTAAGCCTCTTCGTTTAACATTGCGAGGAAATATTTTTTGAATTTTGAGTGATGAGAAAGAAACCGAGATTTCAAGGCCTATTGCAATGGGAAGGCTGTGAAAAACAGTTTCAACTTTTCAAGGCTAGTATGAGTAAATTTCGGTTGTCCGAAATCCTACTTCTCTTGAATATTTTATTAAACCAATGAACTGATTGAAAAGTTGAAAAATAAAAGTTTTGCATTGTCGTTTACTAAGAGCTTCACCGGAAACCACATTACTGGAGCCATGCCCCCAAAAAGTTCTTTCAATGCTGAGAGTCCGAATGAAACATTCGGCTCTTCTAGTCAATACCTGCTTGATTTTAAAAAGATATAAAAGCCATAAAAACGTTAAAATAATCATTTCTTCCAATTTCATTCAACAAAAAAAGCTGCGCTGACAGGATCTCCAGTTTGTTTTCTTTTTCCCTTGAAAAGGACGCGACGCGGTGATTCTTCGCAAGAACCGTCATCCCAATGGCATATTGTCAGCGATGTTGCGTCGGATCGTTACTCGCAGCGCGTCACACCAACGGCAAGTCGTTACATGCAGCTGCCCTTGCAGCTGCATTGTCCGATGAGCTTGTGTATGGGCGCTTAGCGCGGCGACATTCTGATACCTTCATTAGGAGCCGCATCCTCTCGAAATTTAATATTCAGAGTAGACAAACAAAAAAAAACTGGGCTTTTTCAAAGGTTTTTCCTTTTTTTTAATAACCGATTTTCAACTTGAAAAGGGAATTTTTCGATCTGATGTTTACAAATTTTTTGAAAAAAACGGCTAAATGATACGAAATTGGTGATTGATGAGTACGTCGTTTCTTCATGAAAAACAGAAACTTTGAAAGATGAGGAACAACTTTCCTTTCCTGATTTATGACTTTTTTTCAAGTAATCTTCGTTTTTTTAAACTAAAACTTTCGAACTAACTTCAAAAACCAAGTTTAGATTAAACAAAAAAACTTCTGTTTTTCAAAATGTAGATTGATTCAAAAAAAGTTTATTTGATTTCGAAAAAAATAAAAAAATAAAAAAATCAGCGAGTTTCCAGAATTAAGTGAATGAAGCTTCTCTGTTGGATCTATTTTATCTTGCCCACACAACAAAAATATCTTTTTCCTTTCTTCTTGTCGAACTTTAATGGCTATGTTTGTTATTCAATGTGGACTTGCGCGAAAGGGCAATCACTGTGTCCTCGAAAAAATAATTCACACCTCGGCCATCTCTCCGACATAACAAACGCGTCAAACGCTAAGTGTTTTAATGTGCGCATCGAAAGAATAATGTTATCTTTTCTCATCAGTGATTCATCAGTAAATCCACCGTTCACAGGCTTTCTGCAAAATAACTGATTTTTTGCGCGATTAGACGATGAATGTTATTTTTGCGAATAAACATTTTGGCTTTTATTGGACGCGAAGGAAAAAGATAAAGTGCTCTGATAAACTGTCATACTGTAATCGGAATCTTTCCCTTCCATCTCTGCAGATTGCTCTTCATAGACGCGGCGCGGTCCTCAAGTGGCTACCATACAATAACAGGTGGACCGGCGAGTAATTGACGGGTTTACGAGACGGATGCCAGCCAAAACTAATCCGCCCTTCCATTTTCAATGTTCTGACGTGTGAATGTGGAAAGTGCGGTAGTCGAGGTCACTCATTCTGAGGATTTATTACAAGCTCTTGATAAAACTAGTTTCAAGAATTTTTTTAAAGTCTCAGCTTTTGAACTCCGGTAAGTTGCGGAAAAAAATTGCTTCGTTGATGAAAAAATTGCTGCGCTTTAATTGTTTTCATTTTTTTGAGAAAAAAATTTTAATTCTGAAGTGATTTCAGCTGACGGTGGAACTTTCAGATGAAGCTTTTTTTCGAGCCTTCGCTGTCGTCGCTAGCCCGAAACATACATAAACAGACTTATTTTCAAAACTGGAACGAAAAATGACTAAGGTTTTAACTGAGAAAATTTAACTAAGAAAATTCTTAGTTTTAATTTGCTTTCGACTGTCAGTACTAATGATTTGTATTTTTTGCTGCGTCTAAGTTTTGAGCCGTAATATTTCCTTCGAATTTTTATAACGTTCAAAATAAAAACTCTCATAGTTTCTGAGTTGAGCTGTCTAAATGCGAATATCTCTTTGGAATTCGGTGAAAGAAACTCCTAAAAAGTTTTTTATTGACCTGGAGTTTTGAAGTTTTTACCAAAAACTTCTCCTTCTCAGATTCTGAATGAGTTCTATTTTAGGTGGGACGATTGAATTGAAATTGAAAATTAGAAGAGGCTGGCGCGTTAATCCTACGATTTGACCCGAGAGTCATTGACGGATGAGCGGATGATTTAGGTGAGCTGCTGCCATAAATGTCCCTGCTTATCTTATTGTCGTCGCCTCAATTTGGCCACGCTTGAACAATGTTGTGGCAAAATAAATGTGCCCCATTAAAGTTAAACAGTGCCTTATCACAGATAATAACTTATTTTCTTAAGCTTCTAAAATCCAAAATTTTTAATCGAACTCTGAGTGGTTTGTAATTTGGCAAATATCCTTCGAAAAAGCACATTTTCCAACTTTTAAATACAGAAAAAAGTTTTTCCGCGTCTAACCAGATTTTGAACCAATGTTCTCGAATCTCAGCCCACGCTGAACGCCTTCTCGCAGATTGCATATCGAGACACACTGTCTTTGAAAAAAAAAAGGAGCGGCATAAGGTACCAAGATGAGCCTCACAAAAACGGTACTCATCAAAGCGCGACAGGGCAAACAGCTGGCATGTTTAGTATTCATAAAACAAATCTTGGGGAAAGTGCAAACGATTACTAGGTTCTCATTTCATGGCCCTATCATTTAATGGTTTCCCGCTAAAATAATTAATTAAACAAAAAGTGAAGGGCTGAAAAACCTTTTTTCTTGCCTTCTTCAGCAAGATACCGGCCTTCTAGAACGAGAAACTTGAAAATCCAAAACGAACTGTTTTTTTTTCTGACTTTCTCATTTTTTAGTTGCTCGTTAGAATATTGAAAAAAAGTTTTATCGGTTCATACAACGTTTTGTTTGCTGTAAAATATATAGCTCTCAACCTACCAAAAGCGGGCATAATTTAAGTTTCCTGAAGAAAAAATCCTAAAATCTGAGAGACTTTTTTCTTGTTGGATCAATGGTAGGCATTCAAACCTTGTCACTTTCTTCAAAACGAAATGTTTGGATGTGAGAAACCGTTTCTTTGTCTGATTTGAGCATGTACGAAAAAGCGAGCTCTTTGTCTCTTTTTGTAGGGCTGCGCGCCATGCCTACCTTCCCTACTTCGACTAGCGCGCTTTCGAAAAGTTGGCGTCGTAAATTCAAAATTTCGCGCCATTTAGAGTTCGATCTCAAGCCCAAAGATCAGCGACTTTTTTGAACAGAATAATTTTTTGGATCACAGAGCTAGCGAGATCAGAAAAATTATTTCGATTTCTGATCATTCATTGTGGATAATCAAAAAACTGAACTAAATTTTTTATTCCTATGTGCGTTTTTTCTCAAAATCAAAGCAGTCCTACAGTGATCGCAAATGTAGAGCCCGCATTTCTCAGAGAGAAAATGTCAAAAAAACGTATTTTTGGATTGTTTAGATTTTGTTGAAAGCTTTTCGGCCGGCACAAAAGTCGCGCTGCACACGTGCTAATGCATCCTACAGAAGCACATTCCGGCGTCAACACAAAAGAAAGAAGAAAGGAAGGAAGCACATGTTGCGGTATCCTTGCAAAAGAAGGAAGCTCAATGTTTTATTTTTGCTCCAAGGTCAAGTGTTTCAGACTCGCGCACATTTGCCGCAAACAACGAAACTGTTTTTTGTTCTCCAGGATCCTGAGCTGAAGATTAACTTTTCAACTTCGATTTCAACTGGTTTTGATAAAGTTCATAAAAAAAAAGAGGAGGAAATTACAAACAAAGGAAATTTTTACTGGCCGCATAGTCATGCTTAATATTTACCATGGCCATTTTTTTGAGATTTCCCTTAGTTTTCTGAAGACCTCTTTGAAGTTGAGATTTTATCATTTCAACTTTTTCTACTGTATTTGTGAACACCTTTTTTATAAGCTCTATATGGGCTCATTACTTTGAGACTTATCTGTGAATGTTTTGAAAAGTTTATTAAGCTGTAAACAGAATGAAATGTTTTTGGCAAAACCTCTGATATTCACTTTCAAGCTCAATTCGAGAAAAATCCAGATTTTTCTTTCAAAAATGTATGGGTATCTCTCTTGAACCGTATGAATTTCAACTGAAGTCATGAATCGTCTAAGTTTACCGCAATCGCCAAATAAACCCCAGAACGCAACGAGGACTACGCGCATGTACCAAAATCAGACTATGCGTTTCATTATGCTGTATAACCTTCCTAATTACTATAATTATATCGTATTCCAGTAGTTTGAAATCGTGCGGCGTGGCTCGCCGAGGCGGAGTAGGGCGGAGCTGCGCGTTCGCGGAGGAAGGACGCAGTAGGCGGGGTTTGGTACCGGGCATATCGCTGTAAGCATTATTTTCTCATTTCTTGTACAGCTTTCCCTTCGGCTCTGTTTCTTCCTTTTGAAGCCTAGTTTTTTCCTTCCGCTCGCCGATCCAACACGACGTATCGTCTCGTCCATCTCCATTGGAGCCACGGTATAGGTTAGTCGACCAACTTGTCAAAGACTTCTTTTTTATATCGAAGTCACAAGAAACTCCTTTCACAATATTTTTTCCATTTTCCAAATCTCATCTTTTTCGATTCTTGGAACTGCAGATCAAACCGTTTTTCGAATTATCTTCTTCCATAAATATGAGATGTTATTTTCCAGTTTTTTTTCAAAAATGATCTGTTAGTTAAAAATTTTTTGATTATTCGAAAACAGGCCAACGGCACTTTTATATACTGGAAGGAGACCCGGAAAGAAGATCTAAATTTTGACAAAATTGATGTTCTGGCATCATTTTCTTTGATTTCATAGTGCTTGAAATTTGGAAGTTGTCTCTCAAAAACTGAGAAGCCGCGCAGATCTAAATTTATAGAATTTTCATCTAGTAAATCGGAAAGTTTTTGACCATTTTCATAAACAAAGCATGCGTCATCAGCATATCGATTGCCATCAGTTTCAGTGTATTTCTCTGAATCATGACAATGTTTATAAATAACAAGGTGCGTCATTCAAATCTGATTAGGCATTTTCAAAAAAAGTTTTTTTTTACATTTTTTTGGGATTGAAATGAAAGTCGATGAAATGTTCATTCACATATTTCAGTTCCGGAGAAATTTGAAAATTTCTAAAAAAAAAGATCTTCCTTGCTTATCGCATCCAACATTCACTTCTGCTTTTTGTCGATTGACGCCTTAGTCCAATTCCAAACACTGGGACTAAAAAAAAAAGAAATCGCCGAAAAAGGTTGCCTGCGGATTCGGGATGGGTTGTCGCGCAACACCACCGGCTCTCACGCAATATTTGTTCAGTGCCACATATCACGTCGCAAACAGCGGCAAAGTTGAGATGCCGCCAGTTTCTTCTTGGCACTTGATTGTTTTGAATTACTTCGCTAGTATCCATCCATCATCAGTTGGGATATCGGATGACGAGTTCCCAAGCAGCCTTTGATAATTGGTCTCTGTGTGAGCCAAGAAATCAAATGCGCGCCGACGCGGCTATCGAGTCTTTTGATCGCCTGATCAAATCTTCCGTCGATTATATGTCTGGCGTCGCTAAAAACATTCTCTGAATCATTCTGTTCTTTATTTATTTTTTTTGGCCACACGGTTTCGCGGTTTCATCAGTGCTGCATCAGCGTATCGACTGCCTATAATCTCACTGTGTTATTTTTGAAAAAAAAACTATTCTTATAAAAACAAGGCGCCAACCGATTATGACTAATCCTTTGCAAAAAAAAACCTTCGTTCAAATATGAGCCCAAATTTCAATTTAGAGACTTCAGATCCACCTTCATTAGAGTGATTTTCAAGTTTTTCAAATCTTACTTTTGCTTTTTAAATTTTTAACTGCAGCGGAATTAGGCCAAAAATTTTCATAGTATGGGCAATAGAGGTGGATGAGTCGATTCTGAAAAAAAAAGTTGAAGACAGGGCGACGATGTTAATCATGAAATCTTATTCCCCATTACTGAGTTTCAATCAGAAAAATACAATCAGAAAAAGGGCAAACCAATCGAAAAATGATCCATCAAAAATAACCTTATTAAGATAAGAAAAACTGTTCGATTTTGATCATCATAAATATTTCGAAAGCCGTTCCCAAACTATATCTCCCACGCAAAGGCGAACAGTTTTTAACAGCTGTCAATCACGCTCAGCCACTTTCACAATATGTCATATCACTGAAAAACAGAACAATTCTGAAGATACTTGTTTTTGAAACTTTTCTTTTATTTTTGTTCTGCATGGTAATATCGGCACCATTTGGAAACCTCTCTCGATTGTCTGAATTAAGAAAGCCAAGAAGGTTCTTTTTGTGCGCGACAGTGATAATTCACGTTTTATGAGAGGTCGTGTTTGGGCTCACCTGGCAGATGCACGTTGCGCAAAACCAGCGGCGGATCATGCGCTTTCGATACCCATTACCCATCGCCCCAGCTCTTAAGAAACGCTCTCTTTTTCTTGATTACTAGCAGGGTATTTTACTCTCATCAAGCCTATCCGACTTTTTCCACGTTTTTGATGCTTTTTAAAGCATTATATCAACAAGTTTTCAATAATTTCAATCAAAAAACCAGTATAAAATCCATGGTCTGAAACATACATTTTCAGGCAGCTGAGTTACTTTTTCGGTGATAATTTTGAAGAATTAGCAAATAGTTTTGAAGCATTCGCAAAAAAGCCTTACAAGGAAAGGTCATTTTTATTTGCGGTCGAAAATTTTCCAAAATTACCTCCCTTGATAGCAAAAAGTCACGAGTCACCATTTTTTGCGTTTTTCAAACGATTTCTGATCCTACGTAGGAAAAGCGTTCGAATTCTTATTCGCCTCATGTGCCACGCCCAGAGCAAAAACGCCGCGCCATGCTTTTGACCCTTCCGCCGTTCCTTGTGCCTTTCCCGTATGGTAAGACGAAGGAACCCACCTGTTCAGCATTTTCTCATCCCCACTAACGAACGCATTGAGGCGCCTTATTTAATGACCTAGCGTTGCCGTTCCGTATTTCTATCTACAACAACAATCTGGACACTTGAATTGTTTTTCAGATTCCCACTGCTTTTTTAAGAGTTGCACTTTTCTATTTCGATTTTCGACAATATATAAAAATTTTGATAGAAGTTTAACTTTTTGAGCATACTTTGAAAAAAATATTTTTCTCGAGTCAGACAGGCCCGGTTGAGAAATTTAATGAAAAAAATTCAATTGAAAGCCTATTTTATTTTGATATTATTCAATAATTCTTAGTTCCTTGCTCATCGTCTATTCAGGCTCTTATCATTGCATCATTTGCACCTTTCGTCATCCTTTCAATCCTATTTTCTCGCCTTGAAAATGTTTGCGTAAAAAGAACTTTTGGCCGAAAAGTCGGTGATGAACGGCTTGTTTGATGTCGCATACGGTCTTAGGTCAGCCTGCAATCTGTTGTCGATCTTTCGGGCACACATGCCGCTCTTCTTTTTTGTTTTTCAGCTTATTAGTCCTGATTTCCATTGTTGGTCGGATCGCGTGAATTTGCATTTGAAAAGAGTTGGCTCTGAGAGAATATGGCGTTTTTTCTAGGAAATATGGTTCCTCGCTTGCTGCTCATATTGCTTCTGCTGGCCGCCGGCTGCAGCGCTGTCAAAAAGAAAATCTACATCGGACAGTACTTCAAGGAGCATCTCTCTCCCCGTGTAAGTTTTTTTCACTTTCAAACTCAGAAATATTCAAAAATTATGCAATAGACACTTTTTTACTCAAAAATAGAAAATTTCTCGGATTTTGATCAAAAAAAGATGACGGAGTAATAATCTCAGTCACAAAATAGTTTTTGAACACTAGTCCGTCGTAAGTCAATTTTTCCGGATAATTGATATAGGAGAGTTGCTTTCATTCTGAGAAACTGTAAAATTTCAAAAATTAAGAAATTCAGATTTTTCGAACAACCCACCAAGAATTAACTCTACAAGCTTCCAGAAAAAAGTTGTCTTAGTTATGAGCCGAACACTCGGAACTTTTTTGACAATTCACCCAGTCGTAACACTTTTTAGCTTTTCTTAACTTGTTGATACATCCGCCATGACAAGGAAAAATGAATTTTTAGGACAAAGTGACCATGAAAAATGGAGGTTCGCTTCCATCGTGGCTGATCATTAAACACGGCCTCCTCCAAGGAGTTCCCACAGAACATGATGTCGGTGACTACTACATCCACGTAAGAAGCTCCCCTAATCACCCGGTAGGAAAAAACAATATTGAAGATTGAATCGAGAATGACGCCGAATCTCGACTTGGAGCTGAGCGTCGTGGAAGAAGGATGGAATGTTTGTGGAAGCAACGAGACCTACTGGATCGAGGCCATTTATTCCTACGAGAACAACGTCACCAACCGCGTGCAAGCTGCTGTGGAGATCGGTCTTAGTACGGACATCAACGGCCTTCGAGTTAGTTGGAAAAAACAAAGGAGCTTTCAAAAAAAAAAAACGAATAAAAAGGACAACATATTTATGAAAAAAACTAGAATTTATTGTATTTGTCAATGTAAAATAGAGAATAATTGTAAGAAGTCGGGTTGGGAAGAGATTATTTTTTTTTAGGAAAATCAAGTTTTCCAAGAAAAAAGAAACTGTTCAGATTTACAACGGCACGTACAGCCGCGAGCTCCGCAACGTCGACGTGCTGTCGGATGACATAAATCTCGGAACTTTTGCTGTCGTCTGGGACGTCGCCTGTGGTGATGACATGGACACCGCTTTTGACCGGCTTGACGTCTTCATCGATGAAGACGATGGCGATTACGATTACACTACTGTAAATTCTTGAAATCCATTAGAATTATGACAAAAAAGTTGCAGATGACGAAGGGTCGCTACCGCAAAGAAATCCCTGTGAAGATTGAGGTGAAAAACCTTGTTACGAACTTTTCTAAATCCATCTGATTTCAGCCTACAACTACTACCACGACTATGAGGACCACCACTCGGAAGGCCCGTGTCCGCACGACTACTCCGAAAATCATCACTACTACCGAGATAGAGCGTACGACCAGATCTATTCATGACAACAAGCCTGTCAGACTCAACTCGCTTCCTGTCTTCAACTGCGTTCGGTCCGTTTCTAAAACGCAAAATTTTTTTAAGCTTGCTGACTGCGGTGAAAAAATAAATTTTCTGGTTTCAGTGGAGAAATTTGTGACTTAACCATCCCTGAGGCCACTTTCCAAGATCCAGAAGACGGCGGCACCTACAAGCTCCGCCTGTCTATCGTGTCTCTTGACAATGCTGAAGTCTGGATGAACATCGACAATGGAAATACGAGGATGACTGGTGTACCGCTTCAAATCGGAGAATACAGCTACCGCCTGGAAGCTCGAGATCACATTGGACAGGTGAATTTTCGGATAGAGTGAAATATAAAACTTCTGATACCAAAAAATTGAACAAAATTTAAAAAGATTTCCAGAATGTTTTTTTCAGAAAGCCTTTCCAGTAGACTTTAAAAATAAAGAAAAATAATTTTCAGTTAGATATAAGTACCCAATTTTTTTTAAATGCAAAAAAGACGTGTTCTGAACAAAAAGAAAGATACAAGCAACTAATCAAATTCCAATATTTCAGATGGTTTCTGCTCCGTTCTCCGTTATCGTCAAACCATCGGCTCCCACGAACCACGTGATCCTGCTCGAGTTGGACTCTCCCTCAATCGGTCACCTTACCATCCGCCCATACATTCTCGGAGACTTTGTCCGTAACTTGGCTCGTGCTCTTCATGCCGATTCTGCCTCCTTCACAGTTCGTGATGTGACCGTCGCCCCCAGCAACAAAACTCTCATCAGCTGGAGCAACAACACCATTGCTTATAAGGTGAATGGCTGGACTCATTCAAAATATTCAAAACGATAGTTCAAAAAACCAAAAACTGGTCTTAAAAGTGGTGACCACTTTCTTTTTTAACGAAATAAACTTCAGATTTGCGACGAGAACGCTTTGCAAGCTATGGCTTCAAAGATGATCATGAAGCAGAAAATGCGCACCAAGACTGAATTCGTCAAGGCGATGGGCAACCATTTCTACGTCCGCAGGGCCACGCTTGTTCGTCAAGGATCTTGCGTTTCTACCCCGGCTGTGGTTAGTTTTTAGCTCAAGACAATTCAACAATAAAAAAATGTTTACCGAATGTTCACGTGTTGTCTGTTTGCAGGAAGCCATAACGACCGTTCCCACTGTGTCGGCTTCTCAGGACTCTCAGCTCCCTTGGTACATGTGGATTATCGGCATTCTCGTCTTCCTTCTGGTCATCGCCATCGCCTATATCATCTACTCGATTTGCACCAACAAAAACAACAAAAAGGTTGGCTAAAAAAACTGCATTTTCCTAATTTAAGTTTCAAAAAACTGTCCCGAGCGAGAATTAAAAAAAACAGCAAACGAGAAAAAAAAAGCAAGTTCGCCTGTCATTGGAGCGCACTTTCTATAAATGTAACCCGGAAAAGTTTGCAAAACTTGTGGAATTTTTATAAGATTGATATAAAAGTCCACTTCATAACGACTTTATAAATGATTTCTCTGACCAAGTAGATTTTTGGCGAAATTGCATAAACTTTGCTAAATCGTTTTTTTCAAACCCTTTATCCAACGGATAAACATTTAAAGTTTCTAATTTAGTTTTTAAAATTTTCAGAAGCAGAGGGCATCGACGGAGTATGTCGGCAAGGGATTGCCTGTCGTGTTCCCGGATGAGGTAGACGAAGGCGATCCGACCAACGCCGGAACTCCGATGCTCGCCCGCGAAGAGCGTCCTCCTCTCAAGGTTAGTGATAAATTTCGTTCTCACAATCATGGTTGTCAATCCCCATGTTTTCTAATAAAGTTGAGCACGAATAACTTATAGAACTAGAAAATCATGGAAAATGAAAAATAAACTTAAAGCTCAAATTTAAAATTTCCTGGAATTACTAAGAGCGTTTCCTTCGGATTACACGGTTAACCTGGAAGTTTTTTTTTTGGCTTCAATGATAACTGAGAAAAAATTTGGAGCTTAGAAATTTCAACATAATTTCAAACTTTTTGTATTCGCAGATAATATAATAAGTTGAAATCTTCGAAGACACAGTTCGATGTAACCGATTCTCTGTCTGCCACAGTTTTCAGAAGCAATCACATAAAAGAAAACTTTTTTCAGGTGTCCCAGCACGAGAATCCGCTCTACAAGCCTCCGACGCAGACTGCCGCCGCTTCTCCTCGCGTCACTCCGACCGGCGGCTCTCCCAACCAGAAGCAGCCTCCGCCGTACATCGCCCCCTAAACGGACCATTCATCTACCTCCGAAACCCCACGCCAACTGTCCGCTGCCTCTCTGATTTGCGTTTTGTTTACCTGGACTTGAAACGAGTAACTATTCGTTACGTTTGCATTTCCCTGTTCCCCTGCCAATAGAGCAACTTTGTTGTCCCCCACGTGTTGTCTGTTTCTATGGCACTGCCATTGGTGACTCCGAACCAAGTCTTCGTTTTCCCCTGAGATTCTCTTATTTGAGAAGTTTGACTTGCTATCTCCCTTTACTGGTTCATAGGCTTGTAAAAGTTCTCCGTAAATTATCAGCTATTGTCAAGAATTACCCGTGACAAAGTGTTTATTTTCCTACTTGATTCCTTTTTCGAAAGCGGAGGTCATCTGAATCTCCGCCACTTCTCTTTCCATTTATTGCACACTCGTGCCTGTCTATTCGTTGCGATATACAATATTTTGTTAATCGTTCCGCAAAATGGGTAACTTTTTCGTATTTATCTCCTATTTCAGCTTCTTCCATGTTACTTGATGTTTTCCCGTGATTAAACTCGAAGCAACATTTTATCTAACATTCTTGATATTTGTTGATCCGATTTTTTCTATTTCCTTTATACTTAACGATAAAGTTTGATTTCAACTTCTGGGGCCACAAATTCAAAACTTTTCTTTTTAAAAATAGTTCTGAAAATGGCACACAAGAAACACAAATTTGAGTTCGTTATTGGACCACCAATTTGAATTTTCAAGCTGCTTTCTTGCAATGAACAAACTTTCAAATTTATATTCAGCTTTTTTTAAAGTTTCAATAATCTAGAGCAAACTTCCGTCTCTGAACTCAGCAACCATGCTGTTGAATGCCTCGATCACCTTCTTTACAATCGGCTCAGGGCCAAAAAACGGAAAAAAAAGGAGAAAAACGGATTCGAAATAAGATATCTTTCACTGGATCAAAAATCTCCAAAAGCGCACGCACGCAGTTGCTGGCGCAAACTTCGTGCGTGCGTGGCAAAATGAAATTTGACTGTCCTTTTTCAAATGTCTGAAGTTTCTTTTTCTTTTTGTTTTTCCATATCAGGTCCTTCTGTTTCTGATGCTTTGATATTTTTACATTTGCCAATGGAAGATACAAACTCAGAATGGCTCCGCGATCGACAGAAGAGCGATCCCGAATGGACGGCTACATGAAAGTGTTCACAGCCGTTGCGGCTTACTGGTACTTTTTCATTTTTAATAAAACCCATTTTTTAAGGATCTTCTCCATCGGGCTTGTGTTCATCAACAAATACCTGCTATCCAGTGATGAGCTCAAGGTTTTTTTTTTGAATTTTATTTGAAGAAATAACGAGAATTTAACAATCGGAAGAGCTCAAGAAAGTACTCGAATTTCAAATTTGAAACAAATATTGGAATAGCACTGAGATTATTATTTTTTTTGAACATGGACAATATAAAAGAAAACGACTAGGAGGTTTTTGAAATGACCTGCAAGCTACTTTTTTTACAATGATAATTTTAAAGTTATAGCTCGACGCTCCACTTTTTGTTACCTGGTACCAATGCCTCGTGACTGTTTTTCTCTGTTTGGGGCTCAGTTTTTTGTCTCAAACTTTTCCCAAAGCTATTTCGTTCCCGCAGATGTCCTTCGACCAGAAGATCAGCCGAGAGGTTAGTTCGAGACTTTTTTGTAATAAAAGTTCGTCCATACATACATACATACTTGAGCAATTTGTTTTTGATTAGTTTCTGAATAGCAAATGTTTGTTGACGCAAAATTTTTTTAGCAAAACGTCCTACCGGCCCAATAAAAGCAAAAATTTTTCAAAAAAATTAGAAAAAAATAAATTCGGAGGCTGACTAAAAAGAAAATCGATGTTAAATAACAACAAATTGCAAGAATACAACAATACTTCACACTAAGTTTTTTTTTCAAACAGTTTTCTCACTAAAGTATCTCGTTTTCAGGTTCTTCCTCTGTCAATTATGTTCGTTGGAATGATTTCCTTCAACAATTTATGTTTGAAGTACGTCGGCGTCTCGTTCTATTACGTTGGCCGAAGTTTGACAACCGTTTTCAACGTCGTAAGTTTTTTTTTGGGATTCATTTTTTGAGATTTTCTAAGAAGAACATGCAAAAAACTTCTTAAGGTTTGCACTTACCTGATTCTCGGAGAGAAGACTTCTGGTCAAGCGATTGCTTGTTGCTTCTTGATTATTGCTGGGTTCTTTATGGGGGTCGATCAAGAAGATGCGACAGGTTGGCTTTTGTTCACAAGTTATATAACTTCACATCAAATAGCTAGAAACAAAAAAGTTTTCTTTTTTCGCGGTAGGTTTTCAGAGGATATTCTAGAGCAATTTTTAAGGTTTCAAAATAACTAAAAATCTAAGAAGTTTAATTCGTTTATTTCAAAATGAACGAAACACCTGGAAGTTAACAAAAATATGCACCTGGCGAAATTATTCGCAAAGTTGAGCACCACCTCAGTTAATATTGAAGCATCCGAAATTTGAATTTTTCATACAATTTTTTTCAAAGATTTTTTTAGTTCAAATAAAGAAGTTATGATGTTTTCGAACTGTCAACCTTGTTTATATATTTTTTTCAGAGCTCATTTTTCAGAAAAAAATGAAAAATCTTAGGATCTCTGTCGATTTCTGGCGTCGTTTATGGCGTTCTGGCCTCCCTCTGCGTTGCTCTCAACGCAATTTACACCAAGAGGTTTCTTTCAAATTGTTCAACAAGTTTTTTATTGAATTTTCCACCGTTTTCAGAGTGCTTCCATCAGTGGGCGATAATTTGTGGCGGTTGACCATGTACAACAATCTGAACGCCTTGTTTCTTTTCCTGCCGCTGATGCTGTTCAGTGGCGAATTTGGTGAAGTGATCTACTTCCCGAAACTGTTCGACATCGTCTTTTGGACAGTCATGACCATTTCTGGAGTCTTCGGCTTCATGATGGGATACGTAACTGGATGGCAAATTCAGGTCGGACCAAATTTTGGGGCTGAAAAAAAAATGAATTCTTCTCGGAGTTGCCTGGTTCTACAGGCTTTGTTAGAGTCCCTTTCTTTTCAATTTTTGTAAAATGCGTTGAAAACGGGCATTTTTGAAAGATCTACCAACTTTTGCTAAGTTGCTCTCTCAAACTTTCAGTAATTTTTTGTGTTAGTCAGCCGTTTCAGTCATTCATAGACGCTAGAAAGTCTCAATTTCATCCCATAATATGTAGCGTACGCATTCCGAGAGTGCACTCGATAAAAGAAGTTGATTGATTTTCAGTTCTTACTATTTCAAGGTACTCAATAGTACATCTCAGCAAAGTTTCCCTACTTTATATTGTGCTTTCATGACTACATTTTTTTTTTGAAAAAAGTTCGAAATTCTCTTCTTGTTCTCTTCATTCATCGGCAAAAAAAACATGTTGAAGTCGAAAAGCTTTGAACTGTGTTGAGCTTTTAATTTTGGGTTTGAAAAGAAAAAGCTTTCAGGTAGAAAGGCAAACGTGACCTAATACCCCTCGCTTCATAATAATAAAGGAAATGACAAATTGGTTCAGGCAACATCCCCTTTGACACACAACATATCCGGAACAGCCAAAGCTGCTGCTCAAACTGTGATAGCAGTCGCCTACTGGTCCGAAGTCAAGACCCTTCTGTGGTTCTCAATCCCTTTCTTTTCACACTTTTTTCAATTTTCTTCAGGTGGATCAGCAACGCAGTTGTGCTTTTTGGCTCGGCTGCCTACACATATGTCCAGAAAAAGGCGATGGATAAAAAGTCGAGCCTTTCGAATAAGCCTCTGGATCGCCGTCCTTTAATGTCCACCAAAGTCGAAGAAGAAGAAGTATAGACCGCTCTTGTCGTTTTCTTTCGTTTTCGTCCTCTTGTACTGATATTTAATTGGGAGTTCTCTGATCATTATTCTGAGCTGCTATCGAAGCAGACGATGTGTTTGTTCAGACACAAAAAAAGGCCAGTTTTATACCATAGTGAGGGTTCTCTGATTCTATTTTTTTGATAGGAATATTTGGGGTCCAATCTTATATAAATTTTTTTAATTAATTAATGTAGTTAAAAAAACCTCATAAGTTTTTGAAATGAATTTGGTTGTTCAAATTTTTTTCGAACCATATTTCGAATTGAAATAAGCTATGACCAAAAATGAAACCCATTAATTCTGATTTTTTTCAAAATTCGAAACAAAAAAATTGAAAAACATGAACTGAATCACAATGTCTATTGGAGGCCATGTAAAACATTTCATTTTTTTATTTTAATTTTTTTGCTTTCCTTTTTTTATCGTGTGCTGCAGGAAACTTTTCGTCGTTTCAAATTCTATTCCCAGATTGTTTCGCACGTTTTACATTGGGCCTTTAAAAATAAGCTTTTGTTTTCGAAGTTGTTCGGCTTTAAATTTCTGCTGTTAGCAATTTTCACAACACTTTTGAGGTTTTCTTTGCGACGAAAATCAATCGGGTTTTTTCTTGTGATAGGAATTTTCAGGGCTTAACAAGACATGATTCTCGTGGTTTCCGCCCATAGACAGATTGAATTATTTCCAGTCTTGTTGAGTTCTTTTTGCTAAGCCAAGCATCGCAGCTCATTCTTTCGTTCTTGTACTCTTTAACACTAGTTGCAATGAAATTTTTAACCAAACTTATGAGAAGTTGTCAATTTCCCATCGAAAACTTCTTTGCTTTATTCGGTCAACTAATTCCACTGGGTAGGTGTCACACTTTTTTCAACCTTGTGCATTTATGTTAATAAACGGGCTGATACTGTTTTTTTCTATAAAAAAACAAACAAACAAACAACAAAAAGCTAGTTACCTTTTTAGGAAAAAAATAAATACAACTCGACCAAAAAAAGATAATTTTTTTAGTATAAAAAAACGATTTTTCTTATTTTGCAAAAAAAGTTGATTAAACTTCGCGTCTTGAAGTTTTTCAAAGTTTGCCGTGAACGCTTTTCAAAAAGGAATTTTGATATTTACGATTCATCATATGCAGGTTCATTGTTTATTCGAGAGTCTTGACACCTCCGTCAGAAATTTGGAATCATAGAACCAGCTTTTATTTTAAGAACTGGTTAGCCCTGACTTTAAACTGAAGAAAGTGTTGGAAAACATATGATAGCAACAATGTGTAAAACCAATGCCAAAGGGCAGATACGACTTTTTCGGCCCAAGAAATCTCGTTTTTTTCATGTCACAGAGGAAATTAAGACAAGGTATGAACCAAACAACGGCCGTGCAACTTGGCTTTCAAGTGTTTTTTTTTCTCTTTTTTTTTTTGCTCGCCAGCTGTTCCTCGGCTGTTCCGTTCTCCGTGTGTAAACTAGTAAACAACGCCGCATTAAGAACTGGTTTATCTTTGACTGTCTTCATTTCCGTTTTTTTTTGCTAAAGTAGCCCACTTTTTTTACTCATAAATCATATATGAATTTTTCAATATTGTGATTCTGACAAAAAAACACAAAAAAAGGATAATTTTAAAAATAAAAAAAGCTTTATGTAAACTCATTGGGTCAAAGTTGTTTTTTTCTTTGTTATCAGTGCAAGATACCTTCATATTTTTATTAAACCAGAAGTGCATGAATATAAGTTTGCAGTTCAAAATTCATTGAATTAGTTCACAAAGAAGCATATTGAAAACGTAAAAAAAAGAACAATCATCATACGAAAAATCAAACCAAAGTTTGGATTTTGCGCGGAGCGTTTGACGTAAATGTGTGCCTATGTGCTCATGACTCTGGTCTAACGTCAAGGTTGAGTCTCATCGGCTCACGCTCAATATTGATCTCTTTTTTTGGGTGCAATTTCCCGCGTCTGGCGTCCCAAGGAATAAATCTTTCTTATTTTATGGTTCAAATTGTCCCTTACAGTTGAACTCTTGATAAGCTCCTTATCATGTGCTTTTGACCACTCTCCCTTTCGATATCAACTGATTTTTGATTAATTAAAGTTTGAAAATGTTCACCACTTTCATGTTTCGGAATCTTTGTAGATTTAACTTCAAATTGTAAACCTTTTTACATTTTATCGATGAAAAAAAGTTTGAAAAATTTCTTCACTGCTGCCTCGCAAAAATTGCCGATAAAAAAATTAGAAAACGTCAATAGAAAAAAACACAAAATCGAAAAATTATTGAGAATGATTCCTTTCTTCAGAATAAAACCAGGGAAAACCTTGAAAATTTCAGTTGTCCGATCGGGCAGACGAAACATGTGAATGATGCGTTTTTATTGTTGTTTATACCGTTTGATAAAGAATCCATTCTCAATGTTTATGTTTTTCACGTCTTATTGAGAACTTATTTTAAATCAATTATATACTAATATATGTTTTATAGCAACACTTTCAAAGTTTTTTTTTTCTTTAGAAGTATGAATTTTCCCATTATTGATGACTTATTGGCCGAGATCCTTTATTGGCTCTATCCTTTCCGCTCCCTGAAAATTAAATTGTTGTTTTTCGTTGAGCTGGCTCTTATTTTGACGCTATTTGAACAAGGTGTTTACTGTCGAAAAAGCGCGATATTTTATTTTATTGTCAAAAACGCTCCCTAGTTCGTATATTTTTTCGGGGCAAGTTGAGCGGTGTTTTTTTAGAAAGCCCAATGACACGACATGGATCGCATCTCAAAAACTTCGAGATCCGAGTTCACGACGGCTCCGTTTTCGTCAACGCCCACGCTCTCGCCATGCTTTCACCTTACTTTGAAAAGTCCGTCAGATAAAAATCTTAACTTTTATTTTTTGTTTGAGAGGTTTCTTTGAGGTTTTTTTCATTTTCTTTTTTCAAGTGTTTATTCGCCATTCCGCAATCTGCACGACAAGTACAAAAAAATTAAATATTGAGACAATCAAATAAATCTAACAGCTGACCTGTTGATAATTTAATCTGAAAAAAATCCCTCTTGCTGGTATTTTTTTTGCAGTTGGACTCGAGATATAAGTGATTCTTGCTTTTTCTATGTCATTTTCAAACATGAAATACATACGAAGTTATTAAAGCTTTCCCATAGGGCAATGATTCCACTCTGCTCATTCAAAAGTTCAAGAAAAATAAAAATTACTTAAAAGTTTGCTTAAGGGTTTGTTTCGACGAATCGTTTACGGAAGCGAACTGCGGTTGTGTCGAAGTGAAAGACGTCGATTTGAATCAAATCACAATTTTTTTATCCTACGTTCTTCCAGGAGACGACTTTTTATATCACAAAACGATAGATGGTGAGTGAAAATAGCTTTTTATTGAGCGAAAAACTAAGTTAATTTTCTAAAAACCTTTTATTGTATTTTTTTTTTCATTAAATTTTGGAAATGAATTTCACGTGATTACTTTGAGGCTATCGTGATCCACATTTTTTTCGTACTTTGTTTCATCAATTTTCTAAGAAGAACCCCACACTGAAACGCAACATTGTTATCAGTACTTTTTTTGGGCGTTTGACATTTGAAGTGTGTAATGATGTCGCCTCGATGAAACGTTCGGTGATAAAATTAATAATAATTGTTCAGAGATGTAAAATGGACTTGAAACTTTGTAGAATCAGATCAGAAAAATGCTCATTTGTTTCAGATGAAAAGCATATCAGTTTTAATTTTAAAAAACAGCAGAAATGTCGAGTTTTTTTTTTAAGTGAATCTTTCAGTTTTTCGAACAGTAATAGGATTCAGGCAGCAACCTTGCAGTTCTGATTCAACTCGCCGAGCGCTTTCTGTTCCCTTCAGTGCGACATGAAATCGAAGCTTTTCTTGTCGATGGTTTTTTTATAAAAACATAGTTGAAGATTCCCAATGAAAGTTACAGGAGTGTTTGCAAACGAGGAGTTCAAAAAGCAATGCTCTCATCAACGCGATCTTGGAAGCAAAATGTTACAACTACAAGTTAGTTATTGCTCTCTTCAAAAAAACGGACAGATCCCCCTCAGAAGCGAAGTGATCGATAAAATGTTCAAAAAGCTGGCTCAACTAGAAGGAAACCAGGTCAGCAAATTAATCACTTCGCTCCCCCCAGCGGAAGCAAAATACGTCCAAGAGCAAGTTGCAAGGTTTACTTTGGTGAGTTCGAACTGGAAAATTAAAAGTCTCAATAAATTTATTCAGTACCAATCTCCTTCTGGATACCCTATCTCAGCTTACGCTTGGAACGATTTCAACGTCAGAATGTTCTTCTGAAGATTTCTGTGATTAAAGGCATGGGGCAGTAAAAAACGGGTTTTCAGGTGAAAGCAGTATCTTGTATAGCTTTTCTTTGCGAATCGAATGGTGTACTCAAAAAAATTACAGATGTGACAACTTTAGAAGAAAAACGCGATTTTACTTTCCCGCCTTTAATTTTGAAAAAAGCTTTGGTTCGGCCTACAGACAAATGTTTACAGTAGCCGTGCACGCGATGTTGCGGACGTCTCATTAGACTCGCATTTTGTGAAAAATAACCCGATATTTGCTTTAAATGAATAGTTTCTTTTTCTGAAAAAAATAAATTAAGAAATCAAAAAAACACATTGATAATAAAGGAAACACAAAATATTGCAATCCCAATCGAAACCTGTGTAAAATCATTATTTTTTTCACCAGAAAAAGCATTTTTGCGATTAAAGTTTGCAAACTATACATGAATAGAAACAAAAAAAGGGACAAAAAAAGAACTTTGGTGACAACAGAAAAAATTGAAATTTGAAAGAAACGAAAAAAAAAAGCCGAAATCCGAAAAATGGCGATACGTGTTGTCCATAGAGCGACTTTACTGCAAAACCCCATTTTCGGCGGGAACTCAAACTTTCCTCCCTCCGACTTTGAATAATTTTTTCTTCAAAACTAGGAACTTCTGTACGTTTACAAGTTCCCCGTTTGATTTGCAATGAGAAGTTCTACAAAGTACTTCATTGAACTGAAACACCGTTTTTACTGCTTCTATGCCTTTAACGATGCCCTTCTCAAAATTCAAATACTTCTGTCCAGAGAACAATCAAAAATATTCAAGTCTTATTTGGTGCTTCCGTTTGAATTTCTGTATGCTGATTGTGCGCTTGTTACATAGCTGTATATTTGTTTTTGTTCGAAATAATTCCTGATCAAAGTTGTGAATAGTCTGTATCTACGAGAGTCGCATTTGCCTTTCATATTCGGAATTTACTTGTTTCTTGTAGTTTGGAAAATTGCTTTTTCAAGCTCTTGGAATGAAACTGGTATACCTACACGTTCGTTCTACAGATAAATAAAAAGTCACTACTCAAAAAGAAAAAAATTGAATAAAAACAGACGCAAAAGTTTCCAGAAGGTTTTACTCCTTCCAAAAATGCTTAAAGGTTTCCGGCTAAAAAAAGATGAAATCTTTTGAAAAAGCTCAGTTGATCTGAGAAATGATCCAATTTGTTTTTTACTTTTGAGTTTTAAGTCGAATTAGAGGCTTAAATTACATGAAACTATTTATTCATGTTTCAACCCAGTCGCTGCCCGTATAAATTTTAACTTTTGAAAAACGTCTTAGTAACAAAACCATCAAAAATTTCGCGATGATAAGAGTTCATCTCATATCTCTAAAAAAATCTTTTTTTGCAGAAAAAAAAAACGATTTTGAGAAGGTCCGAACGATTGAAGTTTGAAGTGAATAATGAAAATTTGAAATGCCGATCAAGATTTTTGAAAAATTGCTGAGGATGTAGGTCAAGTATAAATCCCTTCAGCTATCGAAAGAAAATGAGAGAGAAAACAGAGTAAGATCGACTTTGAAGTACAAATTTTTGGAAGCTAAAAAACCAGGTTGACGTACGAAATGATAGAAATAAGAGCTGCGACCCTCATTAATCAATTGGTTGATGCATGGGGAATCACTGCCGGTTAATGGCCGGCTCCTCCACCTTGAAACGTTGTTATTTTTCATATCTCGCTCCGGCGCCAGAGACGAAGCTGAAGGCAAAACGCAAGCGGTGTGTTGGTGTAAGACAATTAGTGTGTGCCTATCGGTCGGGCCTCGACTGGTGTTCCTGCGTAGTTGATTTCGAACTCTTCTGATTGTCGTGGGAATCACTAGGCGGCAAGCTGGCGCCGTGAATGGCTCGGAACGCGCTGGGTCCGACAGTAGGAGCCACGGCGAGTCCACAAAGCGCCCACACGTTTCCTGTCATCCGCGTCGACGAAGCTCCCAAAATCCGGCCTCAGGTGAGCTTTTACTGTTTCACATACACAATTAGGTTTATTTGTTGCCAGATCAGCGTTCAGTATAGCTAGTTGGCTTGAATGAAATAAATCAAGAAATAAATTGTGAAAAACATAGTTTTAAGGTCCAAGTATCGCTCTACCGTCGTTCAAGTGATTTTCTATTAAGTTTTACTTCTGTAGCCCTATTATTTGAGTTCGACATATTCCGTAGAACTTTATAGACCTTTTCAGAATTCTTTTCCCTTTTTTTGTTGAATTGTAATCCATTCTGAGGGATCAAGTTCTATCAGTGTTTTCAGATAAAACCTAAACCTAAACCGATAGACGGGCCTATAATCAGACTAGAAACTTCGAACGAACCACGACTAAATGGATCCATTGGTCAGCCTAGAAAACCACTTCCTCCGACACGAACACCGCGTTAGTTTATTTCATTTTTTTTATATGTAATCATTTTTTTCCTTTTTTTGATAATTTTTCTATTTTTTTATTTTCATTCATTGAATTTTACTCTCCCCTTTGGAGCACTACGGTAACACTAAATTAGGTCAATTTTTTTAAGGTTTTCCGGGCAGCATTTTTTTATATGCTCATAAGTCAACTAAAATTATATATATTTTTTTGACATTTCAAAGTATTTTACTCTATTTTCCATCGAATTTTGAGATTTGATAAATATGTTTCTCGGCACTGACCGCTTCAAAACGTCCGTCTCGGATTCTTTTCTAAACGTTTTAAACAAACACATTGCTACCTCGAGGAAGATACACGCGAGAAGCTTGTCCCAGATGATGGATTGCTCCAAAAAATCTGATCACAACTTTCTCAGCCGGCTCATTATTGCGTTTTATTTTTTGTACTTTCAATAGGCCTTGGGAAACACAAAAAGTACGAGAAAATTCGCCTCTCATGATGTGAGGAAGGCCTGGAAGATCTGTGGAGAGGAGTCGTTTGAAAAAAAGGATGAAAAGACAAATTTCATTGACACCTCCTCAAAATAGGTTCCGATGAAGTTTTCTTTCACTTCTGTTCTTTTCGCAAATGAGACACACTCGACCTTTCCGCTCCACGGTCACGTTTTCAGGTTCAAGTCAGAATTTTTGTTCTTTTTTAAATTTCAATCAAGAAGTCTAAAGTTAGGTGCTAAATGTGCTATAAAAAAGGAAAATTACTTTTTCAGGTCCGATTTCATTTGACATTCAAAGCGGAGGAAACGGTCACAGTTTTAACTTTCTAAACTTGATTTCATTTTTTTCTTCTTTCTAAAGACCAAGCCAATTTTTCGGCGAATCCAGCCGTTTGAAAATTCCAAGAGGAATCAGAAAAATAAACTTGAAGTCACAATTTCTTATCACTGCTGATATCCAGGTGACACGCCACGGAGCATGTGTTGCATGGGTAATGAATTAAGTTGTCCAAACGAGCCAGGTGTGTTTTTGTTGGCTTCAAGAATTCCCGGCCGCACTGAAGAAAAGCTGCGAAACGATTTATCAGTCGAATGTCGTTCCCAAATCAATATTCCCAATGAGAGCCTCTATGCTTACTGATAAATATCACTTTTTTTCAATAAACACTTTTTTTAAAATTTGAATTGAAGGAGTTTTTATGAAATCTGCTCCTTTCGATGCAGAATTCTCTATAAACAGGAAGAATAGAGTAAAGAAAATTTCTCTCAACAAAAAAGAGAACAATAATGACGGACAACGAAAAAGTTCATTTTGTCGTTGAATATCTGTAAACAGTCCAAGAAACACTTCGATTTTCCAGATAATGGTTCTTCAAATTTTAAACTGTAAATTTGATTAAATTCAAGAAAAAAATCGCATCAAAAAGACGCTTCATTTAGAAAACACACAAGGTACAAGAAACATTTAGAATTTTCGTAAACTAGAAAGCTGTGAAAATAATAATTTCTGTTGTCCATATTTGGTTCATTAGAAACTTTTCTGGCCGATTTTCAGAAAATGACTGACGGCATAATATAATTAATTATCTTCAATCGAAAACGACGTTTTTCATGATTATAGAGCCTACTTCTCCCATTCTGTAAGACATTATGCCCTAATTATTAACTTTTTTCTCTACTTTGTCAACATCAAAAATCCACTTGGCTAAGCTAGTTTTTGAAATTAAAAACAGTGGCTACGGAAGAAAAACCATGCTATTGTTCCAATGAAAGGCGAACACGCAATGAAAGTTGGTTGTATCGAATTTTTTTCAGAAATGAAAAACTTTATGTTTCCCACAAAGCATTGTTTGAGTATAAAACCTATATCTAGTGTTTTGTTCCCCAACTTCTAGAAGTCCTTTTTCACTGAGAAGTTCTTTGTTTCAAAAAAAGTATTTTTCCTCAGAAAATTTTGTAACGGCTTTTGTTTATGTGTAGCACCTTAGATGAGATGATTTACGGCGAGCCAGTGAATATTTTAGACACGCCGAAAACTTGCTGCAATCCGTGCCTTTGATAAATGTTTCCACGCGAGCCATTTATAATTAACGCAAGAGGTGGAAGTTTTTCGAGATTTTACGGGCGGGTGGAAGTGACGTCTTCAGAAGACGTCGCTATGCTGCGCACAGACGAGCCGCTCGATGAAGATCATCTGCTCAGAAATGTCTCAACGCACGAATTTCGTTAGTGAGCCCTTTGATTTATTGTGCGATGAAGGTCTTTTCTGTTGGGCAACAATTTCATTCAGTCAGTCAAATAATCTCAAAAGACTAAAAAAAACTGATATAAACCCTTCCTGCACTCGTTCTGGAAAAATATGCATAAAATTTTATATTTTTTACTCCCTTGAGAGATTTTTTCAACAAATGCAGTTGGTGATTCGGAGATCATAGACGATACCACGGAGTTTCGAAAAATTTTTATTTTCAAATCAAGTTGCGGCGTGCAAGATTAGGAGAGATCTTTTATTGATCTTGCGTAAAGTGCTTTGCAAGTAGAAATTTGAAAATTCAAACTGAAAAGCCGTTTTTGAGGAATTTTTACTAAATTATCTCAAAAAACATAAGTTTCAAAGTTCGCACAAAACATCAAAAAAATCCTGGAGATTATGCTAGAAAAAAACTTTTTTTCCCGAAGTTTCAATCATGAAAACTTTTTTTAAAAACATTTTTTTTCTTCTGAAGGATGTCTCCTCTTTTTGAGGGTCTCGATTTTGAGCTCAAGCTTGCAATCGCCGCTATTAGGTAGCGGCTGAAAGAATTGAATCAGTCAGAGCACCCATCTTTGTCGCCCTTTCACTTACCAACCATTTCCTCACACTCACAAGCCCTTTATCCCTTCCGTTTCATTTTTTTTTCTCAAAAGATCAAAAAATTCAAAATTAATCGCTACGTATACGCTACTGACTTGAGCCGGTATGGAAGTAAGTTTTTCTCTAAGGGCTACGGTAGAGAGTAGAAAAAAGTTTTGTTTTTCATGAAAAACTTACTTTTTCGACAGGTGCGAATGGAAATGCGGTGATGAAGGAGCAGAGGACTACTGTCGTGAGCTTCGATTTTGCAGAAGATCCTATTCCTCCAGGCAGCTATGGTTGTGGTAGAGTCGAGGTATCAGCTAGTTTTTGATTGATTGAAAAAGGTTGACTTTGTTCAGACAATTTGTCGACTTGTTGGGATACTTTCTTTTTTGGCATTTGCTGCTAATTCTGCACTATATTTCATGGGGGTCTCGCGATTGGGGTTGAATGGTGAGTTCTTTTTCCAAATTGCCGAAAAAAAATTATTTCAGGTTATCTTGAAGTGCTGCTTCTCTTTTGTGACGGAGTTGCTGTTTTAGCTATTTTAATAGGTGTTTCAAAAAGAAAATCTGGTTTGCTGAAACCATATTTGATATTCAACGTGGGTTCCAAAAAAAGTTTTTTTTCTATGAATTTTAGACACTTTGGATCCTTGGGCTTTTCATCCTGTTTGTGGTTTGTCTATGGAAGATAATTCGTGGGTCAGACGGTGTCGCTAGGTGAGATTCGAAAAAAAGAAGAAAAGAAACCGGAGTTTTTTTCAGAAGTATCCTTGAGAACTTGCGAGCTCTGAAACCATCCGACGAAGTTTTTTCTCGATCAGAATCATTTCAAGGATCTCGAACAGGTCAGAGTTCATTTTTCTTATGAAGAAAAAAATTGGAGCGGCTGAAAAAGTTAGCGAGCAAACTGATTAGCAGGATTTTCTGCAGGTATACAATTTCGAACTTAAAAAGATGATAGAATGTTTTTTTAAAACATTAAGGATGCTCGTTTTTTTCAGAGCGCTTCAATTTGGCTGAAACTGAAAATGATGTTTTTGGTATCAGATTTTTTTAGACCTCAAAAAAAATTTGTTATTCATTCTTTTTATTTATTTGAAACGACACTAAGACCATTTTTTTCACTCTGAAAAAAGGTCAAAACCTGATTTTCGTTTTTTTAAATTTAATTAATAAATTAGGTTCACAAAACTTACGTTTTTTTCCTGTCAATCTTTTATTTTTTTGTGAAAAAAACTTGAGCTATAGACTTACTTCTCACGAATAACAATAGTCTTTGAAACTTAAAAACAAAATAAAAATTTCAGCTGCCACCGTGGCCACTCTGGTGGTAATGAGCGCCATGGCGTTCGTAATCTTCGTCGACTGCCTCTTTCTTCACATTGTCTACCGGACTTTCCAATTCTTCGCCTACCTGGAAGACCAAAGACGCGAAGAAAACAACAAAAAAGATCCTCTCTGACTTTATACCAAAAAAAGGCTTGCACCTTGAGGAATTTGTCTATACAAAACCGGCAGCCAAAAAATCGTACTTGACCAACGAAATCTCATTTTGATTGTACTTTGCAATCACAAGTGAAGCTACGAATTTTATTCGAACCATCAGGTTTTCAAAAACTCGGTTATAACATTTTTTCCTGTGAAAGATCAGGAGGGTCTGAGAAAATTCATTTACGACTTCAAGGACTTTTTCGACCGAGTTATAGAAAATTCTGAAGATTTGAGTAAAATGGCTTATTTTAGGCACGCTGACCAATTTTCATCCTTTTTGTGTCTCTCAAAAACGAGTAATTGAGTTTCCTATACCACATGTGGTTTTGAAGTTTTTGTGAAAGGAAGAGAAAAAATTCTTGAAAATTCAAGTTATGGTATTTTCTTGAGCAGGAGTATAGTCAATTTTGCCTGACTTGAAAACGAGGGAGGCGAAGAAGCGTGTAGGACGCGTAGCGTTTGCGTTCGCAGTTCTTGACACGAGTTCAATTAAAGCGCCACCGACTGCTCAAAAAGCTCAGACATCGCTCTCTTTGTGTCTATTTTACTTTTTCAATTCACAAATGAAAGAAAAATCAATAAAGAACTAAAAAATAAATGAAAAAAGCAATAATTGAACTTTCCGAATGGTCGCTAGGGTTATATTGAACTCGTGTCAAAAACCGCGTACGCGCACGCTACGCGTCCCGCTCACTTCTCTGCCTCTCTCGGCTTTCAAATCGGGATGGATTGACTATAAATGTTCTTCTGGGCCGGTGTATGGTTTTACTACCTTCTCCATTCATTTTTCTGATCTCTTTGTGAAGCACTTTTCACGGGTTTATGTTATCATTCGACTTTTATTTCGGTGGTTTAAATTTGGTATTGTGGGAAAATAAATTAGTTCTTTGAAATGAGTGCGAGGTTTTTCTTGATGACAGGGTCGATCTCTTCAAGCCAAGCGTTCACATCGAGTTCCTAAATTATTCATGCTTTGGAGTTTCCGTGGTGAAAAACCTGTGCGACTTTGTCAAACATGTCGTTAAGAGTTTTAACATAGCGCTCCTTGGCTTCATCCTTGGAGGTTCCTTCAACTTCTTTCCACGAGTCCCTGTGAAAAAAAAAAGACTCAGAAACTGCGAACAGCAAGTATTTGTAGTATTTCACTGAAGATTTTTGAAGTTTAGGAAATAACGTTGTTTATGCACTAGATAAAGTTTTAGACTTTCTTTTCGAAAAAATAACAATTTTCGTGCTGATTTTGAATCCGAAAAGGCCTAATCAGAGCGTCAATGGTGGTTGTGGAGGTTTTCAAAAAGTTTGAAGCTCTCGGAGAGTTCACTTTTCTTGGAAGCTTCAAGAATCACTCTCGAGCTGACTGACCATTTTTTGCGTTCAACGAGAGAAAAAATTCCGGGCCGTTCTGTGTTGACATCGCCAACTGTAGCTTGTTTGAAAAGAGAGTAAAAGGCCAGTTTCTGATCATTCGAAGTCGTCAACGGGCCTTAATCAATCCTTGTTCAAAAATGTTGAAGGCACAAGTTTCGAGGCTTTAACCTGAAACTCACCAGTCTTGGGCAGCTTTTGGATGATCTCCACGGCAGCGTCAAACTTTTCATCCAACGACATTCTTCCTAGAAGCTAAAGTTAAGAAAAAAAAAATAACAAAACGAATCAAAGAAAGGCAAGAAATGATCGGGGAGAGAAGGGTGTTTGCACGAAAACCAAAGATAAGGCTCGACTACATCGCGGCCAAACGATTGTCGACTGATGCACTTGGTGAGCGACCCTTCTTGGAAAAAAGTTAACGCTACAAATCAATGATTTCAAAATGAACCACGTCAGAAAGAAAAATGTTGCTGCATGTATGATGAAATTCGAAAAAGTCAAACTCAAGTTTGTTACAGATGAGAAGAAATCCCGGTTTTTGTTTGAAAAAAAAATGAAGTGAAAGGGTTTTACAATATGACCCTTTCGATTACCTGATTCCTATTGACCTTTCGAGAGTTTTTCCCGTTACTCACAAGGACATTGTTTCTCAAATTTCTCAAAGACAATTTGTAAGATTTTATTTTCCTGAACAACAGTTCTAAATAACAAGGAAAGAAAAGAAAAAAAAGATTGGGAGTATAAGAAAAAATTCTGATTTTTTTTTAATCGTATAGAGAATATAGAAAAATATAAACTAAAACTTCTCACGACATTTTAATCTTTTTTTCAAATTTCACATGTTTCAAAAACAAAAACATTGAGACTATTTTGAACACTGAATGATACTTCTATCAGCAATATAAAATCAGATTGAGGGGAGTCACGGAAACCGCAAATACAGGAAAGTTTGATGAGAGAACGAATAGTGGTCGATATCCGAAGTTGCGCCCATTCCTTGACCTAAATTCTCCTGGACGCCAGCGAAAGCACAACTTTCCCATACAAAATCGGCTGATGAGATTTCTCCACTTTACAGTGATCAAAGTAACAAGATCAATTTCGAATGGAGGACTGTCTGAATTTCAATCTGAACTACCCTCGAAACGTTGAAATGGTTTCTAAGGGGCAATCGTAGGGCTCTTAAAGGTTACCCTCAAAGACAATTTATAGAAGGTCCTTAGCACTGAATTTCGTTCATGAGAAAAAACAATTGGACAAGAAAAATTTAATAAATTAGCGTCAAGCGAATGAAACAAATATTAATAGAGGAATAATCGAATAATACGTTTTCAAGTTTTTAATCCTAAGAAAAACATTGAAAAACTAATAAAAAAACACTTAAGCTTCAGCGGCCAAATGTTTGAACCCAAAACCTTGATAGAAACTACTATTAAAAAAATTACGACATTTCAGAGCTCCAATTCGCCGTTATAGTGGCTTTTTTTCCCCTAAGTTCTCCAGAGATCCCTCTGGCGTTCCTAAAACTACCTTTGAAGCTTTCCAGGGGTCTTTTTGTTGAAAAACTGTTGAGTTCCGATTAGAATCTTTGCAATTTTGAAATTTTGAAACCGTTTTCCAAAAAAAGCATAATTTATAGTTTGTTTGAATAAAAAATGAACTAATTTATAAATCGATGCATTTTTTTCATAAAAATTCATTGATAGGGCGAAACTTTGACACCATTCTTTTTCTAAAAAAAGAAATATTTCTCCGAGACCTGGCGTTTTTGCATTCAAGGCAATTACCTGACACGATATCGGGAGTGATAAGCGTCTGTCTCAACGCTTTTTCTGCCATCTATCTATTTTCGCTTTTCAAGAATACCACATAAGTTTATTGTAGTGTTGTCTTCCTTGCAATTTGGTCTTTCCCATAATCTTTTGTCAACTTTTTTCAGCACTGGAATGTCTTCATTTTGGTTCTGAAAATATTTCGAGTAACTTTTTTTTCATACTAATAGTAAGCTCAAATTAACTCTTTAATTTTTGAGCAAACGCGATGTTTCAAATTATTTTTACAAGGAAACTATTTTTGACCACTGCTTGAACTTTTAATGAAACTTGGCTAGAAATCCCTTTAAGACCTATTAATTCCGACAAGAGAAGTTTTTTTTTGCTAATTACACAAATAATGAAGAAAAGCGTTGTTTGAAAGGTTTGAACCTCAATTATTCAGAAAGAAGATCTATTGCAAGAAATGTTCTCTATTTCCAAAATCAAAAGGCTTCAAACTGAATTTCAGCTTTTCAGCATGAATGAAGCAGAAAAGTAAAAAAAAATTTTCATTTTAATTCAAATTTGTTCTTTGACTTCTGGCCGGAAAAAAAAAATCATACAACATCTCGGATAGTTTTGCCACTTTGAAAGTTGTTGAACAAACAGGTTTAACTGGTAAGCTAAACTGATTGCGAATTGCGTGTCAAGAGAGGCAAACACACATGGCGTGTGTGCGATGGTAGGCGCTGCGGAGCAGATGTGCTCCACTGCGAATCGGCATTGATCTCGCGTTGTATCCGAATATCGCCCATCTTACAATCGCTTTTGTTATGTTCACCGCCTCCTCCTGAGACTTTTCTCTTTCTCATTAATACAAGTTAGCTTTTGTTTTTAAGAACAATTCTTCTTTTTTGGTGCATTGAAAACTCTCATGGACAAAAAAAAAGATTTCCTTGCAGTTTGAAATCGAATTTTTTCACGATCTGTCTACAAGAACTTGTTTGCGTTTGGTCAGGGACAAATTTCTATTCAAGCTTTTTCCTCGTTAATTTTCAACAATCACAGCTAAAAGTTTTCGCTCATTTATTTCATTGTTTTTCCATCAGTTCAAACCAGTTTCTGTCATTTTACAGGAACCATGCTTGGAAGAATCGGACAGCCTTTGCTCTCAACTTCACAGAAAGTTTGATTATTCATGGATAAAAAGAGATTTTTTTTGTTTTACAGATGCTTTCACCAGCATCCCGTACTTTGATGCTTCACGAACATCACGGTATGAAGCTTCTGCAAGACAATGACATCAAGGTCTAAAAAATTGAGAAACTTTCAATAACCTAACTCTAAATTTAGGTACCTCCATTTGGAGTCGCAAAAGACGCCGAAGCGGCTGAAAAACAAGCCAAGGCCATCGGTAAGCATCAACATTACCATTTGAAAAATTCATTATTTTTCATTTCATACATTCTTTTTTCAGGTGGAAAAGATTATGTGGTGAAGGCTCAAGTCCTGGCCGGAGGTCGAGGCAAAGGAAAGTTCGATTCAGGACTACAAGGAGGTGTGCAGGTCGTTTTCACGTGAGTTTTTGCCATTCTCAGCTTCGGAGACGAGTATTAACAGTTCCCACAGCTTTCCAAGACCTCAACTGAATTCAGACCCCAAGAAGTGAAAGAAAAGGCCAGTATGATGATCGGAGCGCATTTGATCACAAAGCAAACCGACCACAGAGGAAAACTTTGCGAGGAGGTACAGTTAAAAACAAAAAAATAAATTTTTTTCATTTTTTTGATCCTACAATGAAAAATGTGAAAAAGTTGAAAGCGATATTTTACAATGAGCGTACTTTCGAATTTAGAAAACCATTTTTCAAGAAATTTTGAAAAAGTCAGGCAAGAGTTTTTCAGGTGATGGTTTGCAAGCGTCTTTTTACCAGACGCGAGTACTATTTCTCCATCACGCTTGACCGTAATACAAACGTGAGAAAAAGGCTTGGTGAAGTTTTAAAGCTCGAGGGTTCAGGGCCCGATTATTATTGCATCCAGCAAAGGTGGCGTCAATATTGAAGAAGTTGCCGAGACTGAACCAGATGCTATCGTCAAGGTATTTTGTCCTTGAAAGAATCAAAATTCCTGAAATAAGCTCTTCTGCTGTAATAATCTCTCAAGCCGTAGGTTGTTGAACTACAAGTAACCATGAAATATTTTTTCTGATAGGAAAAACTTACAGGTTCCCATCAACATTCAAAAGGGAGTAACTCCGGAAATCGCCGCAGACATTGCCAAGAGAATGGGATTCTCTGCGGACTGCGCCGAACAGGCCACCGATATCATCCAGAAGCTCTACAACATGTTCAAGAACAGCGACGCCACTCTCGTCGAGATCAACCCGATGGCAGAAGACGTCAACGGAGATGGTTTTTCATCTGAACATTTTCTGAGAACTTTTGAACTTTAGTTTACTGCATGGATTGCAAACTTCTTCTCGACTCCAATGCCGAATTCCGCCAGCATGAACTCTTCAACTTGAAGGATAAGAAGCAGGAGGATCCGTTGGAGGTATGGAAAAAAATTCTTCGAGGATTAATAAAAATCAAACATTTGCCCAAATAACTTTCTCTCTAAAAATATAATTATTAAAAAAAGTTAGCTTTCAACCTCGTTTAAAAAAAAATTCATGCTAAAACGAATGACTCGACGACTGGATTCTGGTTGAACGTTCCTGTGTTTTTAACATTTTCAATTCAAAAATTCCTGGATTAATCGTTTCAGATCCGTGCCGCCGCGGCAAACCTCAACTATATCCGCCTCGATGGAAACATCGGCTGCATGGGTGAAATATCTCCTGTTTTCAATTCATTTCATTTTTTCTTTTAGTCAACGGAGCCGGTCTTGCCATGGCTACGATGGACATCATCAAGTTGCACGGAGGAGAGCCAGCCAACTTCCTTGACGTCGGCGGCGGTGCCACTGTCGAGCAGGTTACAGAAGCCTTCAAAATTATCACGGCCGATGAGAAGAAAGTGAGTTTTGCAGAAAAAATTTCTGCAAATTTATTTTCACCGTTTCTGACGCTATAATTGCAGGTGAACGCCATTTTGGTCAACATTTTCGGTGGAATCATGCGATGTGACGTCATTGCCCAAGGTATCATTAAAGCAGCGAAGGAACTCGACTTGAAAATTCCGATTGTTGTTCGCTTGCAAGGTGAGCTTTAAGTTCGCATTTTTTATCTAAAACAAAATTGTTTCTCAGGAACCAAAGTAGAAGACGCTAAGGCTTTGATCGCTACTTCAGCTCTTCGCATCCTCCCCTGTGATAACCTAGATGAAGTTAGTTAGAGTTGAGAAGCCATGTCTAATTCGATTATTGAAGGCCGCCAAGATGGTCGTGAAACTTTCGAACATCGTCAACCTTGCTCGCGCTGCTCAAATCGACGTCAAATTCGAACTTTCCATCTAGACTCAAAACCTAAGCCTTTTCTCTTTAGATTCCTACGGGAACTGTATTGTCTTAACTATCGCAAATATGAGTAGACTTCCCTTAGTTTTGTTTTTTCTTGAGCCTGAGTGTTTTTCGGTGTGCCTAGATATCTATTCTTGTTCTCCTCATCAGTTGTCACAGTCATCATTCTAATAGCCCAGATGATAAGCTTACTCAGTTCACAGTTGCAATACTTCATTCTGAAGTTTTTCTCATCTTCTATCTACCTATACATTTTCAACCATTTCTGCTTCTGAAAAAATATTCCCGAACAAGGCCTTACATTGATTTCTGGCGATAAAATCAAATCGGAATTTTCAAAGGTGTTCTGGAGGTGCGGTTTCGGTCATTCAGGGACAAATAAATGGCTGTATAATCAAGATAAAAGAAGTATGCCGAAAAGCGAGCCCCGAGAAAGTATCTAACAGGACAAACTTAAACAGCAATGTAAGTCTAGAGACAGTTATTTCAATTTTATATTTGAATTATACCTTGTGAGGAATCTCTCGTTAGAGGTTACAAAATTTAGATTACTCAGACCCATGATGTACTTATCGTCGTCTCGATCTTGACAGTTGCTTTTATGGAGAATTTGGGTGACGCGGAGAACACTGACTTGTATAAAAAGTACTGTGTGGAGATGAACTTGAGATAATCAACAAGTTATTGAAAATAGCGACGCACTTTGTTTAGTTCCCAAAGTCCTGGTGTCACTGGTTGTAAAACAGCGGTTTTATTTCGATTCGGGTCCATTTTGCTACCATTTATGTCTTTCCCGTGATACCGTAAACTCCACGTTTGAGGTGTGTCATCCTTTCGATGCCGCTATTTAAGGTACCGAATGTTGCGAAAATCGAGAGGATCTAGGCAGATCACTATGCGTCTCCAAGTGCAGATCGGTCTTGAATGTATTGTTGTGCCCTGTCAGTCTAGCGAAACAGTCAATTCGGTGAGTCATCATTTGGTGTTTCTTTATCTTTTCCAATTTTCACAGATTGTTAACATTTTTTATTGAGATCACTCATTTTGCAGATCGCCAAAAAGTCGTTAGCCAAAATTCGACGGTTACGGCCTGAACTTTTATTTGATGACGCATACTTTGAAGTTCGTCGAACCGTTGGAAACTCTTTGCTTGACCCAGAGGACCAGGCAGGCGATGTTTTACGAGACGGAGACTTCATTCTGATTGGTATGAACACTTTTCAAAGCTCAACCAGGTCAAAAAGTATTTCCAGCTGTACATCATGAAGAAACAGAAGAAGCAAAGGAGGCGAGACGTCTTGAAGAACTCGAGCACGCTAAAAAAGAAATTGAAAAAATAGAGCTCCGAAAAAGAAAGTAAGAGATTTACCATCTTGCAGGGCTAACCTTTTTTTCAGAGTATCTTTTGCTCTTGAGCAGACCGGTTCAATTTTTGTTCCCAAACCTACTAAACTTTTGGTCCTCGATGGTAACAGTTTGAAACCTTCCGACCTCGTAAAGTGTGAACGTGGAGAATGCCTCATTCAAGTTGGTTTTGTAAGAGTTGAAATTTTTCATTTCTTTATTTTAGCTTTCAATGGATGCCGAAGTGAGGGTTCGTAAAGGAAGGGAACTATTAGAAAAAATCGCTTCAGAACACAGAGGTTAGGTTCGGAATGTACTTAAAGGTCTACTTTTTTCAGTTGTGTACGGAGTCACAACTGGCTTCGGTACTTTTGCCAACGTCTTCATACCCCCGGAGAAAGTCAAGTACATAAAAACTAAAAGTTCTGCAAACTCTTAACGGCTTTCAGGCAACTGCAAGTCAATTTGATTCGATCGCATTCAGTCGGTTACGGAGAACCTTTGGAACCAAACAAGGCTAGAATGCTGCTAGCTTTACGGTAAGAAGTCAATCTGAGACTTTTGGCAATCACAGTTCTCAGAATTAACGTTTTGGCGAAAGGGCACAGTGGAATTTCTCTGGGAAACTTGAAAAAAATGATCGCAGCTTTCAATGGTTCAAATAAATTCAGAGCTTCGATCACATTTTTTTCAGCGTTTTGCGTGTCTTACGTTCCTCAAAAGGGTACAGTAGGATGCAGCGGAGATCTCGCGCCGTTGGCGCATTTGGCGTTGGGGCTTCTCGGCGAAGGAAAAATGTGGAGTCCTTCTACAGGGTTTGTCTTTATTATCCCACACAGACTTTAAAAAAAAGGTTTGTAATGAAAATCTCAGATGGCAAACGGCTGATGTTGTATTGAAAAAGAATAACCTGCAACCACTTGAATTGGGTCCAAAAGAAGGATTGGCCTTGATAAATGGTACTCAAATGGTGACTGCTCTAGGCGCATTTGGTAGAGTTCGAAAAATCAACAACTTTCTAGAACAGAACGACTTTCAGCTCTTGAAAGAGCTCATAATATCGCTCGACAAGCTGATGTCATTGCAGCATTGTCTCTTGACGTCCTCAAGGGAACGACTAGAGCCTACGACCCAGGTAAGCTCGTAAAACGGATCCGAGAACAGGAAAAAAGTTGCAGACATTCATCGAATTCGGGCGCATCCTGGACAACAACTCTCCGCTTTGCGTTTACGATCTCTTCTTCACTCAGAAGCCAATCCTTCTCAAATAGCCGGTTTGAAACAAATAAGCTAGCATTTCAAACATAAATTCAGAATCTCACCGCAACTGCACAAAAGTTCAGGATGCGTACACACTTCGTTGTGTTCCTCAGGTTCTTGCTTCCGTAAATTAACTCTTATAGAAAACTGCTACAAAGTCAACTTTGGAAAGGAGTCACGTTGGACTGTAAATTTCTATCAATTGCGGACGTTTTTCTCCGTTTCAACTTAATTAATACTCTAATTGTCTAAAAAACGCATGTTCAATTTTCCATTCGAAGCACCTGGACAGTATCAGAAGATTTTGATTTTTTGAGCGATCTTGGTCTCACCTCAAAGTATCGTTTCAGGTTCATGGAGTTGTGCACGACACGATAGAGTTTGTGAGAAGAATAATTTCTACTGAAATCAACTCTGCCACTGATAATCCGCTTGTGTTCTCCGAGAGAGAAGAAATCATTAGTGGTGGAAATTTCCACGGAGAATACCCTGCTAAGGTATTGGAATAGAAGAAAAACGAGAAGAAAAATCCCATTTGAGGCTTTGGATTACTTAGCGATCGCAGTTCATGAACTGGCTCAAATGAGTGAGAGACGACTGGAACGGCTCGTGAACAAAGACCTGAGTGGCTTACCCACTTTTTTGACTCCCGACGGAGGGTTCAACTCAGGGTTCATGATAATTCAGGTGGCTGCCGCCAGCTTAGGTATCATTCGATTGTTTTTTTTCAATAACTCCTTTTTTCAGTATCGGAAAACAAGGTTCTTTGTCATCCTTCATCTGTAGACAGCATTCCTACCAGTTGCAATCAGGTGACCTCAAGTTGTAACTCGAGCAACATGCCATATCTTGTTTAGGAAGACCACGTGAGCATGGGAGGCTTTGCTGCGAGAAAAGCTATTACTGTAATTGAACACGTCGAAGCAGGTTTCTCGTTTATTTCATAATAACACTAGTTTTGAATATTTGAAGTCCTGGCAATGGAACTATTGGCGGCGTGCCAAGGAATCGAATTTTTGAAGCCTCTTATCTCCACGGCTCCTTTGCATAAAGTCTACCAACTTGTACGCACTGTTTCTCCGTAAGATGTTTTCTATCTTTTTTTAAATTAATAATTCTTATTCAGCCCATTAAATGCCGATCGTTACATGCATCCTGAAATTGAAGCTGTGATAAACTTGCTGCGAGAAAACAAGGTCTTTTTATTTACCATACAAGTTCATTAGAAGAAGTGAAAAATAAAAAGATTTAAAACGTTAGAATTCAGGTTTGGGAAGCTGTTCTTCCGCATTTGGAAACTCTTGAAAGAATGGAGATGGACGACCCGGATGCTCTGAGACAGTCTGCAAAAACGCCTACTGGAATCGTCAATGACCGATCCGAAGTAGACCTCACCTCCTATTCTGACGAGGAAGAAGAAGACATTCCATAAATCTGTTTTTTTTTCTGATTTTTTGAAACATTTCTTTCATCTCACAAGTATTGATTAAGTAACCATATGCTCAAGGAAAAATGTTACTCAACCTTTGAAACTAATATCAGCATAAATAATCGGAATTTTCTTTTTTGATTAATAATGTATTTTGCAATAAATTTGTAAGCATTAAATCAGAATTTTTTATTCATGTGAGCTTTTCCACTATAACCAGTATTTTGAATCACAAATATCAAGAGATCGCTTTAGTAGGTTATGTTTGAGCATTTTCTAAAGTGGGAGCAACGTGAAAAAGTTCTTCATACTTCGGTGGGACAGGGAAAAGAATCTCTGGTTTACCGCCGGAATCAAACACCACCGGAAGCCGAATAAATTGCAAGTTTGTTGGGACTTCTGGCTTCTGATAGATATTGCTGTTGTTGTCGATCCTCCAAAGATCAGTGGCAGGGGCTACCATCACAAGTTGACCATTGGACTTCCGGCGTTCCTCTTCTTCATCTTCAGTGCAACAACCAAAAATCGCAGTTCTGTAACAGATTTTTTGTAATTTCTAGTTGATCATTAATCATTGAACTTTGGTTGCAACAACTCTTATTTAGCCTTAAAAAACTGAACCTGAAACAAGGCAATAAAATGAAAGCGTCGAAGAGAATAACGACTTGTTGACACGCGCCACCTATTTCGACGACTTCTTCAACTTCCGTCAATACCGTGTCTATGAAAGTGCTTGGACGTTTTGATTTCCATTCAATTTCTCACAGATAGTAGGAACGAAAGCGACCGGCGTTGTCAAAAAGGCAAAAGCAGAGGCCCAAAATAAGCGCATGCGGGCGTTTCGAATCTCTCTGTCTCCGACCGCTTTCAGTGCTTCACTGGGCTTTTTCGAAAACATCAAGACGACGACGAAACCCTTAAGAAACTGATAAGGAGTGAAGAATATTTAGGTTCTTACAGAAATGGTGATTACGGCCCAAGACAAACAAGAGAAGCCTGCAAAGAGATAATTCAAATAAGTGAGTTTAGGCCAAATATTCCAAGCTAAAGACGTGGCTGTGTTGACGAGCATGGTCAAGGAGAAAGACACTCTGAAGAACTTCCTGTTCCTTAATGGAGCACAAAGATACCTGCAGAATCTATTGGTCAAATGGTACCGTTTCCTCGCGTGGTGTATCAAAATGCCGATGTACACAGTTAACCCAAAACAAAAAGACCATCGGATAATTGTTTCTATCGATTTTGAAAAGCCAGTTAGCATACGGAGACTGAAATAAAAGGTTAAATTTTAGTGTATTAGTCTTCTGTCATACATTTCCTTGTTAGGATAATCAACCGCAAAGAATATACAAGCGTAAGCCATTTTTGCTGCAAAACAGATGAGAATGAGACCGGATATTGGCAGTAGAAATGTACAGGCCGTATCTCGTTTCACAGAATTCGTACATGCTATAAATATTACTAGAAGGCAAAACTCCAAAGTCAGCAAGACAGTGGATAACGGTCGACCTGAAGCTGTTCACTTTTCGGATGTGAAATTTTTTTACAATTAGTCTAGGCTAAAAAACTACCTGGGACAAACTCGCGGCTCCAATAATACCAGCGCGTTTCTTGCCGACAAACGATAGCTTGGCGGCCTTCCTGGAGTACAGTATCGCACAACATCCAAAAAATCTTGCAGTACTTCGGCAATGGACTCAATAAAGTTTTGCTTCTATGCTCACACGTTGATTATCCGTTGCCGGGAGACGCGTATGCAACTTGCCATTGCTTTTTTGTTTTCTGAAATTGCAACAAAACAAAAGTTCTACTCGTTAATGAATTGAGAACGGGCATCGCATGAAAACTTAAATGATTCACGAACGACAAAAAAAAGTCGTGTTCAAAAGAACGTGAGAAGTCTCTGAACTGCAACAACTTTCAGATGATGAATTGAATTTGTTGAGGCAATTTTTCTTCAAAAATCAAAAATTCTCCTCGATCATTTGATGGAACATTCTAATCAATATTGAACCGAACAGGCTTTGGTCCAATATTCGGGACAATTGATTCTCCGCGGGGGCCTGAAGACAGACACAAACATGGGCGTTGACCAGAAAAAAAAACGCCTTTCTTCCTCAAGTTCCCGAAAATGGCTTCTTCCTTTTCCCCCTTTTTACATTGAAACATTTTTTCAGTAGAATTCTATTGATACTAACTCAAGTTTCAGTGAGGAATACTGTCAAAGGAAGAGAGATGGGAAACGCTGTTTATACGGATCAGATGGTCTGCCACGACACCTTGGAAACTTGTAAGTACTGCTTCCCTGATCGACGATTTGAATCAAATTTGATGAACCTTTGCATTGCTCTGCAAGAATTTTTTGAATAATTTTTTTTCTAACTTTGCAAGTGGAGACTTCCTGAAGAAACTTTTGGTTGATTTTCTTCACCATTTAAAAAAGAAGTACATTCCATTATGGTGCGAAATTGCTGGAATTCTCATCTCGTGGTTCTAGGTAAATCTCATTGCGACAAATCTGAATGCGTCTTTGTTGATAAATGCAATAACCTCGGCCAAAAGTTCATTTGTGTACCGTTCGACCCTCGTTTCCTCTTGTAAGTGCCCCTTACATCTTGCTTTTGTTGATATTTACAAATCCATTTTACAGTTGGATCATCATAATATCTTTCTTGATTGTTCTGTTGACTTGTTCTTCTCTTGTGGCTTGTTACATTTGCCGGGCCGTTCGACGTTCTTATCAGATGCAGGTCGAATACAACAACAGCCGCGAGGTAGGAACCTTTTTCAAACTCGTCTGGATATTTTAGTTTGTAAATTCCAATTTGAGGTGGTCTTCAATAACCCAGGAAGAGTTCACCACGTTCAATACGATCCACCTCGTCGATGCCACCACGGACCAAAGCACTGAGACTTTTTTTGTGATTTTCTGGTATTTTTGCACGTGTATAAACCGATAAATGTTTCAATAATGCGGAAAAGGCGAATAGTTATGACCAAGAAGCCATCAAGTGTTATCAGTAGCTCGCCGAAGAAAGTGTCAGTGTTATGGTAGCGGAAAATTAATTGTCCGATAATAACCGGCAGTCTTTGAAACATTTTTGAAAAAGGCAAAGCATAAAAAAGCTTTTTTTATTTTATTAAAGAAAGAACTTCTATTAAAGTCACTGAAAAAACAAAGAAACTTGGACGCAAATTTTTTTAGAGATGAACATAAAAAGAGAGGTTCTGAAAAATCAAAACGGAAAAGCTTTATCAGCAACTTTCGGTGAAGCTTTTTATAGAAACTTTCTCAGAATTCGAATACCTTCGCAGAGCTGACGTCTTTATCTCAAGGTTTGTCATATATTTAGAATTTCAATGTGTATTTCTACACTCATAACGCCCCATCATTTTACTGCTTTTTTGTGATTGTCGGCACGTATATAGGAGATTTTAATGGTACTTTTTATCAGTGCTACAGCTTGTTGAGCATTTCAGATCGCTCCGTTGTTCTATTCATCTTAGCCGCCCAAACTGTTTTCTCACTTTTTCTGGACTCTTGAAATTAAAAAAAATCCTTTTTGGAGGTAGCTGACCTGTTTCCTGCCGAAATGCATTGGGCAACCTTTATTGTATGCCTTGGAGCTCTGGTTCTTGCTTCCGTCGAAAGCCTGAGCAGTGACTCTCCAGAAGTTGGAGAAAATTTACCTGAGAAGTAAGTCAGAGTTATTTTTCATGGGTGTATTGCTTTATTTGTGAAAAGACGCGCAGGCGTATCGAAAGATCTTTTCTATTAGGAAAAGTTTTAAATGCATTGCAAAAATAAGAAAAAAAAGAACCGAACTAAAAAACTTCTCATATGTCCATTATTTTTGAGAGATCTCATCTAACTTATAGGCTGGTGGATTTTTTGCTATCCGAAAAAGAAGGAAGCAATGAGAGCGACGGGAGTCATCACAAGAAGAGCCACAGCCACCACGGCGTCAAAGTCGCCAGTTTCAAACTCGACTACGTCAAAGAACCGCTTGTCCTCACTCTGTTTTTTATTGTCATCGGAATCTTCAAATTGTGTCAGTCAAAGTTTTCAGTGCTCGTAAAAGTTAGATCTTTGAATTGAAACCGTTCTGCGAAAATCCAAACATGAGAATTTCTGTAGAAAAACTTTTTACTTGTTCTTTCGCTTTTTTGCACAGTTCTTCTGGTTTCTTCTCAGTAGCTAATAGCGTTAAAAATATGACTTTTTTTACAACATTTCACTTCAAAACTACTTTTTTTACAAACATTATAACCAGTTCCGAAGTTCTTAGTTCAGAAAAATTTTTTTACTGTGTCTTCTCCTGGCAAAAAAAACTTTCTTACCGATAAATCGGAAATATAATATTGTTCCCAGATGACTTACCAGGGAACGTTTTTTACCCCCCGGTTGAACTTTTGCTGAAACTTTGCTGAGGTGTACTTTAAAACCTCCTGATTCCAGAACAGAAAGAATATTTCTCGCAATTGATCTTGTTTCCGAGTTATGGAGCTTCAATGTGTGCAAAATACGCAAATCAGGCCAAAAAAGCGCTATTTCGGGCTTTTGAAGTGTCCTAACTCGAAAACGAGATCTATTGCGAGAAATTTTCTTTCTGTTCTGGAGTAAGGGGGTCCTAAAGTACACTTCAGCAAAGTTTCAGCAAAAATTCAACCGGGGGATTAAAAACGTTCCCTAGTTAGTTTTCAGGCTACCATCATACCAAATATATTCGAAAGTTTCTTCCCGAATCATGCTGTCTGATTATTGTTGGAATAATAATCGGTCTTGTCTTCATGTAAGTTTTTAAATTGTTTCTTTGTCTGTAATCCTTTCGTATTTTTCAGAGGAGACAAAACTCACGAATCAGTGAAATTCCTAGAGTTCAACTCGAAAACCTTTTTCTTCTTTCTCCTTCCGCCGATTATTCTAGAGTCCGCGTATTCACTCAAAGATCGAGCTTTCATCGAGAATTTTGGTACAATTGTTCTCTACGCTGTTGTTGTAAGAAGGGTTCCATCACAAAAACCGAGAAAGTTTGCTTGAAGGGAACTGTTCTCAATATTGCACTCATCGGCGGTGCTCTTCTGTTTTTAGTTTACATCGGCCTCATGGATGTTAATTTTGGTTTCTCCGCTTTGGACATTTTCATTTTCGCATCCTTGATTGCAGCTGTTGACCCAGTAGCAGTGAGTTTGAAATTTCGTCTTGTGTAAAAATTGGAATCGTTTTTTCAGGTATTGGCGGTGTTCCAAGAAGTCGGAGTGAACAAAATGCTCTATTTCATGGTTTTTGGTGAATCGTTGTTGAACGACGCCGTCACTATCGTTTGCTACAATTTGGCTATTGAATTCAAAGAGCTGCCAAGTTTTGACTTCTATGATGTGAGAAATTCGGAAAATTTGGAAGCCACGTGAGCATATTTGCAGTGTTTCATGGGTTTCCTGGCGTTCTTGTGTGTGTCTCTAGGAGGTCTTGCAATCGGTTTGTTCTGCGGTATTTTATCGTCGATCATTACCCGGTTTACGAAAGATGTTCGTGGTAAGTACAAAAATTAAAAATGTTAGCAATTGGTCTTATCTTACCGGAACTCACTTCAAATGGAAAAAAAATAGACGTTTTGCAGTTGTTGAGCCAGTGATCCTGTTTGGAATGGCTTACCTTGCCTACATCGCCAGCGAACTTTTTCATTTTTCGGGAATCATAGGGTAACATACCGTACTTTAAAAGCATAGGGGCAGAAAAAAAACCGGGTTTCAGAAGAAAGAAGTATCTTATAGAACTTTTCATTGCAATTCGAACTATTTACTCCAAAAATCATAGATATGACTACTCTTGGAGATAAAAGCAACTTTATTCCTTTGTCTTTGGTTATACTTTGGATCAGTGTACAACAGTGTTCACAGTAGTCGTACCCGCGAGGTTGCGGACGGGTCAGTACACTCGCCTTTTGCGAGAAATAACTGATTATAAGCTTCAAATCAGAACTTTCTTCACTGAAAAACCATTTACGCAAACAAATCACGCACTTAAAATAAAGGAAACCCAAAATATTGATATCCTAATCAAAAGCTGTATAAAATTGTCATTTTTCACTTAAGAAGCGTTTTAAGATCCAAGGTGACAACATAAAAAATTGAAAAATAAACAAAGAAAAAAACGGAAATCCGAAAAATGGCGATACGTGTTGTCCATAGGGCAACTTTACTGCAAAGCGTCCTTCGGCGGGAAGTCAAAAATTATTCTATCTGATTTCAAATGAATTTTTCTTTCAAATAGGAGCTTCTGTACATTTTCAATTATTCCATTTTATTTGCAATGAAAAGATCTACGAAATACTTCTTTCACTTGAAATCCTATTTTTCACTACCCTTTGCCTTTAAAATTTTCCGGTCAGTTTTCTAAAGATTTTTTTTTTAATTATTCCATTATGGAATAAATTAACCTCCAGAATTAATTTTAACGTCTCCACGGATGCGCTACGGGTAACAGTAATTTCCCTAACTCTGCCTTTTACGAATCTATTCCTTCCCGTTTGCTCCGATTCCCTTTCTAACCCCGGCTCATAGTCTACTCGTTAGATTGGACAAATTCCGTTATTGGTTATTCTACTGCTCTCTTATTCTGAACTATTTTAATTATTATTTCCTAACAGTATGCAGTGAATAAACCTATTATTATATTATGAAAAAAATGAAATTCAACGCGTAGATTCGATTTCAGATTGATTGCATGTGGGCTATTCCAAACTCATTATGCTTGTTGCAACATTTCATACAAGTCATTTGCTAGTGTCATGTACTTCACAAAAGTTTTGAGGCAAGGAAAACTTTTTCTGTTCAAAAAAAAAATGATGTCAAATTTCAGCTCGCTTTCTGAGTCTTTGATTTTCATCATTCTTGGTGTCATGCTGGTTAACGAAAGAGAATGGTTCTGGAGCGATTGGCATCCGTTCTTCTCAATTTGCTCTGTTGTACTATGCGTCCTCATACGATTTGCAGGTTACGTGGTTTTTTAGAAGTAACTTCGTAAGAAAAATCTTTATAGTAACATTTTTCTTGACTTATATTGTTAATCAGTTCACTGGTGGCGTCAGGCACATTTCTTTCCAAGAGCAGTTCATTATTGTGAGTTCAAGTTTTGCAACGTTTCTAAGGTTTTTTTAGGCTTATGGTGGCCTCCGTGGAGCGGTTTCTTTTTCTCTTGCTTTCATGATTAATGAAGAAGGAGAAGTAAAGAACACCATTCTTTCAGCTACTTATATGGTCATTTTATTCACAGTTTTCATACAGGTTGGACAATTTTTACTTTATCAGATATCATTCCTTTTAGGGGGCGTCAATCAAAGGACTTGTCGGCTACTTCAACATCCGCCTAGCCAAGAAAGAAGATAATTTCCGGTTGTTCATGGAATTCAACAAAGGAATGATCATTCACATGACCCAAGGAATTGAAGATTTATGTGGTTACAAAAACTATAATTGGATCGTTAGTTGATCAAATTTTCGACATGCCTATTGATAATTTTAGAATCGTAGCAGCGCTTTCTCGAAACGATTCGTTAGACCGCTCCTCATCAAAAACTACGACAGAAACAACAAAAGAGAAGACAAGTTGCTCGAACTCGATAGAGCCGCAACTATGAGGTTCATAAACATGAAATTTCGGTGTTTGACAGTTTTGACTGTTTTAGGGAAGCAATTAGAGCTAGTCCGTCCGCAAGTTCTTTCAAAAGACAAGCCACGATAGATGAAATGGCAGAGTCGTGAGTCTTCGATTTAGAAATAGGGAAAAAAAAAGACTTTCAGTGGTCTACTGCCACACGAAATGTTCGAAGACGAGGAGCATCATCATTCGACCAAAGAAGAGCTTGATCGTAAGACGGAACAGCTTACAAAAGACGTTGGCTCTATTCGCCAACTGTTGAACAATCCTTTCGAAGATGTGAGTGTTTTTCAAACATTCTCCCCCGGTTCGCTCACAGTGACCTAAGCTTCCAGTGTTATTTGGACCGAAATCTAACGCACGAAGAAGAAAAAGAGCAGAAGAGGACTGAACACGTGCGACACCTGCAAAACAAAGCGAAGGAAATGGCATCTGCGTATGTTTTTTTTTGCTTTTTTCTTTTCAATGCTGGGTATTGCAGAAAAGCGAAAAGGTCCATATTCGGACGCAAATCGACGAGAAAAACGACTCATCAAGGACTCATCCAATCTGCTATCACTTCTCTTGGCGTGCAGAGCATGAGTAACAATGCAATAAGTTAGAAAATATTTTTCGAACTTCATCAATAAAAAAATACTATTAACTTTTGGCAAAATTTGGGAAAAAAAAATGAAGTTATTGTCAATGAGCACAGTTTTAGGGGCTATACGGAAAAAAAAACTAGGAAGAGTTAAAAAAAAACTGAATTTAGCGAAACAAAATCTCCCTTGTCATTTCATAATTGACACGAGTTTTCAGCCTCAAAAGCCGCAGCCAGCACACCAGAAGAAGATCACGGTCTTCTGATGAGAAGAAACGATGAAGAAGAAGATGAAGAGGACCGTAATTTGTACACAATCACAGAAAGTACTGAGAGTGCAGTGTGAACTTAATCAAGTTGTCATACATTGTAAATACTCCCGGGATACCCAACAAATTTTTTCTCATTTTGTTTTTTTTTTTTACTTGAATGAATTGATTGATACATGCAAAGGAGATCATAGATGCAAAAAATAGCTTCGAAAAAATTCGAAAGTTAAAACAACCATGAATTGGAATCGAAGAAAACTGTACTCGAAGAAAGTTGAAAATAATTATCTTAGCAAGAGCAAAAAAAATTAGCATTCAAGAAGCTCTCAGAATGTCATTCGAGGGCGGATAGGAAGTATGATGATTGACCGTTCATCTGCAGCATGCCAAGTACCTTTGGAAAAGACGGCTTTGTTCCGACTCCTGCCATTTTAAGAAGCGTGCTTCCAAACCGTCTGTTCTTTCTGCATTATTTCACTGGTTATTGCACCGCTCAAACTTCAAATAAACCCTTTTCTTGAAGGAATCGATGTGCACTAAGATGTTTTTGTTGCTGACCCTTGTATCAATCGTCGTCAGCATCTCCCTACCTGAAGACGACTTTATCGATGGTGAGAATTTCGGTGTTAAATATCGGCTGAAGATTCCGTTTGAAAAGTCAGAAACATTCGTTTAACCAGTTAAATTTTTCAATATGAAAAAATCAGTACTTGTGAGACTTAGAAATCAGAGAGGTTCATCTTGTTTCTTTTCTTTTTCATTTTCTCGGGGTTGATCAAATCGGATTTGTCTCTGGTTGAACATGGCGCAATATAGTATAGTGGAAAGTGTTGGGTGTCGTTTAGCGTGCCGGACCACTTCTGACTTGCGCGATCGGCAATCCCGGTCGCGAAGAAAAGCTGTAAAATCAAGTTCAGTATCTGGAGCAAACAACTAAACAGTGGATTTGAGAAGATTCAAAATCCGCGGCGAAAAATCATTAGACCAATTTTTCCTGCTATCCTGACATTCGAAATATTGTCCAATTGGCCGTTCAATTATTTTTCTACAAACAAACTTCACTGCTCAAGAAAAGGCTGCCACCTATGGAAATTTGATCTCATGTTTTTTTTTTCAGGTTTTCCAGCACAAAGCTTTGGTTCAACGATAGAAAAACGACGGCTCGGCGTCCGAATGCCTAACATTTTGCGGTTCAAAGAGAATGAGATGCACCTGGAGAAGCGGAGGATGGGCATGCGTCTGCCGAACATCATCTTTCTGCGAAACGATAAGAAAAACGGTGTCCAGTATCCATAAACATTGCCCATCTTGTCCGGTGAATAAATGTTATACCAACGTCTCCACAGGCTCATCGCCCGCTCTTTTTCCCAGCGCCTTTTACGACCATTTCGACGACCACGCAACGAAATTTTCGTGAAACACATGAGATCGATCAAATGCTGATCAGCGACAGTGGAAAAATTCCTCCTGTGGCACACGACGTTCTGTCATTTTTGCGTTCACACGCTCCGATTCTGTTTCAACGCGTCTTATTGCTTATCGATTGTGTGCTGAGAGGGTGCTGCGCGCCGCTTTCGTCTATCCCGATGAGGTTCTTCAAGTTCGTCGACAAAGACGACGACTACGACAAGTCACCCGCTGAGCTCTTCGGCTTATTGAAGGTTTCCAGTTATATCTCACTGAAATTTTTTTCCCATTAATTATGCAATTTTACAAAAAAGAGATTTTAATTTTATTTGAGTTATTATTTGAAACCTGCCAGGGCTAGCGGATTTCGTGTTTATGCTCTATCAGTCAAAGTTTCAAACTTGTTAATATGACACTAATTGCGCTATGAGCATTTCATAATGTCTCATGAGAAAGAGAGAAAAGCTTAAATAAGCTCCTTTTTTAAGTTGTGGTTTTTCGAGAGTTAGCTCAGCTAACCGATAAAACTGCAGAGCAAGTTTCGAATCTGGAGATAAAAATCCTTTGGGTCCTTAGAAATAAGAATAATCTTCTACTAAGCGTCACGAGGAACCGAGAAAATTAAAATTTAAACTTCATTGCAGGCATTTTTGATTGCGCAAGACGAAAAAAGCTAAGACCTTTCTGATGTGGATCATCAAGATTTTTGAATACTGTTTCCACAGTATGATTTAAGTCAATAAATTGAGCGATTTTTAATCCGAGACCATTCAATCCATTCTAGGATTTAAAGGCCGTGACGAAATATTGTATTCGAGCTCAGAGAGTTTCACTCAAATATGTTTGAATCTACACTCAAAAACAAATGAAGCTTACAAAAGCTCTGTATTGATATGATATTTCCATCTTTTATTTCCATACGCGAAAATTTTTTTTTGCGCAAATCGCTACAAATATTTTTCAGTTCGCTTTGGCAGTGACTCTTCATGTTGACGTGACCCTTCTGTTCGTGATGGTGGCTTGCCTTCTGACGTCTCATCCAATTGGAGTCTGGAGTGAGAAAATTCAATTCAAACTTATGAAATCAATATGAAAGCGTCGAAATAAAACCTGGGGATACATTTAATTTAATTCAAAATTATCAAAAAAAAATTGGGAAAAAAATGAAGCTTTAGAAGTTAAAAATGTTGTTATGGGAACTCATCAACAATAAAGTATCGTTTAAACTGAAAACTATTCATCTAAACATTTTACCGCTCACCTCGATTTTTTTTGTAACTGAATGAAAACTGTCAGCTTACTTCTTCCGAAATTTCTTTCGTCAATGGTTCTTACAGATTGGAGAAATGATTATTCAGTGACTATTGCTCAAGTCGGTGCCCTCATCTTCCTCTCGTTCCACATTTTTTCTGACTTCCTGGCTCTCTATGGACTACTGACCTTGCAACTCTCCAAGTTTCTTCTACTCACTGTTTGCTGGGTTCGTTTTTCCTAGTTAATACGAAATGATGAAACTTTTTAAATTTTAGGTTTTCGCTCTGGTGGGTTTGACGGGATTGGCAGGGGCAATACTGTTTTCGTCTCTGATGGGCTCGAACGGCGTTCAGGAAGCGTTTTCTCTGATTTACCGCCAGATAATTTGCGTTCCTGTCGACCACCGTTTCTCATGCGTTGTCTACGTCCCCTCTGCTCTTGCTGTTAGTCTATTTTCACAAAAAAAACGAAAATGAATCAAGAAAATAGTTAGATATTGAAATGACGGATTTCATCATCTGTTCAAAAACTTGGGTTAGAAATTATTGGAAAGAATAATAAAAAAAGTTTGAAGATTTTAATACTTTATTAAGATGCGTCATTTTAATTCATTGCGTACTTCAGCATCTTCAAAAAGCTGTGCACGTTTCTGAGCAGACTCATATATATATTCATATATACCCAAAAAGAAATATAATAACTTCAATCAAAAAGAGCTTTCATTGCCGTATGTGTTTTATAAACTTCAAGTTCCAGCCCATCGCTTGTGCCATCTGCATCGCAATCGTCACGTTCAAGTTTATCCAGCTCCGACTGCTGAAGACGATTTGCAACGCACTCTTTATTTATCACAAGTGAGAGATTTGATTCTTAACATGATCGAATGTATATATTTCAGCAAACCGGGATCGTCGTCGGATAAAAGCGGCAAGTCCGAGTCGGAGTCTGACGATGAAGATGTATATAGATCCTGCCTATGAACATAAAACAATGTTGTAGGTGGTGGTGTTCGAGCGTGTGTTTGGCCGCTATCCTGGGACAAGCTCCATCAAGGATGCGGCAGTCGCGTGAATTCCGCAGTAAACAATGTGATGAACACATGTTTTGTTAATGTTGATAATTTTTTGTGTAGCTTTCCCATGTGCCCATTTTTCGATTCTTGGAATAAAACAGAACAAGTGCGCAAAGCAAAGCAAGCTAGTCTAACACTTTTTGATCTCAAATCAACGGTTCGGATGTGTTCTGATTACTATTTTCAGTATTCTCGATCGGTTTCTACTTTAAAAGGTGATACCTTTTCCAGCTTCTTTTCAGAGAACAAGCATTTTTCCGAGAGCTGGTTTTTTTAATAAGTACAGAAGAAGGTCTTTTTGATAAAGGATAACAAAAAGGCTCGGACGATCTTGTAAGGTCGGATACTTCATTATGAAAACTTCGTTGAATTCTCCGTTTTGCTCGGGTGAGAGCCGTGCTCGAATGAAGAATTCGGAACAAAAAAAAATCCTTTTTTTCGGCCCTCAAGAAGCTGAGAAAAAAAACCAGACGAGAATATACTTTCAGGTATTCGAAATTGCTGGGTTACTGCTTTTTTGCGATTTTTCATCAAAAAATGATTTCTCGTTTTGCCTAGGACTGGATCTTAAAGGTTATAATTTTCAAAAAAGAAGATCGGGTAAAGGCAATGAATTTATACGTTCTCCCTTCATACTTTTTTTCCGGCGCTCAGTGGTTTCAAAAAAATCCCTTTCGTGGACAAGTTCATAATTTTAACAACCATCAAAGTTTCTATTGCTCAGTTTTTAAGTCGATTAGGCAACCGAATCGAGAGTCAGGCTTCTTTTCGTGTCGTTCAATTGAAAAAAAAATGATTAATGAATTTTGGAAGTCTTATCGCTTTCATCTGGTTACCTGAAATGTTAGTTCAATGAAAAGTTCAATTTATCATCTCGTTTCAAAATTGTTTTTAATTGTCGCAACGATTGGTTCAAGAGATAGGGCCTCGGCCTCAACCTTTCCAGAATAAAAACTGTTTTCTGCCGAGAATGTTTTTCAAGGGCCGCTCTTCTTTTCTCTTTTTCTCATAGATTTTTAGATTGGACTTGGATTTTTTCCTGCCCTTGTTCAATATTTGCCTGAATTGACGAGAATTTATAAAAGTTATTAAACTTTCGTAATGAAGATAATTAGATTGTGAATTTTTGCTTTCACGGCAATTCTTGAGTTTGGATTCGAATTCAGCGTGAAAATTTTTTCCCGATGACCCTGATCTCTTCTGCTAGCTGAATTGTGAATTTAGATATTACCCTGTTAGTGAAAAATTTGGATATTTTTCGAAAACTTGTTGGAATGTTCAGATGGCCCGTAATGGCCTAAGTCGTAGATTGTTGTTTCTGCATGCCGGGCAAAAGTTCTTTGCTCTTCCGACAAGGGAAGCGTTCGCAAAAGTACGATTTGACACGTGTGAAACCTAGAAAAAAGCCGCTCGCGCTCCGAGCGGATCGTACGGTTTAGACAAAGAAACTCCTCCTAACGGCCTCTTGACGACGCGTTTTTGTTTCAGTTTAGGTGTGAACATCTCCCCTTTACTTTTTGCCTTCGACTTCCTATCGATCGTTTCCTTTAGATACGTTCTGTTCGAAGCCTAAAAAAGAAGTGAATTTAGAATGGCGCTTGAAGACAATAACTTCTCGAACACCTGCTGCTTGGGCCCTTGTGTGCCTTTCAGTCTATTATTCATCATTGCATGTAAGTTTTTCATCCTTCAATTTTATCATTCAAGTCCGATCTTGCAGTCAGCGCGTTTGTCCTCGGAGCTTTCTTCTCGCACTTCATGACCCCGATGACCAGCTACCACATCGAAAACTATCTCGACAACGAACTCGAGAAGGCTCAGAAGAACGAAGCTGCTGACAAGCAGGAAAGGAAGGACGACTAACGGCTGCGCAGCAGAAAGTTGATGAAATCCAGTACATACATGTTTACTTTTTGCTTACTAATAAATTGATCAAGTGAGGCATTCCACAGAAAATGAAAGCTCTCTCAAAGCAAAAAAGCAGGGTTTTTATATCGAAGAGCCAATTTATATCATTTGTCGGACCATAATCAACTTATACAGTGGGACGAAAAGTAGTTTTCCGGATTGATTTCAAAAGGGGAATAGTTCTGTTTGAAAGTCAGGAATCTCTTCGAGTTGGCTGGAACTGATCTCAAAATGAATGAACGCCTAGAAATCTTAATGTGCACAGCCGACCTTTCTCGAATTGAAGACTTCTCACTCGTTTGAGGGTTGCTACTCAGAAGAGTTTTTTTTTAATTAGACACTTTCTTGGTTTAATTATCAAGAGGATAGTTTTTCAAATGGACTAAATTTTTTTTAAAGTTTATCAATCTTACATTGTTTCTATCTAAAATGATATAGAACTTTCTCATTTTTCTTTTTGAATGATGTTTCATCAAACAAGGCAGGACAAACGGACGTGGGAATCTCAAACGGTACGTCGAGGAACATTTATTGATCTTGGCATGTGCTGTTCTTGTTTCTTCAAAAGTATTGTTTTGTGAACTTTTCTCAACGTTTCAGGATTTGATGAGTCATTATTCCTTGCAAAAACTGTTTTGATAGGGAAGTATACAGCTGCGCCATTCTTTTTTTCGTGATATCGCCAGCTTTCTTTTGTATTTCAAATAGTTTTGTTATTTATTGAGCAATACAATGGACTTGACGTATATCGCTTTCAACGAAAATGGAACTTTCTACATTCGAAGCCTCCTTTTTTCTTCAGTGTTCTACGTGGCGTTTCTTTTCCTTGTTTCTTTGCTAGGTAAACTTCAAAGGAATCGGCCTAACACATAGTCAATGGTTTTACAGTTATCGCTGCAGCTCTTTTTCCTGTTGCGCCTCGCCACACACGACTCCCGCCGCTGACTATTTGGATATACGACTCCGCACATATCGTTTTGTTACACGGAGATGTCAACGAAACTTTCCTCTTCGAAGAAGATCAGATCGAATTCGACATGATAACTGTAACTCGCGTTCCACTTGATAACCTTCAGTGAGAACGCTCGGTGTACACGTGAGCTGTGCAAAAATAATCGCTCTTTATGAGTCATTTCCCTTCTTTTGTAGAATCTTTTAAATATATTGGATAAATATGTAAACTTCTTCATACACAGTACCGTCAGAAAAGCTACGAGAAAACGGGGTGTGGGTCACAATTTTCTTGTAAGTGATTCAATCTCTCTGAAATTTATTTTTTAGCATTCTGACTGTTATTTTTAACACTCTGATGATATTTTTAACACTCTGACGCTGGTAACTCAGTAAAATATACTGTGGATCGCATTGTTTCTAATTAAATTTTTTTTTCTCTTTTTGAGCTTTGGTCGAGTTATGCACTTTGACTATATTTTTTTTTATATCGAAATGCTAGCAAAGAGTCCGAAGTACCAAAAGACTGAAACTGTAATGCAAAACTTTGATCAGTCAAATCAAAGCAATCCAAAGTAAATCATACAAAACTTGAAGAGAACCTTAATTCTGCAACTATTTCCAATTTTCTTGGGTCTTTCTACTGCTTTCTTTCCTTTTTATTTAAATTCAACTCACGACTGGCTGAGGACAAAAAAGTCATTGTTTTTAAGAGAATTAGCGTGTAAACAGCGACATTTTAGACGTAGTTACGGTTTCATGTGTTCTGAGCCTGCCCTTAATAGCCTATATATATATGACCAACTTTTTTTTATTTTTATGAATGAATAACTTTTTATGAACTATTTTTCTTGTTTCTTCTAATCAATCTTACTTTTTGATTAGAAGTTTTTAATCTATTGGAACTATATGGGATAAATTATTTTTCCTTTTGACAGTTGCCTTCAATTTGATATGTTGACTTGCAGAGGATGTTGTTTTTCTTCGGAAGTGTTGCCAGATGTTCTCACAAGCTTTTGTGTTCAATCGGTCGCTTTTAGAACAAAGGCTTTGTTTATATTACCGATGCCAATGAATTTCATTCATTCTGGAACGAATACACGCGTAAACATCATTTTCTCGTTGTTTATCCTTTGGAGCAAAGGTTGCAGCTTTTTGGGCAGTTGGTGCTCATCCATTTATCGTGGCTTGGATTTGTACAAAGGGTCTGAAGAGCCCAGGCTCCACAATACACATTTTTGTCGTCACACCCTGAAGGGAAACTTTCAATGAATGAAAAAAAGATGCGATAGACAACCTGGTGAGCAGTACATTTTTTTGAGTAGTTCAACATCAGCAGGACTCATTTGGTTTCTCTGGCCCATTATGGCTAGATTTGCTGCGGAGTTCACCTAAAAGTATCACATTATCTTTCAAAAAGAAGAAAAGGTGAACCTTCGGCGACATGGTCGGAGTGTTAGTATTGTGGGCTGCTGTGTAGGCGTTATAGTGCATTATACTGTCGTAGGCATATTTCACTCCATAACTGAAAGTTTCAAATGAGTTTTTTTGTTGAGAATCGGAGACGTACGAGGAGTAGAGTTTAGAATCGACAACCACGAAAGCGTCGTAGTTTTGAGGATCAATGTTGTTCCAGTTGATAGTAATGAACTGATCTCGATCAGCCCGAAGATGTTGGTGAGCGACGCCCAAGGCGTGCATTGTTTCATGAACTGCAACTCCTCGACTCTGCAAATAAAGTAAATGTATTCAATTTACAGAAATACTCCCAACATAGTTAGTTATTTCTAGAATGAGGTTTGTAATTCGTTTTTGCGGAAATTTTTATTCTGAGCAAAATTTCAGAAAGATAATTTTTTTGTTTGTGCTAACGTCTAATTTCGAAGTTGTGATTTTTCGCAGTTATTCGACTTCAGACCTTTCAGACAGTGACCATGACTAACTTTCCTCGTTTTGGAGCGTTTGGCAGAATATGTGAAAAAAAGCAAGATCAAAAAAAAATTACTTTCTTTTTTTCACTGAAATGAAATTTTACACGCCGTTTACTGGAAAGCTAGAATGAGTGAAAATTGAAAACTAAAAAAAAACCCACATTTGGACATCCAAAACTCAAGTAAACTGGATTAGCAGGATCAACTTTTCCAACGTATGAAAGACCACAGCTGAAAATCATTTTTATGCTTGTTTCACAATTTATTTCTCACAAAGTAGGGCTATCAACTTTGTAGTACATTATATGCGGTCCTGAAGGTGCACTTTTCAGTTCCTGGAAGCGGATGCAGGTTTTTTGCTCAATTTCGAGAATAGCCCCTCGAACGTCAGATTTATCAACTTCTTCTGCAATTTGAAGAAGTTCTACAAAACATTATGAGAAAAAAAAAAACCTAGCGATGAGTCAAATACAAAACGAATCGGACTGTTTGATGGCCATTTTTGTATGAGATGTTCCTCGAAAAAGATAGAAGATCTGAAAATTCTTCTTCTCACCCGTCAAGATGTACTCTTTCAAACCTTCTTGCTTTTTGGGCCGGCGTAGGAGCTGCAGTAGCTTCTGTTTCCGCGTCCGAATCCTCAGAATCTGTTTCAGGCAGTGGAATCTCGTCAGCTCCTTCACCAGCTTTGTTGAGTTCATTCAAAAGATAATTGGCTTGGTTTTCCGTGAGCATCATGTCCGAGTCAAAGACGCCATCATCCACTGGAGTCACCTGAATAAACTAGAGCATTCTCCGGAAATCCAAGCGATTTACAATGTCGGATAGGTTTCCCTTTTCTAATAAAGCTTCTTTCAATTGGAGAGTTCTGTCAAGCCTAAGTTGAATCGCTTCTGAATTGTCTTTACCAAGAGTCGCTTTCTCGAATTCAATCAGCTGTAATCAGAATGCATGAAGGAAAACATCTCATTGTCAGTTCAACCTTATTAGCAAGGAATTGTCTCTTCTTTTTGGCGTGTGCTGGTTGCTCACGACATTTCCTTCTTTTACAAATGTCCTGTAAGTTGGGTTTCAGGTTGCGCTGAACTATTTTCTACCTTAATTTTCAGAACGTTCTCAACATTGATTTCTCCGAGGTTTAGTTGAACTCCTTTCAGGTAATCTTTAAGTTTGTGATCGATTCCTTTCAGAGGATCGTAAGTTTTTATTCTGTAAATTTAACAAGATTTTTTCTCGCTTTTAAAAGGAGATTGTACCTGGGAACTTTAGGAAGGAACTTGCCGATACGCTCGATCGATAAGGTTGTAACGATTTCGTTGATGTCGCCAATATTTGGTACTACTCCCTTTCTAGAAATTGACAGTTCAATGGAATAAACCTGAAGAAAATAATTACCTGCAATGAGGATGCCCGGGAAAGCGTCTACAGAAACGACGAGCTTTGCGTCTCCAGGTTTTGACAGAAATTCGCTTTCCTTTTCTGATTTCCTGAAAGTTTTTATTTATCTAATTCTAAAGGTCCTTAGATGAACTAAAAACTTGAATTATTAGCTGAAAGTAAAAAACTACTTGAAGTTTCCTATCATTTTGCAATGATTCGTTGATAGAATAGTAGTTTAGAATCTAAACTACCAGAGGTGGAGAAATGGCGCCCCTAAGCGTTTTCAAACGTTTACATTTCTAAACCGACGAAGGCCGCCATGGCCAATTCTTGATAAGTCGCTGCGCAGGGCGCCCGGGGCCGAAACCGCGATGGCAAAAAAACGCCATTAGAAGAAAAAGAACGCGCAAAATTGAAACCTTTTAAAATCTTGTAAAATCGTTGTTTTCGAAGCTTTAGAAAAGGTTTTTTGAATTTCCAATTTGGTGGCGACGGAAATTTCTTCTCTCACTAGTCAGCGGGTTTGTAACCATAAATCTGGAACATTTCGCCTGAAGAAAAGGACAAATATGACCGTACTTCACATAAAAAAATTCAACTGGACATCATGTCCACTGAAAATTAAAAAAATTATTGAAAAAAATTCACGATTTAATGAAAAGTGAACAAAAATAACCATTTTCGCCTTACTTTTGCAACGTGGTATTATACGCCATCGACACATAATGACGCGGCTCATTTCTTCTCAGAGGCCTGATGGCTGAGGCGGGCATGTTGCGCCCGGGAGGGCCTCTCATTTCTTCCACCTCTGGTTTAGAAAGTGTCAGTGAAGTTATAATTTTTTGACAGTATAAATACGCACATCGAAGTCATCAGCAACATCATGACCAGCGCCGCCAACAGTGTCAAAAACACCTTGAGTTATATCTGCTGCTAATCTTCCAGCTCCTTCCAGGAGGTTTCTCGGACCTCCACCGGGGAAAAATCCTGGCGGAGGTTGCGGTGGAGGTATGAAAGGAGGCCTTCCTCTAAAAAACGGTCCTCCGCCAAATAACGAAGCTTAAAATAATTATATTTCATTTTTGTCTCACACAGGGTCCTATCTAAGGAAAATTATCAATGAAGTTTCTTTTGAAAAAAACTGTTCGCTTGAGCTTCCAACCTTTATTCTCAAAAGTTTGACTGTTCATGAAAAAAGTCAGTTTCAAATCTTAATCAAACTCCTGCTTTGGACTTCACACAAGTGAGAGGTAAAATAAGACTTACGCAAACCTCCGCCGCCTTCTCTTCCTAAAATTAGAACATATTCAAGCGAGAGATACTTCAGAATGAACCTTGAGCATGAGCCGCTGGAAGAAAAACAGACAGAACCACCCAAAAAGAGAGCATTGGCGGCCTGTTTTCAAGAGATGTTGCCTTGACGTCGTTGTAAACTTTGTGGGCCGGTCGCTTCTTATGTTCTTCGTTCAACAGTCGCCCCTTTTTGGCCAGTGTAAGTTTCATTGCAACCTGGATCAATTGTTATCGAGGCAGTATGACGTGTACAGCCTTTTTTGCGATGTTTCAAGAACTAAGATAGTCGTTTTAGGCTTGAGTTTGGTTTGGCGAACGGTGCGCCGCGTCATACCTTACAACAAAAAAACAAGATCAAAACACCCCTCTTTGTTTTATTCCTAGTTACTTCTGTCAAAGGGGAACTTGAAAGCTCAGAGGTTTGAACTGTGTGATCACGTTGATAGGCTTTGAAAAGTATTCGTTCGTTTCTTTTCGAAATTAAAGCTGTTTTCCCTGAATTATTTGAAGGTATCAAATAACTTACTTCATCCCATCAAACTTGATTCATTGATTTTTCCCAAAAGTGAGCTTTCTGGAAAGTTTCCAACTTTGCGCCAGAGATTCAGGATTTTTAAATCTTCCAAATGATTAAATTGCACAATTATCTGAGAAATTCTAATTTGACTTTCAATGAGTGTTAAAAAATCTCGAAACTTCCCGAATTGTCATCAGAATGAGATAAAAAAGCATCTAGCGCTTGAAATGATTATTTTTCTAGTATTTAAAATTTTACAAAAATCCAAAAATTGTCAACGTATACTCTTCATGTATCAACAAGTTGAAAGCGATATTCATGGGTCCAAAATTTCCGCGGCTGCAGCTTTTTTCAACTTTTCAATGACGGCGGTTTGGTCGACGTACTCGAACACGTTGGGCGCCGAAAACAAAATTCCCATGGTTCCACCAGTTGTCACTAAAATTTAATTATGTTTGCTTGATGATTGACAGCCACGTTTCGAGTTCTGTCAATTGATGTGAAAACCAGAAACGTTTTTTAAGTTTCCGTTTGCATTAAAATGAACAATAAGGAAGTTACAGGAGGAACTTTTCTCCCAGTGATATCTTCCGCTCTGAGGCGGAACAAAAAGTAATTCAGCAAATAAGGTGCCCTATTGTATCCGTTTTCTGATCTTACCTGCAAAAAAAATGTATAGGAGAAGGCGGTCGACTACCACCGAAACATATTTCCACTCTTCTCGCTGCTGAACTTGCCGAATAGAATTTCATTCAGATTTCCACTAGCCTTTTTGTAAGTGTTGTCTTTGGTCAAATGGGTTGTGATATACTCGATTGCTTCGATAGCCTTGTTAGCTTCAACAGAGAGGTCCTCTGCTTCGGAGCCCTCAATTCGTCGATATATTTTCATAGACAGCATCAAGAAGCTTATTCAAAGAAAATTAATCAGGAAAAGTTTGATAAAACGAGTTCGTGACGCATCCTTAATGACTTACATCCTGGCTTGGTTTTTCCACAGGAACGGTTGAGGTCTGAACGAGTTTCGATGAACTTTGGAAAATGGGCTTTTCTCACTTTTGGAATGACACTGCGTTTGAAAGCATTCCGAAGAGCACTCCGAATGCTTCTTTTTTCGCGCCTTTCTCGCCTTTCTCGAGAAAACTCAGCTTCAGTGCTTTCCGGGCGCTTCATAAGAAGGAAAATTGGTAGATACTGAAGGAAACGTGAAAAAAAGGGAAACGACTTGATTTACCCGCAAAAACACTCTCCTAACCCAGTTAGGCATTGTATGCGTTGCTGGACCACGAAAGTAGATGTTGATAATAACTACGCTCACCTGTGAAATTTGATATGCTTTTCTAATTTGAACCTGTTGAACAAAGAACTACAAATAGAGAAGGCAATTGGCTACAAGCCAGCTAATGATAACATTGAAAAAGCTTCTGGATAGCTACAAAGGCAATGTCTGCACGCAAGCCACGATTTCCCACTCACCATTATTGTCATCATATTCATGATGAAGACAGTCAGTAGGTATTTGGCCATTAATGGAATGGTCGAAGATGTGGGCGGCAATATCTGATGGTAAATTTTTTTAAAACATGACAAGTTTACAAGATCCTATGTGAGAAATTTGAGAAAAATAGTCACGGAAATTTAATCAAGGAGTAGTAAAAATTCCTAGTCATTTTAAAATTTTGCCATCTTTTGGCCAGGGAAAAAAGGTAAAATTTAAAAAATTAAATTTAAAACGTCTGCAGCAAGTTTTGAAGAGAGTTTCAAATTTTGTTCTTTTATACTTCAAATAAAAAAATTCTTACTTTGGAAACGACCAACAGGAAAAACGACTAAAGCGAGTAAAAATGCTGATGGCAAGAGTTATTTTTTCACTCGATTCGGCTGGCAAATAGAAGACCATCATGGAAAGGAAAGCCATCAGCACTGTCGGCATGATTAAAATGACAGTATAAAACAATGTTTTCCTGTAAAAAGTGACAGAATCAGATGAGAACAGGAAAAAAACCGTCGTATATGAATTTGATAAGATATTTTTGATCTTTCATCAATCAGAAGACCCGGAACCGCCATCACATCCCAAACGCCACTGGGAGAATAATCGTTCAGTTCAACCTAAATTGGAAGTGTTCAATAACACCAAAAAAAATTTCCAAGGTTCAAATTGGAAAAGTCTTAAAAATATAGCTAGCCTAATTATCTTTGTGAATTCGGAATGAAAGAACAAATAAGGGAACAAAATCTGAGACCTGTTTCTTTCCACTTAGGTAGGATAATTGCAGTTCCTCCTTTTGAAATGTCCAAGAGCCAAAAGTGAGCGAACAAACTTGCTCTAAAGACGAAAATTCTTATTTTAAATTATAAAAACCCCGATACCATCAAAAGGGAAAAATTCGACATCAATCAGACAACTACTTTTATAAACGGCAGGAGGTACCCATAACATCTCTCCAGTGTGCTCGACGACGACATTCGAATAAAAGGAAACTAAATAATTACCGTCCGCACTGAAAAACAATTAATCTGAGCTTGAAATTTCGCTCTCCTAACTTATTGAATAAGACAATGTCCGGAAGCCAAACTTTGTCTGGTGGCACCCTGACTGTCTGGATTCCGTCGTAATCTCTAGGATCCCAACGCATTTGATAATCGTTCCATCTCTGAAGTTTTTTTTTCCAATCGATATAATCGATGAAAGCTGTTTTCCAACAACTCTTGAAGAACTCACCATTGTTGGCCAAACATTTGTCTGCATTATTTGATTTTTCTCATCAACATTGATAAGCAATACGAGTGCTAAACTGAACGCAACCTGGAACTCACAATTATTGAAATAATTTTAGTTCAGTAGACTTCAATTGGAGGCGAAGATGTATTCATAACAGGTCTTATTAAGGAATTGTAACCTTCGAAAATATCAGCAAGTAAGCGATCTTCGGCAGAATAGGCATCAATGAAACAGAAAAAATTATCTAAAATGTGTTTTATCGAGAAAATTGCATTCGTTTACCTAAAAGAATAGCAAAAATGAAATGAATCATTTTCTAGATGATAGAAGTTGGCCAATCGGCAGCTTGGTGTAGGAAACTGCGCTAATCTGCGATTGTTTACTTTCCATTAGCAAGAGAATATTCTGTAGAACTTCGAAGAGCCATGGGAAACGGATGTGGAAGGCCTTGTGAAGTGAACGAATCAATTCTTTCTGACCTTATAGGGTTCATCTTCAGATTCCTATTAGCACTTGACTTTGAGTTCGACCCTTTTCTCTGCCTTGTACTCATTCCAAACTTTCGAAATTCATTCAACAAAGTTGGGATAACCAGTAAAATTGAAATACACGTAGGTTGTGAATTTTTAGATTGTTTGAAAGTTCAAATTCCACCCAAATATTTTGCGTTAAGTTGCTTGATTACTTTCTCTTGGTCCACGAAATCAAACACGTGGGGGGCTGAAAAATGGACTTTTCGAAATTTCTTTCTTTCAGTACTTGCCTGAGCAAATGATTCCCAGTGTTCCACCCAAAGTAACGCCAAAAAATACAAGCAGCAGAAGTCTGTCAAGTACCATTGCCACATACTTCCAATCGTCTCTCATCTGCAAGTGATTCTTTGGTTTTCATGAAGAAAAAATTTTTCTAAAGTGCTTTTTTTAATGCAAATTTTTTTCAAGTACCTTTTTTTCAAGCTCATTTCTCGCTTCATGTGCTCAGCGATGTAGGCGATCGCCTCCACTGTCGTCTTCATTTCTTTGCTGATTTTTTCGTGGAGAGCGTCAACGTGATTTCCGTTTGTGTCGTCGACGAACGTCTCCTGCTCGTCTTCCTCGATTTTAGCCTGAACTCTTTTTCAAAATCAAATCAAATTTCAGGAAAAGAGGACATGGAGAACTTGTCTTTTCGTATTCAAAACGAAAAAGTGCGTATCCCCTTCACTTACGCTCAGATAAAAATGAAAATCATAAGTTAATCACGTAAAAAAAGGCAATTTTACGAAAATTCCCTATGAGGACTACATATAACCAAGATGAAACTTGTTCACTACAAATGTGAAAAAAAAAAACTAAAAATCTCGTATAATAAATTATTTCGCTGACCAGAGAATGAACCTTAGCTTGATTAAGAAAATTCTTTTCAAAAACGAGCTTTCAAAAGACCTTTCACTTATTTTATAAACTTGCTCAAAAAAATCAGAGAAGGTTTGTAAAAAATTTTGTTTTCTTCTCAAAACAACTGCTGATGTAGATTTTCCAATTTTGATGGAGACCAATATGAGAAGGATACCTGTACATGAGGAACTTTTCTATGCTTATTGGACAATTTTCTGGAGAGGCGTTTTCTCCATTTCGAGCAGTTTTCATGATGTTGAGTTTCTGAAGAAGAGCTGGTGGCGCTATTCAGATTTTGCATGCTGGTTAAAGGGGCAACTTGGAGGAAAGGCACTATTGTAGCCGTCATCGAAGGCATCACAAGACCTGAAGAAATACTTTTGAATACCGTCTAAATTCAGACTTCACTCACTTGCATCGAAGATTTCAGAAGCACAATATTCTTCAACAAAGTAACCGTTGAAAATAGGGATTCTTTCTGGTCGCTTCATAACCAGAAGATGTGGCAAAAACTCAAGAAACGTTTTTCGCACCCAAACTGGCATTTGATGAGAAAGCGCGCTTCGAAAATAAATGTTCACTATCAAAACCGTGACCTGAAAAACATTGCTTTTTACATCTCTTTTTTCAAAAAAGGAAAAATTTTGAGGGGACCTCGTTGAAAATCAGTCAAATTCAGACATTTTTTGACGTAATTCGTTTTTGGAAGCAAGAAAACAAAGCAAACTCACAACGACAGCTATGATATTCAGAACGAAAGCCAATAACAAATATTTTCCCATGAGAGGAATGTTCGATGTTGGAGGCAAGATCTGCAGGAACAAAAAATTGGAAAGAAAGACATGGAAAAGAACCTTTGAAACCAGCAACAAAAACACGACAAGAGCTAGCAACAGAGAGATTGTAAGTGAAATTTTTTCGCCAGAGTCCACGGGGAGATAGAAGGCCATGACTGACAAAAAAGCCATCAGCACTGTAGGGATTATGAGAATAACAGTGTAGAATAACGTCTTTCTGAAATTGCAGTTCAAGTTTGAATGAATAATGTGTGAACCTTCGAATAACGACGTTGAAGACCATTTTGCTTTCTTTGGTCTCAGCGCGATTCACCAGATGGCCAGGAACATCTGATTTGCGTTTCTCAGTTTTTCATTCTGCACATGAAAAACTTACCGATGACATCCCAGATTCCAGAGTATGAATAATCCGTTAATTGCACCGCTTGGATGTTATTATACCAATGAAGTCTCACTTCTTCAGAGTTGTAGGTCCATGAGCCAAAAACCAAGGTGCAACATTGTTCGTCAAATGGAAACCTTGAAATTGGAATGAGAACAAACTTCATCCATGTTATACCATTCCACGTCAATCCGGCAACTACTTTTGAACATCGCAGGAGGTACCCAAGTCACATCACCATTACTATCGACGAAAACGTTCGATTTGAATGAAACTTCGTAGTTACCGTCGGCACTGTAATGATCATTTCGAGGAGATTCTTGCTTCTCATGAGAAAATATCTCTTTCAATTCCAGTTCTGTTCGAATTTTTTTCTTTTGAAGAACTTGGCTTTAATTTCTTCAGACACGCGACCATGTTAATTGAGCCCTTCCGTGCAAGCCTTAACTACGCCTTGGGGTCAAGCCGTTGAAAACGTGGTCGACTCGACGATTGATGGCTGTCGGAACGTAATTGCCCGCGTTTTCCCTTGTTTGTCAATTCTAGCACTTTTCTCATCGATTTTTGATATTTTTTTGTAGTTATTTTTTTGATTATTTTTTTGAACAACGAAAAAAATTAATAAACACGAATCAAAAAAACTTGATTTTAGACCGAGTGAACTCTGATAGAAACGCTAAGCTCTGAAAAAAAGTGAAGCCAGATTTCCGTTGAAAACTTTCACAGTTATTCGAAAACTCTTTTGACCTCTTGGATAAATATTCGTGACTATTTTACTGCCTATTCTTAAAGGAGGGCATTTGCAAATAAATTGACATTTTTTAGTTTTATTCTTCCTAAGAATATGAAATCATCTGGCTTTTTCTGTATATAGCAATACGAATTGAAAAACTTGGGAGTCTTCAAAATATCAAAGAAAAAAAGAAAAACATTTTTTTGATGAATAACGCAACACCCTGGTGAAATCATAATTTCTGTCTCCCACTATTGTTTCATTCTCAGCAAATCGTTTCAGCTGGCAGAAAATACAAATGAGGCACTACAAAGCAAATTAACGCCTAAGGTTGCCTGAAGGAATGCCGACGGACGCGAGTTTATAAGATTTGGGAGGCGCTCTGATTGCCGTCGCTCCCGCTGCGCAACACAATTGAATGGCTGCCCAACTTTTGTGAGGTGTCAAGACCTCGGAGTAGAATCAAAATAGAGTCCAAGCTAGAAAGAAAGCGGAACTTCAGAAGCTCACTTGTTGAAAAGGACGATGTCCGGCAGCCAGACTCGGTCTGAAGGCACATGCAGGTTAGAGATGTTCCCTGAAAAAAAAACCGCTAACTGAATTACACGACAAAACAAAGAATTCAATTTTCCCAATTGTTCCGGCTTAACGTGTTGTTTTTGTGTGTCGACGCAAATTGGCAATTTGTATTTATTCATAAAAAACAAGATTGGACTAGAACTATTTTGGGTTATTGAAAACGTGTTCCGTTTCGAGAAGAAGGCGCAATTTTTCCGTTTCCGTTATGTTTCTTCAAAGAGCTCGTCAGACGAATTCAAATGAGCTGTTGATTAAAACTCCCCTAGGGCAACGTTGTATGCAAATGAACTAACCATACTCCGAAGGGTTCCATGTCAACTGAAAGTCGTTCCACTTCATTGTTAGCCAAACGTTCGTCTGCAGGATTTGGTTTTTTTCGTCCTCAAAATGCAACTTTAACTCGAAACGAGATTTTTTCTGCTCACCACGTTGATCAGAAGAATCATGGCGACGCCGAATTCAACGGTTACTGGTGGACTGGAAAATAAAGGAAGATGAAATACTAGGAAAATTTCTTGTTAAATTCATTATTTTGTAAATTGCTTCAGACAAAAACATATACGTGTGAAACTTTTCAAATTCAGATCTGCACATTTTGATGAATTTTGTAAGTCCCTTTTGTTTGTAAGCCATCGATTTATTTTGAACCTTTAAAAAAAGTAGTTATTTTTTTGGTTCATACTCTAGGACTCACATCAGCAAGTGTCCGGAACACTTTTCAAAAAAAGAAAAATCTTGATTCTTCACCAAATCTTCAATTCAACTTTTCAAATACTTTCCTTGAAATTTTTCTAAAAAAAATGCCGACCTGCTGACGTTGCGCACAGGCCGAATGAGAAAGTTGTACTCTCGAAACAAGTCAATCACAAGTCGGTCCTCGTCTTCTCCGACTTCAATTTGCTCTGTAAAACTGCGACGTCTTCACTACATTCGACTCAGTTCTAGACTTTCAACTTCTGATTGGTAACTTGAAAAAAATGTTCCGTATTATTTGTAAAAAGATGAAAATTCTCTACAGCCTAATCTGTTTTAAGAATCTCTCTTTTTCCAAGTTCCAGCTTTTTCAGCTGAAGTTCACAGTTAAAAAAAATCGGTTACTTCATTCAAAACAAAGCTCATTGAAAAAAAAATGGAACACCGTTTTCTGTATCAAAAAAAAAAGTCGGTTTCATTCTGACCAAAAAAACTTATTGAACGTCCAAAAATATTAAATTACCCATTCGCATGAAGGTCCGAAAAATTTCAACCTATCAATCAAGTACGGCTTCTCTTAATCTTCTATTTTTGCTTATCTTCAACCATTGGTAAAGTTTTGTCTTCTCAGCTTAATCTGTTTTAAGAATCTCTCTTTTTCCAAGTTCCAGCTTTTTCAGCTGAAGTTCACATTTCCAGAGCTCCGCCTCGTTCATATGGAAGTAGCCGTTTTTGATGGAATGCAGCAGAAAAAGAGGAAATGAACGGCATCATTTCCATTTTTCTTCGGAGGAACGCCAACCAAATGAACCGAACTAACATATTTTTGAGGATTTGGACCAGTCGTCTTTCTTTGTCAAAAAAGCTACTTAATGTGAAAAATTTGGAGAGAAAAAAAATAATTGAGAGAAGAGAAAACCAAAATAACGCAAAAATGGCTTGTTTGAGAAGCCCAATCTTTCGAATAACTACTGCAGGGAATCCAGAGCTTCATTCAAAATTCTGAAGTATTTGGAGACGTGAATCATTCATGATGTCCATCAAAGCAATGGAATTCTTTAAACTGACAATGTTGAATGAAAAGTCGAAGTCTTATATACAGCGATAATTTATCAATTTTTTTCTTTGAATTTTTTGAGGGTTTTTCTTCGAAAATTCAAAAAATTTAACCTTGAGATTTGTTGAAATCCGCAGAGCTTTCTCTATTTTCCTCTTGATTTGAATCTGTCGTGTATGTATCATCTTGATTGCAATAAACAAATCCTGCAAATATGAACCCGAAAGCTAACACTAAAACCAGTCTGCTTGTCATCTGAAACAACTTTTTTTTAGCTAATCGAGTCGAAATTTGAATTATTTTACAAACACAATAGTTTCGAAAATTGTTCTCCGATGAGGTGAAATTTTAGTTTTATGAAAAAAAAGGATATACTTGGCAGGATAATCATGAAAAAAGTTTCCGATCTTGCAGTAGAACGGAAAAACTTGTTAGCAAAGAAGTTATTGGCCTCTGAAAGGTAATTCAAAAAAAAGTATCAAACGCAGAAGAACCATTAAATAAAATTTTATGTCAAATCAAAAATTGGGTTCAAGCTCAGAAAACAAGATTTCTTGAAACAGAGGTGAAAAATATCAGGCCATTTTAGCGAAGATGTTTTTTTTATTGCGGCTCTTTTAATCTAACATGATCTTTATGTAAACGGAAGTACTACTGGAAAATTCATTCTTAACGATGATTTGAGGGAAAAAACTTTCTGAATAACTCATAAAATCGAAGAAAACAACAAGAAAAAAAAATTATCAACAAAAAGCGACAAGAAACACTTGAAGCTGTGTTCAAATGTTCGAAGCCAAGAGGCGCGAGGTCCTCCCGACGAAGCGGATATACAAAGGGGGCGGGACTTGGAGCCCTGGAATTGATGCTCCAAAGCACACTATCGTTCGTCCGTCCGGCTCTTCTCCAGGCCGTGAAGACAAAAGATGACACATTTTAGTTTCACGCCGCCCATCGTTCCTCTGGGGACATCTGAAGCACTGCTCCAACGTGCGTATCGACGAACAATCTTCCACTTGTCACGCCGCTGTTAAAACGCCTGTCGTGAGCCTTTTTTAGATTTGTTCGCTTTAGGTTTGAAACAATGTTTAAGAAGGACGCTGTTCCTCATTTGAAACAAAGGCATTACAACGTTTTGATCGATCCTTTAACTTTCTAAAATATGAGGGTGTAGGTCTTTTTTCGAATTTTCTGTGGAGATAGTTTCGTTAAACCTAATTTGTGGCGACCGGACAAATTTTCGAGTGAAAACTGGTAGAATGAGTGAAAAATACAACTTTTAAGTAAAAAAAAAACGTTTTTGACAATGGTTCATCTAATACAAGAAGAAGTGTTCATTCAAATCTTTTATATTACTTTGATGACTTCCCTGAGTTCCCGTTGGGTTTTTGATATAACTGAGTTCCAATTTTCGCAGAGAAAAGAAACTATCATTCACTCGAAAAACCTTCGCCTTTCGGTCTGATGAGAGCTTTTGTTAATAACTTTCACATCAGTTCTTTCATTTTTTTGTTTTGTAACTGCTGCTTTATCTCGCGCTCTACAATAATAATTTTATCAGTATTTCAAAATAAAAATTAATTGAAAGTGTACAATTTTTCGATTGAAGCTTTTCTTTCAATCTGTGGTGAGCTGCAATAAGTTGATTATCATTATTTAAATTAGAGTCAAACTTACATAAAAGTAAGTTCCAGCCACAGGTGTTCCTAGCATTCGTCCAGTGTCGGAACGCAGAAACTCAGAAACTGTCTTGTATTTGGAATGAAGGTCGACGGTCACCGAAACGTAAAGCCGAGTTATTGGATTCACTGTCTTGAAAACGAGAACAACCCACAGCTTGCGGACTGAAAAATAACGTGAAAGGAAACTTTGAATTACTCACATTCCTTCACAGGACCCGGTCGCTGAGGGTTTTCTATATTTGTTATGGGTGCTGCGTTAAAAATCCTTTTTGAGAAGAAACCTGAAAAAAGCTTTTTTTAATTCATTGAATTTGTTGAACCTCCGTCAGGAATTGGATCATCTAAGTTGATTGTTTTACCCTCTTTAGAGGGCCTGTCATAATAAAATTGCATCGTCTCAGTGGTGGATAAGGGATCTGAAGAGTTCATTTTTGAGATCTTCGCATGGCTCACCAAACAGCAGCACATGCATATAAGACCCATGGACAACTTCTGTGTGTAATTTAACTGTTTTCAAGTAGGCGGGCTCATAAAGCTTGTAAGGAGAAAGGACAAAATGATCGCCAATTCTAATTTCCGGCGCGTGCATCGTTGCCGATGTGTGGACGTTCAAAGTGACCTAAACTTTTCGCAGTCTGATGTGAGGCTAAATTAAGGTTACGTATTCGATTGCTGTCAAAGGAGGATTCGGCACAATTCGTGGAGAAATTTTAGCTTCGCCAAAAACCGAGGCGAAGGAGTAGAGAGTCGAAGTTTTGCAGCATAATGATCGTCCATCTGGTGGTAAGAGATGACCGTTAGAAGCTTCTACGCACTAAAAATAAGAGCCTCTTAGACAAATTTTTTCACAAAAGAGATCATTTTCTTACGAATTTCGGAGATTTCTTTCATTTCGCCGCAAAACTTTTTGATGGTCCACATGGAAATTCTTGAAAGTTTCTATCTACGCGAATTCAAAGCAAAAACTTTCTTTTTTAAAAGCACATTTATAAAAAGATGAGGGCTGGAATGAGTGTCCGAACTTGAGAAACTCAACTTGAAGTTCGCGCAAGAAAATGATAAATGATCACCAGATAGTTTAATATCAGAAAAAAACTTTTTCTCATGAGTTTTGATTCGAAAATTATCAATAAAAAGTCGATTCTAAAAAAATCACAAATTTCCGTCCAAACTTTAGAAATAAAAAAAACTTTATAGTCATAAGGACAGATGTTGACAATCGCCGGATCACATAACATCACGTGCGGCATTTTATATGCAATCGCTCCCGCGGGACAAACTGTAAATCAAATCTAACGATGACGATTGGCATAAACTTTACTTGGTTTGATCTGCTCAGGCGTCAGTTTCTCAATTTCTATGGAATCCTTAAAAATACTAGAATTTATATGATCAGAAGGGAAAAAGATAACTTGGATGATATCACTGCAACATTTGAACTGCCGGTCTCCTGCGGTCGCACAGAAAGGATTTCTCCCGGTGCAAGTGAATGGATTGTTCGGAGTGCATGGGACACCATTTCCTGAAAGTTTGTTCCATTGATTTCTGAATTCCAAAAAAAATGAACCTGCGGTATAATCATTACACTGAGTAATCGACGGCACATATGTTAAATCCGGCGATTGCCATGCTGCTGAACATTCTGAAAAAAGATCAGAGGCAGTAAATAAATTTCATAGCTTCCAATTTACCAGGACGTTCGGGAGGTGGAATCGGTGGTTGAGCAAGACAAACACTAACAAAAAATGATAAAATATAAATCATAAGAATAATTTCAGCCCGAGTTGAAGAAATCAAATGTAGGCGAAGTGGCCGCACAAGGAGTATGAAGCGATGGATTAACGGTCATCGTGACCTGAGAAAAAGCGCTCCGACCATGCATCAGGCAACTCGAATCGCCAACACAAACATTTCACAGTCGGACCGCCGATCAAGTCTTCAATCAGTCTTCATATGAAGCCTTTACTTTTTCTCATATTTTTTGCTCGCGTTTTCTCAGATCAGGACGAGGACGAGTATGAAGAAAGTGAGTTTTGAATTCTAGCAGTTCTCCATGGTCTGTTCTTGCAGTTTGTCCTTTCCCATGGCAGACTCACGAACAAAATATTCTGGCACAGTACTCGATGTGCAAAGAAGTTGAGAATGATGGTATTTCAGTTTTTGTATCAGTTTTCAACCTTACGATATAGGTGTGAGATGTACTCCAAACGACCCCATAGAGTGCACCGGTCGGAATCCAATGTGCGTGTTTTCGAAACATACCGGCGACTATCGATGCTGCTCAGATGTCCCGCAAGATTTGAGCAATCCACCAGGTGTTCCAGAACAAGTCAAACCAAGTAGAAAAAATATTTAAACGAATGATTTTGGAAGATTTTACAGTATGCCCCGATGCGTCTTCCTCCTACGATATTCCGTCAGTCTTACTTTGCGATCCAACAGAGGAAAAAGCTTGTCCAGAGGACTACAGCTGTGAACAGGTTTGCACTTTTGACTACTTGAAGTCCGATGATTCTTCGAAAACTGTTTTGCTTCCAATTTAAAGTTATTAAAAACGCTTTCTATTTTTCATGAATTTCAATTCAGCTTAGAACGTTGAAAGTTGTAATTCGAACACTTTTTGAGAGCGTTTTCTCATTGAATCAAGGGATAAAAGAGTTTTTCAGGCTGTCAATCATCAAATGCTGACAACTTACAACATGCATTTATGCTGCAAATCAACTACTTTACACTCTTTCGAAAATGGTAATTTTATCAGACCTTGCAAACAACTTTTTTTAAGATTTTAATAATATTTTCTCTCAGTTTTCTACGAGACAAAAAGTTGGAATAAATAAGATGTCATCTAACCTGTCTATGCCTGTTTTTCTACGTGACTTCGTTATCTCCTTCAATCATTCCTATCGCTCCAGGCAGCGGCGTTGATTATGTAAGTTTCATAAAATTTTGAGTATCTAATTTTTACAGATTGTTTTGAATGAATTTGTTCCTACAAAAGGAAACGCTCTTCCGGAAATTCGGACCGGAGATCATTTTTCTATGCTACCTTACAGATTAAGAGAACCAGTTTATCTTAAAAAGGTGAGTAAATGAGCGAATTCAATTTTAAAGATATCAATACAGATAGTTCTTTTGAATGAACCGATGCCTTCTTCATTTTTCCACGTTCTCTTATTGTTCAGTGAGTTTGCGGAAAAATAATTCTCAAAAGTAGAATTAAGATCCTCATGGGAACCCAGAATCGATGAACTTGTACTATAACAGACCTTCCTCGTTGAGTCGAGATATTGAGCTGGCTGTGCCGGTCTGGGACGAAGGAGTTTTCTTCCGGAACATCAACAGAGTTTTAACTATTCAGAGCGACCAGTCCTCCTCTAAACAAAGTGACGAAGTGCAGAAGAATTCGAGTAATCCTTGCCTTCAGTTCGGAAGCTGTACATAGTTCTCGTGTTCCAAACGAAAATGAGAATCACGAAAAGACATCCTCAGACGTGGCAAGATTTTCATGCAAACTACAGCTCATTCACAGAGTTCTTGGGGTCGGAAACCGGAAAGCTTCTAGGAAATCCTGTTGCTGGCTCTTATTTCTATGTAAGAAGATTTTTCACTCACTTTGATGACAGTTCTTTTTCAGATGACGAAGTGATAAGGAGTAAATTTTTATTTTATTGATTTATCGATCTTCCATAAAGATTGAATGATAATCGTTTTATTACAAAGAAAAAACAAGTACCCGATATGAAGCTCAACTCTCACTACGATCAAAGATCATAAGATTATCGATAGTGAGAAATCAAGAGCAAAATTCGATGCGAAAGACACACAAGCAAACAAAAGAGTGATCAAATGTTAAGAAAAAAAAACGTTTTGTCATACTCGAAAGAAGAGAAAAAAGTCTCCGGTCACTTTTCAGATGACTGAGAAGATGCTACGGTCACGGACGGGGTTTCCAGAGATTCACCATCAAAAATATCTTGCGTTCTTGTGAATCAACTCGCGCGAATGACTGTGATGCTGTTCTGGTCTACGACCGCGTTTCCACCAAGTTGTCCTTCAATTTTGTAACTGTCTGCTCGAAGAACACTTGCAACAGAGGATTGGTCTATCCCAGAACTTGCAGAGACTTGTATTCGAAAAACGATTTGTAAATCGTTGTTGCTGTAAACGAAACGTTTAATATATCCAAGGAAAAACATAAATTGTGAGAGAATTTTAATTTTTCTATAAGTTCTTACAAAAAATCCTGGAAAACTTAATTGAGTTCCTATCATTAACAAACTCTTAGCTTTAATGTGGCACATTCAGAAATGCTTCAGCACATGGTTTGTGATAACTTTTGTACTTCTTCGAAAATTTTAACGTTCAAAATAAAGATTAGGGACGTAGCGACTGTACTCTTCTCAGCGCTGACAGAAAAAGCAATTTTTGAAGCCAATTTTTGTGCATAGAATAAATTTGAAAGTGTCAAGAACCTTCTAAAAAAATATCGAAAATCTAAGTTTTATGAAATACACATAGAACTTTTGTTCATTCTCCAGACCCTGCATGAGAAACTTGAAACATTTGAATTTTCGTATGAAAAACTCTCTTTATTTGAATATTCTCTACATATAAAAACTTACTTGTTTCTCAAATCGTCTAGTGCAACACTAGCCCCGTAGGGCTGGAGCGTCGACTGCGCAATAACAATGTTCAACTGAATTTATTAGTTTTCAAAACTTCATTTCGGAAGTTAATACCGCGTTGCGAATGATTCGAAAAGCTGCCAAATAGTTAGCTGATGTCTTCACATCATAGGCAGCATTTGCTTGACGCAAAACTAGCATTGTACATGAAAAAGTGGTATTCTGAACTCGAAAATCAAGAAAAGAAGGCCGAGCAAAACAAACTCTCTGAAAAATTGGCGGTGGTTGTGGAGGAAGCGTCGGGTTGAGGGGTGGATAGAAAGTGACTGGAGGATTTATGTAAGGCAACGTCGGGTTCGGTAACGGAGTCTCAGAACTTGAGAAAACTGGAAGAAAATCGAGTGTGTAATATTTTCCCAGGTTGCCGTTACCACCAGTTGCAAACAAAATGATGATGACTATCGCAGATACCAGTAAAAGAGAGAGTAGGATGAAGAGACCGATATAAATTCGTTTCGTGCTGAAAAATTAGTTTCTTGAATTTTTGAACATTATGCTCACACAACTCGAGAATAAAGTGAGATAAAAGTCTTTCAGAAACAGTTTTACATGACTGATTGAGAGTTCGATGGATAAAGTATGACGCGAGCCAGACCTGCGTTTTCCGTTGAAGGAAATTGTGTGATCGTCGCTGTTTTGTTCCCATCCGCGTCTGGCCATATAAGCAGTGCCAGTGTTGGAACTGTATGACGGTGTATATCCTTGAGTTCGGTTGTGATGACTGTAGGACATCCTGTCGCCGTCTGGAAAATTGATTGTTGAAAAAAAAGATAGAGAAGTTTAATAATGCAATAAACAAACTTTCGCTACGGTTTCGATTCGCACTAGTTAGATTCAGTAAAAAAACAGTTTTGAAATTTTAAAAAAATTACGAAATAAACGAATAATGATAAAGGGACATGTAAATAAAAAATTATTTTCAATTGTTAAGAATGGATGGTTCGTTTTGAAAAAAATCAACAGAAAAACGCAAAAGTTGAAAAAAAAAAAATAGCTTTTTGATGAAACACTTTCCGTTCAAATCCGCATTTTTTTTTTCAAATTCCTTCTGCCAAACTGTTGTACAAACATCTGAAAAAGAAGGGACGTGGATCTCTAATAAATTCTTTCACAAACTTCACCATATTCTCTCCGCTGAACCACGTTCTCCAAGACTTTGATCTTGTCAGAAACGGTGGCCACTGCAATGGGCGGATCAATCAGCGGCGGTAAATAAGCGTGAATAGTCATTAAATAGAAATTTCAGGTCGATTTAGATTTTAATCGCAAAATCGAATGGCCTGAGGTCTGGCTGATGGGCGGTGGAGAGCACTCGAGACGATGATCCGTCGGCCATTTCGATGTCTGACACGGCTGGTTCCAATGAATGGAAGGCCCGAGCCCGTGTTTTCCTTCTTTTTTATCGCTAACGTACGGATTTATTTGGATTCGCAGATTTTTTGAAGGGGGTAAACAGATTTTTGAATAAGAAAATGACGTCATTTTTTGAAGAGAGATTTCAATATATCGTTATTTGAGAAAAACATTTCGGGAAATGATAAATCACTTCAAAAAAATTTAAACAAGAAAGATAAGGTAACCAACAACTTTTTGATGTTTTTTTTTCCTAAAAGAAAAATCTGTTAGCAACTTCGATTTTTTTTTGGTTGAAACTACAGAAAGAATTTTTTTTTATTAGCTGGATATTATCTGGCTACTGGCTTGGACAATTTTAGATTTGTTATCGTGATTCTCCGCCGTAAAACATTCGGAATGTTAAAAAAAATCGTTCACCATCACGTATTTTTCCCAGCTCTAGGCAGTTTTGTGTAATTTTTTGGCTCATCTCCAAAAACAGTTCGAACTTCCAAGAGAAAAAAAAGATTACAAAACTTCAGAACTCTCAAAAAACTCACATTATCACACAGTTCTATGAATGACAGCACACTTCATAGTGGCTAGTCGCCCGGACGACGGATTTGAGAGCTGCAAACAGAGGTCGACTGTTCAGTAGAGATGCCCAATGGTTCTCATCCGCTGACCGCAGTTGAACACACAGTGCGTCTATCCTGGAGTCAGCTCTCTCGCCAACGCAATGCATTGGTTCATTTTATTTTTAGCTTATTTCCATACAGGAAGGTGTGAAGATCATGAATGAGAATATTTGTTTTATAACCTTGTTGCGAAATCAACAAAAAAGGAACATTTTTGTCGTTCTTGCCATTTTATGAATTGCATCCACAAAATGACCTAGAATTATTTTCTGAGATTAATGTGAAGTTTTGGAAGAAAAGGTAGTTTTAGTTCAAACTTTGCAAATTGCTACGAGTTTAAGAGAAAACAATATAAACGCCTAGCCAAAAGTTCAGTTGCAAAAAAGCAATTTTTGAAGCTGCTCCTCCTTTGAGCTACAGTTTCATCAGATGGAAAGCAAAACTTTTTTAGCTTCTCAACGCAAAAATTGGAAGTTTGAGTGGGAAGGTAGAACTTCGGAGTGCATCTTTATAACATTTTTTTTCAAAATGTTCAAACAACACTGGAATAATTAACACCCTTTATGCTTTGATTTGAGCTTTGTTAGTTGGGTTATCAAGAGTTCTTGTTTAATTTTCTGAAACACGAATCATTGGTGTATTAAATAAAAAAAATCTCAATCTGTACGATTTTTCGTTTCTACTCTGAGTTCTGTTTTTTAAAATAACTCTGCACATAAAGTTTGCAGAATTTTTCGCTCCAATCCAAGCCTTCACTTTATTCTTTGTTCTAGTTTAAAAACCACCAAAAAAAAGGAAATGAGTCACAATAACCAGCCAAGGTGTGAAAAACCTGGGGCTGGCACAAAAAGACGAGCAACGCGCGATTAAGAGGCATGGTTAGCGGGCCTAAATGGATGCGTTCAAGGACCATGCCCTGCATTGTCCTCTTTATTCCTCCAGACTGCTAGTTGTTGACCTTGTTTACCGCTGACGTCTCCGACGTCGCGCAGCTTGGCGGCGTCTTCACAGCACAGATTCGTCGTCAAGTTATTCATGGCCGTCTTACCCAATCCTTCTCGAAATAAGCCCCAGTAATCTGTTGTAAAACTCTCCAGCTAAAAATTCATAGCCAAAGTACAAAGAGAAAAACATTGATTATGTTTAAAATTAAACAAGCGATAATTTAAAAAAATGATCTTGAAAAAAATACAGCTGCACATTTCTGATAAAAAAACTGGACTTTTTTTAAGCTTTATCTGTATCTTAAAAATAGATTTTGATTTCATCGTAAAAAAATTTTTTTAGATTTTTTTAGAGGGTGGAAAAACTTTCCAAAAAAATGGCTTCTTTATAAAATTGCGGCGTGTTCGCCAAAATGCAGCTAATAAAATATGAAAATGTGGATTTCAGTCGACTTCCTCAGGGAAAAGATTTTATTTTTGAGTTTCTCTTACGAGGTAGCTCCGAAATACCACGAAACTGTGACCGAAATTTACCCTTATTCCGATTCACCGTTTTGCACATTTTGAACGAATTTTTCGGAGTCGGCCTCCAAACAATCTCAAGGTCATTTTTAACCTTTCTTTTCGTCAAAAAACGTCATGTTCCGCGACAAACCGTCCAATCGGCCGTTAAGACCTCAAAAAGAGGAAGGAGAGGCGAAAATCATTGTCAAACCGCGAATTGTTTTCGGCGCGGCTGGAGGATAACTGAATTAAGTCGGCAGAGGTCGTCCAATTTGTAAACGTTTGCTTTTTCTCTTGGGATCCTCAATTTTGGCAATTGGTTCGTCTCTTATCTCGTTCTCTTGACGTTTCTTGTTCTTTTTGGGTTGCAATTTACAGTCGGAATTCACTACGTTCATTTGATGTATGAAGTTGTAGAATTTTCGGGATGTAAAAAACGAAGTTCTTTGAAATAATGTGGTTGATTGGGATTTTTCGTTAACTTTATAGATTTCTTTCTTCTCGCATTTTCATGAAACTTCCGGGAGTTGCTCTTTCAGAAGCACTAGGAAATACGCCTGATTAGTCACTCTAGAGGGTTTGGTACTGCAAAAATCTCGAGTTTGCGAACGGAAGCTGTCTTGGCGCTCTCACAAGACGTCAAGTCACGCATCGGAAGCCCGAGAGTCGCCGTTTCAATACGCCGTCGGCGACTCTTTGTTGTCACATTTTATTTGGATTCTCTGCATGAATGCCGTTTAAGCGCATATGCTCCTATGTCAGTCACTTTTCCGCAAATTTTCGAGCCCGCTTCACAGCTTCTTTTTTTCAGGAAGCGATTTTTTTCTTAAAAACTTTGTCCTTTTATATTTAAGATTTCCATGTTATAGCTTTTGGACGTTTTGATCATCCTGACCTTGGTAATGAGGATTACACGAGCTACTTACCGAGAGTGCTAATTATCGTGGACCTCCACTCTTCCTTAAGATTTTCGCTCATCCTCGTGTATGAACCACGCAAATGAGAAGCTCGCACGAGTTTTTTTATGTCGATTTAAAAAATATTTATGTAGAATGTATTTACTAGGGAACTACTCGGACTCGGGTACGCGTTTCGAGTTGAAACTTTAGTGGCTTATAGACCCGGGTAAGATTACTTGGAAACAAGAGAGATTATCTGCTAAACCACATAGGCTTCTGAGAAAAAGCTTTTCGAAAATGAACAGTTTAAGCTTGAAAATTATCAAAGTTCTGCTCTTCTTCTTCTTTCGGCTGGAAAAAAGTTTTTTAAAGTTTATCATAGCCGGATCATTCAAGACGATTGTATTAAAATATGAAATAAGGTAAAAAGCAGTATTCTGAAAATTTTCAGGCCTAATTTTCCCATTTTCTACTAATTTTTTCTCAGTTATCTATCGGGTTTAGCAGATATTCTCTCCTTTTTTCAAGTATTCTGACTTGGGTCTATAAACCACTAAAGTTTCAACCTGAAACCCGTACCCGAGTCCGAGTAGTTCCCTAGTTAGATAAATTATGAAACACATGAGTAAAAGTTTTCAAAATTTTTTCTCAGAAGGACTTCTTTTCCTGCCTATGGTTTATTGAAAAACCTCTTTCTAGAAATAAATAGGCGAGAAGCAATAACCTCACAACTTTTCCTGCGTTTTTTGCACGCTTTGATAGGTTTGTCTCCAGTAAACCAAACGACTTGGGGAGTAATCTCGTGGGGAATTATTGAAGGTTTTGATCGAAAGTTTTTGTTTTGTTTAATGAAAAGTTTTGAAGTTGTTCACATGGCTCTTCAAAATGGAATAATACCTAAACTTTTGAGTAGTCAGGCGTAAATCGGATACAGGTTTTGCCAAGTTTTCTTCCAAAACCTTGCACCTGCTATAAATGCCGTTCCAAATTTTCAGGTGTGAGAGTAAATAATTACATCTTCGCCTTGCCAAAGAACTGATTTGCATGCATACTTGTCGACCTAGGGCGAGATTGCCTTGCATATTCATGAACATCTCAACCGAGCCCGAATACCAACGGCGCTCCGCCCCTTGGCGATCGCCGCGTTGCTTTTGTCGGACGTGCTTATTTTCAGCCGTCTTTTTTGCTCTGTGTCTTCAGAACGATTTATTTTAATATTTTTGTATTTTTCAAGTTTTACCGCATTTTTTTTCAGATGGACTGAATGACGAATGACTGCGAAACGGTACTTTCATGCTCGGAGAAAAAGCTCTCCAGGTTAAGCTTTTGTAAGAATTGAACAGCCCAAGTCAGTTGAGGATTTTTTTTTCCTGGGTTTTAAAGACACATAATTGTTGTAAAATTAGAAAAAAACTGAAAATGACTTTCAGCTTCTGTAAACTTTTTTTCGACTCCCTTCATGCTTTTTCGAAAAGTCAAGTTATTGTAAAACAATAAATAAAATGAAAGTTTTAGAACAGAAACACTTGAAACGCTCATAATTTTCTTTTTTTTTCTTTCGTTTAGCTTTTTTACTTATGTTTTCAATTATTATTAATTATTTTTAGAGCCCGAAAAGCCTTTGGAAGTTGATCACGCTCGGAACCTAGCCATCATAAGCTTTTTTGCAATTGTTCTGTACTTACCTTCAATTGACGGTGCTTTCGTTTTTGATGATGCTGAGACCATTTTGAATAATCCTGTTGTAACTGGCGCACTGCCTATTAAAGACGTGAGCTCCCAATTTTTTCTTTTTTAAATGTTTTCCTTTAAGGTGTGGAAGCTGGATTTTTGGGGTCGAGACATTTTCTCCAACAACAGCCACAAAAGTTTCAGACCTATCACGACATTAACCTTTCGGTGAGAAATTTTCATGCTAGCTTTCCTTCTTTTTGTTTTTCAAGAATATCGTTTCTGAAGCACTAAAACGGAAAACAATGGGTTCCGGCAAACTTGATAAACTATGTAGTAGATCGTTTCCTAATAGGCACTAGATGGCTTAAAATGGGCAGATGGGCATCCCAGGCGGCCGCTTCAATTGCCAGGATTGATGTCTACTTTTCACACTCTGTCCAGCGCCGCTCATTTTTCACTTCCCGCTTTTAGCCTTTCAAAATTGCTGGAATATCTAGTCCGGCGACCACTCTGTGGTATACGGTGTATGTTCCAAAATCAAGAGGTCAAAGAAAGTTATCAGGGGAGGGAGGAGAAACTTTTCAAATTGTAAATTCAATAAACGGTCTCCCATTCGCATCATTGCCGAAGTTGTGGTGTTCAGTGTTCCGTGAAAAAAAAAGGCGTAGATGGCCAATTTCGAGTAGGATTAAGAGCCGCCCTTTGTGTTGGCTCTAACGGCCCTCGTAAAAAGAAACGCATAAAGGCCGTTACTCGTAGCTTCTTTTCCGCTCATTCAAAAAATTGGTAAGCCTTCGAAAGTTGAATTTTCAACTTGAAAAACGAAACCAGCTCAAAACTGCACTTGCTAATTTAGATCTGAGTTGAGAGGAGTGAAAGAAGGATCTGAGTAAGAAGTTAATGTCATTTTCTCACGACGCTTTTCGGAAAGACGAGCATGTACATAAGTGCTCAAGGGTTTGCGTTCTAATGGTGGCTCAGACTGCGGAGAATTTTAGATGCGCGAATGTCTTTATCAATTTCTAACTGAATTTTTGATCGGGACGTTCTGAGATCTTGTTCTGGCCATTTTTGAGCGATTTCCAAAAGCAAAGGAGTAAAACACTAAACATTTTTTAAACGTCCAGAGAAAGAATTTATAACTATCTAAATCAAGTATCAGGATTCCAGATTAATCGCTTCGGTGAAAATATCATGGCCTTTATAGAATGAACGAATCAAAAAACCAAGCTGAAGAGTTTTTTTGCCGTCGACGCGTGCCCTTTTTTTGTACTATCAATGTGGAGAATTTTCAGTTTGATTCACAGAAAGAGCTCAAAAAGTCTTACAAAAAACCTTCACGATTGAATTGAGAGCCCACTTCTATTCTGTTCGAGTCACTTCAACAATATGTTTTCGCTCTATCCAGAATGGAAAATCCGAATTTAGTTTTCAAGCCAATTAGTTTGTTGCGTTGAGGGCAAACGCTTGAAAACTCGCCAGTTTAATCCGCGGCAAAGGTGGCAAATTTTCACAATTTCCTCACAATTACAGAACGCGCCGCGACTAATGACGGATGCGGCTGAATCGCCCAAAGGATTACGATACCAATTACATATATTGCAGCACTTCTTGTTTGGTTTTGCGCGCGAATCTCTCCCGATATTGCGCGCATCACGTCTTGTTTGCCAGGAGAGTCCAAAGAGGCTCTAAATTAAAATCTTCGTCAGCGCTTCCGCCACAAACATCCTTGAGAAACGCATCTACCCATTCTGTGAATATCTGAGTGGACGATGTAGTTTTGATAGAATAAGACAATTTCGGAGTGAGTCAACTCAAATCCACCAACAAAAATGATTCCGTTTTTCACCTGAAAATTTATTTCAAAATTCTCTTTTATTGTTCGAAAGTTAATATTGAAACTTCTTGTTTTCGCTAAATCAAAAAATTTACTTGAGCTATTGGTTGAAAAGTTTTTCTTCGAAGTCGAAATTATTTTATATTTGTAGAAGGTAGCAATTACACGTTATAAAATTTTTAAATAGATTCAGAGCTTGAAATTTGGGTATTTGATGATGCGAGGGACATGTTTTTCGTGAAACTCGCTCGTGAGTTTGCTGTTTCTTTGAAGCATTTTTATGCAAGTAATCTTCCATTCGATGCTGGAAGAGGCTTCCAAAACGTCTATCTGTACACTCCATCTAATCTTTCTGCGTTCCCAAGCACACTTCACTTAACTTTGAGAATTGGATACGATGAGAGCCATCAAAAAGATCCAAGCTAAGCTTCCTTTGTTGACCCTGGACAGTATATAGAAAAGTGATTGATGGACGGAGGACCCTTGGATTAACCTCAGCTGACCACAACGCATCAAATTACGCAAGGTCGCCGTTTTGCTGTCTTTTTTATGAAGCGGAGCGGTGTGAAGATGTCAATTATTCCAGAAATCGATCGGAAGAATATTTTCTTAGTTTCAGTAAAGAAAAACCTCCTCCATTTGCTTGAAAACGTTCGCCTGGATCAGCGTTTGACAATAATCGCAGCGACATGTCCCAGAACAGTTGGCGCCCAGAAGAAAGCTCTGCCTTTCAAGGCTTTTTTCAGAATTATTTTGACACGAGACACAACGGATATAATGATGATTGTCCACCTTTTTCTTATCATTCAAATTTATGTAGGATTTCGATTGTTGTTTTTGTGATATATTGAGAGAGTAACAAAAAAAAAATAAACGAACACCCAAGGATTACGTATTCCCGACGGAGGAATTAGCTTCGAAAGGAACATGAGAATTATGCAAATAAACTTGTAATGCGATTCGTCTCATTCACGGGCTCGTTGGCCTGACTTTCGAACATCTCGAGGGACTTGTTCCTTAAGTAGGCCAGAACATCATTCCTAATACGGGACAGACGGCTCGCGTGCTCATGCACCATCTGCGCACACAGTTCAGCGCTTTTATCGGCTTTTGGAATACACACCAATCGTTGTGAACATCCTGGAATTGCAAAATATCCTCACGCGTTACTTGCTGGCAAGTGCCGCTCGCATCGTTTGAAAAAAAAGGTGTTTTTGAACGAATGTTTGAATTTATCGTTGATGAACAAGAAGATGAGTAGTTCGGCAACAGAGAGAATAAAAAGAAAAGATCTACATCTAACGCAGAAACTTCGTTAAAGCAAAAGAAATTTTATCAAAAGGTTAAATACACTTTGTTCCAATTTTTTTCTGCCTTATTGCTACTCAATAAAAATATAAAAAAAGGTATCATTTTTGAGAGATTCACATAACGCTTGGAGAAAGACCATTTCTTTTTTGCTCAAAAAAATATCTTTTTGTACAGGAATCTACCTTGTAAGAATCCGTAAGAGAAAAAAATTATTAAAAAAATTGATGATCATGTATCTAAAACTTGACGATTTTTTTATCGCGTTTTTGCCTGTTTTCTTTTTACCAAGGCTATTTTTTATTCAAAAGTTCTTCAATCAAAAATGTCAGCACTTTTCAAAAAGTTTAATGATAACATTTTCCAATCTAATCTGAACAAATTTTCAGGTTGAACTACCTCCTGAACGGAATTTCGCCGTTCGGATACCATACGGTCAATATAATCTTACACTGTCTGGTTACTATTTTAACATACAAAGCCACTTTGGATGTCAATGAGACTTTCGAAATTTCTTCTTCTTCTGGGAATATCGCTTTTCTAACCGCTTCGCTTTTTTCCGTACATCCCATTCACACTGAAGCGGTAAGCATTATTACCAAACACAAATTTGATTTTTCTTTTCAGGTCGCAAATGTGACCGGAAGATCTGAGCTTTTGATGACTTTTTTCTCATTGGCAGCCATCATAACGTTCTTGCGGGCAGATCATTCAAAATTATCAAACTTTCTGTATCCAGTATTGATTTTCTTTTCAACCTTTTGCAAAGAACAAGGAATAATGACAGTGGTAGGTTTCTGTTGATGAAATTGGAACAAAGTTATTGATTTCAGCCAATTTGTTTTCTCCTGGAGGTACTGTCATCTCATCGAAAATCCATTCAACGGAAGATTCAACTTATTATCTATATGATCAGCATACTACTGATTAGAATGTATTTCAACGGGTTTTCATCGGCGAAGTTCACTGCTCTGGACAATGCAGCAGCTTTTTTAGAAGTCCGACATTTTCGGGTAAAAATCAATAGTTTAGTTAAAAATACCGGAAAAGCTTTTAGGTTATAAATTATGTTTATTTGTGGTTCTACCACGCGTTTCTTTTGGCTTTCCCTTTTCAATTGTGCTTCGACTATTCTATGGGCTGTATAAGCACGATAACTTCCTGGACGGATTTTCGTGCTGCAACCACTTTCATTTTATGCCTTTCCCCTTTCCTGATTTATAGAGTCCTTTCTAATCTTTCAAAAGAACACAGAAGGTAACAGAAATAATAAAATTGGAATAAAAAATATATTTTAGGCTGTTTTTATTTGGCTTGAGTTCTGGAGCCTTGTCTTTTCTTCCTTGTACGAATATTTTCTTCACTGTTGGTTTCACTGTTGCTGAACGGGTTCTTTACTTACCTTCTTTCGGGTTTTGCCTTCTTGTGGCTATTGGGTATCAAAGAACTAAAAGGCACATTAAAAACTTGGATTTTATTGTGCTTGGTGTTCTCATCCTGGCTGCTTCAAAAACTTTCACAGTGAGTTTCGATAAAGAGCTTCCAAGTAATTTGAAAAACTTTCAGAGATCAGAGCAATGGCGCAGCGAATACAGTCTGTACAGAAGTGGAATTGATGTCTGTCCAAAGAACGCTAAGATCCACTATAATCTGGGAAAAGTTCTTGGAGATCTGGGAAACGTTAGAGATGCTGAGCGGAATTATTGGCGGGCCATCAGGTTGGACTTTAAAAAAGGCTTCGAATGAGAAAGATTTTCAGATTGAATCCCTCTTATGAACAAGCTTTGAACAACCTCGGCAATCTACTCGACAAGATCGGAGAACGAGAAACTGCTGAGAATTTACTTTTGAGAGCAGTGAAAACTCGTCCAAATTTTGCAGCTGCTTGGATGAATCTGGCAATCACTCAGATGAACTTGTTTAAATACTTAGTAAAGAATTCGTAGGACTGAATTTTGCGAAAAAGAAAGTTAAGGAAGCCGAAATTTCGTTCATGACATCTCTGCGTCTTCGGCCGGATTCGCCTCATTGCTACTTCAACCTAGGAGTGTTGTACCAGAAAACCGATAGAAACCAACTAGCAAAAGCTGCCTGGTATAACGCCACAAGGTAAATTTATCTAACAGTTTTTATTTCTTCATCGAAATTCAGACTTGATCCATACTACGAGAAATCCTGGATTAACCTGTTTGTGGTGCTATACGACCTGGGAGAGTGCGAAGAGTTAATCCAACTCTCGGCGGAAGCTCTATCGAAAGTACCTAATGAAAGCGGGATCCACATGCAGCTTGGCACCTGCATCGCTCATTTAGGGGATTATGGACGCGCCGAGACTTTTATTAAAACTGCCATCCTCATGAATCCTACCGTCGCACTTTATCGTGCAAATCTAGGTGAGTTAAAACGGGTAGAACTGCAATGAGTAAGATCTTAAAAATGAAACATACTTTTCTCGTTGACTTTTCTAGAAAAAAAAAGCACGAAGTGTCTTTTTTGCTTCTCAATAAAATCTCCGAGAAAAGGATTCAACGCTGATTTTTATGAGTAAGCTTGATAGAACCCCAGTTTACTCGAAAAGTAGCGCGGTTAGATTTGCAAACCTAATCAAAGTAATTTCCGCGAAAAACAAAATGATCTGTGACTATCCAAAATTTAGTTTCATTTTTCTTTCCCTAGCGGCAGTTTTGAATTTTGCGGAATCATTTGAAACACGCCGTGATAAATTGGAAAGTTTGTGACAAAAGTCGATATATTTTTAAGGAGTATTGTATCAACGAAACGAGCGATATTCCGAATCCGCGAAGGAGTACGAAGCGGCTTTGAAACTCGACCCGAATTGCATCACAGCCGCGTCAAATCTGCACGCTGTACAGTCAATTCTTTCAAAGAACAGAACTCGAACAAACTACAACCTCTGAAATCCTTACTTTGTTCATTGTTTTTTTTTTGCCGCGGGTAACAGATTCTACAGAGATGAATATTTATTTGTCTCTAAATATAAAATGATTCAAGATTGGAATATACAAAACGTGGAACTTACAATCATTATAAACACATATATGATACATGGACATCAAAATAATTTCAGAACAAAAGTCACGTTTCAAAGATGACTTCTTGTCGAATCTCAAAACATCGTCAGCAACGTTAGTCGTTTCAAAGAGGAATGGTACAAATGCGAGCAAAAAACGACTCTTTTAAAGGCTACTCTGCAAAATCTTGTTGGCAATTTGGTTCATCGACTCGGGAAAAATAATATGCTCCTTGCATTGGATCTTCTTTTGAAGACTTTCATAGGTGTCACCATCCTCGACGTTGATTGCTTGTTGGGCAATGATCGGTCCATGATCCACGAGCTCCTGTTGAATAAATGAAAAATTAGAGTTTCGATCATTTCAACTTACATCGACAAAGTGGACAGTGCAACCAACGATTTTCACACCTGCGGCCAAAGCATCGTGAAGAGCGTTTTTCCCTTCAAGCAAACAAGTAATAAACATTTTCTGAAGAAATTGCATGCCTTTGAAAGCAGGTAGTAAAGAAGGGTGGACATTGATGATCCGATTTTTGAACTTTATTACGAACTTCTCGGCCAAGATGCGCATGTATCCGGCCAAACAGATCATTTCGACGCCGAGATTGTTCAAAATCTTGAAGTTGTTCTATTAGGTCGTTTACTAAGTTTCTTTCTTTTTCGGTTGAGTTTTTCTTGGTGTATAACTTTTCAAACTTGGATTCAAACAGTAAACAACTTTTTCACTGCCATCATCAGCTATCTGTTAACATGACAGTTACTTTTCGAGTTCCTGACTTCAAAACAAGCAATGATATAGTCAAAAAAGGGGAACTAACTCGATTTCAACCCCTTTTCGAAATAATTTTTTTGTTTCATCCAAAAAAAATCTATGATTCAATGCTTTGTAGTTGCGGACAACGAGAAAGGATGGAAGTACAAATATAGTAGGAAAGCGGACTTTTTAAACGAGAAACCAGCCCGAAAATCCTTTTTTTTTAAAGTTTTGGTCAGTGATCAATGACAATGACATGGTGAGCATTTAGACGCTTTTTTCATAAACGGTTTAAGGAAGCTCCATTTTTTGTGATTAGTTATTACAGACATGGTTTGATCCAGTCACTCCTTCTCCCAAAAGATCTAAACGTTTGACGCCGTCAGAGAGCCTACAGAAGTTCATCGAACTGTCATTTCAGTTCGTTGAGGTTTCTTAAAATTTTAGGTCGGAGAAACTCAGTTGAACCGCTTCTGCTTTGACGCATGGCTGCAGTGACCTTTGTTTTACTTATTTTTATTAACTTAAGAGATAGCAAAAGAAAAGAAAAATTGAGAAAGGATAGAAACCACTGCCCTGGTGCTATAAACATTTTTTGATGAAAAAAGGCTGTAAAATAAAATCCTCGAGTATCACGGTAGCTGCCGGTTGCTAATGTTACGCTTATAATTTTTTTCAAAAACTTTAAAAACTGATAAATAATTACAAATTTATTCCGGGGAAAAACAGGACGCGCATTGTTTCAGCAATGTAGGCCAATCACAAATTCGCCTGATCTGGCTTTTGAATAAGTAACTCATTTTTCAAAGTTTTTGGGAGCAAACGAAAAGTTTCATGAGAAAGAACAAATCCTCAAATTATTTTTTTTGCATTTATTCAAATAAAAAAATTGAAAAAGTAAGATCAAAAATAAAATCGCATAACTTTCCAAAAATCGAGATTTTTCAAGTTCGAACAAAAAGTTGTATTCTTTTTCTGTTTACTGTTACAGGAATAAAATAAACTTTAACCTGAATTTAAGATTGTGTGGTAGTAAATACTATGAACAGCAGAATTGTAAGAAGCGCTTTTTTGGTTGAAAAATTTTTCGAAAAAACCATTCAAAAAAGAAAGAAACTTAGTTAACAACCTAATAATTGATAAGCGGATTCTCTCGAAAATTAAACCTCGTATAGTTTGCGGTCGCCTGTCACGCGATCTCTGGTGTGCTCATTCACAGCCGTTCGGATTCCCATACTAGCGGCGGTCTTCAGTCCTGGTGCGTCTTTGTTGTTTGACACCACTATCACAATCTTAAAAGCTCATTGAGCCTTGACTTTCAAAAAATTATAAGGTACCTCGCAGTTGCTGTCTGCCTGTCGAGACCTTTCGATCAGCTTCACCATATTTGAGCCGACCCCAGAAATTAAAATCGCCACCTGGAAAAGAACGTTTTCACAACTTTTTAATCACGGAAATTATCTTACCTTGACTTTTCTCCTTTCGCAACGGGGATATGCTTTGTAGTTAAAGAGAGAGCTTTTGTTTTTGAACGTGATGAGTTCGTCTTCAAAAGAGTAAAATTTTTTTTTCTTAAAAATAATGACGCACCTCCTTGTTTCTCAACGATCATCCCAATACGGCGAATTTCAAGATCAAATTCAAAAAGATGACGCTCTACTTCATTTATTACGGATTGAGAAACGATCAGAACCATTCCGATGCCACTGAAAACAGAAATAGACATGAATACTTCAATAAACAATACCAATTGAACGTTTTGAGCATTTCTGTGGGGCTCACTGGACCGTGACAGGCCAACCACTGGAAAATCTCCGGCAACGGCCACGACGCACAATCTATCTTCAATATACAAAATTGAAGAGACCTTCCAGGAAATGTTATTTTATTTTCAAGTTTATTATGAATTTTTGTGATTTCTCTCAATCGCTTTATGAACGTATTAATTGAAATTCTCAACATCTGTGCGCAATATTTTAGTTTCAGAGAATAGATGATCAGAAAAAGAGAAAAAAGTTTACTTCAACAGCATTATCAGAATTCGGGTCGGTCACACGAACGATGTTCTCCAAGAGTCCGCCTCCTGTGATGTGCGCACATCCTTTAACCAGACCAGTTTTCAAAACGGGGAGTACCGATTTCACGTAAATTTTGGTCGGAGCCAACAGGATCTCACCTAAAATTGTCAGAGGTCTGCAGTTTGTTCAAAATAAAGTTACCAAAAGATTTCTCTTTGTTCCATGGAGTCGCTCTGTCATATGAAACTCCATTTACTTTCAAGATGCTCCTCGCCAGAGAAAATCCATTCGAATGGAGACCATTTGAGCTCAAACCCAATATAAAATCACCTTTCTCTATTCTGAAAAAAAGTAATTATGGTCGAAGCAAAACTTTTTTACTCACTTCCCAGACTCCGGTAGATTGGGCCAAGAAGCTTTGCGCGCTGCAATCGCGCAGCCTGCCAGGTCCCATTGGTGCGGGAAATAGACTCCAGGCATTTCTGCCGTTTCTCCCCCTGGAAAAAAATTTTATAAAATTGTTCCGACAAAACTCATCACCAATCAGCGAGCATTGTGCCTCAAGACAAGCCTCAGCAATCGAAGCGACCACTTTGGTTGCTATTTCCCGATCAAGTTTCCCGCAGACGTAGTAGTCCAGGAAGGCGATCGGTTGGGCACAATGACACAGAACGTCGTTGACGCACATGGCAACGACATCATGGCCGATCATTGAGAAGTCGTTCATCACGGTTGCAACCTTGATTTGACATTTTTTTGAATTAATAACAAAAAAAATTGATGATTTTTGTTTTTTTGTGAAGAAAAAGTTTTCAGTCTTTGCAAGAGAGTTTGACGAAACAGAGGAAATCGCAAATTTGAAACTCAAACGATTGGTTCAATTCATTTTTTTGGTATAGTCATGGCACCTTGTAGCCTGCACAACTTATGCTGTGGTTAATTTTAATGATGAAAGGCTAATTCATAGGTTCTAACTTTTTGATAGAAAAATGAAAGAATTTCTCATTTTTTAGGTCAGTTATTCACGAAATAAATTTCCAAAGTTTCATTATACTTTAACAATGCAAAAATTTTCGCAATTATTCGTAAAGATTTGGACTTTAATTTTGTTCTAACTTTCAGTACAAACAGGCTTAGAAATGAAAAATGCGTGAATCCTCGAATCGAAGCTACTGAAAATAATTTTTGAGAGCAACACCTCGAGCTTTGTGCCAACGCCGTCGATCCCAACCACCAACTGAGTGTTCGCAGGAAATCCTGCCTTAGGCAAGTCGATGCGAGCTCCGAACCCTCCAATCTTAGAAATCAAATAATTGGAAAGCTTGCAAATCCCTCAATCTAACCTGCTCAGTTCCTGGGAGAAGCGTGGCCAATGTTAGTTTTTTAACACCACTGACAAACGCATTGCCTTGTTCAATGTTGACACCACTCGCCGCATATGTCACACAATTTTTCCTTGAAATTTGAACTATAAAAATAAAATTGAAATAAATCTCACAGCTCTCGGCGGACGCCGATATCCGTTCTAAACTGCTTCCCTTCGAAGCGAACACTTTCTGCTGCCTGATTCGCCTTTTTTCGTGCTTCTTCGAGTGAATCGGCTAACGCGGTTACGCACATGATGCGCCCGCCATTCGTAACAACTAAAAGGAAATCGTTGAAATTTTTTGTCCATCAAATCTTACTTTGATCATTCAATTGTTTGGCACCGGCGTGAAATGTTCGAACAACGCAATTGTCCGGAGGTACATCTTGAATAAAGTTTTCATTCTGAGGAGTCTCTTTTTTGGCTCACAGGTTATCGGAGTATTTATATCCGAGCTGTAGGGGTATTTCGCAGATGCCAAAACCACTCCACAGGCAAACTGATTACTCCATTGAAGATCCAGTGTGGACAAAGTTCCCAAAGTGCAGGACAACAACACATCGCAGAGGTCTGTTTCTAATAGGCGCATCAACACCTGAAAATTTTCGGAGTAGTATTAAACAATTATTTGAAAATTACTCACTTCGCATTCAGGGTCTCCAAAACGGCAGTTGTATTCAAGTACATAGATCTCTTCCTGTACGACCATCAATCCAGCAAAAAGGACGCCTGCAAAATTATTGTATGTTGAAGTATGTGTAAGTAAGGCAGCACCTATGTAAGGCTTAGAAAGTTCGTCCAGAGTCTTGTCGAAAATGTCTACGACTTGCCGTCTCAAATCGTCAGATACTTCCAAAGGAGCTATGACGCCCATTCCACCTGATGAGAGAAAGTTTGTGTGACAAAACTGCACAATTTCAAACCTGTATTAGGGCCTTGGTCATTGTCGAGAAGTCTTTTGTGATCTTGAACGAATGGCATTAATGAGTAAGATTTCCCATCAAAGAACGCTAAGGCCTGCAAGTTTTGTATATATTTTCCTTTCTATAAGTTTTCTATACTACCGATATTTCATAGCCAAAAAGACGCTCTTCGAAGAGAATTCTATGGCAATTTGAGTTCTGTAAACAAAAAAATTCCTTCGAATGGTCGTCTTTAAATTCACTTCAAAAAGTTCCTCAGCGGCTTTCTTGGCTTCTTCCTTGGTATTCGCAACAATAACTCCTTTCCCAGCGGCCAACCCATCGTCTTTCACAACTATTCCCTCCCATGAGCAGCTGCAAGAATTTTTTCTATCAAAAAAGTTTGCGTAGCAAAACCTGTCCAAAAACTCCTCAAAGCTTTCGCCTCGCTTGAATACTTGATAGTCGGCTGTCCGGATATCGGCCATTTTCATGAACCTTTTCGCAAATGACTTTGAACTCTGAAATTGTTCCATTTCGCTTGTTTCGCACGTTCTAAATACCTCGAGTGCCGCGCCTCCGGTACATGGTCCGAACACTAGGACATTTGGAATTAATTTTTTGAGCTCGTCCACTATTCCTGCCGCAAGTGGAGCTTCAGGTCCAATGACAATAAGGCCAATTTCTGTCCATTCGCAGAAAGACGCGATGAACAGTGGATCATTTGAATCGACGTCTAAAGAACTCGGCTTGAACTTTCATTTCAACATTTCGAAACCACTGAACTCACCGGCATGTTCAAAAGGGGCCGAGTTTCCAGGGGACATATACACTTTTCTCACACGAAGCGATTGTTCGAGTTTCCATGCGAGCGCATGTTCGCGTCCTCCGCTTCCGATGATAAGGACGTTCATCCTCAGCAGGCTGAAATATTTTGAATGTCACAATTTATTACGCGTTTCCATTGGCAATAGAGCATCGAAAACGCGGAGAGTGAGATTTTGGGTACCTCCGTGGGATTCCTATTATGATTTATGAAAGACTTTTTCGAATTTATTGCAAAAATAAAACTCAACTTCTTGACATTAGTTAATTTTTTTATTACAATGAATTGAATGGGGTGAAAACCTAGAATTCATTAAAACAGGAAAAGTTCAACAAGATAAAAAAAGAAAATATGGAAAAGACCAAAATTGGAAAACTGAGAAGCTGAAAAGCGAGGAAACCAATATTTTTAGTGAATGTAACAAGAGAACAGCTAAACATGCAGGAGAACGCTGCACGACGTCTTGCAGTAAACAACCGACGATCAAATTTGCAGGAGATTTGAACTCTTATCTTATTGTTGAGAACTTTTTGATGGTCAAAATGTTATTTCGTTTGTTTTCAGAAGTGGGTGTCGCAAAAACATGAGGAGAATCGAAGGAATGATAAAACTCAAAGCAAGCGAAACATATTTTCCGGATGTTTTCAACTTTTTGAAAAAAGCTAAGGTTTTTGCGAGTTGCTTCTTTGGATTCGTAGAATCGGTAAAATATTTTAGTTGAGATCATGATTTTTTAAAAAACTGCTCATAAAGTAAATGAAGGCGGTTATTTATAATATTATCGCATTTTAACATTTAAATCCAAAAAGTCAGGGGCACGAAGAAATTTTCATGTAGGTCCTTCATGGGGTTTTTATTGGGAAAAATGTCCTACATGCATTGAAAAAAACTAGAATCATTCCATTTCAATAAAAAAACATTACTTTATAAAAACTGTCAGAATCTTATGCAGCATTTCAAAAATAATTCCAATGCGTCTCAAAAAAAAAACGTAATATAGATAGCAAGACAGTTTTTAATGTAATCATACTCAACGGGAACAGTCAATTCAACGAACATGATATGACGGACAAATAACCGAATGAGGGAATGAAGATTGAGAGACGCGCCCCCACGGCACGGCCCCTCGGCATGCCGTTGACCTGCCGCCTCCAGAAAATGCACTGACCTCTAAGGTCATGATTTTTTTTTTTGACATACTCTATCTATACAATGTTCTTTTTCTCCATGACAATTTCTGCACTTTGCTTTTGGATACAGTTTCCATAGAATTATTTTATTTCAAACAAGTCTTTCACTTTTCGGTAATTCGCTCATTGATACACAAAAATGGAGTAAGCTCAAAAATTTAAGAAGTATTTTCATCAATAAGTTAATATCCAGGAGGAAGTCGAGGAAGAGGGCAATGTTCGCAAGAGCCACGTGCTCCAGAAGCACCAGGAGACCCACGTTCTCCTTTGGGTCCTTCTTTGCCGTCTGGTCCAGGAAGACCGGGATCTGAACCGAAATCAGGATTATGATAATCTGGGGTGAGCTCATGAGGATTCTTTCTTTTTGTGAGAAAACTAGAGAAAGCAATTTATTCCTCATCAAAAAAAGTTTTTTTCTGTGCTTAAAGATAACAAGAAATAATTTCAATTTTCGTAAAGTTTAAGATTGAATAAAAATAATCTGTTATGAAAAAAAGAGGGTCTGATAGTTTTTTTAAATTTTTCCAATGTTTTTTTAAAGTTGGCAATCTTTAAAAATTATATCAGGTGAATAACACCCGTTGGAGAAGCTTATGGCGTAGTTAAACCTCTCGAAAAGAAGGGATTTCGTTTTTTTTTAAACCGGGCACGCAAAGTTTTTTGATCAAAGTTTCACCTCCAGCAAGTCCAATAGGACCTTGTGGGCCAGGAAGTCCGTCTTGTCCTCTTTCCCCTCGTTTTCCTGGAGCTCCAGTTGGTCCTGGAGGTCCAGCCGGTCCAGCTGGACCAGGTACCTAAACTCCATTTTTGTTGGTTTTTTACTGAGTTCGCGTCACCATAATGATTTTTCCATCTTCTCCTTTCGGCCCCTTGATCCCAGGTCTTCCAGGCCTTCCAGTCGGTCCTTGCGGACCAGGCATTCCTGGTTCGCCTTTCTTTCCGTCTTGACCACGTAGACCTGGGCTTCCGCGAGGGCCGACAGGTCCTTTGAGTCCGGGAAAGCCAGGAGGTCCAGGAGGGCCAGTAGGACATATCATACAAGGTTCTGGAGCTATTCCCACTGGTGGGAGAAGCACGCCGTCTTTTCCAGGAAGGCCATCTTGTCCTGGCCTTCCGTCGGCTCCATCGACACCGTCGTCTCCCGGAGGACCAGCTGCGCCTACCGCTCCTTGTTGGCAAGTGCAACCTGATTTTTTTTTCATTTTTTACTACGAATAGAGCAAATCGCTTTGAACATACAAGAAGGTTGATATTCTTCGACCGCAGCCGTTTTATAGGAGTCTCCGTATGGTGGGATAGCCGGTGGTGCTACACTTGGGGCGGGTGGATAAGTTCCATAGCCTTGGTTTGAATCTTAAAATCACGATGACTAAGAAAAGCAGTTAATCAAAAATATCAGGTAAAAACTTTAATTTTTTTCTCTTGCAGCATCGATAGAAAATCTGTCTGAAATCGGTTTTCTAACAGCCGTTACCTTTTTGGGACTTTTCAGACCACTGTCCAAAAGACCACTCTCGTTTCGCTCTTGCATCTGATCTAATCGTTCGTCGTTGGTTTCCCAGTGCCGCCTCAACTGAGATCACTTCGACCCATAAGTCTCGCGATTTGGTCTGAATGGTCTGGCATAAACGATCTGAAGAAAGGAAAATGAGTACCCTGCAAAAGTCGATTTCGTCGGTGACGTGCGTTTGGAGAGACTGAGCGTAGTTGTATAAAAGTGGAAGCGTTACCACGGAGCAGAAGACAATGCACGTAGAGAGGACCACCTATAAATATTCAATTAAGAAGGAGAAAGGAAGACATTTGAACAAAGTCTATTAATATCCGATGTGAGTAATATTATGTTTTAACATCCAATTTGTGTAGTGTTATGATTTTGCATATTTTTCAGGACCCTCAAACTTCCCAAAAGTGCCCAAAACGTTCAAAAGTTGTCAGGAAATCATTGGATGTCAATCCAACTCCTTGGTGCATCATTTTGTATAGCTCGCGAATACATTAACTCTTGTCCTTAAGTATATTTCTACACTTCATTTCTATTGCCGCTTAAAAGTCCAAGTGGTTATTTGACAGTTCAAAAAGTTATTAAAATCGAACAAACCGAGGCGAAAGCGATCTTTTTCAATCGCTGAAACTCAGCCGTTTCTTCTTTGCAAACGTCCATATCAGAGAGTAGAAGCTGACAAAATAGATGGAACTTCGGGGAAATTCCGACTTTTATAGAGACGGTCAAGGCGTCCTGCTGAGATCCTACCGGTCAGAAGCTCGTCTTTCTACTAAGCAAATGCAAATGAAGAGAAAATAGGCGGACACGGAAAAATGCTTATCGAGACCTTTTGTTATTGGTATTTCGTTTTGTGGCCCAGATCGTGCATACATTTATGCATCGCCTGCAAGCCGATTCCAGACTGAGATATGCTGTTTTTCCTGACGATGTCTACCTTGAGATCTTCGCATTGCGCTGATTTTCACTGAACTAGTTGTCACGCTGAGAACCAACTTTGAATGGGATCAGAAATGTATGCTCTTATCTTTTCCGAATGAGCTGAAAAGATCTGACCGTGAAAAGCAATGTACAACATTTATTAAAAAAAGTATGAAAGGTTCAATGTGTAAGTTCGAAAAATTTTATAGATTTTTTTTAATAAATTCTCAGATTCAAAAATGAATGATATCCATTTTTTAAGCTTTTACCTTGTAGATTGCAAATTCCAGGCAAGTACTAGGAAAAAAAAAGATTTGAACTAGAGCTTCACCTTTATTCAAAACTTCTGAAAGCGGGTTCAAATTCAACCAAAATTTTAAGCTTTACGCTAAAAAAAGGACAAAAGTAGTATGTTTCAAAGTCTTAACAGTGCGTTTGGAAGTTTGCCTAAAGTTATTGTGAACGATTTGAAAAGGTTGTTATGCTCCAAAAATTTCCAATAATTAACATATTTTATAAAACCCTCAATAATATTGTTCTCGGCAGATGCGCGCGTTATACCCTTCAAAAAGGGGCGGTCGCACCTGGCTTTGAGTAATTTCTCTAGAATTCTCTTTTGTCCGTGCGCTTTGCATCTTTTCTAACTTATGACCATTCTTTCCTTCATTTTCTTAAAATTTACCGCTATTCGAGATGAAAATTATTCAGTTGATTCGTTTTTTCGATCAGGAAGAAAATATAGACCTTTGTCCAAAAGTAGCGCCTTACTCAAAATTTCAAAGTAGAAGCATGAAAACTTCTAAATGTACCGAACAAACATTCCCTGTAGCCTCAACTAAAAAAATCAAAAATATACTCCTTAAAGTTCTAATCCACAAAATCCCAAAAAGCAAATTTCGAGTTGGCAGTAGTTCGGTGCATTTCAAAAAAATGAGATTTTTTTCTTTTTTTCTTTAAGCCAAACTATAAAAAAATTTTCAAGACATTTCGAAAGAAGAAAACAAATAGACGTAAATCATTTTTCTCTTCGAAATAATTCCTTGAATGTACTAGAGATTTGATCTTTTGATCTCAAATTTTTAAGTTCTTTTTTTCGAGTCCCTTTTGTCTTGATTTATTTTTAACCTTATCCATCTCTCAGTCTTGAAAAGCTCTTTTTTTTGAAACTGATTTTGTTTCATTCTTTTGAAAATATATTCATAACTGAATTTTTTACTTTCTGCTCTGAAATCGCATCACTGTTTTCGGAAAATTTATCGGAAGTCACTGTAACAGGACTAAAGTTCCGACAGGAAATGCCACTTGACCATCCACTTGACGCAATTTTTTGCTATTGAAAGAGGGCCTTTTCCGAGACTAAATTTTTGGAAGTAGACAAGAGAAATTCGCTGACCTCACATTGATGCAACTAAATTAGAATCTTTGCACGACGATTAGTTCTTATTTCGACCTTTCAGAAGTGTTTTACTTCTCTATCATGATTAATCGTTCTTGGTGTAGGAATAAAAGTAAAGGAAAGATTGACTTTTTTCCAGGGGTGTACGGTAGCTAAAGAAGCTATTAATCTCAGAACTGCAGACTTAGAAGAAGTTTTGTTGTCTGCCACACCTAAACATATTTGAGAATTTAAGGTAGCTACCGACTTTCTTCTAGTGGCGATGCTTTTCTTTTTGCGAAAAAACATATTTCATAGTAAAGTTTAGAAATATTTCCATTGAATTATCTTCTCACAAACATAATCTTTTGTTTTGTTGATGTCGTTCTCTCCCCATTTCGGGAACTATTTGGTCGTCTAACGGAGTTCGGAGACGGTCGGAAAGTGGGGCCAAAATCAAATCGGACTGTAGATTCCGAAGGTTCAAACAGAAAGGGAGTGAGACCAAGCGACCTCACGCGGACGTTTCTTCTCTTTTCGGCGTCAGGCGGATGGCGCGCCATACTACACACGCCGCTCGTGAACATCTACTTTCGTCTTCTTCACACCTTCAAGAAGTGGTTGGAATCCGCTTCCCGTCTCATGAGAACCATTACAGTATGCCTACAAAACGTCTCTTCACGTCTAAAAAAAATTTTTTTTGAGATTTTTTGCCTAACTACAAACGATTATGGTGTGTTCTAAACAAGAATCAGCAAAATCGCTACTGATTAATATACCGAATACCAAAGCTTTTTGCACTTTGAAAACGTTTTTGAGCAGATTTTCAATTTTTTTTATTCGCGTTTTTTATCACGATTTTGAATGTCTTTGAGCCAGAAATGGAAAAATAATTGAGCAAGACTTCATTTCACTCGGAAATGTGGTACACGTTTGTAGGACTTTGATTCGAGCCAACCTTCTACATCATTCGATCCAAATACCGAGTCTCCACCGCCAAATCTGTCTCCGGCCACTTCTACACTTTCAAGCTCACAGGTTTTTTCAAACTTCTCGTTTTGTACTTTTATCTGAGAAATTCGAATCGTCTTCCGTTTATAAATTACCTAAGATTTATTCAATACCGTATGATCAAAATAACATTATCGTACACCGTGCCATACAATTTCAAGTGCTTTGTACTTGAAAATCTGTTGAAATGTATCTAGGATCTTCGAATTATAGCTTTTTAACAAGAACGAAAAGGTCATCTTCTCTTGTGGATTTGTAGAACACGTGTTCTCGGAAAGGAATTCGCGTTTTCGACGAACCTTGCGCGATTTGCTCAGCAGCTGCAACCGGATATCATTACAGTGTTCTGTACCTAATACAAATCCTTGAACATGTTTTAAATTTAGGTTGTTTCGTGTAACGGCTGCAAAACTTTCTTCCGCAGGTCTGTGATCGCGCGAGTCTCCTTTCGTTGTGTTCGGAACGATTCGAGATGTTTTGATGCTGATCTTGCGAAGAAAGGTCTTTTTTTGTGCAGCAACTTACAGACAAAAGTGAAAAACAAAAAACTATTTGATTTAATCACCCCAGCCAGGAGATAGAAATTATATTTTTCCATAAGCATCAATTTCCTATCTTGGAGACGTCATAACCCCATCGTAAAATGAGGTAAAAAATTTTTCTCCTACTGAAGTGAGGATTTCCCGAAGGATCTTTCTGGCGATTTTAGCGAGTTTCAGATTGTTTCCATTCATACACCCTCATTTTCAATCTTTTTCAGGTGTGCGAATCAGATGCAGAAGCTGCCGTTTCGAACGGTGTCTTCGAATGGGAATGAAAAAAGAAGGTTTACTTTTTCAGATTTTCTGGTATTATTAATTCTAAAAAAATAACTAAACATCTTAAAAAAATGTTCAAACTTTGTTTTTTTGGCATGCCAGAAGAGAAAAAAAGTTCAAAAAAGAAAGATTGTTTCAAATCGAAGCAACAAGTGCTGAAAAAAATGAGTTCATTTTTACTTAAAGTTATTTTGATTCTTATTATTATTTGCAATTTCCTTTTTTTTTCATCGTATTTCTTTTTTGGATGCATGGAATTATTGAAAAAGCCTTGATTCCAAGATTTTACAAAAACTTTATTTTTTTACATAATTTGATTTTTTTAGGAATCTAAATTTTTCACAATATAGACTTACTGTAAGATTTTGCAGCAGTCTCCAAAGCGTGTCAAGCGTTGGAAGAATCCAAAAGTGCAAAAATATCTCACGGAGAGGCTTATTTGGCGGCGATTTCCCAGCCGGTAAGTGGTTTCGGACAATCTCTCGCTGCAGAAACAATCTTCAGCGAGAATCCTCTCTATTTTAGGCAGCATCACGTCATTCGTTAGATGACTTCGAAGAGATAGTTTCGCGCCTGAAGACAGTTCTTCTCAACATTAATCATATCAGGTAGCCGAAGCGACACATTTTTGAGAGCGATTCGTTAAAAGTCGTTAAATGCGACAAAGATGTGTGTTTTGATGTCGATTTGCAACGCACAAGGGATTAGATTGTTGTCGTGTGGATTTGAGCCAAGTACAATCCATAACTACTACGACAAACCTTGCACATCGCGTTTGAAAGAACAGAAGCGTCTGAGAGCGAAACACATACTAGAAAAGAGCAAATGAGAAAAAGCAGCCTTTTTGCAGTTGAGGAGGGATATTGGATAGTCGGACATCAAAACGTTTTCAAAAAAACATTTTTTCAGAAAGCTTCCGTTGCCCTATGAAAACTTCGATTCCGCTCTGAACGAAATACTTTCTCAGAACTCAGCTTGTGAAAGTTTGCTGCAGATAGAGGTGACATATACACCTTTCCATTGTTTCCTTGATCGAGATCAACGTAGGAAATCGAAAAGGAACGTGTCTGCAAACGCGAAATGCCAGAATGGCTGACGATAGATCTCTGGTGCGCGATCGAGTTTGCACGATCATTACCGTATTTTGCTGATTTCGACCTTGATATACAGGTGTTTTTTGAGATCAGGAAGTGTCCTTTTTCGAAAATTGATTGTGAAAATTTTTCCTATTTTCCTCAACGTTTCGAGAGAATGACTTGACCTCTGTACATATGCATCAGATAATAAAGTCGGTCGGAAACTTTTTGCTAAAATGCTAAAAAAAAATATGCAAAGAGCGTGAAATGACCGTTTTTGATTTTGTTTAGCTGACAAAAAATTTTTTCCCGTCTTACATTCAAGAAAAAGCTTTCGAACAAGCTGAAACTTACTGAAAACTTCGAGAAAGTACAAAAAAAAAACTTAAAATACCATTCAACTTCACTGGAATTCAACTTTTGAAATGCTTCTTACTAGGGAAGCTGTTTCTCGAAAAACATTTAGAAAAAAATTAAATAAGGTATAGCAAAACTTTGAGTTTAGACCAACTTTTTTTTTGAAATTCGTGACTCTCTGTTTGAATTGAAAGATTCAAGATCTTTATTAAGTACATTCAGGACTTTTTCGAATTAGTACACATGAAGTTCTTTGGCACGAAGTTGAACTGTCTTTTGTGTACGTACGCCACTGAACAGATTTTGTTTTTAGGAACTTTTTGTACGCCGTTCTGCATTTGAACTAGCAATAGCCATGCAAGCTATGGACTCCTATCTCAAAGGACTCTCCACGGTCACTTTTCCGGACAGTTCCACAGTCTTTGACCGTTTCCCACAGTAAGCACCTTCATCTTGTTTTTTTTTTCCATTTACAATCTCAAAATCCCTTCTTCTTGGAGTTCAAATGTTGTGACGGAAAAAAATTAAGGTAAAGAACAGAAGTTTTTTCCAGCGCTTCAAACGATCTTCACTATGAGCAAATGTTCGTTCGAATTCTTGAGCCTTTTTACCGAGAAAAGTTCTGTCTTGAAGAGTTGCTACTCATGCTCTACCTGATGTTCTACAGCATAGGTTTGTTAACTCGAGAATGAATATTCCGTTTTTTTGAATAAAATGCAGTCTTAGAGATAATCTACTAAATTTGAAAGCAATCTGTTTTTAGTTGATGCAGAAGAACTGACAAGGTCGGCTAAAATATTGCACGCAAAGGCGATACAAAGTGCACGACAGAATCTTTTGATTTCGGCGATAAAGCAAGGTATCAACCCATTCTTTTTGAACCTCTTGGTCTTCACAGGGACTACAGGTTTTTTTTAATGAAAACTTGTGGCTGCAAATAAACGACTTCGATTAAATTCTGATTTGCTTGGAAATTTCGAACTACTGTTCTTAAATTGGATATGATCTGAAAACTCGCGTTAGAGTCAACTTTTGCCGGCTTAAAAAGCGAGATAGGTAGATTGGCAAGAGTGAAACGTTGCGTGAGTGACGCGGTTTTTTTCAAACGCAACTTTAGTGAAATATTGAATACTTGAGCAGGTAACGCCTAAATTATCTCCATCCTCAAAGATTTTTTTGGGAATATATTATAAATTTATATTCTCACTAAAGGGATAACTTTTCTAAAAAAAAAACCACTTTACCGTTTTTGAGAAAAGAAACATCAAGATGCAACTCCGATGAGAGAAGTTTCTGAGGGGGACATTGCAGATGTTGTCCAAATTTCAGTGATTAGTTATTTCAGAAATGATTATTTGGAAATAAAAAGATTTATCTGCTAACGCGCTACAAGATACATGAATTTGTCATATTTCCGGGTACCTGTCCTCTCGTTGGGGTTGACTCTTTCCCGTGTGTTGTTATTTCTCTGCCTATCCTTCATTTGATCATTTATTCTTTATTTTTTTTCTGTTAAATAACGGCAGTGTAAACTATATATAATGAGAAGTAGCCTGTCGAAAATGTGAAGCAAAATCTCAAAAACGAATTCTCCGGGTTTCTTTTGGAACAAGTTTCTTTCTTGCGTTTCTCATTATTTAATTTTATATGCTGAGCACCCGACGGTACAATTTTTCCGGGAAAAAAAAATGCATATAGAGTCAATTTTAGCATTCTCCCATAAATTTTCAAAAAGCTATTTCTCAGTAGCGTTTGACAATAAGCAGATAATTTTTTTCCGAAACCCTATATTCAAAAATACCTACCACGGAAGTTTAGACCAAGTTCGTAATATTGTCCTCAGAAATATCTCTTGTGAGCACTGCGGAATGAAAAAAACGAGAATTTCTTCAATTCACTCAAAGACTTCCAGGAAGTTTATTCACTACATTGAAAAGAGTGTACTATCTTTATTTGTTTGAAAAAATTAACAGCGCAAAGTACAACGGCCTTTCTTAGAAAGAGAACATTTCGAAGTTTTGTTTTTTGATTCGAAAAATGAACACCAGATATTGGAGCGAAACGAAAACCCACTGATTTCATGTTAATTTCCAGACGAGTTCTACTTTCCCATGAGGTACGGAAAACTTCAGGCATTGATGGAGTTTTCCATATCTTCTGCAAACAGACATCGTGAGAATTCCTAAACAGTTCAATCTCAGACTTTCCTATTTCAGGCCAAAAGATGATGGCTGCCGACTCAATTCGCCAGAAAAACTGCGATCTTCTCATTGAACAAATTGTTTTTGGTTACCAAGTTTCCTAGCTTTTTGTTTCTTTGCAGTTCTGTTTTGAATCACTATTTTTTTATATTTTATTCGAACATAGATGAAAATTCATTATCAAAAAAACCTTTAAAAAAACACAGGGTTAAATATTTTATATAGTCTTTCACCAAAAACCAAAAACCTTCATCAGGGATTCGAAACAATCTATGAACAAAATGACTCCGAATAGCAAAAAAAGAGAAAAATTTTTTTAGATCTTTAATTTTATTACAAGTAGACTCAGGCAAGCGGTGAATGAGGTTTAAGCCTCTGAAAACTATTTTGTTTTCAAAAAAATTGTAAACAATATCAACTTTTCACAAATCCATTCAATCAAATTTCACTTTATTTTTTTGAGGATTTATTTAACAATTGCAAAGAAAAATAATTAACAACAAATAATAATAGTTTGAGATCAAGAAGTATGCAGTGAAGCTAACGATTACTTTGAATATCGGATGAATTAAAAAAAGTAACAATACAAAAAAAGTTTTTTTGAGGGTCGTTACGAAAAAAATTTTTAAAGCGGTTTGAGGTTTATACATTTTTGAGTCTCTGGGAATTTTCACAATCAACAAATATGTACATCGGTGAAGAAAGAGAAATTTTCAGCATAAAAAAACAATTTTTTTTTCTCATTTTGAATTTTTTTATTCTTATTTCACAGAGTTCAGAAGAAGGAAAGATCAAAGGTTTGTTGGAAGGTTGGAATTTACGAATAAATTCCTATAAAACAAATATGTCAGAAACATGGGAATAAAGTCAATTTTTGCCGACTTGAACGGAGAGGGAGGCGGGGCAGGGGGCGCGACGCGTAGCGTCTGCGTACGCGGTTCTTGGCGCCAGTTCAATGAAATCGCCGCCGACAATTTAAAAAGCTCGGCAACCTTTTTTATCTATTTGTTCTTTAATTGTTTGATACACACATAAACATAATCAACAAATAATTGTAAAAGGAATTAAAATAGCAAAAACAGGCTTTCCAAATAGTCGCTTCCTGTTGAATTGGGCTCGTGCCAAGAGCCGCGTGCGCACACGCTACGCGTCCCGCCTTCTGCCCCAAATCCCCCGCCTTTCTAGTTGGGAAAACATGACTATAAACAATAAATTTTTCAATTATATAATCGAGCATCGGCAGTTTTTTGTTGTTGTTTAAATACATCGAATCTACTCCATGATTTCGTCAACAAGAACAGAACAACCGAATTGAGGTTTACGAGTCATTTTGAGTACAACATGAAAATCTTTCTGGAGCTTCTGCTGGTTTTCCAATGAGTCAATGAGAGCGATGCAGCTGACGTAGTGAGAAGGTCCTCGGTTGGCCAGGCAATAGGAAAGAAGAGCACTGGAAAACTTCTGTCTTTCCGTCGTCAGTATCTTCTGCGCGTACTGACTCAGTCCCTCGACAGCTTCAAACACCAAACTTGTTGAAAATAACGCTATTTGTTACAAACCTGGATTGCAAAGGGCAATTGCTTTCACAAGCACATACTCATGCTTGTTCAACTGCGTCCGCATTATTGCTCCTATCGCTTTTGTATATATTGTCCTATGAGCGTCGTTAAACGGTCTGAAATTTTTGAAGGTTCAAAGTTCAAAAAAAAAGGCTTTTTTTCTTCATGTTCTGGCAATTTTTTTGAGTGCATTGTGAACGAAATTTTTTGCATGGAAGCTTTAAAAACCGTCAGGCAGCGCAAATGAGATAAAAAAAAATCTGAATTTCGTCTTCACACACCTCAAATTCTCGAAAAATGATTAATTCAATAACTTCCAAAATACTTTTCAACACTCTAACTTTTGTTTTAATTTTCAAATGGACATAAAAAAAGACTCCAGCTTTGGCTAAATTTCTGAGAATAGATGAATGTTCTCACGCTGGTCGATTAGTAGGTAGAAACGTGCCATCCGGATAGAAAATCCTGTCGGATTTCTTCTCGTATGAAAAAAAAGCCTCATTGAAGTTCATACACATCAGAACGACGGCTTTTAGAAGCACTATCTGTAATTACTTTCTGATCCAAGAAGCTGCTCAAAATGAAAAAGTTTGAAAACCCACCTGGTCCAGCTTAGATAATTTGTGCATGAACATGAAAGTTTTTGCGTATTCAACTGTCGTCAGAATGTCGAACGCGAACCAATGCTTTCTGCAGCAATATCTTCTGAATACACGGATGCCATTTATGAAACCTTTCTTTTTGCTGATGGCATCTTTTTCCGTCTTTGAAAGCCATTAAATCTTCTCTTGTCAGTTGTTTCAACGGCCAGTTAGGCATTGGCTAAAACCGATTATCAAGCCTTGAACCTCAGATATTGAATACTTTGATAAACTCACTTGATACTCATCAGCAAACGCAATCGCACTTGCAGAATCCAAGCAATCTTTGAGGGAAGGCAGACTCCAGGCTTTGGGGTTGTAAGAACAGGCTCGAAATTTTTCTGTTTTTATTTCGAGATATAAAAGGCCCTCAATCACTTTGTTCAGCGAGTTTTCGATTGTCGATATATCAGACATGACCTAAACATTCGAAAAAAATATTACGATTTGAGAATTGGAAACTTTGAAAGATCGTGGTTTCTGAGAAGTTTCATCTCTCCGTCTTTTGCTCAAAATAGTTCTCACCATGCTGTTGTCCTCTAGCTCTTCTGTTCTTTGGATAGCTGAAAATTGTTGCTTCTAACTGGAATATAATTTTCCCACTGACCAAGTGGATTCATCCCAACTTCGACACATTTTTCGAAGCGACAAGCTCTACACGAACACCTTCGTTCTGATTTAGGAGAAAAGATTAACTGAAAATACTTGGAAATACCTTTTGGGGGGACTTTAAAACAAGTTCCATTTTTCTGGCACTCGTACACTTTTTGGGACATGACGGTTCGACGGAAAAAAGTTTTGCATCCGTTGCAAGATGGAACCTGAAACCAACCTTGAATTGACTCGACTTTCACAAGGATTGAGTTCTCCACATAATTTTTGATGTTAAATTTCTGGTACCTTTATATGGTTTGATCCAAAAGTGGAAATAACAAGAATATGTCAAAAAATCGGAAAACTCATCTCTTTCAGCCTCCCTCTTTGGAAAAAGTCAATAACATAAAAATATCTCAACAATTTTTCACTAAACTTGCATTATTTAACAGTGATAACCATGAAAAAAAAAACTCAAAATAAGGAAACTTTCATTGAAAAATCAATTCATGTCTTTAAAAAAATTGAATTTTTGAAAAATTGTTTTCGATATTTTTTTCTTGACACTCTCTGTCAAAGAAACGGCATCCTTTTATTTGATTTAAATTCAGTCTTACTTCATAATGATATCCTGTCGCGCTGTCACCACAAACGACGCAAATGGAAGGGCAAACGTTTCGTGGAAGATATTGAACTATCTGGAAAGGCTTTTCTTTTTTTATTCCTCTGAGAAGTTCTCAGTGAGAACCTCTTTGTTTTCAGCGGCCTGCATTTGATCACTTTCTTCATTCAAAAGTTCTGCCGCGAAATCTTCTCTCTTTTGAGTTGGTGGTCCTTCTATTGACATCATTATATGAATACCTGGAAAAAAATATAAATAATGAAGGAAAAGAAAAAAAGTCACAATTATCAAACTTTTAACTTTGCAAGACGCTTAGAATGAATGAAAACACTCCAATAGTTTCTCGAATAAACAAAAAAAACTCGGAGAATTACGTTGGAAACTATGAAAGTTATAACCAAAACAAGTTCAAAATGGATTTTCTAGATTTTTCCACAATAGACTATTGCGGAATTTGTTTTTTGTGTGACGTTTTGTTTTTTTTTTTCGGCTGAAAATTACTTACTATAAACTAGTATTTTAAGAAGTTGTAAATGGCAAGCGTTTATTCCGTGAAAGTTGTTCTTTCATGCTCACACTCCGCTAAAAGTTCAATGTTATTTCAATTAAGCACGAAATACCTACCCAGTATTGTTCTATATTGTGCGTGGGTGTGTACTCAATGGAAGGCTAAATTCGGTTTTTCTCTTGTTGGTCGCCCAATGATCTTCTCTGAAATCGAGCTTCGAAATTTTTAAAAGTCTAAACGGAAGGTTTCAGGAATCGAAAAAAATTTTTGTTGTTCGATCCAAAAATTCTGAAACTCATCCTAAAAAAATTGTTAAAAACTAAAAAAATCATGCTGAAAAAAATTTCTGAAAAAAATTCAGGACCAAAAGAGAAGGTTTTTTTCGACTCGGTGTGAAAAATCAAAAATAAAATGTTTTTTTAAAGATGAGTTTTTTTGACAACACAAGCATGAAAAATTCAAACTATTAGCAATAAAAAAATTGAAAACATGAGAAAACGTGTGAAAATGTGTGAAAAAAACAACCAGAAAATTTACAAACTATCTCACAATATTTGCAAAGAAAATAAAATCGAAATAGACATTTCAAAGAGTCATGACAAATAAAATGTGATTTGTAGCTGTTTACAAAAAAAAGTTTGAAAAAAACGATTATTTTTCAAACCGGCATTATGAAAATTGTAAAACGCAACAACACATATAAATTTCCAGTCCAACTCAACGGCACTCTGGTTTTATCAATAAAGAGTGACGTAAGCAGATTGCGAAATAGTGCGGCGAGAGGGGAAAATGAACGAGTTGCAGACAGGAGCAGAGAAGAAACACGTGCAGCCGGCTGTTCGGAGCTCTTTCGGTGAGGTTGCCGTGTGGGAACAGAAGCGAATACCGGCTGAGAGAAATTCCCGAAAGCGCGTCGCTCACAACTAGATGTTTGGCTTAGGGTTTGAGGAAACACTGCTGATCATGGAGAGAGCGCGGCGTGGCGCAGACTGTAGCCCGTCACAACTTCTCCACGTTTCTGTTCATTTTGTTCTTCTTTTTCTCGCAAAGTTCCTCGGCCATTTCGATTTTTTCAACCTCTTTTCCTTTGAAGTTTTATCACGCAATTCTGAATTTCCAATTTACAAACTTTTGCAGTTTTATTAACTTCATTCCTAACTCGAGACATCGAAAAAAAATGGGTCAATGAATTTTCGGCAGCCTTTTTTTGGCTTATCATTTTGTAGGAATCATTTCCGAGACATCCTGTCTGTAGTCTGATGTTCATTTGTAAAAAGTCCTTCGGCGATAAGAGTTCTGGTTTTGTAATATGCATCAAACAAATTTTATTTAGAAATCGTCTGTTTAATTTCAATTAAAAAGGTAATTTCAAAGACAGTTTTTCCCAACTCTGAAAAATTTTAGAGGATTGTAAATTGCACAGAAGGGAGAAATTATATAATTTTTTTGTTTTTGTTGAGTTGGAAAAAAATTTTTAACTTTTTCTGAACTTCTTAAAACTTTAATTCTAAGTGAGAGAATACAAATTTTTCAAGGACTCAGAAAATTCGCTCTGAAACAAATAGGAAATAATTGAATTTCTCGAGAACACAAGATTTCACTCAAGAAAAACTCAAGAGAACTTTTTTTTTTACTATGAGGAATGCTATTTCAAGGTGAAAAAGTGGAACTTCTGTACAATTTTTCAAATTTATTTTTTTCATTGTCCTGATTGAAACTTTTTATAATTAAAAACAAAAATTTAAAAACTTCAAGTTTTGCATTTACAATATTCGCATTTTTTTGTCAACGTTTTTGCCCGTATTGAGCAAATTTGAAAAATTCATTCACCTAAAATTAGCGAGGACTATAAAAAAATAATGAAAGATGTTTTTCAGACACGTCGTCAATTTCTTAATTACTTACAAAAATGACTTTTTTATCTTGTTAAAAGTGAAAATAAGTAGGTCAACATGAATTAATGTGAGCAGAAAAGTAAAGATTTTAATTCTTCTGATCTCTCGTCGTGTACCATCATTGCTCTCTGTTCCCTTTTCGGCTAGGTCTGAATATGCAAAATGCACTTTTCGTCCTATTTGAAAAAAAAAACTTCCAACCTTCATCGAGTTTTGCATTTTTCCATCGAGTTGCCGATCGTATTCCGTCAGGGTGTCAAATTTCTGGTACTCGTCATCTGTATGCTTTTTATCGAGCTTCGTGAGAATTTCAGAGAGAAAAAAACCTGCCGTTTGCTTTTCTCCTTTTTTTTAAACTACAGAGAAAATTAAATTTAGACATTCCAATGACGACGATAATCCTTACCGTAAGGCTTCAAAACGGCCAACTCCGCACGCAGATGTTGATTGGCTTCAGCCGCTTCATTCTGTTCCATACGAAGTCTGCTGATTTCGGCTTCAATTTCATTAACTTTCTCTCTCCAAATTTCTATGTCCCTTCCCAGCTTTTCGTTGCCCTTAATAATCAATAAATTAAAAAGCGCAGATTTCATTGATAAGATTCACGACATCTTGTCTACCAAATAACTTTGATATAATCATTTTCGAACTGATCTCTCGGTGAGAAAGTGCAGAACGGTTTCTAATCCAAAATTCTATATTTTCTACTTGAAGCCACACCTCATCGCTTTCCCTTCGCAAAGCTTTTAAAACTTTGAACTTTTCCTCGAGTTTTCCGTTCGTTAGCAGCAGGTTGCTAACTTCTTCGCCTACCCAAATCTTTGGCATGATGCTTTCTTTTTTCTTCTTCTCGCCGACCTTTTCTTTCTGAAAAAGTATGTTTGCTCGAAAAAAGCCGAGTCACGGGTAAAAATAGAAAGTGAGCGCCGTTATAGTTAGTTACAGTCAAAAATCACATGATTCTTCTCTTTGAATGGCTCTCTGCAAGGCACCGTTTCAAAGTTGTTCACTAACGTCCAATCCGGCCCCTGCTTTCAAATAAGAGCTTCGTCCCGAAATCTGCTCATTTTTTGATACAGGGAGTCTATTGAGAGATCGCTCTAAATCTTCTCGATGGGTTCTTCTTTCCTGAAACGTATCACTCTCATAGCGTAATCCGACTTAGGCAGCACGTTGACTAGAACTTCCACTTTTTCATTTTGCGCTCGAAGTAAATTGTTATCCTCCAGCAAATTGCTCAGGCCTTCAATCAACGAAAAATCGTTTAAACTTTGATGTTTCTGAAATTAAATTGTTTAGGAGTTTTGAATTTGCGCTGATAGAGGAGTACAGCTCCAAATTTTGATGTATAAAGAATGAATCCAAAAATTCGAGGAACTCATTTTTTAATATTGACCTATCGGTGAAGAGTAAAAGTTGTAACGAAAAACCTCAAGAGCTTGCGAGTTGTATTCTGAAGTGGGCTTTGAGCTCGCGTTGCTTGGCGATTTTTGCGTTTTCCTAAGCTGAAAACAAATTTCAGTTTCAAAGCCTTTGCGCCGCACCTGTTTGCCAATGTCTCGTTGAGATAAATTTTTGTCACCTGGGTGGCCGAGCTGCCGAAAGATTTTGTTGTGATTCCTGCTGGGCAAATATTTTCTTTTGTTAAATCTTTTCCACTGTTTTGGTTGGTTCCGAAACTTAAATTTTCTATTACTAAGGGAGGTCCTATCACTTCGAGGTTGAGAATCCCTTGCAAACAAGCCAAGGCACCTATTGATGTATCAAAAAGATTTTGGAAGTTTCAATCGTCTCATCTTCCTAGTTTTCAAGAAATACGGGCTCGAAGCTCAAAAATAGCTTTTTTTTTGTAGTTGCTGGGATCCCTTTGTCTTTGAGGTGTCTTTTCTCAAGAAACAGAAAGTTGTGCAAGAGGAAATTTTTTGAATCTTTTCTGGTAACTTAAAGAGTGTTCTGACCAGTTTTCCGCATATTCCCAACCGGAAATTATAATGAAATTTCTTGCAATGTCTTTCTGCTTCAGAAACAAATAAATGACTCATTGAAAAAAAAATCCCTGACGACATTCAAGGATTTAGAAAAAATAGTACAACTTACAAATCCAGCGGCAAAACGCTAAACGGAAGTTTTTCTTGATAACTTTTTGAAGATTGCGTAGACATCGTCTGAAAAAAAAGCCTATGGGAAAATTCTTGTTCACACAAGCTTAATTGAGCACTTTATTTCTTTTGACTTCTTTTTTCTCACATGAATCATAGTTTGATAACCTGAAAAAGTGTCTCTAGTGTTCATATCAGATCAGGAATCGTCAAAATGGGCCAAAGTAACTTCAGACTTCCCATTTTGAATCTAGCAAAAAAGACGTTTTTTCAACGATTTCCAACATTTTGAGAGCGATTTGGGCTTCACAAAGTTTTCATTGATGTTTTCCAATTTATGTTTTTCGTGGTAGTTAGAAGACACATAAAAAACGTTCAACTCTCAAAAACTTTAAATCGGACTTCAAACAGCAAGGAACCCTTAGAATCAAATTTTTTTCCCCTTATGAAGTTAAATCGATTGAAAAAATTGCAGGGGCAGAGTGAATTTGTAAGTAATAATTTGAAGATCTACCCGGTCATTAGATGTCCGAGAAAATTCGTTTCTCAGTTTGCCCCCGACTTTTAGCCAAGAATCAGCAGATTTCAACTGTTGCAGATAAATTTGGAAATCCTGAAAAGTTGTTTGATTTGTAAGAATTAAAAAAAGACAAACCGTTTCGATCTCAGAATCTTTTTCAATTTTCCTTCTCACTTTTTCTATTTCTGCTTCAATTTTCGACGAAGAAGTCTCTGCTTCCAACACTTTTGTTTCGACGTTTCGATCTGATGAATTGTTCTGTTTATTTCATAATTTTCGGAAGTTTCAGTTTCAAATTACTTAGAGAAAAAAAGGTAATTGTAATTGCAGGGCGTTCCCAGGAAAAGGCTCACATCGCATTTGCAGTGCCTTTTCTTCTTTTATTTCGCTATCCAAACGGAAGCCGACGTGCCGCGTTTCGTCTTGCACAGCTGCCAGCCGTCCTGCGAGTTTTTCCACCGATTCGGTTCGTTTTTTTGCAGCTTTTTCCAAACTTTCAACTTGACCTTTCAACCTCACGTTGCCTTTTTGAGCTTCTTGAAATTGCTTCTGAAATATTTTGGTTAATCAGAAAGATAACATTTTTCACTTTTCGCAACTGGAATTAAACTTATCTGATTTCCGCTAACCATTTTTCTTTTATAGTTCAATCAGTTTCAGTTTCACACAAATGGTTACTACAACGCTGAATTTGACCAAAAAAATATTTTTAAGACAATTACTGAATTTTTTTAATTCGTTTTGAACGTTTGATTTTCCTGAATACCCAGGTCCAAAGTCAAAATTTGAAACTTTATCCTAAAAAAATAATATTTTTAAATGAATGTAGCAGCACTTGAATATAGCCGTTTTATGAATTTTATTTGCATCCCACTATTGAATGAATTTTGAGCAATCTTATAATCTAATTTTTTTGAAACCCTTCCCCAAAATGAAATCCTCCGTTAGCGATGTATTTTCGCACGTGGTCAAATTCATACATAGATAGTATTTGAGATATGAAGCATTTGTGACGTCATTCGAGAAAAAACCAATTAAGAGAACCGCTGATAAGCTCTTTTTCATGAAATTGATAAGAAAAGGGCATCTCAAATCATAAAAAGAGTTAAGTAGAAAAACGATTTTTTTGAAAATTTTTTTACATAATTTATACTCAAACGTGTGATATTTACTTAGAAAAGAAAGCTTTTTTTCTTCTTATTTCCAAACACTTCAGGGACCAGGAACGAAAAATACTATAGTAGGTCAGATAATAAAAAGGAAAAGAAGAAGGCTTACTGGGAAGTCTTCACTAACCGTCAGGAAATCCATCTCTGAATTCAACTGTTCGTTGAGTATTTGGCCTCTGCCAACCAAAGCCAGATTATTTTCATACTCGCTGCAACGTCTGTCCAAATTTCGACGTTTTTCTTCTACCTGCAGTTTTCAACTAAAGCTTTTATTGCCTCTCTGCGCCTTGGAGCTTCGTGGTGTCATTTTCACCTATAAGACACCAAGCCTCTTCAGAGCCCTTGACAATCGATCTTCGATTTTTGAGACGCCTTGAAATGCTTGAGAGATGTTTAAATTTTCTTTTTTCGAGCTCTGAGCCCTTAGTGATAGTTTTTTCGAAGCAGTGGAAAATCAACTATAAATGATTTTATGACACCACGACGCATCTTGTCGTGAAATAGCGGAAAATACTGTCCAAATGTACTCAATGCAAAAAAAACCTGAACCAGTAGCTGTTGTGTTGTTTCCGAAGACGTCGGCAGTCTGGAGAGTTCGGCCTGTCCGATCCGTGCCGCGACTCGTGCTTTTTTCGCTTCTGACGTCATCTGCCGCCATTCATGTTTTTTACCACTGCAATTTTCTTCTTTTTGTTTTTTTTCTTCACTATTACATTTGTACTGCTGTTGTAGGAAAGTTGAAGAAAGGAAACTGAATTTTTCACACAAAAGATAACTTTTTTTTAGAACGACACGACTGACTTTGTGAACTTCGTGAATCAGCTACGATTTTTTCTTATCTGTTTGTATTACGAGTTTTTTTTAATTTCATCTTTTTCAAAGTAGTAGAACATTAAAACAGGGAAAAAAATTACTGGCTCACTGGAAGTTGTTATATTTAAAAGCTTGTAATTCTTTAATAATTTTTTTCATTGATTTTTTTCTGATTTATAGAGAAATGAGAATCTGAGATATTTTGAAGTCAGCAAATATCATTCAAAAAAAAAAGAAGAAAAACTAATCCGACAAAATTGACCTCATTTTTTTAGAAACCGATGATTATAAGATCGTGTTTTTCATTTCTTTCAAGTCGAAAGAGAAACTATTATAACAGATGAAATGATTCTCTTGGTCACCTAGCAGATTATGTACTAATAACTCTAGTCCCTTATGCGAGAACCGGCCAGCTCCCGCCGTAAAAGAATTAAAAGGGCATGAGATTAAACAAGAGGAAGGATCAGAAGGAAGAGGTCGCCGTGCTGTACGGATTTAGCAAAACCTGGTTTGCCAGGATGCGTTGCTAGGAGCGTCGCTTCGCTCGTTTTCATTTTTTTAGTTTCAACATCAGATGCCACTCTCTGTTTCTGAAGCTCTTCTTTTCCGTGAGAATGACTCATTCACTAAGAAAAAGAAATTTAGCAATAACTTTTTATTTGTATTACTTTCATCTGTGACATAATTTTTCATTTTTGCTGCAGGGACAATTTAATAGCTGAATGAGAGTAGCAGTGGTTCAATGAAGAACCTCACACAAGAAGGAAAAATTCAAAAAGTAGCCGTTCAGACGTCTTTGTGGAGAGTTTTATAAAAAAACAAGAGTTTTTTTGAAATTATTTTTTTAAAAAAACATAATCCATAGAACACTTCCTGTTTTAAGTTTGATTATAAAATCAATTTTTTTATTCGGAATAAAAAAACCGAACTCTGGCCCAGAAGAGAAAAATTTTTGGATATCGTGAAGCTCATCTGTTGAGTTTCATATTATGGGAAATATTTCAAAGTTTACAATTCGAATAGCGATGCGTTTTCTGTGCAAAATAAGTTGTATTACATTAATGAAGTTTTTTTAAATTTAAATAACTTTCTCAATGAAAGTTCATTCTTCCAACGGTTATTTTTTTGTAGGTATCCAATTTTTTTATTGGAAAAAAATGGGAAAAAATTCAGAAATGATAACTTTCAAATTTGTGCAAAAAAACGCATCACAACCGTTTTGCCACACTGCATATTTTTTTGGAATTTCAAATAGGGAATCCTGATTTTTTTTCTTCTATAACCAGTTAAATCATTTTTTTCATCGCCTGTTGATCTCTCTTTCCAATGGTGAGAAAGGTTTGTCGCATTAGAGCCTCGTAAAATAATCCATTCAGACGATCTTTCGGTACTTCCGCTTCCCATTTTTCGTTTTTTCCTGGCACGATCAGCATTTTCATTTAATTAGAAAGGAATCACTGTGTGTTTGAGTAGCAGAAAATAAGTAGGGAATACGAGAAAAGTTCGGGCTTTTTCACGGTGGGGTACAAGACTAGGAAAAAATGGAACATGTGAATGACACGAGGCCCGCTTGTTGCGGTGCGGAACATTGGTCGCTGAGTGTGCTTTTCGTAGTCGCCGAACTCAGGCACTTGTTCAGCACCTCTTTCACTGTCGGCATTCCCGATTTCGACTGTTTTCTCTTCCTGTCCCTGCTCATGGTGGAACGGTTTCAGAGCCTGGAAAAGTAGTGTCTCTTCCTTTTTGATTCGCTCTGTTTTTCCTCAAGAAAATCCAGAGTTTGCTACGTGAAATTGTGAAAACTCTTGACTCAAAATTCAGAACTTTTTTCAACTCACAAAAAATGAACGTGGAACTAAAGTAGTAAGGTGAAACTTTTTAAAGAACCAACTTAGTCAAATGCTTCAACTAGCTTCAACTTTCAATAAAAATATGACAAAAAAAAGCTCTCTCAATCGGTCGTCTCATTCAAACAATTTTGATGTCTCATTGCTGGGGTTTCGAAGAATTTGCATCGGTTACTCACTTATTAGAACATAATTGATCCAAGTCATACGACCATATTTGAAATTTATCACGTTTCACTTTTCTCGGGAAGCAGTAATTAACGGAGTCCGCAAATCCTTTTGAAGTTGGCTTCCCACAAAACTTCCTAGTTCATCAAAAATTGCCTTCAAATTTTTCGGTTTTGCAACTTGTGTCTATACCCGAGTCACACGACGTCTCTTTCCACCTGCCCGATTGATTCCATTTTCTCTCGGTTCCCGCCAGTCAATTCTCGATTACGATTCCCTCACCTTTCCGTCTTTCCAATGCTCCACGTTCATGTGAGTCTGCTCAATATCATAGTTTACCGGGTTATATTCGAGAAAATAAAACTGAATCAACTGGAACTTGAAATAAAAATTGCATAACATTCATCAGTTTTGCTTATCTATTGCTTTTTCTTCTCTTCTTCCATAAAAGCTCATTGTTAAGTAATATTTAACTTCTCATTATCTTTCCATGAGTTGCACTCGTTTTTACTGAGTTTACAACGCCTAGAGCGTTCTATTTTTTGAGTGCATTGCGAAGAAATGCCACTAAGGACCAGTTTCTGTGACGTATTTTTTCTTTGCCTTGTTCCATGTGATATCATCGATTGATCTACAACTTATTGCTTTTTTCAAATTACAATTTTTCCCAACTTGTAAAAACAAACACAGTTTTAGAAGTACCTGTTCTCATATATTCTTCATAACCTCTATCGAAAATGCCTTTTAATTCCGTTTTTCTTCCAATTGTTTGAAAAATTTTTTTTTAATTTTTGAAGTCACCGTTCACTAGAAAACACATTTTCTATCTTTCAAGATTTGTTAAGTTGAGAAATTATTTGCGCTGTATGAGTGCAGCTGCTCAAAATTTTTTTAATATCCCATTCTTTGCGTTTTTGGACTTTACATTCTCCCATTTCGGAAATTAAAAGTTGTTTTCGATTAACTATCTCAGAGCAAACTTCCTACAAATCCTTTTCAATCTTATGACTCGGGACACTAATGAAATGTTTGCATCTACTTCATTACTGGCTGCAAAGATTAATTTTCTGAAAAGCAGAAACTTTTTCAAAGCGTTGTAATTTTCATAATTAGTCACATGATTCCTCACTAGCTGAAGTCCTTTGAACTTTGAAGTTTCAAGATTGCCTACTCTCATCAGAGTATTTAATGCTAGCATCAATTAGTCTCTATTTTTTATTATCCAAAGTCATGATGCCTTTTTTCGACCCAATCAGAACGAATAAAAAACACTATACCTACTGATTTTAAAGCTAGCATTTTTTTTTGATTCGTACTTTTTCGAACCTTCTTTAAATAAAAAAATTTTCGTTATACTTACAATGAAAGTGTTTAATTTTCAACTTTAGATAGCTATGAACATTTTCTCAGCAGCCTACAATTTTCGTCTTCCAAAACGGAAATGAGTAAATAAGAATCATTCAAATTTTTAGTACAGCATTTTAGGAAATTCTCAAGATTTCTCTTCAACATAGGTCATTGGATAGAGTATTGTCCGGACAAAAGGGTATGACATTCCAAATCTGAGAGAAACAAGTTGAAGATTTGGCCGTTCAAAACTCGCGCCGAGCGAAATTCTTCTCACGCTACGCGGCACGGCGTTGCGCGTGTCATTCTCACAGAGCATCATTCAATTTAAAGCTAGTTTTTTCTCTTATTCTAGCGCGTTTTTGAAAAAATCCGTGTCTTTTCCACTATCTATTGTTAAATATAAACGTTTTCTATGTGCTTGGCAAATATTGTAAGTGATTTTTTTGATTTTTGTACAGAACTTATAACAAAAAGAACTTCCAGCAATAACCTTATTTTACAAGATATCAATTTGTTTTGAGATTATTTTCTTGAAAAACTTATTGGAATTTTTTTCAATCAAATCTTTTTTTCGACGAAATTTTTTTGAAAAAGTAATCTTGCGGGATAACTTGTCCCTCAAAAGTTGTTTTGTTCCGGTGTTAACAAAACATATATTGAGAGTTTCTCACGGAAATCTCTTTGAGATTTCTCTCAAAATCATTTTCTTACTCAGCAGTTTTGGAAAACTTCTTCTTGAAAAAAACATTGAATTTGTAAAAAGTTTCTTTTGCTACTATCGCGCGCCCGCTGCATATAACGACACGCCCATTTGTTTTGGAAAAGGTTGATATTCATTTTTTGAGCAGAACGGTCATCTTTTTCAGAAACTCTCCATTTTCTTTTCGCGCTTTTTCACTATAATGATCATCTACCATTTAGAACGTCATGTTTACGCAACAATTCCGTAGCTCAGCAAAAGATCCATCGTGATGTCATTGGTCGGAGAAACTAATCACGATGTTCGTTGTGTTGGAATCTTGTGTCATTTGAAGATTCAGACAAAAATCTCCTCCTTCATTCACACTGTTCATTTTTTTTCACTCTCCTCATTTATAAGAAATACCGCTTTTTTTCTCAAGGTTTTATGTGAACCCCTGTTTTTGATCTTATTAATTTCGGTTGAGAACCACAGATGTTGAGAAAGTAAAAGAAAAGTATGACATAGATAGAGCTTTCTTTTTTCCAGCCAATGGCGTCTCAGTATGAACCGCGTTTCGAAAGTATCTACAGTCGTTTTGTGACGCGGCAGGAGTCGGTGGAAGCGCCAATGTGGATAAGAAAAGACAGCGGAAACTGGGTTGGTCTTTTTCTCAATTTCTTTTCAATGTTATTGGAGTAATACAAACTTTTTATTGACAGAATCTTTCACACATTTTGAAAAGTCATTTTAACGCAAGACATCATTAGTTTATCAACTTTTCACTGATAGACGTCGAATTTTTCTAAAGAAATCCGGTAAACGTATTTTCTTTGCTTTCTTTTTTTGACGCTCCAGGATGAATTTCTACTCATCATTTTTTTTACAGTTATTGAGAGTCTATAATCCCAATGAGAACAAAATGTTTGCTGAGATGGTGACGAAAATTTGGAACTTTTTTGTGATCGAAAAGGTCGGAACTTTGAGAAACAGGAGAGTTCGAGAGGAGTCATCGGGTTCACACTCATGTTTTCACAAACATCAGTGACCAGAGTCTGTTTGCCGAATAGACGCTATCTTTCCTTTTTTTACCTGAGCCTCTCCGCCAGGTGCACGCTCTTTTGCTCATTCTACCTGCCGTGCTCGCACAGACATCAGCAACAGACTTATTGGACCTCCGAGAGAAAATTTTATGCAAAATTTCATATCAAAGCGATCGAAAACCAAAATTTCTGACTGAAAAAAACTTTTTAATCCTAGAAAAGTTCTATCAGAATAAATTTAGCCGTGTCTCACAAAAACAAAATTAAAATTACTCATGCTAAAAAAATTTTAGATTGATCTTTTTAGAAAAATATAATTTTTTGCACGACCGAAATGGTAATAATTTCAATGTGTTTTGAGATTTATTCCAAATCCAATGTTCTTTTGAACAACTCATAAGCGAGGATCTGAAATGCGTTCAAATAATCTCGATAACTAACTGAAATTAATTTTGATACATTTCAATTCTAATTACAAAAAACAGAGAATTGAGGCAAAGCAAAACAAAAAGGAGTCATTATTTCGATGAATAGTTTTATCGTTTTTTTTTTTCAAATTAGCCTAATGTTTCCTACAGAATGACGAAAGCCTGTCTTCAAATTCCTCAACGTCTCCGGATTCTCTGTCTCCGCTCAATTCTCCCCCAGCTGAATATTCCACTTCGCAGTGTTCTTCGTCGGGTGCCAACAAAATCAACATTCCGGCCAAAAGAGCTATCAAAAAAATTCGCAACGTGCGGAAGAGCGATAAATACCACTGTATTGTTTGCGGCGATAAGGTAACATTTTTTTCCGAATTCCGGAAAAAACCAAGATCACTTGAATTCAGCCAACGGGATATCACTACGACGTCCTCAGCTGCAACGGTTGTAAAACCTTTTTTCGACGCACAATAATCAACAATCGTACCTTTAAATGTACCAAAGGCGGCAACTGCCAGTTTACAAAAGGTGGAACTCGTCCTGACGTTTGAAATGACCACTTGACATTTTCTACAGACTTTCGATGTGCTTGTCGCGCCTGCCGTTTTGAAAAATGCGTCAAAGTTGGCATGAACAAGACAGGTCGGATCCAATCCTCTCAAAGGTGTTCTAAACGCCTCAACCATTTTCAGCGATCCAATACCCTACCAAATCAGAAGAGTACGACGAAGCTGACGTGAGTGGAGACGACTTCCAGCCCACGACTTCAGAAAGAAACTCTCATGGCTTGACAGAACGGTTACAAAACAAACAGTTGTTCGCCCTTCAATGTGTTGACGCCATTGTTAGTAATATTTTGTTCCGTTCGAAGTTTCACTTAGTTATCTCTGCTTGTCTTTTTGTGCTTTTCAGTCATTTTCAAGCGAGTTTTCAGGTAGCTCGAGAACGTGCTGCTCACTCATTTAGACGTTGCGACTTCCAAAACATTCATCTGTCCCAATCTTTGAAGGATCTCCTAAGAGAGCCCTCTATTCTAGGAAAAACTTCGCCAGAATATGTCAGTCGAATTTCAATTTTTTTTTAATGTCTTGTTTCAGAAGCCATCAAAACTTTACACTGAAAACCCAATCAAGTTCTGGATGCTCTGCGATTTATATCTTGTTGTTGAGTTTGCCAAGACTTTCGACGCATTCCGTCTACTTTCTGAAGATGACCAGGTTCTTTTGCTGTTGATTCACCATTCTGAATGAAGATCTCATTTAGACTATACTGATTGCTCATATTGGAGGATTATTGCACATTGCTTCGCAATCTTACTACTCTTACTATGACACAAAGTCGAAGTCCTTAACGTTTCCAGATGGATTGAACGCTTTGCAGAGAAAATCACAAGATACGAGAGCAAACGGTAGTTGGTAAGAAACTTTTTGAAAGTTTTTCGCTATAGAAGATGTACAGTTTCAGGGAAAGCTTCTCTCAGTACTATCTTGAAATGTACAACTTGCCCGTGATGAAACTCATGGAGTCTGGTCTGAACGAAAGAGAATTCGCTTTCTTTAAAGCAATTGCCCTCTTCAGTCCAAGTGAGCTTAAAGTTATTTTGCAAATCGTTCCGACAATGTAGGAAAAGTGAAATGAAGTTTTATGGTTTTTCAAACTGGACTCAGTCTGTCAATAGTCTTCTTTAACACATAACCAAATCGCTTAGTTTATGAATCACATACTCGGATTGGTTGTTAGCGAAGTAGGAGTGAAACGATTTTTTCGTACTCATCTTCTTTCTGAAAAGGTTTGAAAAGACAGTAATAAAATGATTCAGATGAAATGGAAATGTCTCGAATCGGACGGGAGATTGTAGCAGAAGAACGTCATCGTATAACGGAGCTTCTGAGACAATACTTGTTAGCCGAATATGGCTTGAAGTCAGGACTGGAAAAACTTTCCACGATTTTGATAAGCCTCAGCACATTCGTTAAATACGGTGAAAAGCGACGTGAACACTTAGAGGTACTTTTTTCTTATTTCCATAAACTTGTGGTTTGTTGAAATTTGAACTCTCAGGTGCGAAAATCGGATTTTCATTTTTTTTTTTCTAAATTCTTATTCTCAAAGTCTCAGTAAAGATTTTTACTGTCGCTACTTGTGACAGCTTTCAGTTCTAAATATAAAACTTTTCTGAATCTGCAAAGAGCCTGATCCTCTGGTAATATGAGCTTTATGACGAATTCTTTCTCTTTTTCTCTTTTTCTCTTTCTATTCTGTTCCTATAATATCAAAACCGACAACCACAGGGTTGCTTTTCAATGTGATTATTCCAGATGTGCAATTTGATGCAATTCGATTTATCAGAACTGACCAAGGACATTTATCTCAAACGGCATCCGCAGAACTTCCTCTAAAAATGAGCGATGTCAAGACGAAATTTATAGAAACTGTTTCAGTTTATTTATTGGAAATCACCACTTTTTTGCGTTTTTTTCGTTATTGTTACTGACAAGGTATTCGACCTTTCTTTGATCTGCTTTTTTTTCGATTCCGCGAAATATGTACAATCAATGTTCTCATTCACGATCCCTCGCTTTCAACCAAATGGTTCTTCTCGCCATTTCTTTTAACCCAATGATCCATAACGGTACAAACTTTGCTGGTGTCTACTTCTTCATATATCTTTTGTTATACTTTCTGTTACTTTTTCTAGATCAATTGGGTTTCATTGTAGTAATTCGGTTAGAAGACCCATTCAGCGCACGATTTTCATGTGTTGCAAGAGGAATTTCCTCTGATTTTTATTTGAAAACCTGAATTTTATTTAATGAAGATCTTTTATTGTAGGGACAAATTAGCTATCGAAAAGCTTATTTTCGAAAAATGGAAAATGAAAAAAATGAGCTGCTTTCTTTTTTTTCTGAAATGAAAGCCAAGGCTCGAGTGGAATGACCAGCAGAGAGTAATTAACCAAACTCTTAGAATGACTACAATATTCCTTTATAATTATGATCAATTAGGATTTTCATGCGACCATGAATCAGCGTCCAAAAAAGTTCAGCGTTCAAAAGAAGTTCACCCCGAGGCTGATTTAATTCGTCTTTTCTTTGGTTGGATCCCATCCAAAGTACTCTGGCCACTCATCCATCAGCTTTGAAACAATTTTGTCAACCGCAAAGATTTCCATTGACATCTTTGTAGACGGCGGAAACGGAAACCCAATCGGAACGCAAAAGACAAGTCAAAGGGAACAGTTGTCAGTTATACGAGAGCCCTGGCCTCAAGGCGACGATTTCCCATTGTCCGTCTTTCAGCACTCCTTTTTTAACATCCAATATTAATTGTTGTGATGCAGAAAATTCTTCTCAGACCGAAGCCAGACAATAAAAGCTCGCTGCCGTTAAATTATGTTATTATTGCATTTCTAATGATACTCAGTCCTCATTCAGATTTTCATCACAGAATTAAGGCATTTTTCTACGTTTTCAGATCAATTTCATTGTATTCTTTATTCCTTTAGAGAATGGAAATGAGGTGTCAAATGTGTTTCTTGAGTAAAATTTTTTAAATTCCTACTGCTCTCCCGGAAAAAGTATTTAGGAGTATTTTTCACGCTCTGGTCACCATTAACAACTTGAAAAAGGATATGAAGTGATTTTTTTAAAAACTTTTTTTAAAGATATTTTTTTAAATGAGTCATTAACAGTTGGGATTTGTTACACGAAAGGGAATGAAATAATAGACTGGGCGTTTTTTTTTTCGGGAAAGAGAAAACTTCAGATAAACTTTCCTTCAGAATTTCTCATATCTCAATTTTTATTTTCCACAGTCGAATAATGTTATCAGAGATCTTGAATTACACATGGGTTGCTTTTTGTGAGAAAAATAGGAGCAGCGGCGCTTCGCATCAAAATTTATTTGTTTTTGGGTTGTTGCGCTTTCGTCCGCGTAGGCCAAAAGTGCTGATGAAGAAACTTGACAAGTGAAAAAAATTATTTTATCCGGATTGTTTCGAAATTTTTCACGTTGAGTTCCGTTACAAAAGTTACATTGTCCATAAATTATGAATTTTTCTTTTGAAACAAGTCGAGCCAAATTTAATGAAAACACACGCACACGCAACTCTACAGAAGTAATTTCTGTCCAAGTTTCAATATTTTCCCTGAATAAATTTTAATCAACTTCGCAGTTCCCCATTTGTCCAAAAACAGAAACGGATTTCTCTTCGCACCAAAGCTTCTCGCTTTTTTTCTCCCAAAAAACTGAAAGGCCAGATTCTTTGAAACAAAAATAGTCGAAACAACTTTCAGTAGGTGTTTTGTTGTTGATTACTGAATGAAAGTATAACTGGGTGATAGTTAAGTATTGTTTCTGAGTTATTTCTACTTTCCCAACTAAATTTTACTATTTCACTCCTTTTTATAGCAAAAAAATTTTTTCAAAAAATGTTTGCATATCTCAACTTTTGATTCAAAGCTAATCCCATGAGTTTCTTTGTATATGAAGGAAACTCTGTAAGTTTGAAAACAGCAGGAGGCGCCGATTCTCTTGTTTACGCCGCGCCTTGAAATTACTCTGAGACCTTATTTTTTTCCAGAACAACAAAGGCTTTGTAACGGCCTAAAGGCTATTCGTTTGAGCGGAAAAGCTTTTTTACGGTTGTTTTACGGCTTTCTCTGGACGAGATTTGCTCCGATCGAAGATATCGCGCCCGTGCTTAATAGATATGATTAATCGGTTCTCCGTTCGAGCAGAACTTTTTTTCACCAAAAAAGTTAGAAACAACATAATTTTTTTAACTCAGTTTCCGTTTATGCTACTATTATTTTCTCTTATTCGCTATCCAGTTTCTTCATGAAAAAAAGATAATTTTTTTGCATGGAAGTCGATTCAATAATAACATTTGAATAAGCTCCAAAAAAACCGCGAAACTTGTTTTGAGATAAACAATTATGATATTCACATCTATTAGACAAATCCAAAAATTTTTGGTTATTATTATTTTTTTCAAATCAGCTTTCAGCAAACAAGAAATAGAAAAAGTCATTGTTTGGTCCCATTCAAGAACTTTGTCACATTCATAAAGTCGTTGCTGCTTTCAGAGGTTTTTCTGCTGATTCAGTAAGACTGCGTCTTGTTTTGGGGAAACTGGCACGAAAACAGACCAACCAATTTTGTCATTCACGTGGTAATTATTTATTTAGTCAGCAAAGTCGGCAAATTCCTTATTCAAGAAAAATTTAATGTTCGTCAAAGTATAAACCTTTTGTTTTATTTTTTTTTGGAGATGATCTTCTTGTAATCGCCTCTGAAAACGCACTCATATATAGCTTAGCTTGAAAAATATACTGAAAAATCTTCAAACTCCTCTCTTGATCCACTATTTTGTCAATTGCGTTGTTTATCAATTTTTCAAGTGAATGGTGAAAAATAGTGAAAACACCTAATTAACTTCTTTTTCAATTTTTAAAAAACTTTCATAGAGCCCAAGTTACAGTTTTTTCTGGCACCTGAGGTTTCCCAAGTTTTTAAAGGCTGATTCATCATGCTTCCTTTTTTCTTTAGCTTTCATATATTTTTCGGAGTATTCTTTAAAATCGCTTCATTGGTTTGCAAAGAAATTAGTCCTCGGAGATGAACACGTGAATGCAAATGAATATTCTAAGATTCTGAGACGTCTAGCGGAAGTTCGTGTTTTCTTCGTGTTCCCTTGTTTCTCAATTTTTCAGTATGTAGAAAATTGGTTCAATTTTCAAAGTTTCGTCAGAAATAAACGTTTCTGTGAAGAAAAGGAGGATCGCTATCCTCTCATGCCGCGGATATGTCGCGCCGAAAAGGCCTGAGACATCTGTCTCTGTTTAAATCAAATTAAAAAAGCGCAAAAGTGAGCAAATCGAAGACAGCGGAAAACTTTTCTTGGTCATCTGCAGCCGTCTTTGCGCCTTCGCAAAACTTTATGCTTCCGAATTTACCAAATTTTTTTGTTTTTGATTAGTTTTCAAGCTTCTTTTGTATTTGTCACAAATTCAGTTTGAATCCATGGTATCATACGATATAAATTATTTTTGGATTTAGTGGATGTTATTAACTGCGTGGAAGCTTATTTTGCTTCGCGTTCAAAAAAATTCAAAAAAAGGCTCCACAGGAAATCAATTGAAGATTTTTAGATCTTAGAAGTCGCAAAAAAAAATCCTATTTTTGAGAACTTAAAAATTAAAAGCTACCTATTGATAATTCAAAAAAGAGCTTTGTATCTTACTTTTTCCTAAACTAGGAGCATCAACATCGTTTTTTGCATACTTTACTGGTTAGTTTTTACATTAGGAGAAAGAAGTAGAGTTTCTATGAATAGTTGGTCTCTGGTGAAGGATCTGTTTTTCGAACTGAGAAGTTGGAATTGAGGCCAAAGTGTGGAACCGGTCGGCAGCTCGAGTCATTGTGCTGCGCCGCATGCCGAGTAATGGAGTGTTTTGTCGTTGGCCCGGCTTTGCTCTTCTTTATTTTTGCGTCAGTTTCTTTTCCTTTTTATTTTGAGCGCAATTTCAATTTTCCGGCCATTCCCCACGATGTCATGCGTGTGCTTCCCTTGTCCGCTTGAATACCCTGGCCTCATTTAATTTTTCATCTGCCATCATACACCGAAATTCCAAAGCTCAATCGTTTAACCGACACCTAGATTACTCTTGTTTTCATTTTGTGGATGGCCCCAAAGATAATAAGTTTTGTTTTTCTGTAGATGAAAACTCATTAGACACCACGGATCACTGTTATAATGGCCAGGCTGAGAGCATAACGGAAGTCTGGAGCGGAAAATGCAAGTGAAAATTTATTTATAGGACAAATTTCCATGAATATTTTTTTTCAGATGGCATAGCAAAAAAAAAATATGTTTGAACACTTGTGATCAAAAAATGCAAATAAATCTGACTTTTTCACCTGCTCTAAGAAATTCGACTGAAATTTTTTTGCTTTTTAAAAGTTTTGCTGATTAGCTTATTCTTTTCAATTGACCTACTTGTAAAGCTACTTCATTTTTTTAAAGAGAAAACACTTAGCTTTTTGAGCGAGTTGAAACGAGTCAACTAAGTTTCCAGAAAATTTCAATTTTCAGACTAACTGCGACGTACGAAATATTGCAACTCAAGCGTATTCTCGCTCGTTTCTTTTTCTATCTCAAAAGCACCTGCGTCTTATTCAGACTGATTTTTGAGCTTTTAGGTTTGTAAAGGGTCTACAAAATCGACTTGTTTTGACGACGGCGTTTGGAAATTCGGCTTGATTATGCTTTTATCGAAGTGAAGGAGTATAATGCGGCCCAGCTGCAATTTTTCTCCAGTTTTTTATGAGAGATTTTGGTGAAAAACAATCCTCGCTATACAGCTTTTTTCATATTTCAATTCTTTTTTCACGCTTCGGTTTTTTTGACGGTATCTATGATTCTATCTCATTTCATCTCGTCATGAGGAAATAATTTCTAGTCAAAATAGAAATTATTTGAATTTCGAATTTCGTCAGAACTCATGAAAACGCTTCCGGGAAGCTTGTGAAAAAAATTCTCATTAAATTTTGCTGTTGTCCCTTTCTCTAAACGCGAATGAATCACGACGCTCAGAAGACAGAAGCCCAAAAGCAGAAGAAAAGAATATTCTCAAAACTTTCTCTTTTTGTTTTGTTTCACTTTGATGTGTAAGATTTTTTGTATGCATTTGTTTGATTTAAGGTTTGTATTGTTCTGTGTTCAATACCTTTCGCTCTCCGTTTCGGTTCTTTTCGGTGATTTTTTTGGCGAATTTATAAGATACGGTAGTTTAATAAGGTTTGAAAGCTTTTTGTCGTTAAAATTTGTGAAATGATTTTTTTCTAAAAATATTCGATTAATGGTAGGGCAACTTCTGGAAATCCTACCCAATAGTATTTCTTTCTGATTTAAGCTGACTTTTTTTGTTGTTTTTTTATGTTTTGAAGGAACGCTGACAGGAATTTTTTTGTAACTGGCAAAATCTTCAATTATTATGCACCTCATTGAACCTTTTTTTCAATTGAAGTTAAGTCAAAAGGTTTTTTTCATGTCTGGGACCATCCGACCAGAGAATAACCTGAATATTCTCATTAAAAGCGGCTTGCGTGTTTGTCCGTGCTTAGACGAGCTTGCCAAAGTCTCAACAACGTCCAAATTATATTAGCTGAGGCAAAAAACGCATCATAAAGAAAGTTTGTCGTTTCCGCTCAAAAATCGCCAAGTTCTCGCTTCGCCACTCAACTCAAATCAATGAGGCTCATTCAGTAGGCTGTGAGTAAGGAAGCTTGAACTCTCATCACTCCGACTTCCTGTTATAATGACACTGCTGCTGTCTGATATGTCCCGCTGACCGGCAATTATCGGACCTCGAGAAACTTGTCCCACTCAGCAATTTTCGGCTTGAGCTCCCAAATTTGCTCCTTTACCTTTCAGTCTCCTCGCAACGACTCTTCTCGACGTTTCCGTGTCTTTTCCGATATATTTTGAATTTTGCTAGTTTTTTCTTTCAGTACTTGGTTTCATGCAAAAAATCATCCAAGTGCAAGAGAAGATGTGCCACTGGCACTTTTCTGTCTTCTCTTTCTTTGTTAAGGACAATTGAATGAAATGTTTCTCTATTTTCGGACTCACACAAATACTCTTTAATACGATGCTGTCTTTTTCGTTTGTTTGTGATGCTTGTTTTTAATGGGACAAGATTCAGAACCAACGAAAAGTTTGCGAAGAAATCCAGGCGGATCCTTCGTCAGATGGGTCAACGTCGACATGAATGAGGATCCGCCCAACTTTTCTTCTCCAAACGAACGGCATGTGTGCGGTTTAACTACTTAGTTTCAAAACAAATTTTCATCATTTTGACCGTTTCTAAGAATATCAAAAATCAAAAAATCGCGTGAAACGTCTTGGAATTGTGAAAAGGTTCAATAGTAAGTTTTCAGATATTTATTTACCCTTAGTTTGTTCGTTGTCCAACCATCACAACCCATTAGTAGAAGCCTGAAAAGGTTTTGTTGTGTGTAAAAAAATTAAGGCTTGAAAGTTAAAGTGAGAAGTTGAAAGTTTCTGCTCAATTTTTTTTTGGGTTTGTCAGGCAAAAAAGTTATAGAAACACACTTTGTAGTTGCTACCGATTTTTTCAGAGTCAGAGTCAATTTTTTCAAGATTTTTTTTCATTTTTCACTTTTGCCTCTTAAAAGAATTATTTAGGGTTTCAAACACAAAGCAATAGGAGATCCGTAAACAAGAAAAACCCTTGATTAATCAAGAAATCAAATAAACAAACCAGCACCTTTTTGCTTCTTTCCCTGTCTCCTTGCCCCAGAAAGCCCAATTCGAGGAAAAAACGGAAATCAGGACTTCCGAAGTTTCCAGAGAGTTGCTTTTGCTGCACGAGTCTTATCGAACCCACGAGGACGGCAAAGCGTGCACGTCGATCCGCGATGCCGTCGCGAACGATCCTTATTCCTACTGCGGACGGCGTCTTCACGTCGCCGTTCGTTGTGTCCGACGTCGTCTCCTCTAATCGTCGCAATTTTCAGCTTCTGACCAAAATGATCAGCATAGCTGTCTTGCCTTATTACCTGTTCATCGTGATATTCATCTCATTCTGTGGAAACGCCACGTGTGTCATGTTTGCTGTGATTATTCTTGGTGAGCCTTTTTTTTCATGAAAATCAGATGGTCTGCTCCAAAACGCTTTGAGAGGCCTTCTCAGACGCTAACTTTTAATATTGAAAATTATGAAGAAGCTTGTTCCGTCTTGGTTATAAAAAAAGTAATTTTGTCGATGATTTGAAAATGTTTTAAAAACCAGGCTGTCCCACTTCAATATTTGATAGAAATTCTTGATCTTAAGTTTTGACTGACAGCACAAAAAAACGAGAAAACGAGCTTCGCTTTGTGAATAGCTGACGGAAATTAAAGAGTTGAGACTTGGAAAAACTACAAAAGCTTCTGGAATTTTCTGAATTTTATAAATTTTGAAATTACCAAATCAAGATCTGATTTTGGATTTGACGCGTTTTAGAATCACAGTAGGTGTTCACAAACGGATTGTCACTCTTGCGAAATTTTCCGATTTCTGAACTTTGTTTTTCAGGATCTGTATCAATATTTACCGTTTATGGCGCCTTCAACGGAGCAAAAAAATGTGCCTTATTCCCTTCCTAATACTTCAAGTGAGCTATCATAATTTTCTTTAAAAAAATTTGCGAGAGATTTTTGGGAGAATGATGAATCTAGTTGAAATGGCATTTTTAAGGTAGTATTTTTCGCGTATGACTTGGTGCTGGTTGCACTTTTCCTGTTCGCTGTGATACACCCAAACTGCTTCCTGTCGTCTTTAATTCACTCTCCACTCGTAGATGTTCCAGTGAATGCCGACCACGGTAAAGTTTTATTTTATTCCCTCACGCAATTACTTATAAGATCTTTGAACTCTTAATAGAAGCAAAATGGTTTATCTTATATGTAAGAAGGCCGTTTCATTTTTTCAGAGGAAGCTTCTGAAAAATGACCAAAACAATCTTCAAAGTACAAGGAAAAAATCTTGAAATTTTCACTTTGCACAGATTTACAGTTATTGAAAAAAAAAATATCTTAGAGTCAAAGAAAACTATCGATTCCTTCGAAAAAGGCTATCCTTGTGTTTAAATCCTCATTTTTTCAAAAATTAAGAAGTTTTTTAGGCTGAGACTTTTGGAGTTCTCTTTTATTTTAAGGAGTGTTCTCACCAAACTTTAAACAATTTGCAACCACAAAAGAAAATGCCCATTCCTGTAAGCTATGATCTCTGTTCATTTTTGGCGAGTTTCCTTTTCTCTACTGGTTGACTTTCAGCGTTATTATGCGGTTGCTTGCTTCTCGTTCTACTTCTGGCTCCTTTGATATGGACCACACATGTTGTCTACATCGACTTTCTCTTCATCTCTCAAATTGATGAAGCTCTTCATCTTTTGAAAGAGGTCAAAAACATTTCCACACTACAAAAAAAAAATGAGAGCCTTCAAATAGGATAGAACTTTTTTTTCAGGCAAATCAAAAAATATCTCAGGACGAGATGTCGCCAAGCCGCATGAATTTCTGACACCTGAACTGAACGCATACCTCACTGCATTCATTAAACTCCTGTGTAATCCTAATTCAAAAACAGCTTACTCAAACCATTATTTGAATAGATAAGACATTAGTTCAAAGAAACGTTTTGTTTTAAACTCCGGAGAGTAGAGATAGATAAAAATGGTGTTTTGATTTTAGTTTTTTGAAATAAAAAATTGCTAATAAAAACGGCGGAAAAGATGTTTAACTTTAAACACAAGACAAATGATTTCTCTTCTCAAATCAGCAAATGGTTTCTTTTCAGATAACGATTCTCATTTTATTGTATTGCTGAAAGTTTGATTTCACAATTTTTTTTCCTCTAAAACGGTTCCTAAAATCCATACTGTTTCTATTCTTAAATACATTCCGGGTGTTTGTATCCAACGTGTAGCATGAAATATTTACCAATAAAAATTGCTTTCGTCTTTGAGCATCGTAATAAATTCGAAGAAAAATTCAATTTGTCTATTGCGCAAGATTTGATATTCCTATGTCCATTTGTGAGCACATTAATCTTTATTTGAGACTTGAAAAAAATAATATACGATAAAATAACCTGCATATGGAATTTCTTTCCCGAAAACGTTCCCTAACCAAAAAAAACGACACTGGGAGTACGAAAGACTTTGAAATTTTAATAAGTGCTGAAAATAAAAACTAAGAAAGGCAAGGATGTGAAATCTTCAAGGAATGACTGGCTATTCGTACAAAAAAAACGCGGAATTGAATATCACTGATAAAAAAAAGATTCTACATGAAATCTCATCAAAACTTGACGGGGATATCACAATAAAAAAAAATTGTCTAACATGAACATTCAGTCAGATGAACTTTTTCACAACTTCATGCCGAAAAAAATGATAAGATAATTTTGTAACGCATATATTAAAAACACAAAAAAATAAATGAAAATACCCAGAAACAACCGAATAAAGGAAACCTGAATATTCAACGAAAAAATTTCAAAGTTTTGCCTAAAACTAGAAAAAAATGCACTACTCGCCGAATTCGGGAAAAACATACCATTCCGGGTCATAACCTGACCAATTTTCTGGATCTGGTATCAAAAATATTCGAACTCCATTTATGAAGCACGTAACAATGCCGTTGTAGGCTGTGCGCGGAACTCCTGCCTGTAAGATATTTCTCCAATTCATAAAAAAATGATTGTTTGATTTACCTTGAAGTCGTGCATTATATGTAAAAGCATCAGCCTTGAGGATATAGTCTCTATTCCCCGAAAAAGTCACTCTGAATTTTCACTCAAAATTTTCTTTTGAAAAATTTTTTATTTGATAGTTTCCTCCTGAGAAAAATGTCCTCAGAAGAGCAAAGTTTTATACCCTCCTTTCATGTATTTTTTTCAATTCAATTCAATTCAATTTATTCAGACATGAGAGTATTCAAAAAGGCTCTGCTGAATCTACCAAGGAGCTATTTTTTTTTACATTTTTTCAATTTTCGTATGTTTCAAAAATCAAAAAATCAATTTAATCAAAAAAAGTGCCACAAAATGCTTGAAAATAACTAGAGAACTTTTAATTTCCGGAAATGAGGATCAGAAAAACCTATAAACGCTGACCTGAACTTGTTCGGTTTATTTTCTCCGTTACTTTGAAGCATGGTGGCTCGAAGAGCTTCGTCAATAGGTACAAGGGAGGCCGAATTCACCTCCTCCAAAAATGTGCGGTTGTAATTTTCCTGGAAGAAAAATAAAAATCAAAACAATTCTTGTATGTTTTTCGAACCTCTAACAGAAAATCAAGATTCATGTCTTTGAAATCAACAAACTTCTCGTTGAGGTGAACTTTTGCAAGGTGCTTACTGAAAAACTGCCCTCTGAAAAATCAGAATGAACGATTAGGAGATTTATCAACTCTCACTTGCTTGCCCCCTCTTTGCCGTAATTCGACATTCCCGTTCTACTGATTTCCGGTCGAATACATTGTCTTCCCTGAAATATTCGTAATAAAAAAAATTCAAGAAATTTACTTTTCTTCGTAGAGGATCTCGCATCCAATCGTCCCAAAATCCAGTGGGCCAAATTGGTCCCAACTCGTTCCAAAGCTTTCTGCAACTTATTTTATTATTTAAAGTGAGATAGAAAACTAACGATGTCATCATCCAACCTAGTCCAGGGAAGAAATCACTCCTATAAAGCTTTTCAGCAGCGTCCAAGTCAATCGAACCAATCTGAAAAATTGAAATAGCCAAAATTCATAGTATACAATAAAGTCTTCGGAAAAATTCAAGCTTAGAAAATCATCAATGAGCTGAAAATGCGTTTAACGACGCTGTATTTCTTTTAAGTTCTTCAAATAACGTTTTTTTTCCTATCAGTTTTTGATTATGGATAATAGCCCTTGCGTTTGAAAAAGTGTTTTTTTTTCTTATCTTTTAGACAATAATGAAGTTTTTTTTAAACAAAAAAATAACGCTTGTCACATTTTTCATTTTTTTCTACTCGCAGAAGAGCCAAGCATTTTTTTGTAATTGATATTCCCTTTTTGAATGTAGAGAATCTATGGAATAAACAAAAAAAAACTAACCTTGCCGTTGTCATTCCAAGCAGAGACGCACCAGAGCTTGGGATCATTTTCTAGAAGATAACGCGTCGCCGAGAAGTAAGAGAAAAAATCTTCGGAAATATTCAAATCATCTGAAAACTTTCAAACATAATAGTTGAAAAAAAGGAAGGTACCCTCTGTTATGATGACGCTTGTGTATCTTTTGAAGATTTCGTTGAGAGCAAGCTTGTAATGTCTGGCGATTCGATAGTAGGCCGTGTACATGCGATGATTGTTCGGTATAGTGATGTTTGCTTTTTCCCCGGCTAAATGCTGAAAATATATTTCTATTGTAAATTAGAGTTAATCCACAAAAAAAAAATCCAGAATTGGAGTTTATTGGAAATCGGCTAATACCAAATGATTGGATGAAGTTATGAATTTTCTGCAGGTTTACTCGAAAACCGTTGAAGAGACAGATGATAATCCCGAAATGTCGCTAGCTTCCAAAAATGTAACTCCAAGAGACCCGCTCTCTCCCGAACTTATCATTTGGTTAAAAGCAAGGAAACCTTAGGTCTATACTCTTGAAAAACTAAAAATATAACTTCTTCAAAAATCCTATTTGTATTCTTCTTACCTCTGCATGTTTTATTTTGGAATCGAATTTTTCAGAGTTTTGGATTTGCGTTGTGTTTATTAAACGTTGTTTTTCAAACAAATGAAAACCTTGAGGTATTGCACTTCTTGGCCGAAGGACTGCACAGCGTCTCGAACAGATAAATCGTCGCAATCTTGGCTCACAATTATTGGAAACTTTTCGCGGTCATTGGGATGGCGTAGCCTGCAAATTTTTTTTTGTTTTTATAATCAGAAAGTTTTTTTTCTCTGTTTTCCCACAAAATTTAATGAGTTTCATATGATTGCATATGCTGTAAGGAAGGCTGAACGAAAACTTTTTACCTACTAACATTCATTCACGGAAAAAAACTGAAAGGAAAGTTATCTCTTAAAAAGTAATTAAAAAAATTTTATAGATTTGACTCTTTCAATCACTGCAATATAATTTTATTTTGTAAGATTATTCCCTGTTTAAAAAAATGAAATTAGGTTTGTCAGGTAAAAATAATACTTCTGAAACACGGGAGCTCGTAATTTTCATCAAAATTAAAAGAAAGTGTTTTTCAAATAAGTAGTTCTCCAACCTCAATAATTTTTTGACGTGTTCTTTAACCGCTATGGCTCGATTACAAGCAAAAACCTGCAAAATCAAGTTGTCCATATCTTTAAAAAAAATGATACCAAGACGGGGATCGGTTCAGTCCATATTCGAGAATGAGGCTTCGGTTTATTCTGTAAGCAAGAATAATTTTGAAGCCATGAAACAAATTTAACAAACTCGATCAAATTTTGGGTTGACTTCTTTCATTCTTTGAAGTTCATCCATTCGAAGTTTCAGCCGGGTAATTTCTTCTTGCTCGTTTTCTAAGCCGGATTCTAATTTTTTAACAGCATTGAGAACAACGTCGATCACAGGATCACTTGATGATGGAGTAAAACTAGTGTTCTAAAATTGATGTTTTGTTTATTTTTTAAATTCTGTTGATAAAAATACAAACCTTCAAAAGGAAAAGTATGATAAAAAAACAGTCCATATTGCGAAAAAAATAAAGCTGTGACTGCGAATAAAGTCTTGATTGTCGGTTTCAACATTAGGTGCTTAAAACCGACCACCTCTACCTGAAAAAAATTAGAAATAAAAAAACTGTTAAAACGGTGACGTAACTTCAAGTTAACAAAAAAACGAATCAAATCTTGAAACTGAATTATAAAATGAAGTGAAATGAATCTTAGGGCTCTTTTCACCGATAAAACAATTCGAAATTACTAAGCTAACGTCTCACTCCTTTTTCTTGATTTATGTGAACAGAACTGCAATTTTGAGCCGTTTGAGAAAAAAACAAAAAAAAATCCCTTATCAATTAGAGATTTAGATAAAAAATGATATTCACTTTTGGCGGGTGATATCGAGCGTTAATATTTTTGCATTGGAGCAACATTACACGTCACTCTCATCGGTTTATTGTCCCTCCAAAAATTGTGCGAACACACGATCTCAAATTGCACAACGTTGTAAATCGTATCATTTGCAACTTTTTTCTCTGTTCCAATCTCCATTTTCAAACTTTGACATTTTGAAAGAGTTCCGTGATATTCGGGTAGACGCATAGCACATCCGTAGTAATTACACCGTAGCCGGCGGCCTTTCGCGCGCGTTTGTTGTTCTGCACCCTCCCCCTTTCCTCGGCCTTCTCCGCCATTCTTGAAACGTCCGCTTTCGAATTGCGGTTCAAATTTTCTCTTTGCCGCATCTTCTCTCTGTTTATTGGTTTTGATAACGCATTTGGGCGAGTTCATAAATGGGCGTCGCCTTTTCTCTTTGCTCCCTTCCTTTCAAAAAGGACACCAATATGTAAACAATGTGTGTCTTGTTGTCCAAGACACGGCTGCGGTTCTCTTGTTCTCAAATGTTTTTTTTTCTGATTTTAGTTTCAAAAATTTCACAAAAAATGAGGAATAAACTTATCTCATTTATCTTTTTTTAGCAAAAAAAGAAATCCCTGTTTTATGACATTTGAAACAAATTAGATAATTCAAAAAAAGGAAAAACAATAATTCATAACCGAACTGTTTGAAATGATAACTTGAGGCTGCCTTAAAACTGCACTTGCGCTCATAGCAGATCTTGACATTTTGCCGACAAAAAAAAAACAAAAGTTGTTGATGTAAACAGAAAGGCCTGCGGCCGTATATTGTTCAACCAGAGTTCTTTTTTTTTCATTTCAGTTGTTTTTCGAATTCTTCTTACTCATGCTATCGCGGTTTGAATTTTCTTCTCTTGAATAATATCAGCAAAACGTCTCTTGTTGCGTTTCTTTGGCGCTGTTTCTTCTTTGGTCAGCCAATTATCAAGGGCCTATTTATTTTCTCTCTTATCGATATTCAACTCTTTTCGCGGCAGATTCATACTTATTTTTGACTTTTATATATCTACGTAAAAACACATGGATGCCGTTTTTTTTCTTGTAAAATAAAAACATTAGCGATATAAATATAAGTTCATTCAGAGTGCAAAGACAGACGCATTTTTTTCGCTCTTGAAAAAAATTTTTTTAATTTTTAATAATCTTCCTGTTTTTTTCTACGATTTTTTTCCCCATGATCGAAATTTATATATATATATATATATATATTGCAGCTGCTTATTTTCTTTTTCCATATGTTAAATTTCAGAGAAATTATGAAGCGCAAGGACGAAGTTTCCGAGGAGCATCCGCCTGCCAAAGTGAGCAAAGACGACGAGGACGAAAGCTCTCAAGCTCCAGAATCTTTGGAAGAAAAGCTCGCCGAGCCCGTTATCAAGCCAGATGAAGCTGGCGAGATCCAGTCTGCGGAGCCGGTGGTCGAAGAGCCAGATGAGAAGGCGTTTCCTGAGGCGAACCCAGAAGAAGACGGCAAGAAAGACGAGAACCCTGCGCAAGAATCTCCAGCTATTGAGGAGGTGGAGAAACAAGACTCACCAAAAGTCGGAGACCCGAAGTTGGGCGACGCAAGTGCTCCTCCCCAAGAAGAAGAAGAAGCAGAATCTCAAGAACACCACGAGACTAACGGCAAATCGGATGCTGCTGAAGATGCGGAAGAGAAGAAGGATGACGCTGCTGCGGAGTTGAAGAAAGGAGCTGCTGCTCCAGAAGCTGCTGAGCCCGAGAAGGAAGCTAACGGAGAAGGTGCGGCTGAGCCTGAAATCGAAGTCTAAGTTGTTATGTTTTTTTCTGGATTAACAAAATTCTTTAATCTTCCATCAATCAAATTTTTTTCTTAATGCAACTTTTTCCACAAGTAATCAATTTTAATTATAATTTTTTTCACGTTGATCTTCATTTTTGCATTTTTAAGTAATCTCGTTTGGTGGTATTACCAATGTTGTATGGGCTTGAGAGGTGAGAAACTTTCAAGGACCGAAAATCTCTGCCTACTCTCCCAATCCTTTTTTGTATCTGACTGCTCTGATCGACCACAGCCTAAAATCTAATCAAAGCTTTTGAGACCTGCCCTTGACTAGTTAACAATCCGGTTAGTTGCTTTTCCGGCTCCCAATAACACCCAGCCGAATATTGCTTTCCAGCATCTCTGATGATTTCCGGTTTTTGTTTGCTGTTTGTATCGGTTGTTGCTTGAGTATTTAATCAAGTTAAGTAAATTTCTTGTTGAAACATGTGTTATCAAAGAAAATCTCTAAGAGAAAAGCAGCATTTTGGCGTTTTTCCCAGAATGGCAATAGTAATGATGTGAGAAAAACTTTTAGAAGGATTGCCAGATGAAAAAAATTCTGTTTTCGCCAAAGTGCAGAAACATATTCCCACTCTAGAGCCACGCGGCTTTGGATATATTTTGCACGCCCACAGAAATCTAATCGTCTGTTTGCGTTGGCTGATTATGTTGCTAATGGTTCGGAACAAGGCTTATCTTCCATTGACGCCACCAATCTGGCAGATGGCCTTGATCTTCTTGACAGGGATTTCGTTCAGCATCATCTTCTGCTTGCGGCAGTGAAACAAAGTGTTCACTTGGAGGATGTGGAAGGAGAGATACCCTGCTTGATGTTTTCAAATAACTGTTTTATTTTGATCAGGAAAACATTTCACGCTGCAAAATGTTTTTCTAAGAATGTTGGGGGCACTCAGAAATTGGATAAATCTTTATTGCTTCAAAATAGTCAAAAAGACGTTAGGCTTTTTCAAAGGTTTTATTTGGTGCAATTTTTTAATTGGTTTCGATGTTGGAAATGAAGACGTGGTTTCTTAATTAGTCTTGGTACAGCGGATTTTCCATAATGTATGCGCACTCGCTGGGGTGGCGGGATGTTCGAGGAGAAATCGATGCAGAGCGGACCGACGAGCTGAAATCCCGAATTAATTATACGTGTCTTACTTCACAACGCGAGCAAAGAGAAGAAGACCAGGTGCGTATTAGCGAGTCCTCCGGGGTTTATGAAGCCCTTTCTTTTTAGAATTCGGCACCTTTGTGATTTTTCAAAAAAAAAAAGAGAAAGTTTTTTGATTTTGGTAAACCTTGACGCAATGTTTCGAAATGCACATTGAGAAGGAAGGTCAGTTTTAAGTGAAATTCGTAAGTTTGTTTAATTTGCCTAAAATCTTTACGAAGGTCTTCATTGAGCCGTCTCATAGTGAACACTTGGGCAAAATTTTAGTTTTTTGCAGGCAACGACTTTCAAGGGTTATTTAATGAACTTCTAGAATACTCTTAAAGCGGTTAATAAAAACTTTAAAGTTCCCACCTCAACGACCTTCCTTGTGAGGTCATTCAAGACCTGAATACTACATTTCGGAGGTAATAATCTAAATACCCAAAAAAATTTCACTAAGTCAACTCGGCGTTTCAAACTACTCAGCAACTTTTTACGGAACAAATAAAAGTTCCTCATGTGAATAACTATTTGTGATACTGAATCTAGAGTCGTAGCTCAACTAATTCTGTGAAAGTTCTCTATCCTCTCAGTCAAAAAAGTTACATTTATATCTCACTAACGTAGTTTAGCCTCTATCAAAAGAACGTTTAAAGTCCTTTTTGCACAAGTTTTTTTGTCTGAGTCAAAATTTTAAGTGCAATGGTTAGTCATTATCAAAACAGAACAGCAAACCAGCGAACGTCATATTGCTAGTTGGGAAAGGGCTGTTTTTATTTCTTTTTTCTGACTGTGGAGGTTTGTCAAGCAAAGTGAAGTAACGTACAGCTTATCCACTTTTTGAGAAAACAAATGCCTAATAAAGGCGAATAACAATACGCTCGGAAAATAAACTCTAATAGTTTTATATGTTATATGTTTCAGTCTTCGTAATGAAAAAATGCTTAGAAAGAAAAAAAAAGCGAAGAAAAAACCTTGAATGTCGATCCGGATAAGCAACTTCATAAGTTACAGTTTCCTTATATGGCGAAACTGGTCGCCCGTCATGTATAGAAACCCATCGCGACTTTTTAGTCACCTAAAATTTGGCAATTTGAACTTATCCTAATTACTGAAAGAAGGGAACAAAAATATGTAAATAAATCGAACCTTTTTTAAGGGCAAAGAAGCGCTTGCTGTGCTGGAGGTGCTCTTTGGGGAGAGCGGACCTGACCTCGGTGAGCCTGAGGCCGCGGATCTTGGCGACAGCATGTGGATTGACGCTGATCGGGGCGAAACCTCATCTGAAATCGAACTTTGAAACGGTCTTCTTCTTATCTCACAACCTAAGATATATACGGCCCGCTTTAGTGCACTAAAAGAGATTTTTTTATTTAACAAGAAAAAAATTATGAATGGTGTTAAAATTTTTTTACTAGATAAATTTGAGGGATACACTATGGCAAGTTTTTTTATTTCAAAAGGTTGCAATAAATCATTTTGGGAAAAACAAATGGATCTAACTGAAAACAAAAAAAAAACATTGAGTTAGGCACTTATTAACAAATGACGGAATGAATGTGTGAATAAGAAACTTCTTGACGTAATTTGATCAAATCAAAAAAAATTCATCAAATTTAGTACCGTAGTGACGGTTTCTTGGCGAGGCGTGACGAGAATTGGAAACGTCGACTCGGGGAATGTGAAGAGGTTGAATAGGTTGGAGAAGAGCACGGCTCATGTGGTCGCCGACTGGACTTACCGGCCGAACCGGCGTCGCCGGCCTCACTGGATCCGATGGCTGAAACCAATAGAATTCGATACCTTCCATTCAGACTGACTCAATTTTTTTAATGCTTTCAAAAAAAAAGTTCATCGAAAATTTCTTTAGTCAGCTGTAGTAGAGTTCACCAAACCGATCATTCAACCATTTCAATTGATCAAACTATTGACATGTCACTGTTCAACCAAATTTTAACATGTCATTTTTTGAGAGATCGTTTATTAGATCAGTTTTTGATCTCTTACATTATTGATCAGTCATTGGATTTTAACGTTTTGATATATCGATATTTTTGACCAATTTATTCAATACAACATTTCGATCTTTCATTTTTCGACCAATGTTTTCAATACAACATTTCGATCAATCATTTTTTCGACCAATATTTTCAAAACAACATTTCGATCAATCATTTTTTGACCAATATTTTGAGCATAAAATTTCGATCGATCGAAATTCCGAGCGATCGATTTTCAAAACAGATCGCTCACACGGGGCAGGTTTTCGGAGTACTAGTAAACAGGTGAAAATATTTCATTTTTTTTTCCGACAAATTAAAGTTTTGCATTTTTCTTGATTTTATTTGTTATAGTCTATATGGCATTGTAAAAATTTTTGCTTTTAGTACCAGTGAACACAGAGAAACAGAAAAAAACGATGATGATATTTCGTTACGAAAAAAATCAAAAAAAGAAATTATGATGAACATTTGAGAGAAGCGGTTTTTAAACAGTAGTTTTAAACATACTTTTTTTAACCAAAAATGCATTCCGATCAATCATTTTTTTCGACCAAATTTCCAATAAAAAAATTTCGATCAATCATTTTTTTGACAAAATTTTTCAATACAAAAATTTTTGATCTATCATTTTTTTCGACCAATATTTTCAAAAACAACATTTCGATCAATCATTTTTTTCGACCAATATATTCAATACAACATTTCGATCAATCATTTTTTTCCGACCAATATATTCAATACAAAAATTTCGATCAATCGAAAACTGAACGATCGATTCAAAAATGATCTCTCATTTAAAATGAAATGTTGACATTTCGAAAAAAACGAGAGATCATAATCATGAGACATGTTAATCGTTCGGTAGCAAGAAATGTTAATCAATCATATTTTTGGTAACATGTCATGAAAATATTGGTTGAACGTTTGGTCGAACGATCGGTTTGGTGAACTCTAAGCTGTAGCATTGAGAAAAGTTGAAAATCCCTCTAGTCCTCGGAGAAGATCTAGAATGATTGATACGATATTGGAGTTTAAAAAAATAATTAAAACGAGTTATTTTTTTGATAAGAGAAAAAGATCAACTTCAAAGTTTTTTTATATGCATATTCCTACACGATATGACAGCTTCCAAAGTCAAACATTTTGATGAGGATAGTTAAAAGAAGAAAGAAACACATAAATAATTTCTGAGAGTGCCCTATTTGATTGCGACTTCAGTTTTTTGATTTTTATCCCTTTCTTTGAGTGTGAACGACTGTCCTACTACTTTTTTTTACTCAAATAGTTTACGATCTGAATCAAATTCATTCAATGATTATTTGGGAACTTTGGAAAAAGTGGTTTTTTTTCTGAAAAAAAAAACATAAACAGTTCTTTTCTTCATTTTTTTCTATCATTTTTTTATTCACATGCGTGCCAACAAAATAATCTTATTGACGAAATTCGCAAAAAAATATCAGCCGAATACGTCTCAATGCTCGATGTGGGGGTTTCGTCAATATTTCTTGAAAAAAATATTGAAGAGAGCTTTTTGACAGACGTATGCTCTCTATAAGCGTATTTGTGTAAGCGATCAACACTTTTCAGCTTTCTGAGAAAAAGAAAAACGTCCGAACGTTTTAACTGTTGTTTCAAACCGATTCCCACCACCAAATAAAACATAATCAAAGCAAATTCTTCGATTTGAATTCCGACAGAGCTACCCTCGCTCTAGCAAATTCATGCTTTTCCTCAAGAAACACTAGAAAACAATGTTTGCCGAAGTCGTAAGTCAACTGTAAACATAAAAAAACGAGGCTCTGGTTTTCGGAACTCTGAACTGTTAAAGTATCGAGGACTTTGAACAACTTGCTCTGAATCAATCCACATGGAAACCGGCCAAATATCCAACAAAACCTTTCGAATTTCGCATGTTTTAGCAACACGTAACAGTGCACAAAATATGTGCGAATAAGAAGTTTTCCGGATTTGATAAAACCGATTCAGCTGCAACTTACTTTAGAACACTCTCAACACGCATTTCTCACGCTTTTTGTTTCATAATCTGGTAAAATCTCAAGATGCCAAAAGAACAATCACGCTAAAACTACGGTGTTGTACAAGTTTTCAGGCGCCAGGATTTGACTGCGGCGCAAGAAAACAAGTTTTGAGGGTCTCAGCTTAGTTCCAACTGAATGTGGAAAAATGTATATTCTTTTCATTGTTTTGAATCAAATAAAGGCATTTTTAAAGTGAAACATTTCCTGTTCGATCGGAGAAAAAAGTTATTTTGGGTTTCTTCACTTTTTTCAATAGAAGAAATAAGCTTCACTCACATCCCGTTCAATTTTGACGACAATTTCTCCATTTTCATCTCTGCCATATGTGCGTCGTTCTGTGTACTGCTTTGAAGAAAACTGTCGTTCTGGCTGAAATTCACTTTTTTTCTTTCTTGTCACCACTTTTAATAAAAAAAAAAAGAATTCCGACGGGAATGAGTATTCGGGTAGACACTAACCTCTCTGTGAGGCGTGCCATGCACTTTTCGTTCGAACGTTTCAATCGTGTGGGCTTCCTCTGATCCGATTTTCTGCAAATGGCCCTTCTCATTAAAACCGGATACAATCTCAAGCCCTTTCCTTTCTGTGAAATAAAACGAATTTTCCTCCCACTTACTACAATTTTTGTTCCCATTTGCCCTTATATTTTTGAAATTTCGGTTCAGTTTTCTTCATTTGTGTCACTCATTTTTTTTCCGAGATAAGTGGTTGTCAAATAAACTTTTCACTGTGCACATTTGTCGCTTCTAAACTCAAAAAAGTTAAGTCCAAGAAAGAACTGGAGTTTTGAGAAACTAGGAATTGTGGTTGAAATAGTCAAGAAAACGTGAAAAATACCTTTTTATTTTATTGATGCTTAAGAAAAAAATTTTGCTTTTGGAGAGGTGGAAGATCCAAATACGGTCATCAATTCAAGTTGATTTTTTTTTCTGGTTCCCAGTATTCCAAAACCGATCAAAAAGCTCCTATCCATTGCAAAAAAAGAGAAACCTCAAATCTTCCGCCTTCGTAAGGTCGCAAAGCCATTCTGATGATGCTGGGCCGGGTTCAGGAAGTTTTGGCAGAAAAGTCGACTGGCAGGCAACTCAGCAGTTTACCAAATGACTGTTTGCCGCAATGCTTTTCCGCGCGTTTCGCCCCTTGCGTCTGCGTTTCATCTCAATCCACCGCTATTCCCTTCATTATTTGTTTTACTTCTTCACTGTTCTCAAGGTAAACAGCGCTATCGTTACGTCGACGCGGTCGTTTTTCCGCGTGCAGGATTCCGCGGATGCCCGCAGAACATGGGAGGCTTTTCAAGTGCTCGCGACGACGTTTTTTGAACTTCAAAGACATCCGGAACAGTACTGCAACATTTCCGGTTGAAAGTTGGAAATGACAGCGGCAATTCAGTAAAGTTTGTAATATGCATTGTATAACTAGAAACACTCAAAGTTATTTTCAGTTTACTATGTATCTAGCTCGATTAATATTGAGAGGGTTAAACTGAGTTTTTTGTCCACTGAAGCACATGATGAGATTTTTTTTTTGTCACTGCCTTTCATCACAAATCAAAAATTGTACTAGGTCATGAATTTTTAATACTTCGTTTAAAACCCTCAAAAAAGGAAATCAGTGTTGAAGGCTTAGGCATCTCAGGTTGAAAACCCTTTGTACCGCTTGAGTGGCGTTACGCCCCAAGTCGGTTAGCCGTTGTCCTATCCTGATTCGAGTGATAATCAGTGAACTGGCTCAAGCGACATATCCGTTTTTGTGTGGGATGGCTGGGGATTTCGAAGTCGTGGCTCCCCACTACCAACATTTCTTAAACCTCTCGGTTGGGTCGAGGCGGAGATCGGACCTTTGATTCTGTGGACCGTAGACAGGCACACAACTTGTGGCGCTACTGCGCGCTTCACTTCAAGCTTTCATAAAACTTGGATTGTCAAAAAGGTCAAGCCCGATGAATTTCGACTTTTCAAGACGATTTAAAAAAATGTGATATTGAGAAGGAATACAAATAATTGAAACTCAGCTCGCTTGAGCACATAATGAACGAAAACAATGGAAATCGATTATTTTTTTCTTATGATATTTTTTTCAATCATCTAAATCTTGAAGTTGCAAAATAAATAAGAAGAAGTTGACAACTACATTTTCCACACTTATTTGAGTTTTTTTAAAAATTTTTTTGTCAAACTTTTTGCAGATTATAGTAAACTCGTCATCTAGTTTTTTTAAGCTATTGCTATGAATAGAAAAACCGTGATTCATTTTTCAAATCCAAGGTCCACGCATTCACGGTTTTTCCCCACGACGGAAAAGCCTTATTACTCCAATCCTTCACGTTCCCTCTTTTTCCGGAATTTCTCAATTTTTTCTATTGTTCTAAAAGTTATTTTGCTTGTTACTTTTTGCTTAAGAAAAAAGCCAGAATTCTTCGAAATTCTTGAAATTTTCCGGCTGCCAAGTTTTTCAATTCCAAGTGATGTTTAGGCTGAGAATTGAAATTGGTTGTCCTTTCCAACAAAAATGTTCCCTTGGGGTAGCAAAGAAAACGAATTTAACACTTTTTCTTCACGGAATTCTGCGATATCCTTTGTATCTTATTTTAAGAAGTGCGGTGCATGGTTTCATCGTAAACTATTGAAGTACTCTGACCATTTCTCCTATTTCCGTTGGCATAAGGTGAAAAATTTTTTTTTTGCGCAGATTTTGAATAAAAATGTTTCTTTATGCTTTTGCTTGCGTCAGCTAATAAAAAATAATGGAATTCGTAATAAAAAAGAGAAGGATTAATTTTGAGAAAAGCCTAACGAATTCGCAAATCAACTTTCATTTTGGGTTGCGAAAAACACTTAAAATCTTTGGAGCAATCATAAAAAGCTTTAGAGGAATGTTCTAACTGCTTTCCTTATCAGATTTTACAAGACGCTTTTCTCTCCTTTTAGAAGTGATGGCGTCCCTTGTGAAAAAAGCATCAAGTTCAACAGCTTTTAATTAGACGGCTCATTGGAATTCTTCCCATGTGGCTTCCTGATTAAAACTTGCGCCGGAAACTTAAGGGCTAAGAGTGGATCATTTCCTGCCAAATGCCGTATTATGATGAAGTCTCCGAATGACGTTTTTTTTCGAGAGCACAAACTTTTTTGAATGAACTGAGAGGCTTCTCGCTCAGATTCAGAAATGAATGGATGAGTAAGAGCTTCAAAAAGACGCTGCTGTTGAACTCTTTTTTTAGTTACATTGTGGTTTCTCAACCGAGCTTCCCTGTGTCAGAAACTTTAAAAACAGAGGGGTCCTGACATGCTTCACTAGCTGCAGCATTGGAAAACTAGGAAAGAATTCTTATATCTGCAAGCATTTTAATTATGATTATTATTATTTTCGCTGCAAAAAACAACATTTTAGATAGTAGAACTTCCACAATTTTGGTAGTATAACCAATCACGAAAAAAATGGACCACCCTAAAAAGTAGACCAAACCATATTACAGTAAGCTAGATGAAATCGTTGCGTGAAAATCGTTCGATACGACTTGAAACTGTTCAAAGTTATCTTTTCTCTATAACTAGCTTTTTCGTGTTTATTAACTTTTTCCATTATTCTGAAAACTCGCCTATTAGGAAAATAACTGTTTCACTCGCAGGTTTTCAGAATACCTATTTTTACAAATTTTTTTGAGCTCATCGATCATCAAAAGTTGGCGTGTTGATTTTTTTCCTTTCTCGTTTTTCTTATTAGAAAGCTCATAGACTCTGAAACCAATAACAAGGGCCATTTGAAGCGCCCTTTCAATGGCCATCGGCCCTCAGGGCAACGAGCCGGCTCATTTGGTCCTGAATACTCTCGTTTTTCATATTCTCATTTGAATAAGAACTGAAAATTGAAAATTCCCTTGAAAGTAGAAAAAAAACTTATTGGGATTTGATACAAATTGTGTGGTCCGTCCTCTTGACAGCTCATTTTTTGCTATTAGCTTCTCCGCTTCGTCATCTTAGTTTTCGGAAGCACTCTACCTGAATTTCACCTCGAGACTTTAGATGACTATACTGACTTTACCAACTACCGCACTTTAAAAAAACTAGAATAAAATTTATTAATAAAAAAACTCTATTTAGTTATTTTTTTATTCGACCTTCCGACTAAAGCTTTCAAAAATTTACTTCTGTTCAGACGAGAGCCAGGTTGAATTTTTTTAATTTTTTTCTTCAGTTCTTTGACGCTATAGAAATCACGAGGTGCGTCTGAAAAAGCAAAAAAATGTGATGAACCTTTAAATATTTAGTTTTTGAGGGCGACTTCGAGTTTAGATGAATAAGTTAATTTACCGTTTTTTTAAAAAAACATTGATAACTTTATTTACTTTTCATACACATTTTTTTAATAAGTTTGGGACTTATATAGAGATTTTCTCTATTTATTTTTTTCAGTTTTTCTTAATAGTTCCTACTTACTTCGAATTATAAATTTATTTCAAATTCAAGAAATCCTTTTTTTTAACGAACTACATGCTTGATGTAGAACTATCTCTAAATCTTTTATGCCGATATTGCTTGAAAAGTGAGAAGAGCCACAAACAAGAATTTCCGTTATCTAGTGATCAAGAATAGAGCAGCTCTCTATCCTTTAATGAAAATCTCAGCCTCTTTCTCTTTCAGCCTGTTGAAATTTTTTTTCGAGCTTTTGCATTTCGTTGATGGAAAATCTTTTTCTACTAATCGCAGCCTGTAATAAAAATGACATATCATGCGATCGAATCAAAAAAGCGAGTTATATGAATTGGAGTGAATAGTCATTCACCGCATTAGGTTTCCGTTGCTGTCGGTGTCTGTTGAGCGAACGGCATTTTGAAATTAATTTATCTCAGTTTTTCTGGAACCGAATCCTGAATGCGGGTTTGTTTGCATTTTGATCAATATTTTTTTTCTGCTGTTTTCAGGAACTGCAAATTTGGAACGAAAAAAATCCTGTTACAATTTTTTTAATATTCATTAGGTTAATAATACCAAAAGGTTAGCATTGTAACATATTACGAAAAATGATAATGTAGAAAAAAATTTTGAGATGGGTTTTTTCACTCAAACTTTGGTTAAAAAAAAACCTACAAAAAGTGGGAATTATCTTCATGAAACAAATGCCAAAATGGTGCAATTGCGACTAATTTCGATTTTTGTTCAGAGTTCGGTATTTACGTACCTGGCTCATCTTCGCAAAAATATGTCGATTTTTCTATTTTTGCTTTTTTTCCTTTTTTTGTCTTTGCCCTATGAGCTTATTTTTCCAATTATACTTACTTACTTACTTAAATACTAAGTTGGTCCAATTATAACTTTCATCTTAATATAAAACGTTTTAAGAATAGATTTCAATCTCATGTTAATGTAAAAGAGCTCTCTGGAAAAATGAGACAGTTGTAATTTTGCATTTTCATACAATCTTTTTAAGCTGATTCACCTTATTAACTACCGTATTTTCCTTTTGGCGAAGGAAAACGACGATGTGGAGACTGTTTTATTATGCAAATCTCGTTAGGCTCTCATGTGCGACACAATGATCCGGAGAGTAGTCTTTTTTTTTGTTTGCTGTTCTTTAGTGAGAAGCAAAAACGAAATGTTCTTTGTGCACTTTGCCGGCTGCCAGCTTTTTTCATAAATTAGTCACGAGGTAGAAATTAGACTGGGGCCGTTGAACAAAGAACTTGAAAATCGGCTAACTGTATCCAATCGAAATGTCTGAGAATGGACTATGTTTCTTCAAGTAATCCAAGCTACTTTGGACGTTAGGAAACCCTCAAGTAAGTGCCAAAAGGCAACGAAATTTCAGTGGTAAATTTATTGGAAGCCCCGGTCACGGTAGTGAAATGCGTTGTCAGGATACGAAGAAGCCGTTTTTGTGTGGGATGCTAAGGGAAACCCATAGATTTTGACATGTTTTATTGTCTCCAGAAACTCATTTCTTTTCGTCAAAATTCGGAAGTTCACCATAAATGCCACGTTTCGACAGAAAAATTTCCGCAGTTATTTTTGCCTGACTGTTTTTTTTTTGGGTCGCTTTCCGAAAACCAACAATTAAAAAAAATTTTGAGCTTTTTTTTGGAACCACTTGCCAAAGCATTATGGCTGGTCGATGTACTATTATTGAAAAATTTTTGCTCTAGCGAACAAACCTACTATTAATTTCAAAATCGCACGTTTTAGGGAAAAAAACATTCGATCATCCAAAGCATGCGATTGGAAATGCAGTATGTTTTTTTTTCCCTACAACTCATTTTTGGTTCACATGAGTGTATATTTCAGTTTTGAAAAGCTCCAAATGCACTTTATTGAATATTCAACGTCGAAGTAAAAATAATTTTCTTTTTTTCGAGCTTCAGACACCATTATAAGAAATTTACTTCTCTTTTAATAGATACCAAAATGTTTAGGCGTATGAGAGCAAAAAATGGAAATAGTAGATTCATTGGAGTAATCGAATTTCCGCTTTATCCTGATACTTCCGCTTTTTTTACAAACCTTCAGGAAACCTCGGTGCACCACATATTTCTAATTTTGATCAAAAAAGATTCGATTGGCTCGTTCTATTAAACGTCGGATGAGATTAATGGGTCCGTTCAAAAGATAATTATTTTATTCCTTCTATCCTTTGTTCAATTTCGTGTTCTCTCTATTTCCGCCACAATTTCTGCTTCAGTGGAAAAGGGGGCGACGCACATCCTTTCCAGAAGATTTTCAGCTTGTTGCCTGCAAAAGGCTTCCTTTTATAGCGTTTGCGGAGGTGTTGAGGACTATGAATATTGATAGGGCAAAGTGTAAGGTTAATTGAAAAAAAAAAAAGGAAAATTGAAACTCACTTGCACTCCTGTCACTCCGGTCAAAGATGATCCTTTGACTGATGAAATTAGTTCGTCACTCATCAATTTTCAAGTTGAAGCTCTATTGGCTCTGCGCCGAATCACTAGCTCAATAGTTCCACCTGCCGAAAAAAGTAAAAATAGATTTTGATGCTGACTTCTTCCGGCTGCTCTATTAACTTGGTTCCTCAAACAGCTGCGCTATATCCAAGAAAATGGTTTTCTTCAAGTTTCCCAGACTTCCGACTTGCTGCCGAATATTTGATTACAAGTCCCACACATATCCTATTCAATCTGCATGACGTGGCCTCAATTTGTAAAAATTTAATATCCGTTCCCTATTTATTGAAATGAAACTTCCATTTGCACTTCATTTGCACAAGTCATTTTTCTCTGCGTGTAACATTTTCAGAAACTTTTTCTATCCACTTTTTTTGAAAAGAACTGCGGCAACGGTAGTTCACTTCCTTTCACCTGGTCTCTTTTCTTTATGTTTTGAAGACTTTGTAACAGTCGCTTTTCACGTGACCACTATTCCCGGCATAATTCTGCTTTTGCTGAAAAACTGCGATGAATCGCCAAATTAAACGACGAATATGAGATGTAACGTCACTCATTTCACAGTAACCATGCTTTCCGTAGAGAACAAAAAGAACCACAGAACCCACGCCGCACGTCGTTTAATTTCCTCCTGCCCATTATCGTTTCATTCGCAGAAACACGTTATTATTCGCATTGAGAACATACATTTCATCGCAACGTCTCATTTTAGGCTCACAAAATACTCCTCTGCACTTTTTTTCGAGCTCTTATTCGGGGTTGACCGCACTTTTTCTTTTTAAAGTTCTTCAAGTTAAATAGTGAATGCATCCGTGAAGGCGCGAAGGTTTTTTGCAACTGTCTGTCAAGAAGAGCGTGAATAAGCCCATAGGAAAAGTTGCTCCTAGTTTACAACGACTGCTTTTTAGTTCCTTTTCTTATGAAAATTTTCAACTGCAACCAATCCAATTCAGCCATTTTCCTCCAAAATATCATTATGACGTTTTTCTTCGCAAAAACGTAAATCATTATTAACCCAGGTTGAAATTTTGCAGTGTTCGATTAACTTGACGGGTCTTCAGAAACAAGTGTGACGTCATTAAAAAAAGAAATGAACTCAACGGAGGATTTCGGATGCGATGGGTTGTCACTCAGTTTGCCAGCAAATGGCAAAATAGGTTTGTAAAGCATTTTTTCTCTATTTTACAGCAAAAATGAAAGTGGAATTTTTTTCTGATTACAATCGATCCAGTGGAAGTTTGAAACATTGTTGATTGAGATTATTTCAGTTCTTATTGTCGCCTACGGTTTCGTTGGCGCCTTGAGCCTTATTGGAAATCTAGCCGTCCTTCTTATTGTGGCTTGCCGGAAAGAAATGCAAACAGTCACCAACATCTTCATCAGCAGCGTTTCCGCAGCTGACCTGGTCAGTTTGAGTTGAACTTATGTATTTTCGAGCTTTAATAATTCAAATTTGGTCTGAATGAAGAGAACGCTGAGAATCAACTGTCGGAAAATTCGATTTTCTGAGAAGCTTTGGAAATCATTAAAAAATTAATTCGTATCCTTTTGACATCTGCTCACAAAAAATGAGGAGTTAAATAATTTTAAGGTTTTAAACTTAAGTTTATTTTTCTTAGTCACGGTTAGCTGGTTAGCTCACGGTCAAAAAAAGATTGTCGGATTTACAAGGAAAAACATCGTCTGGTTGCTAAAAATTGCAGACGCCCCAACACCATTGTGAATGAGATATATATTTAGAGTATCAGTTTTCACAAACTGCTGAAGCACGGACTGAAGTTATTTTTTCTGGAACAGTATCGAAGAAACCGAAAATTTTGACAATTAAAAACGCGGATCCAGTTCATAGCTATATGAATATTTTATATTTTACCAATTTTTTTGTTGAAAAATATTTCATTTTAATTACAGGTCATCACAAGCTTTTCTTTATGGGCAACTCCATTGGCCTATTACCAAAGGGTTTGGTCGTTTGGTTACGCTATGTGTTACGTCACAAACATCGTTCAAGTGAGTCTTTGAACTACAATCTCAAAAGAATTTTCGGTTATATATTTTTCTCGAAAAATCAAAACTCTCATAGGACTGTTCGTTTTAGGGAGCGTCACTCATGTGGGTTCCGCTGACTTTGGCTGCTGTCGCGCTGGATCGTTACATTTTGGTTGCTTCGCCTTTCCGCAGACCTATGAGCACAAGGTTAGGGGAGAAATTGATCATGAGGAAGCTTGACTACATTTCAACTTCCGCGAGAAACTGCGACAGCACATAAGTTTTTGACATATTAAGGATGTTGTCATCCGATGACTCCACTAATTTCCTTGTGATTTTGTTTTCATCCATAGAGTTTCAGGACATGTCTCACGATTATTGTCTGCATTTGGGTTGGCGCTTTTGCTGTGCTAACACCAATGATATCGCATGTCAATTACGTCGATTCTTACATGTGCAAGGTATATTCGTTCCCATACAACGAAATAGAACAAAGTTTGCAGTTTTGTGTGGAGCACTGGGAACCCGAACAAAGTCACCAAAGATTGGCTTATGGTCTTTTTGTCCTTCTCATTCGTTCTGCACTTCCTCTTCTGCTTATCTCATTTTGTCATTGGCGGATCGCGGCTATTCTCAACGTTCAAACAAGGAAGTTTGCCGCGCTTCGAAATTCGAGGTTGACAAATGCAGTTAACTCGTTGCAATCAAGTTTTTTAGTGTCCAAACCCAAACGAATGATATAAAACGGAAGCAGCGGCTGCAGACGCTTCTGCTCGCAATGGTTGTCATTTTTGCCGTATCCAGTTTGCCGATTGATCTTTACAATGTTCTGCAAGATGTCATGATTGTCTACGAGGTATCGAATGAGCCGCTACATGTGTTTTTATGGAAGGAATTGGTTCAAAGAAAAAGAACTATTCTCTTAAAATCAAGTTCAGCACATAGAATGCACTTTCTTCATAATAAAGATTTTTTTTAGAGAAAAAGTTTTTGAAAAAAAGTGCACTTTTAATTGTGATAACATGCCAAGTTTTTTTGCGGATGAGAATAACAATTTTTGAAATTGTAGGCTCAAAAACATTTTCAGACAACAAAAACTGTCTGCTGGATTTCTCAAGATGAAAATCTCGTCATAAATTCGCAATCGATGCATGAAAAATTCCAAGCTACTGTTTTTTTTCCAATTGTTGGTGAAACAAAAAATTCGAAAATCTCATTGGGAAAAAAAGAAACTAAATTTCTTTCCGATTAATTTTTTTCTCATCACTTTTATTTGAACGAATTGTCACCCAATTTTTTAATTAAAACATCAAATCTTCCGATAAACGTCCGATAACTTATTTTCATACAGTTTTGAGATGCAACGTCTCAAAATTATCGAGGCATCTAATGGAAAAAAATCTTTTGTACAATAACCATCGTTGGTTCTATAGGAAGACACGATCCCGAGAACTTTACGTGACTTCATATTTTTCTTCTCTCATTGGCTCGCAATGGCTGGTACCTTATTGAATCCTCTGGTGTATGCTTGGTGGAACGAGAACTTCAGAAGACAAATTCAAGTGAATATTGCCTACTTGACTGAATTTCATCAACTCAACTTCAGAGTTGTGTTTCCGAAATGCGAGGTCAAGGAAAATTCAAAAGAGGACTTTATACAATCGTATCCGGACGGCAGTCCTGCAAGTGAGTCGGCTTCTCGAAATCAGGAAAACCAGACGGTTACAGAATGGATGAACCGCAGAGGGAAGAGCTGATGGAAGGACAACAAAGAGTCACTCGAGTCGAGTACGGACCCACGTTGCTCATTGAGGATCCTGTTCAACAAGTCTAGCGTCTCCGTTTCTCCAATTAATTTATCTGAAAAGCTCATTACCGATATTTCCCTGAAAAATTGTACTTTTTTAAACTAATTTTGTGTCATTCTGTATTTTCTCGCAATACTGCAGAACGAGCCAAAACGGAACAATAAATTATCTTGGTATTTGTCATTTTCGAATATTTTTCCTTTTTTTATTTTTTTCTTTCTATCTTTATTTCCCGTTTTTTTGAAGCTGAGAAGGAAAAGCATCGTGAACGTTTTACGTGTATGGAAAGTATTACCATCGTCGTTATGACCATTGAAATGTTGCTTTTTTGGTGTGGGGAATAAAGTATTTCTAAACCAGGTATGATATGATATTTGTACACAAGTGTGAGTCACAACCTAGCAATACAACAACAAAAAAACCTATGCTCCTGTACTCGTCATGACTGATCAGTTTTCCTTCACCCGGCTGAAAGTTTTATAAATCCTCAGAAACTTCCCGAACAAATCTTTTTTTTGAATTTTTTATTTGATTTTTTTTAATTGAATAATTTTTCTCTTGAATCGTGCGAAAACTGAAGTAAGAGAAGTTATGCCGATTCATTTATTATAATAACTTTAATGAGGGAAATCTTTTTTTAAATATGCAGAAGCACTTTTTTTGCTTGTTCTATATTCACAATAATTTGAAAAAAACGTGAAAAAGTATTTTTTTATGCCGCTTTCAAGGCAACGAAAAGCGCTATAAAAAAATTTAAAAAAACTGGATACTATTGATCTTTTTTTACCCTCACTGCACCTGACTAATACGTTTTTCACGTTTCTACGAAGTATCTTTCCAACGCCAATCTCGTTTTTTTCTCTTTTTATATTATCAAGAATGGAATCTCAGGTTATTCATCATTCAAAAAAAAATTGGAAAATAATATGATTTTCGAGATCATTCTTCCAAAGCAATTTTTGCAGGCCAATGCTGATAATCTCATTTGTGCTTTTTGCAATTGCTCATCAAGGCTTCTCCTTTCGGGAACAAGTTGTCGGAGTCCGTGGAAAGCTCACCTGCAATGGAAAAAACCTTAATTCCGCTGATGTCAAACTCATCGATAAAAACTTTATTGGTCAGGATTTTACTCATTTTTCCAATTTTTCTAAATATTTTACCATAAAAAAAAATCAACTTTGTACTACAGGGCCAGACATCATTCTCGCTTCTACAAAAACAGACAGTGATGGCAACTACGAACTTTCAGGAAGATCAATGGCTTTTCTTCAAATGAGCGTTCATTTGAAAATTTTTCACGACTGTGACGATCGAGGAGTTGTGGGTGGTTTTAACGTTCATATCTACTTCAAAACTTATGAGTGCAAGCTTTGAAAAAACATTTCAAAAGAAAATCCTACGTTATACATCAACTAGAAAGTCCTACCTTATAGCTAGGAAAATGACTTTCTCGCTTCAAAGTGAAGAGCTTTACGGATCCATATTTTCTTATTTATTTGATGAACCTTACCGAATAATTTTAAGATATATTTTTTCTCAATTAGAAGTGAAAATTTAAACACGAAACTTGTTTATTTTCTTGAAATGGCTTTATAACTTTGTCAAAAAAAAATGTCTCAGCCTTGTCAGCGAACAGTTGACCTCCGAATCCCGCCATCATACGTGGAAAGAAATGACGTCGTCTCCAACTATTTTGACGCCGGATCTATGAACATGGCTTTCAAATATCCAAACGAACAACGGTCTTGCTTCAACGGATAAAAAAGAACACCACTCAGTTTTTTCTTCGTTTTTAGCATTTTGTTATTATCTGGAGCTCATTTAAAAACGTGTATGTAAATTTGTTTCTCAGCAAAATTGAGTATTTCCTCTTCAAAGTACAAGGTAATGGTAGGGCGTGAATAAATTTTTCCAGTCTTTGTCAATTACACAAAACCATTTCTTTGCTTTTTTAATGAACCGCATTTGATATTCGAAGAAAAAAATAAAGATAATGTCAAAGATTTCATCAGCAGAAGAAATTTTTTTTTCGTGCAATAAAAGATTTTTTTTATAGTTTATCTATCGATGTATTTGAACATACTTTTGCCAAGTTTCCGGTTTTTTACCCAATCTTTGATGTATTTTTCACGAACTATTTTTTTACCACAGTTTTAATTAATCATACTCCATTCAGGATACCCCTGAAGTCCGAGAGCCATTATGTTTAAAGCAAAACAGTTATTAGTTAAAATGATTGACCTAACTTTAAATGTCAAAAGTGAAACAAGGGTTTTATTTTTTCAGGCAACCTTTAGAGAAGCGTTAAATGTCTACGCGTTGTTTAATTTCGCTTAAGTGACCCCTCATAGAGACGAAACTTTTTGACTCTGCCTTGTAGTGTCAGAGAGCGTATTTTGTACCTTTCCGCAACCTAAAGAAACGCGAAAAATCTCAGAATTCTTTGTTTTTTCGACATCGAGTTCACTCTGTGTTCTCATCGCCTCTTCTTTCCACGGAATCTTTTCAATCTTCGTCCCCTGTTTGCAACGGAAACGCTCTCTGACAAACCTTCCCAATCTAATTTTGTTTATTTCTTTCAGTTCACCTGCTCACCTTTTCCGATTTTTTGACAATTGAATGTTATTTTTTGTGATTCTTTTTAATGCAAAGTTCTTTTTGACCTGTTCAAACTTTGAGCACATTTGACATCTAACTTCATAATGATGACTGACTACAAACTATGAAAAAATTTTTATCTAATTTCTGTTCTGAGACTAAATCATCGTTCAGTTGGTATAAAAGGGAAGAAATTGATGGCTCTTGACAATTCCATGCGTGGTCATTTATTGATGCTTGATAGCTCCTATCTTTCAATTTTTGATGACATTTTGTCTCTATGCACTCTGTTTGCCGAGCTGACGAATCTGATCATAATGTATTCAATTTTTTTTTGGCTGTGCAAATCTCTTTTTCGCTCTGACATCGACACTTACACCTTTCCTCTTATTCACAACTATAAACTTGCATATTTTAAGGAAAATGTCTGCTGTTTCGAAGAGTTACGACAACAAAGGCGATCCAATCATTGCTTATTGCACAGATGTAAGCGGTTTCCAGATTTTCGCGGAATGATATTGAAGGAGATTTCTTAGCGAACCTTACTCATTTTTGTTCTAGCGCACTACCAAGCAGCATGCCCTCCAGAAAGAGCTCACGGAGGCTACTCTCAAAAATGCTCCAATGTCCATGATGCTAGGAGCTCCCGAAGTATTAACCAAAAGTCGATTAAAAAAAACAGGGTCCGTTTAGGTTCTGACTTTCGGGGAAAACTTCCTGCACTTGATCGGTGCCAAACGCGTTCTGGACATTGGCACTTACACTGGAGCTTCTGCTTTGGCGTGGGCTCTAGCTCTTCCGGACGATGGAGAGGTGTTTTTTTTTGTGTCCGCGTTATGATTTTAGCATTTTCAGGTCTTCACTTTCGACATTTCGCATGAAAACTACAAGAAATACGGTGTCTCAGTTATTTCCAAATGCGAGAAAACGTTCAAAAAGATCAAGGCAATTGAAGGACCAGCTGTCGAGGAGCTTGGTGAGGGTTTCTAAAAGAACATCGAAATTCGATGAGTTTGATATTATCTTCTTAGACCGCTTCAAGTTCTAAAAAAAAAAATAAGAATGACTACATAATACAGACTGAAACAGAACAAAAAAATTGTCGCTATCCATAATTTTTTTGTTTCTGTATTTTTTTCAATAAAAAAATGGGTATGAAACTGTTTCATTCAAAAAAATAACATCAGATAGAATTTATTTAATAATAATAATTTGTTCACCCACAAGGTGATAATAATAAGGTTTAGAACCCGTGTGAGGTCATACTCACGGGTAACTTTACCGGATTGGGTATACAATAGATAATCTCAGTAGATAAAAGTATACGTATAAGCATAATGAGATTTTTTTTGAGATTATTTATAGTAGCCTTCTAGGGATGCTGACAAACAATTCAAGAACTTTCAGCTTCTGTTTTTCAGAGCATGTTATCGAACACGAAGACCATAATTTTTGTGAAATTTCAAATACATATTTTTCATACTTTCAAATAACTAGCCAGGATGTCATAAAATTGCAGAGAAACTTGTTGCGAATGGTCAAGCTGGAACGTTCGATTTTGCTTTCATTGATGCCGATAAGGTTTGTGAAGCTGGCCCGAGTAAAATCACGATTTGTCTTTCAGAGCAATTACAGCAAATATTATGATCTCGCCTTGCAACTACTGCGTAGCGGTGGAGTTATTTTCGTCGACAATGTAACTTTCTCGCTTTTTTTTGAATTCTTTTATACTTTTCAGTCACTTTGGAGCGGCAGCGTCACTGTGCCTGCTAAGCGTTCTGACGAATCAACCGGGGCTATCCATGCTTTGAACGATAAGGTGACTTTTTTTTACAATCTATACACCGTTATCTCGATACAACAGCTTTTGATTTTACTCAAAACTTTTATTGCATCATTTTCTTTGATGTTTTAAAAAAACTTTTCTTTCTTCGTTTCAAGTTAGCAGTGGATTAGAAAAATTTTCTGGATCACAATTGGTGATTTTTCTCAAGATCTTCGCCGACGACCGCACGAGATCTGCCCTTCTGAACTTTGGCGATGGTCTTCACATTGCTTTCAAAAAATAATTATCTTTAGCACAACATTCATGGTCGTATGAAACGATTGTTCTCATATTTTATTGTTCAATGAAAGAAAAATTTGATGCGTTAATATTTATTGGCGAAGAAAATCACAGATCAGCAATTGTTAAGAGAATTTTGTTCAAAGGGTAGTAGTTTTGTGAAGATCCTCAGGTTCTTCTTGTTTGTCGGCGCGTTTTTTTCGAGCAGATTGTTCGACTCTCATTTCGTACTTTCTTGTCAGACTGTCCGAGTCCTGAGAAATATTTCGTTGCACAATACGTTTGCGAGAAAAAATTCAAAAAAAGCTCTGAAATCTCACGCATTGATTGGTTTCCGCGTGAATCAGATAAGAAATTAGGAAAAAGTGATTTTTTTTAACATTAAGAGGAAAATTACGTTGTTCTTGTCTGATGGAGCTTTTCGAGGAGGTGACATTGAAATCCGGAATCGAGGAGCACGAGGTGTCTGAAAAGGCATTTCTTTTTCGAAGTTGTCTTTGATGAGTTTGACTCACGCCTGGCTTGCTATCGAGACTTTTCTCTTTTTCCTTTTCCTCTTTAGTTTTTCTTCTATCTCTCGGAGAAGTCGGAATAGGTGGCCTGAAAAGTCAAAAAAAATTAAAAACAAATTGAGAAAACTTCCACCTGTCGGGAATCAGTCGCCCACGCTCGTCATCTGTAGTTTCATCTGTTGAGAACATTTCATTCATGATTGGAGACATCATTGCAGAAGTGTAACTGAGAAGGGGGATTTTATCTAGAAGATGATTGGGAGGAATTCCAACCTGCTGTGAGGGTTGCTGTTGTACCATTGGGAATCAGGAAGCGGAGATGGATCGCTCAAAGAGCCATCAGCGGACGGCGGTCTTGTGGGGTCCTGCGACGTCTCCACGGTGGCAACCCTGAGGTTTATCTTTCAAACACAAATCAAGGTTTTCACAAATTTCTGAAGCGAGAAAAATTTTCAACATCTCCTAAACTTTGCCTTACTGAGCAAGACAATTTTCAAATTAATGTTGGAAGTGATGAAGTAATGATAATTCGAAAAACTGGACTTTTCAAATTTTTTCAATTTCAAAAATTTCCCTTTTCAGCAGACTATGCGATTTTTGCATATTTTTCTCACTGACCCGTAACGGACGTTATGTTGCGTACTAATCGGCTGCAAAAGTCTTTTGGCTGCTTGTTTTTCTCTTGAAGAAGAATCTGAAGGTTCTTTCACATCCTTTCCAGATGACGGCGAGCTTGACGATGAAATTCCCGATGAGTTCCTGTTTTTAGTTGGTCTTTTCAAGTGGCTTTTTGGCATAAAACAAACTTGGTTTGGATGTTGTAAGGTGTGATGTATGTATCCAAAGGATTTTCCGTCACGATAATGTCTCTGAAATCAAATACTGATAGCTCCTTTCCAACACAACTAACGGTCGCGGAGAGTCTGTATTTGTAGGAGCAGTAGTTGATTTTGAAGAAGAAGACGTGTTTGAACTGTTTTTCTCGGGAGGACCTTCGTATGATTGAATAGCGGTTCGATAAGATGCATCTCTTCCACTGAAAAAATGTCTAAACATGAAGAAAGTCTCCCTGAACCTCGTTTTGCGACTTGTTGTGCTTCGACGACTTTCTGATCGTTCTCGAGACATGTTCCGCGTGTGTTCTGGAGGTAGGAGAAAACGGCTTTCAGAGTTTCCAGACCTTAGTTCAGCAATTTTCTACTTCTTTTCAAAACTAATACCTCGGCTCATTGTCATCGTCTTCATCTTCTTCAGCTTCCTCTTCACTGCTCGTATTTTCCCCTTCTTCCATTTCTATTTCCTTACTTCTTTTTTTCCTAAATTCCTTGACAATAGTGTTTTCAGAAAAAAAACTCACTTTTCTCGAGCTTTCAAACCGATGCAAATCAAAAACTTTTGACCCAACGTTAGCTTCTTCTCAGAGGAAACTACCGAGACCTCTTCTTCGTCTTCTTCGCTCAGGCTGTGGTCCACTTCGGATACAGAACTGAAATCGTTTTTCGATACAATGCATCTCAGCTTGTATGTACCCTAAAGACGGAACAAAAGCCCTTCCCGAATTACTCCTGGCCGTCGATTTTTGATAGGATAAAGATTCATCATCCTCAAAAATATTTTTTTTTCAAGTTTCTTTTCAGAAACATACCGAAACTGGCTTTGGTTTTGGAATAGTTGTGATTACAGCCCTACTTTTCTTCCTTCCAAAAACACTGATACTTTTGCGTTTTTTTCCACCGGCCAACTCGAAAATTTTTTTCTTCTCCTCAGTCCGTTCCTGGAAAATACTTTTTGACACAACTTTCTTATTTGGAAAGAAACAATCATCAGTTGAGTGGATAAGTCATGATTGGCTTCTCTCAACCCTCGGACCAAAGCGAAAAGGAAATAAATGACCAATCTGAATTTTTTTTTTGCATGCTTATTTATTTTGAAAGTTACAGTAGGAGAACAAGTAGAGGAATAATGATTCCCGGCGACATCATGTATTTTATTGCATCCACAAGCCCTGCGTTCAAGTTTTCATGCAAAACGTCCGTTATAACACTGTAGAAAAACGGTTGGTTTCTACAAAGTTTATTATTTTTAAAGCATTATTGAAACATTATACCCAAAAGGCCCACAGCTTTTACTCGGCGTCCTGGAAGCAATGACATATCCCACTGGCAAAGTGCATAGAAATAAAAATAGCAGAAGCAACATCAGATAAAAGTTCGACGACCTGATGAAGTTTTTGAATTTTACAATTTTGTTTTCCACTCACCGACTAGCTCGGAAAATTTGCCTGGCCGGTACGTTACAAGTCATCGCAGCCCATGCTCGAATATACATTAGAATTATTAGCTTGATGTTGTTCAACATCGGCAGCATTGGCACAAAGAACAGACCCAACCAGATCATACCTAAAAAAAAATACGTTTGAGAAAGTCTTTAAAACTAACCTTGGTTGTTGACCAAATGCAAAACGTTTTCGGCCACCTTGAACTCTCCGTACTCAGGCTGTAAAAATTCATGAAATGTCACAATTGAGATTTTTCTCCAATGAAGTTCTTTTATTGAAAATAAACGGACAAAGGTTCGTTCCAAGTCCCACGGCCAGAAAAAGTTGAAGTAGCGACATGCGAGACCTCGCAGAAAGTCGATGACAATGATAGCAGCGACGGTCATGTACAAATCCATGGATATCAGCTTTGTGATTTCCTTCAATCCCAGTTTCATTTCAAATTTTTTCTTTCGGGAAACTTGTCCGATGATGGTCTCCCAGCACATGTCTGTGTATTGCATCACTCGCAACTTTTCAGTCGTCAGCGTCGATTGAGCGTTGATGCTGAACAGAAGCTCAAATATACCTTTCCAAACATTTCCAATCAAAAAAATAAAAAACTTGACACATGTGGGACCTCCGATGTCCACTGAATTCTATCAAAAAAAAACAGTTTGCTTTTTTGAGAAGCTCAAGATTTCCATTTTTTTCCCTTTTATTGAGGAAAAATGATGAAAAAGCACGCAAACTCACAATTCCGGAAAAAGCATACTGACAGCCGACTCATTCCAGTCGGAGTTTGGTCCGATCACCTGTTGCGATTACTGCTTTGTTGCTATCTCCAGTTTGTTTTCTTACCTGTGTTACAACGATTGGAGCGACAAACGATGTGGCTCCTTTCGAAACAACTGCTTTGGGATTTGAGACTCCAAACGGGCCAAAATCGGGAAGCACCTTAATTTTAGCCGTTTTTCAGGGGTTTCTAGGTTTTTTCAACCGTTGTCCACGGTTTCCTGGGTATCGGTGTAGTTGTAACTGGCTGATATGAATAATAAGTGTATGGAGTATTGTTTGCTGGATAAACCGGCATCACTTGTCGTAATGATCTGAGAGAAGAAAGTTCTCGATGAAAACTCAAGAAGACTTCAAACCTTGTAACGTACTCGTGCGAGGACGCAATAAGCGCATAAGACTCCTGAAGATCTACTTAGAAATTCGTAAAGGTGCGAAAAAAAACCTCCAAAGCCTTGCGCTCGTTTTCCAGCTCACTCAGTTTCAACATCAGCGAAACGATCAACGTGTAGTAGTTAACAATGTAGAGAAAGAGCACTCTGAAATTACGACATTTTTTGACCCTTATCGGTTAAAATACCTCGCTAGTTGTATTCTCAGCGCAGTTCTTGGGTGGTATCGCTCCAGTTTTCCCAAAATGTCGAACAAGTTTGGAAAAATCAAGGTGATGAGGGAGATCGTTATAGCCACCGCATTCTGAGAGAAAATTATTCAAAGTTTCTTAATTTTAAGAGGGAAAGTAGTTCTATTGCCCATATTCTTTTGTTTTATGTTATCAGCCTCGCTGTATCCGTTTATCCTTGATTCACGAAAAACCAAGTTACACCAAGCCAAAAAAAAAAAATGATCTCTTTGATTTTTTGAATTTTTCCATCCCTTTTGAGACCAATCTTTACGAAAACTCTCAATTTCAATGATGTATTAGAGTCATGTCAAATTTATTTTAAATCGGAAATTGTTATCCATTTTCAAGATCTTTCTCAACTGAGGCCGTTTTTTTGCACTTTGATCCTCATAATTCTCAGGAATGAAAAAAACAAACCTGTTGGATGAAACTGTCAGGATTTTTGATCTGACTGCATGCCAGAATTGCCCAAATTGAGAAGAGCAACATGATGCAAACGAGCATATTGCAAAAAATCCGAAGAAATATCTGCACCCATTGGAACTTTTTCTTCATGTTGACTGAGTACTCGGCTATGGCTTCCTGTGAAAATCATCTTGTTTTTGTTTAATTAACAAGAAATACTCGGAATTTAATAACGTTGGCCATATGAACGTTTCCAGCAGTTTCCGCGTTACCTGAAACTCGAAATTAGACGTTTAGTTACAAAAAGAGCACCTATCGAGTAATCCCAGCCAGTAAAAGCCTTCCAATTGAAAAGATATTGTTCCGTTTTTCCTGATGACAGTTTGCTTGTTCGTGCGTTTGACGCCATTCTGAGACATCGATAAAAAACTCACAAACGAGAAAACCAACTTTCGCAAAATGATGAAAAGGGAAAATCCTAAGACAAAGATATTGCATAGAAAATAAGCGACGGGTACTCGATATTTGATTGTTTCTCCAAAAAATGTTTCACGTGAATAAAAACCGTAAAATAGAAGTGAATATTGGAAGTAGCCCTGGAAATGATTCATAAATCGGACGGCTATTTTGAATTGTTGTATTTACCCCGAAATCCCAAACAGTTGAGAGTTCATCGGCTCTTTGGCGGACAGCTTCTGGCATGATCTTCATAGTTTTCGTCTTATTGAATCGCATCGACCCTTCTGTCATTCTCGAATCCGCTAACCACTAGAACCTAACTTTTTTCCTTTTTCTTTTTTCTAAACTCACTTCAGGAATGATAACAAATAAAAGCATGATAAGAGTCATAATTATATTAACACCGAGAACCCATCTGTGAAAAGTGAAATAGGACGAAACCACCGAACCAAAATGACCTGAAACCAAAACTTGGATTCGAAAAGAGCTCTTCTAACTTGCTTTCAATTTGTTTGATTTTGGATTCCCAAGGAATCAGATAAATTTTGAAATTGTCGAACCATCGGCTGATTTGTGTTAGGCGACGACCCGCTTCAGCTTTATATAACCTAACCTAAACACAGAGAAAACTTTTATATGAAGGTTTTCATTGCACAAACTTTTGAGACTTTTGCCTCTTGACGTTGTAGATGACGCTGTGCAACTCTGAAGAATTTTGGAAATTTTCAAGATATTTCTGTGTGTACCTCAATGTTCTTCTTTTCCGTTTCATGTTCCAAGGCTGTCCTCTGAGTTTCTGGATAATTTCCTTTTTGTGCTGGATGGCTTCGAGAATCCGATCCTTGGACATGTTTCGACTTTCTTCTTCGTCATAATCTTCGTCGTCCCTGTTTCACAAAGAAATGAGTAGAACGTATGATAAGAGACTAACTCGTCCGGACCATTGGGAAACCCCAGTCGGGTATGAGGACGTATCAAAACACTGGATGATCTCCGAAAAAGAGATATCAAATCGGCCTGAAATCTTTTTTTTTCCGGTTTGCTGAGTTGCATGGTCTCACCAGTACGGAGGATCTTCGACTCATGCGACTCTCTATTTCGTCTTCAGAAGTAACTCCGCCGTCCGTCAACGACTTTGTCGAGTGGCCACTTTCTCCTGAAAAAAGTTAGATTGAAGTTTAAATTCTATATAGTTTATAGTGAAGATGAGGGCAAAAAACTTCAATTCGAAAATTGTTTGGTTGAAGTCCCTAAATATCGAATAAAATTTTTATATAGCGAAAATTTTTCCCTCAATCACAAATTTGACACAAATCAAACGTCGCTAAAGTCTCTGAATCCGCAAAAAAAAAAATTAAAACATTTTTAACGTATTTTGAAAAATTCAACAATTTAGGAATGAGCGAAACTTCAAAATCAGCCAAGTCCGGCAAAAAAATTCTGGGAACAAAATATCTTTGAAGAAACTATAAATTCTCTGTTCAAGATGAGAAAAAACGCTGAAGATGAAAAATTATTTGAATAAAACAAGCCTGCATCGTCGGTGTCGTGACGGACGAGGGGCTGGCTCTGGCCGCCAAACCTAGGCATTTTTCTCGCCGCACCGATGCACGGACGCTTCTCAACTTGTGGCTTTCCGTCTGGAAAAAGTCAGTTACAAGAAGCACGTCTGGCGCTTCGGTTATTAATGTCGTGTAATGTGTGTACAATGCAACGTTTTGTGAATTTGAAAGCTTGATGGGTTGAGAAATGTCGCAGATGTTTTCGGAATTAGTGGGAAAGTTGAAAAAGTTCGATATGAGAATATTTTTAGCTGAGTAGTTCTCATAGAAAAAGGAAACAAAGGGATTCTGGAACATAAATGTATACAAGTAAGCTTTTTTTACAGTAGTGTTTCGTGAAAAGAGAGGAATGGGAGATCTCTGGATAGCTAATACTAAAAAAAGTAAAGAATTGCATAGAAAATGATGAGAAGTAACAATTTTGGTCAAAAACGTTACTTTTTTTTCGTTGATATTTATGAAGTTCTTCCTTCATTGATAAACAACTTTTTGTTCAAAAAAACTTGTTGAACCTTTTTACGTTCCGAAACCTACAAAAAAAGGAATTTTCTTTTTTTGAATTCAAATTGGAAAAATTGCATTGTCGACACTCTGTGAGGTGCTTAAAAAGTTCGGAGCTAAAAAAATTAGTTTTCAAAAAAAGAGACTTTAAAAAAATAATTGAGCACTGCAACTTCTTCGAAAAATCTAAAAAGTTTATTGGGGTGAATTTCAAGGATTATATTTTTTTGAATTCAAGACTTCCTGAACTCAGTTTAACTAAATTCCCAGGATAGAAGACTCTTTACTCGAAAGCGATTGAAACTTCTGATGAGTACAAGAAACACACGAAAAGAATCAATTTTATGCTCCAAGAAGGCGAGACAAGAAAATGAAAGATTAGAGATTTTACGAATGGAACAAGAGCCAGTATTTTAGAGAAAACGACTAGATTATAATTCTTGACTGGACGTTTCGTAAAGCACATCAATTATTCTTTGAGATAAGAATAATCGTGCAACTGCTGTTCCATCCTACAAAAAAACCAAGCAAAGCTCCCGGAAACTATTAGTTGGCCAATGAGCCGCCCAGACTTGAATTGAACAAACTATGCACCTCCGGTCGGCTCCTGACAAATGGTCATCACATGAAGACACGAATTAGAATCTGCTGCGAAGCCGCGGGAATGCGAGACATCAGCGAAGGAATGAGTGATCGCGGGAGCCGAGATGACGATCCTCACGTTGTTACAACCTCTCAACTCAACGACAAAACTTAATTTTTTGGACGTCCAATGGGTCTGATGCCAATCCAAACATTTCCTGCAGGGAAAATTTTTTTGCAAAAAAATTTATAAAATTTTTTTTCTTTACAGTAACCCTGAAAAACGTGAATAAGTCTCTTCTTCTATAAACTGTTTTTTTGCCCAAAAAGTTCGCAGAACGCGAAGAAAAATCATCATTATTTGATTAATTTGTGAGCGTTTTTATTTTTGAAAAATTTTGAATTCGGCAAAGACCGGTCTAAAAAAATTTTTAGAGGTGTTAGAGGAAAAATTTTTGGAGATCAAAAAAACAAAAATCATTGTAGTTTCTAAGTTAGGACTCTTTTTTTATTCGAGAAACAGATTGTAGTTGAAAAAGTAAATAGATTTTTTTAAACAAGAGAAAAAAATGATTTTGAAAAATTCAAGTTTAGAGGGAAAAAAATAAGTGCGGTTGGAGAAAAACGTTGACCTTTTTTTATCCAATAAAAAAACATAAGTTCAAAAAAATATGGCAATATATCTTAATTTTCTGATGAACTTGGTCGTTTAGAAATCAAAAACCAATTGATAACACTGGGGTTTTTAATTGAATTGACCCTGGTCTGACTGAAATTAAAGGATTTTTTTTATCTTGAGCAAAACCGTTCAAAAACGTTGTCAAAGAGACAAAAAACAAGGAGATGATGATGGAGGATCTTATGCTTGAAATTCGATGCCGAATGTTGCAACAATGTTCCTCCCGTTCCAAGCTCAGTTAACCTAGAAACAAATGAAAGAAAAATCATAAACATTCAAGATACTGGTACAAAAGCCGATGACTTTTTCGATAATTCGTTATAGTTTGGATTAAGAAAATGTTATTAATTTAGCTTCCGATTGAAGGAAATGAAAGAGCTAAGAAACACTTGAAAACTAAAAAACCATGCATCCGATTTACGTAGTTCTTAAAAGGTGATTATAAAAAAGCTTGACTGACGTAAGAATATATAGAAATTTTTGAGGATAAGTTTTTGTGGTGGAGGGAGATGAAACGTCTGTTGACATCTTTAAAAGCTGATTTGTACACTTTGAGATGTATGACATGCCAAAAAAACTATTGTCTTCGAGCCGTTTTCTACAACGAGCAGTTTTGGTATCAATTACAGATTAATATTAAAAAAATTTAAGGTTTTCAAATTGAACGAAAAACCGACCGTTCAAAAAATTAATCCAAATTCTTAATTGGTTGCAAAAAAAGTTTTCAAAAGGAAAAAAACCTTCTTATCCGCTTGATTTTCTACATATTTTTTTACTGATTCTAAAATTTGTGTGAAGGTCAAAGAAGCAACTGCTGATCACAAACTGTCGGTCAAATAATTGAACTAATCTCATTCCATCAAAGGATCCTATGATCTTTTCAATTAAAAATGCTGAATCATTTATTTCTTGATATTTGTAAGCAAGTTTGATTTAAATTTATTATGTTCAGTAATTCTTTTTAATGTTGAAAAACTGTCCGAAAGTTCAGAAATCGATTTGATATCATTGCTTCTTTTCACTTTGAATTACAAAAACATGGTTTTCAAAACTAAAGGGAGGAGCAGTGCTTCTCGTTTTTCAATAAATAAGGAAGTTTTTCGAATTCCGATTATGAAAAGTTTCTTTAAGAAGACCGAACAAAAACAATTCGATTATTTCAGGAAGTAATGACACTAAACTGTCCGAAAAAGCTTTGGCATCTAGGAGGGGTAAAGATTAAAATAATAAATTTCATTTTTTTCCTGGAAGATTAGCTATCGTCAGGAGGTCACAGACAATGAGTGAACAGGCAGTAAAGCTTGTAATGGCCAGTTTTTCGAGAAGGAGAGAGATCGGAAAAAAGAATGAAAGGCGAGCGAGTTGAAAGATTTTGGTTCACACGCCAACTGTCTCATTCTATGTATTAATCCCGAGCGATCCAGAACAACGGCGGTTCACCGCAGGCCTCTCAGGCAGCCGTTTCCTGCTTTTTGCCTCCGTGTTTCATTGTGGTGGCTGTTCATACGACGCATCCGTTCCGAAAAAAGCTATACATTTCTAGGGAGCTTTCAGAAATAAGATAAAACTGCCTGAGGGATATGAGAATTGTAAGAGAGTGTCAGAGAATACAAACAAAGCAAACTGTTAATCGTTGGCCAAAAATTCCTTGATCAAAGGGTTTATTATCATTTTTTCAAATTGATAAAAAAGATCATATCAGTGTGTTTTTTTCACATCTGAGTTTGATTTGATCGAAAATTGGAATTCGCTCTGAGAAAAACTGCAAAAAACACATGAAGCAATCCAAAATCCCCCCTGCTCTTAAGGATGAAAAGTGTGTTACCGTCAAAAAGTTATTACCGCTTTGATCCTCAAATGGGTGTGATTTCCATATTTTATTTTCCAACCGATTTCAAAATCCCTTCCGAAAAAGCCAGCTCAGGAATGTCGGTGAGGAATAGTTAGTTTGGTTACGACAAAAGCGTGTTTTATTTTCTTTTTTAATGAATCAAAACGATCCTTTTTTTCAACTTTGTCACTATTTCGAAAGATTTGAATCTGAGTTGAAGAATATGTTTCCTCTAAGCGATTGCATTCAAATGACTTATTTTTAGGTGCAACAGACAATTTACGCACATTTCAGAAGTCCATATGAAATAAACTGTTTGTGTCCAACATGTTACGTTTCTCGAAAATGTTCTGTTGGAACTCAGTTTCATCTGCGAAGTTCTGTGAATCAAAGACTGATAAAAAAGAAAACTTAAAAAAATAATTGAAAACGTGAACAAAGCATGGGCCGATTAGAAGGATCCATGTTTTGAAGATGATCTGAGCGACGGATGACCCAAAAGTGAGAAAGGTGTAAAAATGAGCAATCGGGAAGAGATCAAATAAGACCGGTGGCGCGCAGGTAAATGAGGAGCGCAGTACGACGAGTAAATGGAAGTTGGACAAGCTGAGGTGTGAGTATAAATGTTACAACTGCCGTTGTTGTGCATCTCGCACCTCAATGGACCGAAGCAGCGGTTCGGCCGTTCCTGCGGTCTTCGATTTACACCTCATTGGTCCCAGCTTCTTCCTCGGATGTGATATCGCTTAATTAGTTTGGCGCAAAGTTGGTCGCCCTGCTGTAAACTTCTTGAGGTCGGTATCAGCCTCCCCAATCGGAGTTTCAAAACAAGTTGTGATTTATCCTATTTTTCCTCGAGTGTACTGCGACAAGTGGTCTCAAATATTACGAAAACGTATTTTTTCTAACGGGGTTGAGAACAACTTGCAGATTAGCCTTTGCAAATAACGATAATATGAAACTGAAACCAAAAAAACTCGCCTATAAAATATTAAATATATCTTTATTTATCAATTGTAAATCTTTTATTAATTTTTCGCTCTATTTTTTTAACCATTTCAATAAACATTTGGTATCACAAGTTTCACGTTGCCAGAACATCATAAACGATAAGGCTTCAAAGAACACGTAGAGGTGATTCCATTTATCCAGTCTACAGAGTAAAATGAAGATCTCTGCTGAATCATGGTATAGTCGAAGATATAGTCGAAGGCGCGGGTTACGGTCCACAATCGTTGTCCAATAAACTCTTCCATAGCTTGTCACGGCGGGACAGCTAGCGTTGGGAATTAATGTGGACCCATTGGTAATACCAGCGAAAAAACTGCTCCACCATGTTGGAACAGTAATGAGACCGACTAGTCGACGTGATGAAATGAAATAAATTCAGAGGTGATTGATATGATTTAGCGCTCTGGACACTTTTATTTTGTTGAAAACAAAATCTAGTCTTTTCTGGATATGAAAAGCTAAGTCAATCAAAAAATCCGTCATGACGATGAAAATCAAGTTCTCTGCAACTTAATAAAAAATATCACAAATGGGAAGTAAATTATTTTTTAATCCTTTTCCTTCACTTCAAAAATTTTCTTACAACCTCAGTACATGAAAATAGGGTCATGATCTAGGTTTTTTTGATAATACATTTCTTTGCGATTGTTTTTTTCACCGATTTGATGAATAAGTTATATGAACGTTTTAGGAAAAACTTACCACTTACTTTTGTCGGCTTGGTAACTCGGAATCATTGACAGATTAGCTCTGAAATTCAAAATCTTTCAAAGTAATAAAACGAAAAATTGTAACTCAACTTTTTATCGCAACATTTTAAAGCCAAAAAACACACCGATAAACTTTGTAAAAGTAATCGCACCGAGTGAAACTCACAACTGAAGTAAAAAAAAGTGGAAAGTGACAGATGATGTTTGAAAACCCAAGTAGAAGTTAACTGAACTGGAACTATGAGAGCGGAATTAGATTAAAAAATTTTTGATTATTGATTTTATCAGAAGAAAGATGACGTGATATTGCACTACAAATAAATTAGAGCTGAAAATAACATGAAGAGGATAGTGATGGGGTTCCATTTGATGGGAAGAAATACAGAGCAAGAACACAGCATGTCAAAAGAAAAACTGAACAGGTAAAGCTGAAATGAGTGAGTCACGGAATGTGATTTCAAGGTTTTTCGAAGTTCTTCTTTTTCGGGCAACCTTCGATCTCCGTAGTCGCCGGACGCTTGCGGCTCTCGTTGGCCTCCTCGTTGTCGGCTCCAAGACCCTCGTTGTTGTTGTTGTCGTTGTTGGCTTTCGCCATAACGAGTTGGTTGCCGACGAACACGAAGTTGGGCTTTGGAGGCTCATACTTCGGAATGTCGTCGAGAGAAATCGGCTCGTTAGACGGCACTAACGGAGCCACCGGCTCCATTTCGAACATGTTATCGCTTGGCTCTTCAACGGTTTCCATGTCTTCCAGAGCTGCTTCTTCTCCGGGAAACTCGTCCAGATAGTCCTCAGGCAACGGGAAGAAGTTCAGCTCGGCGAATCCCTCTTCCAGTTCCTCCAGCCACTCGAAAGAGCTATCCGCACTGAAAAAATATTGGAAATAGCTTTCCATGAAATGTTAAATTTCTGACAAGAACTAGTAAATTTTCCGTTGAAAAATGAATGAACGTGAACAGAAAAATCGATAAAAAAAGAAAAAAGGGAAATGGTTTTTTTATGAACCAACAAACATAATTCTAGCAAATACATACCTTTCAAGATTAGCAGAATCTTCCTCTTCCTCCGGGTGAGCGTTGTAGTAAATGCTCAGAACACCCATCTTGCCTGAAAAGTTCAGTTTTGCATTTAAAAAAATACTATTCAAAGTTGTTTAAAAATTACAAAAAATGTGATTAAAAAACGAAAAAGGCGAATCAAAAAAAGTAATAATAATCAAAACGATTTTCAATCTTTTTTTCAAAAAGGAGTGAGCATCTTTAGTGAAAGTCCGAAAAACAACTCTTAAAAAACAACAAATTTAGTTGCTTTTCTAAACAAATCCAAAGCCAAGAAATTCATAAAAGACCGAATGATATGACATTTCCAACCCTTATTTGATGATTCTGAGTTTGAAAAAATGTGGTAAAGTTCACGGCAACCTTATAATAATTAATTCAAAAATGTTTATCGAATAATTTGCATGAGGCGTCTGTGTGCCGTGGGGCGCCCTTCCTTTGTCACGTTTTTTTTCTCGTTAGAGCGCCGTAGTCTCTCTTTCTCTGATATTTTCAAAAAAACGCTCATCGAGATAATAAAAAAATGATTGAAAAATAGTTGAGCACATATTTGATCAATTTGAAATTATTTGTGTAATTCATACTGCTACCAACTTTTGTGCACCCAAGTCTCCTAATGAAAGGAAAAAGTTATTTTTTTGTAGGCGAAATGCGAAAATAGCTTTAAATCGCGAAATAAAACAGGCTAAGCTCGAAAATTACTTCTTAACTTGATTTGAAACAAGTAGATCCTGTAAAAGCAGAAAAAACATCTCACCGAAACTTTAAAAAAGTTTTCAGAAATTTCCTGCTCTTCGTGTAAAAAATTTCACTGGGTTTTCTGAAGCGTTAATATATTATTCTTCATTTTTCAGAATAGTCGGTGTGAAGAACTAATAGAAACATTGATTAATCATGCTTCGACCATATCTGCTATGAGTCATTCTAGTCGATTCAAAAAAAAAGTTTGGCTCTAATTTTTTTTAGAAATTAAGTTTTGAATTTTCGAAAGAGCTAGAAAAGTTTCGAAGAGTTCAGCAAACCATTGTGAGCGAGGCTAGCAAAAAGCTCAATGTTTCATGCAGAAAAAGTTGTATTGCAATGCGTTTCCCATTTTTTTTAATCATCAAGCGTATTATTTTGGCGCAGTTTTTTTTTTATTGCATATGTATCTTGAATATATGCATTTTCGATTTTTCTTGCCGTTGACTCCAAAACAAAATTCAACTCAAACTTCAGAGGAAAAAATCACGAAATTCCGCTATTTCATTTTCTACGGCGGTGAATTTGCTCGTGAGATCTTATTAAAACCTGTGCTCATTTCACTCTCCTAAATTTTCGCTTCAACTATGTTTTTTTAATTGGAACTCATGCGGTTTTATGTATCCGAGTGCAATAAATATTCTAATATTGTGTACAATAATCCGTTTCTTTTCATGCAGAAGGTTCTATCAAAACTTTATGTTTCGAGTTATGAAGCTTCAGGGTGGGAAATAATTACTGCGACAAATGTTTGAAACGTTTAAGATGTTTCATTCATAATTCCTACGTTCATCGAGTCTTTGTCTATACTTCGCCAAGTTTTTTTTAGGAAATTCCATTCATTTCAGAGATGGCAACCCTCAAAAATATCCGCATCATCATGTTTCTTTGCAAACATTCGAATTAACTGTCTCTAACTTTCTTTTTAATCTTGTTGATTCTCGGTGCATGATCTAAAAAAAAATCATTTTTTCCGAGTTGTCAAAGAACCAATTGACAAACTAGGAAGAAGCCAAATTTATTCAATACAAAAGTCGAGACAACGAAAGTCCAACAAAGTTTTTCCCCTTCCCTTTTATAGGACGAAAAAAATCCCACGTTTCCCAGAAATATGTTAAAACCACCCACACAATAATTATTCTATGGGAACAAATTGACAATTTTGGGAAAAGAAAAGGATCGCTTTCGCGACACTCCCAGGAGCAAAAAGTTCACATTAGTTTTACGTGGCGAGTATTGAAGCATTTAGAATAAAAAAATACTTATAAGATAAGAGAACAATAAAAAAATGAAAAGGATTACTATGAAAAAAATTTTTCCTAATGAAAAAATAGAGTTCCATAAAAAGGAGAGTGATAGTTCAAGTAAGTTTGGAAATTCATTAAATACATTTGAAAATGTAGAAACAAAGTCTTCCAGAACAATATCCTTTTCGATACCTTCGTAGGCAAGATTTCCAACAATGTTTACTTCAGTTTTAACACCACAATCTATTGAACAAGTGATGTTGAGCTTATCGTTAGTGTGGCTGAAGTAAACAATGTTTTCATAGGAGTTTTCACAGATCAGGGTCATGGTTGTTTCTCCGCAGGTGAGGTAGGCTGTCCTTTTTTGGCGAGTCGTCGAGGTGCAGAAGATCTTCATACGAGCGCCTTCGAAGCAGTTGAAGCATCCTTCTACGGCGTTAACGACTCCATTGCACTTCTCCTTGTCGATGATCTTCACGAAAGTAGCGTTTTCCATTTCTAGTTGGACTTGAACGACAGACTGAGCTTTTATTTTGGTCCAAACGTTGCCCATTTTGTCGTTTTCCATCACGAAATTTTCCGCATGTTGAGGAAGTTTCTTCTTAAAAAACCTTTCCAGCGAAATGGATGAGCAACGGCAGTTAATAGCATTTCCTAAAGCCGTGCAAAGACAGGCCCTTTCAGAGAAGAAGCATTTGAACTTTTCTGCGTCTTCGAGTGTTTTACATTGAAGATCTCCAAGAGTGCCTTCTTGGGGCCCTCCCGGCAAAGAGGAAGGTGTGAGGGAAAAAGTCATCGTGGACGACTTTATCTTGTGAATTAAAGTGCTGGAGTGAATCGGTGTAGGCGGTAGCGAGAACGAGGTTGCAGTCAAGGAAACATTGAAATATTTCAGTTTCTCTTTGATCCCTGGTCGTAGACGAACCGTGTGGTTCTCTCCGTTCATGGTCACGGTGACTTCTACCACGGAATCCCAAGTTGGACATTGGAAGATCTCGTAGACGTGCGAAGAAGTCGGCTTTGCATAATTCCGGAAGAAGATGCAACTCGGGGTACAGCTTATACAGCCGGAGCAAGTGATGCAGCCGCAACCAGCAGTGCATCGTGTGAAACCTGGTGACATCTTGGCTTCGTTTGTGAGCTCCGGCAGCTTCTCGTCAATCCCCACTTTGCTACACGAGTCAGTATCTTTGCAGGAACCTGCCCAATGACAACGGTGAGAGTAGTCGGTCATCAGTTTGTAGTCGCGTGTGAAGTATCGAGATACCTTTAAACAGGACGACTTGATGTGGTGGGCGAGGATTGAGAGCTGCCCAACAGCTTCGTCAGAATTTGTGATATTGACGCAGGCGGTGCTTCCTGATGGCTTCAAGGCCAACAGCGAGTTTGTCGTCACGGAACATCGTGTGATACCAGATTCTGTCTCACATTGAACCTCCTTCGCTGTGATGGAAGCCACGTCACCGCATGACGAGGTCGCGACGAGCGGCAAGAGGATGATCATTGCCAGCGCAAGTTGGAGTCTTCTGTAGCGTGGGAGTATGACTTCAATTGGTCGGTGTCTTCTGCGAATTCTCTCGAACAGGTTTGCCAGCGTGTAGAAAAGTAGACGAAGAGGAGCTCGGGCGAAGATCCAGAAAAACCTGAGTACGAAGATGGCTCCTCTAATGCTTGTAGCCAGAGCTTGAATGACAACAAGGATGAGAATGATAGCGAGGATCATGCCTGATTTTTCCACAAAGTTCTTGAAGGAGCTCCAGATGGATGGTTTTTGCATCAGTTTAGGCATGTCGGTGTTCCCAGCAGCTGATGCCATGGTAATCAAGGCAAAAAGTGTTAAAGTTGTTCCGATTGCCATCGACCTTGTTTTTCTCCGAGAAGTTCCAGGACTTTCGGCTTCTGGTGAGGTTTTCGTCGTAGGCGAGGGTGTTGACGTTTCTGGTAGTTCGCTTCTTTCTTCAGCAGCACATTCCAGTGGGAAGAGATTCTTCAGAGGACGTTCGATGATTCGATTTGTCTTGCCTTGGAAAACTTTGGCAGCTCGGCCAGACAATTCCACGATTTTTCCAATTGGCCATGAGCCGATTTTTACTGTAGGCGTCTGTATTAGGACGACGTCTCCAATTTTTGGCTCTTGGATGGCGGTTCGTCCTTGACGGTGCTCGAAAGACCGTCGTTCTTGTAGGACTTGAGGGTATTCGGTGGCCCAGCGACGCTGATAACTTTCTGTTATTGAAGACGTGCGCATCCACGTTTCCAGCAGTTGATCTCTATTTCGAGGAAGTTCTTCGAAGTGGACTTCTTCAGAAAGCGAGAGCAAGCTTTCACGATGACATGTTGGGAGAACCATGTTGCACGGTCTCAACGGAGTGACGTCGTCGTCGGAAGAGGTGTACGTTATGGGTCGATCGTTGACGATTGCAGAGGATTCCGCGAGCAGGGTTCGGAATTCTTCGTAATTGAGTAGAGCTCGGTTGGCCCCTGCCCGGAGGAGCGAAGTCTTCACTAGTCCAATGAGGCGTTCATACGTTCCGCCAGCCCATGGTGAAAAAGCTGGGATGAATCGAAAAGTCGGAAAGGAGGTCGAGTTCAACCTTGCAGATTGATTTTGCTTCTCTGCCTCCCGAAGAGCGTCGTTGAGTAGGACGAACTGTCGACCGTTGTCGCTCAGTAAAGTTTTTGGAGTTCCAAAAAACGCGCTGAGGCGACGTAGTGCCATCAGAAGAGTGGTTGCTGATAAGTCCAGAACGGCTTCACAGTGGATGAATCGAGTCGACAGGCACGTGAAGAGTATGATCCAGCACTGAGTAGGGGAGCCGTCTTTGGAGATTTTCAGAGGGCCAGCGTAGTCGACTCCTGAGTGTTCGAACGGCGGTCGGACGGAGGTTCGGCTGTCAGGAAAAGGAGGAAAGTCTGGCTGATGAAATGGTTTCAGAGAGGTACGGCGGCAGCCGTAGCATGCTTTCACAGCCTTTGTGACCAAGTTACGTCCGCGGGGAATCCATACTTCTTCTCTGACCTTGCTTAGAGTGTAGATCGGACTGGAGTGTTGGTAGCGCTCGTGGATCCATCGCACGAACAACTGAGCAATGTGGCCCTTTGGCAGAAAAATCAGAAGTTTCTGCTGGACCCTCCCATGGAAGTACCACATGTTGTCTTTTTTGAAAAGTTTGAGAGAATGGATCATGTCTTCGTCGGGAGGATCAATCAGTTGAGCAAGTCGTAACAATTGACGAATCGCGTTGCGATTGTGTTGTTGAAGCGGAAGTTTTCGTCGGGTTCCGAAGTAGAGCACAGTCATGACGATTCGGACCAGGCGGTGGAAGCTACTGAATCGAGTGGGATCCAGAAGCAGCTCTTCTGTGTTCGTTGAGATGGCCTGAACCAAGACGTTTTCATCGTCAGCCGATGTGAAGACGTGCGGAGTTGGTATTGCTGGAAGCTTCAGAAACTCTGGACCATTCCACCAAAGTTGATTGTTGCGAAGTTCTTCGAGGTCACAGCCGCGCGTGAGTAGATCAGCCGGGTTCTCTTTTCCTTGAACATGAGCGAAGCTCGTGCCTTTGCAAATTTCCTTGATTTTGGTCACGCGGTTGCGAAAGAAGACGGTATTCTGCTTTGTCGATCGAAGAATGTCCAAGCTACATTGGGAGTCGGTCCAGATGAACGTCTTAGAGATTTTCAGGTCGAGTTCAGCATGTAGAAATGTGGCGAGTTGAGCCGCAGTTTGAAGGCCAAGAATTTCAAGCTGCGGAATGCTCAAGGTTTTCTTCAGCGGTGCCAATCTGGATTTCGACATGACGATGGACGATTGTCGCTGTTCGTCCGAGGTCTGCAGGAGATATGCTACCGCACCAAACGCGTCTTTTGAGGCATCGGAGAAGACGTGAAGTTCCAGGTTTTCGCCCAGTAGGCTGTGCTTGAAGTACCGTCGTGGTATTTCGATGGCATCGCCTTGCCAATTTTTCATTATCGAACTCCAGTGTTTCGTTTCTTCAGGGGTCAGCGGTGTGTCCCAACTGCTCGTCGTCTTCCAGAGTTGTTGAAAGAACAATTTGCTCGAAAGAGCAACCGGAGTAAGAAGCCCAAGCGGGTCGTACACGGATGCCGTTTGTTGAAGAACTCGTCGTTTCGTGAGAAGTCCTTGTTGCACAAGAGGCAAGGAAACAGAAATGGTGTCCTTTTCCGTATTCCAGAGGATACCAAGAAGCTTCTGGTCACATTTTTCCTTCGGTTTCTTTTCAGCATCCACGAAGAAGTCGTTCAGACTTTCGTCGTTGGAAGTAAATTGACAAAGGTTCATTGCGGCTGCGTTGAAAATCTTCTTTGACTTTCGGTAGAAGATTGTTCCTTCTTCGTAGGTGTCGGCTCCATAAAAAATGTTATCGACGTAGCAATTTCGAAGGATTTCGGGTGCGATGGGATCTTTCAGTGATTGTAGATGCTTTTTGATCGTTGCGTTCAGAAGAAAGGGGCTGCTTCGAAGGCCAAAAGGTACGCGGCAAAATCGATAGCATCTTGGGTTTTCTCCAATGTTCGGCGTCCAGAGGAATCGAGTGGCATCACGATCTCGGATATCAAGTTCCAATTGAAGAAACGCTTTTTCCAGATCGGAAACGACGAGGATTTTGTGTTTCCTCGCTCGTAGCAGAACTCCAGCCAGTTGAGGTAGTAGAGACGGTCCTATGTGGAGCATGTCGTTGATGGACTTGGAAGCGAGGCTTTTCTGAGCGCTTCCATCATAGACGATTCGCAGCTTTGTTGATTTGCTATCACTGGTGACGCAGTGATGTGGAATGTAGTGTACGATATCTCCATCGGCCTTCTTCTCATCGTCCACGACTTCGATGAAGTTTCTTGCCAACTGGTCACAGATGACTTGATCATATCTCTTGAGGAGATCGTGATGTTTAGCTAGCTTTTTAGTTGTTGACTGTAAGCGGTGGTAGGCTAGCTCTTTGTTTGTCGGCAAGCCGGTTGGGTCGTTCAGGTAAGGCAGGCGCACGACATAACGACCATCTTCGTTTTGCTTCACTGTCGAGTCAAAAAATTGGACTGCCAAGTCGTCGGTCTTCATGACGGTGTTTTCGTGGACGCCGATGGACTCCAAACTCCAAAATTTTTCCAGGGAATCGTTCAGTTCTTGATACTGCTCATGTGGATGATGATGAGTTGATAGTCCCTTCTGCTCGATGCTGTCCAAAGCTTGAGAGAGATGAACTGCAGACTCCGTTCCTGAGATTATTGGCCCGATTTTTGTTTGATGAAGGGAGAGTCCGTTGTTCAGAGTAGTCATGGAGGTTTCTGTCCCTAACACTTGCACCATTGTATCGAGTCCAATCAGAATGTCTGGATCGATAATTTTCCTATCGACGGAGCTAAGCATCTCGAATTCCATGACGTCGAAGGAGCCATCATCGAGTTCGGTGTTGATGTCCGCAGTGACGATGAGCGTCGCGATTTTGTCGATCTCAGTGACTGGAACTTGGACCGTCTCGCTTCCCAGACCGATAGAAAGGTTATAACGATTGGTCATCAGAGTCTTTTTCTCATTGGCGAAGGTTTGAAGATTGAGTGTGACTTGGTCAATGGGCTGGAGCTGTAGTTTCTTCGCAAGCTGTTGAGAGATGAAACTTCGGTTGGAGCCGCTGTCGATGAGAAGCATCGAGTCATGATGGTTTCCTTGGGCATCGAGTACTTGAACCTTTTTGCTCATCATGATGATGGATTTTGACGCTTCGTTAGGTCTTTCGACTTGAACTTCTGGGTCAGGGACGGTTAGAAGAACTTCGTTTGTTGCAACCGTAAGAACAGGGTTTTCCCGGTCGTCAAAGACCTGTTCAAAGTTGATTTCGTCGTCGTCTTCAGCGATGTCGTTCACAAAATTCAAGTGAACTTGAGCTCGACGTGGGCGTTCAGTACTCCGCTGCTCTGGGCGATGAGTGGACTGCTGTCGGGGAGTCGACTCGTCTCGGCTGTTGACCAAGTTTTTCTTTGTTTTCAGGCAAAGTACAAAACTATGAGGGCCTTGGCAAGTTTTGCAGTTTTTTCCTGACCTGCAGTGCCGAGAGTCATGACCTCTTTTCAGGCAGAGAAAACACAACTTCTTCTGGCGAGCGGCAGTCCTTCTTTCTTCGGCAGAAGGATAGGAAGGACAGTTGAGAGCCCAGTGAAGGTTGTGTTGAGCGCTGCACAAGGGGCAAGGACTCTTTGGAAGCCGTGCCGTCTGTCCGTTCGACCGATTTTCTTCTCTTGCAAATCGATTTCCACGTTCTCGATTTTCATGAGAGTGAGAAGAAAAATTTTGCCGCTGCTGAGGCATTCCTGGATGGCGCTGAGTGACGTTCGTGGCCATCGTTGTCGTATATCGATCGCGGTCTCGATGGAAACCGGAATTGTTGAAAATGAGGTCGATTTGAAGTTCATCTTGAGCGATCATGTACAGTTCATGGAGCAGGTCGGTCGTAGATAGTGATTGACGGGTTGCTCTTGCGTTGTACAATCGAGCGAGCACATGTCTTGGGAGTTTCGTCTCAATGAAGGCCACTGTCATGGAATTGTTGCAGTCATCTCCATTGACTTGGAGCTGACGGACGAGTGCTGCAACCTTTTGCCAAAAAGATTGCAATTCTCGAGGGCTTTTCGAGTTTTTGATGCTCGGTAGCATCTGGAATTCGGCAATGAGCGCTTGACGGGTTCTGAGTTCTCCACCGTACGTCTGATCGAGAAGCTCAAGCGCGATTGGGTAGTTGGCGTCTGTGGTCTGGATACCTCGCAACAGCTCTTCAGCTGTGCCTTGCAAACAGCATTTCAGGTAGTGAAATTTGATGTTGGCGTCGTAGTTTTGCCTTCCGACCAATGACTCAAATCTTTCGCGGAACTCGTTGTTTTGAAGAATGTCACCGTCGAAATTCGGAAACTTGATTTGAGGCAACAAAACGTTGTTGCGTGGTGGCGTCGGGGCAGGCTGCACAGTTTGCAGCTGGTACATCGGCATCGGTGGCGGTGCAAAAGGAAAAGAATGAAATGAAGAAACGTACTGGGATCCTGGTAGGGTTGACGGAATCGGCGGCGGCTGCAGAGGTAGTAGCTGCGGCGGCGGTGGCGGTGATGGTGGCGGCGGCGGCGGCGGCGGCGGCGGTGGCGGCGGCGGCGGTGGGATCGGCAGCATATAAACAGGAGCTGCATCCAGTTGTTGCACGACGGGAACAGACGTCGGTGTGGTCAAACCAGAAGGCGTGGCACTCGATGCCTTCAGGCTGTACAATTCTGGCCATTCGTAGTCGAAGTCAGGGAACTTTGACTCGTAGAGGTGTCGAACTTTCGTCAACAAGTCGGCGATACTGGCCAGCGTAGGCCTGACTTGTTCTGCGGTGGCAAGGTAGTCACCTTTCTCTTTTTTGTAGAGGGCTTGAGTTGAAGCTTCTTCTGGTTGTGCATCAATCAGCTTAGACCATTTGATGTTGTTGGTCATGATGCGGTCGTAGTCGTTGCACAGGGAGACGTGCAGATTGGCGAAGTCATCCGTGACTTCTTCGAGCTCTTCGCGATCGAAGGTTTCGATATCAGCAAGCTTTGGCAACTGCTCTGCTTCCTGGAGATTGTTCTTCAGTCGGTGTACTGCCAGGGAAATCTGTCGACGCAGGTTGGTCGACATGTTCGTGACTTTCAGTTAAGTCGGACGAATGGAAGGGGAATGTGCAGCGAATAAGCAAAAATCGGAAGAAGGAAGAGCAGGTGTTTCCGTTAGTGGTCGCCAATTTTGTCAAAGAACCAATTGACAAACTAGGAAGAAGCCAAATTTATTCAATACAAAAGTCGAGACAACGAAAGTCCAACAAAGTTTTTCCCCTTCCCTTTTATAGGACGAAAAAAATCCCACGTTTCCCAGAAATATGTTAAAACCACCCACACAATAATTATTCTATGGGAACAAATTGACAATTTTGGGAAAAGAAAAGGATCGCTTTCGCGACACGAGTGATTGATAGTCAGCCCCAAGACTGAAAACATATGTTTGGAAATTCGACTATTAACATGTAGATCATTATTATCTTATTTCATCACGTCGACTAGTCGGTCTCATTGCCGTTCTCTCATGGGATAATATTCCGACGCCCGTCAACCCTGGACAAGCTGGGCGCCGTACTGTTCCAACATGGTGAAGCAGTTAATTCGCTGGTACTAACAACGGGACCACATTATTTCCCAACGCTAGCTGTCACGTCGGGACTTATTGGACAGCTATTGTGGACCGTAACCCGCGCCGACGACACTCTTCGATTAGACCATGATTCAGCAGAGATTTTCTTCATCTTACTTTGAAGACTGAATGAATTGTAAATTGTAAAAATTGTAACATTTGTTACAATTTACGCCTATGCATGACTTTCAACAAAAAGAAATTGCTTAGACAGTCATAAAATTCAAACCCAGGATATTCACAGCAACGCCCCTTCTTGCATTAATTTTTTGGGCTATCTCTCTATCATTTCATCCTAAATACGCCATTTTTGCAGGAAACTTTGTGAAATGGCCAAACTCCGCTTCTTCAAACCCCTGTTAGAGCTGAAATCAATTCAGAAAAATTTTGAACTCGATAATATGAAAGATGTGAGCCTTGTTGGCAATTTCATAATACACAAATTGAAAAAAAAAATTATTTCAAAAGAGCAGAGCGCCGGCGAACCGAGACAAAGTGGAATAGGCCTAGTGATTTCATAGGAAATCCAGTTTTTGGATTATAATTAGTATTTTTTGGATTTCAAATTTCGACTTCGAAAACTTCAAATTTGTAATAAATGAGAAAAAATAGCGTGTGAAAATGGGCCCAATGTTGTTGTGTTGCCTTACACCACATATCCAAAGGTTTCTCGTGTAAAATATTTGAATTTTGTTTATTTGGGACAATCAAATTGTTTTTTTTTTCCGAAAATGATTTTTAACGATAAATTACAATGTCACCTTAAAAGTTTTTTCTTCAACTCATCTGCTCATTTTGGCGATGCGAAAAAAATATTTTTGCTCTTTTTCTTTCATTTTCTATTCTTTTTTTTCTATTTTCTCGAAAAACGTAATAATCCGTTGAACAAAATTTGTTGACATTTACTCGTTCTCCGTTACAGAAACTAGGGCAGAAAACAAGTTTGATGTCTTGACCAGAAGTCTGTCAAGGTCAAAAGAGTTTGACCAGTGGCGGAGCCGCGTCGCAAGACTTTGCGGCGCGTGCCGATCGTCGACCAATAGGCGTGCACCACGGCCGCAGAGGTAGTGCAACGTCGAACAGGCAGTCGGCCGCCCTCTACTCAGTTGAGCTCCGGACTGTCCTACTCTCAACATGCTTCCTCAAAAGCTCGTTCTTATCGCGCTCGGTGAGTGATTATGCTTCAGATTGATTTTCAACTCTTCTCAGTTGATGGAAAGGTTGTTTTCCATTGAGATATATCAGTGAAACTAACCGCAAAAAAGCAAGAAAATCGTGTTTAATTCTGAACGTTTCAGCGATCGGAGCATGCAGCGCCATGTACTCCAAGAAAGACGACGTCGTCGAGTTGACTGAGGCCAATTTCCAATCGAAAGTTCTTGCCAGTGACGACATTTGGATTGTTGAGTTCTACGCTCCATGGTTAGTTTAATTGAGTTTGACTGATAAGCAAATTTGTTTGAAGGTGCGGTCACTGCAAGAACCTTGTTCCGGAGTACAAAAAAGCCGCTACCGCTTTGAAGGGTGTTGCTAAGGTCGGTATCAATTGAATAGAAGCGTGTTGAGCAATCTTTATTTTATTTTTACAGGTTGGAGCCGTCGACATGACACAGCACCAGTCTGTTGGTCAACCCTACAACGTTCAAGGCTTTCCTACTTTGAAAATCTTTGGCGCTGACAAGAAGAAGCCAACCGATTTCAACGGTAATAATTGGTTCCTTTTTTTTTTTAGTAAAACCAAGAATATGACTGTCACAGTGAGACACAGCAAACACGCCAAACTCTTCCTTGTGTGCCCAGTCGGCGGCGCTTTTTATTTACTTGCGCGACTGAGGTCAACTGACCCTTTTCTCGGTATTTACTCTCGGACTGCCAATCATCGCTGTTAACTCAAGAGTATTCAAAATAGAAAAGAACTATGTCATAAGAGCATTCAGACGTTTTCCAAATTTTTTGGCGGTATTGAGAAAAAAAAAGAAAATTTTGCAGCTTTTGACAATAAACAAAATCTCGCTTGCTAACTTTCTTTATGAGCGCAAAAATTAATAGCTGTTGTAAAACTGTTTGGCTTTTTATGAAAAAAAGTAATAAAAAAATTCTGTAAAAAAATGTGTGGAAATAAAAAAATTGTCGGAAAAGAGCGAACAGTTTTTTTTGGCTAAATTTTTGAAGTCAATATTATTTTCAGGACAACGAACGGCTCAAGCGATTGCCGATGCTCTTCTCGCTGAAGCTAAGAAAGCTGTCAGTGCCCGACTTGGCGGAAAAGGATCCTCAGGAAGCTCGAGCTCTGGATCTGGATCTGGATCTGGAAAACGCGGCGGCGGAAACGAAGTTGTCGAACTAACGGACTCCAACTTCGAAGAGCTCGTGCTGAACAGCAAGGACATGTGGCTCGTTGAGTTCTACGCACCATGGTGTGGCCATTGCAAAAACTTGGAGCCTCACTGGAAGGCTGCCGCCTCCGAACTCAAAGGCAAAGTGAAGGTAAATCCAATTTGGTTTTTTTGAAATTCTATTGAAATTTTTCTTTTAGCTTGGAGCTCTTGACGCCACGGTCCACACCAACATTGCCAACAAGTTCGGCATTCGCGGATTCCCCACAATCAAATACTTCGCTCCTGGATCGGATATTTCTGACGCTGCTGAGTACGACGGAGGCCGAACCACTTCTGACATCGTGTCCTGGGCGTCCAGCAAAGTGAATTTTTCCTCTTTTTTTGTTTGATTTTTTTAAACCTTTTAAATAATTTCATTCTTAATGATGAAAGTTTCAGGCCCAAGAAAACCTTCCACCACCAGAGGTCCTTGAAGGAATTAACCAAGAAGTTGTTGAAGGTTAGTTAAAATTCATTCAATTACAGTAAATGGTTTGCAGTCCTTGTTAGAAGCGCTAATAATTAAAGTCGATTAAAATTTTGAGCCCAAGTAGTTTTTATTCACAAAATGAAAAACTTGATTGTTTCGGAGGGAGGATATATTTTTTGAGGATATTGGCAAGCTTGTTCAAAAGTTAATTTTTATAGTTTGAAAATGTGTATAGAGATTTACCTTTTTATACATTTGGTTTCAGGGGCCTGCAAAGACAAGCAACTGTGCATCTTCGCCTTCCTGCCACACATTCTTGATTGCCAATCGGAATGCCGGAACAAACACATCGCCGTGCTGAAGGAGCTCTCCGAGAAGTTCAAGAAGAACCTTTGGGGGTCCGTCACAAGATTTTTCTCTTGGGCAAAAAGAAGTATTTCAGCTGGATCTGGGTTGAAGGAGGCTCGCAGCCGGGACTTGAAGAAGCTTTCGAGGTCGGAGGCTTTGGATATCCCGCCATGACCGCTTTGAACTCCCGCAAAATGAAGTTCTCCGTCTTGAAGGGATCTTTCAGCAAAGACGGCATTCACGAGTTCCTCCGTGATCTCAGTTTTGGCAAGGGCCGCACCGCTTCCCTAAGAGTGGGTTTTTTTCAAATATTTTTTTAAGAAGCGCTGCGAAAAAAACTTCTTGTTGAAAAACAGGAATCAATCAAAGCAGAAATCTTCCAAATTAATATTTTTTTTGAAGGAACATCCGAGTTTAAAAAAATCACTGAAAACATGATACCTAATGAGAATCTCAGTTCAGTTCATTTGAAATTTAATATCATTCATTCATATTGCCTTTTTTTGAAAAAAAGGTAATCACTTATTATTATTACAGAGCACCGAGTTCCCCAAAGTCGTCAAAACCGAAAAGTGGGATGGCAAAGATGGTGTTTTGCCCGCTGAGGACGACATCGACCTTTCGGACATTGACCTCGACAAGACCGAATTGTAAAACTTCTCATTTCATTCTCAAAGTCTTTTCCGCGAGATAGGACAATGCTTTTACTATTTTATGTGTAACTTATTTCTTTCACCGGGTTCTTCCTCCGATCATTAATAGCACCAAGGTGCCTTTGTTAACAAACTTTTCCTCGTCAAAGTTTGGTTCTGTTTTAATTGTGCTTTGAATAAATTCATTTTGATTTGATAAATGCATGCTATAATGAAACGATAACTATTTCATTGAAAGTTTAAGTCTTGAAAAAGAGCTTCTGGCCTAATTTAAACTTTTTGCGTAAATGATAAACTTGGCAAATCAAATTTCTCAGCAAAAATTTGTCATGTAAGATGCAAAAAAAAGGAGAGCCGATGTTTCCCAGTGTGAAACGTATATTAAGATTAACAGTTTAAAAAAAAATTTAGAAGAGATTAGATGAAATTTTTTTCAAATTTTGAGGGTCTTCAGTCTTCAGTCAAAACATTGGTAACAACTGATTTCGGAAAAAATTTCAAGGATGAATTAAATGACCTCCTTGGTAATATGTAATCTTGAGAAGCTGTCTTTCAAACAGAATTTTTCAAAATGTAGTGTTACGCAAAAGTTCGGCGCGACAAGTAAATTGTGGCTTCGCGTGCGTCTGCAACATCATAATCTCCGCACAGCCGCCGAATAGGATTAAAGACAAAAAACAAAAGGACTCCGTTTGAGAGAAGGCGTGTTACCCAGGTGATGGCACTAGCTGATAACTCTTCAGCTGCTACATTTTGTCCAATTTGAAGTTTCGAGCAGAGATCCGGTCTGTTTTTTTTCTCTCTCTTCATGATACCTGGGTCAACTTTTGATCAACTCGAGGCGGCTGACGCTACGAAAAAACATTTGTCCATCAACAGCAACGAACAGCTTGGAAACTGGAGTACCCAAGGACTTCAAGTGAGTTGATTATTTGCTGTCTTTGTTTATTATGACTAGAAAAACGTTTGAGATGTATACCAAGTCGGGAAAATGGCTTCAAAAAGTAATAGTGCTCCGAAAGACAGAAATTTCACTCTCTCAGCGTCATTCTGAAGATCAAAACGGAAAAATTGCCCTTTCGCTTGAAGTTCAATAGAACTAGTATTTTGAGTTTTCAAGTTTCAACCAATTCTAACAAGATTTTTTTTATACCTAACAATTTTATTTCAAAATTTCGTTCCATTTTATCTTTATCCCATTTCAAAGTCGTTATCCTCAACGAATTAAGCATCCTACACATTTTTTCTTAGCGAGATAGTTACCTGAAATTTTAGGACGATGGCGTTTGGATCATTACTGCGAGCTTCACAATTTTTACTATGACTTCAGGTATAAAACTTGATTTATCTAACCATCTTCAATGAAAAATTTCCCGAAATTCCTTCTCTTCTTAGGATTCGGCTTACTTGAATCCGGACGGGTATCATCAAAAGATGAGGTTAATATTATGGTTAAAAACGTCGTTGACGTTGTTTTTGGAGGTGACTGAGTTTATTCCTTGAAAATTCTCAGTATGTCTAAGGTCTGTCGTACTGGATGTTCGGGTTCGGATTCACTTTTGGAAAAACAGCGGGTTTCGTGAACAGGTACATTGGGCTTGGTAGTTTTTTTTTCGACGTGGAAACTTCAGACGAAATGACGGTAAAAGACTGCTTTTAACCTTTATAAAGTATTGAGTGTTCTAGGAAGGTTGGACTTACGCGTCTTTTATTTATCAGATCAGCTTTGCTACCACAGCCAACTCAATTGTTTCAGGTGAGAGTATGAGCAGCAAAAAATATATAATCTGGTCGAAACTGTGAAGTTTATCTATAAATGGACAATATTGACCTGTAAGTTCTCACCTTAAGATCGACTTTTTTTGATATATCAATGTGAGGATAACGCGAAAAGCCGCATTTTTTTTTGAAATGGTATTCAAGTTGGTCGCTGTCATAATGTCAACAAGAATTTGGAGAATGGCATAATCTGACCGGCTCAAAAAAGATCCCTTTTCTCGTTTTTTCAATGAAAATTTGTTATTTGCTCTTTATTATTTTTTTTTTTCGAGAAATTACTCTTCGTTGAGTAAGTTCCATGAGCTTTAGCCTTGATATTCTTGATATCCTAACAGATTCTTTTTATTATTTTTCCCGTTGCAACTGTTTATAATTAGAAAAAAAGTTTTTTTAGCCGGAATGGCGGAGCGAGTTCGATTGAAAGGCTACATCGTCTTCTCCTTTTTTTCATGCCTCTGGTACATTCTTTTGCCTGCTCATTGGCTCTGGGCGGAAGAAGGGCTGCTTTTCGAACTCGGAGTTATTGATTGGGCCGGATGTGCTGCTGTGCTTTTGTCATCCTTTTCAATCAAAATTGTTGTGCTTAAAGGTGCACCTCGTAGGCGGCATCGGAGGTTTTGTAGCGACGCTCTATTTGAAGCCCAGACAAGGAAGGTTTGGCAGCCGAGGAAAAAAACAACTCAGCAGTCCTACAAACGCAATTCTAGGTGAAGAAGCTTACATATTTTGGAATGACGAAACTTTATTCATAATTCATAAATATTTAGAAGAAATTCTAACAGGTGGGAATTGTTGGAACTTCTTTGAAAGTTTTTCGGATCATCTAAACTCATATCAGTTTGAAAAACCGGCTTCTATAGCTTTTTTTCGGAATTATGACGCTCGAAGGCTTTGTAATCAACAATTTTTTTCAGTAAAAAAATGGTTTATTTAGTCATTAAGCGTCATAGCTTCGCTAAGAATTTAAAGGCAAAATGTTGTTTTCATCCGATTTATAACTGGACACCTCTTTTCCATTCATTTTCAAGCACGGCTGGTTAGAAAAATTTTCAAGGTTTTTTTCATTAGATAGAAGAACCCCAATGAATGAAGATGTTAAAATCACATTCTCAGGTGCTTTCATGCTTTGGTGGGGTTGGCTAGCATTCAACACCGGCTCGACCTACGGCGTCAGCCATGGGAAGTGGCAGCTGGCAGTCAAGTTTGTAGTCAATTTGAACAGTTTCGCAATTTGATTGCATCAAAGATCCGCTGTGGCAACCATTTGTGCTTCTACAGGCGGTGGTTTAACAGCCCTTCTCATTTCCAAAGTTTTTGTCAAAAACATCCAGGTGAGTTTTCAGCCCTCTCATTCATTTTCGTCATTTGTTCAGGTGGATATGATAATTGATGGCCTTTTGGCGTCTCTAGTTTCGAGCACTGGTAGGGATTCATACTCTTCTATAAAGTGTAATTGAATATTATTCAGCATGCTGTTCCTGTTATACGACGTGGCAGGCCCTGGTTGTTGGGAGTATTGGAGCTGGACTAGCACTGTTGACTTATCCTGTGCTCGAGTGGCTTGAAGTATAGTGAAAAATTGATTAAGGCAACGTTTCTGCATTGAAAAATTTTCAAGTGCTAACCGCTGAAAACTTCGAATCAAAACCGAGACACCTCCTGAAATTACACTTGTGGATTTTCTCAGAAATCTGTCATGTTTTGAGAACCGATAACTTTCAATCTTCGGGCTTTTAAAACTGCTCATTTTCCTATTTTTCGAAGTTTTATGATTAAGATCATCTGTTTTTTCTACTACAAAAAGGTCAAGGTCATTGTTTTACAGAAGCATAAATCCTTTTTTGTGCTCAGACTAAAACGAATTTGAAAGAACTTTAGCTTATATTCAAGTAACGCTTAAAGTCTCACTGCAGTTTCAGAAACGCTATTTACCTCATTGGGCTTCTTCAGATTATTTTTATATGCAACAGCAGAAGATTCATTCAGGTAGACGATCCAGTCGGAATCGTTCCAGTTCATGTCGTGGGTTCCATCTGGGGAATGGCCAGTGCAGGCATTTTCGCTGAAGAGGATAAACTTAATGTGCTTTTTTTCATTTATTTTCAAAGAAAACTACTTTTCATCATCCTTTTTTATGATTTTTCATGTTAGTCTTGCAGTGGGAAGTAACTCGTGGCAAGAACGGATTACTCTATGGCGGCGGATATTCTTTGTTACTTTCTCAGTTGCTGGCTCTTTTAGTAATCTCTATATGGACTACAGTCAGTGTTTTGTTGATCATTTATGTGAGTGATATATTTTTTCTCCTCTCATGGACTTTTGAGGTTTCAGAGCTTACAACACTCCAGAATTGGATTGAGATTAACAAAGTACGAAGAAGAAATAGGAGCAGATTTGAGAGAACATGGTCTCAGTGGACTATCAGTCAACACTTATCGAGTAGAGAAAAAGTTGTCCCCTGAGTGAGACAAATTTTCAGAAAAAAAAAATGAAGTCATAAACTTTCCAGAAGTTTGACGAGAGTTGTGCTGTTCTTGATGCGCTGGAGAGCTCGTTCGCAAGTAGGAGCCTTAAGGAGAAGATTGGTGGGCAACTTCATATCTACCTTATCGTTTTCATTCATATCTTTTTACAGATTTCTGGACAAAGCGATTTATCCGTTCAAACAATTAATGAAGAAAATCAAGGGTTCGAACTTCGACAACGCTGAAAAATAGACTTCTTTCAATATTACTCCAGTTTTTAAAAAGAAAATTTTCGCAAACTGCAGCTAACTTGTTCAACGTTTTTTTATCTAATCGTTAAAAAAATTTTTTTGAAAAACTAAAAGGTTCATTTCATCAATTTACGCCTTTCTGCTGTGCTGATTCGATTCTGATTTTGTTTTTTTCAGATTGTTAAGTTTAACCTTTATAAATAACTTTTTTTATTGATAGATTTTTTTGCGAACACAAAAAAATCCAGAAGATGAGCTGAATGTGAGGTTTCATTAAAAACCAGAGAATATTCAAAAGAAATGGCTATAAAACGTATTAAGTGATTAAAATCTGCCCGGTGATTTCCCAAAGAATAGTTACCATAAGTCCCTGAAATCTCCTGAAACACCAACCTACTACAAACTAAAAAGACAAGAAATAAATAAAAATCAATTTGTAACTTGCGCGGAAATCTCAACGAACTAAAAACAAAAAGGACAAAAAAATGTGCAAAAAGATGTGACATTTCCGTAAATTCGACTGAAAAAAATATTTCTCTTTTTGATTTGAGCAGCAATTAATAACAGAAGAGCTTATTTTATTACGAGCAAAAAGAAACTTGAAAAAAATAAAAATCTTGCGTTTTGACATTTTCGAGTTGTAAAAAAAGCTGAAATGAAAAAAATTCCTAATATCTGATAATAAAACTTTTCAATTAATGTCTTTTTTTATTTTTTTCTTTGATGAAAAATATTTAGTGAAATGCCGAAATATTACTTGAAACAGAAAAAGAGTGAAAAAAATTGAGTTCCAAGGTTTTTGAATGGTTTTGGAGTTTGGTCCGCAAACACTTTTACGAAAAAGTGCTACTCATCGCTTCGAATTCTGTCTCACTGTATTTGAAAAAAAAATTTTTTTTGCCTTTTTAAGTGGTTTTTCTCTCAGTTATTGAATTTTCTTATCTGCGTTTCATTTTCGATTTCTCTGAGGTCATTTTGATTGTTTTTTAACATTGAGTATTGACTTTAAATTTGTTTTTAAAAGTGTCCTCAATTTTGGAGTTTGGTGATATTATTAAGCTAACCTTCATTTCTTTTTCTAAATTTTTCCAGTGTTTTTTTCAAAAGTTAGAATACTCGTCTTTGTATGGAATTTATTAAATTTGTTTATTACATAAAAATTTTTTAAAATAACTTTTAAAAATAATGCGTTCCCATTTCTTTTTGCTTTTATATTCATTCAAAAAGACGCGAATCTTTTTTTATTTATTTCAATATTTTTTTCTGAATGTTTTTGTATTTCTTGCCTCGCTGTTTTATCAGTACAATATCTGTGTCGCTTTATTAAATTGATCATGATTTCAGAATGCCTTCGAAGAACGCAGTAATTGTTACTCAAGTCTACTCAAATATTAAAATCAAGGATATTCCAAAGTGGGAAGCTGGTGCCGCTTTTGCAAGTTTGTGACATTTCAATTTACCTGTTAAACAGAAATATTTTAGCTCGTGTCATCGTGGATCGTCTGACTGAACTGATGGATCAGTTTGATCTACAACATTCTTCCTTGACATGGTGATATTTTCATTATGTTTTTTTGGGGAGCGGTAGAAATTGTTGTGTCATTTATTGCTATTCAATAGTTATACTAAAGGATCAAGAAAAAAAAAGCCCGAATTTAACATCATTCACAAAAAAATGTTTCTCACAAGCTTCTGAATCAACAGTCAGAATGCACGTTGGTAAAAAGCTTAGTAATCTGAATAAGCGCAAGTTGTCCTTTTTTTATTTCAGTTGAAAACATTTTTGAACTATTGTAAATTTAGTTTTCTTGAAAAAAATCCTTTTTGGCTTTCGAAAAAGGAATGCGAAACAGTAGGTTTTTGGAAATCAAAACAGTTTTCAAAAACCAAAACCTCTATTGTAAGCCATTTTTTTGCCGGTTTGCAAAAAAATAATTTAAAAAAATACCTCAATTATCACACAGATTATATTTGTTACGAACACTTCACACTTATGATCAACCATCAGAAAAAAAACTTGAATAATAAGAAAAGCTACAAAAATGTGAGACATAATATTTTGGCCAACCTGAAATTCAAACAAATTTTTTCAGCCTCAGACGTCAAGCAGTGGTTATTTCTTGCAAAGCGCAAGTGGAAGAACAATGCGACAAGTTTTTAAACATTTAAAAACAGTTTAGAACAACCGTATTCAGGGTAATAACACTCAAAAAGGAACAAGAATTGCGTCCTGACGAAATCGGTCGTGTCGTATTTTTGCACGGGTATTCTGAAACCAGAACGCAGGCTGAAGGCAGAAACGCCTTCGTTAACATTCCGCCAGAGCTTCGGTCTCTTCCAACCGATGAGAAGAAGATGAGAAAAGATCTCGTTGAGAACACGCACCTTGGAGAGTTCTATGGTGCTATTCTGCACGAATTATTACATTCGGTTTGTTTTTTTATGCTTAATAGGGATTTGTAATTGGTTCTTTCTTTAAATTCTTTCAGAACGTTTGGTGATGTACCGAAAATATCAAAAGTTTCTGTTCAACTTCTTTGTTGTTCTCAAAGCTTGAAAACGACCAGTTACAACAAACTTTTGAGATTTTCTTCATCATTTAGGTGACCTTTCTCACAAGCTGAGAAGTTTTGCGAGTCGAAACTTTCCGAATCTTTTTATGGCAAAAAAATTGAAAAAAATGAAATAATCATCCTTGTCAGTGTTTTTTTCTCAAAAACCCAATAAGAAAAATCAAAACACATGTTTTGTCGTGATGAGGGATTTGTTGGAAAAAGGTTTTTTTGAAAATAGCTTAGATTTTTTTGATTTCAAACGAAGAACTAATATTAAAAACATTTTTTTCAATTTGTTACTTTAGCAAGGAGCTATGCACTTTCGCTACGGAGTCATGTCGGGAAAACTCAACATCACAAAGTAAGTTTCCCTATTTGATCACACTTAATATTACTTCTCTTTCAGCTGGCTGTTCCCCGACATTGCTGATGAACGTTTCGAGAAGGGCGGCTTCGTTGATCCTCATACGCAGTGCCTTCTCTACTTCAGCAGATTCACTCGCTTCCACGAAGAACGGAAACTTCCGATCATGTTCAAAGCCGACAAAGATACAATGAAAATCACTGTTAAATGCGAGGACCCAATTGCGTTTGTCAGCTTTTTCAAAGAGTAGGTTTCAATATTTTCTATTTTAAGCACATCTTTTGAATTGTTTCTTGATAATTTATCCGTATTTTTAACCGTAAAAAAAATGATACCAGCCAGCAAATGTGTTGCTAGAAAATTTGGAAACAAAGTCTTTGGTGTTTTTTTCGAGTCATTGTTTTTTTAAATCCCATAAAGTAGAGCAATTGTTTGCAAAAAATAACATAGTGAGGGATTTTAAAAAAAAATTGAAAAAGTGTTGATGAATTTCAAATAGAAAGAAAAAAATTGATTATTCCATTTAATAAGTTCTAATTTTTGCAGCTCGAGCTATACGGAGAACCACCAATTCTTGCCACCAAAAGATCTGGTCGAGTACCTGCCGAAAAAAGATTTTGACGCATTCACGGTGATTACTCAAAATGCTCATCAGTTTTACATCTGCCGTTCTAACCTCTAAAGCTTGTCATCAAGTGGTTATTACATACTTTAATCAATTTTTTTGAAAGTTTTATGCCAGTTCATTTTGTTTTTCTTTTTTTGGAACTCTAATGTTGAAGATATTTTTGCTCTTTTCTAGAATTTTAACGCCGAAGCTTTGTTTTCTCTTTTTGGAATTCTAATACCGAGGCTTTTTTTTTGCTTTTTTTGGAATTTTAACGCCCGAGCTTCGTTTTTATTTTTTTTTTTTGGAGCTTTCAAGCCGAGCCTTTCGCTTAGTTTTTTCTTTTTTTGGAATTCTACTACCGGGTCTTTCTAAACCTGCGTGTATGACAAAAATCAACTACAGGTGTTTATATTTCGAGTAATTTGTACTTCACCGGTTAGACGATCTCATATACGATTTGGTTTTTCTTTTGAATGAAGGTTCTCTCCCTGTTTTTTTAAAATTTCAACGCAATAAAAATCAAATAGCATTTATTTGAAAAAAAGTTTCGACTACAAAAAAACCAACCAGTAATAAGAAACCCTCGAACTATGTATGAACTTAACGAATGACAGTGGTAGTGAAGCTATCGAAAAATTGAACTTGGTTATCGATAAAAATTTGAAGTTAATAAAAAAATAGAGACTAAGAAAGTTATTTAAATTTCAACATGGTTGAAAAAAATGAAAAACAAGCAGTTGAGGCTGAAAGAAATGCATTTGAACAGTTCATTTAAAAAAGAGTTCTTTAAATTTAATTTTGAGCAAAACGATTTATCTCAAAATACCATTAATCCGCGTATCTTAATTTTGCTGAGGAATTTTTTTCCCACCTCCGTAGGAGTTAATTGCGTTTGTCAGAGCTAAACAGGCAGCAATGACATGACAAATGTTAACAAATATCATTGCAACACGGTAGAGCGTGAAAGTGAAGCAAAGTCGGACGTTTTCGCTGGAATTCAATTGAAATTGTCCCTCTCTAATTATTTCAAACTTACCGAACATCGTGCTTCGGATTTAAAGGAAGACACGGCCAAAAAAAGCGCAGTTTTGTGAATTTAACGACGCCCCATACGAGGGAGACAAGCTTTATGCAAGACGAAAAAAACACTGGATTTGCCAAAGAAAGTCGTGGCTCGTGTGTGAATAAAATGAACATCATGAGCGGTAGTGGTACCTGGAAAGTTTCACGAAAACTAGTCATTTGTTTTGATAGTTTTAATCAGTTCAAAAGCTTCTCTTGAGCTTTCAAAAAGTGTAGGTTCTATGAATGTACAAATGATGATCTGACCGATTTTTCCGCCTTTCTCGTCTTTCTATCCTCGGAAATGTCAGAAAAAAATCAATAAAAAAATTAAATTAGAATAAAAAAACGATTTATTTTGTTTTCCGCAAGAAGTCCTTTTTTGCTGGAAATACTTTGGTGACCAGTTCAAGGACTTCACCACCACTGTTGTGGGCTTTGCTGATTTAAAAGCAAGGTGTATCAGCGTGGGATTGGCACACAGGCCCAGAGAGCCGTGAGTAATGGTCCGCAGATCACAACAAAAAGTGAGCCTCTCGGCATATCCGCAACAAATGCTCTCCCTTGTTTTTTTGATGTTCATCTCTCTCTCGGACAAAATTTTTGACACAGGTACGTTTGTGTTATATGCCGAGTGCACTTGAGGACGTTTCTCATGAGAAAGTTCTCAACTTTTTTTCTTACTAAAGGATTAAAAAAAAAAAAAATTTAGTATCTAAATTATAGAAATAAAGATAATTTTTATTTATTGCTCGTAAGATTTTTTTCTTAATTTTTTTCAGAAATAATACTTTTTGAAAGCATTTCACATTTTTCATTCCTTCTGATTGGTTCAGAAAAAAACAAAGTGGTTATAAACTCAAAAAGCAAAGTTTAAAAAAAGTAAAAAAATTAATTCTCAAAACTGGGTGAAGTTATTGATGAAAGGCTACTTTCACAGCGGAAGTCGGAAAAACCCATCTGGGACATGTTCTTCGAAAAAGTCAATAATTTGGGAAATTCCATATACCAATCACTTTTTCATGAAAGTTTTGGCAAGTTGTTTGTAGTTTTGACTCAGAGATAAGTAATTATATGCAGAATTTATGAAAAAAAAACAGAAACCGAACAAGGGTTAGGTTTCTATTTCTCCCTCAGCTCCAAACTTTTTCTCACAGCTCCAAACTTTTCTTACACAAAATTTCATTTTTTTTTTTTTTGAAACGCTTTGAAGCATATGTCGAATAGTTCTTTTTGTGAATGGCAAGTTCGCGGTTAATGGGTCTTGGACCAAGACGCAAAGAAAGTATCACAGCTCATAAGATGAATAACAGGGCCATCAATGCGAACGAGATTTCGTGCAAACGTATTTCAAGGTTTCAACGAAAAGGTGAGCTCAAAAATTGAAATTACCATAGGAAATCTGTCCTATGCCTTGAGATTTCAAAGACCTCTTTTTTTGGCTGAGTAATATAAAGTCTGAATAGTTTATTTTGAATAATTTCCCTGAAAGTTACATTGAAATAATCGGATTGATCTAAATATTTTTCGCCTCTCGCTTTTGAATCGAGTTAAAATGTCTTGAAATCCACACAAAATCATTGAAATGAACAAACTTAAAAAAGTAGAGTTTTGATAAATTAAAGCTTGGTCACAGAGAAAAAAATTTTAGATTTAAATTGAGGTAATCTGATTTACAGTTGAAAGATTTCCAGAAAAAAACTGTGTTTGCTTGGAAGGCGGTATTGATAAAAATGGTTTCGGGAATTTCCCAAAATTTTTTGCCATACAGCTTACAATGTACTCTTTGTATGGCGAAAATCTGCAGTTCAAAGAACAAACCTCTTCAAGGGTAATAACCAAACTTTTGGCGAGGCGGGCGACGAACACGTTTTCCTGTTCGTACTTGAGCGTCAAGCACACGTCGATCATCTCAAATAGGTAGACGACCAGGCTGACGGCAGTGAAGACAAAATAGCCCCAAGCGGCAAACCGCGCAATGTCGGTTTGGAAATTATGAAGAAACTCAGCGATTCTGAAAGATAATTATAATCGACAAACTAGTCTTTCTGTCAAATTGACTTTTTCTACTTTCGAATTTTGGCCATTTACTAATGTAACAAGTTTCACTGAAACATCGTGGGTAACTCGCCTTACACAAACTAATAGATCCGCAAGAACATCTAGAGTTGAAGCAAAAAGCGTGATGGTGGCAATAATCATTGCTGGAGCGGCACATTCTACGGAGCTTCTGAAATAAAAAGAAAAAAATATGATTCTTTAATTTCTAGGGACAGTTTAAAAAAGCAACATGGTTGAAAACTTTTGGCGTCTCGAAACAAAAATTGACGCAAGTCGACGAAACTCTCAAGCTCTCCTTTTTTTGAATTTTACACCAAGAAAAAAAATTGAACTACCTGGGAGTGTCGCTCCAAACAACGTAGACCATATTGGTAGAAGATGAACCAAAGCTGACTGTTGAAATAAGCAGCGAACGTTCTCGAACAATGGTATGCGGAGGATAGTGGGGGCGTCCAGGCACAGCTGTCTTGCAGCGGAGCCGCCCAGAGCAGCAAACGTCACCAGATCAACAGCTCATCAGTTGAATCTCTGATTTTATTCCTTTCAAAATCTCAATTTCGCTTCAATTATTGAAAAGTTCCAGTCTTTTATGTACTTTGCCCGTTTCAAACAAAATGTTCAAGGTTCTTCAATGAATATAAATTTATTTTACATCTATACTGGATCATTCATCCGCTGCTCTTTCAAATTTTTGAATCTATAATAGAGGATGGCGAAAAAACATTGATGCCAGACCATTCTGAACGAAAGGAAAAAGCAAAAAAAAAATCGAACTAAACAGCTAACCAAAAGAAGGGGCTTCGTAGTTTTTCAAAGCTAGTGTGATAAGTCACAACTTCCATTTCTCTTCCGAATTCTGATGATTCATTCGTTTCAATTAATTTCTTTATTTTCTCTAGCACAACCTTCAACTCACAGAGCTTTCTTGTAGCTGAGTAGATGATAAGTAACTTTGACCTGAAATTTTTTACTCCGAGCTGACAACTGACTCTTTTTTGCAATAGTTAACAAGAATCAGACGTTTGTTGGGAAACTATCATCATTCATTGCAAGATACACAACTTTACTTGTCACGAAGCTGTTTATTCAGGATGATTTGTTTCAATATTAACACGTTTCATGGTTTAACACACATTTCAGGTCGAATGAAATCTTACAGCGGCAGGAGAATAACGTTTTGTGGGATTTACTAGCGTTGACTCATATTCAATATACAGATTTTTCTAGCTGTCGAAGAAAATGTTACACATGAAAAAATGTACAAAGCTACTAAGAAGAAACTATTCGAAAATTAGGATGGTTCCGTTGGTTTGACGAGGTGCAGGGGGCAGAATCACAGTGTTCTGTTGAGCTTTCCACGCCAGCGCCACACTTGTTTTCTCTGTAAAATCTTCACGATAAAAATACAAAATCAAAAAAAAAAATTAAAAGTCTGATTATGTTAAAGTTAACCCGCAAGGACATCTTCTACGCCGCATTCTTTGCCCAGGGCCACAAGTTGTCGTGCAAACGCTCCACTGTGACCAGCGAGTCCAGTCACACTGAAACGGGAAACCTGAGTATCATTTCACAAACACTCAGAACACCTGAAGGTCGGTCAAAGAACTGCTAATCTCGGTTGCTCTAGGAGATGACTCATCTGTCAACTTTAACAACTCGTCGAGCCCACTTTCAATCTGAACAGATTCTATGACAAAATATAACAGCTTTTGTTCAATTTATCGCGAATTCAAAGCTGTTCAAAAATTTTGAACAAGTTGCTTTAGAAGATTTCATTTTTGCACCGGTAAATTCAGATTTCCTATTGCCACGGAAAGATTAGTTCTCTTGACAAGACTAAAGTTGACCTGTCTCGTGATCGTCAAAGCAATCTCAACTGAACGGTGACTACAAATTCTCAAGTGAGCTAATCCATCACGAGAAAACGGATCTGAACCTCGGCCTCGGTGGTTTCGACGCTCATTTCCGCCTGAGAGCTTGTTTTTTGTGGTTTCTGTGTGCAGCGTTGTTCTTCGTGAGACTTGCCGACGCACTCGCAGTTGCTCACCAAGTCCGCTACGAAAAAAAGTCAATTTTTTATGATTTATCACTGAAAAACCTTGGTCTCCGACACAGAAACGTTTACGTTCCATCTCGAATTCCGAGTCGCAGTCGCTCCACGGTGACCATTTCGACCACTGGCACATCTGAAACTGTTTTTTTTTTCTTTCTTTGAACTCTTTACCCATAAAATAAGTGATATTCAAAAAGCAAATTCTGATTCAAAGCTTCATTTTTAAGAGGGACAATTTTCATCGAAAAAAGTGCTTTATATTAATAACGTTCAAATTCAATTCAATTTCGAAAAAGAAATTTAAAAAAAGTGTGATTACCGCATATGGATATTGTGTCGTCGTGTAAATCGAAGCAGAATCTTTACGATCATAATTTTCGCTTGCTTTGCGGTTGAGCTGAAAAACTATTGTTGTTTTTTTTTTCAATCAGCCTAATCCAAATAATGAATATCAATTGAAAAACCGGTGAACCAACAAAAGATTATCTAATGGTTGAAAAGGTGCTTTGGTCTCTCAAGTTCTGATACAAATAACTCCTGTGGAAGCTCACTTCAACTCGTCCAATGACGGAGTCGATAGGAACATAACGATCGACGTTCTCTTCTTGTCGCGAGGAGCTTTGAGAATAAAATCCTCTATTATTTTCCCGACTGTTCTGACGTCCTCTTTCACTAAGGTCTAGATTATAAGCCGTTAGACCTCTGAAGCAGCTCTGCAAATAAAAAAACTACTCGGTAAGACCGTCATGTTACATACATTATCTACTTTGCAAGGCCTGTCCTCCATATCCAAGCCATCAGGACACTCGCAAGACAAATCCGGCTTCATAGGACCGCCTCTGATCGTGTTGACTCTGTCACAGTATCTCCTGCGTATTTGTTGGCCTTCCTGGACCATCAATAGTTTCCTCTCATTAGATACTGTGTTACCCGACAACGCTGACAACCACACCATTCACCCCAAGAAGACCATTCGCAAGAAGGCGTCGGATCTTCACAAGGCAATGGATTGGGACAAGGCTTTGTATCAAAAGATTCTCCTGGGCAATGACACTGTGGCGGTCTGGCACGAACTGAAACTCAGAATTACCCAGGTGAACATGAAGTTGTATTAACTCACGAGCTAAACCATAAGAAGATTGTCGTTTCCCTCGATGAACTATCGGAATAATCGGAGATAGTCCTATTAGGGTCATTTCTAAACCGATTATTTTTATCATAACAGAAACTATTTTCACCAGAGCTTTTAGGGATGGTGTACTGATCAAGAGGAGCAGCAGCAGGTGGATGTCGGTCGAAGTCTTCCTGTTTATTTGAAATTCTGAAGAATCTTTTTTTTCTACCCACTTGGAAAGAAACTTGGAACGGAGGAGCAAACGTTTCAGAGCTGTAGCCTTCTGGATTACAGGCTCGATTTCTTTTCGTGATGCCGTCTCTCCCACAGCCGATGCAAGGCGACCACTCCGTCCAATTCTCCCAAAAGCAGCATGGGCCTGAAAATTCGTCATGGATTTCGCAAATTCTCAATTTTTCCTGTACCTGCATCGCAAACTTTTTTCTCTGAAGAAGAACCGCCGCAAGTACCTCCAGAAGATTCGAATCCATTACGGGAAGGTGATCTTCGAACCTACAATTTCCAAGATGATTTTATTTTTTGTACAGACTAGCCTCGCTCTGATTGAGATTCTTGACAATTTTCGCCCTTGCTATGAGTGCTTGCTTGGCTTCTGGAAATAGAGTTGCCATGAAAAACATGAACACAATCAAACCGGCTCTCAACTCTGAGCTAGAATCATCGTGCTCCAGCTCATCTAAGCTTGGAATGTGCAAAAATTCATCGGTTATGCATCTGTTACAAAAAAAGTTCAAAAGAAGTGAAAAACTTTTTTATACTTTCGATTTCTTTCGCAGAAACCTCTTCCGCAACTGACAGAACAACCAGACCATTGGGACCATTCTCCCCAATAAGGGCAAGACGCGATTTGGCAGAATCTGAGCATTATTTCTTGATCAGAAACTGAGACTTAGATACCTCATCTCATTTGCTGGTCCAGTACACTCATATCCATTCACGCATTTCCTTAACCTAAAAAAAATCGAGTTTTTCTTTGTTCAATTTAATCTCACCTTTTTTGAGATCCTTGTCCACACGTTGTAGAGCAATCTGACCATTCTTCCCATTCACTCCATTTCGGACACTCTCTCACTGGGCAGCTCGATTGATCCTGCGCAGGCCCTTCACAGTCAGCTCCGTTTGTTCCGTATTGGCAAACTCTGAAAAGAACCTATTTTTCACAAGAGAAAAAAATCTTGCAGAAAAATAATGAAGACCTTTTTATTCATTTTAAATACACATTTTAGATACTTTTTTTTACCTGTTGCGAAGCCGGAAAGTTTCTTCTCCACACTTTTTCTTCACAAATCGACCATTGAGTCCACTGTGTCCACTCTGGACAAGGTTGTTGGTTACAAAGTAGCTTTTCTTCGGATGCTCCTTCACATGAATAGCCGTCAACACAGTTTCTTGATCGATACTGTAAAGAAAAAGTTCATATTTCTACTAAATCGGTCGAGAATAATTAAGTTGAGATCATTTGACGAAACTTTTTAAAAAAAACGTGGATATTTTTATGAATTTTTTTTTTTCGATTGATAATACAAATTATCATATGAACCTCTTTAGCCTTTCTAATAAAAAAATGAAAGTTCCGAAACTGTTTTTTTCATAATTTTCGCTGAAAAAAATTTTTTTCTGAGGCCAACCCCCAAAAAAACTTTTTTTAGATGATTTAAAAAGATGATCGGATTGATAGTTTTGAGGACCTTCATCGGGTCTGAGAGAAAAATTTCTTAGATAATTTCAAATAATTTCTTAAAAAAGTTCTCAACTGTTTCTCCTCCGCCACAAGTTTTCGAGCACTCGCTCCAGCTGCACCATTCTCCCCAGTGCGGACACGGTCCTCTATCACATGGTCGCTCTTCACTTGGCGGCCCAGGGCAAAAAAGTCCATTCTCAAAGTGAAATTTGTACAAGTTTCGAGAAACTACCGTACCTGACAAGTTCTTGAACGGCGTTCAACCCCACGGCCGCACGTTTGCTGGCAACCGGTCCACGGAGACCAGTCAGCCCATATTGCGCAAGGCAGTGAATCGCACGGCTCTACTTCCTTGAAATTGGTGGCGTCGGTAGTTGGAGTGCAAACGGCAACGAACTATGCTGGGTCCAAGGCAATCGCGGCCGTTCTGGCAAGTTCGAGTTCGTTGCTGTTCACCTCGGCCACAAGTAGCTGAACAAAATGTCCACGGAGACCAAGAAGTCCAGAGAGCGCATTGAGGTACTGAACAAGCAACGAAAGCTACACCAGGACAGCCAAAGCCTGGAAAAAAAGAATACAAGAGTTTACTGTTATAATATTCAAAGTTTGGCCAGAATATTACATGGTAAACGTATACTTACCAAAAAAAAACTGATTTCGCTAAACTTCAGACAACAACAATAACATTGAGGTGTTTTTTTCAGTAAATGAGAAAAAATCTTTCGATAAAAATCGCCATCAAAACTATGAAAAGAAAGTAAGTTTGAACAAAGATTTTTCTTGAAACTATTCAAAAAATCTTTGAGAAATAAGATACTAGTACTAAAAGGGGACTTATTATCTTAAAAAAGTTATACGGGGATGTTGATTAAATGCGGAAGTTGACCTGAACACTGCCTAGTCTTTGTCGAAGAACCACAAGACGCACTGCAGGAGCTCCACTCGCTCCATTGCGGCATGATTTGTCCTTCTGCTTCCGGTGGCGCAACGTGATAACAGTCATCATTCAACTGAAAAACGAAATTGAGTTTTTCATGGAGAGAGATAAACTACGCAAGGAGGCCGGGGTGCACAGGGATCTCCTTGCCGTGCCGGACAAGGAGAGAGATCCATTTGGTACAAAGTTTTCGCACAATCGGCATTTGCTGGAAACAAGTTTTTCGAAAGGAATTGAGAATCGCACCTCTGGTTGATTTTGTTAGGTTTATCAGAAAACTTGGAATAGATTCTCGTAAAAAATGACGATAATATTTTTTTCAGAACAGTCGTTTTCACTTTGATCATCTTCATTGAATAGCATTTCAGTCTTTTTCTGCTCATCGTTGAGATCTTTTTTTATGAAAAGTCTAGGGAGCTTAGCCCCCAATTATTTCTAGTTGCGAAGTATTTTTTCCTAAAGATTCCAACACAGAATTTGAACCAGATCTGCGTTATAATTAAAAACGTTTTCTCAGTATTGTAGAGTAAAATGAATTTACGTGGACAAGGATAGCCAAATCGCCCGGAGTTAGCACTGTTCAACTGCAGTCCTCTGTGCATCACGATAGGACGAATAGGAGAGGATTCCTCTCGAGAAGCTTTAAATCCACAAATATTTTTATAAAAAGCCAATCACAACTTTTATATTCTTTGGACATTTCATGGTATCGCGGAGAGTCTGTGAAAGGATCTCGAGGAAAAGCGTCGTTTGTCGCTTCCACTTCCACTTCATCTTCCAGGACTTTCATGACCTGATGATTTTTTTTGAATATGAGTTTATTCTTTGATTCACCGCATAACGGTTGTTGTTCACTGAGAATTCATCGTCGCCAGAAACATGGTCTGATTCTGGGAAGAAGGAATCTGCCAACCTGTCTTCGACTTCTGGAACCACTTTTGGTTTTTGTTCTCTACGATCCGCTTTGAACTTCTCACCTTCACTTCTTCCCATTTGTAATGTCTCTCGGTGAAGATGTGATATTCTATGAGAGATGTCACTGGACGTGAAGGGAGCGCATTTTTCGACCAATTCATAAATGATAGTCAATGGGTCGATGGTTGCATCAGGGTGCAAAGTCATTTCTTTTTTTGTCTTCGCATACAAACTGCATACTCCCAGAACCTAAAAATGGATATCGTAGCGTAGGAATAGCGCAAATTGAGACCTTGTTCTTCGATTTGGAGAACTGAGCTACATAGCAGTACATCATGTTTTCAATACATCGCTCTACACACTTTTCTGCTGTTGAGAGCTCAACTCTGAAATTGATGGCAAGAATAAAGTTGGTTGGAATATGAACAAATTGAACCTTTGCAAAACGTCTCCAGAGTTTATCCTGTAGTGTTTCATGGTGCAGACGCGAAGAGAATGTCCTGGAAAAGTTGGGCTTTCAAATTTTGAGCTGAACTGTGAATACTCTAGATGAAAAAAAAAACTCGCTAAGGGCTAATGGTAAGGAATCAATTTACAATTGTTGAGAAAGTAATAGGGTTTACGTATTTTCGAATGTATGATGAAAATGTATCATGATTTATCTGTCTTACACTACCAATAATTGAAAGTATTATAGACAGTATCTTGAATCTTGATCTTAAACTCGATAGTTCCTAAGACTTTCAAAAAAAAAAATGCAAACTTCTATCCCGTTTTTCAGAGCAACTCCAATGGTTTGTGCCATTTTCTACTATTTCCAGGCTCATCTAGCCGGTACAGTAATATATTGAGTCACAAACCTATGCGTATCGAGTAGAAGACGTGCAGAAGTATGAGTAGGCGCATAGGGAAGACGTCAGAAAAATGGCTTACAAGACGATGTTCCTGGTTGCTTGTTCAGTCTCGCTTCATCGACGGCATGCAAATTGAGACTTCAATGGACATTTCACGGAGATTCACGACAAGCACACACATTTGGTGAGAAAAAAACCAGATGCCATATATTCGCTACTAAGGATTGGCGAAATGTTGCGTTTTAATTGAACTCGTGGCGCCGGCTGGTCGCTTGCGCAATGTCTACCTCGGAACTGTTCAGGAGAAGAAAGACCTTTTTTTTGGGCAAAATTTAAGAAAACAACTAAGAGTTACTTCAAGGTATTTGACGTGAGTTAAGAAAAAAACATTCGAAGTCAAAAATTTTTTTCTTAAAAAAATAGCTCAGTTTCAGTTTCTAGAGTAAATTCAAGTTTTAGTCGTCCTTTGAAAAAGCAAGTTACTCGAAATTGGTAGGTTTTCCAGAAAAAAACCCCGGGGAAGTACAATTATGAGCCAAAAAAACTCAGAACTTGTTGGCGCTTCAATGGCAAACAAGTAAAAAGCAGAGCATTTTCTGAAACAGAAATTGAAATGAAATAGAAGAAAGAAGTTTGAAATTTCATGAGCTTATTACTTTAAATGACTTTTCTGGAAAAAGTGAGAAGTTCTCAAATGAATCAGTAAATATGTGCACGAAAATTTCATTTCAGCTTTAGGTCTTGCTTTTTTAAACTAAGAATGCGGAGGTTTTCAAATTTTCTTTTTCTCAGATTTTCAAAGTGGGAAGTAAATTTTGAATGAGATTAACTTTATCAATTTGATATCAAAAACATTGAAGATGATAAGATTTGACACGACTTAAGAATGGAGAAGCAGATCTAGAGAAAGACGCATTTTTTTCGCAAGAAAAATAATATGAGACAGAAGCCAAGGTTAGGCAACGCGAGCTGGTTATTCCGGGGTGGTTGGTTAGCCGCCGTAAGCCAAATTGGTGTGTCGAAAAAACTCCTTATTCACTTCTAGGTGGGTGGCTTTTTAACGTGTCATCGTGTTGATGACTTTGTCGTGAGAAATCGTTCGAGTTTCAAGTAAACTGACGGTGAAATATACTTTGGCAAAAATAAATATTTTTTGAGGTCTGCTACAAAAATATATTTTTGAGAAAAATCAAATCATTGAGTACGAAAAAGTTTAGATTGAAGACTCATGCATGAAACTGATCTTCTCGCGAAGTGTTCGCGAAAAACTCCATTTTTTTGTTCCTAAGCTGAAAAAAATTGACTGTTTTACAACGTATCAAGATATTTCCAATATGACATTCCCATTCTTAGCAGCTGGCCTTTTAAAGAACAAGTTTAGGGTCGAGACAGTTTCTTTGCACTTCTGAATAGAAAAATAAAATAAAAACGTTAAAAATGTTTATTTAATAGAATAAAAAGATCATTGTGAGAGAAACCGCACGTTCTCCATGTATTTGCGGTAACGTTGTTGCTGGGAGGTCGTGAAACAGCCGCTGATCGTCAACAAGCAGTTGCGGCCAAGAGATCGCTTCACTTGGAATCTGTAAGCTCAAAAGAAAGATGAGTTTGAGAATGAAAGCTCACTGTTGTGGGTACACAAAGTAGGCGTCTTCAGACTGCCATCCCGGTAAGTCGCTCTAAATTACTTCGACTTTTTTGGAGTGCATTCTCGCTATTTCCAAAAACGACATCAATTCTCATGAAACCTTGTGAGTTTTCTCTTTTTTACTCTAACACCCTAGAGGTTTAAATACCTATGGAGATTTTCCCGACTACCTTTCTATAGATAGGGAATCTTCGGAATTGCTACTTGCAAAAATTCAAATATTGAAAAACTTAATTTCCTAAATTGGGTTCAACAAGGAGACGAAGGGAAAATTATGAAGATAGTTTCTTTCAAACTCGGCTGAATTTTTCGAACTTTCAAGTACTCAATAAACCTTCCCTCTTGTTTAGTTTCCATTTTTCCATTTCAAGTAAATTATGTCTCTTCATTTTTTTCTCAATTTTTTTATCGATGACAATTCAAACTTTTTTTCATAGGGTTTCAGTATATTATACATGCTTAGTATTGTTTCTCTCAAACCTGCTCAACAAAAATAGCACATCTGGAAACGGAGAAAACAGTGATCAGAAGAAAGTACGCGACCGTCTGCTTCATACCTGTAATTCTTGAATGAAAATAAAAATGAAATCATGACTTAATAGTAAACGGAACGAAATTTTTTATTATCAGTGTACTAAGTTGAAACACGAATTTTTCAATTGTGGATGAAAAAAAAAATTTAAAACCAAAATAAGTAAGTTTGATGAGCATAAACTTTAAAGCTACTCAGAAATTTTCTCTAGCCATAAATAGAATAAGGAAAGAATATGTTTGAAAAGAACCGATTTCGAGCAAATTTCTATCTGTAAGGGGGAAGCAGGTGAAATCATTTGAAAAGGTGACTACCCAGTTTTGACATTTCTGCTGCAATTCTGATATAATATGACGTGCGGAAATCAAAGTTGCTGAAAAATCAGGAACCAATAAAAAATAAGACTCTACGTTTAGGTATTAGTGCACTAAAAAGTTTTTCTTCCGAAGAAACGCTATTTGAAAACAGTTCATTCAATAGAAAACTTATTTAGCAGTGTTTCTTCCAGCCGTTGGACTGGATTCCCGCTTTCGAAACTGAAGGATGCGCTTGAAAATTCTGAAAATTGGGTTTTCTTCTTAGGAAAATAAGCTGCTTCACAAAGTGTAAAATTGAACCGAACTTACAAACGCTAAAATATTTCCTCTCTTAAAACTTTATATTGTCAGCCACAAACGAAAAAATCGAAATAAAATTGAGGAGTAAATAAATAAAATCCAAACAAATTTTCGTAGAACAATTACTAAATCTAATCATTTTTGACGTTTCAATAACGTCAGAGAATACTTTGCGGCATTAGATGAGCTGGATTAAATTTGAAATATGAGAAGTACGAAAAAAATATCTGAGATTCACCATTAAGGTCTATCGAAGAATTTCAAAAAAATGAGAAAAAATTTTTTTGGCGATTTGAAGTAGTTCTTTCCAAATTTAAGTAGTCCTCAAAAAACTGATATTCAAACTTTTTCTGACTTGAAACATTATAAAACATGAATCAAAGGCTTCGCAAAAAAGTGGAGTTCATTATTATTTTTTCTCGGAAAGTTGTAAGTCTGCATTTGAACTCCGAAGGAAGGAGGAACTTAAAACAAGCTAAATAAAGGAATGTGCGATTTGAGCTTTCGAATTAGAATCAGGCTTCTTTTTTGAATTTATTCCTCTATACATAAAACGAGCGAGATTATTTCTATATGGGTTCTTCCAAGCTTTTGAGCCACTCAAGTCGTTTAATCATAACGTAAATGAGCAAGATGGAGAAAAATATTTTGCGTGGCTGAAAATTCGATTAATATTTAATTCGCAATTGTTCTGGTTGAAAATCCATGGTATAAATGCTTATAAAAAAAGATGGAAAAAAACAAAGAAAGCAAAAAAATAGCTACTTCTATTATGGAATTTTGATGAAGCATGCTGAATACAAAAAAACGGAGAAAAATAGACGAAAAAAATATTTGAAAATGATCTGAAAAAAATATTTTTCACTGAATTCGAGCAGGAAAAATTTTTGATTTGCAAATGTCGAAAAAAATTTTTTTCGAAAAACTGAAAACGGATTTGTTGTGTTCGACCAAGGCACTTTATCGGTTTTGGGACGGACTAAAGTTTTTTTGAAAAAGATCTAGCAAAAAAATCAACGTCAATTTTTTTTCGTTTACTTATCGATGCTTTCTCTTAGTAAACATTCAAATAAAAAAGCTTTCTGTTTTCTATTCATTATTTTTTTCTTTTTTTACGTTTATCGCAACACTTAAAACAACATTTTTCTTGATAACTGTTTCTGGATTCTTGACAAACGCAGTAAATAGTGTTGAGTAGATTATCAAAGTGAAACGGTTGAGTTTTCGTTGGAAAAATATATTTGCAGCCCTTGCTAAATAAATCAACTTTTGGGATCTTGAAGCTTTTTCAAAATCGCGGCGTTAGAGACTGGAGCTATTTTAGGAATATCGGATTTCAAAGCCTTATTTTCTTTAGAACACGAAGTCATGTCAAAAACTCAAAAAAACTTCTTTTAAAACTAGAAATCGTGCATGATAAGAACTTCCCAAGACAGGTCTTGCAACCAATATTTCTGAAATTTTCAAGCTATATCTGCAATAGAAAGTTTTCGAAGGCTGTGACTATAAATAATTTTAACTTGAAACTTCAAAATATTGAAACTGATTTGAAGTGAAATCCAAAAATCAACCGAGAATGACCTTCCTTGCCCCATGTTGATTAGGTGCATTTTGAAGTTTTCTAGTCAACATCAGAAAAATTCAAAAAACCATAAATAATCTTTATTAGAAGATTCATTACCGCTGAAGCCCTCGACATCTAACGATCTCTTTGAAGCAAACTCTACATCAAATCAACTCAAAGTACTCTGATTATTTGGTCAATTGTGACTACTTTAAACTTTGAACTGAGGAGTTACACGATAAGCTTTGCGATCACCTTATCAGTCTGAGTAAATCGTTCAAAAGCGTCTGTGTCTCAGAAAGGTTGCCGTATCATTGACGAAAGTAGTATTTGTGTGAATGAGAGAACCTTCAGCCCACAAACGCGCTCTGATACCGGTCGCCCTGTCAGGTCAATCAATTGTTATGATCTCTACCTTTGAATAACACTTTCTTGCTTTTATTAGTTTTATTCTTTTCGTAAATTTTCACTTCACAATTATTGGGGTTTTTTACCTTATAAAAACTTTTCATTGGGCGGTTGAGTATTGTTTTCGCAATTTCGCAAGTTTTAATTTGAGGTTTTTTTGCAGCAGCAGAAGACTTCGTTCAACGCATCATTTCTTTGAAAAAAATTGAATTTTTAATTTGAGGGACCTTTAAATATGTGTCTGCAGATCGGCCGCAAAAAAACGCTCTTTTTGTAATTTTTTTATCGTTTTATTTTTTTAAAAATTTTTTTCATCTTCTGTTTTTTTCTATTTGTTGACGTTTTTGCAATTTGAAATCCTTTTCCGACAATTGAAGATAATCGAATAGAACGATGTTTTCCTCGATCAATTTATTTTTCGATTTTCATCTGTTTCGATTATTGGGAAACATTTTCACGCCAATTGGTATAGTTGACATCAGGTGTTCTAGCACGCCATTCAATTTCGGTGTTTCATAACATTTTTTGCCTTTTTCTCAGTCTTTAATTATCATTTTCCAGTCGCACCCCCACTGTACAGCTTCGGACACCTAGTTTCAGCCTGATTTGTCATGTCTTCAATATCAGCTATCAGTCATTTGGAGTTTGTAGTCTCAAATGCTTTACAGGTGAGATAAAGTTTGTTTTAAAAGGAATTTGCTTCTCTTTAAATCATGTCAAGTATTGGAAATTTGTAGGATTGAAGAATTCACTCTTTTAATCTTTCAGTCCGCTTTCTGGTACTGCAGTAGCTTTGGTTTTGCGAAATTCGCTGAGAAAAAAACGGAAAACTCTCAGAGCATAGCCTTAAAAAACGGAAAGGTTTGAAGACTTATTCGTTGAAAATCGCTAATCGAGTTTTTTTTCGGGCCTTTCTCATCGTAACTTCTTATCAAGAAGACAACGAATACACGCGGCAGCTGGCGAAACACGGCGACTTCATCAAAGACATCGCATTTCGCGTCGATTGTCTAGACGTAGTTCTTGAGGTTTCCAAACCTTTTCCTTCAATTGTTTCAAGATTAACAAAACTTTAGAGACTGGTCAGCAACAAAATTAACGTTGTCCAGCAGTGTACTTTGCAGAATGATTGTGGGACAGTCCGTTTTGCATCTATACTTGCTGAAGTAAGTAATGATTTATACTTTACTTAATTGCCGGAAAATCGGGGTATACCAACTTTTGTTATTTTCCCACCTTTTGATTGTTTTATTTTTACTCATAAATTTTTCCTCTCCAAAACTTAAATCCATCTTTTTGCGATATATTTGAAAAATCATCAAAACTGGGAAATAAAAAAATAGTGGGTGATATCTTGTTTTAAGACTTCGAAGTTTTATTGATTTTTTTCCGGAAATCAAAACCTTCAGGGGAGCGATGTCACCCACAGTCTTTACGAATGGAAGGACTTCAACGGATTAATTTTGCCTGGTTTCCAAGAATCTGAAAACTTCCGGCTTCTCGACAGATTGTAGTAATCGAAAAAACAATAAGTTATGAAATTCGATATTTCAGACCCGCTATGGATGTTATTCTATTAGACCATGTTGTACAAAACTATCCTATTGGAGAAATGGAATCAGCTGCTAATTGGTATTACGAGACGATGCGTCTGAAAAGATTCTGGTTAGTTTTTTCATTGAAATGGGAAATGGTCGAATTTTCAGGTCAGTGGACGACAATGTGGCAACATCTGATTTTTCGGCGATGAAAGCTTGGTTATTAGTGAACGAAGACCACAGTGTTCAGATGACCTTAGCAGAAGGTGTTGAAGGCAGAAAAGGTAAAAGTCAGATTGAGGTAAGCTTCTGCCAACATTCTTTTATTTTTTGTGCTTTCAAAGGAGTTTGTTCAATTCCATGGTGGATCGGGTGTCCAGCATTTTGCTTTGCTTGTTGACGATATTATTTCTGCAGTTAAGTTGATGAGAAGCAGGTTTTGTGAATTTCGATGAATTTTCTGACCTCGTATTTAAGAAGCGTTGAGTTCTTGACAATTCCAGAAACGTATTACGACATTTTGGAAGAAAGACTCCTCAAAACAAAGCTTCATGTGAAAGAGGACCTTAAAACGGTATGACAAAACGTCAAAAAAATGTTGACTTATTTTAGATTCGAAAATTGAATATTCTGATGGACTTTGATGAAGATGGCTACCTCCTACAAATTTTCACAAAACCTGTGCAAGATCGACCGACTCTTTTTGTCGAAATCATCCAAAGAGCTAATTTTAAGGTTAAGCTTCCACCTGTCTTTCGATTCGAAAATAGTTCATCAACTTCCTGACTTTTTGCAGGGTTTCGGCGCTGGAAATTTTAAAGCTCTTTTTGACGCGGTTGAGAGGGAACAAGAAAAACGAGGAACGTTGTATTGATAAAAAAATAAAACAATTTTTTTAGTATTTTTTTCACGCAATCTTGAAATAAAGTGATGTAAATGTCAACTGGTAGTCAATTCAGAGATTCTCCAGGTTCAAACAGGGTTTGTCCGGGTTAATCCAAAGCTAACATAGATTTCCGTGATAGCTACAAAATTATTTGCTTTTTCTGTTGGAAAAGCGTTTATTCGGGTTACTTTTCTGAAACTTCCTTGTGAAAACTGTCAGTGCCCTTATTAACAAATCTGGTCGCACCAGCTATTTGCTGGTGCAACAGGATTTGTTTTCTGCTCTTCTTCTTCTGAGAATCCCCTCGAGGTTTTCATATTTGTCCACCGCTCCTTTGACACCGACGTTCTAATCATCTAATTAGTTGAATTACCAGACCGAAAACAATCTTCAATTACAGCAAATGTCACGACTGAAAGAGAAGAGATGTGATTTGTCAACAGGAAAGAATCGGTTGAAAGATCGCGTTGCCTATGAAACCGGACAACGAGTTCTAAGCCCACAGAGCAGACAAGTCGAAACGGCGTTGAATAACATAGCGGCCTAATCCGAATGCGAAGAATAGAGCGATACAAGGTATCAGCCAGCGGCGTCCTCCGACGCGATATTCTTTCCTTATTCTTCCTTCTTATTCTTTAAAAGCTTAACTATTGATGCGATCTCTCTGGAAATAGTGATAAAGTAACTCGAGTAGAATAGTGGTTGGGATTTGAAACAGGAAACTTGAAAAAGTTTTTCATAAAGGCACTTCGAAGACTTCCGAAACTTATGAGAACTACGAAAAATTACGGGATATGATTTTTCTGTCGTGTTGTGCAGCTTTAAAATTATGGTAAAACTCTATGGTAAAAGTGACAATGAAATTCGAATAAAAAATGATTGAGTATTTGAGTAAATCCCATAAAAGGGCCTTTTGAAGTCTTCCGAATCCAGTTAACTATAAGACATTTTTTTGAATCTGAGTTCCGATCTCATTGTACAGTCTTAAAATTTTTGTGAAAGAAAGAATTCTCTCAAAATGCGATCGATTATCCGAAGTAAAGAAAAACACATGAAATTTAAATGAGTAGCCTTTAAAAAATTTTCTGGCTAATTTTCATCAATTTTTTGATTGACCACCAAAAGCACTCCCCTTGTAAGAAACCATAATAGTTGTATGGAAAAAATCGATCAATGACTTTAGATTTTTTAGCCATCAGAAAATCAGTGAAATGAGGCTCGAACGAATAGAGAGGAGGATCGAAGTTTTTTCCAAAATTCAAGGCGTTTTTATCCATTCATTTTTTGTACCCATCCACTATTGGAAAGTTCAATAAAAGTATCGTTGGGCGCCAGAGCGCCAAAGCGTCTCTCGAATGTTTGGCGGAGAAACTTTAATCTCCTAATTCAAGGTTTCAGAACCAATGTCCGGAAGTGTTTCGGGCAGGTATGAGCTTAAAACAACTGGAAAGTCCTAATCTCTCATCGTTCTTTTCACAGTCAGTGGATGGTCTCATTGTTTTTCTGTAACACGAATCGCTGACTTCGACCGATCGAAAAGAGATGATCCCTTTTTTCTATTTTTTTTGTGCGAAAACAACTAAATTTCACAAAAGAAAGCAATTTTCACTCATTCAAAAACTAGAAAAAAGCAAAAGCAGTTTAAAAAAAGAATGTTGTTTTATTCTCATATGCTTATTTAACACGTAATTTTCTGCGTTTGTCGGGATGGGAGCGAGAACTCGTCTGCGTCAATACCCTCGAGCCTTGAGATAAAAGAAGATCTTGTGCTTACCTAGTGATGAAGTCGCTTTACTTAATATGATTCCAGTTTTCCGCACTCCCCATCCCATTCAAAGCCTTTTCTATCGCTATGGAGAAATTCAGATTTGTTCTTTTCCTGTTTTTCCCTGTTGATACTCATTTGAAAAAATGTGCGATCCGATAGACCACGTTATTGTTTCAAACATTGGTTTGAACCTCTCAAATAACTAGTTTCTTCAAATGCCAAAGCCTTTTTTTCATGGTAAGGCGCACAAAAAAGCGTTTATAAAAATGTTTCAAATCTCAGCTTTTGATTGAAATTTGAAAAATTTTTTAATCAACCAAATACATTTTTGGGCTCTTGACTTTTTGGTTTTCTCAATGACTAAACAGAATAATTCGATTTATTGAAAAAAATAAACTTTATAGAATTATATTGAAACATGGATTGAAAAAAATAGTATTTATCGTTTCCAAAAAAAGTCAATTTTTTTCATAAAAAGAAAAAGAAGTGGTAAAAATAATTTAGTCTTTTTATTTAAAGGATGCAAATAAAGAGTTCTATAGGGCGCCTTTACTCAGCTAAGCGGGTAAAATCGAAGAAAGGTTTTTCTGTAATCATGTTGTTACAGTGCAAATCTGTGCAGTTGTTATCCATTTTATTCGTCAACTTGGGGACAGTTCATCAATCGAGAGTTATTTTCCAGAGTCGGTGAAAATGTGTGACGAAGTGACCAGCGTTGCACCTCATCGCGGATTCAACTCCAAGGCTCGCGAAGTGCTCATCGGTGACGATGACATCAACCTTCATGAAGGCTTTCGAGGTTAATCAGTTGTTCCTTGTTTGGTTAACAAACTCAGTTTGTTTTGCTAGCCCTTCGAAGCCTGCAATTGATTCAAGCAATGAAAAAAAAAGAAGAAAGAAATAAAATTATGTGCTACAGTTTTATTCTCAGCTCACTTCAATTTTTCAGGTTACCACTCCTACATTTTTCAGATAAGAATATGTCTTTAACTTCTTCACAATTCTTTGGAGTTCAATTAATAAGCTAAATATAGAAGCTGTAGTGATGAGAACCAAAAACCTTGCAAAACAATTTAGTCATCTCATAAAAAAAACAGAATACTTGGAAAGTTCTCGCTGAACAAAGAAAGAGTCGGTACCTGGCATTAATTGATATTAATTGAAGTGTTGTCAACTTCAGTCAATTACTGACTACTGTGAATAATGAAATACTGTATTTAAACAATGAAACATTCATAGAAAGTCCATAAGCGCGTAGGAAGTTCAAAACAAATAACAAGTTGAAGCAGAGTTCCCTCTTTTTTAAGTTCGAGATAATTGGAAGTCACAAGCGATATTTACTTGACTTTCGCTCTAATAGCTGTTCAGTTGGTGTTTTTCGTTTTTTTTTTTCAGTCCAACCTCTTATTAACAGGTCAAACTTCATCATTTTTTGAACGCGTATATATGAAAAAAAGATGTAGCTCGATATCACCACCAGAAGTACAGCCGAGGCAATGTTTTTAGATTATACCTTTCTCAACGCTTGAGTAACTCCGCCCCTTAGCAATCGTTTGTCGTAGGCTCATTTTTCTGCCTACCTCTCATTCCAAGCTTAGGCATGTCGAACAAGTCGTGCAGTGACTTCGATCTTCGCAAGAAGCTCAAAGGAGGCCCTTCCGCGAAGAAAGAAAGCACCGAGAGCTCGCCCAAGTCCCAAGGCTCTACATCGTCGACGCCACTCAAGAAAGGAGGTAACGCGCCCAAAATTTCTTCACACAAGACATTTTTTGCTTATAAGGAGTTCTCGCTTTCGATGAAATTGGAGATCGACCATCGATCAAGCGTCACATGAGACTTGCTGACATTGGCAAGGCTAGGTCTTGCGCGGAACTAAAGTCGGACAGACGCCTCCTCAAAACTTTCCAAGAGGAAAATGTCTTGAAAATGCCTAGGTTTGCGATTTTCCTGCTACGAACAACTCTTAGTGAACTGTTTGCAGCATCGATTCCGATCTTGGTGCGGCGCCGATGCCAGCTGAAATTGACGAACTCTCCTTGGGCCTAGAAACTCTGGGAAAAGTGAATTTCAGTTGGCTTGAGAAAACTATGACAAGAACAACAACTTCATTTTTTATTTGGAGTCTAATTTTCTGATGATATTTTATAATTAATTCATCTCGACGAAAAACCCAATGCTCACTTTTTGAATAGCTTATCTGGGTGTAGGTGGTAATCATTTCCGGAGTCTCACGAGAGCTGCCAAAAGGAAATAACATCAATTCAGTCTGCATGTTTTGATATTTTCCATGAAATGAGCACAACAAACGATTGAAAAACGCAAAAACTCTTGTCGATAGAAAATGAATTGGATTCAGTCGCTGATCTACGCTGCCAAAAACGAGCCCCCAAACAAGAGCAACGCCAAGGAAAGCATCGTCAAGAAATGGCTTTCCAAGTCGTAAAATAAAACATTTTTTTGTTCGATTTTTGTATTTGTACAAAACTTTGCTGTCTTTGTTGTAATGATAAACTTTTTCAGTACCACACAAAAACATAATAAATGAGTGATTTCAAAAAATGAAACATAAATTCAGAAAAAAAAAGTTTCTGAACTTTATTGATAAATTGGCGACACTCAATTTTGCAAAAATTTTGGCGAAGAACCAGCAAAAGTATATTTCTTAGCATGATCGTTTTGACCAGATTGGAAAAAAAATGAGAGAAAGTTCGGCGTGAAAGAGAATGGCGGCTGGAATGACCCACAAACTTTTTAACATCTTCACCTAGATCCCCATACGCAGTTTTTCCAGACAAAGCGTTGACCCAAATCGGAGGCTTTATATGCTTCTGGTTCGGTATCTTCTTTTCAATTCAATCTTTTTCTACAGCTTCGAGCTTCAGTCTATTTCCGGTTTATCATTGTGTTTTATCGGGCTCATTTTCGTGTGATTCTCAAAAATCTGTCTTTTCTAGCTTTCCGCTACTCATCTGTTTATCCGACTGTTGATGAAGTTTTTTTTTCATAATCTCTTCTTTCAGATAAAAATGAAGACCAGAGATTATTTTCCCGAAATAGCTATTGGATCTATTGCCGTTTCTACGATCTCAATAGTAGTTCTCCTATGCTCAATTCCAGTCCTTTTCAACAAGTCGGACGCTTCTCTAGAAGAAATAGCAATGAAATCTGAGAAACTAAAGGTTGATTTCCGGATACTAAGAGAAACCTATCCCGTTTCTATTTAGCTTCATTCCGATAAAATGTGGTCAGAGTTGATGATTATGCAAGGACGTCCAGAAGCCGCCAAGCAACCTTTGTTCTTCTCAAGAAACAAAAGAGCCAACTGGATGGGAGGTGCTTTCTGCAGAGGTACTAGAATTTACTTTTCAATAGCATTTTTCGATCCTTAGGCTGCTTCACGCTGTCATGCCCAATGGGACCTCCTGGTCCTCCGGGATCCCCAGGACCCGACGGTCAACCTGGAGAAACCGGAAGACAAGGAAGAGCTGGTGATGACGGCTTTGATATTCAGCCTGAGTCTGAACCTGAGCTTCCTTGTGTCATATGTCCAGCTGGTCCACCTGGTCCGCGGTATGTCAAAGTAAAACTAGAAAAATAGTAAAAATCGGATTTTTCAGTGGAGCGCAAGGAGAACGAGGGATGACTGGCAATCCAGGTATGCCTGGAATGCAAGGACCAAACGGAATGGAAGGCGTCGACGGCCCGCCTGGTATTCCTGGGCCAAACGGACCTCGCGGAGGAAAAGGGCCTCTCGGAGCCCGTGGTCAACCTGGAGACACTGTGATTGCTGGAGTTGGAATCAAAGGACCTCAAGGACCTCCGGGACCTCAAGGCATGAAAGGACCACCAGGACCCTCAGGAAAAGGATCCAATCAGCCTGGACAGCCAGGCTCTCCTGGATCTATCGGTGCGATAGGAGGAACTGGAAAATCTGGCCCTTACGGAATGGAAGGACCAGCTGGCGCTCCTGGAGATCCAGGTTTGTAATTTTCAGTTCGCATATTACATTTTCTGAACTTGATCCACAGTTTCAAACGTTTTGAAACATTTTTCATACTAAAAACATATATTTTTTCACAAACATTGGGTCAAAGCTGAAACTTCGAAAGTTTTTTTCAGGAATGCCTGCGTCGTATTGTCCATCTGACTGTGGAGTGCAACCCATCCTCACCGACATGTTCCCAACGCCATTTACACCAGTCAATGGCTACGCGCAGATGGCCAGACCTTCTCCTTCTGCCCCAGCACCTCACTCGGCGCCACTTCCCGAAACTGCCGCGGCCAAGGCTGGAGATTCTTACTTCAACAGAATGCACGACTTCCAAGACTTCGAGCGAAGGTGGCGTCGCAAGCTGTTGGAAAGACGTCTGCGAATGCTACGCAGAGCGTAGTTCTTTTGAAATAAAATTTTTTCAAACTAAGTTCGATGTTTCACTCGAAAAAAAAAACAAAGAAAAAATCAACTTTAAATGGTAATTGAAATGGATGTTTTTGAAGCTTTTTGCTGTGATATTCATGTTTTGAAAAAAAGAAACCCCAAACTCGCAAACTTATAAAGTTTATTACTCTGCTAAATAGATGCATAAATGAAGCAGTGCGTATGTACATATAAGCAAAGGAAAAGCACAAATAATGGACAATTTTTGGTAGATTGGGCAACGAGAAAACTGGCAAGAACACCCGCTGGCTGTCAGGAACTGAAGTTCAACCGGTCCTGAAATTTAGCCATTTTTTATGAAATTGAGAGAAAAATTTACGTAGACTCCCTTGTACAAAGGCAAAGGGCAAAACTGTCTAAGCTCGACTGTCGCTACATAATATTTTCGGCAAAAACTGCGAATGAAATCCGGGAGGGCATATTTCACATTTTTCGATCATGTTTTCAGTGATGGAAAATTAACTTACACATGGAATACTTCTAGTTCGTGGATATCGAATGAGCCATTTTTGACAAGAGAAGGGCATCCGTAAGTTTTGTTTGGAGAAGAAATCCCATGAGTGAGCTCGTCTGCAATTCGAATCGCGTCGCCGCCACCCGAGCCAATCTGAATTGATAATTAACGAAGAGAAAAGTTCCAAAAAAATTGAAGGAAACGAAAATTACCAGCAGAAGCTTGTCCGTAGCTGCCATGAAATACTGCGGGTATTTACTCGGCGAGTCTCTACCCTTTCCGGCCCAATAGTAAATATCCGGCATCTGTATATCGAAATTCATGGTGAAGACGTACGACTCGCCGGTTCCAAAAAACCTTAATAAACCTGAATAAAAATTGAGTTATAGATAAGAATTACCTTGTTTTACATCGCTCACCGCGCTCATGTCTTTCTTTCCAGCCGGAGCTGCAAAAGGAGCCGAAAATATCGCCTTTAGTTGACTTGATGATGAGCAGCGTTTGTTCAGCTAGTTGGACTCTGTACGTCAACAATTGATCATCTTATTGATTTGAGCGAGGTCAAACTTTTCCCAAAAGTGCGTAAAACTGGCCCCGTCTTCACTTAGGCGGAAAAGCAAACGAGGCGTTACGAGTTGTAATCTTTCAGGTAGCGCACTCATCAAATCCAGAGCCGTACCTGATATATTTCCGTATGATAGAGAGAATGAGAGCTCAAGAAAAGGTCATCCGAAAATTGAAAAGTTACTCCACTGACTTTTGATGTTGTGAATGAAAATTTTAAGATAATAGATGCACTGAAGAGCTCTGTAAAATGTAGAGACAACATTTTCGTTAGCATACTCAAAACCATTCTTATTTTAAGCATCACCTTTACAAGATTAAAAAACCAAAGATATTCGAGAAATAATTTTCAACGACCTTTGGCATTTTTTTGAAAACGAGAACTTCCGTTAATATTTAATTTTTTTAACGAATTTTTTGTTTGAATTGAAAAAAATGTGAAAAGTAGAAGTTTTACAATCAAAAAAAATCAGAAGATGTCCAGGTGGTTTAGTTTTTTTTTTGCTCGATAGCTTCTGTTTTTCTTGTCGACAAAAATTGAAAAAAATCGTTATTAAAAATCTAAATTCAAAAGATTCCCTCAACCGAACGAAATTTTCATATTTTTTTTGTATTCGCGAATTTTTTGAAGAATCCCAAGAGCAAGAGATTTTATCTTCATATGTAAAATCCGAAAGCCACAAGTCATTACAATAAACTCAAAATTTCTACGAAAATTCTGACCTGCGTCGATGATAACCGAATTGAATGCGTCAACGTAAATGTTGTTACGAGATCTCTCAGCAGCAGGTTGAGGCCTGCCCCTTCCCTCTTCTCGCAGCTTGAAAATTAAATCGAATGAAAATCGAAAATCTCGACAGACCTTGTCTTCAAAATGCCTCTGAATACGAGTAACGGTAGACGACTGCAAGTTTCGGATCTTGACGGCCGTCTCAATGAACAAATCGGTACTGATCTGAGCCCACCACATGAAAAGAAGCCAGAATTACCAAATACCGAGACTGTCATTTGCATTGCCGTCTGAAGAATTTCAATGCGAATCGCCTCCACCTTTTCATCGACAGTTTTGCTCGCAAAGTCATCCGTGGGACGACCCTGAAATATTGTATATGATGAATCACGTTACAGAAAGATTTTCTTATGCAGGTCTAGAAAAAAGTGAAACAAAACCATTTCAACAAAAGTCGGCAAAATTGCATATTGAAAAGTGATTGAAAACTGGTCGAGAAAAAATTGAATCACCTTATTTTCCAATAACTTGAAAAGTGCAAGTTTTTCTCAATTGAAAAATTGAAATTTATATTAAAAACGGAATTAATTTGATACCTTTTTGAACTTTAGCCCAAATGTAGAAAAATTGCAATGGCTGTTCGAACAAGGAATTTGTGGCCTTCGACCAGGTAGCAGTCCACAACGCGGCAAACGTAAGCCAATGGGAGCCCATGGAAAATCCAGTGCAACCAGTTGCCCACCTGAAGTCCAAAATTGAAACAAAACTGAAAGTAGTTAGAGGTAAAATGACCAGTGGAAAATGACCCGAGAAACCAGGACAAGCGTATTGTTAAATTTTTTTTCATCTTTTGAAATATTTTGCCGAGAAATAACTTTGAATCATTCTTTTTTAGCCATCCTCTCAAAATTCGATTTTGATCAGCTTCTCAAATTCAAGTTTTGAGATTTCGAAAATGATCGACAATTTGAAATTCCCTTTTTCTTTCATAAACTCACGCATCTGGCCAAGACATCGTCTTCGGAAGAGCCAACGCGCCTTTTGAGGACATTATAAGACTTTGCTTTGTGTTTTTTGATAAGTGCCATAATGGTGTATGGCGCAGCTTGCCACTGTAGAACCGTTTTCATCATGAATCCCTAAACTTTGGACTGACAGAACTTTTTTCGCAAAGCAAAACAAACACTAGTGCAAAGAAGATAGTTAATACAAGCAAAGCCATCGGCGTCTTCCATGAAATGGAGCATCAAAGCGGCAAGAGGAAAGAGCATCTGTTAAAAAAAGCTTATAAAAATTCCAAGAAGGTCGTCAACCGGGGCCGCCGTTATGTCTGGTCGAAGACGTTCCACCACGGTCAGGAGATGAAGAAGCTTGAAACCACCAATTTCGTTCAGATCAAAATTGTTGATTACTACCCCTTCCTCGCCGATGAACGTTGGTGCTTGTCCTTGACCTTCAAACAACTTTAATTCAATATGTATTTTTCTCTTTTTTTTTCTATGGTCGAAATAACCTTTGCATTTGGGCCGAGGGCTCGTAAGAAGAATATTCAAAGCAAATAAAAGATGTTTCTAGGTTGACACAGCGTGAGCGGCGCTTCTCAGGCTTTTCTCACATGCTCATACTTCGCACGAAAATAAACTCGACGGTCAGCTCAATTCCAAATTCACGCTTTTTTTACGTTTTCTCAATCGCAAATTGTTGGGAAAAAGATGTTTTATGTCATTTTTAGACGGAGTAAATGTTGAAAATTTCAAGCTTTAGATATCTTTCTCCATTTTCGGATATTTTTTTTCCGATTTTAAACTTTGTGAAGAGATCATAGAAAATGGAGAATAGTTCTTAGAATATGATGAAATCAGAAGTGGGAAACTCACGAGGCATCCGCATGACGATCTCGAGCTCTGTGCCAAAGAGCACCTTGCTGCTGTCGAAGTCCTTGTTCATGCAGAGCTCCTTCCATAGCACGCCGCGCACCTCATGACGAGGCGGCCAATCAGTTTTTCGAACTATTTTCTTGACCTGAATATTTCTCCGATTCCTACAGTTCAATTTTGAAATGGTATAGAAAACTTAAAATTAAACAGTGATATTGGAAATTAATGCGATTTTGGCTTACTTCATCAAAAGTGGAACTATTAGGTTGAACTTTAGATATACAAAAATTTGGAATTTCAATGGAAATTATGAAAGCCTCAAGATAAATGATCTTTTAATGAAGTGACTCGTTTTGTTTTCTTCAAAACAATCCAGAGATTATTCTCAAAAAAATTATAGCTACAGGTACTTCTACGCATCTTCTCGAAAAAAAACCGTCTGAGCTATAGAACAAGCAACTTAATTCTACAAAGTTTACACCATCAAGGATTAGTAAACTTCGGCGAAAAAGAGAATTTTTGAATTATTTCTCGCTCTTACATCCACCGGTTGTTCAGAATACTCCACATCTTCAAACGAGTCATAAAATCCAGAGTCAGTGGAATCGGTGCTCCTACAGGCGTGAATAGCAGCCAATTGACGCCGTTTGTTTTCCAATCGTTCAGTTGATTTTGAGTTTTCTACAGGTTGTAGAAAATTCGGTGGGTAGGTTTGCGCCCACGACATTTTACAAATAATGTAAAGTGTTGCAAAAAGGGAGAAGGTGCGAAAATGTCGGTCGAAAGAATAGATTCCCGTTGCGAGGCTTCCGTTTTTGGCAAATACGACAACAATGGCCTGCGCAGCCCAGCAGCTGTCAAAATCGTAGCGCCCGAGGGAAAGTTAACTGAGCTCCTATTCTTGCAGCCGCCAGCCGCCGGAATAACCGGAACCGACTGGAGGCGCGACCTAGGTCAAACAACAACCTAAGCTCAGCGCAGGTTGCTCAATTATTGCTTACCCGTTTATTTGTTCATTTTTGTTTTTAGCTTTCTTTTCGGGTCCTTCTAAATAATTTTGAGAAGTGATTCTAATCGTGATTGACTTTCAATTCCTTTTGGAAGAAACTAGCTTTTGAAAACATTTCATCTGCGAGCAGTTCGAAGATCAGAATTATAACATTTTTCAAACTGATAGTTGTCTTGGATCAATGGGATTTCAAAAGTAAGAAAGTTCGGAACAAACCTTTTCAGTTCTGTTGAGCTTGCGATTCTCACGGACTTCTTCCAGCCGCGCCGGGATCTCCGAGGGCACGATGTTCGTTGAGTGGGTGTAAGCCGTAAAATAGCGAGCGTTTGACTGGAATGGGCATTACGCCTTTTTGTTTCTCGGAACTTTACATCTACCGCGTGCAATTCAAACCACGATTGGATATCAATTGATAAAACAAAGGTACTTGTAAAAATCTCTTTTATGATTAAATTAAGATCTCTTAGACACGATACCCACAAAACAATAACAACAACAATAATTTACCTCGTCGTTCTCTTGAACCATATCTGAACCAAATTAATCATATTAAATTTTAATAAATCTCTGGTTTATTTTTCAAAATTTTGAACATGAAGCCGGAAACCAAAATTTTAGTTCAACAAGAAATTTGCTTCGGATTGTATTTGAGCGTGAATAAATCTCAGCAATCTAGGAAGTCTACAGAAAACTGTTTAAAAAACGGGAATTTCGATCTTCTACACAGATTAGCTATTCACTAAACGTCGTTGAGTTTGGAAAAATCTGCCCCGAGTAAAAAATTATTTAATTATGTTTTTTGGAAGCTACGTTTAGAGCAAGGAGAACTAATACTTTCGAAAAAAATTCGTTCGTACCTATTTTTTCGGTGTTCAGATTTTCAGCTGCTCAAGTTTCAGATTAGTACAATGGAAACGTGGTGCAACGTGTGGAATAGCCAAAACGCATTGGAGCTCTGACAGCGGTCGGACATCGATTGAGCCCACCCAGTCTCCTGCTCTTTCTCCACCCTCGCTCCACTCTGCCAGCTGCCGTCCGTTTCCGACGTGACAGTCGGTCAAAGGGTCCGTCCTTGAGACGCCGCCATGTGGCGCTCTTACTCTGTTATTCAATAGTCGAACTGTGCGAATAAAACAATCGTCAGGGAGAAACTTTTCCAGGGATGGCTTCGAATCGAGCCATCACATGAAATTAGAAGACGCAACTCAAAAAATGAAACTCGATAACATCAAAGCAGTGCCTTCAAACAAAAAAGAATTTTGTAACTATGAAAGACAAGGAGCATCTCCAAAGAAGTTGATATTCCATCCAAAAAAAGCATTTTTGCAAAAAAATATTTTTTTTATGTTTTCTTTTTTTGTGCTTTTTTTATCTCATTTTTTTATAGTTTTTTTCAAGGTATAAAATTTCATATTAATATCTTTGCTCCAAAAAAAGGTCATTTTCATCTAATTGAACTGATTTTTGCTTTTTTTGTGAATTTTAGCGATCTTGCCAGAACTTCACCTGTCAATCATAAAGCGCAAATTCCAAAAATGGTAAGTTATTCGATTATTACAGAATTTTTTTATGAAAAAAACAGTTGAAATCTCCAAAAATAAAAAAACGAAGGCGATCATCACTATTCTCAACACTGTTATATTTTGTTAACCACGTCTTAAAATTTCACCGAATGACATTCCGTTGTTCCGCTGCGTGCTCGGCCACGGTTTAAATTTTTTATTTTATTTAAGAACTCGACCAACACGTGTTCTTAGTGGAACAAGTTATCTATCAGAAATGAGAACCAATTCAAAGCGAGACCAAGGCTCGCAAAGATACTTCGCGACGCAGCGGAAGAGCGGAATATCGTTCGGTGAAATTCCAAGCCTTGGCACACAGACTATATCGAAAAAAAATTCAAATTTATGAGTCAATTTTAAAAGCGAAAATTCAATCAGTTTATTCAGAAAAATTACGGCTAATCTAAGTTATCAATTGATATCCATGCTTTAATTAAATCTTCCCTTATTGTTCCGAGAAACTCTGAAAAGCAGAAAACGCCAAGTTCAAAACATTCTTGCCGATATTTTTTCTGATTGGCAATCGTAAAATGTTTTTGTCAACTCGAAGTTCAAATGAAGTTCAGTATTCAACTGACTGGTTTGTCCTGACCCGACTCAGGCGCCTCGCCTGTTTTTTCGGAACTAACGTCCGCCCTACGGCGAGGCAAACGAAGAGATCTCCGAATAGCCGTCGACGCCCTTCTGAAACTCCGAAGCTTTCAGAAATTAGTGAAAACGATACTCACGAAAAAGTGCTTGTAGACCTGTTGACCTGTCTGTGGAAGCTACTACGAATGAAAGCATTTGTGATCTCTGGATTGGGAAGCAACTCTTCGATTCCGTTTCTGGCCGCATAGGCCCGCTGAACAGGTTCTATATCTCTCAAAGATGGTTTTCAAAAAAAACTTAATAACTTTCTACACAATTTTCGTACAAAAAATCGAACAGTTTTACATACCCGGTTTTCAAAAACTTTTAGAAAATGATCAAACCTAAGGTATGCATTTTCTGAAAAAAAGTAATGTTGCCGCTAAATTCAGAAACTTTCCGTTGTTTAATAACAAGTTCTCAGAAATTGAAGAACTTTCAAATACAAGATATACCTGACAGGGTTGCCACGCCACTATTGCCCGGCCTCCGACCTCAGGTTCTGGAGGGTCAACGGAAATTACTTCCTCTTCTTCATTTTCTCTCTCTTCTTGCAACATTCTCAAGAAAAAACCGTCAGACCTGCTGTTCTGTAAAAAGAAATCATAAAAAGATTCCATAAGAGTGAAAAACGAAAAAACGTATCAACAGATACAATAATAATGACAGCGAATGTGTCATGGAAGGAAGGAAAAGAGAATCTTTTGAAGACAAAATGATTCAAAAATGGGAGTACCATATTACAGAATTCAAAGTAGTTTTACACAGAGCGGAAAACAGAATTTTAATGAGGACGACTTCTATTTGAAGGCCCAAGGCCGATCGATCTTTCTGTTTTCGCTCGGTACGGCCGGGTTTTCACCTTCCTACGCCACGGACTCGCGTTTGAATGGTCACCTGGTTAGTCACCTGGAAGTGAACCCAAAAGCAATCTGAGCAAATTTTCGAACCATTTTTTTTTCTCACATTTAAAACCTTTCGGACGGGGAAAAAAAATGTTTCTGCGTGAATACCTTGACGAGTTCTCAGCACGAATGACTTTTATCAACGAAGAAATTCCGCCAACTATCAAAACATTCCTGGTCGTTGTAAAAATAAAATGGCTCCGATTCTAAAAAAAAAAGCCTCTCGTGAAATTTTTTTACTGCAACAATAAAAAAACTTTTTAATTGGAGTTTTATGTCAAAAAAATAGAACAAAAAAATAATTTCAAAAAAAGCAACGGCTTTTTCAATCGAATTTGCCAGCAGAAAGTTTGCAATATTTGTTTTGCCATCGTTCCTAACAAACATACGTGAACGAACTGTCAAGATTGTGAAATCAGTTTGTCATGGCATAATAAAATACTTCCAGTTTCTGTTTTATTGTTGCAAGTTCGAACTTTCTAGTTGACTGATGTTTTTTTCATATAAGAATGTTGCCGATTCATTGGGAAGATGATTTATGGAATAAGAAGTAACTTAGTTTTCTTTTTGATTTCTAGTTCTGTAAAAAAATTTCAATAAATCTTGAAATTTAACTCGAGCCAGATCCTTAGTTTGAGTTTTTTTGGAAAGATTTTTTGATATATTTCAAAAAAACTTAAACAAGAAGTGTAACGGATGGAAAAATATCCAAAACCGAAAACGGATCTTGTCCAATTGTTCGACAAACTGGAAGCAAGTGAACTATAACTAAAACTGAAATCAGCAGAGAAAAGGCAAACAGTGAGGGAAACTTGGAGAGCCTCTCGCGTTTACGTACTGCCGTGAGAAGCGTTTACCAGCTCAATGTTTATTTATGGTTCGCCATAAATTCCCATGTTCCTGTTATCATATTTAATATTTCAGTCACCTGAAAAAAATATCATAAAGGACAAAAAAATCAAAAATTACAAAACGATGAAACTTTTTCAATAAACGACCGTGTTGCCCGCTTGAAAAAAAGAAACCGTTTTTCAAAGCTTTCTCAAACGGCTTCGGAAACTATTTAAGATAATTTGATGAGGCCCTACAGGCTGTAAAAGTGTTATTTTTCAAAATTGAAGTACTAATTAATTTTATAATTATCAGAGAAATTTATGATAAAATGTAATTTTTTTATAGAATTCTCACTATAATTTTTTTCACATTGGTGGACTCTATTCAATAATTATTCACGAAAAAAATTTGGGAGTAATAACTATCTCAGCTCCGACTGGTGATAGATTTCTCATACTTTAGGACCATTTTTGTGAAAAAAAGGCTCACAAAGCCGTAAAAAACTGAATTCAAAAAAGTCTCCTTCTTTGGAAGCCTATGAATGAAATCAAACCACATCCTGCGTGGAAATTTTTACCAAGTTTGTTTGGATTTGTTGCCTCTTTCAGTTTTAGGGAATCCATTATTTTATTTCTTACTGTAAAAGAAAAAAGCAATTAGTTGCGTGACGTCTCATCTCAAATAATACTCGAAAAGGTTTTCCTCAAGACCCAATTCAAAAATTAAGCTGTGATTTATTTAAGAACTCTCTTGAGACCTAATTGAAAGCAAGGATAAAACACTACGTTTCCAAATCAACTTCACTTAAAATTTCTTAAAATGGTTGAATTTTCAGTCAGCTTTATACGGAACTTGTCAAATTTTGTATTGACTGGGAAATTTGAAAATTATGAGTTAGAATACCGACATTTGAAGACGGGAAGCCGAGGAGACTGAAAAGACGCCAAAGCCGTTCGGGCAGAGTTGCCTCCAGGAGCGACGCGACGTCTTCTATAAACCGGGTTGGCGACCGCTTTACACTGCGCCTCCGCCTTTCCATCTGTATCTACTCTTATTCTTTATCAGGAAAAGAGACAAATTGACCGATAGGTGACAGGTGGGGAAAAGTTTCTAACAAGTGATAAAAATGATGGTTGCTGCGTAGAGTCGCTGCTGCCGGACCTCCTTTTAAAGGCCTCCTGGAGCGCTGATTTCCGTCGAACCTGGAAGGATCCTGGAGGTAGGCGTAACGCTTTCGATGAGACATATCAATCATATCTCTTTTTTTGACTACGGTTCTATCTTTGTTGGCACGTAGGCATGATTCTAGGAGGCATGAGGGTGTTACAGAAAAAGTAAACGGTCCAACACATTACACTTTTCGGCAGCGTCTTCTCGAACAGATCGAACGGTCAGATAGAAATGATATCTGTAACATCGATGAGACGCCCGTCTTCGCCTTTCAGCGGTTCCAATTAAATGATATTTACGTGAAGTGAAGAGTGAACTTTCACAGGTGAATGGAGGAAAAGGCTTGCTTCAAACTGTCCAATAGCCTGAACATCATAAAAAATGTGTACTTTACAAAAACAGTAAAACTGAAAGACACAAAAGTTCAACTGCGAGCTCTTTTATACTTTTTTACCCTCTCAAAAATTTCATATTCATGCAAAATATGCAAATCTCGATCGACCACCTTGAACAGAAAAAAGCGCGTTGTTTGGAATAAATATGCGTTGAAAATGCTTTGGTTGGTCTCGTGAGAGGATTTGTGTGCTGTTTTCATGAATTTCATTTTTCTCTTATGTAACAAAAAAACTCTGGTAGAATAATATTTTATTATCATTCAATATCATTTTTTTATTAGAAACTCTGTTTCCGGTCATATAACCAAATTAGTCTCCCATCCATGGTCCATAGTTCATGATTCTCTGTAGCTGTAACCGAGACCTTCTTAGCAAATTCCACCAAGGTCACCTGACCAAGAGAAGGGTGTATCTGATGCACAAAAAAGTGGAAGAATAATTGGACATGAATATCAGATTTCAACGCTATGTTTTTTATTCGTAGAAGAGAAGCCGGTTTTCCATAACCAAATGACCGTGCCACGTCTTCCATCATAATTTTTTTCTCTCGGACGCCCACAGCGCCTCTGCTCTTCGACCTTGTGACGACGGCAGACATTCAATCAAATCGGCAGAAACTGCGTGAAGACAGTCGAAGACATTAGACAATTAGAGACAAAAAAAGAATTGCGCTTCATCGAATGTCTTCTCAATGAAGCAGTACCCGAAGGATTCCTCCGGAGAGAATAAACCGGTTCAAATACTTCAGATTTCAAAAGTCAAATCGTCAAGGTGCGGCTGTTGCAGTTCGCATCAGGACGGCCGCGAAACACTCACCTCGCAGATTTGAAAACTCCGGACCTCACAATTCGTGTTGAAGAAATAACTTAATTAAGTGATTCGGAAAAATATTTGCTATGGAAATCTCAACAAAAGTTGAAAAAAAAAACTTCCAGAAAGACTTTCTCTGACGCAATAATTTTCAAAGTTGCTCCAACAACGAATCATTACCCTTTTGTAGGAGAATGGCGAATAGTGTATTTGTTGGTTGCAATAAAAAAAAAACTATAGTCAATTATCCTCTAATTAAAAGGCAAGATGGGTCAATCGGCTCGCAATTTTTTTCTAAGTGTTTTCCATTATTTTGCTTGATCACGAGTTTCCCGCCGATTAGCCGTACCGCGTACTCGACGCTTCATTTTTGCCACCTTACCCATCTCGCCTTTTTAGTTGTGAGAAATTGACTACAAGGCGGAATAGAAAAAAGAGCTCAAGGAATAGATATACTTGTGAGGTGGAAAACAATCAAAAGAAATTGAGTGAGCCGGTTTATTCCGCAAAAGAGCGTATTCCGGCTTTAGCCGGAGTCATTTTCAATTTACCTCCTGATGATTCAAAAGGCGAACCACAAATTTTCTTATCTTTCAAAAGTGAAAACTTTTGAATTTCCAGCTGTCTATTCTACCGGCATTTGAAAAATTTCTCAGATTTTGAAAAGTTCACAATCGAAATAAAGAAGTAGCAGAAGAGAAAAGAGCTCAGGAGAGCTCTAGAAATCTTATTCGGAAAATAAAAATGCTCTGCTCCAACTTCAAAGTGAATAAACCTTTTTTTTATTTAATTAAACGGCCGTTATTTTTTCTCGTGAAAGAATAAGGTAAGATCTTACTAATAAGTTTTTTTCATGGCTGATTGTAACCACTTTTTCCCGCCAAAAATCTTTAAGTGGAAAGAGAAAATATCAATGCTATGTTACCCGGAAACAAACGGTTATTCCGAATCTGAACGGCTTTTGATCGATTTCTTGAGATATTTACTGTTTTCTTGCAATGTGCTGAGTATAAAGTTGATGTCATATCGAAAAAGGTCTCTTGACATCCGATCAATTGGGGCAGCGTGTTCGAAAGTTTTTAGTTGATGTGAAGCGTTTATCTTGAACTCGATTAATTTTTGTAAGTCATTTTCTTTTAAAGAAATTAAAGTGATTTATTCATTCCGTTTCTATCAGAACACTTCTATTTTCCTCACTGCGCCTTTTCAAATTTCAAGGTAAGTCACGTAATACGCCACTCAGATAGCCTGTATGCCTCCGAGATCGTGCGCGACGGCGAGATCTTCTCACCGGCATCACATCCCAAACTTGTCTCAAAAACCATAATATCAAAAAATATGTTGTAAAATAGTTAGGCAGAACAAGTCAGCGTCATGTGGGTTTAGGTTGAGTTGGAAAAAAAGGACGTTCAGTTAACTTTTTCTCTAACTCAAAGTTGTTGTAGAACACGATTTTCAGGATTTTTCGAAAAAAAAACAGAACATCCATCGTCTAGTTTTCGAGATACGGTCGCCCAAAGGATTACGGTAAAAACTACGAAAATTCATCTCGATAATAATCAACGAAACTCGACCAAAGTTTGCCACGAGGTGTAAGATAATTTAATTGAATTTTGAAAATCTGACGTCTCGCACTTATTCATCATTGCTCATGCTAAAGGATTTTTCCTAATGAATTTATTTTTAAAATCTGCTACAGAACTGGCTTTTATCGATTTTTTTTTCTCTTGTTATCCCACTTGGTGTCTGTTTTTTTTTTTATCTTTGCCAGTATTCGTGCAGTTTCTGACTTGACTCAAATCGTTTCTTATAAAATGAAGAAACTTGAAGACTTGCATAATTTAAAGTTGACGAAAACTTTTCTCCTTTGTTTCTATCATTTACAGTTTTTTCAAATAAAGCTTCTGAAATACTTCAAAAACAGCAGAACCGCTGTTATCAGATCGTTCATCCAATTGAGAGATCTTTTGATTATATTTCTTTCTTGTTTAATTTTCATTTTCTCAGAGATGTCGCTGCCGCTGATAGTTGTCAAAAAAATCCTGGAATTTTCCGATTATCAGACTATTCTCAACTTCGCGAGATGTTCTTCTCTCGCAGGTTACGTTTCTGAACCGGTTCGACAAAAGGTTGCCTGGAAATCATTCCATCTCAGAAGTTGCTTGTAGTCGAAGAAATCAGAAAAATCTCTCAAACTTCCTGAAACTTTTTCAGAAGTTATTTTAGTGTCTAAATTAAAATATCTGAGAGGAAATACCTGCGCACCGAGGTTTTCATCCAGTGTGGCATGATAGCGTTAAGAATCGTGACACACTTTTTTGAGCCATTTTCTCTTTCTGAAACCAAGTTACGGAACGCAAATAGGCGCCTGCCTGTCGAAGTATTGCAGAGTTTTCACTAGGCAAGTTATATATCATTCGATAGATGATAAAAGTTAAAAAACTTTTACAGTAGATAACATCTTTCGACACTGTACAAACTTTCGAACTCCGATGCTTTCCGTTTGAAAAAAATAAGTTTTTTGGTTTTGCTGGCCGCCGGCATATAATCGAATGGTGAATACTATCGTGGAATATGTATCATAGTACGCTGTAAAAAATAACACAAAAGTAATTCGAATCCTAAACGAGCAACATGGAATTCTGACGCCCGCCAGGGTGAAGTGTGGTTGACAACTTTTCTCCTTTTTCTTTGTTAGATACGAGTATAAAAACTTCTTAGGATATTGCGACAGAGTGTCGTCCACCATTTGAAGGGTTTAGTATAAGCTTTTACGCTGCGTGCTTCGCCCAACCGCCGTTTCCAAAGCCATCGAATCGGCACTTAAAAATTTGTACAATAACTCTAGATGGTGTTTACTGTGAAAGGTCTTCAAATTTCGTCATCTATTCATGTACAACTTACTTAGTGAAAGCACTTTTTTCGTTATATGTTTACCGTATCTTTCTACAGTAAGAGGAAATAGCTCAAACAGGTTTGTCTCGATTCCTGATGCCATATTCCCACAAGGGGTGTCATCAGAATCAAAAAATAGAAGCTTTTGTAGCCGAAGCTTTTGGAACTTTTCGAAAATTACAGAGACACCTTGATAAGTTTTACAAAGAAAAGCGCATCAGTTTACATTGTTCACTACATTTTTAACGGCCTTTGACAATATTCAAGGAGTTGGGTCTTTATTTCCACACCGAACAACGCAAACGTCGAAAAGATAGATTTTGGTTTTGAGTTGGTCCTCTCGTCGCCTTTCTTGATTTTATAGTCAATTTTTTTAAATATATTCCTGTTCCAGTGGAATGAAAGAGGAAGTATTGAAAATTTCCTTTTTGAGGAACTGTCTCCGTACATTTTGACGAGCGTTCGTCTTCACAAAGAAGAATCAAGAAATTTGACAAAAAAGCTGTTTTATGGAAGTTCGCCGCGATGAGATTTTTTTCGAAAACAAAAAAGGTCCGTTCTTATTTTCCGGTATATTGGTATTTTTTCGAAATTTCTCAAGGAAAGTACTGCCAGCAGTTTTTCGATTTTGTGGAAAAAACAACGGCCTTTCGAAGGAGCTCTCCTTGGTTTCCTAACGTTTACCGTTTCAATGGATCAAATTCCCCGCAACTGGCAATAAGAAAACAATATCGCGAATCCCTGAAAATTTATAAAAATGAAAAAGGTAAAACTTTTGGGACAAAAACAATGACAGTCCAAAAACATGAAAGCATTGCATACACTTCCGGAATAACGCTGAGATTTCTGAAGTCATTAAATTCGATTTTCCTCCGCTATTGAAAATGTATGTTGCACCTTTTTGTCAAAAAAGTTTTTTAAAAAAATTGAAAGTATGAATCACTCACTATTCAATACAATTTCTACCGTATTTAAAATAGCGCGTAGAGTTTAGCGTATTGAGGAAGGCCTGTATCGATGTCCGCATACACGTTTTCTGCTGGACGCACAATTACTCAGCACATTTGTTCTTTTGCATTTGCTAAGTTTAACTACAGTCTCATGGCACTTGCTCGAGTTAACAGAAAATTGGCAAAACTGGGGGATTTTCTGCTCGATTGGGGAGGATCGTGTTTTGTGGTTAGTTCTGATTTCCATTTTTGTCTTATAACTTTTGTTTTCAGTCCATGATGCTTATTGGGATCTATTATTCGTGTTTATATGTAGCTGCTCCAATGGTGGAAGTTGTTTTTATTCCATTCATAAATAAATTCTTTCAGCTCTACGACGAAGAGGCAACTATCCAGTTTTTGCGTTTCTTGGCCAATTTCATAGTTTTCGAAATAATGATCAACTTGGCATGTTTTCACTACTACTCGAGGTAATATTTTGCAGCAATTTTTAGCTTTAGCGCTGTAGAATAAAACAAATATCTTGTGTTTGAGGTACAACAGTGTGACGCATTGGCATCGAGAGTCTTGCGTTCTTGATTTGCGATCTTTTGCTGAAGAAAATAACGGTAGAATAAATTTTAACGCTATTCTCATTTTTTTTTAGAAGAAGAAACAGAAAATGGAAGACAATATTTTGCTCTTGACAACTTGGAAAATCATCTCAATGGCGTGACGGAAGATGAAAGTGGTAGTCGGTTCTGTATCACTTGTAATCGTGAAGCTCCAATCAGGTAATGAGTTTTTTCCTTGTTCTATCAAATGCAAATGCAGAAGTCATCACTGTCCACTGTGTAAAATGTGCGTTTTACGTAAGGATCATCACTGTTTTGTAACGGGTGCCTGCGTCGGCTTGGGAAATCAAGTTGATTTCTTTTATTTTTCTAAAGTTTAAAGTAAGATTTCAGAGATATTTTATCGTTTTCCTGTTCTGGTGTACCTTCGGTTTGATCATCGCAGTGCCGCACTTGTTCTGGTTGCTAACTCAAACAATCGGACCATGGTGAATCATCTTTTCTTATCTTTGTTGCCCTTACTAATACACTCGAATGAAAAATTCAAAATTTTCTTCCAGGTATCCATTCGGGTTCACTCTATACATTGGTCCAATCGCAATATTCCGTTGGATTTTTTCTTATTCTCCGTTTTCTGAAGCCGTTTATGCAACAATTTTTTCTTTCTCGGTTGCTGGATTCTTTTCAGCAGCTGGATTTTTAGGAATGCAGGTGGGTATTTTAATCTTTGAGGCTTTTTCTTGGGCTTAGTCTTACACTGTGTAAATGTTATGATAAAAAAAAAACATCTGAAATTGAGAAAAATGACGCTGAATAGAGCGCCACTTTATATATGAAAAGTCGATTGAGTATACAATAATTCCATGGGAAAATTTTTCCTTTTCTAAGTTGTTTTTTTAATTCATGTTTTTCAAAAAAAGGTGCCCAAACACAACAACTCAAAAAAATTGTTTATAAGAACTGGAAATCAAAAAGTTTCTTCCTGCAATTAATACTAATATTTCAACTAATATGAATATTTTGTGTTGAGCTTCAGTAAGGTCTCAAGTAGACTAGTCGCATAGCGCCGCTTCCCATTTTCGCATGCATTGTAGAGAGCTATGGGATCCTGCATAAGATATACGTCAATTCGATGAAACTAACTAAGAAACGTCTTTCGGCCCCGGTTAAGCTTTTGAGACAACTTAGCTGAAATGTACTTCAGGAACTTCTGATTCCAGAACAAGGAAACAGTCTCTCGCAAAAACTCTGATTTCTCGTTAAGACTCTCGAAAGTTTGAAATAGCGCTTTTTATCCTACTTCTGCGTATTTCGCGAATTTTGAGGCTTTACAAAACGAAAACAAGATCCATTGCAAGAAATGTTCTTTTTTGTTCTGAATCAGAATATCCAAAAGTGCACTTCAGAGAAATTTCATCATAAGTTCAATCAGGGGGCTGAAAAATGTTTTTATATCGAGATTTATTTTTTCTAATAGTTGGAACGTGACTTATTTTCAGATATACTACACTACTCATGGATACACAATGTACGAATATCACAATCTCACCGTGCGAGCCTCGTTTCCTGGCGATGGGTAATGGATTTCAAAGATTTTCTTATATTGAACCACCAACTTCAGGAAAAACTGTGGCGAACGTTTCCGACTAGTTTTCGGCAAAAATTGGCTTCTCAACTTCGTTCTCCCGATGCCATGGAACATGCCACTCTTGACCCAGGACATTTCAAATAGTCTTTTTAGAGTTCGTAGCAAAGTTCTGTAAAGTTATTATTGATCCTTTTTCTTATTTTTGTGTGTCATGACTTTTTTCTCAATCTCATTTTTTCCGAACGTGTTCAGCTTTGAATGTGATCAAACCTCCACTGCTTTAACTCGAAATCAATCTATTTTTTCCTAGTCTTTTCACTTTTTTCCAAGATATCTAAACAGATACTCCAAGAAAGTTTTGAATCTAGTCGTTCCTTCCTTGCCAGTTTTTTTTACTTACTTGTTCAGCTATTTTGTACAGTTCAGAAGTGAAAATTTCGAATTGAATAAAAGATGATTAAGGTTGATGTTTTGAAAGCGTTCTTGTCAACAAGTGTTCATCAAGCGTTTTTATCTAAGTATCTGAATATATACTCGCTGTCGCATACGAAATCTTAAAAAATAACTGGAAAATCTTTTTCCTGCTTCTAAGCTTTTTTAAATCAACTAAACTCTGTTCGTCACAATTTTGGGGCAAACAAATTGCCAATTTCTTATCATCATTTCCTTGTAGAACTGCCTATTTTATGTTTCAAACAGTGAGATTGAGTATGAATGTCATTAGGAAATGCCCTAGTCCAGCATTTTTGAAACAGAGTAGGTAATCTACAACAGCAATCATAAGTTTTATCTTTCAGTCAACAATAATCTGTTCAAACTTGAACGACTAGAAATTCTGAATAGATATCTTCAAGTAAAAAAATCCTTTTCAAAAGATCGCTTTCAAGGACAGATTTCAGAGAAAAAAACATTAACAATAATTAGAAAAAAATTTGAGACTTTGTTCGAAATGTTTAAAAAAACTTCGTGAATTTAACAATTTCTAGAATCGTCTTATTCTAAAAACCCGGTATTGATTGGGTACGGGAGTAGAATTGATATCCCCTAATCGACTTTTTTCACGCCAATTTTCTGCAAGCGACTCCGGCTTTATTGCGGACTCCTTTTTGTATTCGAATTATGCATTGTTCTATTTTTCTTGTATAAATTATTTGTATTCTTGTTGATTGCTTTATTAAACGCCAATGCAAAACATCATCTCCCATACTTTAACAAAAAACTTTCTAATGACCCTTGAAAGCTGATTTTTCCAACTCAATTCTATGATGGTGGTTAGGTCCATCAGAAAAAAATTTCTTGAATCGAAAGAAAGTTTCACAACCTCTGAGCATCGATGAAAATCATCAGAACATAGTCAATAAGCATCCATGATGATCTTTTTCTTTTTTTTAATAGAAACTGAATATATATTAACTTTTTTTTTGCTTTTTTTTTGTTAAGCCATTTTAAACAGTTTTATTTCAGTTTTCTGTCATGATACCAAATAGACAGCCTTTGCCGACTGATATACGCAGAAATTTCCAACCTCGACCAGCTCAGCAAAGGGTCCAAATTCAAGGACAAATTGCACCGGCTCAATATCGCAACGTTCAACCGCAAATCGACCCTCGGAATGTCAACGCAGTGTATCAGAGCTTTGCGGGACCTTCAACTTCTCTTGACCGGTAACGTAGTCCATCCAAGAAGTGTTTATCATATCAAATGTTTCAGTCGTCTCATTATCCGACCAGTACAACCTCCTCCGCGTCCAGAAGGAGAAGCGGCCAACCTCAAAAAACTGTTTGTTCATTCATTTTTATTTTCAAGTTTTTTTGAGCCGCAGTGAGTTATTTCCTATGACACTTTTGAAGTAGCTTTCTGTATTTTTTTTTTCAGTAAAGTTGTGAGTGAACCAAAAAAAGAACTAAGAATTTATTAGAGCTTTTAAAAAACTTAACTTTCTACAGCATGATTTGTAATATCATTTCTTTCTTAGTAACAACAGAGAAATATGTACAGTTCAGGCAACGTTTTTTTCAACACGTTTTCAAATGGATTTGGTACAAAAATTTAAAAAAATAAAACGTTCAAAATTTGGTCGAAACATCTCCAAAGTGTTTTCTAGTTACGAATCAGAAACTAATTATTTGAAATGCTGGACGTTAAAATAATCGTAAATTGTTAAATGTAAAAAACAATGAAACAAGCGTTTTCTGTATCTTCAAATACTCAAAAATAAACAGTTTATATAACTTTAAGGTGTGAAAAAAATAGTAAAACTTTTTTTTTAGTGTTCATCCGCTCTACCTGTCCTCGACAAGTGACGGTCCATCGAGCGGTTCCAAAACATACTTACCCTCTGAAGTAAATGAAGCTTTCAACGACGTCATCTTACAGGTATCATTTTTTTCAATAACATCCTTTTATTCTTTCAATTTTAGTTCATGACAGCGCAATGTTTGATGGCAGGGTTTGACGACGTTGAACGATCTGCTCTGGAGACTTTGATCACGATGTTCCACAATTGTGAGTTTCTGTGTCCTTTAACTTTCTAATCATGCTTTTTCAGCTATCAAACGTGTTGCGGAACAATCGAGATACGCCTGTGAAGCTGGAGGAAGAACAAAAATTGCAGCCAGAGACGTCTGTTTTGGATTAACCAATATGGGCTTCGATCTGAAAGCACTTCCTCAATTTTTTCACGACGAGCTTCGACGAGGAAAACTTACTATCCATGCTCGTTAGTTTAATGAATATTGAATTACATTTATTCTGAGAAAAAGGTTCAAAAATCTTCGAATCCTGGAAAATTTTGAAAAAAATTCATTATTTTTTTTAAGCACTGACGACTGTCCCCGAACAAAAAAACCTTCTCGATTCCGGGCCAGCGGTCGACCTCATCCACAGCACGTTTTTTTGAATGGATGCCGCCTTATCCAGAACCTCACACCTACATTCGAACAGAGGTGAATTTGAAAATTGTTAAATATTTGAAAACAAACACTGGCTTTTCAGATCATGAACGAGCCGGAAATGTCCTATGAAAAAGCTCGCGAGGCAATGGCAGCAAACAAGCGCAACGGCGTTCGCTCACTTGTCAACCATATGGTTCAAATCTTCCCGAAAGTTTGTCTGTTTGGCAGTTTTGAACAGACAATCCATGAAAACGTGGAGAAATGGGTAAAGCTTACGATTCGCAAGCGGCAAGAATTCTTTTATTCAGATGGACGAACTAATCAAAAAGAATCAGAAAGCAGCTGCTTATCAGGCGTTCAGTTCTTTCCTGGGAACGACGGAGTTTGAGAACACTCAGGCAACTATAGACATTCTCAAGGAGAAGGGGCTTATCACCGCTGAGGTAATTTTTTTTCTGGTTTGAAAATGGTATATGAGCTTTTTCGACAAGTTTATGAAAAAAAGCCACTCTTCATTCACCAGCTTCCCAAATATTAAGATGTGTGTGATATATACTTGATTGACTTTATCATTCTTTATTGATAAAATCCCTTGCAGGAAGCTCAACAAGGTCTTCAGTTGGCTTGCTTGTTGCCAGATGGAACTATTTTGGACACTCAAGCCAATCCCATCACGTTAACGGACGATGCTTTTATAGATATACCAGAAGATGATGCTGTATGTTTTCTGTGGTCATACAAAAACGGTGAATTATTTCAGGCGGAAGGGCAAGAAGATATCGCGGAAGAAGAGTTTCCGATGGACTATCAATGTCCCGTGGACGACGGTGAGACTAATAAGCAGAATAATAATCCATTGTTTCATATCAGAAATGGACGTTGACATCTCGCTTCTGTCGTTTCAAGAGTTTGACCTGATGGAAGACGACGAAGGAAGGGAGCCCGAAGACTATCTTCTTTACGAAAAAGAGAAAAGGAATTTCGAATACATTCCCGAGTGGTGTCATGGTAATTTTCACAGCATTACTATTGAATCCATGTCTTTTCACAGTGGTGGTTCCAACCGATGATCATCCTTCCTACCTGGATAGGCTTCTGACGGATATCAAACCTGACGACGATCTTTGGAAAGAAAAAAAAGTTGCCTCACGTTCTGGTGGAGACAAAGAAGTGAGTTGTCCTACCGATTTGAATTATAGAGTTTTTCATTACTATTTTTAAGATTCAACTGGACAATCCTTATTTCCGGCCCCCTGAGATCATCAATACTCCGGTGGAAGAGAAAGATTCATGACCCCCGTTTCCATCGATCCACTTTTCGATAATTTTCAGCTCGCAAATTTTCTCCTGACTTTCACTCAAGCATTTGAAATTTTGTTGTTCTTATTCTCTTTAAAATCTTCATAAATGTTTCTCTTATAGACGATTCACGGCTAGCTTGGGACGCAAAAAGGCGTGGCCTGTCTGCACTCTCCACTAACCAGGGCACTGTCTCGTCTCTTTTCGTGGCAGGACCCTTTTCTCGATGGCTCAAGCTAGCCGTGAATCAGCTATATCTTCACTCAATTATGTAAAAAAATTTTAGGAAAGTTTTTTTAGTTTATTGAATTTTTTTATTTTTTTCTTCAAATATTATGAAGTACCGATTTCAACTTCCTTTTTTTAGTGTTTTATATGTAGTGGTATAAATTTAAAAAAAAAACAGAGCTCAAGTCCCTGAAAGATCAAATTTTTCATCCTTTTTGAATTGATGCAATGTAATTATTTCGAAATCTCTCAATAGCTTGCACTGGGATTTTTAATGAGAAAGTAAATTTCAATCAAAAAAACCTCTTCGCTTATTACTTCTTTCATTCTCTATCTTCTTATTTCTCTGTGTTTGGAAATTTATTCTTTTGTTGTTTTTGTTGTTAAAGATGTAATCATAGAAATTTTTCTATTCTTTTTTTTCCATCTATTGAAAAATATCCATCCACTAATCACATAAAGAAATCCGAAGAAAACTTTTATTATAACTAACGCAGAAAGAAAAATGTCCAACAGACATGAAAAATTCGGCAGTCTGTGCATTTCTTAAAAAGTTGAAGCGACTATGGTTTGGATATTTAATTTTGTTTGAGAAGTTTTTTAGGCGGTGCTCTGTCGCTGGATGTGCGTGGCACGTTCCTGAAAATAGTAGATAGTATGCACAATCAGTTTTTGCTGTTTTTCCACCTCTCCTTCCTTGTTGAAGAGAATAGTTTGAACGTTGCTTCCTGTTCCGAATGAATCTTCTCCGTCGTAGACGAGCTGGTCAGGCGGCGAAGCGACGCCTTGGTTTCGGGCAAAGATCTGAGTTTTTAAATTTTCTGAAAGAACCTAGAAGGCTTTACCTTGAGGGTCTTTCCACCACGAAGGACAAAGTCTTTGGGAAGAGTGTAAACGATTTCCTTCTTGCCGTCGATTCGTCTCTTCAGCTTCCACTCACCGATCGCCTAAGCCGATTGTGTGCTCGCGTTTTCGATTTGACATCAAACAAACCTCGTCCTTGGCGCGGTGGGTATTCTGAAGGACGATGAACTTTCCGTCCGGCGAGGCTTCGTGGATCGAGACGTTTCCTTTGGCAGATCGCTGGAATGACTGTCGCGAAGCAGTTTCTCCCTTCACCACTCTCATCGTCTCTGAAAATGTTATAAGTTAAAAACCATCTCATTGTATATATATCTACCTGTGTCTGTTTCTTGGGTGATGGCGTGGGTCTTGACAACCTGTTCCACGAGCTGTTTGAGGCCGGCGCTGAAACAGATTATTTAGAATGGCTAATGGGTTTCTGGTTACCGGTTCTCTTCTCCTTCGAGCATCTTGCGGTAGATGGCAATTTCGGCATCGAGAGTCTGAATAAAAAAGTCATCAGCGTTGGAGAATCAGTGATACCTGCTTGGTGTCGAGAAGCATCTGCAGCTCAACCATGAGAGCTTGACACTCTTCGCGCATCTTGCGGATTTGAGCGTCGCGGTCATTGAGAGCGGCTTCGTAGGATCTCTGGTCGTCTTCGAGCTGATAGTTAAGCTCCTGAATCTGCTTCTCGAGCAGAGAGTTGCGGCTTTCAAGGTCGGCAAGTTTTCCACGAAGGTCGGTGAGCTGCGTGCGGAGTCGTTTGACCTCTTCCTTGGCGTAGCCCTGCTCCATAGTCTGAATTTCAGAACAAATTTAAGAGTTTTTGATGAGCTAAAACCTGACGAGCACTTTGGGTCTGAATCTCCTGCACCTTGAGCCGGTACCAAGACTCCATGTCATTGCGATGGACATTGTTGATCTGAAGGCCATGATTGTCCTTCACATGCGATTTCAAAGCTACTCAAACCTGGTCGTATTCCTCACGAATGTCCCTAATGGCAGACGAGAGTTCGTTCTTGAAAAATTCCCGATTCTCCGGGGTCGTGTCGCGCGAAGCAAGGCCCTCAAAGAATCTTTCAAACCTCATTTTTTTTCAAAACTTACTTGAAGTTCTTTGATTTCGTTGTCGTGAACTCGTCGCAGGAAATCGATTTCTTCGAGAAGCGTCTGTGCCTGGTTTTGGTAGTCGATGCGGTTTAGCGTTTCTTGGTCCAAGTCCTATTTTTCAGTTATTTTAACCCTGACAGACGAATTTTCTCACAGTGCGAGCACGTTGGAGTTCACTGAGAAGTCTTTGGTTTTCGATCTTGATTCTCTTGACTTCTTCCTCGAGCTGAGCGATGCGTCGTTTGAGGAGGCTGATTTCAGCTTCGATGTTAGACAGAGTCACAAGAAGTTGATCGATCTTGATGCGGTCTCCCTCGCGGCCTTTCACAGCATCGTCATACCTGCAAATCACAATTGTTCCACATTTTTTTCCATAACTCGGTTTGCACACAAAACAACGCAAACAAAAAATTAACGCTGCACGGACTTTCTGCGCACTTCGGCCAGGTCGTCTTGCATTTTCTTGATTTGGCCCTCAAGGTCCTTCCGTTGCTTGTTGGTGTCATCGATCAATTTTTGGGCATCCTGAATTCAGGTCGAGTTGAGAAAATCTCAAAAGATCAGTTGACCGAAAGCTCGCCCTCGTACATGTTGCGAATGTTATGGGTGTCTTTGCCCCATTTTGACCTCAAAGCTTCCAAATCGGCCGCCAATTTGCGGTTTTGGGCTTCCAGAAAGCGAACCTGCAGAATAAATTTTTTTATTCAATTATATAATTTATTTCAAACTTTCTCAATGTAGCTGGCAAGACGGTCGTTCAAATCGCTCATTTCTTTCTTTTTCGCGCTCTCGCGAGTCTCTGATGGTGGAAGCGGCATTCTGTCCAAACGGAGAAAGGCCTGATCCTGCTCCAGAACGCATCTCCGTCACGATTTTCAGCATGCGGTCTTGAGCTGCAAATTTTAAACATAAACTTAAGAAATTCAAAGTTATAATCTTTTTCTTAAAGCTCCTTGTCAGTGAGGTGAGTTTGGTGTTTTTGGGCTTGTAGATATTTCCAAGGTATGCAAAATATCGAACTAAAGAGTAGGTAAAAGTGCCCTATAGTCGAAAACCCTGAACAAAAAAAAGCTAAATTCGGAAAAAAAGAAAGTTACTATGAGGTATACATATTTTATGAAGTTTTTTCCAAAACTTTGGAGCGAACCAATGAGAAGGTTCACAATTTTTTTCCATTTCAAAACAACTTTAGAACTCACAAACAACGTTTCCAGTGCTGCGACCTCCAAGAGGCGCACGAGCCGACGGCTGCGGGGAACTGAACGACATGGCTGCAAGTAATCAGAGATAATTGCCAGAAAGAAGACAAAAATGAGGCAGCTGCCGAATCCGACACAACTGTCGACGGAATGAAAGGGCTTGCACGAAGTTGCGAGACTGTGTGAGCAAGGTATTAAGGTGCGGCGACGCCCGCGTCAAGACAAAAGCCGCTCAGTGCAACTGGAAAACGCCCACAAGGCCGCCGTCGCTTCGAATTTCGCACCCAGACCAGAAGCTTCTTTATTGTGTCACAAAACTTTTTTTCTAGTTGAAACAAGCGTGAGCTTTGCTGACTGTAAGCCTTCCAGAGAGTCGGCGTCAGATCAGACGAGGGATTGATAACTTTTCTAAGCGCTTGTCAAAATTACCTGTTTGCTGCTGCGTGACGGCATAATGAACAGTTGAGATTTCAATGTTCCCGCTAAACTGAGTAGTCTCTTGATTGACTTGCTTGGGTTCAAATTTGGCAAGCATCGCAGCAACGAAATGACAATCGCGAACAGAAATTTCGAATTTATAGTATGTGAAAATTCTAATTAGTGTTGTTTCTTGTGAATGCATTGTTGGATTTTGCAGAGGAAACTGAGCACAAAAGAATTACTCATCATCGTGTTGAGGTTTGAAAAAAACGTCCGGTACTTCAAGTACAGGAAAAAATTTACTTTTATGAATAGTCGATAACATTCCAAAATTTAGCTGTTCATAAAAAAATGTTTTATTCAGAAATTTTTTCATGGAGTCTGTTCAGAAACAGACCGAGGTCGTGGAAAACGGTGACCCATTTTTCATAAATTGCTCACAGTGGAAAAGGTGTGAAGAATGCGGAAAAGAATAAAAAACTGCGTCCTTCGACACTTGAACCGTCGCATTCTGATTCTTCAACCTACCATTTTCTCTAAATGTCGTCATGTTTGGCTGTGCGCTGTTGACGTGTTCAGCGAGCCGTGCGACTTGAAAAAAAAAAACCACGCAATTCTACAGTCATACACCCGGTTTTGGAGTACAATTCAAATGATTATACTGTATTCAGGGAATGAATCATTTGAGAGAACTTCAGGCACTTAAAGGCAGAAGAAAAAATACAAGGTTATAAATACAAGATCGTTTCTAAAATAAACAACTTTTAGTTTCAAAAAAATTGAGTTTCAAAAAATTTACAAAAAACCTTGACCATAACAAGGTCTCGAAGTTTACTAGTTAGAAAAAAAAAACCCGGAGATCCCGAGAGTTTAATATTTTCAACAAAATATTTATATGAAAGAAAGTCTTCAAAAAAAATAATGCTCTTTACAAGTAATTACAGTAAAACCTTCAGGAATCTGCAAGAAGCCTGACAAGGAAAAACTGAAAAAATGTATCAGCTGAACACTTGAAACGAGAGTGATTCTCAAAAAAGAGAATCGAAAAAAGAGGACAATAAAATGTTTGAGAGCCGGGCGAAACTGGTGAAGGCAACGCCTACCTCGTCGCATTGAATTCATCGCTTTGGCTAAGTCTCTCGAAAAAAATGATTTCCGAGCAAACGGCCGCGTTTTCGATCATTCGATGATACAGGTGTCATTCCAGATCTTGCCTTGTCTTTGTTTGCTCCACTTGTAGGAGCCAGTGCAAAATTCAAAAAGAAAAAAAGAAAAAAAAATGAGACTTGGCTCAAGACTTCAGCTTCGAAGAGAAATAGTGGAATTTTTGCTTTGCATGTTTTAATAAGAAAATTTTGAAGAAATGGTCGAACTCACTTTCGCGAGTGATCTCGATCATCTTTGATTACCGACTTCTCTGCTAGAGAAGTTTTTCGCTTAAGAGTGTAGACCTGAATGAAAATTGTTAACAGTTCGAAAAAAAAAGCAGGGATGAACAATATCGCGTAATCCATCGAGAAATGTCCTTTTTCAATTGAAAATCAACACAGAGTTTGCAAAGGCTGGGGCCGCAAAAGGGACGTGACAACTTAGTAATTATCGAGGATCATCGGTGCGACGACCAGTCTTTCTCCTCATTTTCAATCGAGAGAGTCGCAGGGCGCAAAACGACAAAAACGCCACAGTGTGCAGAACCAACCACATAATTGGTAACGGTTCGACTTTTTTTTTGAAAGTTTTTGATTAACTGCGCCGTTTTGAAAGTTAATGTTTTTATGGAATTATGGATTCAATCGGGGGTTTTTCTGCGGTTTACAGCGAAAATATTGGTGTATGGTTGTTGTTTGAAACAAGAAAACATACTTGAATCCACTAACAAATATTGGGACTAAGTGTCATTGAAAAAATACGTTTTTTTGAGTTCGCGGCTGATGAAAATTTGCGGATAAACAAAAAACTGCTGAATTTTTGATGGTTCTCATTGAACAGTCTCTCATTGAAGAAAAAATTTTATTTTCAGCTAGGAATTCTCTGAAAAATTATTCCGAATGCTGTACCAAATGAAGTTTTTTTAGAAATCTTAATAAAAAAATTTTTTTATAATTCGTTTTTTTGAGATACTTGGTCTCAAACTTTCAAAGTCGCTCCATTTTTTTCACAAATTCTTAAATCACAGGGCTTACATCTGCTTAAGCAAGAAAAAGTGTATTCTGACCAAATCTTATAATTTTTTGAACTACGAAACGAAACGACTTTTTTTGTATTCTAAAACTCAAAAGTTGTTACTGCTTAAACCACCTGGGGAAAAAAATAATTTCTTGCGATCATCTCAAGCAAAAAACTTCAATGATTTGGAAAAAAAAACAGAATTTCCTTCTCAAATTCGGCCATGAAAAAAGAAATATAAAAAACCGATAAAGTTTGGGAAAAACAGAATTCGAAGTTTTTGAAGTATTCAACTGTCGTTCCAATTGTGACGAAAGAGGAGAATTCTAAAGAAAAGAAAAAGAAACTCAGAAAAAAACTTTTTGTCAAGGAATAGTGAAATGCCAACTGGAGAACAGTAGCAGTGCTGACTTTTTGTCTGCGCGCCGTAAAAGGCGAAGGAGATCTGACTTGCAACTGAAACCGGACAGCGCAGGTATTTATATTTCCACAGGTTGGCCTCCGGGTTGGCAAACTCTACCCAAAAACATATCCAATTTGCATGAACGTGGTTGGCTGTGTGATTCAATTCGACGCACTGTTTGCTTTTCAGTGCCGCCTCGGCGTTTTTTCCTCTGGGTTTTCTATGAATTTAAGGTAAATATCGAGGTTCACGCATTGGTGGTTGTTTATGACTCAGAAACGCAATCGCAACTTTTCTCAAAATGTACGTTGCAAAAAAGGAAATACGAGGGACCCTCTTGACCTTTTCAGCTTTGAAAGAAAGAACGGTGGCGCAAATTGGCTGCATTTTTTGTTTTAAAAATGGCAAGCAAAGCGGAGGCAAGAAAAAAAATTCTAATACATGACGAATGTATTCGAGGCTTCCTAAATCAAACTTCTTAAAACTTTTTTATTCTACTTCAAATCATAAGCAAAAATATAAAAGCATTGAAATTATTTACTGGATATCATTCTGAGGAACTACGGCATATTCAGCTTTTCATTTCTTAGGATAACTTTCTTTTTTTTAACTGTAAGTTTTTACAGGGTTTCCAATCAACAAGATTGGTGAATATTTTCAGAAAAACTAAAAATTGTCAACTCCAGTTGAGCCTTTCAAGCTTTCCCAAAAAGTTTTATCGACTTTCTCAGGCAAAATGATTTCCCACAGAAAGAAAGGATCTTCAGTTGCAATGCATTTTCAATTAGGAAGGAGCCGTCGTTATTTTGAGGCCAGAATGCCACTTTATACGCCGACATGATGAAGTTTTCTCATACTCAAATTTCCGAAAATATTTATTCAATTCGAGAAGAAGATGATCGTCAACTATTTCCTCTCATCTACCTCATCATTGGTACTGAGGATAAAGGTGGCTTGCTCGAACTTTATAAGACTTATTTCTTGATTCCAGCTTTGTTAATTGACACTGGGTGTGGCTGCGGTAATCTATATTTCTATTTGAAAACATTTGCTTTCTCGAAAAACTTGAAGTTCATTGTTGTGAATACGCATAATCATCCGGAGCAGGTATGCTTTTTTGTTGTGTTTTTTACAATACATCAATCTTGAGATTGGTGGAAACGCTTCGTTTTCAACTACAGGTAAACTGGGATTGAACAATCGCGTGGAAAATCTGTGCGCAAGTCGCAAAAACAAGTACTACACCCGTCTCATGAATAGCAACTGGCACTGGGAGGTTGATCATCCTACCTGGACCTCTAAAAAGTTTAGAACCAGGTTGAAACGTATAAAGTGACCAAATGGTTGCAAGATGGAGAGAAAATACTTCTCGGAAGGAGGCAAGATCCTCAGAATATGGTACAGGTGAGAAGCTTCTGAAGTTTGAGAAAACCCAACTCCCAGGTTTTCTGGACACCTGGTCACACTCCGGACAGCATTGTTTTGTGGTACCCGTATGCAAATCGACTTTTCGTGGGCGACCTTTTCTATCAATTTCAAGACATAATGCTGAAGTAAGCAATTATTGGTTTAATATCGCGTTTTTCAAAGCTTCAGTTACGAATGCACAGATATAAAAGAATATGAGAAATCAGTGCGAAGAATCCTGCAATTTGTGAACGAACATGAAGCCCCGGTAGAACATAATCAACTTTTTTTGATCGAAATTGTTTATAGATACGTTACTCTTCCGCAAAGAGCGAAAAAGACAATCAATGTTTGCCGATTTTCAAACAATATCATCGTTTTTTGTTGGCGGTCATTGCTGGAACTCACGTCGGCAATGATCTGAGGCGAGTTTTGCGGAGTTGATTTTGATAGAAAGTTTCTAATTTTCAGGATTGATGAAGCAGATGGAGTTCGTTATGAGACACGGGACAAATCTATCCAAATAGTTCTCGGAAAAAATATTGTTCAAATGTTAAACGCCGCTCGAGAGAAAGCTTCAGAGAAATGAACTTTCAACTCAACTTTTTCTGAGTTTCGAATGAAGCCACTGAGAAAACTTGAAAAAAGACGGTTACAAAGTGAATTTCTACGGCGATAATTGTTTTATTGCATCGATACAGTCTTCGGAGATTTCTGAACGTTTTAAATCAAAGATTAAGTTGGTATATTTATTTTTCTATCTGCACACTCATGATTCCCTTTCAAAAGAAACATTTTTTAACGATTTATTGGGATAAAAGTAAGAAGATATGTATTATAAAGCATTATATTCGATTTCTTCCTTCCCGTAGTATTTCCTATGTAGAAGGACGTCTTCATCTGCTGCGAACGTTCTAATTTCCTTCAGCAGAACCACGGTGAATTCAATAGCGGAGAGCCAAACCAACAGTTCACGAAGCATGACGCAGCGATTTATTCGCGCTGACCCATTTCGACGTCCGAAAAAGACGACGCCCGCAGGTTTGTCCATTCTGGAAGAAGACGTCCCATTCCTTAAAAACGAAAAATGACCTTTTGGGAAAAAAGCCATTGATTCGATCGGAACTTGCTGTTACTTCTGCAAAGATCGGGGCGCAAAGAGAAAGCAATATAACACAAAAAAGGTTCCTTTTTTTCTGTTAATTTTTTTTCTTTTGTCCTAACTTTGCATGGGTTTTCGACGAAATTCTCTCAGGCTCTTTGTTTTTGGAAGGTTCCCTTAAACCTCAAATTTTTTTTGATGTACAAAAAATTTTCCACAATAATACTTTATTCATCCACGTATCAAGTTTTGTTTCACAGGGGGGAAACTTATTGCACTTCAGACAAAGGTTTGTTTTGTTGCTAGAAATTAGTTAAAACTAGAGATTGACTAGCTTGATTTGTTTCAAGGGAAAATCACAGATATGCAAATGATAGAATATGGCCGAACGGAGAAGGACGAGATATCGAATCACAACGGTGGAAATGCTACATCTTTGGACAAATGCACTAAAATTGGAAAAAAATGGCTACAAGTTCATGGGGATTCCTCAATGAGGAAAACATTTTGCGTATAGTTCTGTGATGAAATTGGTTAACAAAAGGAGAAAAAGACGATGAAAAGACAGGTGAATGGATTTGTATCTACTTCTTTTCAAGTGGCTTTGAAAATCATAAGATTTGATAGGCGCTACGAAATCAAAAAATCATCAAAAAAATGGGAAATCTATTGTTGAAGATAAACATTTTCAAAAAGGACAGAAAAAAAATTTCAAAAAATGTGAATGTTAAACGAGCGAAACAAAAAATTTAATGGAACGACAAAAGAGATACCGGAGATAGTTGACGCTGTTACAAAAAAACGGAGTAAAAAAAGAAAAATGAAGCATTCGATTGGTCGAAATGCAGGGAATCACCGGGAATAGCTGACGCTGTTACAACAAAAAAAAAGACGGAATAAAAAAAAAAGAAAATGAAGCATTCGATTGGTCGAAATGCAGGGAATCACCGGGATTAGCTGACGCTGTTACAAAAAAAAGGAATGAGTAAAAAAAAATGAAGCATTCGATTGGTCGAAATGCAGGGAATCACGAAAAAGATGGAAAAGTCGCACTTCTTTCCAGAAATGCTATGACAAACCGGTGATAGCAAGAAGCAAAAAGGTACCGAGTAGATGTCGCCATTGCACTTTGGAAAAAGAAAACACTAACAAAACAAATGAAAAAGAAATGAATAAAAAAGCTTGGCATTCGTTTGGTCGAGGTGCGAAAAGTAACCAGGGATAGCTGACGCGATCGCAATGATAAATTGAAAACAAGTGAGAAAAAAAGGGAAAAAACAAAAGAACATTTCCCGTTTCAAAAATGCAAAAAAGGCGTAGAAACCAGAGAAGAAATTTAGAAATGGACTCCAAGGATGTTCAAGGTGACCATTCCAATGGCGAAACAAGCCCAAGCGCCGATGACAAAAGGCCAAATCGGAGACTGGAAGGGGCTCACGTGCTTCTTCGGCACAGGGAAGTTGAGCACGGATTTCGCATATTTTCTAGCGGCCATCACAAGCATACAAGGCACCACGAACTGCACTCCGACGCCTGAAATTTTCCAAAAGATCGGGTTAATACGGATTGTGGAATAGTGATGATTTTTCTCAAATTGCAATTTTCTGTTCAATATATTTTTAGTTACACTGAGAAAGCCTTTTTCAACACAACGGAGATTTATATTTATCGAAATCATGTTGAATTCGTTTCAGAAATACCATCAGTATTTGCTATTTCAGAAGGCGTTTTCTGTGTCAAAACATTTTTAGCTGACCTGGATAACTGCCGGTGACCGTTGCAAGCAGAAGCAAGTTATCGGTGAGGATACTGATAAGAGTCGGGAAAATGAGAATGAAGGCCGTGATGAAATGATCAGAGATTGACTTCTGCAAGAAAAATCCATTCATCACTGTTTTTCTTTGTTGTGAAAACCTCGCGAACATGTCGAGAATCTCGCTCATCGATTTCGCCGTCAGAGCCGTCGTCTTCCAGAAGGGCCTCTTGCTCAACACTGAAATATTTATTGTACAAGACCAACATCAACAAAGCGAAAACCTGTTTTTCGGAAAAAGCAACTCTTTCAGCACTTTTACATTGTTAATTAACGTGATAGCCACGATTGGATAATTCGTAGTCAGAGTGAAAATTGGGAACAGCGCTAGAAAAATGTCGGAAACCGCGTAAAAAAAAGAATTGTTCTCGTCGTGGAGGAAATTCAGAGTGTAGAGATCCTGAATGAAGGTCCATCAAATACAAAAATTCTCTCACCAAACCTGAACATGTTCAAAAGCGAACGCTCCAGTGATCGATAAGGTGAAATAGAACATTCCAATCACTCCATACACAAGTCCCATCATTCCGAAGAGTTTTGTCTTTGAGCTGAAAAATAATGAAATCTTTTTGTTGATTTCAAAAGCCGAATTCGTAAAAGTTTGCTTCATGGCAAAAATATTAATCTCTCAAAAAAAGAAGAAATAATTACATATTTCAATTTTTTTAAAAAGTTTTTTTGTGTTAATCAAAACAATACAGTTTCAATGCCTTGCGCATTTCCACTGGGTGAATGTTCAAGTTCTAGAATAACAACCGGGAGCATTGACTCGAAACGCTCGAAAAGAAAAAAACCTCATTGGTGTGATCAAAGACGGCAAACTGTGATGACACATGAACGCGTAGACAGTCACCCCAAAAAGAGATCCAAATCCATGGACATTAGCAGCTGGTGGATACGCGGCCGGCCCATTTGAAATCAGTTGAATCGAGGCCAATGTGATCATCAGAATGAATGCTGCAACTGGAATATTTAAAAATTCGTGAGAATTCAATTACCAGTCCAGCGCGAAATGGTAGTGGCCAACTGAATGTATTTTGTCTTTGTTATTCCAACGATAACCATTGGTGTACACATACCAACAAAAAGAACCACGCAGATTCGATAAACTGAAATTTTAATTCAATGAATGAAAAAATGGTTGCTGAACCTGTCATTCTGGTTAAAAACTCCGGCCAGAATTCGTGACAAGGATCTGAAGATGTAACGGTGCTTGAGTTGACTGTGGAGCTGAAAATTATCATAGAAAATTTACGAGCTTCCGTACAAATATATATAAAATCAAATCATATTCAGAATATATAAAATCAAATCATATTTATCAATACAGTTTTATCTTTCATCGAATTCTCATTTTTTCAGACCGCTAAAAAACAACCGTCAAAGTGAAATAACCCAGAAATTTCCAATCAAAAACAAGAGCGTATTTTGAACTTTGCAAAGTTTTTTGCTTTAGCTGAAATTTTTTGTTTTTGCAAAATAGCAGAATATCTATCACGAGATTTTGAAGAGTTGGAGACGTTCGTTTTTTTATATTCTACAAAAATGGATTCTATAATTCTTATTCAATATATTTTTTTGTTCAGCTCAAAACTTAAATGACGCATGTAACTCTAACTTCAAAAATTTAATTGAGACCAAAAACCAAAACTTCAGTAGAAGGAATTAAAACGAACCAAATCAAGTTCATCATCGATTTTGGCACGGTGGTGGAGTAGATAGCCAGATCGCCAAACAAGTAAACGTTAAGGGACAGGTAAGAAATGAGCAACCCAGTCCGACTCAGAAACATTGAGGCCATTTCACTCTGAAATTATAATCCCTTCACATGAGGCAAATTGAGAAAAAAAAACGTACAACTTCGACTTTCGAAGTGATTTCGAATGAGGATGGCCCGATGCTCGATATGGAGACGTCTGGAAAACTTTTACTTGAATAATAAACAAAACTATTCGAAATCACCATCATATTCAACATTGACTCGATCACGTCGTCGATTTTTGGCAACAAAAGCGTTAGCCACAGCCAACGATTCAACAATGAACGTGGCGGCAATGTAACTAAAAAAAACGATTTGATACAAGGAAAACATGTTTGCTGTGAAAATTTCTTTTTTATACTCCTTTCAAAAAATGAATGACTTTCAGCACTTTTTTCCGTTGCCTTCTTTGATGTACCATAATGTTTGAATAAAACTCAAGATCAAACCTCATAAGAGCAGAAACAGATAGTATTGAAATACTGAGAAGCCATCCAGCCGTTTGAAATGCTTTTGGCAACGCAAGAGCGCCGGTTCCCACAATCAAATTAAACACGTAGAGAAGACCCACCTTAATCAATATACGTGTGAAACATATTGTAACTGTAACACATTATAAAGTTGAAAACGAACCGTTTGAGAAAAAGATGCATTGGGATCGACGCTGGCCGGCATCTTTCCTAGCTGTTTGAATTTCACAGCGTTTCTCTCTTTTTTGTCGTTATCGGGCTCATTCACCTGATAAGGGTTTGCATGAAAATCTCGTGATAAGAAAATTTAACGGCGCGATTTTAGACTAAGAACGAATTGTGAATAAGAAAGTCATTATTACTTCAAAACGGAGGACATAAAAGTGTAAACGTGATACATTCTTTCTTCCAAATACTCGCATGTTTCACTGATAAATGAAAATCGAATTGACAAACGAACATATTGATGTACAATGAATTGGCTAAAGAACTAGTTTTGGATCAAATAAGACCAATGCTAATAAAAGCTAAACGATGCAAGATCTTTGAGATCAGAGCGAAAGGCCGGCTGAATCACATGACGGGTATGTGCGCTCAAGCGCTAATTTTATTTAATTTCGCGCCACAAATGAGTTTTAAACAGCGGTTTGGATCGATCTGGCTCTTTAATATTTATAAAGAAACTGAGCAAGCAATCGGCATGAATCATTAATAGAATAGCGGAAGGAGACCCCGGCTCCTGGGAAAATTCACGAAAATTTCAAAATGACACCTCACGTTGTTGAAAAATGTGTACAGCGAAAAAATGAGAAGCTTGCTAGTTTTATTTGCCTTTTCAGGCTTTTCAGGACATCAAAACGTAATTCGATTAACGCAAATGGTTCCAATTGGAAAAAAATAGTTTGGAAAGGGGTTTGAGAGAATGGAGTAAAAAAGGTTGAACGATTGCCTCTCCGTTGCCTTGTTGCAAGCGCCAAAACATGATCTGTCAGATTTGATCTTGCGTCACATACAGTGTCGGCATCCACGCACGGAAGTCTGTTTTTTTTTTCCACAAATTTTCAATCAGCCTCTCAGTTCCAATAAATGCAGTTCAAATATTCAAAAATAATGAAACCAGAAGTGGAAGGAATGGAAGATTCTGTTGAAGGTGAAGAACTTTTCAAAAATTTTGCTCAAAAACTAGATTACATTTAAAAAAATGCAAGTGTAGACAGATATCAGTGTTAATATTCTTTATGAAAAATGGAATTTTCATTATTTAACACCAGATAATTTATAATAAAGTTGTACCAAAGTCAACTCAAACCTTGGCTGCCAACCTTTTGGTAAACACTTGTTCTTGCTTATTTGCTCCCATCCAAGCAGAAAATTTCTGGAAATTCAATAGGCAGAGGAAAAGCTTTATGTCTGCGTTTGTTGTGTTGTTTCGGAGAATATGTGGTTTTTGATGCACTCGTAGTCCAAACTCAACTTGTTTGTTTCGAAAATTGAGGGAGTTGCCCTGGAAAACCTCTGACGCGTGCGCTTCATAACGTAAACAAGACGTGAAAAAAGAACTTGGTTATCCAAAAAAAAAAAAATTAAACCATCGAGCAATTCCATTGCTGGTTTCTCCTCAGTGGAAAATTTAGCAGAAACATCAAAAATCTTGTTTTTGTATTCAAAAGTTTATTCGCTGAGGTGAAGGCTGAAAGTGAATGTTGATTTTTGAAAAAAGATATAATGATTGCGTACAATGATTATAAGTGAGATCGACTCATAAATGCAGGTAAAATAGGCTAAAATATGTTCACAAGTAGGGTCATAACTGAGAGGGGCAGTGTTTTGTTAATTGAGGTATGGTGTTTTCAAATCAATTGTATTTCTTGGTGACAGTTCGTGTTTCATAAGTCGCAGAAACGTTGCGCTTCTCCGGTCGCTGAAAAATATTTTTTTAAAAAAAGAACTAAATCAGTTTTTCATTTAACAGAGAAAAATCTCCTGTTTTTCTGATACTGCAAATTATGAAAAGTCAAAATTTGCGTGAATAGGATAAAAGATAGTCAAAAGCAATCTTGAAAAAAACTCAAGAAAATTCCAAGTTTGGAACTTTTCTTTTATACGCAAGATTCAATGTTCGAAATTTCACCTCGTCAATGAACTGCTTCTGCATGCGGTGCCAGACCGAGAAGAGGAAAGTGGAGAAAAATCCACTGATCATGAAGGCGGTAATGTGGTTGGCCGAATAAACCCCCAAAACCCAGTGACCCCAGATATTCAGGACGAAAACGGTGCTCTGTGTCTGTAATCGCGTAATAATTAATCCGCGTTGGTCAGCGAGGTCCAAACCAGCAGCCGACTGGCGAGATAGACGGTTTGGAGATGAGGAGGGAAGAAACGAGCAGAAAGTGAAGTCAGGGCCGGCAGAAGGTTGAGCGCTCCAAACAGTCGGCACCACATGAAGTGGTGGGAGTCAAGCAGATATTCCGGCTTGATCTGCAGAAAGAATTTTCGAAAAATCAAAACTAATTTTGTCTGACAATGAGACGAAGAATATGCTGCGGGAAAGCGTAGTGAATGAGAGCGTACACCAACGTCAAACCGGCGTCGAAGTACAGAGCGTTTTCCAGGTAGAACGAACCTTTTCCCTGAAATTGTCTGATAAGTTCTGTTCAAGTTTTTTCGTGGAATGTTGAAATAGGCAGGCGAGATATCTTGAAAAAAAGGTAAAACCCGAACCTCTATCCAAACAGTCGTACGAGTGGCCAAGGCGTCGACCTCTTCCTGTTGAGTGCGGCTGTTCTGGTAGAAGCGGACAATCTCCGACACGAACCAGGCCCCATCAACTAGCAGCACACATACAATAAACTGAAAAATGATCATTTTTTGTTTAATTTTCAAAATGGTAAACGTTGTCAGTGATGAGAAGTCCACGAGTGCTCTTTTCGCTGAGATGCCACGCGGCAAAACTTCTGGTCAAAAGTGTCACAAACGCGGTGACAGCTCGTGAAAAGACAATCGACTGCTCCGGTCGGCCAAAACCCTGGCTTTTCCAAAGGAGATAAGCGTGTCCAATCTGAAGCTTCAGTTTTTTTTCCTTTTAACAAAAATAAGGAGAACTAACGTGAACCGCAGCACAAAACGATTGAAGAAAACCATGAAGATTGTTGAAGTCTCCCGTGACCTGAAAAACTTCATAAAATTACATGAACCTTTATTCAAATCGGGTGGAACTTGTTGTCTTCAATTCACATTGGGAAGGGCCCTAATTTCCATATTAAGTGCCTTAAGATGGCAGCAAAAGATTATCGCGCATATGGCGGTTTCATACGCATTTCCTACATTCACCAATTTGAAAACGCACATGTAAATGTAATTAATGACAGAGAATGAAAAAAACTCACGGTAATCCTCATGAAATACGTTGGAAAAGCAAAAAAGAGAAATCCGAGGATGACATGCGCGGCGATTTGACTTCTTTGTCGAAGGCGATGCTCCACGACCGGCAGCACAGAAATGGCGAACAATGATCCGACGAGCACGTGTGGCGCCAGCATCATAGCAGGATTCGCAGGAGTTCCCTGCATTCTGAGTTGAGCACAACGAGAAGCTTGCGAGCTGAAAATGGAGCGTAGGCAAAAGAAAAAAGGGCAGAAACGGCGAGCGAGAGGGACAGATGGCTGCTCTGGCGCCGGAGGAAGGAGAGAGGGGAGGAGTCTGACCTCTCAACACAACAACCACAGGCAACACAACAATCCGGCTGCGCTCGCGAGTCAATGTATTTGCGAGTCACGCGACAATGAGCCTTGATGGACGATGGCCTTCTGTTCACTGTGGCTGAAGGGAAAAGGCAATCGCCATATTTGCAAGCCATTTCCTGTTCTGCGGCAGAGTACAAAGGCTCCAAAATTACCGTTGTTTGCGATAATGAGAATGAAATCTGCTCATTCAAGGCCACTCGATGTTTTCTTTCAGAAACAAATAATGTATCTTCGTATCATACCATCAATAATAACAAATTCAAATAAGTAGTCAAAAGCGCAAACTTTGTTTTCATTATCGTTATTTACAGTTTCGGAAATTTTCGAACTTTCCCAAATTTGAAAAGTTGCTCGTTTCCAGAATTTTGAAAAAGCTGATGGATCAATTGAACTACCAAAAACTATTTTAGCGCGTAGTTGTATTGTCGAGTACTGAAGAGACAAAAATGAGAGATGAGTGCAGTTGACCGTATTGACCAAAGACAAGACAGAGGTGTACGACGGAACAATCGGCGCAGAAAGTAAAGAGAAGATTCGGCTTCGGGACGTGTACTGTGGCACTTATAAGCCACACATATTTGCATGGCGATGAGCAATGTGTTTGGTTATAGAGATCCACTTTTATGGCCCACAGTTATGGCTCTGAACGCTGCCCTTTCCACAAGACTTTCCGAACGGAGGGAAACGTTTCGAGAAACTCCAACTCTTGGGTTCGACTTCCAATCCCAATTTTCATTCCACTAAAAAAAAAAGAGACTGCGATTAACTTCGGTTATTCAGTTAAAATAAGCCATTTTTTCGAAACTTTTTCAAAACTTTTCTCATTGACTTTCACTTTTAACATGTCAACTCAACTCAACACCACACTTCTAAGAATGGAATAATTTATTCCTTTGAAAAACATAAAAAAGAGTTTAAAAAATTTAAAGTGAGTATTTTTTTTTGAAAAACATCAAAAAGATTTATTCGGCATGGCGGCCGCTGTCGAAGTCGTTTGACACGTCTTTCGTAATTTTGAGTGCGCTCTGAAAAAACATTTTGTTTTTTTTTCAAGAACAAAGATTGGAGAAAGCGTGAATGGGATTTTACCTCAGACTGCGGATCATCAAATAGCATTTCCATCTCTCGAAAGTCTTCCTCTTCGGCCCAGTTCAAGTTCTGGTGGAACTGAAAAGGGTTCTCTTACAATCAACTCAAGCAGTGTGAAAATTCTGAAACTTACTATCGAGTTCAAATTTCGCAGAGCAGCTTCTCTCTGTGATCGTGATTCTGTCGGTCTTTGTCTGATAAGGCTTTTTGCAATGACTCGGTGTGCTTTTTGGGAGATGCTCTGAAAAAATAAAGTTTTTCCTAACTCTGAGAGCTTCTTACCTTGCCGGGAAAGAGTGTCGAGTAAGGATCATAACGGGCCAAATGGAAAAGTTCACAATCCGGCATATAAGTTTCAGTCTAAAAAGAAACAATAATTAATAGAAAAAATATATTACCAATCTGAGCAACTTATAAAACGGAAAAGGTGAAACTTGAACACTTTTATTCGAGAAAAAAAACCTCCAAAATTTTGTTTTCTTCTTGGCAGTCTATGGAAACTTTTTAGCTTTGACATATTTTTTCTCCATCAAAATGAGAAAAAATTTCTAGAGTCTGATATTTCAATTAAACATACTAAATGGGTAGGTGCAGGAACGACGGGGACCGGGCGTTTCCGAGCTGTGATCGTTTGAAACTGATCCTGTAATTCATTTTTTTGTTGAAAAAAACAAGCATAATGAACTAACGAAAATATCCGACGCTCTGATGTATATTTTTTTAGTGAATATTTTTGTGTGCATACTTTTGAGTGAAAAAAATATGTATTCGAGTTTTTTTGCACAATATCACATAAACAGTACATAGAAAAAAAGTTTTTCAAAAAGCTGACTTTACGGACATATTTTTTGTTGGCTTTTGATATGCAATACACTTTGTTTTCTTACGGATTAATGATATTTATCTCATTCCTTATAATTTTCAGATTTTGATGCAACTTACTTGGCTTTTTTTCTGGCAAATGATGCACTCCGACGGCTGTTCCGGGCAATACCTTTATTTTGGAGATGTCGACGTCATTGTTCAATTTCTGCAATTAGTTTTTGGTTTTTTTCTAATATATGACATGAAGAACTGACGATGATAAAAGGCTTTTGTCTCTGAGTTCACAGCTGGATCAAGCTGATCGGAGAGCGCAGTCATCTGAAAAAAACTTGTTCGTAAAAAGGAAAAATGTGTGTGAGAATTGATTTATTCAAATCCTTACATATCTTAAGAGAAAAAAATTCTTTTTAACCCACAAGGAATTGAAAAAAATTTTTCGAACATGTATATTAATTCAAAAAAGTCTGTTTATCTTTTCAAAACGCAAAAACTTTCTGAAAAGTTGAATTTTTTGGATATTGAGGAAAACTTATATTTTAATAGTGGTCTGCATTTCACGAAATATTCACCTGACTTTCGTGTGTTTCCGCATTGGGAGACTCTTCGACTTCTTCGGAAATAGGGGCGAGCATGTGGTAGTTGTAAGGAGTTGCCATTCCTGATAACTGTTTCATATCTGATCAGCATTGAAAAGAAAAAATCAACGCGTGAAAAAAGACAGAAATGATTGGACGGCGCAACGGACATGATTCAAACAAAATCGGTAAAATATAAGGAAAAATCGAAAAACGCAAGCTTTGAAACTTTAATTTTGTTATTATATTAGTATTACTATATTCAAACTCTTGTTAACCAATAAAAAAAAGTGATAATTTCATTATAATAGACTTATTCTTAAACTCATTCTATTATTAAGTCCGAAAATATTTTTAACATTAAAAAAATCAATGAAAATTTATATTTTTATGAGTTTTTGCAATCCAAGTACAAAATTGAAGTAATTGTAGTCTTCAAATTCTCCAGGATTACGTCAATAAAAATTTACTCGGTTCTCATTATGGTTAAAAAGGCGAAACGAGAAAACAGGACGAGCTGACCTTTCGTAACACTGTTCCAATCAAATTGAGAGCTTACTATTAGAGATATACATTGAACCAATGTTAAAATAATAGTTGTCCTTTTGATTTTGACTCACTTTGAAACAAAAATATGTGAAAAAAACATAAGCATCCCTTTAAAAACTGAAATGAAGAGCGCAAAATGAGAGCAGAATGTTCATAAGTTCCTCTTCGGTGTATGCACACTTTCGGTCGAGTATCGTTTTTTTGCTTTCAAAAATTCAATTAATCAAATTTTATCATTAGTGAAAAATTTTCGATCAACAGACTCGAATCAAAAAAAGTTGTTATACAGTCATTGAACAAAAAAAGACACATTATATTGGAATTTTTGGCGTTTCAGGTGAATTTTTACCGGGGTATATGAACAAATTGTTTTGAGTGAGGGCTTTTTTTGTGCGTGTAAGTTTATTAATTTTTTTGTTAACACAATGGAAAAAAAGTATTGCAGTTTGAAGAAAAGTTTTTCATACAGAAGAAAAAAAGTAGAGTAGAAAAAAAATATAAAAATACGTGAGAAGGGTTTTTTTCTCAAAATTTTTTTAATGAGGTTTCCGTTCAGCGTTGCTATATACAAAGAAAACTTGTGAATTGAAACAATGTAGACAATAAAAATAATCAGCGCTTGAATTATATCCGGTGCCAGCCCAAAAAAATCTGAAGAATCCGGTGAAAACCTTCTTTGAGACGATGAGACAGCTTTCTGTAGTTTTTTTGCGTGACAGAATTCATTTTATTTATATATTAAGGTGGTTTTTATTTGGTAATAATAACAAAAAAACTGTTCACTATGGCATGTTTACTATTTGAACTACTCACATCAAAAACAATTTCAAAGAAAATTGAGTGTTTCATGAGTATTAAACTGCAGCATCCGGCGAAAAGCAGTTTTTATATCTTTTCTTGGGTTTTTGGTTCAGCATGGCTTTAATTGATTGTTGGGGTTTTGAAGAACGATAAAGATCAATTTTAATGCTCCTAGCAAAAAAATAAAAGAACCAACACTTCCGAAATTGAGGAAAAAACTATCCCAAGGAAAAGCGTGAAGTGAACGGCAAAAAAGGACAATTTACAATATCTACGGATAATTTTTTTTGCTCTTCAGATTCCATTTCTCTCTTGGTAACCACACACTCAACAAACTAGACTAAAAATTCCACAGTTGAAGTTGATTTAGTCGTGGCTTCCTTTTGAAATGAGTCCAAGAGACTAAGAGGACAAATCTTCGTTTATGAAACGGCGAATCCGAAAAAATCAAATCTCCAGACTTCTTGGAAAGCCTAGTACAGCAGGATGCTTTGAAAAAAGACATTTTGGTGAGTTCAGCGGGTGCTCTTTGAGACGGCCACAAAGACTTTTTTAGACACGAAGTCATCAGATCGAGTGAACGACATTTGCCAATGTTTCGATGACTCTTACAATTCATGCCAATTTCTCACTTTTTCGTCTAAATCAATGTTACAATAGGTCGCGTCGAGCCGAAATGTTTTATATGTCTTATCTGTGGCGAATCTGACAAAGATTTTTCTATCGTCCCATCATTTCATTTTGTAGAAGTTACGTTGCAGCTCAGTTTTTATTCTTTTCATCCTTTTAGTAGCTTCTGCGTCTGTTGAAAAATTTTCAATGCTGTTTGACAAGCGTAAAATATATTTGGAACTTCGACTTACTGAGTCTGTCTCAGTGTTAATTCGAGATTTTCAAAATGATTTGCGCCTTCAAACACCCCACCAAAGACACTTTAATACACAACAACTTTTTCATCATCCTAATCTGGTTGAAATTCTTAAAAAAATCAAATTTTTTTCACAGGGTGTAATGACAAAAAAATGCTTGGACTACGAGGCATAGTGCACAAACTTCCAAACCCCGCATATCAGTAAGCTTTTATTTTTTTCCTATAGCTAATCGCATTCTCAAAAAAAAACTTTGAGCTATTTACTTAATTTATTAGCAATATGAGAAATTTCAGAAGATGGCACAACATATTTTTGGTCCACCTGTTAGAAAGCAAGAAATGTGCTTTCATGAGAAACGATGTCGCTCTGAACGACGGAATTGTGATGGACGACCTACGCGTTGGTGATATCGTTAAAGTGGATATGATGTAAAAATTGAAAATCGCCCATCAAAACCATTTATTTTTCAGCAAGAAAGGCAACTCGAACGATGTTTTGAAGCAGTTGGAAGTGACCAGGCTTTGTGAAGTGGAACCTCGTTGTTTTGAGCACATCAAAGGGAACAAAATAATGGTGAAACCCAGTTTTAGAACAATTTGAAAGCATTTTTAGGGTTCTGTTGATAAAACGGTCACTGGAGATGGTTACGAACTCAAGAATGATGCAATCGGTTGGAGAAATTAATGAAAACTGTTGGCAAAAACATTTTTCTAGGCGTCATTTCGGATCCTCACAAATCTTGTTCGTCGTTTCCAGAAGGTCGGCACGAAGTCACTATTTTTCTACCTCCGCTGAACTTCTACAATAACCACTTGAACAGTACAACGGCTTTTTGTGATGCGTTCCCGTTCTTGGTTGATCATGTAAGTTTTGTTTTCAATTTCATCTCAAACAAGAAAAAACATTATAAGTGAAATTCGTTTGGTTTTCGGATCCGATACTCATTTGTTCGATTCTCTGAGGGAGATAATGAACAAAGTCAATTATTTTCAAAGTTCTATCATGACGAAAATCAAAAAAAACCAATCGCACTCGAAACTGATTTCAGATGATTGTTATTAAATGGCAGCTAACGCTCCAGTGGAGCAAAAAATTATAAAAATTCAGTTTTTTTACAGTTTAGCACTGTATCAACTACTTATTACTTATTTGCAGCGTGCTATAGAAATCAACCCGTTTGTCAGTCAGGTATAACGGCCAACAGCTGGAAATAAATACAAGAACTGTTTCAGAACGAGCTGATTCGCTGCGAAGGCATCGTTGTTCATCAAAGGAACCTTTTCAACGATCCCATGCTCTTTATCTTCACCAAAGGATGTTCCCCGTATACCGACATCCTAGCCATCCTTCCGGAAAACACGGGTTTTCGCCTGGGGACTTTTGTCTCCTTCATGATGCTGTAATTAAAAAATTTCTCGGCGTTCCTTAACTCCGAATTTCAAGCAAAGCTGATTATGAGAAAAGAGCTACAAAGAAGAAGCTGCAAACAGACTTTTCAACCATTCGGCAGATTGATCCACCTGGAGGTATTACTTCGGACGTCGGCGCTTTCGATGACATTGTCAGAGTGAGTTCAGCAAGATGACTAGTGAGTAATGTCCAAAAAAAGGTATACGATTTTTTTTCGATGACAAAAAGGTATTTAATTTTTCGGACATTACTCACAAGTAATTTCAGGTATCCTAAAACTTTTTTTTTTGAATGTTCTTATCAATCAATAAAGTTGATGTCCTGCTTGGATCAAATGTTGGGAAATTAGTTTCAGATCACCATCAAAGATTTTTCCACGACGGAAAGCACGGGACCATACACACATGAATGGATTGGAAATTTCGACGACCCAAATAGAAAAACTTGCTCCAAACCACTGGTGAGTTTACTCAGAAAAAAATAAAATAAAAACAATTTCATTTCATTGAAAGTCATTTCATTAGGAACTATAGATCCTTCGTAAAAAAATCAAAAAACCAGATTGGAGCCGCCAAATCTCCCAAACTCCTCCAGTTTCACTTACACGAGTATTGCCGTTTTCCTGGGCAAAAAATTCAAAATTATTTTTTTGCATAGGAAAGTTTTTAAATTAGATTTCAGAAAAATCAGAATATGTTTATTTTGACAATAAAAGCCTTTTTTTATACGGTAAATGAGAGATTTCCAGTGAATTATATTTCTAGTGGAAAAAAATGTTTTTTTAATCATTCTTCGAAATTCAGCTATGCTCATATAACTCTGAGCAAGTTTTTCGCAACCGGATGCTAGTCACAGGAGTCCGTGGATGGTGTCAACTGCATACCGTTGTGTTCGTTTTTTTTTTATTAGCTCCTTCGACCTAATTTGTTTCAGTTTCATCCAAAAGCCTCGCAGACTGCTAAGAATCCCGGAAAAAAGGAAATATCCCGCCTTTGATTTCATTGAGATATATTCGATTTCAATTAGTTTGGTGATTAATAATTGAGCGACTTGGACATTTATTTTTATTGGATTCACTCTGAAAACAGTAATCAAAAACGTTTTTTTATTGTAGGGACATTTGCTGAAAATATTTTGCATTAATATTTTGTTATCCTTCTTTTTAATTAAATTAACTTTTATCAAAAAAGGCTCATTTCTTTTTTACCTGCCTAAAATTTCTCTGCTTCTGCTCCTGAACCTTTTATTTCTGCTTTTTTTTTCTTTTCGATAATGGTTGTTTTGCTTTTATCCCCGATATTACCTTGCGATATGATGAAGTTTTTGAAAAAAAAAAAGTGATCTCGAAAACATATTTTCTCATCCAGTTTATTGTGAAACAAGCGTCAAAATTTAAACTTGCTCGGCTCGGACTTCGATTGAGAAACAATTAACAAGTATACCAAGAAAACTGAAAAACTAGTAGTCCACCAACAATAATTTAGGGCAAAATTTTAGTTTTTCGTGCTCGAAGCGTTCGATACCTGTTTTTTTCTTCCTTCTGTACATTGCAAGTAGATATTACGTTTACTTGAAGCTCAATATCGACTTTTTGCCATCAGAATTTACATCTTTTCGATCGAAAAGGGTTCCATCAAATAAGGGCTTCGTCGACTACTCATATCTTAATTTTTTTGAAAACACTTTGGATGACAAAGTTCAGACTGCGGTCAGTTGAACACTGTGAGACTTACCTTAATATTGACATAAACTGTTCTCTGTTTGTAGGGTTGTGCGAGCGCGGGCCCGGCACATTTTTTCAATTTTACCAGTTCTTTTCCTGGTTTTTTTTTTCTGGCCACTTTTCACCGTGCCGTCTTGTCCAGTGAACTTGCTCGCACTGACAACAACTTCTCACTCGGAGTTCATTTCCGCCCAACAAATTTTCTCCCATCTAAACATATTCCGTTTGCGCCCTGAGAATTAAAGTCGGTATATTTCTCTGTTTGAAAGGGCGATTTTTTTTGAAACGCATGAGAAAACGGGCAGCAAAATGTTTTTATAGCTTGCTCCCTTGCCGTTTCCCAAGGACAAACCTTTTTTTCCTCCTGTTTTATCGAAAAACTTTTTAAAATTTCATCGTTGACTTAATTCAAAAAATTCGGATAGGAAAAAGAATAGAAAAACATATATTGAAAGACAGCATTATTCACATGCGCCGCATGCGTGCTTTGAGCAGCTTTACGGCGTGTAACTTCGATTTTCACGAATTAATTATCCTCGTCCTCCTAGAAAACTTAGTAGCTTTGTTTGTCCCTTCCAGCCATTCCTATTAAATCGAAATGAGTTGGCTTTCGTTTCACGTCTTTGTCGAGACATGCATGAACTCACACATCGTCTCAAGGCCTCCACAGTTTTTGCTAAAATTAATGACTTATTGTGCTAATTCTGATAAAAAAAGGTTTGACGCACTGCGAGGTGTTCTTTCTGGGATTTTTTTTTGTCTACTTGCGAAAATTCAGTAAAAAAAAGCGTGCGAAAAAATTCCAGCCTCTGATATTCATCATCAGCAGTTTTTTTTCAACGTTGGTGGGGTCATTTAAAGTTAGGCTCTCCACTCGATCGAAGTCTTTTTTAAAGTAATTGATAAATTAAAAATTGTTTTTTAATTCATTGAACTAATTTGTATCAAGAACGTTTTTGGAAGCAACTTAAGTATGGTAAAAACAAAATCGGTTTTCCATCGGGCAAAAAAATAATTTATAACATAGCGATTTTTTTATTTGATAAAAAAACATTAAAAAAAGAAATCAGTTAACTGATTATCATTGATATAAGGATTGAACTTCGGCTCATCGACTTGGGGCGCCGAAGCCACTCAAGAAGTACAAAAGAAGAAGATCTCCATTAATCATAACTACGAAAAGAAATCTTTAATTTTAAGAATCATTTAATTGTGTACTTGATTTTTCTCCATTCGTCTTTGTTCAATATTATTTGTTCTTTGGAAAAAATTGACCCCGCTTTTTAAAAACCTTCACTTCCTCTTTCGAAACTTGAGAAAATTGCGATTTGGAGAGAGTAGATCAAATTCGTCCTTTTTTCTTCCAGAAGGCGGAAGACGACGTTGCCTGGCTACTTGATTAATCATTCGCTTAGGAAAAACAGCTGCACAACAACGTTTGCGTACTTTTTGGCGTTGTTGTGAACATGTGGCCTGTACGAGTCGGGGTCATAGCTTCGGACAGAAACTACGGAGCATTGCGGGCTAGCTGTTTTGCTGGTAGGAGAAGGGTTTTTGTGCGTTGTTCTTGAGACTTTTGATATGAGGGTCCGAGTTTTTTTTTATCGTAGTGAATAATTACTGTTTTTGAAGTAGTTAGCTAGAGTTTCACCTGTAAACTTTATTATGATATTTAAAAAAAACAGAGAAAAGTAGTGTTTTTGATAGCCTCCTTGGTAGCTCAATCAAGCTTTGTAGAAATTTATTTAAAGCTTTTCGGAATCCCTATCACGAGTTATCTCTCCAAGATTTGCTTTTTAATCGAGTTATAAGTTTCTCAATTCTCATGACAACCTAACATTTGGGCAATTCCTCTAATTCTTTACAAAAGAAAGTGAAAAAAATTACATTCATCTTCTTTTTGATCAATGGAAAAAGAGGGAGAGCGAAACGTGGGATAATAAAATTGAACTTGGTACGAAACTCTCCAAAACTTTGCGATTTTATTTTAATCTGGATTTTTCTTATTTAGCTCAATCAATTTCTGATTTCAATAGAAGAAAAAAAAACAATCGAAAACGCTCATTAACCAACAACGTCTTAAATGTTGCTTCGTGGTAACTTTAATTGAAATTTTTGTAGCTCTTATCAAATTTATCTTGACATACTACAGAGTTTCTGCAAAGTTCCGCGATAAAATAAGTTTCGTGGAATTTCCCACGATTGAAACAAGCACCGGATGCTTTCCAACGTTATCAGCTCGTTTCCGTGACGTACGAACGACTCGTTGAATTTTCTTTCAAATGGGAATCAACTCAGTATACCGGCCCATTACACAGTTTTGCTTTTTGTAAACAGATTTCCGTGTTTTGTTGTTTTTTACTTTTTTCAGAAGTTTTTCGTAACCGTTTGTTCCGATTCACAAAACTTTGAGATAAATAAAAGACGTTTTATTACTTTTGTTTTCTTTTTGATTTTCTCATAAGTACTAAATTAAGGGATGTTCAGTATTCATTATCAAGTAAAAAATATTACATTCTCACGACTTCATTACAAAAATGTCACAATTTCGACTAATTTCGTCACGTAAACAACCATTTAAGAACTGGCAGTCTAATCTATTTTTGTACCGTACTTTAGAAATGAGAAACAATTTTGCCTTTTCAAAAAATTTTTTGCATGCTCCGATGACCTCATCCTATCCACCAATCTTTTGAATCATGACCAGTTTTTGTTTTGGTTCTCGGTTTGCCATTATCTCTTGTGTCCTACTTTTTTGTGTGGATTGCACTGCAGTCGGCGAACACCTGTTTGGACTTTTTTGTCGGTTCGAGACTCCGATGAGCTCATCCCGCAAATAATCTCAAGTTATCACGAAGTTCAACTCGTGTTAGAAAGGTCCACCGCGTGTTTGCTTAGCTGTTTTTTTTTGTTCAATAGAGTCTTTCTGTCAGAGAAGCAAAAATGACTAAGTGTGAACGATATTCTGAATTTCAACTGCTTGGCCGTTACTTATTGAACATTTTTTTCACTTTTTAAAGACATTCACATGATACTAAACCTTGTGCGCTTCACGTTCAAAATCTCTCGCTGAAGCTTGCGAGATTTAAAATATGACACATAACTGTTGCATTTCAAAAAGAGTTTTCTTTTTCCTTTTTGTAACACTCTCTTTTCCAACCTGATTTTCTATCTGAAGGTCAGATGGAAGCTGTTGCTCAATTTTTTCATTCCATTCCACATGATTCCTAAACTTTCATGTTTTCTTGTTTTCTCTGATTTTCCCCGAAAACTGTTTGATCTGAACCCGATTTCTTGCATACCAATCCCAAAGTCTTTATTTGCGCAGTCTTTTCCGTGAACGCTCGTCCCACTCTTCGGCGATCTTCGCCCTCGTTTCTCGATTTCCAATAACGTCCCGCGGCGTCAGTAATTGCGATTTCTTATAGCAATCTTGAAAAGACCACGATAGGCCGAGAAAAAGTTGCAATTTCGGACCACGCTTTTCGTCATTAATTCTAATTATTTCTCCGTCCCATGCATCAAAGCTTTCTCGCTGTCATCCCAAAAAAAAAAATCACCGAAGTGTATTAATCAGAAGTTCCGACTTTTGAAAGCTTGCTTGGCTTGAGCGAAAAGAGAAAACTAATCCAGTTTGCGAAAAACGAGCTTGCGGAATTTTACGCTTACGGCTAACGAGTATCGAAATTTGAAGCAAGATTGCAAATTAAGACGATATGATCATCAGAGCGTTCTCAGTTTTGTGTGGGTTTTGCGTGGGTGAGCGGAAAAAATTGAGAAAAATTGCTCATTTGAGCGGTAAATTAAAATTTTTGTGGGGGTGAATTTTCGGATTTCAAAACGAGTTGACTTTTATCACGAAAAGTTCAAATGTATGCTCATTCAAGCTTGACGGCTACTATATAAACATAGTTCTGCTCGTCTCTAATCATTTTTGTGATAATTTTTTGCCTGTTTTTTTCTTACTCCCAGAATTTGTAAATCAGGGCAAAAAAAGTTTTGCCTCGTTCGTTCTCCATTAAATTTAAATTCAAATAATTGAATCGAAGAGCCAACAGAAAGGAATAAGATCAACTTTCTTGTTTTTTTCTCATTGAATTAAGAAAAAAATTGACTTCAAACACCCCTTCAGAAAAAAAATTTTCGAGAGGTATTTAATGCACTTTTTATTATTATAACCAGAGGACTAAGAAAAAAATAAAAAAATATATACTTTCGAAAGACTTTTTAATGACATGTTTTTTTAATGACAAACAGCGTCTGATAGAAAAAAATAATATCATTAGTTAGGAGAATACCATCGACTTCTCAAAGGTTGGCAATGGCAACTTCTCAGATTGTTTATTGGTGAGAAAGTTGAAAAGGCTAACTTTATTGCGTCAAAAGAAAAAGTTTACGCCTTTTAACACCGACTTCTAGCAAATAAAAGCTTTTTGATGCAATTTTCAAGATGACTCGATTTTTTTCTTCAAGAGCTGTTATTTTCTTTTTTTTTCCTTCAGACAGGGAAGTAAAATCAAAAGCTCAAAAAAACAAACAGCTGCAGAAAGTGAAACTATAAACGTCGTTGTAATCTGGACTTCAATCTGAGACTAGCGGCGGGAAAACCGGAAGCAGAGGTGATCTCTGTGCGCCAGGGCGATGACTCATCGGGAACGTCATTCCTGGCGAGCGGCCAACTTGGTTTACAGTGACCAAAAGATGACCCTAACAAGAGAGGGCCGACGATCCGTGAGAAACTCGTCGGCGCTGACCTCGGAGTGCGCGAAGTCTGGGGGCGGCGTCACGGTGCGCGGAAACCGCTGTCACGGACAATCTCTGCTTCCTCTTCGAGGATTTGATGGCGAATCACGAGGAAGAGGGATTAGAGGTCAGGGCCGAGGTTATCCTTTTGGCATTGTGCACTCTGCCTGTTTTTTTTCCATCTGACAGCCTCTATTTACTAGTAACTCATTTTATGAAATTGTTTCTCACAAAGTCTTACCTTCTATTCGTGATTCCGGATTTTTTTAGATTTTCAGTATGCAAAGATCTTTTTGTTTCTAGGAAAAATATTTTTTTTATTCATGTACTTTTTGCCTGAAACTTTTAGAAATTACTCTCCTGGAAAAATCAAAAAAATGTCTTTTTCAGAGTTTTTTTCTCCTTGTTTCAAATTAACCTGTTTTATGAAACTTTTTTTCGCAATCATAACCTGAATGAGCTGTTTTTGAAACATTAACTTCAGCACAAAAGCTGAGATAAATTTTCAAAATGCACGGTTAGCATCTCAACTTCAGAAAACGGATATCACTGGCTACAGCTAGAACTTCAAAAATTTCACTACTTTTTTTCAATTCCATTTATATTAATAAATGAAAAAAACTTTTTTTACAGAACCTCACAGGCTTTTTTTCGAACCTATGAAAAAAATGCTCATTTCTAACAGATAATTATATAATTCTTTGCGCAGTTATCTTTGTTTTTGCAGATTCTCAGAATCTTGAGAGAAATGGAAGAGAAAGGAAAAAAAAACTGTTTTTCGTTGAGACGACGTTACTTTTCTCATCACAATAGGGTAATTCATTTTGCTCTCCTCTATTATTTGACGTTTTTTGCTTCATCTATCTTTTTGCCCACCTACACGAAATTCTTCTCCAATTTTTCAATGGAATCGTTTATTTTGATTGGTGCGTTTTGCTTGTTTTAATAGCGTGTCTCGATGCCATAAAAACTCTTGAATTTCATCAATAAATTTTTTTATCATCCATAAAAATGAAAAAACCAAAAAAAAAATTTTTGTTTGGTTTATTTTTAATCAAAGTATTCATATTCTTGTCATTTCAAATAAATGCGATTTTATTTTTGATTCTCGGCGCAGCGTTGACTATGCCAAACAATCAAAAGTAGGCCTATAACTTTAGTGAAAAAGTTTTTAAGTTTTCGGTCATACAGTATAAAATTTTGTTGACCTCACATAATAACTTTCTCCTGTTCCATTTAGATATCAAATTTCAATACTCCAAAATGTTCAAATTCAAATCAACATAGCATCAATGTACAAGCAGCTGTGGAGCGCTCACATTTTCTGACCTGGTACATTCTGTGAATTTACGCAATTTGCGGATACATTCCTGTTAACTCATCTTCAAGAAAGCCGAAAAAATTGGAAGTTTCAAAAATTACAAGGCTAAAGCAAGCCTCTCGATTGGTCCTATATGATGCTTGAAGCAACCGAAAGCTTGTCACAACGAAGCCAATTGCGGTTTTTAAGCCTAATAAACGAATATCGTTTTTTTTCAGACAAAAAATGTCAGGGAAAATTTTACTGAAGGAATGAATAAGTTTAAACTATTCAAACTGTCCTGCGTTTAGTTGTAACTTTTTTTTCTGCTTTTTGGACGAAAGTGAGAAGAGGGAATGATATTTCCAATTAACTTTTCGTTCCCGTAATTTTGGAATATCAAGAAACGAGAGAGTTCTTAGCGTTATACTCTCAAGTTTCTCATTTTTTTTTTAAACAAGCTCTGAAAGTTATCAGTTCTTAGTTTTTTTCATCAATTTCGATTGAAACAAAAAAAGAAAAAGAAACCTTCTTTGTTTCAGGAAACAAACATTTTAAAAAAATTGTTGGAAAAAGAAATATTTAACTCAAGTCTTGGAAGTTTTGAATGTTTAAGAGTTGCAAAAGCTTTCGAAACTTTGTTTCCCAAAGTTATTAAATAATTAATTTCTTTTCGAGCCAGCAAGAAAGGAAATTAGAATTGTAGGATTTTTCTCATGTATCAATTATCATGGAGTGACTCTCTCAACAATTTTCGCAAAACTTCTATTCCGGGAATCCCGGTATTTGTCGTTGCTCCAGTGTTTTGTTGGTCAAATGGACGCGGTACAAAGGAGGTGTGGGCTTCTCGAGATATTTACTTTGGTGAAGCTGACCTGTCCGCAGTCCAGCCTCTTCATGCGCGTACTATTCGCTCATTCCCCTTTTCTGACCAGTTAAAGGGGCGGCGCGTCATCCGATCGATGGCTCCAGCACTCTCTCTTTAGCCTATTCCCTCTCTTCCCTTTCCCACCAAGTTTTGCAAGAGTGAAGGAGTTCGTCAACCTGACGAGTTCCGTCACATTTTACTCGGTCGATTTCATTTCCCTCTCATTTCATTTGTAAAAGGCACCCGAACAACAAAATAAAGAAGCACACCACAGAAGATGACGTCACTGTTTGACAAAACGCCCACAGGGGAGAGAAGCGCGGCAAAAGTCCTCGATTTCCATTTCCGCGAGAGAAAGAATCTCAAAAATACGTAGCATGTCGTTGCGTGACTCTTTTCTCGTAGACTAGGATGTTGTTAGGAGTTCGAAAAGAAAATCAAAATTAAGGAAAAAAGTGAATTAAAACCACAATCATTCTCTTCGATTCCAAAATTTTCTGGCTCTGAGACTGGTTCATTTTCTTATTTTTTGACTTTGTTATCTTTATTGATTCGAATCACGTTAGCTGAAAGTATGAGAAAACTCATTTCATTCAAATTATTGTTGGTTCTTGTTGATTGGATTTTTTCAATCTTTTACTTTTAGTTCTAAAAATATGTTGGACCATTTTTACGATTTCTGCCTTTTTTGCCGCTTTTTTGAAAAAAAACTTTCTTTGTATTTTTTTCTTTTCTTTTCTTGCCTTCTGCGAGTTTCTACGCATAGAGAGGCTGTGACACGTGAATGGGCTTTTTTGCATGCTGTTCAACGCGTTTAGAAATATGAACCCATTCACCCTCTTTATTTTTCTCGTGAGAATCCGGCTCCGGATTCCTTCAAATCCTTTTCGGAAAGCTTCGTGGCGTCGTTCTGGACTTTTTTCTGAAACACGCGAGCCTTTTCTACTAAGTTTCTTGCTTTTTTTGTCTGCTCCCTTTTAAGCCGCGTTCGGAGTTAAGACTGCGTCCAGAGAGTTTTGGCGTCTGGCTCTTTTTTGAGCAATTTTCATATTTGATATTTAGCTTTTACTTCTATTTTCAAAAAGATCAACCCAAAATTCAAGCATTTTTTGACTACTATTCATTGAAATTTTTTTTTTTGGCCGGCGATTTTTCATCACGTTTCCTTCATTTGAAGTGAAGGACAGACAATGACGAAAATGACGTGCTGAGGCTCCTTTGTTTATGTATGTGGCTCGAGCTCAAAAACTCTTGCATTTTTAATTGGCTGTTTCCTATACACACATATGCGCACCTTTTTTTATAAACTGCAACTTTGATTTATAGCCGTTGCTTCATCCATATTTTTGTCGTTGAGAAGAAAAGGCATCAATTTTCGATTTCAGTTCGAGTTTGAAAAATGTCGCGTGTTTGGAATATTTCATTTTTTAATTTCAAACTGAAGAGAAGAAAAATCTGAGTGAAATAGATCACAAAATTCTTGTTGTGAAAATAATCACTTTTCTCATTTTTTTTTTCGAGTTGTGGTGATTTTTTAAAATCTATTTGTTTCGGATTTTCAGAAAGTAAGAGTGAAGAATTTTGCTGGTTTTGATTTTAATGAACTTTCTGTTGTTCTATTCATCAGGTTTTTCCATTCGATCTCTCAGAAACAATTGGTTTTTTTAAATTTCACTATAAAATTTTTATTCAATTTTTTTGTAAACTGGATTTTTTTGCATCCAAATTTGATTCACATGACGCACATTAAAAAAATAATTAAGGATTATAAATAATTGCTCAACTTTTCTGTAGACGCTTCTTAACTTCCGCATTTTCTTGACCAAAAAAATTTACTGGATTTCCACCCGAAGGATATTAATAATAGTATCTATTCTCGGTGTTCACGTCTCAGCGGTTTTTTTGTTTTTGTCGGAGGGCGGCTTCTCGGAAAGAAATATGCATACATATAAATATATATATAAGGGAAAAGAACAAGAAGCAGGCGGCCGTCACACGTCACCACGGCATTCGTATTGGTCTAATTGCCCCGAGGGTCAAAAGCCTTCGATTCGCGCCCACGCACCCAATAAATTTGAAGCGAAACGAGTCGACATGCCACGTAAATAACCTCTGCTTGTTACTTCTTCCGCCTGGAAGCTTCTTTCCAACTTTTTTTGGAGAGCTCAACCTTAAGTGTTTTTTGAATCTCCCTTCTCAAAGACGGCAAAATGGGAAAAGTATCAACTCAAATGAAATGCGAGGAATTGTAAGAAAAGTGAATTTGCAATCTTTAAAATCAAATTCTCCGAGAATCAGAACTAATGAATAATACTATAAACGACAAAAAAACGGTAACTTCACGCTTACAATATAAAAACACCTTGATTTTTCCTACTAATTTCGAGTTGAATTCAGAAAAATGTCCATCTAAAACCTATTGAATTTATTTTTGAACTTTTTAGAATAACAGCCTGTCTAATGAGAAACGTTTTTTTCATTTTTTTATCCAGTGAAGTAAAAAAATTTTTCTGACTTGTCTTCATGAAAAAAATTTTATCAGAAAAAAATCGTTTAGCGACTTTTTCTGGTTAGTTATACCAAAAAATTAATTTTTTTGAAGCCGGATTTGAAAAAAATAAGTTTCATTGAACGAGCTGCTATTTTATTTTTCAATTTAGAAGGAGCCACGTAAAAACCAAGGCACGCTAATCTAATATTCTTTTTACCTCGGGTTCGTTTTCCACCGCTCCATTTTTTGTCCTGTTCTCCCATCTTTTCTATAAAGCTATTTTTCATCTAAAAATTTTTAATACGATTTCTCCTACAACTCATGCTGCTGGGAAAGTTCATAAACGCATTTTTTTTTTGTTTTTCTTTTCTTGCCCTGAAAGAAAATATTCTTTTTTTTAAAACTTTTAATGACCCTTTCCGAGGTTTTTTTTGGGCTCGACAAGAATTTAAATGACTGAGTAAGATTAATAAAAAAAGGGTTGAAGGATAACATCTTGGTAGAATTTTTTAAAGTGCCGAATCTGAAATCAATTAAGATCATTAAGACAAAAAACCGCTGCACGAAAACCTGCACAACTAGGCTTTTTTGAAAGTTCTAGCAAAATTCTATGAAGCAATTATATGCACAGGTTTCTGAGTGTTTGACAGGTCGTATTCTGGGCGGTCTTTTCCGTACAAGTAGGCGTTTATATGTTTGACCGTGTTTAGGAATGAATGCGATCCCTTGTGTGAACATGACTCGTTCGACGCCATTGATTCGGGCATTCATCCGCGACCTCAAACGTGGTCTATCGAGATTTTTTCCTTCTGAGGGTCGAATTTCTTGCCGAACAGTAACCATTTTTTGCTAATAGTCTATTCATGATGAAACTTTCCAAACTTTTTAACCTCACCTATTCAATATGATCTAGTTGCTCTCGAAATTTTAATTACAAAAAAAGACATATTTCGGAAACTTTCTTTTTTTATTTAGATTAAAGAATAGTATATTCTGAAATAAACGACCTCCAGCCTCAATCAAAACATTTAGCTATAGTTAAAACGATTTTCATAAATTAAGACTTTATAGAAAAGCTTAACAAAATATATAATTTATCTCTCACGCGATCTCGCTTTTAAATTTACGCCTGTCGGTAATTGAGTGACAGGCGCTAAAAAAAGAAAAACAGTTATTCTGTGTTCAAAAAAACTTAGGATAAATAGCTTACAAAAAGTTAGCATTAATTGAAAAAAGCCGAAAAAAGAGGGAGCAATTAGTAATCTCATGTTTGTCCGTTTTGAAACGACCGTTTTTGTTCTCACCGAAAACGTCTTCGGAACAATAAAACGCAAATCGAGCCGTTCTGTTATAACTCGAAATGAGCGGGCGCGGTAGTGGACCCCAATTAGAAAATACTTTTTGGCCATTCCGCCCATGCAACTTTAACCATTTCGTTCATAGATTTTTTGGGTGAACCGACTAGTTTCAGACGCGTCCCTTTTTCGCTCTCATAACTTTTGCTTTTTCATTTTGTAAAACTCGTGTTGAGAAGGAGTTATACTACACAAGAATTTTATTTCACTAGATGGTTCAAAAGTTTTTCAAAGATCACTTAATCATTTCGTGTAAATAAACATTTTAAGTATTTTTTGGCTTCACCAGTTAACTTTTTCCAGCAATTTCCTTCTTTTCGAACAACGTCCTTAAAGTTGTGTTTCTGTGTTTATTGGCTTCGTATAACGGAGCTCTAGAAAATCTTTTCATTACTCTGAAAGCGAGAGTTACTCAGCGACTAGCTGATGGAAACTTGGGATTTGATATTTATCCCAAAAAATGCACTCCCGACAGACTGAAAATTCTTTCCAGTTAAGAAAAAAGAGTTAGCGTGCGTAGATAATATTCCTTTAGCAATTTAGTTTGGTGACGTTCGTACCAGGCGGCCTAAGTTATTTTTTTAAGTTTAAAAAGAGTTAGAAAAAAATTTTTTTCACACTTTTTCATAATCACTCGAAATCAACTCTGAGCGAGGATTGAGGTGTTTGTTGTTATCAATTTTCTAAAAAATGAGAAGCTTTTGAACTTCTAAAAGTATGAGAACTCCAAGGTTTAAATGTTTTTCTTGAAGAAAACTTTCTTGAGAAACTGGTTTTTTCTCCGATTCATAAGACGGAAAAAAACGGCTGGCGAAGCTGTCCTCATTTTTTTGAAGAACATTAAATTAATGACAACTAGGTTGCGTTAAAAAGAAGAAAGTTTTTTTCCGTTCTTTATTCTTTTTTTCCAATTTCTATCTTATGAAGATTTCGAATCAAAAATTCGCAGAGTTTTCTTCCTCATGCTAAGTTTTTTTTGGAATTCAACGCTGCACCGTTCAGTTGAAAAATCTTCAATTCACTTTTCATCAAAACGCGAGCTTTTATTATTGAACTCCATTACATCAATTTGGAAGAAAGAAACAAGATGGTGAAACTCTGCAGCAGACGTTGCCTGTTCCACACAGAATCCCTAGGGCGTTCCTCGAATCGACGTCACACTTAATTTAGAGACTGGAAATAACGTGAGATAAAAAATAACTGGCTGACGTGGGCTCGTGTCATTTCGAATTGCGTTGAGAACGAGGAGCAGCCGGATAACGTAATTAGCCTTCGGAGACAATGATTCGCGGCTCCGCATATGGATTCCTTCAGTGTACACGTTCCTAATGGGAAGGTTCATTCTTCTCTTTTCAATCTGTTGCCACCAGAAAAGTTACATAACGGTCTAGATCTCAAAGTCATTAAACAAAATCTCCGTTTTCTTCGCAAAGTTTTTGAATTTACTTAACAGTTTTTCAAACATGGAATGAAAGTTTTGATTCTCTCAAAAGAGGGTCCTGACGAAACTTACAATTTTCATATCATTAGCACTTTTTCCAGTTCATTTTTTACATGAGCAAGTGTAAAATTTTTTTCACTCAAAACATCTTCTACAGCTTCTTTTTTTGGAACGGCGATTCGTAACCTTCAATCCCTACAAAAAAAGGCTTCCGAGGTTTCTCACGAACAAATTTTTGGTAAAAAAATATCCATTTTATAATCTAATCCGCTTCCATGAACGTCTTGAGAATATTCTCATTCCAATGACGTACCCAACTTTTTTGGTTCTTTCACTTATTTTTCTGAACTTTTGAATGGATATTAAGGAGATTTGCTATGACTCCTGCAAACCCTTTCGATTTTCACTTCCTCTTCCGTTCAGAGTTTGCAATTTGTGCTTGAAAACGCTGAGGTATTTATTATAATTGAGCCAAGGATGAAATATTCACTAATCTCAAGTTCTTTTGTTTGCCCCGAAAGAGAAACTGAAAAAAGAGCTGGTTAGTTTCTGAGATTGCAAGACACTTTTCTGAAGTTTTTTTTCTTCGTCTCCAGTAAAAGTTTTCATATCTGAATGTCTTTTAAAACATCGAAAATGTTATCAAATCCGCCGGAAGAACTTGAAAAGACAGGTACGATAAATTATTCGGATCGTTCTTTTGAAATCTTCATCGCGAGAAAAATGATCAACGGCGATGGGACCCTACTGAAGTCATTGATAAAAAAAACCATGAAAGAATAATCTCCTTTCAAATTCTTCCGAATTTTATCTTTTTCTTCTCTCTGTCCGTGGAAGACTTTTTTTCTTTTTTTTTTGTCTTTAGCTCGATTGATTGATTCTTAACGCTATAAAGTCGCATCGCTCTCGAAATGTCGTGGATCTGCCTTTTTGAATGTTTACGATTTCGAGAGTTTCAGGCAGAGGACGGATGGACTGATGGCGTCGTACACGTGTGTCCGCACTGCACCGCCGCCTCGGATCTCTTCACCGTTTTCTCCCTCGACCTCGGCCTGCCTCCAGGACAGCGACTGCGGCAGCAGGTACCTTTTTCAAATTTTTAATAATCCATACAATTTCATCATAAACAGTCGCCGAACACTCCTAGACCACTCATTCAATAAATAACATATTTTTTTCTGTTTTGGCAAAAAGGAGGTGAAGAATTCCCATACTTTTCAATGATTCAATTACAAATCCAAAACAAGGATGTTATTCCAACGATCGGTCCAAAAATATCTTGTTATTGCTCAATTTTACATAAAATCAGATTGAGATTTGCAAAGTAGTTGAAATTTCAGAATCTCTTCATCAAGTCGATGTTTCTCTATTTTGTGACTTTCTGAGAGTCTATTATTTATAATTACAACTGAAAACTGAGCAGTTATTGTTATATCAGTATTAAAGCTATTAAAACCGTCGAATATCATCAGTTTGTTTTTTTTTTAATTACTAGCGAAACAGAGTTGAATATCGCATTTCCTGTGATACAAGACCTGATTCCTTGGTAATCGCATATTATACCTTGTTCTTCATGATTTGGAAGAGGGCTCTTTTCTTAAAAGATCAAGAAAAAGATCAGCAGAAACAAGGTGAGAAGGAGCTGTTGAGACAGAAATCCAACTGTTTCAAGTCATGGAGAATGGAGTTCTGGAGCACTTCTGCTATCTTCTCATCTTTCCTAATGCCTAGCAATCTCTCAACTTGGCCTGATCTTTGTTCGAAAATTTCGCGACGAGGCGGCCGAGAAACCAAAAATGAGTAGTTGCCCTGCTTGCCGCACATATGGGTTCATTCGGATTCCAACGGTCTCTCAAAGTGCATCCTCCTTCCTTTTTTCTAAGAGCATGGTTATTCCGTCGTTTTACGAGGATACGAAGCAAATCTTCGCACTTTCAGCACACGATTCTGCACCTGCAACTCAGTTCCATTTCGAGATTTCAGATCTTTTTTAGGTTCATTCCAGATGAAAAACTTTTTGAAAAACGGTCTGAACTTATAATGAGACTTCTACCCTGAATTTAAATCCAGGGATAATTTCTCCATCGCAGTTTGAAGATCAGTTCAGAACTTCTTTTGGTATATTGTTAAAAAACAATGGCGGCTCATGTATGAATATTAATCTTTCGAGCTCACGATTTCAAAAAGAGATAGAGCTCTTGATCGTTAGGACAAAAATTTTGACTCATCGTTTTTAAAACTTTCCTTTTCAATCCCATCGAAAATATAAGCTTGAGTTAAAGTTTTCTGTCTAAAAAAATTCTCTCACCTAGAGTTGCCTTAACTTCTTTCACCAACTTCCATCACCAATTTTAAGCTTTGAAGGACAATGTGCTCAAAATATGGAGATCATTCAACTAATCGCTCAAAAAAATATCTTTCATTTTTTCCAACCAAACTTTGAAAAAATTAGTTCCTGTTTTCTCGAGCGCTTTTCGAAGTAGTACATTGAATATCAAAAAAATATAAAAAAATATTACGAAAATTGCTGAACGCGTGCATGAATCTTTATATCAGTAAGATTCGAAAAAACTACATACAGTTTTTTTTAAAATTTTAAACGGATAGATCTATATATAGCCTTCCCTTCTTCTCAATCTTTTCTCAGACAAATCACGAAATGTTTTTCTCCTCTCAGGCGCTGTGCCAATTACATCGACAATATCCTCCTTTTCTGTAAGCGTGGTTTGAGCACAAGATCACATTTCAAAAAATACTAAAAAGGAAGATGATTTTACTTCGTGGCTGGAAATTTTCTGAATTTGCCAAAACACCTCTTGTAGAACCAGAAAAAATTGTGAAAGTCTCAACTTGCACAACGTTCTATTCTTAAGAAAAAAGGGCTCAGTAGCCCAAAATAATTTATTTTAACGGTCTTCCAAGGTTTCCTCGACTTTGAAGCGTTTTCTCAAAAAAAAGAGTTGAGCAAGTTGAGACTTCCCTGATCTTCATCTTGTACATGAACTAGTGTTCTGGTCAATTTTCAGGAAAACCTCAACCGCAAATCAATATTTTAAAACAATAGAATGACCACCGTTCGTAGTTTTTTTTTTATTCCAAACTGAAGTTCAAAATAACGTAAAAGGGTAAAAGCTAGGATCACTGAAAATTGAGGTAACTTTATCGACAGTTATCCTCTTCAATCACGAAAATTATATTTGTTCAAAAAAACTTTCGCTGAAATTAATATTATTTCATAATCGCAAAAGTTTTTTTCAGTTCGTCACGGCCAATACTTTCGTACAGACTTTGTTTTGAGCTTTTTCTGAGCTTTTAGTAACAAACAACGTGAATACTACATCTGGATGGTTTAGTTTATTTCTCAACTCGCATTGTGCTTAGATTGTGCTTTTGAGAAGAATAGCTCCTTTCTTCCTTTGGCGTCGCAGATGCCGCTCTGTAACTTGCAAAAAGCCAGATGTTTATCCAAAACAGTCTTGGTCTCCGAATCTGCCTTGGTCTCTCGCTGCTCACATTGTTTTTGCCGCTTTTGCGCGAGCTTTTCTCATCCAGACGGCGTACCATTCCACACGCCCCTTTTTCAGCCACATTCCCTTAGCTTCGAAAAAAAGGCTCCCTTTTTCTATGAGCTCTTCTTGACTATTTTTCAGATCTTCATCAAAACGTGTTTAATAATCCTACAGTTCATAAAACATAGATTTCGAAGAAGTGATATTTTGTTTTTACGAAGTTATGTTTTAATTGTTTCTGTAATACTTTTTATTTTAAAAAAAGTTTCTTTGAAAGATCTTGAGAACAATCTTCGATTAGAATACGAACTTTCCAAAACCCTATATAAATAATTCGATACAAGTTGAACCTTTTGGCTTTAGGCTTTTTTATTACTCCGAGATTGTTTGAAAAAACTCAACATTTTTTTCCATTCACAAAAAAAGATCTGGAAAAATTCTAGAAAAACAATCTGATAATTTTTTTGTCGAATACAGCTCGACTCTATTGATTAGATTCAGAATACGAACTCGTAATGAAAAAGAAAAACTGAGCACACGTCTTTTTCTGAAAATTTCATTCGAAAAGAATTTATTTTTTCTGAGTATTTACTCTTTATTCCTTTGTGGCTTTTGCGAGCACGCAGATTATCTTCGTTGTCTTTTTTGATCTTCCGTGTGTGCACCATTTGATTTTTTACGATTATTCTGTAAAGATAAACAATAGAAACAACTACTGCTATTGGCTGATGCTCACAAAATGCAGTCCTACAATCGCAAGAAGAATTACGTCTATCGTAATACAAACAACTATGGTTTCCGACGGTTTGTGGTTTTTCACAGTAAAGTAGGTAAATTTGAAACTGTCAGTCTCACATAGCATGAATGGATGCGTTGCTGCTATGAAGAGACTGCTTTGAAAGCTTGGTTTGGAACGGTTTTGAGCACAGCAATCTATTGACGTTTTGTGAGCTTTAAATGTTGAAAAAAGGCTATTCGAAAAGTAGGAACAGGACCATTTCTATCATTTCCTTCCCAAAAATAATTATTGAAAATTTCAAAAGTTTGCAGCTCCGGTCCGGGAGGAATGAAGGCTCCAGGCGCTTCGGACGAAGGTGGCAGCTCTTCTGGCTCACGACCGACGCCCTTCAACAACTCGCAGCGTCCAATTCCGCTTCAGAACAACAACTACGCAATGCTGCCAACAATGCCTAGGCCGCCGATCCCACCTTTGATGGCGCCGATGGCGATGCATTCGGGGCCCCCTCCGCAATACGTCCAGCATCAGCAGGTCATGATGGCACCACCCCCGATGGGAATGATCCCGGCGCCGCTTCAAGCTGGTCCTATGGCCATGGGATGGATATCGCAAACTCCGCCGGTCTCACAGAACGATTTGTACGTCCATGTGCAGAATGGAGAAGCGGTGGGCGTCTCATCGCCTAACGAGTTGCAGAAGGTCTTTGGTGAGGGTTAACAAGTCCTTCTGATTAAGATAGCCCACATCCTTGAACTCTCAGAAAAAATCGCAAATTGACAAAAAGGATTTTGATAAATAATCAAAATGTCTTAAAACGTGATATTAAAAAGAGAAGTTTTATAGCTTTTTTTTCTGGAACGTGAGCAAAAAAGGTTACTTTGAAAAACACTATTTGAAAAAAAGGCTTGCTAAAAACGCTGTGAAAAACATTTCCTCTAGATGTTTTTTCTCCATCAAAACACTTTTTTTCAATCGTTTTAACTTAGTTGAAAACTTTTTTCAACAACATGCTATAATTCCACAGGTTGTTTTGTTCGGAGATAAAAACTTCATTTTTTTCAGGACCTGCCAGCATCCGTATGGTGACAGAAAGTCTGATTCCTCCAACTGCTTTGCCAATCAACGTGCCTCCGGGACACCAAGTTCATCAGTTTATTGACGAACAGGTCAGTCCGAAAATTAAAGAAAGTCTTATCATTATCAAGTAAAAGTCCTAACAAAAAAAATACTCTCCAAGCTTATATAAGAGGTTTCTTGAGAACTCCCATTCACACTAATATGAATTCAAATATCGAATAAAAATAACCGGGGCAAACGACAATGCTAATTTTCATTATTAGTTAATTAAAGGGGTGTTTGCGTCATGTAATTCTGTCTCTGGAAACGCCTCCGTCGTCACGTCACGGTTCGGCTAGCCTCAACGTGAGCTTTGATTCATTTTGGAATTGTATTTGACGTGATCAACTCTCTTTTCTTCTTGAAATTTGAACTTAAATGACACAATGTTTTGGTTCCTTCATCGGAAAGTTACGGATTCAGTATGTGCAGTGCGAAACGGGTCTGATGCAGCCGATGTCCAATCGGTTTATCGCTCCGCCGCAGCAGCCGCCGCCAATACGGAAGCTACCGCAAGGCGTCGTTCCGATTGCGCAGCCGATGCACGCTTACACGCAGCCGCCGATCTATCCGCAAACTCCGCGGAGCAATTGGAAAAATCAGAAAATACGCCGTCAAGGACAAACAACAGGACAGGAAGAGAGTGTATGTTTTTTTGCATCTTAATCATTATTTTACAAAAAATATACTTTCTATCAAATGTGTTTTTCGAGCACAGTTTCATAATTTTTTTCCACGAAAAATTTCATTTTTTTCAAATCAAATTTATGTTCACATTTTGTAGGAGCCTGAAGATTCTGAAGAGAATGAGAAAATTCGCGAAATGCTGAATCGTATCGTTGTTCCTCAAATCCCTCTTATCTCTGCTACGGAAGCTGAAGTCCAGTGGCAACACATCGATACGTCGGAGGTTAACTTTTGACCAAAACTATATTGACCTTTAATTGCACTTCGTTACTACAAAAGCTCATTTCAGGCTGCTGCGCCAGGAGGACCATTCCCTCAAATTGACTCTTCCGAGTTCATCTACCACGTCGTCCTTTTTGAGAGCACCGGTCGATTTGTAGCCACGTGAGAAATTTCAATAAATTTTTTTTTTGAGCTTGAGTTTTAGGTCAAAGTATGACACTTCAATGGGTAATAATCTGCGGATGTGTTCTCTTCGTCCCAACACAGAATACATAGTTAAGCTGAAGGTGTGTAACTGGAGATTTTCTGACAAATCTTTGATATATTCTTGGACACTTATTGATCAAATATTGTAGAAGTCTAATATTTTTGCAGGTTTCTCTGGATGAACGCGGTCTGATGGGAGAAACGACACAAGTTCGCTTCAAGACGGCTCCAGGTCGACCTGAGCCTCCTATGACGCCAACGTGAACAATTTTTCGTTTCGCGTAAAATTTTCATTTTAAGTTTGCTCACAAGAGGCTTAGACTCCTTGAAACTCAGTTGGAGGGCGGCAAATGATAACGGATGCATCATTCACTGCTACTATGTGTATCTGTCCTTGGTTAGAAATTGGAGTTATGAGGACAACTGCGACTTCAGTACTTTACAGACGTTCAAAGAAGAAATTCCTCCCAAAGTCTATCAAACGGAACGCCCAGAAATCCTGATTGACGAATTGAGTCCGGAGACTAGTTACCGGTATCACTAGCTTTCCCGATTCATAGAATGTGATTTATAGTATCCGAATCACTGCTGTGAATGCTCTGGGAGAGTCTGGAGAGTCGTCTCCGCTCACCGTAGTCACCCGATGCGAGGATGCGCCAATTCAGCCTGAACCTATCCCTCCAACTATCGTCCAAACTTCTCAGCGTTCAGTCAAAGTCGCTTGGAATGGTCAGACTGAGAGCAGCTCAGCGGTATGTTCATTTTGAAAGTTATCAATTAGGAAGCAAGACAAAAGAGAAAGATCAATTTTGGATCAAAACATTCTGCGCAAAGACCTATAGGCCGAAAAAGTGAAGAAAACATTTGAACATCACAGCCGGTCACTTTTTCCGCTTTGAAGAACCATTTCTAAGAATCTGAGCTTCCAGGGAATGCAGCTCGAAATGTACGACGTCCAGAATAAAACGACTGTTCTTATCAAAGAGCGCCTGATAGGACCACCTATTCACATTTCGGACCTCCAACCGTGAGAAATGGAAGCTTTTCAAAATGATTGAACTGAGTTACAGTGGTTGTGAGTATCGCTTTCGCGTTTTCTCCCGTGGTGAAGACGAAGAATCTCCGCGCTCCAGTTGGGTGACAACGCGAACTTTGACTCAGCGGAGCTTTCACGGACCTCATAGAAACGCGAAGCCTGAACAGATGCACGAGTTTCCCTGCATTCCGAGTCGTCCATATCCTCAGGGAACAGATCGTAGAATGGAGATTTGTTGGCAGTACGGTGGTCCTCGGTAAATAAATTTATGTGCAGTTTGCAGAACTTTAAATTAAAATTACAAAAAATGAAAATGAAGTGGAGACATCTGCAAACTTAAGCGTTTAATAATAAAGAACCAAAAAAGGTTTTAACTTGAAAAAAAAAAATGATTTTAACGCATGAAGGAGCTGCAGGAAAGTTGCTTTTTCCATTAGAATAATTTCCTTTCATTTCATCATGAGAAGTACGAAAATTTTTCGTAGAAAAATTGAATAGCTTGTTGATATTGAGCCGTGGCTGCTTATTTACAACAACTTTTAACTGTAATTCATTGTATTGTCAAATTACACTTCAACCAGATAATGAAATCCTGACCAACACAAATGATAATTACAGTGACCGCGATTTGTTGTTCCATCTCGAAGGATCGACCTTCAATCACCCGCATAACTACCGCACTCTTTATCGCGGTTCCGCTACCACTTATCTTCTGACCGAAGAAAACATTCAAAACTTTCGAGTTCAGTCAATCTCAAAAAACAATTTGCCTGTATGTCTTTATCGATAAACTCACGACTTTTGGAAAACTTCAGAGTCCGTTTTCGGAAGTCCTTACGTTGCCTCGCAAAGACGACGACTTCATTCTTCAGCCTGGCAAACTGACCCCACCTAGGCTCGAAAATTTCTCACTATCTTCTGTTAAAGTGACTTGGAATCCGCTTAAAGATGCTGTAAGCAATGAAAAGCTCTTTCCTCTTATCCTTCCTATTTAGGAACTTGCAAAAAGCGAGGTCGTGTACGAAGCCAAACGCCTCGACGTTGATACCGATTGCATTTACATCGGTAAATCGACTGAATGGGAAATCAAAGAAGTAGAAGCAAGTGAAGTCGTTACAGTACAGGTTTGAAACGACTCCAATGATGATAAATACAAATTATATCAGGTGCGAGCTGTTTTCATCACTGGTGACCAGAAAAAGGTGGAAGGTGACTGGAGTGAATCAACGACGATTGTGACGCCGCCGAAAAAACCTGATCAACCGAAAAACGTTCATTTCAACCCTGAAACGTTAGTTTTGTGCAGCTATTAAAAATTCCAAATTTTCAATGCTAATTACTATACAGAAGCGTCTTGTCTTGGATCTGTGAGCTTTCAAACGGAGAAGGTCACTTCAACGTGGATGTCACTTGCAAAGCGTTAGAGAAAAGCGAAACTTCGAGCCTCATCGTCACGGAGAACTTTCTGACGCTGCCGAAGCTTGTTCCTGCTGCCGAGTACACTTGTACTGTCGTCGCCGTGCGAGGCTCGCACGAGTCAGAAGAGTCAGAGAGTATCAAATTCAACACTCCGTCAGTGCATCCTTCTCAGCCGAATGGTACTATCTACGCAAAAATTTTTCAATTTTTTTGTGTTATAGCTGTGTGCATTGACTCGGAAAGCGTTGATTCGCTTCTTTTGAACTGGACTGCTGCAGATTGTCGTGGAACTCCCATCAAGCAGTACCGCGTCAAAGTTATCAACGGGAAAGAGGTTAACAATGAGCTTCGCTCGAACATCCAAAAAAAAACTGTTTAGATTATCCGCGAAGCTGCTATCATTGCAAACGAGGGTGCTGGAGAGTTCACAATCACCAATCTGGAGCCTAATACTCAATATCGAGTTGAGATTTGTGCTGAAAACGAGATCGGTATGGGTCCAGCTGTCAGCATCTCGGGACGCACCAAAAGTCCGCCACCTGCTCCACCCAAGTAAAATACTCGAACCAGTTCTTATTTAAAGTCATATTTCAAGGATTGATTGTGAGCCGGAAGTCAATATGATGCGACTTCGCTGGAAGCCAACCACATCTGGTGATTCTGCAGTTTACAAGTGAGAAAGAGTCTATCTGATTTCGAAGTGCTTTGAAATTTTAGACTGGTTCGACTGTCCAACACTGATGCTCACATTCCCGTTTATGAAGGAGCTCTGCTCACAACCAAAGTGAAAGGCTTGGCCGAAGATACAGAGTATCGTTTTCAAATCCGTGCTTCCAACAAGTGAGTTAAACAGGTTGCAGATCTTTTCATATTGATGTTTTTGAGGCTGACCGGGGTTTCGGTTTGGTCACAGCCCTACTCGTTCCGGACCAACATTGCTCCGCCTCCTTTGGTGCGAAGAGCTCCTGTCTGCACCCCCATCGCAGATCAAGAAGGACATTGCCTTGTCGAGTGGTCGAACGTCCTTCCACAGCCCAACACTCGCAACCAGTTTTACCGTCTTCAAGTCATAAACTCCAAAAAGGCAGACTCTCGCTGGCACACAGTAAGTTTTGTGATAAAATAATCAAAACTGCAAAGAAAAGATTAGAAGTTGAACACTTATTTCAGGTCTTCGAAGGCTGCACGTCGTCTTTTGTCCTTCCTACCGCGGAGTACACCGACACAATTCATCTGAGGGTCTTCTGTGTTCGCCGTGGAGATGACGGCGAAGTGAAAAGTGGCGAAAGTCCCCACGGTCACTTCACAAACCGACCGCGGGATCAGAATAATAGTGATGTAAGAAAATGGAAGTCCTATGACGTGAAGATAATTTAAATCATCCGCTGGGAAATACGAAACATCTATCAACCTTTTTTTTCTTACTTTTTTGTGTTCTAATGGGGAATGAACTACCGACTTCATATAGGTCGATTCAAAACGAAGAGTTCATCGAAAAAAAAATGCAAAAGAATTGGTGGGAAACTTCTCTGCCGGAAAGTTCCCTGGGGATGTAAAAAAAGCGGAAAATTCGTCGTTCAAATTTTCGCTGGTCTTTTTTCATACCACCGTAGTATCCTGTAATAGAATCGAAGTTAGAAAAAAAATTTCTAATTGTTACCCTTTGATTTCCTTACCCTAGAAATATCTATCAGAGTAATCCAAATCAGGTCTTTAGCATTTACCTTCGAGAGTTCTTTGAAATCAATTACTCAATAAAATTTGCTGTACTAATTATAGACAAAAGTTGAGAATTTGGATGAAAAAAATGCCAGGAATCCCAGGGCGGCGCGGCGGAGGTGGACCAGCGCCCGTGGTACGTCCGCTACAACAACCGACTCCTGCCAATCGTCGTCGTAAGTGTCGCCTTTGTGTTGACATTCCTAATCAATACGTTCAGATCGGATTATTAGTGAGTTTGAATTTCGCGTCTTCCGCGTCGTAAAACGCATATTCCAGGTGATATTTGCGTTATTCACTCTCGGTGTTGCTGTGCTTTGTGATTGGCTGTTCAACCTGGGCCAAGCTCCCGACACGCCCTCTCCGTATCTCATCGCCATGCAGGCGTCTTCGTCTGCACCTCGAGGCGTCATTCATCCGCCGTCCAGTCTTCGCGAACTCTAAACCTTGCCTGTTAATTGTTGTTCTATTTTTATTATTATCAATTACTTTTTGGTTGGGTGAAATGGCCGTGGTTCTATTTTATGCAGTTGTGTTCGTGACATCACTAGTGTGTTTTGGTGGCATTTGCACGGCGATTTTATCTTTTTTATTTACATCCCATGTGGCACAACGTGCCAAATTGCAACGCCAAGCGTTTATTTTTTCTTAATCTATTGACTGTACCTAACACGTTTTCACAGCCTAATTCATGAATCGGGAAGTTTTCTGATTGCGTTCAGTTGATGCTGAGATTTTAAATTGAAAAATTAAAAACATTAAAAAGTCTCAACTTTTTCAGTGACTTAGTCTTTCCGCGCTTCGGAAAAACCAACAGAGACTGGAAAAAAAAACGCATTTTTGATATTTTGGGAATTGTGTAAAGTTGTGCCAGCAAAATTTGAAGCATATCTAGAAAACGTTTCCCGATATAAATAACGCTTTACGCTTTTTTTCATCAATTTGCGGTAGTTTCCTGTTGTACACATACCTTGTTTTATATTTTTCTATCTTAGGAACTGTTTCCTTTTCCAATTGGTTTTTTTTGGCATCGATACTTCATTTTCTTGACTTTCTTTTACTACTACTTTTTATCTTTCCTGTCGGCCTTAATAGACCGGTTTCATCATTGAATATTGGGTTTCTATGTAAAAATGCGCGCAAAGTTTAGTGTCTGTAAACAATGATTCTCAACCGTTGATATGTATTTTCCCTTTCATGTTTGATTAATTGCATAAATAACCTGTTAGCTTTAAATCAACTATTTTTCGCGCAAATAACCGACGTTCCTAATATCTACCGCATTAGAAATTTACCATATCTACATTATACAGGACTTTTTATTATTTTACATCAACGAGATTGTTGGCATTCGTGCAGTTGATAAATTTTAGTTTTCAATTTACTTCGAAAAAACTTTGAGTTGCAAATAATCCAGCAGTTACAGTTCCCTATCCACTCGATGACGACAGAAACAAGGAATAATGGAAATTTCCTCAACTTTTTTCTCCATTTGCAATAAATACATAACTTTGAAAAATAAATACTTTATAATGGCACAACGCTCAACATAGAAAACTCTTGGGATATCACAGTTTTTGAGACATGAGCTCGGACATTTTGCTATCGATAGCGGAGAGGAAATCTTGGGTTATCAGAAAAGCTCCTTTCTCGGTTCCTTTCTTTGATCCAAGGACGCAAATCGACAAATCCTTGGTCATTTTTCCCGACTCTACGGTATCAACACAAGCTTTCTCGAGAGTCAGTGAGAACCTGGAAATTGGGTGACTGCATTTGGAAGACTACAAAATGAGGTCCTACTTTTTGAGTTCACTGTTGTTGTCCAGAACGCCTCTGTGGTGAAGTCCTCTGGTCCAAGCGAAAATAGAAGCAATTGGGTTCGTAGAAGTTGAGTTACCCTGAACAGAAAATAAACTCGAAAAAATCTTATTGAACTTTTCAGCTGAATTCAAAACATTTCACTAACTTACCTTCTGGTGTTCTCTGTAGTGTCTGGTCACTGTTCCATGAGCAGCTTCTGCTTCAATCGTTTCTCCGTCTGGACACATGAGGACCGAAGTCATCAAGCCAAGGGATCCATATCCTGATCAGATTTATTTCAAGAATATCTTCTTTATTTATTAATTTTTTTGAAAGGTATTTTCAATAAAAAAAGATACAACAAAAAGATTCTCATTGAAACATTTAATTCTTCTATCACCTCCTTTGTTGCCGAAACTAGAAAAGTTTACAATCATAAACCTTCTCGTAAACCTCACCTTGGGCTACAATATCACTTTGAACGTCTCCGTCGTAATTTTTACAAGCCCAAACAAAACCACCTGAGCTTTTCAGTGCTTGCGCTACCTGAAAAAAAGTTTCTCGACACAGAACTTCTTATAAAGGAACCTGATCATCAATAAGGCGATGCTCATACCAAATTTTCTTTTCCTTGAACTGATCTTCATACTTGCTGAAACAAAAAAATTTATTTTTGAATTGGAAAAAATTTGGTTTTGTTTGTTAGGGTTCAACCAGACTCTCATTAAAAAAGACGACTCCAGAATATTCTGAAAAATGAATTAAAAAAATTTTCAAATTTCTCACACAATGATCGTATATTTTTTTAGGTGTCACAGATTTACAGTTTTTAAAAAAAGAACCTTTCAATTACATATTTTCATTTTAAAACCTTTTTTTCGAAACCAAATTTCATGATGTTTTCACTTGATAAACATTAAAGCTGAAAATTGCTAATTCAACTGACTGAACAAAACGTCTCCCCTTGTAAACTTGTTTTCGAGTAATCCAACCTTTCATAAATCTCTTGGAAAATGTCTTTAAAACGGCCGTCGTATTTCTTCAAAATCGTATTTTTGGTGGACAAGTAGAGAGGCCATTTTTTCATTAGGGAATATTGAAAGCACGAATGAGCAAATCCGCGAATACTCTGAATAAAACAGGAAAGTTATGTTTGGTCGGAAAACTTCACTCACCTCATCCGTGTTATACATTGCTAATCCCACGCCGCCGGTTTTGGAAAAGTCGTACACATCGTGCACTTGTTCATTGCCGCTTCCATCTGAAGATTCATTTGTATCTTTCAATCAACTACTTGAGCAACCTCTGACAATCAATTGCAGTTTTGATCCTTTTGGAATGACAAGATCTGTAGCGCGGTACTGAACAGCAGAAATATTTTCCAGAAACCAAAACTAAGAAAACCTGGTCACCAAAAGCATGACGTCCAATTGTGATGGGTTGAGTCCAGCCAGGAACCAGCCGAGGAATGTTATCACACAAGATGGGTTCTCGAAAAACGGTTCCTAAACGTGTTTTTGTCAATTAGAAAAACAGCTTGAGAATAATTTTTACAGAAAAGGTTAATTTTGTGGATGGGAACTTTCTGAAAAATTATCAAAAAGAAAATCCTAGGGGTCTCAGCGTGCCCAAATTTTTCTTAGTAGTGTAAAAGCACAAAAAAAACGAAGAAAACAAATTCCGGTTAAATACACTCTTTTGGAAACATTCTAAAAAAGAAGAAAGTTCTGCAGGTCGATAATTTCAGCATATTTTGTGTATTCTGAAAACTCCTAAAAATTATCAACTCTGAATAAATTAACATTTCATATTATCAAAGAAAAGTAAGTAAGAAAACAAAAAAATTAGAAATAAATATCATTCAAACCTCCAAGAATATTTCTGATGGTGCCGTTAGGAGAAAGCCACATTTTCTTGAGATTGAATTCCTTCACGCGCGCTTCATCTGGAGTGATCGTCGCGCATTTTATGCCCACGTTGTACTCCTGGATTGCATGTGCAGCATCAACCGTCACCTGAAATTTTCTGTTCCGAATTCTTCCAAAAGAAAAGTTTTATGATATTCAAGTAATCTGCTCAATCAGAAAACTACACTCAAAATGTGTTTTTGGACCTTTCTACACAGGCTTACTCGAGTTTGTGGTGAAATCTTTACTGAGTGCCACCGTGAAAAATAACTTTAACATCAAACAAAAAAAGGTTATGACTACATTCTTTCTCGCTGACATATACTGGTTGTGAAATTTTTTTGTAGATTGGTTCCATTTCTTGTCTCATGAACAGAAATTGATAACCTGAAAAATCTAAAAAGCCTCTCTAATAAAGAACAGTTCAACTCTGAAAATCTCATTTTGTGAAATTTGCGAAAATGAAATCAAAATTTAGCTTAATGAGAGTACAACCCAACATGTGTACAATAAGGAATGATTTTTTTAGTAGCTTAAAAAATGACTCTGCGGGTTCAAAAAATCTGAATAAAAAAATCTCGGAGAATATTTCACCTGATCATCAGTGTCATCACGGTTTTCGAGGCCAAGATCGTAGTATTTGATGTCAAGATCCAGATACGGTAGGATCAGCTGAAATTTTTTTTTTAATTCTGCGAGTTTGTGATGGTGTGAAAAAAAAACAAAATTTGAGAGGTTATTTAAAAATAATGATGACCTTTTTCTTTATTTCGTGCCATATGATACGAGTCATTTCGTCCCCATCCAAATCCACCACCGGGTTTTCGACTTTTATTTTCTTTCGGTCTGCAGGAGCTGCCGTGGCGACGCTCCTGAAGCAGATTTGAGCGCCTGGTCGCACAATACGACTGAGCATCACCTGAAATTATAGTTAAATATGAAGTGATCAAAAATTTTTTTACAAACTTCCCAGCAACGATAAGTTCAGTTATTGAAATTTGAATTGATCTCATTCGCTGAATATTTGGGAAAAAAAGAAAAATCAAAAAACTTGAATCCAAACCTACTAAAAAAACTTTCACAAAAAAATCTTGACTACCAATTTAAGTTTACAAAACACAAAAAAAGGCAAACGGCAGAAGAAAAAGGCAGGCGGCAATCAACTTTTGTTGACCTTGACCTTTCAAGAAAATAACAAAAATAAAGTCCCTGCAATCACGTTGTAGTGAGTGAATGCAATACACGATAAGATTGATAAGAGTACTTTATCGTACAAGTCACATGCCTCAGGTAAACAAAAAACTGTACGTCAAATTGGTTCTTCGAACTTTTCTGAGAGGATCTGCAAAAGGAAAACGCGCTCCACTGCACGTAACATATTTTTTGCTCTTCAAATTTCGCGCTCAGCTCTTTGAGCTACGAAAGTTTTATTAACGCTAGTGAATGAATGTTTCACTCACAAAAGTTTCGACTGTACCTATTCTATTTTTTCTGTATATTATTCTTCCTGGTGCTTATCAAATTTGTATGCGACTCGGCGCCGAACTCATTTAAAACTGCTAAGATTGGCCCATCAATTGTTTTTTATAATAGGGTAATTATTTACTGCCTTAGTTTTTGCATATATTTCGAGTTTCAGATTCCAAAGACTGGCTCTACAACTTTTACAAATGCAATTGCTTATGATCTCTACAAGCAAAATTCTTTCAATGTTCTTCATGTTAATATGACAAAAAATCGACAGGTGAACTTTTTTGCTTTTTTTTGTGGATTTTACCATTTTATGTGTTTTGTGTCAATGTAACGATGAAAGTAGTTTACTTTGCAATTCAGAACTTTTAAAAAATTGTAAAATGTCTCGCAAGGATAAATAAAAGTTCTGAAATTTTCACCTCATGGATAATCTTAGCTTCTAACAAATTTTTTTATAAAAATTCAAAAGAAAAACGATTGAAAAATTTTTAAAGAAGACCTTTTTGAGACCTTTTTTTTTTTTTGAAAGAACAATTATTTCAGTTTAAACTTTTGAGAAATTTTATGTGGTAAATCTGGCCAACTTTAGAAAGTTCTTGAACACATAGTTGAATGACTTTTGACAAAATCAGTAAGTATCTTTTTTAGGTGATGAGTTTACCTGATCAATACCGTTTCATTTTCAATATCACTTCATGGAAGGAACGGCTGCCGGCTTTCTACCATGGACATGTCGCCTTTGTCGATTTCACAAGGTTTCCTTGCTAACAGCAGATTTTCATGTGCTATTTTCAGATATGGAGTACCTAATCCGGTCTACATCAATATCATAAGGGAGCCTCTAGAAAGGCTGTTGTCACATTATTATTTCCTGCGTTATGGAGACAATTACAGAATCGGTCTGAAAAGAAGCAGAGCCGGCAATAATGAGGTTTTTTCCACAACCTGATTTTTTTCGCCTTTGTTTCTGAAAACGAGAATAGAACTCAAAAATTTCAAAAAAAAAATATAAAATGGCAAATTTATCAGACTTTCGACGAATGTGTGGTACGTAGCGGAAAAGACTGCGACATGAAGCAAATGTGGCTTCAAATTCCTTATTTTTGTGGCCATTTGCACTATTGCACGTGAGTTTCAAAAGAAGGAAAAATGTGCACCTGGTTCTTTCCAGAGAAGTTGGAAATCCCTTAGCTCTGGAAACAGCTAAAAAGAACGTCGTGGAGAAATATTTATTGGTGGGAACGACAGATCGGATGAGAGACACGATCGCGCTGCTGGAACAGCTTGTCCCCAACTTTTTTCAAGGCGCTCTTCACCACTTCGACGAGCTCGACGGTTAGTTACCCGTTTCCATTAGATTTCTGTTTTGAAAATCGAGTGTAACAGAAGTGTAACAACTATTTTTTAATGCATTAGTAAAAAAAAACTATTAAAATTGTAACATAAATATGAAAAAAAGCAATAAACGAGCTCTCCAAGTAGTTGCTGTGGGTTGAATTTAATTCGTGCCAAAAATCGCACACGCTACGCGTCCCGCATTTGGTTTGCCTCACTTGCTTTCAAGTCAGGAAAAATGGACTGCAGATGAGCTTTTGAAAAAACAAAATGTATTTACTCATTGAAAAAGCTGTCTTATTTTTGCAAACCATATGTCAGTTAGAATTATTTTTAATGGGTGTAGGTCAGAGATTCAAAAATTTCGTGAAGTTTTTCAAATTATTATGAAAAAAATTTGAACTTTCAGAAAACCGAGCTCATCTTCGCTACACTAAGAAGAAAAATTCCTCCGAACGATCAGACCTTGTCCATTGTTAGGAGAAGTCCCGTCTACAAAAATGGAGCGAGAGTTCTACGATTTCGTTTCGCAACTGTTTGACGTCGTGTTCAAGTGAGAGCTTGAGAGAAATATTTTTATTCATTTTTTTTTTCACAGAAAAAGCCTCGAATGGTTCTGAGAGAGCCGAACACTTGAAAGCTGTGCCACCTCAGTTTCATTATGAGAAAGTTAAACTCACGTAGTTTTTGAATGTCATCATATTTCTACGTCTTGCTTTACGAGTATTTCAAAAAAAAGTTTCATTGCTAGTTTTTTATAACAAGAATCATTTAGAAAAAAGTTTGACAAAATTTTCTATTTGAAACGCAAACTAACAACTTTTTCTCATTGCATTCTGATACATCACTTCTAATTCACGAATGCGGGTGCAATATACATGTTTATTTTTCTTCAGGCTGTGTCTTATGCTGGTGTAGGCTCGCTTTGTGGAAGTTCCGTTTGCTTTTTAAAAAAAGAAAAACATTTTTCGTTGATAATTTATTCGAATTTTTTTTATTTTGTTTGTTTTTCGCTACCCTGATGGCTTTTTGAAACTGTTATCAAGTTGAAAGCTCTTATATCTCATTATTTGCTTTTTTTATAAATTCCTAAAAAGTAAATTTTTTTGGCATGAAGATCGGACATTTGACAGTAAGAATTAATATATAACTGTTTATTGAAAGAGAATTTTTTATGCCAGAGATCTGTGTAAAGAACTCACAATTGTGTGTAATTGGTCAGAAGGTTGAATATAATACAAAAAAATGAATTGAAATTATGACAATGGTCACGTAAAAATACCGGCATTAGCATATAAAGATTCGGTTCTTTTGATGAAATTACAGTTTATGCTTTCGTTTGTATTCTTTGCAGCAAATTTCGGTACACCTTTGAAGGGAGTGAAAGTTGTTGAGAGTTCCCTCGCAGCCTCCGTACTGATATTCCATGCAGGTGTCGCTTGCCGGATTGTAGCCGTAGCGTTTCTCGTAACTGTTACACGGGCCGGGATCACGTGGGGACAAGCAAAAGTCCATTGGGTCCTGAAAGTGAAACTTCAAATCTGTTTCGAATGATAAGTTCATGTTTTTTTTTTAATTTAAGTGAGTCGCGAGCAGAAAAACTTTTCTTCGATTGGAATAAGTTTCTTTGTTCCCCCACTGCTTTTTGGCGTTTTTGAAAACACTGCTCTCAAACCTGTTCTTAAATGTTTTCAAGAAATTGAAACCAAAACGAAGACCATACCTGGCAACAGACAGAAACGTTGTACTCGCTCGACATGTGGCATATGAATCCGTCCGGACATCCTTTATCAATTCCACACGATGTAACTTGCTCTCCTTCAATGAGTGGGATCCCGTGGGGGCAATAGTTCCGATATTCTGGAGAAATATAACAAACGTTTCACTATTTTGTCAGCCGTTACCTGGACATGCTGACTGGCAGTTCGCTTGCAACAGGAAGTTGTTCTCGTTTCCGCCGACGCCGCCATAGTTGAAAGGAGCGCAGCTAAATTTTTTGACACATTTTGACATTGGGCTTTTTGAACTGTAAATTATTTTTGGTTGGCCTAAATAACTTGACGGGCATTTTTCAAACTTCTCTTTAAGCAAACGAAGGTACACCTCTAAACTTCTGCTTATTCAAAAGGTCTTGAGCTCACCGGTTTTGCTTTCGATCGAAGAACCAACGAGACAAATCTTCTCCACCAGTTCCTTCCTCTACCGGTTGATCGCAAGGATCCACATCTGCAGCTCAATGAATTCCATTTTCGAACGTCCCTTTTGTCTCACTTCTTTTCGGACAACAGATTGTGGTCAGAGGAGTGGCTCCGACATGACAATAACTGGCGCGAGGACAGGAGTCGACACGTTGACCTCCAGTGCAAAGAGTTCGTTCTCCTGCCGAATCTGTGATCGGCTCACCATAGCCGCAGGGGTTAAGCTCTGAACAATAAAATCATAACTGTCAAGAAAGATGGTTTATACGATACCTTTGCACATTTGTCTGCATGCTTGCTTCGTCAGGAAGTTGTTGGAGTTTCCTTTCATCCCCTTGTAGACAAAAGGTCTGCACATCTGGATTCCGCCGTCAAAGAACCAACGAGACAACGATTCACTTCCTTGACCGAATTCCAGTGGCAAGTCGCAAGGTCTTCGCGCTGAACTCGTGATCGGAGTTCGGCTTCACACTCTTTTTCCTCACTTCCAGGACAGCAATTGGTAGTTTCAGGGCTGCCGCCAACGTGACACCAGTAACCGCTGGAACAAGTTTCAGCTCCTCCACAGATCACAGGTTCCTTCATTCCGTTCAGAAGCGGCTCTCCCAATTGACAAGGGTTCGGTAAAACTAAATATTTCGTTTTAGAGGTAAATAATCAAGAGCGAAAATGTTGTTTTGATATTACCAAATAAAGCGTCTACCTGGACACACAAGTTCACAGTCTTCATGTGACAGGAAATTGTTCGCGTTTCCTTTTGATCCTTGGTAGACGAATTCGCGACAACGCTTAGTTTCTTTATCGTAGTAGAACCTGCATTAATTCGCTATCAAGAAAAACTCAAAAAGGTGTAGAGAAACCTGGTCATAGAAAATCCGCCATTTCCTGGCATCAAACTCTGCAGACATGGGTCACCATCTGAAGAAATCTTTTTTTTGTCCATACATTTTTCTGCTAACTTTTTTGACAGCAGTAGTTTTGCGCTCCGTCGACTCCGATGTGGCAGAAGTGTGTAGAAGGACATCTGAAGGTTCTCTTTTTCAAGACACAGAATTTTAGTTTTGACGAAAATTTGATCCTGAATATTTTACCTCTCATTTGGTGAACACTCTTTAGGCTTTGATCCAATCATGAGAGGTTTTCCGTGTCCACAGGGGTTTTCAAAAACAGGGCAAACCGCTTGGCAATCTTCTTGAGTGAGGAACATGTTCTAAATGTATATATTTGATTGAAACGTTGCGAGGTCAATTCACCTGGTTACCACCTTCGCCGCTGTAAATGAACTTGGAGCATTTTTTCTCCTCTTGGTTAAAATGCCAACGGGTCAAGTAAGAACTACCGTAACCTTTGACAAGAGGGAGCTCGCAAGCATTTTGAACTGAAATGGGAATTCTGATTTGTAAAACTGCTGATGGTGAGATACCTGCAGAACAGCAAACAGTGGTTTCTGGAGTGATTCCAACGTGACACCAGTGGGTATTGGGGCAAGGAGAAGTTGGACTGCAGAGACGTGGCTCGTCCTCAGGAGTCATGAGCATGGTTCCCGATCCACAGGGATTCTTACACTCTCCTGTAAAAAACCAAAATTTCCAAAAAATAAGCAGTTTAGAATTTACTACATTCTTCTAGAATGTGAGTGAGAAGATTAGGCAAAAAAACAAGTCAGGTTTTCTATTTTTTTCAATTTTTTTTCTCACTTTCACTATATTGTAAAAAGGAAATTTGAGCGTTTCTTTTTGCCCAACCAAATTAGCTGAATGAAGGTGTTTGAAAAAAATCCGGCATTTGCCGCTTGATTCACGGGAAATAATTTCAAATTTTTTTATTTGAAAAAAAGATTTTTTTGTTATCTTCTTTTTTTGTTGTAAAAAAACTCACTTCGACACTTTTTGTTCACACTGTTGCTTTGTGAGGAAGTTGTTCTGGTTTCCTTTGGATCCATTGTAAGTAAAGGGTTTACACTGTCGGCTGCACGACTTGTCGCTTGGGTCGGCGTACCAACGAGTAAGATTCGAAGTACCCTCGCCGGCAAACATTGGTAGAGCGCAAGGGTCCGGTGACGCTCAAATAATTCTTTTTTTTTCTTGTTTTTGCTATTCAATATGTGAGTTATGGCGAAAATCTTACCTCCAGGGCAACAAACTGAGGACTGTTGGCTTGCTCCAATGTGACACCACTGACCAGCGCTGCATTCCGTTCCGTTGAGAGAACATTCTCTTCTTTGGGCAACATTCACCGCCACCGGACAGGGATTGTTCCATTCTGAACACAAGTTATGCCGTTTCATTTCGCAAGCTAAAGTCATTGGAAGAGTCAATATATGGGGTTTCGAGTGACCAAAAATAACTCTAATAAGACATAAAATTACTTTGGCATTTTTCCTGGCACTGGGTGTTGGTGAGGAAGTTGTTCTCGTTTCCTTTCGCGCCTTTGTAAATGAACTCAGTACATCTTTTCGAAAAGGTGTTGTAATAAAAACGCTTCAGAAGAGATTTGCCTTGACCAACGTTGATAGATAAGAGACACAGATCGGTTACTGAAAACTTTTTTCTCGTTGAAAAGGGATCCGCGAATTGACTGACATCCACTGTTTTCACAGCAAGCCGTCATTTCCGGGTTCTCGCCAATGTGGCAATAGAAGCCGTTGGGACACATGCTGTCATCGTTAGGTCCGCAAATGATTCGTGAGAGATTCTTGTGACGAGCGGGCTGGTTTAGCTTGCACGGGTTCAGATTATCGGTGCTCACCACTGAAACTCTTTTTCCTGAGGAGATCTAACAGATTTAGCGACCTGTTTCACAAGCGTCGATGCATTGAGCTTTAGTAACGAAGTTATTGGAATTTCCACGAATTCCTTTGTAGAGAAAACTGTAAATTATAAATAGCGAGGAATGAATTTTTGAACATGTGAAGTTTTAAAATGAAACTATCGAGCTCACCGTTTGCACTGTTTTGCTTGTTTGTCAAAGTACCAACGAGCGACGAGTTCGTCTCCTTCACCGGTGTCTCGACGTTGGCTGCATCGCTCCTCTGAAGTCATTTTCCAGAAATATTCAAAGATAATGTCATAAAGAATTTTCTCTCAGAAAAAAAACCCCCTCTTCAGAGTGGAACAAGTTTGGCTTGAAAACTCTGCTCCCCAAATCGTTATCAAGCTTATTTAGCATGGTCTTTGCATAATCAAACTATCCAATAAAATAAAGTTACCGGTGGTTGAAATAGGGCAACAAGCAGTTGTGGCGAAGGAAGCGCCTGTATGACAGAAATGATCTTCAGGACAGCCACCATTGGGCTGGTTGAGGTAGTTGCAAGAAATTGGCGTGGAAAACTCGTTGAGAAGTGGTTGACCAGACGGGCAAGGGTTGAAGAACTCTGTAGGAAGGACTATTTGAATCATTTCGAAAAACTTTCAACTGACTGGTTTTGGTGGTTTTTCTCTCTGGTCTCATATACTTGGTGGAAGCGCTTTGTGGAGTGGTTTCCGGAGCTGCTGTCGAATCAGTGAAAGATGGGGACATTGACGGGGTGGCTGATTCTGGTCCAGGCGTTTCCAGAGTCGTTGGCGCCTGGATAGGGCTTTTTTCAATGATCGAAAAAAACGAAAAAAGTGGAAAATAATATCATAAAAGAACCTAATTTATTCCAAACATCGAATGAATTTGTGCAGGTTCGGACCGGAGTCCTATTTTACTGTCAATGTAGCTTTGATAAATTATCTACCTTTTTTGGAAGGAAAATGCTTTTCTTCAAGTCAAAGTTTAGAAAGATTTTTTTCTATTACCACAGCTTTTCAAAGCCAAAAATATCGTACCACCGTAGTTGGTTGAGAAGTTTGCTGCGTTGGCAAAGTAGGAACCGGCTGTGGAAGAGTAGGAGGCTGCGTTGGGATCGTCGGCAAAGGCACGATCCTCGGCTGGACCACCATTGGCGCTGGCTTCACTTGAGGGATTGTTCTGATTTGAACTTGCACTTGTGGAACTACTGGCCTTGACAGTCCTCAAACATTTTTTTTTATTACTGAAACTCCCGAAAAAAAAACATACCTGTTGGTCTGTAGTTCCACCGGTAGCGATTTTGATTATTGCACCTTGGTTGACAATTCGTCCGGACTGGGTAAAAAACTGGTCTTTGAACCTGAGGAACCATCTGTCTCTGTTGATAGTATTGCTAAAAAAAAAAGAAATACGTGGAAAGCTAAAAAAACATTTTCTGACCTGAGGTAGTGCAAGATGCACCAAAGCCGCTAATACAAGCAGCTTCATATCTGAAATAAGTGAATAAAAGCAATGATGAATAAATAAAAAAATGTTGAAATAATAATCAGATTTTTTTATAAGTGAGGCTTACAGCGAGAATTCACAATTGTTCAATAATTAGCCGAATCAAATTTCAATGCATAACAGAATTATTTGAATAATTTTGAAATTTCTTTTTGTCGGAAATTGGATTTTTTTGAGCGCAGTATGGCTTCCAAAAAAATATTTCTACCACAATTTTTCACAGCTACTTTCTAAAAGAAAAATCAAAGTTTTAATTGAAATGACCTACATACATCAAGGAGTAGTGGATTTCTGAATAGAGCGTAAAAGCAAAGCAAATGATCAAAAAGAATGAGTGAAGTTTCAAAAGTTTGAAACCTTCCAAATCAAAAAAAAAATGGTAGACGGAAAGTGAGAATCTTTGTCCAACTTATGGGTATTTGATCAGAATTTGAACCATCATAACCAAATGAAAAAAGGGCAAGTTTTTTATTGGAAAGTCAAGAACAAGATAAGACTACATACACAAAACAGAAATAATAGTTTTGATCAAGAAAAGTTAGGCGGCGGGAGGTCGGGAGCTCTTTCGAGTTGCGAATGGAGTACCGATTTCGACGTGACAGACCGTCCACGACTGACCGGAAGTGTAAATACTGAGACCTCAAACCCCGAGGCGCTGCCCCTTTTTCGTTGGCTCAAAGTTGAGTAGTTGAAAAAGCAGGAAAAAAAATAGAGGGACACGCTCCCTTCAACTTCTTTGCGTCAACATGGTACCGCTCAGAGCATACACAAGTAGTGACCGGCGTGACACTTGTCTGATTACGGAGTGGTGAGAGCCAAAAACTTCGCTGTTTGCACTTTTTCGAGTAGGATGACTCCATTCCCGGACGTGAAGTGAGAAGCTTGTAGTTTCTTCTAATTAAGAACTAATTCGGTTCAGGTATGCCTCCAACAGATTTCATTATTATCAAAAGAATAAACGATAAGAGCGGAGGTAATTTTACTTTTGGCTCAAGAGCTTCCTGCAACCAAAGTCCTGTTGACCAACCTCTCTTTTCAGATTAAGCATTTTCGCATACTTTCAGGAATTGGCTAATAATATCATAAATCCCAATCGACCTCAAAAAAAAAAAATTAAAAAAGAAGATATTGAACGATCTTACTTGTGCGCGGAAAAGTAAGAAAGCATTTGCTTTCAGAGATATTTAACTTTTTTTCCACTCAATCCCAAGATCCAAACTTCGCTTTTTACTATAAGCTGTTCAAGACCCTTTTTTGACTTGCGCACAATGGAAGAGATCATTTCTCTGAGAAGGGACGCAAGTGACTAAAACCATTGTTGCTTTTTTCATTCCGCCGAGATATTGTGAAGATTAGATTTACCAGAAAAATGCATTTGCTTTTCTCGGGTGAAAAACTTTTGTGTGCTTTAATAGTCGAGTTGCGAAACGTTTCCAACGAAAAGTGACCCTTTTCGCAAAATTTCAGAAGAAAACGCAAAGACCAACATCAGGTATGTGATTTTCTGGCGTTACGTAGCCGAAACCTTCATAAGAAAAAAAGACATTTAGAATATACGGGAGTAATGATAATTACGCAATTTTGATGTATTTTGGTCGATCTCAGCCTATTTTGTAATTGTGCAAAATGGAAAAAGCGAGATTTCGCTACTTCCAAAGGTCAAAAAAGGCGCTGATTGAGCTGCTTCAGAGCTTGAAGTGTGGCAGTCAACCACGCTTGACAAACAGCAAAGCTCGCTTTTCTTTGATGGTAAAAGGTGTCTCTCCGCTTTGAGAGCTTATCCGCGTTCGATTCCATTTTCGCAAACTTCCGCCATCAAATTTTGTCAACTAAGACAATAGTCCGTGACACTTATCGGCTTGGCTGAACAAACGTCTTGGCCGAGGGAAATTCGTTGTCGACAGGTGACTTATCGCGTCATGGAAAAGGAACTTTACTCCGGGTAATTACACCTCTTGAAAAACAGCTCTATCGGGAGGGGAGTCTACTCGGCCTTCATATTCTGAAACAAAAAAACTAGAAAAATTCAAAAAAAGTCTCTAAGCTGATTACCACAATTACTGAAATAGTCAGAACAAAGTTTTTTTGTAAGACCAAGAACCCCAACTTTCAACTCTCCTTATCAGTTTTCTGCATCTGACTTTAAAAAGTGAATTTTGATAAAGACTTTTCTATTCCCTTTTCTCAAAAAATTCCTTCGTTTGAACGGATTCACCAATGTACTTTTTTTCAAATTTTCTTCAGCTCAAAAGTTCACAGAAGCCACGTTTTTGATCATCGAATAAAAAGTTCAGATAAAGATATTTATGTAGTTCTATTGTTAGTAAATATGCAGATAATGAAACTCAAAAGTACTACTAAAGCCTGAAAAAAACGTTTTTTTAATTGATCGGAGAGACGGAGAATGAAGACATCGAAGATCCATTTGAATCAAAACTCAAAACTTCTAAAAAAAATATCTGGTTTTCCAATTGCTATATTTCGCAATATTGCTTTACTTCTATTTCTAGTAAAAGCAATATTAAATTTTTTTTTCTTTTGATGCCGCGAAATAATTTGTGAAAAAGCTGTCAAGTTCATTCTCCAATTTCAACAAACCTCTGCTGTTTCAGAGCAAACAGAAAAAAGGCGAGATTTAAAAAAGAAGTTCGTTTGCTCATAGGTTTTGAGGTCATTTTTTTTTTCATTTCATTGTTTTATATAGAAACGTACAAGAAAGTTTTTCGGTCATGTGAAATTGTACTTTCTTGAGCACGAAATAATTTAAACTCATCAGCAGCTTGGAAAAAATTATTATGGATGACTGATAATTCCGAAATGTTGCAACAGTTTTTCATGTATGTGATTAAATAGGAGATTGTATCCGACTCCCTTGAAAAAATTGTTGGAGAGAGATTGGCTTGCATCTCTTCTTGCAATTACTTTCCTCTGAAATCTTCTTGACCGAAAAGCTACACTTTTCGTTGGGATCTTTTTTTGCTGTTGCAGAACTCCAACAGCGGCTGTTTCCAATCAACTGCAGAAGTTTTTTGAGTCAGCTGAGGGCGTCTTGAGAACTTAGAGCCGAATGTTCTCAGAAATAAACTTTTTCGTGCACCATGCTTTTTGTCTCTTTGATCATCCGGATCGCTGAATTTCTAGTGCAGGTCTGCTGGTAAACACTTCGAAAAGCTTGAAACCATGTCATTAGTTGAAAGGGAGAATCATTTACGAGTTTGAAATTGGGGGATGTTCGTCCGCTGCTCTCTTCTCATTGAATAGTTTATTGAGTGGCGAAGTTTACTTGCGTTTTGCAGCACGCGCAAAATATCTTTGATTTCTGCTGCTCTGGGCTGGCGATTTCCAAAGATTCAAACCTTATCCATAGATTCATAGAAGTAATCCGACAATGTAATTTTTTGAAAGCATATGAAAATGAAGTGAGATTTTATACGACTTGGAAAACCTTTCGTATTCCAAAAAAAAACTTTTCGAAAAATCGTTATTCTTGAGATGTTTCTGTTCCCTGAAACATCTTTTTTATTTTGAAACTAGACAGCTCTGTGTGCTTAGGTTCGAAGACAATCAACCAGTAAATTGTATAGTAATTCGTCTCGTCTTCCAATGATCTCCTTCAAAGACGGATCTCCAAGCTTAAAATTCTTCAATCTTACTGGAATCAGTGGTTTTTCGAGATGAAATTCGACAGCTGTCCGTACTGAAATGAGCTGAGAACAGAGGGCTCTTCATCTTTTTCTAGCTGTCTCGAAAGGATATATCACCAGAAACCTTTACCGTTTCATTTTCAATTTGGTGTGTTTTTTTTTCAACGATAAATGAAGATTCCCTCATTCTTTTGTCATTCTGGAAAGAACGCATTTTATTTTTACGTCACTTGTTTCATGTCTCATCCGACAAATAGAAACATGTCAACAAAGCTCTTCCCCACTTACGTCTGTTTTTCGTTGCCTAGTTTTTCTAGAAAAAGTGGTTTCTCAAAGTTTTTTTTTTTGATTCAAACTGTAGTTCTTTAGATTTCTTTGAGAACCAAATCCTGTAATTGCGCCTCCGCGACGGTCTTTTAGTTTTGATGAGTCATTCCAAACGTTCCTACCGCCTTTTGCCAGACTTACTCAACAACTTTCGAAGTTGCTTAGATTCTTTGAAATTTTCAGCATTTTTTACAGTTTTCTATTGTATTCCTCATAAAAACCTCAATTTTCTTCCAATTCATGATCAAAAGCGAAAGACAAACCATGCGAGGTGATCCAACTTTTCTTGCTTTTTTATTGTGTGACATTTTTCAATTTTATACCCACCCGCCGCTCTGAACATTATGGGAACTCCCTTTTAGAGATTTTTCTAGCTGATAAAGATGTTATATCAACCAAAATATTTTTAAAACCAAACTTCCGGAACTATTTTATCGTTTTTTTTTACGAGAAACGAGAGTTTATTCTGTTTTGTTAATGAAAAGAAGTACGCTGATAAAAAAAAGTAGTCTCAGTTTTTTTTTTTGGCTAATAGTTTTTGACAGATTCTCTCCAACCGGCCATTGGAAAAAATGGCGTCCTACGACAATATAAGCTAACAAGGAATTTTTTTGAATTTATGATTATAAAAAAATTGTATCAATTATGGGAATATGCTAGAAAAAAACTTTGCTTCTGACGAATCAGTTTTATCGAAAGCTAGCGATCCGTTTTTAGCTTCGGAGAAAAGCTTTAAAAATTTTGATTGAGTTGTAAAGTATAAACACATCTTTTTCAGTTTATTAAATGCTTCAGTTTTTGCTTCGAAAGTTCACCTCCAAGAAAAAGGCGAAAAGTGGCCCGATAATGCAAAACCTCAAACAGGTAAAACAACAAAGTTCTTTAAGAGAAAGAAAAATTTATATTCTTACAAGATTGAGAAGTTCTCATGAAGATTCAAACTTTGAATTCAACTTGACAGTGAATTTCTTTTTTGTCAAGTCAGTTTCACGCTAAAAAGTTTTAAAAAAGGTCATTACATGCCGGAGGAGAAACAATTCTCGCTGAAAACACGGTCGTTCGCAGCCGATGGCCGATCTCCTCGATCGCTATCTTCACAGCCGACGAGAACACGTCGCTGCGAAACGTCGATGAAAATAATTTAGGAATTACGGAAGAAGAACGTAAACTAACTGACGAGTTACTCTCAGTTCCCTCGATGACTAATGTTTTTCAACTTTTTAATGTGCCGCTCATTGTTTGTTGCGTTTGAAACCGGAAAGTCATTTCGTTCTGATTGAATTTTAGTCAGTTGAAAAACCAATTCTGAAGTTTTTTTGAAGGCTCCAAGTAATTTTTCCAGTAAATATTATTTTTATCATTTTCAACTTTTCAATTTTTGCTTTATTGAAATACGGATCAAATAATTTTTCGGTATAATGTGTCTGAAGGCTTCTTTCGGACGTTTTTCAAATTATAGTTTTGGAAAACTGCAACAACCTATTTGAACCTTTTTAAAACCCATTGAAAAAGTTTCAAAAATTGTTTCCAAGATCTTGCAGATTTTTCTTAGAGCTTCTGAGATTTTTACTGGGAGTGCATCTCCGATTTCGGTGCAACACCGGAAATAAGATTGCACTGGCAGCCAAACGGCTTGGATGCGCCTATTTCCGGCCTGTTTGTCTGAAAGAAGCAGGAATGGCTCGTTTTTTTCGTCGCTTCCCGCCCTGTCTGCCCTCTTCGATCCTGTGTTTGCTCATTCGCATCCTTTTCTTTTCTCTTTTTTTAATAGTCATGTAATATTTTTTAATTGATCTACAGGTATTCGAGAGAGAATCGATTTTTTACTGTGTTGCAATTTTTCTGATTCTGTATATATTCTAATTTTCAAATTCACCACTATCCATGGCCTTGCATGTATAATTTTTTTTCTAACTTAAAAGCCGAAAAAACAGCATGAAGTCATTTTTTCTTGTGACCGCTGTAGAGCTTATTCAAAGAACTATGTAGATTGCAGCTGAACTTGAATAATTTTTTTGAAAGAACATAACCCCGATTTCATTCCTGAGTTATTGACTTTCTAAGATGGTCTGAAGAGACGAATTAATTAAGTGAAGCTTAAGTATGAGAAACTCAAGAATTATCTCTTTGATGAAATGAAATGTTTATTTCGCTCACAGACAGATCTGTGGCGTGGAGGAAGAGAACTTTATACACATCGATAGCTAGTACTGACGGATGATCTCCAAACCATGGAGATGAGAATCGCGACAAGGAAGACAACTGGAGAAAATCTGTTTTGCACTTTTTAGTTTTTTTTTTCGCCCAACTTAGTTTAAGATTGTATTGATTTCTTTAATTTCTCAACATTATCAAATATCCACTTTTCAAATTTTAATCTCCAGTATTTTACATTGCTACTGTCAGATTGAATCACACTGGAATTCACTTCTCAGATAACGTGTTATTTTTTGTTTGAACTTTGCTCTTTTTTATTGACTCTTCCAGAATTATGTTTTCAGGGAAGATTAAGATTCTACATTCAGTGCACGGGTTGTATGCGACGGTTCAAATCCAACAACAGCGAATGACGTGGCTAACCGTGCTGAGTTTGTTGCTGGCGGCGGGGGTCAGCGGCGGCGCCAAATTGTTTGTTCGTGCATCCGAAAAACAACAAAAAAAGGACTTCAGGCCCCAAGCGTTGGTCGTTTTGCCACCGTTTCTCAGGCAGAACTCAACGAACCACATTTGGGTAACGCCTGTTCAGGTATCGAACATTTAAATCTTTGAGCGTTTTGGCAATATTTGATCCGAAAAAGAGTTACTGCCTGTTTTATTTGATGAGTAATGATAGATTTTTGTACCTTACGTAAATGACTTCAACACTGGCGGCTTGGTTAAAAAGGACTGAATCTAGTTCGCATAAAAAAGGGATGAATAATTATCGGGAGAACTTCCCTAATCATGATGGTGGAGCTTTGTGATTTTTTGACTCTTTTTTTCATGTTTCTATTACAGACTGATTCAAATGTCGACGTCAAACTAACACTTCGGAATGGGAAGAACCAGATCGGAGCTCCTATCAAGTCAAAAGCCATAAGACCAGGTAAAAAATTCAAGAAACAAATAAATTATTCTCATTTTATAGGAGCGCCAAAAAAAATTTCCTTCCCGCTTGACGGGACCGCAGAGTCTGTAGACATCACTATAGAAGTTGAAATAGTCTTTTATCCCTGAATACCGCAAAAATTCAGGTGACTAAGCATGAACCTTTCAAAGCTCAACTTTTCGTACGTCCCGATTTATTCGCTGTGCATCTTCACACAGATAAAAACATTTATAGAGCTGGAGAAACAGGTAATTAGACAGTATTGGACATGATGAAGTTTTGTGGTTCATTATCCTTCAGTGAAAATGAGAGCTCTGCCGTTGACCCATCGAGGCACTCGCTATGAAGAGCCTATCGAAATCATCCTGATTGTGAGCCTTTCAGTCGGAAAAAGTGAACTTGTGAGTTCAGAATGCTGAAGGGTTTGAACTTCTGCGAAAAACGAAAAACTCTGACAATTCGCCAATCATTGCTGACGAGTTCGAACTACCGGAGCACTTGTTCTTTGGAGACTGGAAGATCATCGCGCGACCATCAGGGGTCAAAGATCCTCAGCTCACTTTCTCGACAAGCTTCAGAGTTCAAGATTATGGTGAATTGCTTTACCAAGAAATTTACTTTCTATTATTATTTGTTTCCCAATTTTTTCCATCACCTAACATTGGCTTTTTTTTACTCTAATCTTCTGTTCACAGATCTTCCTGTCTTCAAGCTTTTTGGCTACGTCCATGATGGCGGAGACGTTGAAGAAACCGGAATAACGATCGATGCAAGGTTAGAAACTTTTTTCACCACTTCGAAGTCGGAAAGAAGATGTCATTCACTTCCTTCTTCCACTTTTTTTGCAGATATTTCCACGGAGCTCCCATCGACGGAACTTTCACAATTTCATGCTCAAATGTCTCCCATCAAGACGTCGACCGCTTGAGCCGTATACGTGTCAAATCTGGAGAAGTTAGTTTTATGAAACTTTGGTCTTCAAAATTTTCCAGTGCAGAAAATGTATGCAACGGGGTAGAAAAAATCAAAAAAGGGGTCGAGGTTAAATTTAATTCTTTATCACAGCAAAAGTTTGGTAGTACTTAATGCTGAGCAATCATTAAGAACGTTCTCACATGAAACCCATATTCAGTAAAATCCTGATTCTAGCCAATGATATGGAAAGTTCTAACTCGAGTTTGAAAAGCCTTATCATTTCCGACATCGTCTTTGAGCGTAAAGGAGTGGGTTCAAAAGCGAATTGACCACTATCAGGTCTTCCAAAAAGTTTCCTCCGTTTTCCATAACTCTTTGGTAGAACTCTTGATCGATGAATCTGGAAACAAAGGATGTTTAAAAAAAGGGATGAAGGAGAAAAACCTAGTGGCGCTAATTGTGTTGTACGGGAGCCACAGGGTGATGTGAGTGACGACGATAAGACAAGCACTTCGAAAAACGCGAGAACCTAGTTGTGAGCGCCAAGTCGGCCAGCTTTTCGTTCGATGAAGCGTTATTCCTGTAAGAAAAAAAAGATTGGCTATTTTCCATCCACAAGTGTCCAAATGAAAGTATTTTTTCCGATGAGAATTTTCTGTCTTCAATGTATCTTTAATGCATCGAAAGTTTATTGAAACTTTGAATTGTATTCTCGGGTTCGCACAGTTTCTGTAGTAATCAATTGCCCTCCAAACTCGTGTGCTTGTTCTTTTGCTGTCGCTGAAGTCTTTGGGCTGCATTAGAGTTTTAGTACATTTTTAGAATATTTGAATAAAATCCAAAAATTTTTTCACTTTTTCTAAGACTGTTTGTTCTTTTTTTACATCCCTTATCATTTTTAAAACCAGAAGACTATTTTCATGAATAATCAGTCGTTATAATATAAAGTTACAGTTCATTTTTTTTTTAGTTGTTTGAAAAAGTTCCTCATTGAGAATTGAAGAACTTGAGAACTTTTTCTTTAGTAGAGAATTATTACTTCCTTTTTTAAAATTATTATCTTCCAACCTTAAATCTTTGATAAAAGCGCTACGGCATTTTCAACGTGCTCAAACTTTGTGAAAAAAAGATACGTACCTGAAACAGGCCTCGGTGTATCTCTTTGTTTTTTGATCATATTCAGCTGCAGAAAATTTTCCCAGCGGCTTTTCCTTTTCACTCGTTTGCCAAAGACATCGAAAGAATTTGTGAGAGGCCTGAATTTCATAAAGTCACGGAATGCTATTTCAAAAGAACATATTAAAGTTTTCTGAAAGTTCACTCTGTGCACAAAAAAATTGGCTCACCTCTCTTCGCTGTCGGAAAACCGAGCAATTTTTATTTTTTCGCGTGCTCGCAAACTGTAATGAAGCAACTTGAGAACGATCAAAATGTAGCTGATGAGGATTGTCATCAACGGAAGCCAAAAAACTGTGAATTGGTGCCCAATCTCATAGAATATTGCACTTCTTTCCAAGAGCTCGGTAGTTGCGTTGTGATAGTTGGCCACCTATAAAGTTGAAGTTTTGTTTGGTTCCGATTAAATTCAACAAAACTGACTTTAAACTTGAAAAAAAAATTTGATGCTCTCTTTTGAAAGTTTTTTATATGATATTTCATACTGACCGCAAAAATAGTAACACATTGCTCCCAAGTTGAGCCAACGGGCATGGTTCTCCAAATGAAGAATTGCGGAAAACTACAAAGAAAGGCGAAGAGCCAGCAGCCGAAAATCATACATCTGACTCTTCTCACACTCGTTGCTCCTGCAAGTCGAAAAGGATTATTTTCGAACTTCCTTTTCTAAATATATTTTTCAGAGCTTATCAATTTTTTCTGCCATTTAAAGTCACATGAAGTTATTGACAGGTGAAATTCCTATAATGTTAACTTAGGACAAATGTTACTACGGAAACCTCTCAAACTCATATTTTTGAACACTATTTCCCTGACGAAATTCTCATCCAATAATATTTCAAATCGGCTGTTAATAACATTTGCTTCAGGAGTTTTAATGATTTTGATAATATCAGAAACAGTTGCAAAAATATTCTGGCGATGGTTTGAACTTGAAAATTTTTGAAAAGTCTTTTCATCAAGAAACGTTTTTCCAATTGAGTAAACCTTGAATTTGCGTTGTATAGACGACTTTCAATCTATCTAGCGCAATGGCAACGATAATGTTGGAATTGGCATAAAAAGAAAACGACGAGAAAAATTTGTACAGTTTGCATCCCGAGTTGCCCAGTTTCCACTCGAAAGTTGTTAGCCACACAATCTGAAAAAAAATAAAGTTGAGCTGGTGGTCTTTCCTGTGAGGAAATTACCTTTCCCAGGGCATATATGAGAAGGATGAAAAAGTCGGAAATACACAAATTGAGTTTGAACAGTTGGAACGAGTTTTTGTGATAAGGCCCCGTGAGGAAGTTAGTTCTCACAGTCGGTGTCCTAAAAACGGATATGTGATTCACTTTCCAAAAATTATGAGTAGGTCTAAGGAGAAATGTTTTTCATGACCTCCAGCAAAGCATTCGTCATTGCTTTGAGTGAATTTTTATTAGGGCAAAAAATAAAATAAAAGTACAAGCTCTAATTGTAATTTTTCTAATAACGCAGGTGTTCCATATGAGTGGATAACTCGATTTTAAACTTATATCTTTCATTCAAGTTGGGGAGTTTAACGTCATATAGGACGAAGAACAAAAAACATACTTTGTTGTTGAAACAATCTGTGCGAAGACCAGGGCATTTAACAAGACAGCGACTGCGACGACGATCAAAAGTATGAAGATCTCGATGTTCTCGACGAAAATCCGCTCGGGAACCTCGACGATCATCTCTTCCTCCATAAAAAACGTGCGCCTCCGCGCTAAACTGTCAGAATAAAAATAATGCTAGGATAAGCTCTGACGCGACGAGAATAAAAAAAAACAATTGTCACGTTTTCAAAAGAGACTCAAAGAAGGAAGTTTGTTAGAATGTTAAAGGATGTTTATAGGTATCCTCGGCTTTAAGACATAACAAAAAACTTCGCTGCAATTTGTTTGGTGATGCGTGGTGGAAGATGAGCTCCAACCAAAAAACATATCAGGTGGAAGCAAAACAGTGATTAAAATGGTAAAATGAGGCAGGTTCAGACATCGGCTGCAGCTTTGAAAAATGGAAATTAGGAAAAAACTCGCTCAAATAAAAAGGCGGACTTTTGCAGTGGCTCTTATTGCAAACCCATAAACACACAAGTATCCGAAAAAAGCTTTCAGAAAGCGTCCGTTTCTATTTCACAAGCGGGAGTTATGAAAAAAGCTTTGGCATAACTGAACTTTTGGTTTTCTAACACGTTTAACATGGAAACTCCTCGGTTTCTAGGCAAAATTTTGATGCGGTTTCATTACTTTCAACTGTAATACAAAAACTTTCTTTCATGTAAGGGAACTCTATTTGATTAAAGAAACCGACATTTGCTTGCTAAAGCACTTTTTTTCTTTTTGAATATATGACGTTCATTAAAAAAAGCGGAGTAGTTGTTGTTAAATTTTAATTGGAAACTAGTAGGCGAGCACGTCTCGGCAAGAATGTCTGATGGTTGAAATATCAAAGGAAAAAAACAAGAAAAAAAAATCAGAAAAAAACTTTTTAGGTCATTTCGAAACTTTAGCTTAATTTTTATTTTTTTTTAAATCAAAATTTTTTTGCGACAAAAAGTGCTTTTTTTATTTCGAATTTTTTTCCGTAAAAAAATGTCGACGTTTTTCCTAAATCCGAAATTAGGAGCACTCGTGGTTTTTTCTGCAGCTTATGAAGTTTCAACTCGTTTGCCAATTTTGCCTGAAGGAAGAGCAAGAAATAGGGAAAAAAAATGAAACGTGTTTTTGTGACGCAAAAAAAAAGATGACGTATTACAGCCGACTTATGTCCCAATACTTTCAAAGTTAACAAAAAGTTGTTTCCTTCTCATTGAAAAGGAAAAACTGTACAACGCTTTAAGCGTGACCTTTCGTGAATGTTTGACGGAATAAGCTTGAAAGCCAAAAAAAAATGTTCGCAACAACTGGAATTGCCGAGAACAGCTGAAAACGGCTGCTGAAACGATAGGTCTCATTTACTAGGAAAAAAATGCCAATTACTTGCGCCTTGATGAAGAAATAGAGAGAAATGATCTCCTTTTTTGGACCTTGCAAAACGCAACATTCTGCACAATGGGTTCATGGAGCCATCGGTTAAGATCGACTCAGCCAATCTTACTACTCGGAAGAAGTTTCATTTGTTCCGCGTTGGAACATACGCTGGCAAGCCTTCCTCATTAATTCCTAATTTTCCCAGCTCTCTCAAACTTTTTTTCCACTTCGGCGATCTCCGAGTTTTTTTTTTTTGGTATAAAAGCCCATTTGATCTTTTTAGAGTTATCTTTCTCAAATGGGCTCAACAACGATTAGCTCGACCGTAGGAATTAAGAAAACAAAAAGGAAGCGTTTTCAAAATAAACATTTCTTCTTTGAAAGTATCATTCTCAAAGGCCTGAATAACTTTGGTCAGACTTAAAGTGGCTTTAGGACTTCAAAGCTTGTGTTCCAAAAGAAAACAACTGGAACGTTATCAGTTGTGTGTGGAATCGGGTGTGCCTTCTTATGAAGTTCCGATAATTTCATAGTTTAAGCCGTTTGTGCGGTCCATTCAAGTGAATGCAAAATGATTGAAAACGAAAAAAAAATACAACAAGAAAACTAGGAGCGAAGATTAGTGAAAAGTGGACCCGAATAAATGCCGATCAGAGAAAACGCTCTGTTGTCATTTTGTATAACAAATAAAAAAGTTTTCGGACGTCCATCACAATAGAAAAAACTCCAGCCAGAGCAAGAATAAAAAAAAACTGAGTACTGCGGCGCAAATTATTAGTTCGTGTTGTATGTAGCGGTGAAAAGAAGGCGGAGCATGGGAGATTGAGTCGCTATTTTTTATGTTCTTTCCAAGTTTTCTTGGTTAGAAGGGTAGATGACGGCTTTTTCGAGAGAACGAGAACCGAAAAATTTGAAAATGGTACTCGGCGAAGGGCGTTAAAAGTTTATTTTTTTGCGTTGTAGCTCGGTTTTTGAATCTCAAGAAAAAAAGTCAAAAGCAGCAGAGTGTGAAAAAAAGCGCACGAATTTTCAATCCGATCATCCGGCTTTCTTAAAAGAGAAAACAAGAAAACACGGAGAGTTTACAAATTCCTGTGAATTTTTTTTGGATTAGGGAATTGAGCAAGTTCGGTTTATTTTAAAATAGTTTCTTTCCTTACTACTGAACGTAGAAAATTTTAACTGAGCAAAAAATTACGAATTCGAATAGTTATGAGTTCTACTCTTCAAACTGGTGGAAAAATATAATTTAGAAGGACGATTAGAATGCAAGGCAGGGAATGAACCTTTGGTCTTAAAACGAGCTAGAGTACTTTGACTTCACTTTGGACTTTTTTAATTTGCATCGTCCTTATCTTCTTTCACGAACTTTGTAAAAGAAGTCAGCGGAAAAACAAGTAGTCCCCGCCTGGAGGAAATGTTACAGAGCGTCTCTCTTGCTGGGCAAAAAGCTGTTGAGATTCGTTTGCAAAAATGGAAAAAAAATCTCTGAAAAAAATTGAAAAGAAAAAATAAATGTCTTTTTTTGATTTTGTAATCATTGCTCCTTGCTTCTCAAAACTTTAAAATTTCAGAACAAATCTTGGAATTTCCTATCACTTTTTCTGAAGGTAACGTTCATGATTTTGAAACTTATGATTGATCTTTCCAACAAGGAGACGACCGAGTTTTTTTTTTTGAAATTTGGAATCATTGAAACAATGGGAATTCCTGGAAAGTACCAATAGCCCACTTTCCATGGTCAGAAAAAAGAAGTTTTGTAGTTATCCAAGAATGTTAGCTTTTAAAAGAAAATTAATAGAATTAGACTAGTGTTGAAAAAGGCGGGTTCAGAAGGTTTTTTTGAAGATGTTTTCCATTGCAAGGATTTGATCAGTTCAGACACTTGAATGACAAATACCTGAACTGAGATTCATGAAGAAGTTCTCAGCCATTCATCAAGAGATTATGATGAAAGAAGCTTGCGCAAAATCTTGCTTCGTGAGACCATTAAACCTTGTGCGAACGCCTCGGTAATATGTTAATCTCTCGAAGTTTTCCTTTTCTGAGAATCTGAGTCTGTAAAGTAATCACTCTAGGTTCAAAAGCCGGTTAATGTCGAGATCCTGTCGGGCCAAAAATTCAGAAACGAAACCAAATAGATTTTCATTTTTGACGTATCTATTGAATTTTGAAATTAAAATAAAAAATCAAGTATACATATCCTAACTGACAACAATTTATTTTATAATTCGCTTACTTTTGCCGCTCAGCATTTCATTTGAATTCAAAACTTCTTGTATTCCACCGTTTCAGGCTGAAAATGACTCAAAAGTTTTGTGAACTCCGAACTATTTTCCAATTTAACTTTTTTTTTTCTTGAGGAAGCTGCGGCAATTTGACGCACGCCCGAATGGACCTATTTAGAGTTGTGCCACTTCCTCATAAGATGTTATGTTTTTGTCTAAGCGGCATCTTATTTTTCTCTTCCCACATTGCTAAAGTACGCTGGAAATTTTAACTCATTGATACTGTGGAAATGAAAAAAAAACCTTCGGCTGTTCATGAAAAAATTAGAAAATTTATTAGAGCTCACACAACCCACAAGAAAAATTCACAGGCAATCCGAAAAAAAAAAAATTAAAATGACAACTGGAGGCGTTCAGAGCAAATCAAAGGTCGCAGCCGTAGAAAAAAAAAATTAAAACGATTTTTTTGTGAACCCATAAAGAAATGGGTTAATCAATGTTATGAGGATCTGGAGATCCTTGAAAATGTTGGCGTGGTCGCTGAGCTGTCTGAAAAATGGTTTTAACTCTATTTATAGACCAAAACTAACCTATATAATGGCTCATTGACGTATTTCATTAGCCCCAGAGCGTTGTAAGGGAACCAAAACAGGAAATGAGTCAGAATGACTAGAAACGCGGTTCGGAATACTCGGCTCCGCAATTGCCGTCGCCAGTTTGGAATCCGAGGCAATTGATAGTCATGACCGATGCTACCATTCGCTGAAATATTCAGCGTTGAACCGGCGTTATATTCAAAAATTCTATTTGTGATCCAGATTGCAGGGGTTTTCATTTTTATTTTCAAGAAGCAAACAATTAAAATTTTGAGAAATTTTGATTCGAATGATGAAAAACTAGAATTCTCTGTGTCCCACTGAACACTCAAATGAATTTTTCTTCAAGTTATTTTTGATTGTCCCTTTATCTGTCTAAAAGTCACGCCGGAAAAGAAGCTTTTATTTGTGATCGGCCGGTGAATCCAAAAAACATGGATGGTTTATGATACTTTCAGTGAAAATCCTACGTATGGAATCATGCTTTTCTGATATGCGCAACCTGAAAAGACTCATTAGACATGTTGAAGCCCTCAAAAATAGAGCGAGGATTATGAGATCCTTTTGAAAATTTCGATGAAAGATCTTTATCACTTACATCTCCTTTCTGGATAAACATTCAAACGTGGAGCACTAAGACGAAATTTCGTTGATCCCTCAGGAACACATTCCAGATCCTAAAAGGCCATAATCACAACGTTTTTATTCAATCTAGGACCTTTTTCATTGAAGAATTTTGAGTAGGAAGTCCATCTGAGACGTTAACATGTACGATAACCTCTAAAAATGAGTAAATGAATAAAAAACTCGGAAAAGGCGGTATTATTTCTACCTTTGACCGTTTCATCTACTACACTCGGCTGAGGCTTTTGAATTCTCTGCAATTCGAAAAGATTCTTTGATTTGACTGGCTTAACCCACAAGCAAGCCAGGTGGCCTCAGAGAGTACTGCATCAGTTTTGTAGCTATCAAAACGTGACAAACGACAAGAACCAATAATGGACCCCAAAAAACGAGAACCTGAAGAAACGCACTTTTTTGTTTTTAAACAACAGCACAAAATAACTCACCAGATGCAAAATGTTATAGGAATTCTCCACAAATCTCGTGAGTATTTTTGAATGTGGATCAATTGTTAAGTTTCCGCCGAATCTTCAAAACTGAATTTGATGGAAACTTGAACGTTAAACAGTAACCTGCTTATTTGCCAAATGTCGGTACATTGTGTCCAACCTCCATACATGGGAACTTCGAAAGTTTGCCAAGCCAATAATTGTGGAAGGCTACAAGCAAAAGAAAAAATCCAGGACAACGCCGCGAGTACGGTGACAGGGTTCATCTGAATGTAACAAAACTTTTGTGATAACCACTTTTTTTTTTGAACGTATTTCCCCTTATTGCAAAGCAAATTTTAACATTCCACTGTCCAAAAGATGTTTTTTTTGCATTTTTGCGACAGGTTATTTATTTTTAATTTGTCTGCCAGTTTTGACGTCTGTTTTCAACGGCGCCAAAAGATTGAATGGCAAATGACGGCCTTCTGTATGCAAGAGTCCTACGCGCACTTTTCAACTCTAAAAGTTCAGGCGGCTGGCTGTATTAATATTTTACCATTTTGGGCTTTCCGCGCACTTTGTCCGCATACATCACATTTCGCAGCCTGTCTACCGCAATGCAGACCACGATGTTCGATGAGCTGTACATTGCGAACATTGAGAGGAGCTGAACTATTCAACGTTAATTATGAGAAAATGACGTGTAAAAACGAAATTTCTCGGGCCATATTTTTAGAAATCGAATTCTCACCTGAAACATTCTGCACAGAAAGTCTCCTCCGACCCATTCATAAGTGATCAACCACATCAGTTTTCCAAGAGCCAAAGTTAATATCAGAAGATCAGTGATGTTAAGGTGGATCTTGAGCATAACGAAACCACTCTGTAACCTTTTCTCTGCAGCTATTAGTGTTTTTTGATATAGTTTTTATATTATTTCACCACTGAAGATCAAAATCTGGGAGAGATCGGGAAATTTCATCTGTCTCACCTTCACAGTGTCCTTGTGCGAGAGTCTTTGTTCCTGGAGTAGTTTCCGCAGAATGATGATATTCGAAGGGACTCCAAGTAGAATCACAAGCCCCAGATAGCCCATTTCAATGTAGTCGCTCAGTAAATGTGTGGGTGGAAACAAATTTTCTTCTGCTGTCGCATTCTCCATAAGTTTCTATAAAATTGAGTTTCAAGGTGAATCTTAACAAAAATGGCGCTTTGAAAAGGGAAAATAACAATGACATGGAGAACGAAAAATTCAGTGAGGTTTTTTCAAAGACAAAAGTAGGAATGCAATTCATATTTCGAGGTTTATTAAAAACGGCAAATAAAAGCTCCTCCCTGTTTTCATGAAATCCTGAAAAAAAAATAAGTGAATTGTCGAACTTATCATCAAATTTTACCAGTTTAGAAACGGATAACAGAACACTGGAGACATTAACTTTCCTGATCAAAAAGCACATTTTTTATGTTTCGAAACATAATCTCGCAAAAAAAGCCTAAAAAACTTTTGGGGCTGAAAGGTTGGGAAAAAAACTTGACAGGTGCGCAATTACATGTAAATACATTTGAACGAGATGCCAAGAAAAAAAATTAAATGATCTTCAGTCGATTGTGCAAAGCAACTCAATTGGAAAAACAAGTTCCGCAGCGTGTTCGAATTTGAAGGAAAACCCGTTTCCTACCTCTGAGGAAGTGTCAAAAATAATCGAATTAATACCAGTTATAAATTCTTGTGGGACCATTTCTTGTGGGATAGGTTCTTCATTCTAAAAATGAGGGTAAGGGACGGTCCAGTTCCGTTTTCTGACTTTTCGCAAATTTTTCCAAGAGAAACTAACGCCCTCATGTGGGAGATGTAGTGGAATACGATCAGACCCGGCTATTTCCTATTTGTCACTTCCGAATTAGGCTTATTGAAAATGTCGGGATGAAGTTGATTTTCCAATCTGAGGATCCGGCAAAACAGTGGAAATATTCCAATTTCCCTCAAGTTAGGTGCAAGTTGGATTATTCAAATTCAAAACAGGGCTACTTTTATTAGGATCAGCTTCGAAAAGGAGTTTTGTTCAAGGTTTGGAAGTTCCCAAAATCGGGTTTAGAAATTTCTCAAAGATCAATTATTCGTATTTGATACCTATATCCCACCAAAAAACTTATTCAATCACTAAACTGAAAAGAAAATACAGGTTTGTTTTCTAAGAAAAAACACAAAAAACTCGTTCGGTGAAGCAAAGAAAAAGAACGCGGAGGAGCAACATTCCGAGTTTCATTTGCATTGAAGAGTGACGTTGGCCTGAAGAGTTGTTTTCTGGCAAAACGTTTCAAGTATTATATCAACAAACAAAAGTCAAAAAGATTAACACAGAGTAATACTCTGACGAGACAGACGACTACCGGATTAATGCTAGTCATTTTTTTTTTTGCAGCTTCACAATGGAATTTGGTCCAACCCCGTCAATTTATCCGTCTGTCGAGAGTATCAAAACTACACAAATCAAGTGAGAGCTGCTAACTCAATCGGATGTTTAACGTCACCACAAACAAGTTTCAGATAGTCGTAGAAGTTCGGGACCATGGAACAGGCTCTCGAGGAGAAGTCAAGCTCACCTGGGACGCTCTTGCTCCAAAATTCAGTCTGACGCCGATGCGTCCTTATTTCTCTCGAGAAATTTCTGATTTATTTTTCATAGTGGGTTTTCATTTGGTCTCTCAGACATGAGAGATTACAAGAGCGCCAATAAAGCTCGAACATCATCTTTCAGTTGAGGAATATGATCTCTTCAGATTGATTCCGAAGGCGTGCAAGAAGGAAACATTACAGTCAAGTATGAGTGTATTTCGCAGCAGCCTCCGGAAGGCGAGATTGCAATTGAAACATTTGGGAAAGTCAATGAGATAGTTCATGTGGATCTTCCTAAACAGTGGAGAACTCTATGTAACGTTATCAAAGTAACGGTGAGTTAATTTCATATCCGGAGCGCTCTTTCAAAAATCACTGTTGAGTATTTTCTCAATTTTAAACTGAAAAACTGTGAAAGTTCTTCCAAAGTCGAAATAGTCCAAAATTTTCCGCGCAAGCTTGAGCCAAATTTTATGATGACTATTGCCAATGAATAATTTTTTTGACAAAAAAAAAAGACTTTTAGGGCAAAAGAAAACTGAAAACTGGGTTCTCGAGAGGACAGACGGTATTGTTGCCAAACATGCATGGAACCGCTTTGGCTTCGAACTTCATCAGCATCGATGATCCGAAAATTGAGTACCGCACCGGAGAAATTCTGTCAGTGACTCTGAAAACGTCCGATGCAAAGATCTTGAACTACATGGTCAGTTGTTATAGAATAAAATTTTGAAACAAATTCAAGTTGAAAATAATAGAAAAACAGTTGAAAAATCGATTAAAAAATAATTGAGTAATAATATTCTTCAGTCGAGTGTGGTTGAAAAACAATAAGAGGGACATCCACTGCAGTAAAGTTAATTAAGCAGAAGCTTAGTACAATATCCTGTTTATTTATTCAGAAAGCGCAAGACCTCATAGAAATAAATGGCTTCGCATTTTGAGACTTCTATCAGGCTTTTAACGAGAGCGACTTTTATTCAAAATGAATAGGAAACTTTGCTGTCAAAAAAAAAGATGAGAATATCCACTGCATTCAAACGAGATGAAACTAGGTGAAAGAAGAACGCGTTAAAAAAGAAGCAAGTAGGAGAAAACGCGAGACCAAACATAACCAACGTAGGAACGCGTGTTCCACTAATAAGATGTTGCCCGGAGGCCACCCACTGAGAGGCCCGAACAAAACAAAAGAAGCTTTTCCTGCTTGATTTAAGACTCAGGTGTTTTTACGAATTTTGCTCGAGAGAGTCCAGCCGAATCACAACAGCAAGACATTTTCTCGTCTTCGAATAAAAAAACGTAGTTCAACTTATAGTCATCGCAGAGAAATCTACTCAATCCATTTCCAAAATATAGAAAAACCTAAATATTTTTTTTTCTCAGAAGAAAGATAGTTATGCCTTTCAGTACAAGGAGGGTCACTTTTTTCACCTGAAGAATTCTAATTCGACTTATTACCCAGTCTTCTATCAAAAAACGGATTCCCGAGAGTTTTTCCCGGATTTAAAAAGAAAATAATCTTCCAAAAAAAGAATTCTTGAAAAAGTTACTTCTCAACATAGGGAGCTCAGAAAATAGGCTCTGAGATCATTTTTTCTATTCCGAAGGTTATTGGCTAATTTCTACTGTTTTCTAAAGCTATAAAGATTGGTGTCCTTTTTGAGGAAAACACGAATGATTTTTCAAAATGAAACAAGAAACTGTGAAAACAGCAAATAATACTATTTTTGCCATCAGATAAGCATCGTTGGCTGAACTGTTCAAAGTACAATAAAATAGTGTTTTTGAGCCGAAAACAACATTCTTCGCAAAAATAAGCTCTTCTCGCGAATAATGTCTCAAAGACATTGCTGAGATTTTGAAAGAGTCTAATGTTCCAGGAGAGTTTAGTGGAAAAGATTTTCTCTGAGGTGTTCCCAAAAATTTCGAACTGGCTAAATTGTTTCCTTGTGAAAAACTTGATAATGATGAAAAGTTTTGAAAAGGAGAACTTTTTCATCAGTATAAAGACCGTTAATGAACTGATCATCAATATCTGTATATTTTTATCATTTAGTTATGTGGCAGCCGATGGGGGTGCCCAAGAATGCCCAATTTTAAGCGATTCGAGGACATTTTGAAAATGTTTATGAAAAACTTGAAAGCGAAGATTTTCAAAGAAACTTCTCACCAAAAACTATCTTTCAGGTAATCTGTGATTCTCACAAACTGATCCAAGTGGAAACGACAAGAGACGACCGAAAGCTGAAAATGGGGATTGTGGAGTCGATGAAGGGCACATGTGTGCTCTATGTGTACACGAGCCTTCCCAACATCACCACGGACATGTACCTTTTCCGGGTCGTCGATCAGTGCGATGTCCGTTTATCCTTTCTTGTTGTTTTCAAGGTCTCCGGCTCTTTTTTGACAAATTGACATTAATTATAACTGTTTACCTAATCAACTTCTCAATTCGTCCTTAGACAAAACTTAAAAAGAGCAATACATTTTGAATATTCGAAAAAGAAACACACAAAAAAATTTTTTTACAAACAGCCGTTTTTGGTTTTCGGAATTGAAACAATAAACGTTATTTCATTCGGGGTTAATTATTCTTTTAAAAAAATTAATCGAAGATTTTTTTCAGTGTTTTTAGATCATAGTAACTTACTATGCAAGTTTTTTTACATCACTTGAAAATTGAAAAAAAATGTCGTTTCAGGGGTCTATGACAGTTTCAAGAGTTATAAATGGCGATAAATATGAGATGAATGGATCAAACGAAAACATTTCTCCTGGAGAAGAGTTGGAAATTCAATTGGTTGGCGACCGAAATGGATTCGCAGTTTATAGAGCCATCGACGACAGAATGAACCAGTTGGCTTTGGTGTCGAACCAAAAAAATCAATTTAAAAATGACCGAATATCACAGAAAAACGATATTTTGAAGCTGAGACTATGGGACTTCTCAGTTTTTTCGAGTCAAAGTGCTAGCACGTTCCAAGCAAGAATCGCTAACCTGATGGATTTGAATCAAGTTCAGGAGGTTCTATGTAAGCTTTTCTGAACTTCCGGTCATTATCGTTTTGAATTTAGCTAGAGAATGTACTAAGGCCGGTCGTAGACTCCACCCGCGATGTCCAACTATTTCTTATTCTTCATCTGTGTTATCGAACGTTTGTCTGAAATATCTTCAAACTGGATGTCACCAACAGCCTCCAGGTTAGTGGTGATTCAGATTTAAAAAAAAAAGATTGATAGAAGCCGGAAAGCAAAAGTCAGTAAGTTGGGAATTTTAACAATATCAAACGGACTTACGGTCGTTCTTACAACTTGGTTTGATTTTCATTCAAAAATTAAATTCAAAGTTGGAAAATTCCAGGTAGAGAAATGGGTGGTCATACTTTTGAGAGATAATATCTGTTCTTTAAGATTATCCATTTATCTCGATTCATATTCTGAACAACTTTAAAGTAGAGGATTTGAGATTAACGAAAGTACATACGTGGCAGACGCCATTAAGTTGTTTAATATCGTTATGTGCATCATATAACCCCCTTTGAAATGGAAAAAAAAGAAAACGCAAAGAACAGCAAGAAAATAAAAACATGCTTTGACAAGGATTAATGACAAAAAATTGGGAAATTTGATAACCTATTGCCAAACGATGCCAAAATAAAGTGTCTGGTGTCCAGTAAAAACATCGGATATAAAAAAGCAACAAAATCGTAGTTTAATGAGAGTTGAAAAAAGATAGACTGAAAAAAAAGATTGCGTGGGGCATTTTCTTTTTTCAACAAGTCGAAGATAAGTTGGAAAGGAAAAATTTTTATCGATGAACTTACTTGGCCAATCCCAGAGATTTAAACTGAAAAAAAAGTGTGCAAAGTGATCTAAAAGTAATAGTTACATGGTGAGCGACATGAGTTGGTTGGAAAAAAACTGTTTAAAACGCGCAAAATGAGTACTTGTTTAGAAAACAAAACCGCCTTTTTGATTGAAATCTGGAGAAAGACTGTGCCAGCACATTTTGAGAGGCGTTTTTCTGAAACTATGATGCCTAAAGTTTGAATTTGTTGAATTCTGCATTCTACAAGTACTTGCCACAACAGTATAGATAATATTTCAAGTTTCTCAGAACCTCAGATAATCCCTTTACGCTGTTAGAAAAACAATGAGAAATGTTACAGTTGCCATATTCGCAGTTTGTGACAGAAGAAGCTCAAAAGGTTGCAAGCAGGAAGAACCGATCCCAAAAGTCAAAATGTCGGGGATTTATATGGTGGTGCACAGGTTTAAATCCTACCTATTCCCATCGAATGAACCCTCAACTACTTCTGCTCCAATGCTGCCTGAGTTCAACCCGCCGCCCCACATGTGTGTCACTAACCTCTTTTTTGAGTTATTTTGCTACATTTTGTACATCTTTTATCTTTTCCCAATTCATTATTAGAAAACTGCATGTTTGACGTGCTTGTGTGGTTTCATTGGGAAAAAGATACAAGCGCTCCTAAAAAGTATTAAATTATGCATTTTGGCGCCTTTTTTCCTCGAAAATGAACTGAACTCGAAAGATTTGAACTAGTTCGGAAAGATCATAAAAATTATTGAAGTTAACCAAATTGCTCACTATTCAAACCTTTTGAAGCACGTTTATTCGAGAAAAGTAAGAAAAATCGTGAAAAATCTGAACCAGAGTCAACTTCCAGCTACGAAGAAATACAACAGTAATCATTTTTGTCAGTCTTCTTTTTTGTGATCATCCTCCTTGCATGGCTCGAAAAACGAATGAAACAATTTTCAGCTGAAACTATTTTTCAATTCAATTACAGCGAATTCCACGACATTGGCGCAATCGAAGGACAAGCGGGAGCACATGTTCGAGAGAATTTCAATGAAGTTTGGCTCTTCGACTCCGTGTTTCTCGGGTAGAATTATCGCTTCAAACGCTCACCGATTTTAGAAGAAAATAGGAAACGCGAGGGATCTTGTATAAAAATGATTAAAAAACGTTAGATAAATTGATTAGGATATAATGTTGATAAGTTCGAGAAAATGTTTGAAGGAACGATGGAAGAGCCCATGTGAAGACTATTTCGCCAGATAACATCGGAGAATGGGCTCTGAGTAGCGCATTCTGGTCTCCTGGAAGAACTTCGATGTGCCCTCTCAACAACTTCAATCTTCAGTCTAAGAAAAACGTTTTCATGGAAGTAATTTCGACAAAAACTTGAACAACGTCAAAATAAAGTCATTTTAGGTTGATTTGCCGAAAGATGTTTATGTGAACGAAACCGTTAGCGTGAAAGTCACTGTGTCCGGAATAAATATTCAACGGTTGTCAAAAGTAAGTTGAAAAAAGAGCACTCCAACTAAAGGAAATATCATTACAGTACTCGATTTGCATTGCGAAAATGCCTCGAAAAGTTTGTGCCGACGAGGGATCCAATGGGAACAAAGGACGTCCTGCATACACCAATATCGCCCTCTCCAAAAATTCTTCAGTTCAATCGAAAACATTCAGCATGCGATTCCTAGTGACAGGAATAACTAATGTCACCTTTTACCTCAGAGAGTGAGGGAAATCATGATTTTCTTTTGCAAACAGTCTTTTTCAGAGAAGCGTCTTATCCTGGAAAACATCATTGCGATGTCGGAAAGATACTGGACATTGTCAAGATTCATCTCAAGATTGCGGTCAGTTGCAAGAATAATAGTTTTTGAATATTTCATCAGAAATAAAAAAGAAAGTAAAAGCTTGAAATGAGTTCAGAAACGCGCAGACACTGTTGAATACTACAAAAAGGTACTTTTAAATGCTGGAAAACCGGTTGTTAAAGTCCAAATGAATGACGATGTCCAACAAGAGTCAGAAAACGTTGCAATTGGTCAGTGTGAAGCTTGATTGTGCCAGATGGTTAGCTTTTTAGAAGTTCTCGAAAACCGTCCTGGAGAAGATCCAACGTCAGTTGTAACAACTGTCGTGGCCAACATTCTGGACACAGAAACAGTTTATTCTTTTGCCATTTACATATCCAGTTAGTCAATAACTTGGTTTTGAAGGTATGAATCTCCAAGTTTCAGAGTTTCTACCGACGAAAACTTACTTCGAAGATTCACAGAGCAGAATAAAGAGAGGGATCTTCGATTCCGGCAATTCATTTTTATCAGATGTCATCAAACAATTATCCGTCGAGCTTTATCGCTTCAAGACCATCGCTCAGAAGAAAGACACTGAGCTGTATACGCTCGAATGGGCACAGAAACGAATTTCGAATTGTAAAATAAAGTGAAAAAAAAATTGAAGCAAAGCTCTCCTTGTAGTGATATCAGACATGCTCCGCTTCTCAGACTGCACATCTTCAGCGGAGCCATGTGGATATGCTGAATACGGAGCTCCCCGATCTCCAGCCGAAAGATCACTTTTGTTCGTTTTTTTAAACTCACAAATATTGAAGAGCTTGTTTTCAGTTTGACAAGTATCGCTACAAGTTTGCTCTGTGAAGCTTCTGTGGATGAGCAGTTGATTGCCGGACCTCTCCAGACAATTATTGCAGATATCCCGAAATTCCGAGAAGAAGCCTTCAACATTGATTTGAACGACATTTTCGATATTGTAAGTCTCTAGACAGCAAATTCTATCAAAAAAAAAACTAATTTTTTCATTTTATCTAATTGACAAAGGAATGGAGTTCGCATTCTTCAATAATTGAGTTTTGAGGAAAGCAGCTACGACAAAAAGTTTCTTCTGGCGTCTCTGATGTTTCAAGTTTCCAGAGACTGCGGTTCTTACAGAGAAAAAATAACGCAAGTGAGGACTTTTTCGATTTATTAAACAAGAAGCGTTGGCCGTGTAGAGTGATTTTTCTGTTGAAACTTTTAAGAAAAAAAAGAAGCTTTGAGGTGAAATATGACGCATTTGGACAATTGCACAAGTCCTACTATTTGTTCGACGAGGGCGCGATTGTGGACGATCGAGCTGTTGCCGCAATCGCTTTCATGGCGACAAATGTGACACAAGAGCTCATGCGAATAAAAATGTTAGAGAGGATCAATGGTTAGAGATACTGAAGTAGCTCACTTTTTCGACTATTTCAGGGGATCTGGAGCCTTACTGGAGTGCAGGAGTCTTGAGTATTGCAGAAGAAGAGAAGAAAAGCACCTTCCAAGTTCTAGGGAGCAGAAGAAGCAAAGTGGGAGAAAAGAATCATTCATAGTTTTTGGCGACTTTTTCTTCAGAGCGGAGATATTATGGTAAACAGCCTAGGACTTCTCGCTTTTGTTACGGCTGGAGCAGAAGGTTTGGATAAACACCATATTGTAGTTAGTACAAACGGAAAAAATGGATGTGGGTCTCTGAGAGAGTACAATAGTTTATTTTAGTTCCAAAAAGAAGTTTCCTTCTTAACGCAAACTTGCAGGATCGAAGATTGAGTGGGATCCGCTTGCCGATTGGTTATTCAAACAACAAAATGAAGACGGCACATTTGAGAGCCCGATTGTAATGATCAAAAAAAGTTCCGTTACGCACATTTTCTATTACAGGACACTTATTTCGCATCACGCGCGCTATACGAATACAAAACGAGAAAGGTGGATGTGGCCAATAACGGACAGCTGCAGGTAAAAATACTTCCGAAACACATCTTTCTCAAACAGGCCAGAAAGTTTTACTTTGAACTCCAAAAAAAAAGATAAATATCGTCTAGGAAGGAAAAAGTCTGCTCGTGCTTCTAGTTTTTGAGACCGAACTTTGTAAAGCTCTGGTTTCTATCAACATCTTCAGGAAATAAACTTGCAAAGTGTATTATGCAGAATCATGAAGTTAAGGACACATACATAAAAATTGATCAAGTTTTTCATTTTTACCGGCTTGGATAGAAGTACGTGAGTAGAAGGTTTGCAAAGTTTGGGCGCAAATTAAAAATTAACATTTTATTTCAATAATTTTGATCATTTAACATAATGTTTAGAAGTTCTGTCAGCATTTTTCTTAGAAAAATTGCATGGAAACTTTAATAATGCCAGTATTTTCCAAATCGTGCCAAAAGAGTTTTGGACATGCGACGTGCAAATGTTGCACATCTATATTCGTAATTGTAAAATGAGGATAATATTTTCGAATATTTCATGCATTCAAAAGTTACTGTGCAATAACTGAATTAAGGTGAGAGTTGAATGCACTGGATGTCCACTGAGAACAATCAATGTCACGGAAGATTCTGTAGAAATTCATGTGAGTTTCAAAACTACCGAAAACCTCGTCTGAAATGGAAATTCAGGTTCCCACGCATGTTCGTAGTGTATCTCTGACAACATCGGGCATTGGAAAAGCAAAAGCTGGAATCAGAATTGTGGCGACAAGAAGGCAAAGACAAAGGCGTGGATTAACCCACGACGACTACTACCCAGTAAGAATCGACTGCGACCAGCAGCACATCCAACGGACCACTATTCAGCAAACCGTTTGTCTGACGTTAGTTTTTCTACAGACAGAAAATGAAAAGATCCAGTGAAAGAGTTCGGAGAAAACATGCTAAGATGTACTTTGAAGGGTTGTCTTTCAAACTAAATCGAATATTTTGCGGCTTTCTACTGATTCTGGAGACGTGGCGTCTGAGAGTTGACTCTGAAAATGATATTGGGGTACGCGCCGAAAAACATCCTTCAGAGGGCATCCGCGAACTTTGCTTTGATTCCCAAATTGCGTCCTTTTGCTTTTCTTTTCCGAACTCTTTTCAACCTCAGTTCGAAAATCTTGCGTTCAGTAGTTGTAGATCACAGCTATGTTACAAAATTCGAACTCCCGATGAAATTGACGCAAAATATAAATATTCAATTTCCCTTCAACGTGATCCTTTTCATGCACATATTTGACGATTGAGGAAGAAAAAATCTCCAAATTAGTTGTTAACTGTTTCGAATTTTTTCATTTTCTTCTGATTTCCTGCAGAGTTCTTTCTCCGGTGATTCGGACCTTGGAAATCACGCATGGTCTCTATACCAGTTACACCACAAGCACTCAACTTCTTTCTATGCTTCCAGTGGGTTTCATTTTATGAATTTACATCTTAGTTTCTCATCAAATAACAGCCTAGTATCCAAGCTTTCTTCTCTTCAATAGAAAAAATTTATCGAAAATTTTATTAAAAACCCTTTTTTACATCTCGGAATGCCTGACGGCGCACGTAGCGGTTGCAAGCTGTTAGGAGCTACTGTTTTTTATTGTGCCCGACATGAGCCTCATTGTAAAACCGATTGTAAGCAGACGGTTAGAGATATGACTCTTAAACGGAAAATCTCGCTCTCCAAACGCGCTATCAGGTGGTTTCAACCTGTGGGAAAAAGTCCATATCAAAAAATATTTCAATTTTAAAGAAATCTTAACTCAAAAGTGTCGTTTAGAAGTTCAAAAATTCAAAATTCGCCCAATAAGTTTGTAAGTTTTGGTCTTCAGAACTCTAGTTCGGTGAGCATAATCAATCCAGCCAAGTCATCTTATGCAATGCACTTTATTCTCATCAACATCCCTCACAAAAAGCCGATTTGCTATCAACTCGGCATAACAGAACCTCCGTACCGGCATGAGCCGACGTATCTGGCTCCAGTCGCAATCCAAGCCAGACATCCAGTGTCAGGTTGGAGAGACAACAAACTCCATTTCCAGTGAAATCTTCAGATATCGTGGGGATGCTTTTGATCGCGCACCCTGACGTTCTTCCGCGGCCGCGGTCTCGTAGATCCCACCGTCTTCGCCATGGAGTGTCCAAAGCGCGCTCCATCCGTAGTATCATTGACCAGTCCTCTGTTGACTTGGTCTGCTTCAGCGGCGGTTTGTTTCAGAGCAATCACAAAATTTCAACGAAAAAGCGATTAAAGTGAAAATTAATGTTTAAAAAAAAAATAGTGTTAAACCATCCAAAAAAAACAAAAAAAAATCGGGTTTTCGTCATTTTGCTTTTACTAAAAGGTTATTCAAAGTTATTGATCTTTAAGTTTCGAGGAATTTTTTTACACATAATCATACTGGCGACAACAATTACATATTCTATACAAATCTGTGATTCATAATATCAGATCAAATACACTTTTTTGTAGCCAACGTCTATTCCAAGTAGAGTTAGGATTATTTAAAACCAAAGATCGAAAATCGACTGTTTTTTTTTGTTGTATGAACATCTTTAAAGCTGTGAAAAATGAAAAAACTAAAATTTATGAAAGCAGAAATTTGAATGACTTTTAGTTGCAATTTGAATAAACCCGCGCAAGACATCATACAAATAAAACTAGTTTTAACACACCAGGAAAGGCAAATTTAAATCTTCGTTTCGTTTTTTTAATATAGACCTTCACAAAGTTCTGCCACGCCTTTTAAGACCACAGAAGAGTTTTTGATTACAATTTTCAATTCTCCATCTTCTTGGTAAAAAAATGATATTGTAGTTGAAGAAAAATAGTATAATTCGTTGAGTTCAAAGCGTTCATCTACTTCAAAAAATAAGAAAAAAAGTTTCCAGGGCAATGTTCTTGCGCTGAGACAACTTGTGGAGTTCAATGTCGGAAGTGCGGTTTTGACACCGAGGAAAATCTTCGAGAAAAGTTGGCATTCAAGAACAATTTCGGTAAGTCTGAAATGCGTGGTTATCGCTCACTAATTCAATCAATAGGTGTTGGAGTGCGTGTCAGAAACACTGAGAAGAGTCTGATAGAAAACATCATGTACACTGTCTACCACACTGACGTGTTGGACATGGCCGGTGGTGCAGCTAGTTATCTAACTGGTGACTTCGAAAAATATTTTTGTAACGACTTCCATCGCTTTTCAGAGACTTTGGCTATATATCTGCGGGACTGTAACCCTTTTTGTGTTCCTCCAAATGGTGAAGTCAAAAGAGGCGAAAAGTATTTGATAATTGGGCATATCGACGGATTAACTTTGGACTCTAATGGAACGTAAGTTCTGAAAGATTATTCCATGACCAAATAAGTGATGCTCTCAGGCAAAACTATGTCCTCCGAGATACTGACCGATTCGAAGAAGCCACAACGGACTGTAAACATTTGAACACTGCAATTACTCTTCGCGATCGTCGTTAATATTACTGACAAAAAGAATTATTTCATCTTGAGGTGGGGAATTTCCTGAATTGTTTTGTGCTAGATGAAAATTTAGAAATTTTCAAAATGAGTTAGTTAGTTTCCATTTTGATGAAAGAAGTTTCTTTGAGGCCTGAGGTCTGAGACTTTTAGATATAATTTTTGAGTACTTTTCAGCAATCTCAACCACCAAGGAGAGCCACCTTTGTCGGGAATTTTTTCCCTAATCTTGCTTGAAATCTCAAAGTTTCCGCATCACTGTCATATCAGCTTCCGTCAAAAAATTAGCGCAGTATCAAAAAACGCAAGAAGCTTTTTTGATTCTCATCGATTTTCCGATTCCTACCCATTTTTTTCTTTACTTGTTAACAATTTGACGGGGATCATTCCATTTGTTGCCGACTTCTGCTAATATTTTGAATTTATTCTTCAGTTAAGCATAAAGCATTGCCTCAAAAAATACATCACAGATGTTACAAAGCTTGGGAAGCCATGGTCAAGCTGTCACAAGAAAAATATTTGCAATTATTGCATACTGAAAGACCAAAGAAATTAATGACTCGTTCGAGATGTGGGTATACTGATCGCAACAAAAAAAATACCTGGGCAGAGGAGAATATTCAAAAAAAAATGCATCTTCTAAATCGATTGAAAGCTCATTTAAAACGAGGAAACTCACTCAAGTCTGACTCTTGCCTTAGAAGAGTTGAAAAAGACATCGAAAACACGCTGAAAGATCAGAAAACAATGAGATGACACCAAAATGAAAGAGGAAAAGATCGTAAAAGCAATGGGAATTTCAGAGCAAAAAGTTTTGTTGTGCGATAGTGGGCATGAGGATGTCGGCTTCCCATCGGATGCATTTCTGGTGGATGCCGAGGTGTTCGTTCTGTGAAGGGAACTGGAACGGATCTCCAACTATCAAACCACGCCCAATCAGAACATCCACAGCATCTTCCAGGAATGGCGTCGACATGTTCACAAGGAAGTCGATAGTCTGCAAGCTCGAGAACATATTAATTGTAATCATTCAATGGCGCAATGAAAAAACAAAGAACGGCTGAGAAAAAAAAAGTGACTAGAAGATAATTCAGAAAGCGGCTAAATTTTTTTTTGAAATTGTGGAGGTTACAAGTTTTATTTCAATAAGCTTTTCCAGAAACCGTCTTTTATCTGATTGATATATTGATTGGGTTGATAAGCTGATTTGTTGAACTAGCTTCCAAATCACTTCACTCGAAGAAAACCGGAAATATTCATGAAAAAATCTACGGAGAAATCCTCGAAACAACTTTACTAAAACCTTCTCTTAAAACTCACTTTTTGTGACATAAGACCAATTTTGCTATCGATCAAACTCGCTTGCGCATTGACCATGTTGATGTACCCTTTCACCTGTAGAAGAATCAGATATTTCATTATTGAGACGTTTACAAACCTTTTTGTCTCTCATTTCCATGGTCAACGTAAATTCGGTTTCGACGTTGATAGAAAGAATAGAACCTTGGATTGACTCGACAGGTGGATCAGCATAAACCTGGGAAAATTCCATAAATGAGAGGTTTATGAGCCTTCCCACATTTAAGGAAGCGTTGAGGAAAACGATAGCTTTTCCTTCTTCTAGTGCAATCACAGGCGGAGCTAGCGTCGCTGCCTCCACTTTTAATGTCCGATTTGGCAATGATTCTGCCAATTCTGGTAAAACTGTTCCAATGCAAAGAACGTCGCAGTCCGTTCGCAGGAAAGGACTCTCGATTGTTGTTCTGAGAAAAAAAAGACATCTAAATTCATAAAATTATTGAACTCACTTCAAATGAGAAGCAAAGTGAGCAGCGGCCAATATACTTTGGACTGTGTGCTCGTCAATGAACATATCAACCATTCTTGTGGACCTTGGAAGGTTTTCTTCAAGTTTTTTTTTCAATGTTGAAATAATCTCGTTATCACTGACCAACACTAGACAAAGTACTGTTTTGGACGGGGGCACTTTCCACAAACTCTCCGTCCCACAACAAGTCACTTCTCATTCTCAAATCAACATGATGTTGTGTCATAGCAATCGATTGCATTGATTGAACTAAGACAATCTGAAAGGAACTATTTTCAAAATTTTTAAACGAGAGCAGAATACGTCAGGATTGCTGCTGATTGTTAAGTTGGTGGGGAACTGGATGAGCTGAGCTTCAACCCAAGGCAACCAGTGATTTCTCATCATCTCGCAGTACTCCTGAAGGACACATTTCCACATAGATATTTACAGAGATAAAGCTTGCTTCTTCGAGAGCTCTCCGGATCGCGCGAGTGACACTCGTCCTGAACCAGTGAAGAACGTCTGCAGCCATACTTCCCTGAATTCCGATTCTTTCGAGAGAAAACCTCAAAAAGAACAAAAACCTGAAGAGTTACTCTTAAATCTCTTATTTGAGCAACACAATGATGGACCTCCACTTCATTATCAGGAGTAATCTGAATCAATTTTTCAAACTCAGGTATTTTTAGAGGCCATGAAACCTGCATAGCAATCTCAGAAATCAGACCGGTCATTTGTGCGTGAATCTCGCCGTTTAGTGGAATTTTTAGCATGTACAAAAGTTGTGACTCCAGCGCCCAGTCAGCAGAGACCTTCAAGGCATGATGATTTTTTTTTTCAGAAATCAATTTGACGAAAACCTGGGCATAGCCACTCAGAGTGGACATGTAGAGAAAAGAATGATCAGAAGGCCGGAAACGGATCAGTGGCGGGACAAATCGTTTTATGGTGATGTTGGAGACTTTCATCTCGCCTCCGGCAAACGAGTTGTAGAAAGATTGCTTCAATGCTCAAGGGTTGAGAAATAACATAAAGCAAATGAACCCGAATGTCAGGAAGTTTCATATGAGGTCCTGCCATCGTCAGCCATTGTCGCGTGAAGTTTGCAGCTTCGTGAAGTCCAAATTCATTAACTCGTAATAAAAGAGCCGAGTTAAACTGAAATGTCAAGTTGATTCAGTTTTCTGGTTCAGAACAGTACAAGATAATTTAAATCAAAGTCTGAAGATACCTGAAGATTCTTTAGTTTACCGTTCTCAGTAAAAAATTATTCTCAACAGGTAGAAGCTTATTTGAAATGCCAATTTTTCTGAATAAAATAGTTTGAAAAAAGTTATGCTCCCTTCAGAGCTGTCCCGAACAATGACTCAACGGATCGTAGAATGTTCACTTCAAACTGGCGCAATTTTCAAGACTCATACTATTCATTCGATTGGTATATTCTGTCATACCGCGATGCGAAATTTTGAGACTTTTGAGGTATTTCCTTTTTATGAAAATGCAGGATACCGTAAGAACCAAATCAGCTGGGGAAATTAACCGCTTTGTTTCCTTTTTTGTGAGTCCCAAGTCACCAGAAAAACAAAATAAGAAGAAAGTATGAAATAGATTTGAAAAAAAACAGTTATTTTTTGGTTCTCAAAGCCAAGGCTTAAAATAAAAATCTTTCCTTCTTTAAGATACCTCAACGCAGATGACGAGTAGTAGAAGTAGGATCTGCCTCATGATGGTCGTTCGTTATCCGGCCACCGAAATGGTATGGCGGCGCCTCAGGAGTCGGACTCCTCCTTTTCCTTCTTCAGGCGCTCGATCGGGCTGTTTCGTTATATCGGATCGCCTATTTTCTGGGTAAACAGCGAGTTGCAAACAAATACTCAATGATGCTCACGCGAGTTGAACGAGCACATATACTGTGGGCCGCGGGGCCGAGTGGCTGACCGTCGCAAAAACGGCGCCGCTCTAATTGAAATTCCCGCTTTTTGAGGCTCTAATCACGATACTCTCCATTCTCCGAAAATTTTTTCCAATATTTGGCTGAAGTAGAGAGAAAAAAAAACTTCACCTACATCTTTTATAGGGATTCAATTTGATGAGTTCCAAACCCTAGTGAGACTTCGAAAAAGACAAGGTTTAAATCTATGAAAAAAAAAACAAATTAATAATAACTTGCATTTGTTGAGAAAGCCGTCTAGTATTATACCAGAGCGCAAAAATCGGTGGTCTCAGAATAAATGCGAAAAAAAAGCAAACTCAGGAAAAATGAGTTATCATAACCTTTTCTTTATGAAAATAAAATTTTTATATTCTTCTGCATTTTTTATTTTCATCCAAATGGATTTTTTCAATCAACAAAGCTTGGTATACAGTACCGTCAAAAAAAAATACGAAAAAACGCGACTTTGATCACAACTTTCTTGTAAAGAATTGAATCTTCCCGAGACCTTCTGAAGCTGTTTTTTTCTGCTGACTAAAATTTTTTTTTTGAGTGTTAAAGATGACGGTGATCAGAACTCCAGAAAGTTTCGAGAAGACTGAATTCCTTACAAGTAAGTTGTGACCGAAACACCGTTTTTCGTATCTTTCTGACGGTACTGTACTTCGAAAAAAAAAACAAAAAGGATATAAAAGGCGATTTAATTGTTCATATGGAACTGAAATCGGTGGTAGGAAACAAATAGGAGGTTTTAAAAATCGCTCAAAAAGTAATCAAAAGAAAGAGATAGAAAGCAGTTCGAGAATTTCAGTCGACTGAAATGAAAATGAGAAAAAAATGTATACCTTTTTTTCGGAAAAAGTCAGATGTAACTTAACGAAAAAAACTAAAGAAATACGCAGTAAGAGCTCGTTAAACTTTGGAATAAAAAAATATACAAAAAGAAAAAAACTTAAGCGGTCTTGAAGGACGGTAAACAGAAGGTAACTCGTGAAAAAGGTGCTAGTGCAAACACTCTTGAGAAGATTTTTCGGACCATTACCCAAAACGTGCAGCAACACAAAAAGATACTGCGAGAGAAAAAAACTGGGAAAAGCGGCTTTTCGAAATTGGCCGAATTTATCAAAGCTCTCAATACGTTTTTGAATTAAGAATAGTTCTGGCGAAATTTTCAAGGGTTAACAGGTATAAACAAAAATTGTGTTTTTGGAGCTTCTAATAAAATATGATTCAAAGACAATCATCTATAATCAATTTCGAAGGATTTATACTTGGGACGAAACGAAAACTAAATAAAAAAGCCAAGTTTTTGTTCCCACATTCTCGCTCTTGCAATGTCTACTCAGTAAAGAGAATTTTGCAATTATCAGTTTGAAAAATACTTTCCCACTTGTAAGTGGTTTTTTGTGACACTGTGAAATTGATTCATTTGAAGCGTATGTAAGTGGGAAAAGTTAAACTGGGCTGTTTGATCGAATGAGCCGACGGATTCACTAGATTTCAGAAAAAAAAACAAGAACAACGAAGTCTCAGTACTGGGATTTACTGAGTATCATTCCAACTTTCTTTTCTTTTTTTCAGCCTGTGCAAATTAGAGTTCAAAATTAAGAAAAGACGAAAAAAGAAAATAAGATCGTCTTGATTGAAAGGAACCCAGACGAGAATTGGAAAAAAAAAACTGGGGCAAGCCTCAGAGTGAAGCCGATTGACAGAAAATGACAAGCTCGACAAGATGCGCACGGAAACGGACAAAAGATTACCAAAGACCGAGATACAAATACGCTCGAGAGAGGATCGAAAAAAGAAAGGTCCACACAGCTGAACATTGTTCAATAACTTTGTAATCAATTAAAAATGACTTTATTCACGAATCAATATAATAGCTGTTTTTGGTAGAGATTATGAGCCGCTATTTGAAATAACTCGATAAGATAACACAGCTTTTGTGTGAAGCACATAACTTAATTTGGAAAAAAAAATGTGAGGACGCTCTCTATAGAAAACAGTCAGGGACACTTTTTTTTTTAAAATTCCGTATCATTCCTGGAGATTTGAACTCAAAATAGCTCTGATGAATAAATTCAACATTTTTTCTACCACTCCAAAAATTGAGAAAGTCATCAAATATAAACAAAAAAAGAAAACAAGTTTGAGAGAGCCAGTAACCGTCTGCTGGCTGCTTTGACCTCACGTTGATCTTGCTCTCTCTCTCTTCCGTCTAATTCGCTATTTTCACAGTTCCTAATTGAAGTTCAGTAAAGTATAAATGAACTGAGTAGTGAGACTCTTTTCATTCAAACAAAAAAATATCAGAAAGGCGTGAGAAAAATCGAGCTTTTTCCAAGGCGTTTTATTTGAAAAAAAGACGTTAAATTATATAAATAACTCTGAGAATACGAATACTGAAGGATCAAAAAGTCCAGCCCGGTCAGCGGAAGGTGTACAACGAAAGGTAATGCTCGCACAATGAGTAGTTTTGACTTGTCCGCGACTCCCGTGTATTGTAGAAATCTGATCGCACCGCCTATGCAAATCTTAGCACCCTGGTTTGCTGTCAAGTCCATTTCCGTCTGCACAGATTCTCAACAAAAGTCTTCGATTTCTTCTTCATTTAAAATTGCCCAAATAATCCAACAAGCTTTAAAAATGACCCAAAAAAAGGAATGTAGTTTCTGGAAACTTGATTGCAAAAACGCCACATTTAGTGATTTTTGAAGCCAATTAAAATTATAGTAGATTAGAAGACCGCAGTGAAAGACTAATAAATAAAATATTCAACAATAAATTGATGAGAATCAATTTGTGAAGCACAGAAATAAATTGGAAAGTGTTGAAGTTTCTCTAATCATCGGTGAAAGGGTAGCGCGGATGCGAAGTTCTGCAAATTTTACATTTTAATTCATTAAACCAAATAGGTATTCTTTGAGTTATTTCAGTCTTATTCTTATCAGCAACTTGCTAAAAACTAGGCAGGACACTTTTTAGTATTAGCTGTTGCAAATTTCACTAAATCTTAAGAAAAGTCTACACGACTATGCTTTCCGCTGGAATTTTTTAGTTTCCATTCTCAAAAACCATAAGGCTGTTCAGAATGAGAATCGAAATTTCGTTCGAAAGGTTAAGATTTTTGACATGCTGCAGAACTTTTCAGAAAACGTTGTTACCTCTCTCTCCACCTATACAGTCGACACTTTGATGGAATATGGTTCAATTTTTCGATGTCCTCATCTGCCAAAAAGAAGTCTGTGCTCTGAATTTTGACTCTTATGGACTTCATCCCATCAAAATACCTCCAGGTTCTCTTTCAAGCGCTTTCCGTTCGTGCTTTTTGGTATAACGATGATGTTACGTTGAGTCAAGTGACGCAGAAGAATTTGAGCAGGTGTACGATGATACTTCTCCGAAAGTACTTGCAAGATAGGTTCATCCAAAGGTAGAACGTCAGGCCAGTGACTTTCTTTCTTTTTTCCTGAAATTGAATTATTGAAAAACATTCGAGACCTTCCACATTTTTTTTCTAATCAGTATCAAAACAAATGGGAAATCTATCACTCGTATCCAAAACAAGAGAAACTGAAAAACTTTTTTTTCATATCTTTTTTGGCCACAAAAAGAACAATGAGAAAAAGGTGAGAAAAATTTTTTTCACCGATTCAGATTGATATCCGTTTCAAAAAGAAGTTTTTGTTATAAAAAGGCCATTGTTATATATTTCTCACCAGGACATCCGAGCGGAGCATACGCAGTCACTGTGATGTGCAGTGCGTTACAGAGAGTGATGAGCTCTTTCTGAGGCCAGTGCAAATGAATTTCTATCTGAAATCCGTCACTGAAAGCTGCTTGCAACTCAGAGTACCTGCAGGTTATGAGGCTTCACCTTTGCCGTGCTGTAAACCTGTTGTATTTGCTCCACGTTGAAGTTGGAAACCCCGATCGACCTGGTCAAACCTTGATTGAAAACCTAAAAATGTGTTCTCTCTGTTGAATGTGTGATTTTTTTATTACGGCTTCCATCCCACGCCATGTTTCGCAAATGTCAATATTCAAGGGTTCAAGTTTAGTTTCTCCTTCACTTTTTGGAACGGCCTGAAACTGTGAAATATAAATCAAGAGTTTAAGCACGAAAGAGTTGTAAGAAACCCAAAATGTACAGAAAAAGCTTGACACAGCTTGAAGTTTGGTTTTCGAGTGACCTGCATAGCGCATGGAGAGTGCACAAGATATAGGTCGACGTATCCAAGCTGTAAGTCGGCCAATTGACTGCGCAGACAATGTTGGACATCCTCGAACCGATGGGCGGTACAAGCTAACTGAAATCTTCATTTTCAGAACATTTCAACAGTCCTGAAACTTTTGTCGTGACGAAAATTTGTTCACGGGTGATTTTTCCTTCATTGAAAAAATCTTGAAGAACTTTCCCAATCACTTTCTCGGTACCATACCTGAAAAAGTTTGAAACTGATTCATGAAAGCACAACGCATATGAGAAGCCTTTCTTTGGGAAAAAAATTAGGTGACCAGCAGGAAATTTAATTGAAGTGTGCAAAAATATTTTTAAAAGCGAATCGGCTTCAATTTTTTTTTAGACGAATTATGAAGCCTCAAATTTTGTGAGCTATGAAAGTAAAAAAAAATTCATGGTCTTTTGAAAGACAAAAGGTTAGAAGATAATTTTTTGAACTCAAAGCAGGAACCCTAGACGTAAACTTTTGCAAGTTTTATCTTTTACTAAACCGGACAATAAGTCCAAAAAGAGCCTCTTTAAAAAACTAACGAATGAGCCGTGTCGATATGGCGGTAGCCTAATGTGAGAGCTGTTCGGAGCGCTTCTTCCAGCTCCTCTTCGTCTGTTGGCTTAAAAATCGAATCTTTCTCACCACAAAAACGTTTTTGCTTGCGTTTTTTTCATTCAAATTTATGCACGAAAGTACGCAGGCGAGCTTGTTTACGCAACAGGAAAAAACTGTTTTTATCATGGTACTTTTCAAACGAAAAGTGCTATTTCACGTCAAAGTCTCAATTTTAATGTTGCTGTACGATCGTTTAAAATAGAATTGTATCTGCGGTGTCTGATCAACGAGAATCGTAAAAAGTCGGATTGAAAAGTGTAAAAATAGTTCTTCAAGTTTAGAAAAAATACAAATCGTATCAATAATTTGTTTTTTGGGTTTTTAATTCTTGGAGTCCATTTATTTTATTTTGTTTTTTGCAATTTTTTCATTTCACTAAAAATTTGAACGAAGAAATAAAAAACTAAAAAAAACTTTTCCTCCGGTTCCCAAGCCAATAAACGGGACGTCGACTCCATTTGACATGCGAATTTTGAGAGGCATCTGGAAAACTACAATTTCGATATTGCATGAAAACGCGTGAATTCAATCCAGGAATAAATCAAAAAATAATCCGCAACGAAGTCATAAAACAACAACTTTACTTCCTATCCTAAAAAAAACGGCTTTTTTTTGGTTCTCTCTACATGGTGCCATTGATTTTGGCCTTAAGCAAAACTCCACTACTCATAAGATGTAAGTCGTCTTTTTCTCTGCAAATGTGTCGCAGCAAACACTTTTTCGATTTAAAACGATATAAATACCTGAAAAGAGTACTACTTATGACAGCAAAAACCTTCAGGTGATAAATGATCGAAACATGTGCAAAAAAATGGGGATAAGAAGTCAAAAAAAAAAACACAAAATGATATTGTTTTGATTACTTCCTAGGCGAAGTTCTTTTTTTACTATAAGGATAACTAGGAAATTTTATATTTCCGTGTCTAAAAAAAATGAAATTTTTGTGTGGGATGGAAAAACGCAAAAAAACGCAATGAATAACTCTAAGAGGGAATCTGGAAGGATAAGCTGTGTGAAAACGTGTTTTCAAGCTTAAAGAAAAATCTAAAAAAATAGAAGAGCAAAAAAATATTTGGCAGCTTTGAGGCAAAGTGCATTTTAGATGAACTGAAAACTTCATTGCTTAAAAAAAGTTCTTAAATTTTTTTAAGGCACAGGGTTTGAAGAAAAAAACCTGTAAAAACAAAGAAGAAAAAAGTTAATAAGTAATCTTGAAACAAGATGATCAAATATGAAGAAGTTAACTTTCAACGCTTTCAGTATTTTGAAGTCAAATTAAATTGGACTTGCAAAAATTATTGGACTGCCAGTCACGTGAGGAATTGAGCCGAAACGCCGCCATTTTCCGGACACCACGGATGGGCGGGGCTTGGGAAGGGCTGTTTATTTCCTGCCTACAAGAGATCAGTTGAAAAACAAATAGCAGAACAAACAGATCTTTTTCCATTTACCAATTTCTCTTCATCGTGAAAGACATTTTCTGATTGTTTTGGTTTCTGCATGGAGAGAAAATTTTGTGGATAATTAAAATAAACACATAGCAAGTCATACTTTTTCATAGTCACTTTGAAAAGGAAAATACATAGACGGTCAAATTACTTTAGTTTAAGTCCCAAACTTCATAGAGAAAAATTTACAAAAAACTTCCTTTTTCGGTAAATACATTGCAAGAATTGAGCTCAAAAAACGAGAAAAGTGAAGTGAAGGTCTATTTTATCCCATTTTTTTGGACAGTCTATCACGATCTTTTTTTTCTTCCCCAGGTTTTTGGAAAATTACAAATAAATTTTTAAAAACCAGAAATTAATGACCTCAAACTTCAAAATGAAAATAAAAAAAGCAATCAAATAATTTATTCATTTTTTCCGAAATATTTAACAAATCTTTTATGAGGAAACATCGTGCTGATGAATGTTACAATCTAGTTAGTGCAAGGTGAGTTGAAAATAACGATAATCTATACAAACATGAGAGGAGAATATGAGAAATAACTTTTAACTGCCAAAATCCGGGTAAATGGAGCAAAGTTCGGGAAAGCATGACTTGTTCGCTTGAATGAGATCCTTGGTCGAAACGGTTCTAATACGCCGGGCTCCTGCAATTTTTTAACAATAGTCATCAGGAACTTTTCCCTTTGATAGTTCTGAAAAAAATCATCCGAAGTCGGATATAAAACTATTTGGAAAGTGACCAGAACACTTTCAATTCCAAAAAAATATCAGATTTCATAAACTCAGATTTAGAAAAACAATTATTTAAATTTTCAGGAGTCTTTTTATCGAATTCAAAACAAAAAAATAGTCTGCGTTTAGATCTTCCAAGAAAGTTTTTTTTTCCATTTTTCAAAAAGTTTTAACATTTGTTTGACAAACTTTTCCTCAGTACGAACCTCAAGATATCAAAATTTCTGTAGTTTGCAGATTTCTTAAATTTTCACTAAGCTTTTTAGAACTTTTGAAACCTATAAAAGCGAAAAAGTAAGATACCGACTTACAAAGCCGACTCGTTGTGCGAATCAATGAAAGTGCTGTCGGTGTTGGTGGTGCGCGTGAACTCAGGATCGTCTTTCTCGTTCTTGGAGCCTGCCACTTCTTCTTGCCACCTTTGGAGAAGGTTCAGGTCGCGCTCGGTTTGCGTCGATTCCATGTCGGCTAGCTTTTGAAAGTACTGAAATTTGTCTTTGTTAAATTTGTTAAACTATTCCTCTGCTTCCATAGGGGTTCTACTATTTTCGTCGAAAACAAAAACTTTACACATTAGTTTTGAGGATTTCAAAAGTAACTTGTTGAATGAAACTACGGCAAATCTTGAAACCAGGAAATCTGAGTATTACCGAATACTCGACGATCGTCGCTTCTGGCCATTCGCTGGTCGCCGTCTCGTAAGCCGTGGATTCATCGATGTAGGTATAAGCCATCAAATTGGACGGGGAAAAGCGAATGCGAGGTCCCTGAAACGTTCTAATTAGATATTAACAAAACATTCGTGCTAAGATGCTGTACTCAACAATCTTGAAGACACTCACAGTTTTCACTTTTACGCTCGTTGGATCGCTGTTGCGCAGAATACTTGATGTTGACGGTTTGGTGTCTTGCTCGAATTGAATGTTCAAAGGCTGTTAAACATTATGAAAAATCTCCTGACAAGAAAAAAAACCTTCTCGTGCATTGCGACGAGGAATTCGGGCAAGTCCTCTTCAGCCACAAGACTGATCAAACTTCTGGAAATGTAGTTTCCATCACCACCAATCTCTTCATCTTTGGAGATGAACTGAAAAAATGCTAGGGTTTTCAGAGACTAGGCTTAATGCTTTACTGAAAGAGAGGATGGTCGAGAGGTGGTCAGATCGTATGAACCAACGCGGCCTTCTTCATCGCTGGAAGCAGACTCCTCAGAATCCTTAAACCATATTTTGGCTTTAAAATTACTAAGCTTTCATCCTTTTTCTCTATATCGATTTATTACAAAACACGCATTTTATCATAGACGCACTGTGAAACATTGATACCAAAGACAGACTTTTTTTACAGAGGTTTTAGTTTGTTGCGTTTATTCCACTATGAAAGAAGCTTCGTGCGCGTTTAGCTCAGCCGTGATACCTTGCCCGGTCGAATTTTTGTCATTTTCCTAGGCAAGAAGGACGGCAAGGAAGTCGGTCTCTGCGGAAATTCGTCGTCGTCAATCTTGGCGACGGCTGGTCCCTGAAACACCTGCGGCTGTTACAGAAAGCTGAAGCAAAGGGTTAAAAAAGTTTTTATTGTTTAGACAAGGAGGATACGCGACAGGAAAATGGACAAATAAATTTCTTTTCGATCAACTAAGTTCGAAATTATTGTAAAAAAAAGTTTTTACGAAAATTTTCTTGAAGTTTCTAAAGACTGTCAAAACAAATCTCGAAAGAGGCACGCTTGTCAAAACTTGACAATATTCGAGAAACTGGCCATATGAAGGTTAGAGAAGCTTTGAAAATGGTATTTGATTAAGTTTACATTTGCTCAATTTAAATGTTAGAAATACTCTATTGGGTAGATTCTAAAGTTGAAGCATAAATACAAGTCTTGAGCCATGCAAATAAATAGTTTTTTTTTCAGAAGCTGCAGTTTCACATGACAAAATTAGACGAAACGTAGGACAATTTGGGAAACTGATTGAAATTTCCAACTGAGAACTTACTGATTTTAAGATGGTGACGTCGTCTCCATAAGGCTTTTCGCGCGAGTTCGGCGACAAAATTCCAGTACTGAAGGTGGATGTCGGCGCGATAATTTCGGGAGCCACAGCGGTGAGTGGAGACTTGTGCGAATTTTCTTCGGTGAATTTACTGCCGAACGTGTGGTCAATTGACTGACGCGTGAAGTTGTTGTACGTCGGCGTGAAAAGAGGAGTTGAGCCGAAAGATGAAATTGCCGTGTTGTTGGAGAAGTTCGAAATCGGGGCTGGAGATGATTTAGGCGCCGACTTCGGTCCGCTGCTTTCGCTCTTGTCATCTGAAAAAAAAATAGATACATTTTTTTTCCTTTTTTGACACTGTTTCTGAACTAATAATAATAATAATAATAATTTATTCATCCACAAGGTGAAAAAGAAGAATTAAATTAACCTATCCTTTTTTAATACGTATTTCAGCGTGAAAATTTACCAAATCGGCAATACGGAAGATTTTCAGCAAAAAAACACCGTCTTCTCTGTAAGTAATCCGAAACCTTTGCAGCCGCACTTAAAAAACTTGTTAGAAAAAAGTTTGGATTTTTGTTGATCATCAAATAACTGTGAGCGCTAGTAGAAATTACTTGCGTCTCTGAAAAATCCTTGTTTTGTGAAAAACAATTTTCGGGCTTCTATTTGATATTGGTTAGTTAGTTGAATAACATTTAAACACGAACAAGCTCGGAGAGCCGAAGATACCCAATGAAGTCTGAATGTGCAGCCTGTTGGTTTATTAGGCCGATCCTCCATCGAAGAATATTTTGAACAGATCATTCAGCTTCTTGGAAAAAATAATCATTTCAAGACGAAAACATTGTTCGATACATTTCGAAGAGTTGTAAAAATTCTGAAGCAGGCATGTGGAATTGAAGAGAGTTTCGAAGTTTTTACTTCATAATACCAAAACTTTCGCAAATGAGGTTGTTGACTTCAAAATTGGGTAACTTTTTTTGGAGATTCCTGAGAAATAACTTGAAAATTGATGTTGTGTATTGCTTTTGAAAATAGGAATGAATCTTTTTGTTTTCGAAAATCTAATTGGGAAACATTAGGATCTGGAAATTTCACAGTAAGTTCTTCGAAAAAACTCAAGGCAAGTAGTTTTCCGAGAGCTCCAGAATAAGAGGATGATGAATATATTTGGGTAAGCTTGAAAGCAGTGTAAAGATATCAATGAATGAGAAAAAACATTTTTCTGTTCGACTGAGAGCCTGGAGCTGAAGGAGTGATGGCCCAGAAGTGTTCGAGAGTTACGACTGTGCAAAGAGCTCTGAACGTTTGTGGAACTGAGTGACTGTTTTGACAGGCGCCCAAAACCACGCAAAGGCACGGCGTCCAAACAACAAAAGCCCGGGGAGAAAGATCGTCGAGATCGTCTAGAGGTAGGTATTTTGAGCAACGCCGTTTCAATTCGGTTTAATGTTGTTTTTGTGGCCGTGTAAATCAGAAAAGTCGACAGACATTCCGTCTAATGTTTTAGATGAACTTAATTGAGCGTTTTCCAGTCGTATGGTTTCAGGATTTCTGATAATAATCAGAGCAAAAACCAAAAAAACGTCACAAAATGCGTCTTTTTCAAACTCGCTAAAATAATTTCCGAAAAAATTTGTTTAAATTATGTTGTGTGTTCACAATCTACCTCTTCCGTTTGATTACGAGTCAGAAACTCACGACCAAAAGGAAAAATGTTCAAGTAAGAGAACAAAAGACTTTGAAGGTCGCTCAAGAGTAGTTTTCCTGTTCAAAGAACACATCAATTAATTTTTTTTTTACCAAAAATGATTTACCATTAAAAGCAGAATGAGCAAAATTTCTTCTTGAAAAATATTAGCGTCTTCTGAAATTTTTGGGCTGAATCTTAAAAATGCTTTTTCAGTAAAAAAACCACTATGCTATTGATTCTAAAAAGTATTAAAAAAATATATGCAGTGTGAAACTTTTTCCAATTAATTAATTTTTTTGGCGGCAGAGATGATCAAAAAAAGATTATAAAAAAAGATATATACTGCATTTTCTCACTCTTCCATTCAATTCATTACTCAAAAACGATGAGAGCGGTTTCTATCAAGGAGGGTTCGCCTTGCGGCAAGTCCTTTTTTGGACTAGTCATTTGTTCTCGGGTCTAAGGTGCCGGCCTCCGGTGACTTGTGACCACCGCACGATATTCATCAGTCTTGTAGATCCATTTCCGGATAAGCGGATCGCCTCCCGCGCAGTTTTCTTCCTTTGCCATTAGGCAAACTACACATCGTTTGCGGTAGATCCGCTTTCTTTGGAAAAGCAAAAAGTAGATGTTTCGAAGAAAGTTTGTTTGTACGACAGATGTGTTATAATCAATTAGGTCTCGTCAGTTTTGCTAGAAATTTACTTTGATACATCTTTGTTCAAATCCAAAAAATGTTCTTTTTTTCTTTCGTCTTTTTCTAAAAAAAAATTAAGTATTTACGAGTTGTGGCTTCCAAACGACATCATTTAAACAAAACACAGTGAAAAAGACTTCGAGCTAAAACGAGAGTTAAATGTTCATATACGCAAGTTCACAGTCCTCAGGACAACTTTTCGTTTCATTTTCGCATTCCTATTTTCATTGTTTTGAAAGAATTTTTGAGTTACCAGCATGAAAAATAGGTTCGAGATTTATGAAAAAAATAATGTTTCAAAAATATTAATGAAAAAGGCTTTTTTTAAAAACTCAAGCTTATTCATCAAATATTCCTGAGGATCGTGGAGTTTTGTTTCAAAAAGGAGAATATTATTTCTGAAAATATTGCGTAAAAGATGGATTGAGTATTATCTGATGTTTCATTGTCAAATTATGCTCAGCGAAAAACACGAAATGGAGTAAAATACTAAAAACATTTGTGAAAAAAAGAATCGGCATGAAATAGGATGTTGGGATTAGCAGAAACCACCAAATGTTCAGAATGAAATTAAAAATGATGTGGGCGATGAAAAGAAAAAAAAGTTGAGAAAAAACACGCCGAAGACGTCAAAGTAGGAGCAATTTCGAGGCTGCGCAGAACGATTGACCCACCGGTGAGAGGAAAGATCCGCGAGAGGCGGTCACCCGCTGGGGACAAAACAGATGGTCCAAAATCGCAGGTTCAGGAAAAAGATCGGTGGCTCAACTACGAAATCGGTTTTCATGAATACTTCATTGAACAGAAGACATGGAAAGCATTTTCATAAAAACTTTTTATTCTGTAGATTTTCCCAGCAAAAGCTTATTTTTGTTGCCGCTACATGACAGACCTCTCGAATCAAAAGTTCTCGAGGGCGACTTGTTGTTTCGAAAATGCAATTGAGCGTTAATTTGAGACCTATTATTTTTGAAAACAACAAACTTTGAACGTTGAGTTATTTTTAGGCAAAAATTTGCGTTTGTTCAAATTTATTCTTTCACTCAAAACCCTTCATAACAAAAGTTATTTTTTTCCCGAATTTTATTCAAACACTAGTCGGATAACCTAAAAAACTCAGTCTCGAAAGTTTCAATTTCAAAAAAATGATATACCTATTTTTTCAGCTCGTCAAATAAGCAAGTATATACTGTTACAAGTATAAATCAAAGCCACCCTCAACGAAAAATTCACAGAACGAAAGAAGGCTCTTTAGAAAAAAGAAGTTTTCTGTCACAGAGGCTCAGAAACACGTGCCACAAAATTGGTTACACCAAAATCAGTCAGACGTGACTGGTGAGAGCGGAAGAAAAAAAATTGGTCGAAAAAAAGGTTCTGGGCTACGGAGAACCCTAGTGACAAACGAGTAGTTCGCGCATTCGACAGGTATGCTTGCATATAGGAGCAACTGGTTGCTGCAGTGTTTTTTCAATGAACTGACGAATAGCTATTGTCGCCAGTAATCAAAAAAAAAAAAACAAAGTTAATAGTCTTTGGAAAAGAGAAAACGCATGAAAAAAGGCTTCAACCAGTTGTTGTGCGGAGTGCGCCTCTCACCGCTCGTTATAAATAATCCAACCGGAAAATATCGACGATCATAAGAATCCTCATGGTTTTTGCGTACTTTGAGATTGTGAGTGCAAGGCTATTTGGATTCCAATTTGTTTCCGAAATCGAAATTTTCATCAGAAGCATGATTTTTGGTCAACTATAGAACTCTGGTTCTCATGACAACTATTGATGATGAATCAAGTTATCACTCTATTAATCACGAGGAGAACCCAGAAAAGCCAAACTTCGCGAACTTGCTAAAAATTGTTAACAAGGACTTTCAAAACTTTTTCATCGGTAAAAAAAGAAAAAACCCCAAACTACCGGTTTAAGGCTGTGAATTTAATTTTTCAGAAACAGACGTGTGAAAAATAAAAACAAAGGTACCATCCGAGTGAATGAGCAAAGTGCTAAAGGAAAAAATAATTTGAAAGTATAGTAAAAAATTATCAAAAGAAACCGTGATACAAAAACCCTCTACACATCATTAGGAAATGATAAGGCACTCGTCGGCGATCAAAGGCGTTAAAGTCCTTCCTAAAGGGTTTCAAATGTGCAGAAATATTTTGATAACAAACAAAAATTAGAAAGGTGTACTGATGAGACATTCCTACAAATCGAGATGCATATGGCAAACTCTAAAAAGAGCTTCATCACTTTGAAACAAATATTTCAATTTTTGTTCAACAAAAATTATTCAGTGAAAACCCAGAGTTTCGGTTATTCAAAAGTAAAAAAAAACCCCAGCAGAAGCCTAGAAAAGATAGAAGGATAATCACCAGAAGTCGAAAAGCTTTTTTCATGAATGTCAGATCTCCCAGCGAATTTCGTAATAAACTCGTCATGGGAAGAAAGGCAAAAAGGCAACTGCGATTGCGCGCTCGATAATTATGGACTAGCTGGGCTTCATGGAATAGTTGTTGGCACGAAGTCCTTGCGGAAATTGGATCGTTCTTACAGGTGGCCAAAATTTTTCGGTTATGTAAAAAAAAGAAAAGGTCTACAGAAGTTTATTCAGTAGACGCTCTTTTTGCTAGTAAACTTCTCCACGGAACATCAAAATCCATTTGAGGATGAAAGTTGTTTTTTTCAATTTCAAATGTTGTTTGACCCGCTTTTGAGAACAAAATTTCAAAAACTGACAGTTAGAGAAGACGACGTTTGACTTGGTCGTTGTCGTTGAAACTGGGGGAGCTGGCCCGTTGAAATGAGATGGAGCTGGAGCGCGAACGTTGATAGAAACAACGTTTGACGCAGGTGTCGACGGCATTGGAGGGATCGCTTGAGATGGCACTGGAGGAGCTGTCGACTGTGGCGCCAGACGGGCGAAGACAAAAGTCGGCGGGAGCTTTTTCGCTGGTGGAGGCATCTGTGTCGAGATTGGAGGCGATTTGATCGACTGAAAATAGGTATCGATAAATACTGATAGGACGATGGAGTGAATGAAAGGCTGGACCGGAAGATTTGTGATTACAACTAATGGAAATATGAGATCAACTTCTGAAAACCGCTTTTCTTCGAATGAATAATAGAGCCTCCTCAGTTTTTTTTTATGTCGCGACACTATGACATTGAAGATTTGATGTGATTAAGCGGCGCGTGTTGGTGGTGATTAATTCCAGTAGCCTCAGACCTTATTAGTGAGTCATGTCGAGCTCGTGAGTTTTTAGTCTGCATTGTGCAACAGCTAATGAGATTGAAAAAATAGTTACAATGATACAACTGAGTATAAATTCTCAGAATGCTTTTTTTTGGGCATGGCTCACCTCCGAGGCGTGATCCTTGTTAATTTCAAAGCTCGTCTGAGTCGGCTCACTTTGTCCGACGCCTGAAACAAAGGCCAAAAATCGAGAGTCGCAAAAAAGCTCCGATAAGGAACTACTCACATATATGGACATTATAAAACATTCTAGATTCATTTTTTATTATCACTTATTCCCTTGGAAAGTTTCAAATATATCCAAAAATATCCCAAATGCGAGATAGAAAAACATTTGGAAATCCAGATATTCATCCTTTTATACAATTCAAAAATGATTTTAATCGAAATTTCTTCAATAACAATCCTCACAACTAGATTCGAAAAAAAATAAATCACCTTCTTTCAGTTCAAACTGGGGGTTTCCATTCAAGTGGGCGAATCGAAACTGAGAGTTAGTAGAGACAGATTGATATCGGCTGGACTCGACATTAGAAAAATGGTTCTGGAAAACAATTTATATTGTTTGGTTCATTTTCCCGACTTGAAAGGGAGGGAGGCGGAGCACGTAGCGGATGCGTTCACGGTTCCTGGCAAGAGTTCAATTCAACCGCCCGCGACTATTTGAAGAGCCACTTTATCGCTTTTTTTAATTTAAATTTTAGTTATTTCATTAGTGCAACGAAAATAGTAGATTATATACAGAAAAAAGCGGTGACAGAGTTTTTTAAATGATCGGTGGCGCTTGAATTGAACTCGTTTCAAGGACCGCGTGCGCACACGCTACGCGCCCCGCCCTTTTCTCCGCGCCCCGCCCTTTCCTCCGCCTCCCTCGCCTTTCAACTCGAGATGGGTTGATTATATCAAACAAAACGTTTCGCAAAGCCAACGATTTGTTCGATGAGAAAAAATGCTAGCACGTTAGTTTTATTTATGGAAAAACATCGCTGTAGAAACATTCTAATCATCTCTTTTTGGGTAATTGAGTCTTTCTTCACTTACTACGGAAGGACTGGGTTCTTCTGGAGGAGGACTCGAGTCATTTCCTGGAAACTGTCTAAATTCGGCATGTTTGTTAATCTGCATAACTTTCGAGACGCTTGACACTCTGAAAACCGAATTGGGTATCAAGTTAGATTTCTCAAGCCTGCCTAGGTGGGTAAGGGTCTGGTGGAAGTACATTACTGTAATCTGAGACCTCGCGTATAATTCTTGCTTTAGGTCCAAGTACCGGCAGTTCAGGTTTACGACGATGCCAAAAAGCTTGAAATGAACGTTTTTTGAGGATGATATCTGATTTCACTCACCTGGGGCTGAGGCTGGTTTCACCGCATCGTCAGTATATTTTGAGTTCTCAGAGGTTTTGGTCTCAAATCTTCGTAATCGACGAGCGATTTGCACAAACTCCGGCTCGATTTCATCGCTTTTAGCGTCATTGAGCACCTCAAAAATCAACATTATTCAAATTCAAACTTTCGAAAAATTAATCTCTGATTAGCCATAAATATGTTATGTTGATGATGTTGTTTTTTTGTGAATAGACAAAACTTTTTTTTGCTAGCTTGTTTCTTGATTGTGAAATGCTGAATTCTCGCAATTTTGGACTAGGAACTGTTGATAAGAATTTGAAAGAAGAAACTAAAAGATGAAAAGAGAGGTCAATACAATTTGTGACACTTCTGCGCTTCATTTCCTTCTATCGGAGTAAGTTAGTTAAAAGAGAGCAAAGCTTAGGCAACCACATTCTTTTGATGAGTTACTCATCAAAACGCCTGCAGCCTTTTTAAACTCACATTTAGCACACTGGCTGGAGGATTTTTAAGCTTGGCTTCATTAACCCGTAGATTTTTCGCCTCCGCGGTGTGAGTTGGCGGCGTTGAACGCAATAAGGTTGGAATAGGCTCGGGGATAAAGTTGACGACTGGCTCCAGCTGACGTGGTGTCGATGTCTGTATGAGAAATGGCTGAGGTGGTACGTATTCCGCATATTCGGGCTGTACTGGTCGGATCGGCATGCCTTTTGGAGAATCCTGAAAATTTGGATGGATGTTTTTGCTCGTTTTTTCAAATGAAATTTGGAGAAATTTTCAAGCTTCGATGTTCTAATTTTTTGACTCACTCTGTAAACGCGATCAGGAGCTACAACTGGACCGATTGTTTCAAATTTCTTCTTTAAAGCGCTAATAGATGTGATCTGGAAATGATTATTCTACGCAATCTTTTCCCCATTCCAAACCCCGTTTTCCGAATCTTCGTCAATGTTGATGGATCTGTGAACAGTGAAAACACGTTCACTTTCTACCGGAGGACCTAAAAAGTAGTTGAGCCATCTTGTTTCTCGGATAGAACTTACTAGCTAGCATATCGCTAATCGAATACGACTGCTGGCGAGACAAGTCGCTTTTCGGTGAGAAGACGCCATTGGGCAAACGAGTGCTGTAATTTAAAGTAGGGTTTTCAAACTTTTCTGATAACTCACGAGGGAGGATCATTCTCAGATAGAAGGTCATCGCAAGACAAATAACGTTTGCTCTTCTGAGAGTCTGGCTCATTTTTCTCGTTCTGTAATTTTTAGCTTTGACAGGTTATTTTTACAGAAGCTCACTTGTTTGTTATTCAAGTTTCCTGAAAGACGAGAGAACTTCGCACGCAAGCGTTCGACAATGCCAGGGCCGTACTCCAGATCTGAGAAGCAAAAGCTATTCAATCAGATCTTTTAGCAGTTTTTGGGGATTATTCGTTGACCTCAAGCCTCAAATTTTATTCTTTTAATTGTAGACTCATTTTGAATTGAGAAACACGGAAAAACCTTCATTCAACGCATTGCAGGAGCTAGACATCTTCGGCTGAGAAGGACTATCGTGATTCCGGCGCAAATCAACGCAACTGACGTGCTCGTTGTGCAGAGGTCTTCTAAAGTGGCCGCCATTGCCGTCCCAATTTCCGCAACTTCTCGTGTCCTTCCGCCGTTCCAGCGACATAGTCCAACTACGGCTATTTTGCGTGTTTTCATAGATTTTACCGTGAGGAGTATGAATATTCTCATACTGAGATTGTTCTGGTGGTCCTGGAGCTCTTCTTTCGCTCTGCGTTCGAGCAATCCTTCTTTTCAAGCTTGAGTCCGTTTTTGGAAGGTACATTCTTTGAGAAGCATGTTGCTTCCTGCCATTGGGAATGTAGAAGTCGTTTGAAATTTCGTAGATGTTTTGGAAGTCTTCAATGTTTTGATAGAGAGGAGCTCCATGTTTTTGTGGATTCCGATGGTAACGTACATCAGTGAGATGTACAGAGTGTCTACGACCGTTCATAACGACATTTTCGATGAGTTAGATACTGAAATCGGCGGATAACTCTATGAAATCGAAACAACGTAATCGCGAGAAACATATAGTTGAGCGAGCCATTTAACTGGGAGATCGCTATTCTTTCAGAGCTTGGCTACGTTTTCAACTTCGGAGCTACCTTCTATTGAAGGTTTCGTTGAGTTCGAGATAATAAACGATCATTGTAGTAAATTAACATGAAAAAAATGAGTTTTTCAAAGTATGAGAAAAAATTATGAATAGTAGTGTGATGAAAAAAGCCTGGACTTTGTTCTTCGCAGACAGCAAGTGTGAAAAATAGAGCGATCAAGGATGAGGCATAGTTTCTAGAGTTCCAACCTGGACCTTATGTGCTCAGCACACCCCGAGACAGTTGGGCAAGCAAACATATCACTCCTAGAGCTTCTCCAACCGAAGTTCTACCGACCGCTCCTCTCTTTTTCTTCGATTAGCGGATTGGGAAGACTTTTGAAGCACATCTCGAACTAGTTTTTCGGCTTAACAATTTGAGAAGCTAGGGAACAAATTAAAAAAAAAATTAATAAGAGAACGACGAATATATACTAAAAAGGGTATTAAAAATAAATAAAACTCTCATTTATGAATGAAAAAAAATCATCAGCTCTCGGAAACCTTCGATTTCTGAATTGGTCGCAAAAAAGGAAAGTAGGCCCAAGATTTTGCTAATCTTTAAAAAATTAATTTCTCGCGTTTTGACTGATCTTTATAAGCTGTTGCAAAAAAGAAAAAGGCCACCAGCAGCCGAAAAGCCTTCGAGACAGAGTTATCAGCAAAACACTCGAGAAGACAGTGTCTGTCGCGAGGCTTTCAAGGGGCGACACTTCACGCCCCGGCATGCATGTCGTGCATGAGAGAGCTCATGTCCAGACCCACTTCTCTTGAAACTGACCACCACTTCAACTTTGCTCAAGAAAAAAGTGAAGAGGACAAAATATTTTGAGAAAATTGAATTTCAGTATTCCCTACCACAAAAGTTGTCTTAGAAAGCTGGTAAAAAAAGAGTTAAAAACATTAAAATGGGTTCTAGCAGAGGAGGAAAGTTAAGTAGTTAACTTGAAGCAATCAGATCGAAATTATCGTTGTACAGATAAGCGTCTCAGTATTGAACTTAATCTACAAACAACTCGAAAAAAGACAGTTTAAAACAGTCTTTCGGGATGTAATGAGTTACTTTCTTGGCTCACCGAAACCAACAAAAAAACGGTGATACTTGTTTTTAAATAGTAATTAATAACTGAAATTTTTGATTAAAATGGCATTAAAAAAATAGAATCAGATGTTAAATTTTAATGCTAAAGTTCTCACTTCTTAACAACCTAAATTTAAGAAAGGAAATCGAAAAAAACTTGTCGTACGGATTTGCATAGGAAAAGCTTCAAGGTTCGGAAACGAGTCAATCCTTATATTATGCAAGACGCCCATACAGGTGCCTCATAGTGATTTGGACACAAAAGCGCAGAGGCGTAACTCTGCAGATGATACGCATTCAGAAACCGGAAACTGACAAAAGACTTAGTGCTTCGCGAAAGTTATCCAAACTATATTTCTACGTTTTGAAACAAAAAAAGGTTTTTCACAAAACGTTAACGTGAAAGCTGCGAAGTTTGTCTATGGGAAGTTGGGCCGAACAGCAAATCAGATAAGTCAGGATCTCGCAGAGAATTCTGGCAAAAACTGGTAGAAAGTGAGTGACCAGGCGCAGACTTGCAGCGACAGCCCTGACTTGATTTTTTATTTCTACGTGAAGAAAAAGTTAAATGAAATATTAGCACATTAAAAAGGGCCTTTTAGATTTGTACAAAGAAAATTGATTGGACTTCAAAATTTAACTACATCAGAGTTTCAAACTATGCGCCGGTTGTTAAAGATCTTTCTGAGCTTTATAACCATTTCTTTTATCAAGGCTTTCATAGCATTTCCGGATGGTGTCTATATAATTTCCCAGAATATTTTTGAAAATCGATGCTGAAAATTGTTTTCCTTCACAGTTTCTTATTACGATGAACTTCTCGAAATTGAAATAAAAAATTAATGTTATTGATTGAAAAACTACACAATGAAACTTGTTGGATTATATTTTTTTTCAATTTCTATGATTGGTTCATTATCAAGAAAAATATTTAAAAAAAAGTTGAGTGGAATGATCTATGATAAAAGTTTTTAATCTTGAGAAAATGAAGTAAGAAAAAAAAAATTAGGACAAAAAGGAACAGAACAACTTTCATGTTTATTAATCTGCTTTTCTTTTTGATAAAATTGCTTGCAACTTTCGGCTTTTTGGACCGAGGTCAACTTGAAGTATAGATTCTAAAGGTTGTTGATTTTCTTTGAAATGTAAAGTGAGAAAAAATAAGTTATGCCCACTTTGAAAAATTGAATGAAAAGATAGCGACAGCTTGTCAAATCATGCATCGAAGGAAAGTCACGGAAAAGCTTGATAGTTAGCGACACGGAGCAAGTGATACAGTCGGAGGTGAGGAGATCGAGCTGAAGACCGGAACTTGGAGAGCAAATAGGCAAATGGTCGGCAGTTTGACACCTGCCCAACACAAGAAGGGGTTTCCTGCTTGGCGTCGCGACAGACTCACGCTACCCACGATGGCTGCCGATCCACCAGCCGTGCCTTCGAGTTATAATTAAAAACTCATTTTTGTGGATTCTTTTGAGAACGATGCAGGTTTCGGGAAGAGAAAGTCGGTTGCGTGGACTCGCAAACAAATGATTAATCCATTTCGGCTAAGACTTGTCCGAAGAAACGTCCCTCGGACACTTCGTTTACTTTTACGTTCACATCTAACATTCTTAATAAGAATAAAATCCCCTCTATGATTTTTTTTTACGAAAAAGGTGAAGCCATTGGAAAAAAAAACATTTCAATAATGAACTTGATCAATCTGAGAGGATGATTCCACGCACATGAAATATCCGTTATCAAGTCTCCAGTTCTTGCGCATTTGTTTGTTGATTTTTGACTCTGAGGATGAGGTCGACAAATAATACACATTACATCAAGGATCCACTGGTTATAGTGCTTCTAAAACTCACCGCTACCGCTGGATGAACCAGTCGAGACGCTATCTTCGTTATCGCCACAGTTTTCTGGCGTTTTTCATTTTGGACCCAAGAAGAGAACTGCCTGTAGTAAAGAAAAACTTGATCAAGAAAATTTTTTTTTTTTTAAATTGAAAAGGGCAAAGAAATGAAAAAAATACGCTTTTTCTTTGATAAAAATACATGTCTACACGATTCATTTGAGCATAAGACAGGAAAAAACTGTTGCCTATATAGGTAAGAGAAATCAAGTTTGAACAAAGTTTCGTAACTAAAAATGATCCTCTCTAGAAATACGGAAACCTTGGACAGGTTCCTGATGAGTCATAACTTTTTTCTAAATAGACAAGAGCAAAATTGACACGGAAGCTACAACAGAGGACATGTTAACAATAAGGTGACGATCTACCAATTCAAATCGTTCGGAAAAAAAAATTACAATGGGCCTGAGATAAATTTAATTTGAGAAAGCGTGCAAAATCTTTAGAGTAGCGTAGGTAGAACTCTATTTAATAATTGCGACAAAGCCGTTTCAAAATTTTCAAATTTTTCAAAAATTTTGCTCCTTCGATTTTATTGAAAACAATTTTTTAGAGACTGGAATCAGAAAGTTTTTGGTAATATTTTTTTCTCGCGAAAAAGAAGAAGACCTAAAAAGGAAAAGCTTCTCTGAATTTTGACCTCATAAGAATGGTCCTTCGAAAGTTTTTTTCCGCTCTTGAGTGTAAATGCACAAGTATTCTTTTTGAGCTACTGAATATGAATTGAGTTTTTCTCAAAGAAGTAGCGTCTTTCAAAGACCGGAAAGTTTATTATTTAATAAAAAAATTTAGAATTCCAAAAATAAAAAGGTCATACAAATAAGAGAGTTTGAGGAAAGAAGGACTTCATGCTCGGGCGGCAACATGGCGTCAGTTTGCCATTGGGCGAGTTGGGACGATAAAACCCAAAGCGATAAGCGACGATAGCGCTCATTGCTGTTTATCGAATACGTGCACACTAACATTCTTCCCATTTCGCAGTAAGAAAAAACGACGAATTTAAACTCAAGTTTCTTGTCAAAAACTCACTGTTGGTTTTGGTTCGAGATTCAGGCGACAACCAAACTTTTTACCGTGATTTTTTGATTGTTTAGAATTCTTTCGATCAACTTCAAGAAGAAATAGTCTCAAAAAATCGGTAGCTACCTTTCTTGTCGTTTTTGTACTTGATCGGAGGTCTACGCAAAATCCTCCGTGAACAGTTATCATTCTGAAAATCCAAGGTTAATTAGGTAATCATCCAAATTAAGCACAAAATAGGAAGGATTTTACCTTAAGAAACGGATTTTCACGTAGTGTCGTGTTCACGTCTACCATTGTGTGCGTGTGGTTCGTTCGATTTGGCCTGAACAAATAAAGTCGCAACTTTGATTTCAAATATTGAAAATATTGAGGATATTCAGTAGACGATAAATAATCGAATCCTCTAATAAGAGCTTTTTTTTGGAATTTTGCTGGCAAGAAAAAGTTTCAAAGTAAGCCACTAGTTATATTAAACTCTTGATTTTGTTTTCATAACCTACTACCCTCTAAATATAATTTTTTTCTGTTTTCAGGATTTTTGAAAGTTTAAGAAAACCAAAGGAGACAAGTTAAAAAACTCATACGCAAAAATAATAAAATTCGAAGCTTCTGATGCAAAAAAAATAGTTGTTTTTCGAAATTTTCTCACATTTTCTTTAACGATCCAAAATCGAAGAAATTATGGAAAATACGCAAAAAATCAAATCACAGAATGATGATTTGCGTCAATCTGAAAAAATTAGGGTCGGCTTCACTAAAAGAAAAATCTCAAATCGAAAAGAACAGGCGAAAGATCGCAGTAAAGGAAGATATGGGAAACAATAGTCCGGTCGACACATCTGGAATTCGCGCCCAATTTTTTGGATGTGCGCAGGGCAGTTTCGGGCCTAACAGGTCATTCGTTCCACACGCGCAGAGTCTATCGGCCTCACGTTGTTCGTTGTGCAGATTATTCACCTTCAGAGGTTTTCTTTCGACGCAGAATTGGCAAAACGTCTCCTGGAGAGCGTGTCCGCGAGTGGAAACTTGTGCGGAGACTGCGAAGTGCCAAAACCTGCAAAATTCACAAGTTGAAAAGGAAGTGCATCAATCAATTTCGAGACGAATTCAACAAAAAACGACAGATTTCCTCTTCTTGGAAGTGTTTTTTGAGTTCAAAGTACACAAAGGGTCATACGAAAAAAAAAGAAACAGGTTTTCGCAAGTACGAATTTTCACACTTTTCGAAAAAAAAAACTTTATTTTCTTTTCACTGTCAAAAATACTACGCAGACATCTTAACCTTTCCTGTGAAGTTTTGAATATAAGAAAACGAAAAGTCTTGCTTTCTCAGATTTTTTTTCTGGTCAGCCGAAGAAAGGGATTTTAATGCGTACCTGATCTCAAAAAATTAGAATTAGTGCGACGATACGCTTTTTTTTTTGAAGGAGTTGAAGAATACTTCGCGGACGTTCAAAATTTGAGTAAGTTTTTAGAAGGCAATTTCAAAATCTGTGATCCAGAAACATACAAAAAGTTGACAGAGGCAATATGAGGGAATGGAACAACATGTAGGAACATGTGGGAGTAACTCGGTGGAAAAGCCAAAACAGCCAGACGGGAACTGTCCATCTAAGATAAACGTCAAGTGGGCACAGCTGGGTGCCGACAAAAAAACGTGAATATCATTCTAAACAAATGGAAGTTTGTGTTGGAAAAAAAGCGTGAGGATTGTAAAAGCAAACAATACAAGCGCCAAACGAAGCAGACGTTACTCACGAATTTCTAGTTTTCTTTGCAAATTATGACAGCGAAATACCTCAACAACTTTTTAAAACGTAAAATTCTCGAAAAGTTGTAGGTATGCCAGCTCACGTTCCTCGTGAAGGTTCTGATTTTCAACTAAACAAGCCTCTGACAAAAACCAGACGTTATGATTTTGGTTCGTATTACCTTGAACACGCATGTTGTTGGACTTATTTCGAATTCATACAAGGGAGAGAGAACATCTAGGAAAAAAAAATAAAAATTAAAAAAAATAAATGTAGACACTCTTCATGAAACGCAGGAAGACCGACTGGATCTTCTCTGGAGTTCAAACATTGTTTTCGCGCCAAATTATTCGAACTTGTCCAGCCGCTGCGGAGTCAAATCCTTCAACTATCTTAGCCGTTTTATCAGAATCTTTTTTTCTGAAAAGTTCCTCTAACTTTCTCTCATCTGCGTAACACTGGCACACCTGATCAATGGGAAACAAATTTATAAAAGCCATAAAATTTGAAAACGATTCTGCCTGTGATGCAAATGAAATTAGTTAGCCTGTTGAATGGAAATGCAAATAAACGGAACTTTGGGTTTTACCATGGTCGAAAAGTCGCAAGGTCGTCAAGAATATGGCCTGGAAATCACAATTTAGGGCAATTATGAGCGTCCTCCGTGTTCCCGCCCTTTCGGGAACGCGCTTATTTTTTTACAAAACGCGTCTCAATTGCTATTGTTTAAAGATGAGAATAAATTGAACTTTAGATTAGGCAAGGGTACAAGTTCACCAAAAAACGAAATTGTCATAGATCGCTTGAAGGAACTTACAATTTTGTGATCTATCTACTATTTTTTTTTGCAGCAAAAAAAGCAAAAGACTGCGTGTTGCAAAATATTGAGCAAGCTTCAAACTTCATTGAAATGACCTTTTCTTAGTTGGAAATCGATCATTTGGAACAATCTAGTCACATTTTTCGTGTGGAGAGAAACTCTGCAAACCTTCAGCTTTTTTATTTTACCTCATCGACAAAAAATCTGAAATTGGTGAGATAATAATTCATGTGAAAAAGCAAAAGTGTCTATCTGAGAAGACGGATGTTGATGGCGAATGGCTCCAAGTAAATAAATACGAAGAAGATGCAGAAAGAAAGTATGCAGTGAGGTCGTGTTTGGCGCCGTCGAAGGCCTCCGATCTTCCCTTAAGAGGGCACGACACTGCAGATCCGCCGTCGGGCTATCCTTTTTCACGTATTAACGGCTTCCGCTTTCCAACCAAAGTGCTGTACTCATCACTTCCATCTGGAGCTTTTTTGAGTATGAATTTGAAGTTAGAAAGAATGATTATGATATCTCTGGCTTTCAGAGCATCAAATAGGAAAAGGAGGACAAGGTTTGAGTCCTGTAATTCCCAGAAACTTTCTTTCATTGGAATAAAAAGTTTTTTTTTGTGAGAAATAATGAAAATGTTCAAAATAATAAAAAAAACATTTTTATGAAGAGATAAAAAAAAAATGATAGTGGATGAAAAAAATCAAAAAAAAAAATAAAAGTAGCGAAGTTACTCGAACTCCTCTGTGATTCGCTAAATCTACCATTTGCCAAGCTTCGATGAGCTATAAATAGACCATAAAAAAATGAAGACTTCAACTTTTTTTAATTGATTTTGTTATTTTATCAAAGATTCTAATAACAAGAAAAATTTTTTTTGAAGGCATGGAGATTTTTTTCTTGACAAGAAAAATATTTTTTTGAAACGCATATAAAATCTTCCAATTTCAAAAATAAGAGCAGAAAAATAGATTTCAGTATGCATTATTTTTTTTGAAATGGACAGATGTTTTGGGAGTTGTTCTCGGAGTTTTGTATGTATGAGACTGCATAAAACGAAATTTGGGAAAACAAGCCTCAAAATGAAATTCCCGATTTCTAATGAAGAATAGGAGAAATGGACATAGAACTGTTGGCAAATGGGATCGCACGGCCCGATGGCATCAATGTTCCGGAAAGAAGGGGCCGCCATCCAACCGGACAACGGAGCTCACGCATTTTGATGTTTGCCAATATGAGTATTTCAGTGACCGCCCGTTTTGTCAACACGACACGTGATCCTTCTGGATTTGGAAGTAGCTAGCAAGAAAAAGAAGGTGGGCGAGAAGAAGGAGGAAATTTTTTTATTTAAAAAAACTATTTTTTTGAGAAAAAAAGTTTCTTGGCCATAACCAAAAAGGGAGAATGCAAATGAATTTGTGAATATTGAGTATTGCTACAAAGTCAGTCTTATAATATTTTGAAGGAAAGTTTAAAAATAAACATAAGGCAAAAAAAGGAAATTTTTGTACTTTACCTGATGTTTTTTTGATGGGTCAGTGGTGTTGACCAAATTTGAACAACCAATGTCACGAAATCCTAACCAAAACATCATCAATTTGTTTCAAGAAATTCTGTGAACACATCAAACAAACACTTTAAAATTTTTTCTAAGGGACGTATTTTGTTTCAAAAAAGGCATCGGCTTGCAATTCGGCATCTCAAAGAAGTCATATGGCAGCAAATTAAAAGAAAGTTCCGGATTGAAACTTATCATGTAGGCTTTATCAATTTGACCAAAGTTATCCTTTAGAAAAATGAGTTGAAAAACAAAACTCTTCTAACAAGAGAAAAAAAATCTTTAAAATTACTCAGTAATGTCAAAACGCAAGAAAGAATTTTTACAAACGTCGACCTATCGACTGAGAAAAACGTTCACGGGTCAGCAGACAGTACAAGGGCAAAGATTCCCTCGTCGCGTTTAAAATTCACAGAAACTTTAATTGCAATGAATCATGCCAAGTTTTAGGGATGTGACGTGTTTGGAACAACTTGAAGAGATGTCTCATTTGAAAGTAAAAGAGCCGCTCGTAAAAACGAGTGATTTGGTGTGAAGATGCTTTCTTTGGCGGTTTGCTGAGAGTGGTGCGGTCGGTTTGTGTGCACGCAGTGGTTTCCTCCAAATTGAGAGCACCTCCGTTCTGACCGAAACCCAAAGTAATTGGAGAGTGTTGACTTAGAGCTCCCGCCTCGAGCCAAATCATTCAGAAGGTTGGAGGGTCAATCACGGCTTTTGCTCTTTTGTTTGAAAGCTATCAAAAAGAAATGCAGCCTGTCTTAGGAAATGACAGCAGAGGTTAGTTTACATTACGGTTTTGAATTTCTAGAAAATCGACCAATTTTTTTTGTTGATGTATCAGACAAAGATCCTGAAAGTCTCAGTCTGCTGACCTTTCTAGTTTTCGAAAAAAAAGCTTAAAGCCTCAAAAGGAAATATGTTAACATAATTCGAAGGTTCCCCTGACTCTGAAATGTCCTTACTAGGAAGTTGTTCGATTTGGAATTTCCAAGTTCTTTTTCTGGTACATCCTGGAAATATTAGGTTTTTTTCAGGAAACTTCCAACCGAAAAATAAAAACTTCCAACCGAAAAAAATAAACTTTTTTTGTAAGTTTTTTTGTCGTTTTCTTTTTCTAAAAAGATTCAAATGTTTTTTTTTAAAAAGTTTTATGGTTTTTTTAAACGCAGCAAAAATCGGAAAAATCAGAAAAAGAATTCGAACGGTAAAGACTGAAAAGCAAGCAAGTACATGCAAGCTTGAAATTAAACAAAATCATGTTTGTCTGAAAGTGCAGCTAACCATACAAAACAATCCGTTCATGTTTCAAGTTTCAAGTTTAAATTTCTAGACTCAAGACGTTTTACTGTCTGAAATTCAGAAGACAAGGGTCAAAACAACTTCTTAGAGGATGAAGCTCAATCAGGATATCAGATAAAAGCGACAGAGATAAAAGTTGCAAGCAAGGGGATCATGACGCAAGATGACGAACATTAAGTCAAAAATTAGGTCAAACGCCGCTATCTTCCCTCGTTTCGTATACAATACGAGGACCAGTGTTCGGAGAGGAATATACCGGCGGATTTGTGCCGCCGGACTTCTCGGATTGCTGTTTTTTTGTTTCCCTGAGAAGGTCGGTGGGAATGTCTTGCCAGCGCGAAATTATCGTTGAAGTGAAAAAGAAGCGCTTCGCTGGGCTAAAAAATGATTGAAATAGAGTGTGAATGAATTTATAGAAAGGCGCCCTTGTATCAAAAAAAAAAACGAGAAAAATGGCGCGAATGCAGTATAGAGTGAAAAACTGAGCTTTCAGTTTTGAAAATGGGTCATTTTTTTGTTTTATGGTCTACTGAAAAATATGTCTAACGCGTTGATAGTTTTGTTAAAATTTCAAAACTGGTGAAATATTGTAATTAGCAAAGTTAGAAAACAACAAAATAAAGTAATAATTATTTTTTTAAATTTTTTTCTGTGGAGCAGCATTATTATTTTAGGAAGAAAGTTTAAAAAAATAATTATATGAGATCGAAGGGGAAAAAAAGATTTTTTTCATGGCCTAGCTGAACTCATTCAAAATATTAGGGGGCGGTTAGAAATAAGTGGCGATTTCGGGCATTTCTTCATGAAACATTATGAAAACAGCGATCTGAAAGGTATTTTCCAATTCTAAAAATGATATACTGCCAACCTTCACACCAATAATGAACGTCCTTTCTAAATCCTAGATTGGGAGTGGAAATTGAATCGATAAATTCAAAGCTCATGTTATTGGTAAACCTAAAAAATACAGTTCAATTATTATTGGAGGAGTTTCATGAGAATTTTCGCGCAAAGTTAAAGCAAAAAATTTTTTCGACGGTCGACCATACAGAGAAAATGTTGTTGGCGAGAAACAGTCTGGAAGTGGAAACAATGGTTCGACAGGACGATCCGAGGGAATGCCCTGGTAGCGCTGCAAGAAAGGGTCGTCTCTGACAGACAATGCGCTCATCTTAGCGGTAAACAACCTCCGAATTTACGTTGCTCACCTGCACCGAAAAGTTTTGAGTCCACACAAACGACATTTCAAGACAATGGATTAGGCCTGATAAAAAGGTGCTCGTATTTTTGGAACATTGGCGTTGAGGATTATCTCTTAATTTTTTGCCTCGCTGCCCATTTTTCAGTTTTTTCCGCCGTTATTCGGAATGACTCCCTTGGAAACGGGAGCTCCGCCGTTTTCATTTCTTTTTTCATCCGACTGCAGTTCATGCAAATTTCTGAGAACAAGGTTAGTTGTAAAAGGCTCTTCCAAATTAGAATTGAACCATTTTTCTTATCGATAAAATAACAACTTGCTGTGAAGGTTTCTTAGGAAAGGTTCTATTCAACACTGGAATGTCTTTTTTGTGACTTTTCGATGAGGACCGATTACTTTTTCAAGAACTTTGATTTTCATGCTTTGATTTGATTGTTCTATAACATTTCAAAGCAGAATCTAGGATAAACCTTTCCTATCCGAAAAAAAAGAAAATTGCAGACTAAACGGCTGGGGGAACAACTGTATGAAGAATGGATGGACTATAAACATTTGGTACAGATTTAGAGGTTTATTAACATGATTATCTACCTCAAATTAAGGAACGGCGAGCGTCGGACTCAACGATAACAACTGTTGAAAGCGCACCGAGAGGAAGACACAGACTTCACCAGGAATACCTCGCACGTCTCTCGAAGACTCCAGTAAACAACTAAACAATAAGCAATAACGTCGCCAATCATTCAGCCACTTCCCCCGACGCCTCAGCCAGTTCAACCGTCTCCAGTAAAAAGTGAAACGGCAAAAGTAATCTTCTTCTCTGTTTTTACCGAAGTTAGCTTGTTTAGAAAGCGCGGCAGCTGTGATTGACACCACCAAAAAGCCATTTACAAGAACTAGAAGCTAACGAAAAATGTGAGTGGTTTTTTTAGAGTCTCATCTTCTCGAAGTTTTATAACCACAGATGCGATTGAGCTTGCGAAAAACCATTTTTTTTTGCGATGGGAATGTTTTTTTTAACTGGCTGAGGATGAGGAGCTACCAGCAGAAAATAAACTATTTGGAGAAAGCTGTAATTTTTGATTTTGCTTTTTTTTGACTAAAAATGAATACTCAGTATTGAATGGACAATTCATTCAATTTTTTGTTTGTTAAAATCCAAAATATGTTTCTGATCGGGTTTTCGGACTGGTTAGTCTAAAATATCGAAAAAATGAATAAATTCACATTTTCAGCTCAAAGTCAAGATAAAACGAGAATTCGGGCCTTTTTACAAATGGGTGCGGAACGGTCGCACGGATGACATCAAGAAAGAAATTATCGAGAAGCTACTTTTCCAGAAATGACACCGAATCTTTCAATACACAAATAAAGAGTTTATTGTTTCAGTTGCACAAAATACATTGAGAAAAATCCAGTTAAAGTGATCACAAAAAGATATGGTACAATTTGAGATAGCGCATGAGTATATTAACCGTAAAAAAAGCCCTGACAGCTGACAAACGGGCGATATAAATGATTGGCTGATGCTTATTTAAAGCGCAAAATGTTAAATATTTACCCATAATTCTTTTAAAATAATAATATCAATCTCTAAAAAATACAAAAGGCTAGTAAGAAAGTTGAGGAGAGGTGTGAATTAGGGACTGCAAATTCAGATGAAGCACCTCGAACGATGGTCTCTTGGAGGCGTCGAAGGTCCAACAGGGCTTCATGAACTCAACGAAAAGTCTGTTAGGACAGAGGCTTGGACGTTGGAGAGAGGTCTGTAAATTTCAAGAGCGAGTTGGAGCACAGTAGAGCGAAATCACCTGGAGCTCTCCAGAATCGCTCATTTTCTGTAAGTTCTCAACAACTTGGTCGTCGCTGAGATTCAAAAAGGGCTTTTCTTTGCAGAGCATGAAGACTTCCCACATGGTCACACCAAACGCCCAAACATCGCTGGATGTCGAGAACTTTCCCTGAAAGCCAAATTTTATTCTAGCTTCACTTATATCTTTCTAACCATAAGTAGGGCTTCCCAGGCCATCCAGCGAATCGGTAAGACAAATTTTCCCTCGACTTTGTAGTATTCTTGGGAGTAGAGAGATCTTGCCATGCCGAAATCGGCAATTTTCACGTTTCCTTCTCTGTCAACCAAGCAATTCCGCGCGGCAATGTCTCTGCAAGGAAGCTTCTGATTTTAATAGCGACTGGCATATTTAAAATACCTGTGAACAAAATTGCAAGATTCCAAATAGGCTAATCCTGCAGCTAATTGCGTGCAGATTGATATACAGGTTGAGGTGCTGAAACTACAATTTCCAGAAGATGTCGAAGAATATCAACTCACTCAATGTTGCTCGACTTATTGATGTAAGACTTAAGGTCTCCGTTATCCATGTACTCCATGATGCAGAGTATCGGCTTTTGAATAGTGGAGACTCCAACCACTTCCACGACATTTGGATGCTTCAGGCTACCTTAATTGCAGAATTTCAAAATATGAAATTTCGCATCGTTTTGTTACCGAGAACTCGGATTTCTCTGTGGAAAGCGAACTCGTCGGCTTCTGACATGCTATACAGTCGTTTTACTGCCACTTTCCTGTTGTCCAGCTGGCAGAGGTCCACCTACAAAAAAAAATTCACAAAATTTCCGTTGAAGCTGTAACCTCTCCGAATTCGCCATGACCGACTTTTTCGATGAATTGCAATTTGTCTCTAGCGATCTCTGGCAACGTTGTACAGTAAACTTCCCCGTAATCTGAGTACTTGATAAGGGACGAGAGAGGATTGCTGAATTGACGAGGATGATGGAAATGTCAAATTGAAGGTTTACTCACGCTCGTTTTGACTCGTATTGTCCTTCCATACCGTATAACAATGGCGTTGTGCTCTCCGAGCAGCTGAAAATGTTTTGATTTGAAATGATATAAGAATGAGTAAATGTGGTAAATCCAACTTGGCATGATATGAAATGAGGACCACTTGTACTTACACGCTAATGTCAGGTTCTGCGTAATCGCTGACGGCCGAATCTATTGGCATTTTCTCGATGAGCGCGTTCTGCAGATTGTCTCGTGTCATTTGGTATGTTGATGGTGAGACGCGCTGAAACGACATTTCTCAGCTCGATGCATTGAAAACAAATGATTCGATCTACAGATTTTACACTCACAAACATCAAAGCTATTTTTACCCACCTTGATGGTTGTTCCGTCGATGGTGAGGTGAATCTCTCTTGTAGCTACATTGAAAGAAGGCGAAGGAGAAGAAGCCTTGACCCTGTCCCTTTTCTTGTATAAAACCATCGCCAAGACAACAGATGCAAAAATCAAGACCGAGAACAGCAAGGTTACTGTAAAATGAAACTGAAAGAGTTTCGTCAAAAGATACTAACTCATGAATCCAACTCCGTTTTCGTTTTCAGTGACTGTGAAAAACTCAATGGTTTCTGGAACATTGATGTCGTCTATCGCAATCGCATGAGCTGTATAGTTTGATTCAAAGGAAATTTCAGAAACAAAGATCCATTCCGAATCAGATGCAAAGTGAAGCCGAATCTGAACCTTCATACTTTTTCTCTCGCTCTGAAGACCAAATCAAACCTTCAAATTTTTTCCGGTTTTATGATTAACAGGAATTTTGATCCACCTCGGCTCTTCAGAGTCATTGTCTTCTGTTTTGTGTGTGATTTTATTCGAGTAATCATGTCCATTATGAGAGAACAAAACGTTCGCAGAAGCGAACATCTGAAAAAAGAGCTTTTTGCGCTCAGAGAAATTTTCGCCTGACCCTAGCGTTTTTGCTGAATTCATTCGCGGTATGGATCAAAACGGCCGTGATGTTACGCAACTCGGAAAAGACGAATTGCATGTGAACGTGGTCTGCAGTGAGAATTTCAGTATACAAAAAAACTTTCCCATGTTTTACATACCGTTTCTACGTTTTTTCCATCCGACCCATTTGTGCGGAGTTTCGTATGCTTTTTGAGGCGCCGCCTGCCCATCATAAAGTTTTCCGATGCCTGAAAAAATTCTATGGTCTGAGAATGGAGTTTTCGAGCCCTCACCTCCTAACAAGTGGCTCTCCTGGACGGTTCCGTCGTACTGAACGTCGTGGAATGACCGCGCGCCTTGCATGTCACCTTGATCGATGGCATACGAAATTAGAGAATCTGAATTTATAGCACCTCGTTTAGCTCGTAGGTTTTTTCGGCTCACCATCGAAAGAACATCCGAAAAGTTCCACTCGTAGACAAACAGTCCGAGTTGAATTGGATATTGGTACGATTCTAATTCTTCGCACGATGATTCCACCGTCGAGAACATGTTTTACAGGTGTTTTTGTGTCCGTGTTACCCGGAACTGTCTGAAAAGATAACCTCAACAAAAATGAAAACTAGTTTTGCTCAAAAAAAAAAAATCAGCTGTCACGCAACTTGGAAATTAGCTCAATCCGCCGTGGCCAATCTACTGGAAAATGAAAGTAAAAGTTTTAGAAGGCTTGAAAATTAGTTTTTAAGTCATTTTTCGGGACCTTGATGATAACTTCTTCATTCATCTTCAAATATCATTTTTCAGACTTTTTTTTTATCAATCCTTGAAAGGATACCGAATGTCAACAAGATGCATCATGGTAATGAGACACCGGACAACCAAAAGAAAAAACGGCCACCACACCGAAGAGTGGATTAACTTGGCATAATAAAGCTCTGCCGCCCCTCCATTTTCGGATTGACCCGTACACTTGACTGAAGACAGCAACGCATGCCGCTGACATCTTCAGAAAAAATGACAAGCCTCAGCATCACAACGAAGACGTTTTTGGAGTCTTTTTGAAAAAATCGAAATAAATAAACAGTTGTACTTCACCTTGTCTAGTTACAGGTGTTAAGAAATTCACGTATTTTCCTTTTTCGAATCGGGCAGTCCCGAAATGTATTCACTTTCGACGTTTTGAACGGATTTTCACAGCTTTAATAACTTGACTGTGGAAGCAATAATAGGACTTTTTTTCATTCACGGAAATCAAGATTTTTTTTGTCAATTTCTGCAAAATCCATTAATTATCAAAAGGCTAACGTCAGCCCTTTTCTAGTCAAGGTGGCAGATAAAAGCTGCACTTTTTGACAGAAAATCAAGAAACAACGCGGCTAAGCCGCATATGTTCAGTACTTGAGACCTCATGCAGACAGATGCAACGTCAATCAGAATTTCGGGCGTCCTGTCTTTGTTAATGCAATTCTCGCCATTGTTCTGAGATATGCAGGCCGGTAAGGTGACCTTGCTGACCACATCGGTCAAGTTCAAGGATTGGAACATGTGTTCTGGGCAGTTGAACAGGGCCTTAGAGTTCATTTATAGATGGGAACTCAAACTAGTTAGTCAGCTTTGTTAACATGCCCTTTGAGTTGTGATGAATTGAAAAAAATTGACATTTTCTGATTATGATTTCATATATTTTTCTGGAGATTCTAAAAAAATTTTTTTGTGCAAAAGATTTTTTTATGGTCGAAAAAGAAACTCTTTTTTTCCTTGACATTTTTTTGATTTCTATTAATAATTTTTTTCGAGAATCCTTCATAATATTTTTTTGAAAAAAATGTTTCAGATTTTTAGAATGTCTTTTTTTCAAGGTAGAAAGGTTGAGGAAGGGTCATCAGCACCTTCCGCCCATTACCATTACCCGCCTAATTAGCAAATCGGTAAGGAGCGTTCCCTTTCTTTTCGGCGCCAGGCGGAGCATCCTTAGCCAATGCCATTCATCATGCCGAAGGCCGTTGGACATTGCGGTGCATCTTCAATGAACCGTATTCTAAGGCAACTGCCTGCTGTAAATTTATTGGCAGCAATCCAATAGAAGAAAAAAAATTGAAGAATTCGAAATTTATTCAAATTTCCGCTAATTGCATGCAATTTTGTCAGACGAATAGGCCGCATTTTGACAAAGGACCAATATTTATTACGGTAGTTGTTGTAGTGGGTCAGCATGTACAATAGTCCCATTGTCATGCGTGACGGTTCCTTTTTTGCATATGGCTTTTTTTGCGTGTGACAATGTGGCCAGAAACCTTGACGCACTTGGGAAGTCAAAAGATTTGGCCGGTTTTTTTTCGGCCTGGGAGACTGTTCTTCCAATCTTTTGAATACTCCGTTTTAAAAATTCAAATCGTAGCCGGAAGTCGAAGGCGTTTATGGAAGTTTTCCTTCAGAAAAAATTCCAAAAGTGAAGATGTTATTTGACTTTTTAATGATTTCTCTCAAGCTACCAGTACATGGATTGGAATATTTCATAACGAAACAGAGTGATAAACAAACGATCACCTCCACTTCTGCGTCGTCCTTATACGAAGCCCAGCCGTTAAGAGAAGGTCTCCAGTATTCGATTCGGAAAGCTGTAGCGTATTCCATGCCTCGGCCTTCGTCGTACCTTCCTTGTGTCTCGATAGCAGTTATCACTAGAAATCATTAAAAAATCATCCATACTACTCAAAGCTTTTTCCTCACCAGTATCCCTTCCAAAGGAAATTTGCAGCCATTCCTTGCTCTGTGAGTTGATTTGGTTCTTTGGGCACCAGGCGCCACTTCCCGATTCTTGGTGTGCTCTGCAACCAAATCACGTCTTTTTCATTTGTGCTAGAAAACTCCTATAATGGAATTTTCGCGACTCCCTACGCACTTTTTTCTGCAAACAGCCAGCATTTTCGTATGATGAATGTGAGCAACGAGAGTATTCGTTTCTTTTTCGCCCTTGGGTCATTTTTCACTTCGCGATTTATATGCGCTGAATGTGTTGAGAGAGTTTGTGCGCATCAGTCAGCTTTTTCCCGCGCATTTTCGCTCCACGCAAAGATCTTCAAAAGACATTTGCCGACGGTTTTTTTTTTTCGCAAACTCCGTCTTTTTCTTCAAAAAACGTGCAAAATTTTCTACACGTTCATGAGAACCGAGAAAAAAATCTCAGGTTCTCAAGGAGATCAAATGGCTGTTTTATGCGCATAAAAAAGTTTCTTCCCACTCACGCTAATGAAAAACTCTTTTTGCAGAAATTGTATAAAATAGCTCTCAAAAAAATGGAATAAATATTTTTATTTCCTAGGAGGAAAGTCCCTTCCCGCTTAGATAAATGAACTCTGGGTGTTTTTCTCACGTAGGAGCCCTAAGAGAAGCTCTAAGAGCCCGAAACAGTTTGCTACTCTGGGCGGCAAAGGTTTGGCGCAATTAGAAGTGCTCGACGTGTCAGTCAAAACAATCTAACTAGATAATTGCTCGACGAGCCGCAAACGTATGGCGTCCGTAGAAATTCAAGGAATCCACGACCCGCTGATGAAGCACCATTCCATGCGAATTGCCGCCAATTTTGATGACGTCCCTCCCTTCTCGGTCCGGTCGCAATTAGCCTCGAGGCTCACTTTCATGACCATCTTAGCGGAGCGAAATTCGTAGACCGCTACTAATTTAGAATTCACCAAATCCCCTGGCGATGTGTGAAAGAAGTTAGGTGCGGCGTTCGGTTGGTGAGAAGATCGAGAGTTGGTGAAGCAAATGTGAAAACTTCAAAAAACCTGGCATGTTGAGGTCCTGTGCTCTGAAGGTCGAAACTTGACGATGCAGAAATCTGTTCGTCTCTGATCTTCCTGTTCGACATTCCCAACGGATGGCTGCATTCATCTGTAAAAATTATATTAAAAATTTTGTTCAACTTTCAGGAGGGCTTTTTTTCATTCTTTTTCAAGATTTCATGACACCTAGAAATTGCTCTGATGTACTATTCAAATTTGCTGTACAGTGTATTAACAAAAATTTCTGAAAAACTACAAAGTTCTCTTATTTTATCCAGAAAAACTTTTTGCGAAAAATTTTCAGTTAACTGAAATTTGGCAAAAACAATTTCAAGAAGAAAGTTTCAATTTTCATAATCTCAGCATATTTTTTTATTGGTTTAGGATTTGAGAGCACTTCTTGACATTTAAAAAAAACCGGATTTTTTTCTCGAAACTCTCCTAAACCGTTTTCAATATTTCCCAATGGGTAAACGTGTGTCGCTGTGATTCTACACAAGATACAGTAACAAAATCGGCCAGTCAAGGGCTTTCGTCTCGGATTTCAGTTGCAACGTTTGCCATACATGGCGGCAAGTCTTTCAGGCCTGTATTTGTGCATGGTTTCCCCCGATTCTTTGCCTTCCGTTCAACGCTACTGGGTGTTTTTTTTTTCTCTTGTTCGAGGGACATGGCGTGCGGGCTCCTCGTTGATGATATCAATCATAAGAAACGTGTAACAACCAGAGGCCAGTTCATCGTTTTCCTCACAAATCGTAACTGTTGTGCGGGTTTCTCCGCTCTGCGAAATGTTAGTTGTTGAAGATTCTCCGCAAAAGCTATTTTTTTTTCAGTACGAAGAAAAGTGATCTAGAACTAGCAAAAAATAGCAATAACGCGTTTTCGAAAACAAGAAGTGTTTTTATTTGTAAAATGTTCGAATCAACGAGAAAATTATTTTTGAAATGTATTTTTTTTTGTGTCTCCCATTGGAGAATGGGAAAGCAAAAGGGCAAAGGAGAAGTAATGAGGAGAACCAAGTCTTTTCAGCCTCGTTTTTGCGGCGCAATCACAGCGAAAAGCGTGCGGAGCCCATTGCCAGACATAATCTTATGAAGCGGCTTGCTAGAGTTTACGAGCCACCAATACGTGCTTGGAATGAGCTTTTCCCTTCGTGTTTGAAAAAAAAGTACGACAGAAAAGAGCTCGATCTAATGCAATCCTAAGCTCGAAAATGGTTGGAATCCAGTTCTCGAGTCATTTCGATTTGAATCCAAAATAATTCAACAACGACTCGTACTCGTCAAGCCTGCAATTATCTATATTTATGAGCAGACATCAACTTTTACGACGAAAAATATGGAGCGGTGCGCGACGAGGATTTACGGATTTCCCGACTCGTTGCTACTTTTGCCTTGGCGATTGATAGTCTAGATGGTACCTGCGCGAGAGAAATAACATCACTCTACGAGGTGTCAACAAACGCGTTAGTTTGGCAAAGTGCCTGCGAGATTTACAATGGCCGGAGATGTGTACCTACTGGACCCATTTACCACTGGACAATAGTACAACCCGAGTACACTTCAGGGCAGCTGTTTTACTCTGAAGCTGATGAATGTTGCATATTTATCAAGGAAAGCATCCAAGTTCAAAAATGTCAAAAAAACGGCGTTTTCACTCATTCTACATTCGGAACTCAAAGTATATACTATCAGCTTAAAAAATATACCGAAAGTACCATACCCTTCCGCCTAGGTTCTTATATTTGTCTGCAAATTTTACAGAAATTAACTTCAGAACTCATTCTCTTACCGACCCTAGGCATCAAGTTTAGGAAATTATGATTGTGATGATTGACTTCTACGCCCCAAAATTGAAGAGCCATTTTTTTAAAAAAGGACTAATTTTTTTATTCGAAGATCCCGAAAAATCAGCTTCGAATATATTTTATAATGTCACTCCGGCAGGCCGTGATCCTCAATAAATTTTGCATTTGAAATAATCCTTACGGAAAAGAACGTATCTTCTTCGAACGAAAAAAAAACGACGATTCTCTTTTTTATCAACCATTTTGTTTACTCATAAATATCTACGCTCTGCGATTCCACAATCAGATTCTCTAGAAGTCCCGAACATTTTTTGGGCAAGACAGTAGGTTAAGCCTCTCGCAAAAACGGCGCCGCCACCTTCTTTCTTGCGCAACCCCGAAGACTCACAATCATAATAGCCACCGCCACTGTTAGGTCCTCGGCACCTCAATTAGGGTCGCAGCCTAATACGGTCAGCTATTCAGTAGCGTCTTCCGTTCTCACGCCTCCTAATAAGGCTTCGATAAGTATGAGTGGTTTTGACAGAGACAGATGCATTTGAACAGCTTCTTTTTTTTCGAAAAATGTCATTTGCTTTCAGAACAGAATTTAGTTTAAAAAAAAGACCCCTGCGTTGAACTTTTGTCATTGAAATTACATCACTTCTGCAGTGACGTTGAAATTTTCTTGGTGGGAATTTTTCCTTTCCAGTATTTTGCAATATTTTGAAGTCAAGACCAAAAAATCTTATATTGGGTGAAGTTTGAGAATAGCAAGAAAGCTACTACCAGCCAAATTATGATGCTTTTTGAAGTTCTCATAGGCACAAAAACTTTGAGAAAGGTTTTTCCACTCCACTGAGTACTTTTTTCACAAAAAACTCTTTTGATAACTATAAAAAATCCCTAACTGCGCTTTTCTTATGAATGGCGCAACAACATGACTAACAAAATTGGTTGACATGTTAGTCAGCAGAGAAAAAAGCACCTGAAACCTAGAAACGATGCCTTTCCCTCGACGTTTGTGTTGCAAAACTGTACGACATTCATCATTTCGACGCTTTCACCCTCTGAGCAGGCACCCGCGCGGCTCTTTTGTCTTTCCGCCACAACTGTTGCGCGCCTCGCCGGAAACTGTCAGCACTCGAACCTTTGATTATGGATGGCCGATGCGACACGACCGGATGGCCGCGCACTTCTAAGCTTTGTTCGAATTTGATCAAGATTTTTGGCGCTCAAGTTTACCGCAGTAGATCATTCAGCTTTTTTTTTTGAATTCAAACCTTTTTGGTAGAGCTGCAAGATAAGTCATTGTGAGAAAGAGTAAATCGAGGAAATGTATACGATTTTAGTTTGTCGTTGGTTATCGCAGCCTTTTCGATAGTTTCTTCAAATTGATATTCCTTGCTCATAAAGGGAAAATAAATTCGGTTTTTGTGAACTTGGCTCTAAGGAATTTCATTCTAATTTTTTTTCGAATAGTTGTTTTCTAAATAACATGTTTGATTGATAAATAAAAACATTAACTTTGAAAAACAAGCTCTCATCTGAATTGAGAGATGAATCGAGCCGAAAACCTGAAAAAAAAAACTTGGAGTACATCTTCTGGAAAATTTCGCAATTTTCATTTTTCCTAGCAACCGGAACACTTCAAAAGCTTTAACTTTTTTGCGACGACTACTCTAACGCAGAGTTATGACGTGTCGCCGAGGCTACCACGAACAGCTGCTTCAGGGGCCAATTTCCGAAAAGCCGTCGTGATTTACGACGAGACCCCAACGATTGGACATTAGTTGGGTGCGGTTAGACGGTGTCCTCAGAGAAGAAAAAAGATGCGCCGAACAGTTGTTATCCGTAAAAATAATACAGTAATAAATATTTTGTTTTGATGGGATGTTGAAAAACAAATGTACTACACCAAGAAAAAAATTGAAAAAATATAAATAATCCTCAATCCCTTGATCAGCGGTTACCCAAATAGAATTAGAACAAGCTGAGTGGATAAAAAAAAATCCGAGATACTGAGATGCTCGCAGCTGTGTATTGCTCAATATTATAAGTAATAAACTGTGGAAGATCGTAACTGAATCCGCTCAGGTCAGTATTAACGACCGTGGCGCCAATGCGTGAATCTCGGCACAGATGGAGATTTCCTACATTGCGCAACACCTTGGGTCCGCCAACTAACGCAATTGATGCCTCAACACATTGAGCACTCAACAGTGAGCAAGTCAACTTTTACGGCCATTGGAATGGTCAGATGTTCTGGAAAATTTTGGTCCTCACTTAAAAAATCTGACACGTTTTTTGCTAAGTCTTGTTCGGACATTTAAGCTGCAGAGAATCAGGTGTACGCAGAACGGCAAGTTTTCTTTTTGAAACTTCAAAGATCTGCCTGATAAATGACCTTGCGAAAGTACTGAAAGCAGCAAAGTTTTTAGATAAAATCACAGCATCTAGTGGAAGTCGGGGGAAACGGAAACAAAAGGCGCGAGTTTGCCAAAGATTCCAATCTATCTCGACTTGGAGTCTCTTCTAGAAGATGTGCCGAAATGTCAACATTCTTTTGTAACCGATGCGGTCCCACTAATGTTGGAGTGGCCGGCGTGTGATGATAGAGTTACATGGCGTGCCGTATGGGGTGCCCACTTGAACGGATTCCTACACTCCTTCTCAGAAGCTTCTTTATGTGGGTATCACTGTTGAAACTTAGGCAAGAAAGATAAAAAAAAAGGATTTTCTAGGTATTTTTAGGCATCTTGAGACTTGTTACGTTGAATCAAAGATTTTTGAAGCCACTACAAAAAAATGAATTTCCCATCATGACCAGTTTAATCTTATTTATGAAAAATACATAATTCTTTTCATTCTACTATCTCTCAGAAAAGTTCGATTCAGGACCGTTCAAAGTGCCTTTCTTTGAAAAAACGTGCGTTCCCATGGAGGAGACATCCTTGTGCCCACTCGACCGTGAAATCCACTACCCCATATATTCTTTCTCATTTTCTATGCCAGCCTGTCTTTGAGTATACAAAAAAACTAACGTAGATCGAGGGCAGAAGTCAGTCTTATCAGCAGAAGCACCACCAACCGCTGCATCACGTCATGCGACGATGTTGAGAAGCTGAAAAAAAGAAAGTAAATTGCAGGTTGTTGATGGAGTAAAAATCCGCGCGAGACATATTAAACAAATGAGTTATTCTTTTATAGCTTAAAAGCTTCCCGAAAAACAGTTACATGATTAAAGAGCGAGCAAACCGTTTCCCGATTGTTTTCATTGACAAAATGGGAAAAGCCGGACAAGGAAATGGGGAGGAAATCAACACAAGAGTGTTTTGCGCCACAAACAGATACTAAATTCTGATTGAAATTTGAGGTCGAAATCGGTGCAGATGGACAAACATCCGCGAATTCTCACCCCGTGTCATCCGTCTCAAACTGAATATTCACTGACACATTGGGCTCCTGTCAGTAATGCAAATCAAGGTTCAGTACAAATGGTTGAAGCTGAGATTGTGAGCGTCGTGTTAAGCCTGGCGAATGGGTTTTCGCGCATATTACATGCAGGACGACGGCTGCATATTCCCACAGAATTACTATACAAGCTGGGCCTCGGGCTTTAATCTTAATCAGTATGTTAATTACGCGTGAGAACGAACGTTTTTGCGCGATTTCACATAGTTAAAAGTTTCGTGTTCGTTTGAAAAAAGAGCGAAGAATTGCAGAGAGCTTTAAACTCTTGTTGATTTTCCGTTCACAAAAGTGAGATGTGTTGTGATATTTTTTACATGGTGAAACGAGGTTGTATCCATTGGACGCGCTTTTTGAAAAGCATGTGTTGCCCGTTTTATTGACGGTTCAAACTTTGGAATCTCAATAAAACAAAACTTTGAATTTAGTCGACGAGAAGGACTATTAAAATCGAGACAATCGACGAAAATAACACGAAAACTGCAAAATTGAACGTTCTAGAAAACTTTTTCAAATTTTTGCAATAGTTTTTCTTGATCGAGTGCTAAAAAATATAATAACGGAAGAAGACAAAGTTCATCTCAATGAAAATTTTTTGCAAAATCTTCGAGCTTCGTCTTGAATTTTTAAAGCTCTGCGATTATCCCTCATTCGATCAAGAAAAACTTTCAAAATGTCATCGGGCCGCTTTTCATGTTGCTTGAGGCGTTTTCTCGACGATTCGGTTATCCGACCAGGACTGGCAAAGCGTAAAACGCAATTAGTTGAAATGAAAGTGCGCGGGTTTACGAGCTTTTGGAAAGTTTCTCCAAAAGCGGAAAGGATGGCGCGGGCTTTTAGTGTCATAAGTATCGGGTCGACGCTCTCGGCACGCAACATGGCTAACTGCCTCATTTACTATGCTAAACGTGCATTAGCGGGGCAATCCTTTTTATTATGTTCCCGTTCAAGATTTTTTTCTTTTTTTGTTCTTATTTCATAGAAAAAAATTAATAAGTGAAAGTTTCCGAGTGGTGGAAAGTTCGTCGACAGATTCCGAAAAAGAACTCCGAAAAAGTTTACGATAAGACGCTGAAAGCGAAATCCCATGATTTCTGTTCGATTCTTCTTTCAAGAAAGTCATTTTCAATTGAAACTAAATCTTGAACATTTATCTGATGTGGTACGAAAAACTCAGGGCAAGATAACCACACTGGAAGCTAATATCAAAACGTGAACGAGACGCAAAACATATGTAATGAGACTGCGGGAACATAAATTCCGAAAATTTCATTCAAAGAGTAGCCAAACAGACCTTTCCATTATTGAGAGCTCAAAATTGAAAAATTTCAGTGATTACAGAAAGTAAGGAGATTGTGCTAAAAAAATTATAAAAAAAGTAAAATGAAAGACAAAAAAATAGATTGTTTTAGCGGAAAAAAACCATAACAAAAAAAGGAAAAAGTGGATCGTGAAAGATGTATTGAATTCAGCTCTCAATGAAATAAGAAAAAAAAATCGCATTTACATAAGCCACAGGTAAGAATATTGTGAGAAAAAAGGCTTATTATTTTTTTTCAACTTTTGATGATAAAAGCGATTATTCAAAAAACAATAATAAAACCACTATAAACTTTGAAAGATGATTTTTGAACGAAGGTATTTTTTATAAATCAACACGTCTGGATATAAGACGCCTGTCGAAGGCAAAGGACGTGGGGAGAGGCGGACCTTCGCCTCCGTCGGAAAAAGTGGGCGTGGCGTTTGGGACACGAGGGGCAACATGTGTAGATCCGTCCATGATAGGGCCCTTTTTTCGCTTTGCGCTCCAAAAAGCTCGCTACTTTTTTTATCGCACTCCGTTTCCTTTCCTCTTCATCAAAATATCTGCAGCTGGCGACGGGGAAGCACCAAAAATTTAGAGCGTATGAATATCCGAACACGCGTCCTTCGAGCTCTTCGTTTGCGAAAACAAAAAAATGCAGCTGCGACAGAAATGCACAGAAAAAAACGTGTGCGCGCTTTTTCAAAAATTTTTGGATCTAAAAAGAAATATTCTGAAAAAAACAGATTCGTAATATCCGGAGAAAAAAATTAATCAAAAAGGAATCTTTCATCGAGAAAATCTGTGAAAAGTGAGAAAAGAAAAAAAAGTTCAGCCAACTCGACTAAAAATTGAAATTTCACAAGATTGTGCTAAGATACTAGTTAAGTATATATTCAAAATTTATTAATTCTCACCGGCGCAAAAATTTATTCATCAAGGTTCTAATTTTCAAAGCTATTTCTCTCTTCATGTTTTGAATACCTGTTGGAAGTAAAAAACAACTTAAATGAATAAATGGCGATGATGAGAGAGGGGAATTTGATGAGTGCATTGAAAACCGGATATCTAAATAAATGAAGAAGTTCTAAAAATACAATAAAAAGCCAGAAAGAAAAACATTCGAAAAAATCTAAAATTCTCTAATTCCTTTCGCGTTCATAAAATGATTGGAATGAGTGAATTATTAACTTTTTTGTTTATAAAAAAATGTGTCTTAAAAAGTTGTATTGATGTTTGAAACAGCAAATCTCACGAGTATGCCCCAGTCTAAAAAAACACAGTTAACACTTCTTCCTTTGATATTTCACGGTTGTTTGCTGAGTTGGCAGGAAGCGCAAAAAACTTAATTACAGGCAGTCAGGTGAGGGCATCTCGCCCACACGCGGTCTAATGAGACTCGCAAATTTGCACCCGCAAAAGCCTGGAATTATCGCCTTGGCGGCCTTGAAACCAATCTTTTATAGGCCTATTATGCGTTCCGATTTTTTAAATAACTTGGCCATGATCATCCGATTAGGACGCTTTCGGAGGCAATCAGAAAATGGAGAAGTTTCAGGCGAATTGCTGAAATGAGTGCGATTTCTTTGTCAAAAAGGAATTAGAGCTGATCTTCATATCAATATTAAAAGGCTTGGTAATGTTGAATAATTATTTTTGAAACTGTTTACACATCACACAAAACCAGTTATCTAAAGAAATCAGAGCAACTTGGAAAAAAATATAATTAAAAAAACCCAATGGGTCCAACACTCCTTACGAAACTTTCATCCATTTCCAATAAAAAAAGGAAATTTTTTTAGTAATTTATTGATGCCTGATCGAACGCCTGCCGCCATTTGAGGGTATTTTGACAAACTTTAAAAGATTGCCTCGATGCGGTAAAATGCGTCAGGATAATTCAATTAGTCAGCCAGCCTGGGCGGCGGACCTAAAAAAAGCAAATGGCGGCCGAAAAGGAGTCAAGTTTTGTTTTTGGTCCTTTCGTCCTCAATTTGTGCCGACAGCTTGTGATTTACGAAACGACTCGTCGCCAATCTCGAGCCCACTTTCCTCTGTTTTTTCTTCGTTTTTTTTATCTGAGGAAATTTTGAAATAACGAAAGTCCTTGAGAAATATAAACTAAAATGATAAAATAGAAAGACTTGGATGAGAGTCTAGACCACTAAAAGGATTTCAAATATTCTTTGGGATTTAGTCTTTTCAATGACGGCTCATCACAAGAATAGGAATCAACGGCCAGATGACCCCCTGTTTTCAGTTTTTTTTTAATGGTATCAGAAGAGTTTTGGACACACTTCATCAATTTTCAAGTGGAGACGACAGCCAAACTTTTGCAGGATTTTTCTCGAAAAAGGCAAAGGAGAAAATTGCGCATAACCTTGCGGCGCAGGTATAATCATATCCCCGCAGAGGAGCAGCTTCCAAAGTTTCAGTAGCGCGAAACTTGGACAAAAGACACCTGGACAGGCGTGACGACCTCGAACTTGACGCTTATCGAAGCGGCCGATCTGTTGTCGAACACGAACTCTCTAACCATCAATTAGCTGCTGGCTGGCCGTGAGCGAACGACCGCCAAAAAAGGACACATCCAAGTTCGAAATGGAGTTTGTCCCATTTGGGCGCCAAAAAGAGCTTGTAAAATTTGTTTTTACAATCTCATCAGAAGCATTTTTCTAAGAAGTTGTGTAGTCAACCTATTGATTTTTGTTCAAGTTTAAACAAACTCTTCGGAGGAAGAAAATATTCAGTCCTAATTTTTCAGAACAGTCCGATACTTCTAGAAAAAGATAAATAACTAAGACGAAACCGACAAAAAAAAACAGAAATAACAGAAATGGAATGCCCAGGTTGACGGGAAGCTCGCATCTCAAACTTCATAGTAGGAACGAATCTGATGTTATAATGCTTGGGCAGGTAACCCGCGTAACAGATGCTCGAAGCTATAAAACCCCCCGAGGCGACATTAATCCAGGAAAAAGACAACTCCACCGACGTCGAACGCTTCTCTGGGCGTTTCCAATCAAGATCAATTAGTTTAGATAGAAAGGAAATTCAGTGTTCAGAGCACTTTTCTTCTCATTTTTTTCTGACAGAGGGCTACAAATGGTTTCCATCTAATGTCACTGTCTCAAGCTTCATGGTGTAGAATAAGAACCGTTATACGAAGTGAGACGACAATAGAGGAGACGGTCGCGACCAGTTGGTTGCTCTCAGATGACCCACAGACACCTCTTACAATGGTGGATTAGCACCTTTCGACGCGGAACACACTTGAGCTCGAATTACCGTCGAGTGCATTACAAAAGTGACTGGAAGACAGCTGAACGGTGACGGACCCGTTTTCTTAAGCTCTGGAAACCTGAGGAAGTCCACACCTGCTAATGATCTAATGTCGGAGTTTTTTCGAGCAAAAGGTATCGGTTACATGTAGTCGTTTAGAAGTTTTTTTTTCTATTTATCGTGATAGCAAGAACTTCAGCATGCCTGAACCGCTAAAAAGAAATTTTTTTTATCTACAAAAAAATACTTTTTTTCTTTTTAGCTGAGCAAACCTTTCATTACTCTTAAAAAAGACAAATTTATACATTTAAAGTTGACAAGCGTCAAAAAAACCCAAAAAAACGCCCTCAAATCCTCGAAACTTTATTGAGGTAAATCTTTCGAGTTAATTCATAAAAAAAATTTATGATTTTCTTGTGAACCGCTATAGACTCATAACTGCAAATTTTCAAAATCAGTTCTTTAATTTCAAAACGAATTTCGATTTTTGGCCGCTCCTTCCCAAAAAAAAAAAAAATGCATTAGTCGATACAAAAGAGGAAGAATGAACAACGCAAGCAACTCAAAAACGTGCATATTGTATGCGACAGAGATTTTCGGAACAACGGTTCGCGTGCCGATTGCAAATTGAATGGTCCAAGTCGTTAACGTGCATTGGTTATCGCTCCAGGACGCCAGGTTTGCTTTCAAATTCGGAAAATTTATCCCGAGATGGGTCACGACAGATTCAGAAAAATAAAAAAGACTCTAAAACAGGAAGACAATTCACTTGGAAAGTGAGACACTAGAGAGAAAAATTTTTCAAGGTTTCAAGCCAAAAACACATTGAAACTTTTTCTTTTCAGGTGCTTTTTTTAATAAAGAACTCTTTGAATATCTAAGATTCGAGTCTTTTCAAATAACCGCAAAAAAATTTTTTTGTATAGTGCCTTCTTCTCGAGAATATCTTTAAATACCGAAAGTGTGATCAAAAAAGAAAAACTTCCGAAATTAAAACAAAAAATCAAAACTAGCTATGATTCAAAGGAAAATTCCGACATAAATTGTTTTTGGAGACTATAAGAAGAGTAAAGTTTGAGTGAAGAAAAAAAAGTAGAACATTTATAGACAGAAAAACAACAAAGCGGCTCGTAAAAAGTTTGTGTCAGGTTGGAAATGCTTAAACGACCAATGCGAAGCGATAACTCGTACCAGTAAGGAAAGGAAAGGAAAGGATAAGGATAGGGCCCCTCGGACTCGGACTTTTTTGACGAATTCAGAAAGTATATCCAAATCTGAGAGTTTCTTTCGATTTAGTGTACAAAAAACTTATGAAATAGAAGTTTCAATATTCTAGCACTTTCCTTACTGACAAATCACCCAAAAATCCAAAAATCGGTACAAAGATCTGTGAAACGAGTTCATAAGCATAGCGGTGTCCATCATGGAAAAGTAATAGCAGGAAGATGTACGTCAAAGTTTCCACTCTTGGAGGCATATTGAATTACTTCGCACGTTCCCTCCTATTAATTGCAGCCATTTCGAGACGCTTCATGAACTGGAGTAATTCAAAACAAAAGAAGGAAAACTGGTGCTAAAGTTGGAATCGTACCTCAAAAACGAGTCCAATTAGGGTAAACTTTGATGAACTGCAACTAATAGACAAAAAAGATGTAAGTTTTTGAATTTCCTCTGTTTTTCAGCTGTAGTTTAGCTTTGGAAAATCCTAATTATCCAAGTTTGCAAAATTGAACAATTTTTTTGAAAATGAACGTTTTCGAATAAAATTTTGAAAATTCAGAAGTAGAAGATACCGTTTTCAAAATAACTTTATTATGTAACAGATTCATTTGGTCCAGAACTTTCTTAAATTCAGCATGCAACTGTTTAAAGACGTTCATTACGATCACATGATAAAACAAAGTGGGGAAAAAAACGTAGGTTTTTTAGTAATCTTGGCACGAATACACAGTGAAAGTTTCCAATTACTGAAATAGAGAAATCAGAATAACTTACGAAGAAGATAAAATGTGCGGAAGATCAGCAGGTAGCTGTGTGGAGGCTAATCGTGCACGGTTGAACAAGCTGCGCCCGCAGTTAATCCGCCACGGGTCAGCGACGTCTTTCAGCCGTATCGTCTTCGTCTTGTGTGCTCTCGCCACAGGCTATTTTATGTTGCATAAATTCACCAGAAAAAATCAGGAGACTGATTAAAAAATTTCTGGCGTCATGATACAACGATGGAATAGAAACTGGGAATAAAAAAACTCAACCAGAAAAATTTAAGTGATGAACTCAAGCAAAGTGTGAAAAGGCGATATATTTCAGTGCGGTCACAGAGACAAAACATACACAAAAAAATGCGCAAAATTTCTCGATTTATGCCTTTTTCGTGTGTCCCTGTGCTTAAGTCAACCACTGTTGTTAAAGCTCTTGTTAAGTAGTGCGTTGTCTTTTTTTTAACTATGATCCTTTTTATGGAAAGATTATTATGTATGATTATTTTTTTGGAGAGCATTCTCAGAAACGCTGGTTCGAGATTTTTCCTGTAACTAACCGTCTTGATTTGTTTCCAGGCTGTATAACTTTTAGTTCGTTCCATAGGATACCAAGAAAAAATTTTCAAGCTCTAAAAAACTGACCGATTAAGAGAAAATTGAGTATTCCCAAATACAAAGCTACAATGGCAGCCTTGAAAAACTCGAAAAACTGAGCATAAAAAAGGAAGATTTGAATCCGAACGATTCATTGCAGAAATTTGAACACACTGTCAACGATTGTCTTCTAAAATCTTCCGCGTGAGTGGAGCACCGGCTCCGTAGAGCTCACAGTGATCGGCCTGAAATCCATTTCGCTTCTCATTAGAAAAATTATCCAAAAACTACTTTGGAACGTATCATTCTCGATTTTTCGGAACACCCGAACGCTTTTTTCCATTCTTGCATTTGAGACATGAGCGCATTTATACGCACATATCCTGGCGAATGAACTCGACTCTCCACGTCGGAAAATCTATCTTCTTTCTTAATTCAGTCGAATTTGAACTTTTTCCGGGATCATCTTACTGTTTGACATCTACGACAGGCCATAGCGTAGAAAAACATTTGTTCTTCAGTGATTCCCGGAATGTCGGATTTCTGAAAATTACTATTGCATTTGCCAAAGGTGACCCAATTTTCCTTTCGAACCTCTTGGATATGTTGAATTTTATAAGTGGCGTAGGAAATTCGGATCGAAGCCAGGTCTGCGCCATCTTCTTCTTCAGTTTGGGTGTTGCCACTGTGACACTTTTCCTTAACTTATATTTTACAGTGAACGTTTGGAATGTGAAAATTCTTCTCTGCGGTTTTGAAAACGGAATGAATAATCAAACCTTCAGAAACTCTTGACATGTTCTTTTGTATTGTTTCGAAACACAAGCTGAAGACTTGGTCCAATAAGAAGACAATTCGCTGGGTTCTTCGTTTTTTGCCACAAAGAAAGAATGCATCATTTCATGTGCCACAATGGTTCCCAGCACGCCAAACTGAAACAAACTAAGAAATAATTCATTGTTTGAGGACTTTCCTTTCGCGCAGTATTTTTTGTGAGACCGTGCATTTGGGCTCCCCGTCGCAGGACAATGCTTTCCTATAATTCATCTTTTTCGAATTTTTGAAGACCTCCTTCACGTTCAAATTTGCAGCATTATCACTTGCGTCAGTGAAAATGTCGAGTTGGTGTTGATCAAGTATGCTGAAAAACTGACTGAAACCTCAAAAAAACTAATATCATTAAATACAATTGGAAATTTCTATAAATTTTTTTCTGAACATTTTTTTGAAAAATGTGAATGGAATTATTTCTTCCTGCTGAAGCGTTGTTTGAAAAAAATATTTTCAAATTTCTCACAATAGGAGGGTTTTTAATGTAAGAAATACAGAATCTCACTTGAAATACTGGGACAAGGCTGCCAGAAGACATATGTAAGATGGCCGTACCAGGTTCATGCTGGAAAAAAATTTTTCCATATTTTATTTTTTTGAAGAAAAATTGAATATGAAGGGTGACGGAGAATTGAATCAAATTTTTCGGAACTCACAGATTCAGATTCCTTGATTTTCTTTTTTTCTACTTATTAAAAAGCAACAAAAAAAGTCATAAATAGTAAGAACTTTTTTTCTATTTTTGGGTTGATAGCGGCAAATTTCCGAGTTCCCATAATCCGAAAAAAAGAAATCAAGAAGAAATCAGGAATCAGGATTCTTCAAAAGCAGTGATAATGAAAAAGAAAAAAAGGTCCTTCATCTCTAGCAACCAAACAAAAAACTTTCTTCATAAATAATACCTTTCTCGACAATCTTCCGTCGATTTTTCGATAGAATTCAACATTTTATCGTACATTGTAACAGTAGAGTTGTCAATGAATGTTAAACTTATGTTGTCACAAAGATATCTTTCGTAAATTGTAACGCCGTTGTTGTTGTTCAGCCATGGTGTTACCTGTAACGTCTATTGAGTGTGATTTAAGTTTCATTATCTACATTGAAGTAGGCTCTTATTGTTTTTTTCAGCTTCTCGAAGATTTCATCAGATTCTTTGTCCAGTTCTTTTGCTAATTCGGACTTGGCAAACTCGATGCCATGTAGAATCGGCCTCAATAGGCGAAACTGAAAAGAATAATATTTGTTTCACCATAAGAACTCACGTGGTCTCTGTAGTTTCCTTTCAGGCGTTCTTTGAGGAACTGTTTGGCCATAGCTTCACAGGATGAATTGTTCACCGCAAAGAGCTTATCCATTTCTGAGATATATCGAGCTGCCTTCAAAGCTGTTTCGAACCCTTTTTCGTCTATGGCACAGCTGAAAATTTCATAGGATTGATTTGAAAAAAAAAGCCAACATCTTTTGGAGGTCGTTTGCTATCTCTTTATGATTGTAGGATGACGCTGCGTGAGTATCCTGCTCGATTGAGAAATGATGTATTTGAAAGAAGCAAAAAATAAACCAAAAAATCGAGGAAAGGACTTCTAAGTTTCTTGGTTTGTTCTTCATACAACTCTCTCAGTTGATTGTCGATTAAGTCATCAAAATGCAGGTTTTCATGACACACGTGCGCGTAGAAGTCTTCACAAGGATCGATATCTTGATCAATATGTCTGTAAAAAACAAAAAAAATAGTTTGGAAATTTTCAGTTATCACTAATTGAAAATTGATGAAAACTAGGAAAAAACTAACTTTCGCAAGAAAGTCCGTACTACTTCCCTATCAAACTGTTCAAGCTCGACAAAATGGAACAGATTCATAGATGCCAGTAAGAACATCAACATCCTGAAAAAAACGTATCTTAAGTAGTTAAAACCATTGATGGGCATTATAAAAGTTCAATTTCAATTTCAATTTTCAATTTATTCAGTCTTCAGAGTAAGATGAAGAAAAATTTCTGCTGAATCATTGTATAATTGAAGAGTTAGTCGTCGGCGCGGGTTACGGTCCACAATAGTTGTCCAATACGCCCCGGAGTGACAGCTAGACGCCCGTCAGCCCTGGACAAGCTGGGCGCCGTACTGTTCCAACATGGTGAAGCAGTTTATTCGCTGGCACTACCAGCGGGCCCACATTATAAAAGTTCACAAAACGAAATTTAATAGTAGGATTCACAGATAATCCAAAAAAACTCTCCATTTTTCAACCATCTATGTTAAGATTTTCCTGTGAAAAATTTCACTTTCCCAAAAAAACTATTCCGTCATAACGTCTCCCAATTAAACCAATTCTGAAGTCTTTTAAGGCACAAGTCTTCGCTTTCTGTTTGACACCACTGATAAATGATAAAGAGTTGTCTTCTTTGAAAATTAACACGTTGCAGGCTGATATAATCGTTTTTCTTGTGAAGTTATCAGCTGTGTTTCGATGCTGCTGACAAACAAAGAATATGCTGTTAATCTAGAAGAATTACTCACGGAGTATTGAGGACATAGCTTTTTCGTTGCCGGCTTGAAAACCTTTTGGTTTTCAAAAAAGTGGAAGAATTGTCCTCAAAATAAAAAATCCCTTGTTTTGTAATAATTTTGTTTGAAACTAGTTGTGAACTGAATTTTTAATTTACTTTCCTTAAGACAAGTTGACTGATGCTATACGATTGAGAACAGCTAACACAAAAATATCTCGATAAAAGTTTGTAAAATCAACAGACAAAAAAAGACGCAATGAAACGATAATATTGAAATGTTTTTGCTTTGTTTCCGTAAGAATGTTTTTTTGAACTTGAGGGGGAGTGCATTCTTTAGTAAACGAATACATTTTTTTGTTTCGATGGAATTCATATTGAAAAAGTCCGACAACTGAGAAAAAAAGTGATTACTAATTTTTTTATGAAACATTCAATATCTATTCTTCCTATTTGTCTGCTACGGGTTTCGCAATTTGGTTTCAAAGTTCTTTCTTTTCTCGCCATCTCATTTTTCAGCCAAAAAAAGAGAATTGTAAAATGTGGGCGAAGCAACTGAAACAATAACTATAGCTCGGAATTTACTCTGACATGCTAATCAAACAATTTTTTTTCCCGTTGCACGTTGCATTTGATTTGGAAAGCGGGGTATAAAAGTGAAAAGGATGGAGGATTCATCACTAGATTCACGGCTCAACTATGTCGTCCAAGGTTTGACTTATTTAAAAATTTTGATTTTTTATTCCGGTGATTGTAGCTCTACGGTCTGTTCGTTCTTGTCGCTTTGATGGCTCTCGTCGCCTATACCTCGGCTGCCGCGGCTTGCATGGATGCTGCTGGTGAGCGACCCTTTGCTAAACATTTCTTTCGTATCAAAAAAATAACGTTGATAACAGAAATCAACCAATCTGCTCAAAAAAAAAAGTGATTTTTGCTCATTTGTCGAATTCTGAATTCCCTTCAAAGTTAGCAATTCAGACGGTCACTGCGCTGTGATGTCCCGTCTCTGCGCCAACAAGAATTTGGCCAGCTACACGTCCAAGTGCCCCAAGACTTGCGGCTTCTGCTAAACGCTTTCAAGAATCAATGGCAGCTCCTGTCAAGTTTCAGCAGTCGTAGCGCCTCAATAAACTTTTCACTCCGCCAAAAAATATCAAACAGTTTTCACTTTTTTCGCCTGATTCACAAGTTTCGTACAATCCTGTAGACCGAATTTCGCCGAGTCGTTCCGCATTCTCACAAAGCTTTTTCGAAATTTTGGACTGGTCCTCCAAAACTTTGGTTAAGATTTGTTTCCCGCAAAAGCCACTTCCATTTTGTTCCAATATCATTTGTCGTCGAGTTTGGAATAAACACTCAGAGCCATTTCCTTTTTGGAACCAATTACAGAAACAAGAGAAAACATACGATGACGATTTTTTTTTTAGCATAAGCACAACACTAAGAAAATGACAAATTTCTTTTCGAATTCCCCTTGCGTTTTGAGGCCTCATCATTCGAATGAACTGTGCGTGGTAGACTTTGTGAGAATTTCTCTTTCATAAAGTTCAGGCAAAAAATAAGGGACAGCATTTTTACGCGGAAACTTGGGGCTAAAAAGCCACTGAAAAACTGAAAACGCTACAATGAAACTTCCTGAGTTCAGAGAGAGAGAACCCCATCATAAAATTCTTAGGTACTTGATAATCCGAAAATCACAAAAAATCTAGAGGATCTGAACTTGAGGCTATTTTCAGTCTAGGCAATAGATTTATAGTAAAGCAAGCAATGGTAAAACGCACTCGAAGCTCCAATTAACAAAAAAAAACGTGTTTATTAACTGTTTTCTAACGTTAATAAACGAAAAATCAATTTTTAATTTGTTTTTCGGTTTCGGAGATTCCATTGATTTTAGGTTTCCGACTATAACTTATAAAGTGAGCTATAGATATCTATTATCTATTCAAAGTTAATTCAAAATGATTACAATTTTTCGTAAGAGCTGTATTTCGTGGACGAACGTCTGGAAGAAAAAAATAATAAAGATTAGACCAATTTTTTTGAAGCTTACGTTTTACCGATCAGAGGGGCGTGTTCATTTATTGTTGTGTTCTAAAAAACATAACTTTTTTTTTGAGAACCTGAAGAGAAAAAACTAACCCTCGAACGAACGACGTGCTCCATGTCTTCAACAATGTCACACACTGCACGAGCTTTCGTTTCTGGCATATTTCTAAGAGGAATTGCTGTTTTAGAACGAATTATTGCGTCCATACCGGTAGAGATAAATAACTATGGGAAGTTGCATGAAAATCAGGGGAATATAAAAGGCTGATGGGAATGTTGTGTTCAGAATCGGATACAGGACCATCATAGGTGTAGAAGAAAGCATGTAGATGAAAATATTCACCTGGAAAACTTCATGAAGTTTTTAGAGTACAAAAAACCTGAGTGACAGCAACTCTTGCGGGTGCGGGAAAAAGCTCCAGAGTGAACAACGACGTCAGAACAGATACACCCGTCGCCAAGATGAGATCGGAACTTGCTTCGCTGATAACCACTGAATTTGGAATTTTTGTCCGTCAACCAGGTCTTGCTTACAGAATACTCTTGTCAAGGTGCTTGGGCCATCAAAGAAAGCAAAGAACTGAGCGACAGCCATCAAAACAGTCTTCAAAAACCTGAATCTCCGAGAAGAACTTATTAATCATTCAAATGAAAACTTACATTAAAGCTGCAGAAAAAAAGAAAATGAATCTTCGGCCTAGGATATCGATAAGAAAACTACCAACAAAGCGAGTTGGAGAGAAAACCAAAGTTAGAATAAAGTTGAGGTTCAAAGACTAGAAAAATTGAAAAATTTCTAAGTAATTTTGTCATACCTGTTCTGCTGAGAAGCCGAGAGAGTTGTGCAATGTAATTCGATAGATTCTTTCCACAGCACTTGGAGTGAAGATTTCGTACAGTTCGAGGGCGAAAAGGATTTTCAGAGCTTCACGTAACGTTTTGTCTTTGTAAACTTGTCGGAAAGAAAGTTTCTCTTTCGCAACCAAATTATTTTCGCGAAGCAAAGAGTTGAAAACTTCTTCTGTAATGCTTTATCATTCAAAGAAATAACTTTGAGATTCACCGAGATCTGCATCTTTGTCCTGATAGAACTTGATGGAACGCTTAGCTGCAAGGTATTCATTTTTCTTCACGAGATATTTCGGCGACTCCGGAAGAATAGAGGCGGCGACGACAAAAGCCAGACACCTGTCGAATTGTTCTTTGTTATAGTCAATTTGAATGAAACTCACAGAATGAAAGACACAATCGGGTATATGAACCATTTTTCGTTTCCGAGAACTTTTGGCGAGCTCACGTAGTACCTGAAAACAGACTGCATTCAAAGGAAATCAGAACTTCTTGCTTTTTTGCTCCCTGATCTCTGGACGGTCTTATCGGTAACGCTTCTTTCATGAATAAAAAAGATAAAAAGATAAAAAACAAAAACGTGTCTTCACGAATGGTCGTATCTTTCTTATCAAATCAACATCGAATATATCTACTGAATTATAAGAAAAATATCAAGAATAAAAAACGAACACTATCAAAGAAACAACGACGTCCATGATAGAATGGAAGGTTGTCGCGAACCCTGAACTCGTTCATTCATTAACACGATCATTTTCAAAGAAAATTGACAGGAACCTCGGTTTTTATCTGCTGCACATTCTCCAATGAACATGGTCGTCACGAACGACTGAATAAAAAAGTTGACCCCGACCAAAATTTGCGAAAGAAAGAAGAGTTCAGCTGAGTTCAGAAAGGCTGATAACACTAAGAAAGTGCTCGTTGCACTGCCGAGAAAAAATCTGAAAAGATATTATAATCACGATCTTTCAATCATTTTTCAAAAGTAGTTAGGCTGACCTCATGTAAACGGCGACAAATTTCCGTCCTCTTGAATCTATCATTGGAACGACGAAAAATAGAGATATAATCATTCCGAAAGTCATTGCTATAGGGACACTCGCGGACATAAATGCAATACTCAAATAGATTGGTTTTCAAATGATAATGATAAAAATCCCTAACTTGGTAGTCGAAGCCTCAGCGCCATAGCGTAGAAGAGTTTTAGCAAAAATATCGTTAAATTGAGCCGGAATAGTAGGAAATAACATGAATAAAAAATTAGAGTACATTCCCAATACAGAAAAAGTGAGAACAGTATACAGTAATCTGCCCGAAATCTTCATTTTGGAGCAAATAAAAAGTTGCAAACCGTCGTTATCGCAACTTTCTGCGCTCATAAAAACCCTGTTCTTATAGGCAGTTCAAATCTTAAACAAAAAAACCCGTGAGCAAAGGCATCAAACTACTGATCAATTTTCGGTCTCTTTTCTTTATGTTGCAATATATTGATAGGCCCAACAGTGCCACGGAAAGTTAGATAAAAATTAAGTGTCAAAAAGATCAAAAAAACGTTTGAACTTGTTTTCAAATAGCTCATCAAAAATCAAAAAAAGAAATTTTTTTACATAGCGCAGATTTTCCAAATTTTTGATTTTAAAAAGACCTTGGAGAAGGAGTGGATCAAAAATAACTGACGAGCGAAAACGTTTTTTTAAAAACTTTCTGCAAGAAACCAATACAAAAGTATGAGCTTTCAAACATTTATTGCAGTTCAATCAGGACAATAAAAAAAGTTCTGGTCCAATTATTGTGCTTCGGTGAATGTTATGTACAAATTCTCAAGTTGTGCGTTTACAATAATTCTCTGAGCGCTTCCCAATCTGGAGCAGTTACTGTACTTGCCTTAAAAATTTCTATATGTGATATAAAAATAATATCTACTTACCCTTGGTCTTCTTGGCTCTCGGATAACCATGTTCTGCAGATCAGTATAACTTTTCGCCTAAACAGAAATTTTTCCACTTTTTTTTTGTATCCAGTACACCTTGATGCGAATCAATGGGCTGTATTCGTACATTGTTGTGGCCTTAATTGTTTTTTTTCAGAAACAAATAACGTTAAGAACAAGCTTCTATATATCGGAAAAGCCAAATGAAAAATTGTGCAAGCGGGAATAAAGGCACTAACTCTGGAACGGACATCGCTATCTAATTCAGCAACAATATCACAAACAGCTCGTGCCTTTGTTTCAGGCATTCGTCTAAAATACATTCTTCAATATTTCCGATTCATTGTGAAGTGCGTTTACCTGTGAAGGAAGAATATGAAGAAGGGTTGAAGGATCATCAAAGGGACGTAAAAAGCTGGCGGGAAAATTGCATTCAAAATTGGATACAGGGTAACCAGTGGTAGAGCAGAAATCATTGAGAGCAACACGTTGATCTGAAATCTTTCACAGGTTTCACTACGATTTAATTTTTGTACAGTCTTCAATTTTGGTTCTTTCTTTTTTCATATTAAATAAGAGAAAACGTAGATTGAAATTTGCAAGCTGAGTTGAAACTTTGACATACAGTAGAAAAATGGGTGAGTTTTTTTATTTGGTTTTTTCGTTTATAACTTTGTTAAAAATATTTAAACCTAAAGTTTCGAAAAAGCAAATCGTAGAAGTTTGGAAGAAGATCCCAATTTTGGACACACTTATAGAGACGATGTCTCAGAAATGCAAAGCTGTTATCAAATCCAAAAGCTATGCTACGGAGTATTAAATCTGTTTTACTTAATTTTTTGATTCGAAGTCTTCTATATCAATTTACGGGCTTTGTTGAATTTTTATCTGTTCATTTAATTTTTGCGGTTTTGAAAATTGTTCAAAAAATACAATTTTTGAAGTTCATTTTTGAAATCGGTTCAAATCGGTTATTTGTCCATAACATCAGTTTACTTGGTTGGTTAAAATTTCAGATTGATATAATTGTTTTCGAAAAAGTTACGGACGAAAAAACAAGAAAAAAACTCACCATTTCCCGCTTTTTTATGTTAGATTTAAGTGTGTATCTAGAAAATAACCTGTTGTAAATGATCGTAATTACTCCGAGATTTGGATAATAATTCAACACCTGATTCTTACTAGATTTATTATTTTGAGAGTGAACGCTTTGAACTCAAGGACGCTAAATATACATTTTTTTGTGAAAAACTGTTTTCCGAGACGATGAATAAGTCTAAATTTGTTAATAAGCTATCTAGCTAAATCATGATTTGAAAATAACAGTTAAAGAGTTAATGTCTAAGAAAAATTTACTTGTGCTACGGAAACCCGCGCAGCTGGAGGGAAAAGCTCCACAATCAAGAGAGTCGCGAGGGCGCTGATGCCAGTAGCCGTTATCAATTCCGACAGAGCTTCACTGACGATTACTCAAGAAGGACACATTCAACAATCTGAAATAATCATCTACCCACCCAAGATTCTAGTAAGAGTGCAAGGACCATACTCAAACGCAACAAACTGCGCGAAAGCCATTATCAAAACTTTCAGATACCTAAATTTAAAAAGAAGCTTGATATAGAAAAGCAAATTTACATAATTGCTCCAGCCATATAAACAACAAATCTTCTGCCAACGATGTCAATGACGTAGCTCCCGACAAATCTTGCCGGAGCAAAAATCAATGAGGTGAAAAAGTTAACATTGAGCGACTGGAAAGAAATTGAAGCTGAGGAAAAATATTACATCCAACTTGATCAACACTTAGTCCGAGCGTATTGTGCAGAACCACCGTGTACATTCTTTCCACTGGGACCGGGGAGGTCACTAGGAATAACTGGACAGCGATCACAATCTTGAGGGCTTCTCGCAAAGTTGGATCCGTGCAAACTTCCCTCAAGCTGATTTTCCCGCTTTTGGTCAGATTATTTTCCCGGACAAGAGCTTCATAAACGCCAACTGAAAAAAATGAATAGTTCCGAAATGAAAGAAAGCTACCGAGATTTGTTTCTCTGTCCTGATAGAAACGAATGGCCAGTGCCGCCGCACGATGTTCATTTTTACGAACGAGCCATTTCGGAGATTCCGGTAGTCCAGCTGTAGTCACGAACAGAGCTAAGGACCTAAAGTTTTATTTTTGATTTTTTTTTCTAATTTGAACCTTCTCACATGAAAAACGAAGCGAGAGGGTATATGAACCAACTGTCGTTTCCAAGAACGCTTGGCGAGCTTGTCGAATACCTTAATTTGATTTCTACTCTTTTTATTGAGGAATTCCTCCTGAATATGTAGTTTAAAGTTTTCTTTAAGTTTACTGAGAAAAACCTTCGTAAGTTCAAAAAGCAGCTTGATGAGAAATTGGGAATGATTAAGAGAATAGTTGTGAAAAACTAAAAAAAGTTTAATTTACAAAAAGTGTGAACGGTCATCAAAAAAATTAAGACTTCTAAATGAGCCTCACAATTTTTTTGATAGAGTCGAGGTGGACTTGATTTTCAAAAATTGATGAATTAAAATTTTTCGAGGTATCCATAAAAAAATCACGCACATAACTAACGAGGCAAGGACGTCGCACACAATCAAAGTTGTTGTAGCAAAACCTAAAAAAAGGAAAAATTATTTTAACATCTCCGTTTTTTTCATATATTTTTGACTTTGCATGAGTTACCTCAGTGTTTTGTTTTTTATCTTTTTGGAGATAACAGAAAGTCACAAAATGATAAGAAATGAGCAAAGATGGAAATCATTCGTTATATTGCCTAAATGAAAAAATAAATTCTCACCTCGGTTTTTGTCAGCCGCGCATTCACCGACGAACATAATGGTGACAATTAAGCGGATCGGATAGTTGCAGCCTACCAAGATTTGGCCCACAAAAAAAAACTCTGCTGAGTTGAACTGCGCGGCTAACAATTGGAAAATACACGAGGAACTACCAATGAAAAATCTGAAAAAGTTGTTTTCGGCCTCAATATTTAGCAGCGTGTTGAATTAATTATCAACACGCAACTCGAATCTAACTTGATTTTCAGCTTGATTGCGAAACCAGAAAAAGGTGTTTTTAAACGATTCTTCCCTCGATTTTATCAACAGAAATTGTGAAACGCACCTCAGAGTCACACAAACAAACTTTCTCCCTCTAGAGTCCATAAGAGGTACAATGAAAAATATGCAAAACAGCATCCCAAAACCCATAGAAGTGGCGATTAAAGACGAAACAATGGAAACCCTTCAAAAATTGCCCGTTTACTCAGAGAGATACAATAACTCACATTGCAGTTGTTGGTTCAAACCCGTATCTCATCAGAGTTTTCGAGAAAATAGTGTTGAGTTGGCCAGGAATTGTTGAAAACAAGAGCATTTGGAAGTCAGAATACATTCCAAGTACGGAGAAACAAAAAACCGTATACAGCAAATTCGAAGAAATCGTCATTTTGAAGCAGCACAAAACCGGCGCTCAGAATGTTTGCCGCATAGACCCTTTTTCTTATCGCTAAGTTTTGCAAATCGAACTCTGAGCTGGTTCAAATTATCACCAAAAACAAAATATTGCGATTTTTTAATGCAAAATTGGAATTACAAATCGGAATTACATTTGAATAAAGTCGTCGTTCGACGGCAAAGAAAACTTTCGATTTTTTCATCTGATTGTTCTTCTCGGTTTTTAACGTCGTAGGTTTTCATTTAAATGAAGTTCAGTTTTTTTGTTTCAAATGTAATCTGCATGTGAAAAAATGTGCGAAGCGTTTCTAAAACAGCGAAACGGACTTTTTGAACTCAATCCCCTTCTGTTTGAATACACGAGCCTAAATCTACTCAACTTGTGTGTGTTTCTAATAGGAAAAAAAACAACAGAAGTCTTCATTCCGAAAGCGAAAAAAGACAAGAGAGGAGAAAAAAAGACTCAGCGGTGGCCCAGCCGACAAGTAGCCACAGCAGCAGCCTCGGCACGACGGCCCGCCAGGCCTCACGCAAGGCCAACGCAGCAGCAGAAGCAGCGGCTTGCGCCTCGTTCTTAGCCACCCACGGCGGCAAAGGAAGAGCGGGCGGCCAGACCGCACGACGCAACTGAAAGATTTTCCGATTTGTGAAAATGACGCGGTTTTTGACAAGTTTATGATATCCGTTTTTGAGATAACTGCTCAACTAGCAGTGTCCTAGTTTCTAATGGACATCTTTCCACTTTTTCTTCAAAAACAAGAGCAATCGGAAAATTCAGAGATGCACACTTCGACCGTCTAAGACTTCGACATCGAACTTCTAGTTCTGTAGGCTGCTGAGTGGAATATGCTCCCTCCTCTTCCAGTGAGTTCCCATCTAAAAACTGTTTTGTCAAAAAAAAAAAATAAAAAAGTTTTTCTAATAACTTTCTCTCTCTTCTCCGATCTGTTTGACCTCAGCCCAAAACTTTCGGATATCATAAGTTTGTCAAAAACCGCTTCATTTCACAAATCGGAAAATTTTTCAGTTGCGTCGTGCGGTCTGGCCGCCCGCTCTTCCTTTGCCGCCGTGCGTGGCTAAGAGCGAGGCTCAAGCCGCTGCTTCTGCTGTTGCGTTGGCCTTGCGTGAGGCCTGGCGGGCCGTCGTGCCGAGGCTGCTGCTGTGGCTACTTGTCGGCTGGGCCACCGCTGAGTCTTTCTTTCTCCTCTCTTGTCTTTTTTCGCTTTCGGAATGAAGACTTCTGTTGTTTTTTTTTCCTATTAGAAACACACACAAGTTGAGTAGATTCAGGTTCGTGTATTCAAACAGAAGGGGATTGAGTTCAAAAAGTCCGTTTCGCTGTTGTGGAAACGCTTCGTCATCGTTTTTACAGATGTGAAAATGGTTCTGGCGATTAATCAAAAGTCGAAAGGGCTTAATATTTCGTAGAATTGATACGGGTATTTTGTATAATCATAGAAAAGAAACAATCCTTTTTTATCGAAGATTCCTGAAAAATGTGGCAGTGCTCTACTAGTCCACTTCTTCAGGCTGTTCTTTGAGCAATTTTTGTTTTCACTCGGTGTTCATCTGATTTGTCAAAATTGGTATTCTGCAGAAGCTGGTTTCAACGACGGCTATTTTTCTATTATCAATAAATAAAGGCTAGAGCTCATATGAGCCGAAAAAATCATCATAGTGAGCTCTACTTCCTTTCAGGGTTTTCGCTAAAAGTTGTGAACATCTTCTTATTTTTGTGCATGATTTTTCAGTGCGAGGGAACGAAACAAGTTGCTTGACGTTCGATCTACAAAAACGCAAAAACTAAAATCAACATGGCTAAAGTTGTGGGCTCGAGCTGAATACAGCACAAAAAGAGATGAGAGGAACAATCGTGGGTTGGAAGTCTGGAGTTTTGTGTTGTTTGTTGTGTTCGCGTGCACCTGTGAGCATTGGAGGCATGTTCCAGACGCGATGCGCAGGCCATTGTAACGCATAATTTTGATTTGTAACGATGTTAGGAGGATCAGGCCAAGCTGGCGGCGGCTCTCAGGTGGCGCGTCCCTGTATATTAATGGCCGTCGACGCGGTGTAATGCACTTTATTCTCGCTGGAGGGACTTGCACAGGAATATATTGCGCCTAATTTCACGACAAATTGCGCGAAGCTATTGGCTCTTCTGTTTTTTTAAAAGTGTTAGCAGCGGTTTTTTTTTTTGAGGTGGCATATTTTGTCATTATGTGTCATTCACTTTGGTTTCAGGCTGTCTTGTCAGACGTCGCTCAGGTGTGTCATTTTTTTCCTAATCTTTGTGTAGGTCAGACGTGGGGTTTCCCGTGAGTTTGTTGCTTCTCTGCAGCCCGGCGGAGACTTTGATTAATCTCTTCGATGGTCCCGTCTCCTTGGATTTTTCGTTTTCTTATCATTTTTACGCTTCCATCGAACGTTTCTTTGATTTCTATCAATGATTTCAGCTTTTAGTTCGATTCACTTTTCTTTTGCAGAAAATTGAAATTCTGTATGTGTGAATAATTATTTTTCACTAGATTCACAAGGAACAATTGTTATTCTAAATCTTCTAATTTTTTTTTACACATATTCTCATAAGATTCAACAGCTTTTTGAAATATTTTCGTTTTTCAAACACTAAAAAAAAGTTACATGGGGGTCCAAACTGTCCAAGAAAGTTTTTATTTATGATATATAATCAGCATGTTGCTAAAACGACTTTCAAAACTTCTCACGTGAGCTTTTGGGCTGTTTTACTTTCGGAATTTTTTTTCATAACCATGAAAAAACACGAAACGCAAGAAAAAGCTAGGAAAATTGCGCTACGTTTTTGTTTTTGAAATTGGATCTCCGAAGCACGAGATGATCCGCCTTGATCGTGAATTTCCAGCCACACGCTGCGATTTTCGAGTCGATTCTCTGTCCTATTAGCTCAAATGATTGCTTCCGCCTTTTGATTGCATCTTTTAGCATTTCGCTTTGAAAGTTGACTTCTTCATTAATAAAAATTAAAAATTTTTCAATCAGACTTTTTCAACCTATTTTTTGCCTCTCGTCTCCTTCGATTTTGTTGAACTTCCTCTTCGAGAAATGTTTTTTGCCAGACACTCTTTTGTCATGTGTTTTTGTTTTGATAGGGTATGTTAACATAACTCTTATTTCTGACAGCTTGAAGGATTTGTGAGCACTCCTTCGCTGAAGTTATGAAAACTGATGGAAATCAGTTGCTGTTGGTGCCTTGAAGGAACTCGGATAGTTATCGAAGACGAGGAGCCTGGCGAGGACAACGCGAGCTCCTACAAGTGTTTCAGAAGTGACGTACACGTTAAGGTGAACTAATTTCTCATAATTCAACAATGGTTTTTCTGGCCTTGGCTTACATGTCGAGCGGTCATCATTTTCTAGCCATTCCGTTTCGAAAGCGTTTTCAAAGTTTCTTTTGAAAGGCTTGCTATCTTCTCAAAAGCTTGAGTTTTCGATCAGTGCAAGGAAACCCCGAGGGTCTGGTATTTTTAAAACATCCTTGAAACTCGAACTCACCCGTTCCCAAAATTCTTTTTTTACTTCTTCATCTCTGTCGCTTTCTATACCTCGAGATTTCAGAAAGCCTGCTTTTACGTGGGCGTCTCGGCTCTTATTGTATGCGCTTTCTCGACGGTTTGTATGTTTTTCGGGGTTTATACGGTTAATTTGTGGCTCGACATTGTCCTCATCATTCTGAACACGGTGAGTCAATCGAAATCTGATACAAAAAACAAAGACTGGGTTTAAGATTGTGTCATTAATCATGTTTATTGGTTTATACTATGACATGGCTTTTTTGATTTTACCTTTTATAGTATCAGAGGTTTGTCATTTTACTCATTTCCTATCAAAAAGTTTTTTTCCAGATTTTTCAGTGTGCTGCATTTTTCATGTTGGCCAACTACACTCTTTATTATACTATTACTTTCAAAAAACAAAAATTTTATCAAAAATTTGGTTAGATAGTGTTTATCCAGCTATTTCAAATGTTATTTATTTGCAGATCAAATGTTGATGGTGATATCAATATATCTGGGGATTGTGATCTGCGCAGGCGCCGTTTGGGCCGCTGCCAAGTGTTACCATTTTCTGCGGAAAAAGAAACAAGGACTTTATAGCAATGCTGGACCGAGATGCATGTGGGCATAGTTGGCTCAATCCAAAACTATAAATCCAACCGAAGATACTCATTTTCTTTAATTTTCCTGCCAATACCTTTCATAAACAATTTGTTCTCTGCAAGCTAATTTTTATCGGACACATCTGAAACTGGGAATGCTTCAAAATCTGTGGACTTCAAACTGCGAAATTGTAAAGAAAAAGCTGTGGTTTTTTTATTTGTCTTTCCATTTTCCTGAAAGCTTCAACCTGTAAAATTTTCTAGAAGTTTAGAACAGATGCTGGAAAGTTATGAATATTGAAAGAAATCTAGACAGGTACGTGAATGCATTATTATGAAATGAAAAAGAGGAAAGAAAAAAACTATCACATGGAATAATCTGCCATTTCGGGAAGACATTATTCGTTTTTTATGGTTTTCTTTCAAGAAGTTTCAAAAATGAAAAGTCGAGAACCATTATCCACTACAAAAACTTTTATTTGAACAACTTTTTCTATAGAAATAACAAACTAGGGTACAAAAATAATTATGGAAGCACATAAGATTCACAGAATTATGACTATTCAAAGCTTCAGTTGGCGGGCGAGAGCGCATCCACACCGGGAAGAACTTTGCCTGCAAATAGATCAAACTACTATGTTCCCAATTAACGAAATTACCTTCAAGGAGTTCAAGAGAGGCTCCTCCACCGGTCGAAACATGCGAGACTTTGTCCTCCGTCTTATACTTCTTGGCAGCGGTCGCTGTGTCACCTCCACCTGAAAAAGATCAATTTAAATGAGACTTCAGAAGACGGATATCACCAATAATTGTGATAGCTCCGCTCTCGGTAGCTTTCACAACGGCGTCCATCATGGACTTGGTTCCCTCTGCGAATTTTTCCCATCTTAAAAAATGAGTTTTCCATGGTAGTAAAATGGTATTTTACTCAAAAACTCCTGCTGGTCCGTTCCAAACAATAGTTTTAGCGCGACTGATAGCTTCAGCAAACTTCTTAGAAGATTCCGGTCCAACATCCAGACCCATGAATCCTGGAAATAAGCAAACTTATAGTCAATATTCCTAAAACTAACCGTCTGGAACGCCTTCATCGGCGGAAACAACTTTCGAAGAAGTGTCCTCGGCAAACTTCTCGCCGACGACAAAATCGACAGGCAGGTGAATTTTCACGTTCTTTTCTTTGGCCTTTTCAAGCAATTCGTTCACAATTTTTGCTCCCTGCAAGAGTTTTTTGTAAACTAATAAACACGAGATTTTGTTCCACTTCTTCATCGTACAATGAGTTGCCAATTTTGACATTGTTGGCAACCTTCAAGAAAGTGTACGCCATTCCACCGCCAATGATCATTTCGTCCACCTGGAGTAATTTTGTTCCAGATGTTATTTCAGGTTTCAAAAACATACCTTGTCCAGCATATTTTTGATGAGTTGGATCTTGTCGGCAACTTTGGCTCCTCCGAGAATCGCCAAAAAGGGACGCGCAGGATTATTTAAGGCCTGTAGTTTTTTTTTCAAACTGTTTTTCCTTATAGAAAGGACGATACCTTGTCAAAATAGTTTAGCTCGTTTTTCATCAAGAATCCACACGCTCGATCGTCCAGCTTGACTCCCACCATAGAACTGAAAATCAAAAGTTAATCTGTAGTTGCATTCTTCTGACCTGTGAGCACGATGGGCTGTTCCAAAAGCATCGTTGACATACACGTCTCCCAGTTTGGTGAGAGATTCGCGGAACTTTTCGACGTCTTCTGGTTTGGCTTTCACCTAAACAAGTTTTTTTCCAATGAATTTTTTTTTCAGCTGGAATTGTACAAATTCAGCAATAGTTCATTCAATCATATTTCATCATTATTTTTTTGCTGCCGTGAGATCGTAATCACACAAATTTTAATTTTTTTTACAATTTCCAAAAAAAAAGACATTGTTATTTTGTGTAGGCGCGATTTTGCCCATGATGAATCGGTTAAAAAAAAATTGTTTCCTACCAAGCGACTTTGCGTTTCAGTTATTCATTTCGTTCAAAAATTTATTGCATTTTTCAGAACTTGCTTGAAAGCTGTTGGATACCTTTTCTCCAGCCTCATTGACGCCTTTTCCTTCTTCCTCGAGATGATAACGAAGGTTCTCGAGGAGGATGACAGTTCCGTCCTGCTGTGTTTCGCAACCCTTGACGACTTCATCTCCGACGCATTCCTCGAAGAAAACGACATCCCTGTAGATAATTGTATAATAAATACTTCTTGGGATTTTTCACTTGTTGAGAAGTTTTTTCAGCTCCTCTACAACCGGCTTTAATGTGTACTTGTCCTGTCGGCGACCGTCGGGACGTCCCAAATGTGACATCAAAATTACAGACTTTGCACCATTTTTAAGCGCGTGCTGGAAAATAAAAAATCATTTTTTGAAAATTCAGACTATTTCTATTTGTTTTGAAAATAAATATATACCTCGATTGATGGGAGAGCTGCGACAATTCGCTGGTTGTTGGTGATTTTTCCTTCTTTCAAAGGTACGTTAAAGTCAACGCGAATGAGCACGCGTTTTCCTTTCACATCAAGCTGAAATATCAGAGTTTCAACTGCAGAAAAAATATTGATCAGAACCTTGTCAATGGAAAGTTTGTTCAAGGAACTCATCGTTAGTCGTAGAGCCGTTCGAAAGGAAATCTGGAACATTATTTCTGTTTTTCAGGTAATAATCAGAACAACGCATCGAATGAACACGCGTTTCCGTTATATAGTTCTAAAAACCAGTTTTTTTCAAAATTCACGAGAACTATGTTTTGATTATTTCAAATGTACATGACTCTAGCTCGATTTTGGTTACTTTGTCCATTAGAGCTTCAAAATATCAATGTTATAACAAAGTTGACGAAGCTATATTCAAGAGCTACCGACTCTGATTAAGACTTCAAAGCGTCCAATATTCAGTTAAAAAGGTAACTTTTACCAAAATAACCTTACAATGGTGTCATAAAAATTGGAGGAAATTTCGAGGGGTACGAAAAGAAGGTGAGTGAGCTTCAACAAAAACAACTAAAAGATTTGGTCAAAAAGAGTCTAAAATGTTTGCAAAACAGAAGAAATTTTGGAAGAAAGAGAAGAGAAGGTCCAAAACGGACGAAGAAAACTGCATTGATGTGGCCATGTTGTTTACAACTGCCGTTGCACTGATATATCGAACCGCTGGCCTCTCGAGCGCCGCGAAAAACTCGCGCTGCCTAGCGGTTGTAGAGCAAAAAAAAAGAACGAGTCGATCGATGCGAATGAATTCTCAAAACCTCATCGGCGTTTTTAAATAATGATAGAAAAAAAGTTCATTCAACAATGTTTTTTTCTCAGATTAAGGAAAATTAATTTTTTTCTAGCTCTGACCTTGAGTTTGTGCACTGGAAAAAAAGGATGCCAGTCTACACTTTTTAAAGGATAGATATTTTGTTATTATTTGATATTTATTTCCGATTTGCAGGTTTTTACTAAACGAAAACTCAGAAAAATAAAAAAATATTGGAACAGGTGATAATTCAAAAATGTTTGTTACCAAATTTGCTGCAAGTTACGGAGTCAACTCTTGAGTGACCCTTTGAAGTAGTCCAAGCGAAGGTAACATTTCGAGCTGGGATAACCATGCAATTATTTCGCTTTCATCTTTTTCAAATTTTATTTCAAATAGTAAAAAAGCAAATATCGAAAAAGTACTTTAAAAAAAACAGAAAAAAAACGAGAAAAAAATGCAAAAATTTCTGATTATGAGATCTTACTAACAAGAAAAATATCGTAAATGAAACCCAAGAACAACTTGAAGAGAATAGATAAACAAGTGATATCAAAAAACCAAACACCAACTGCGGAAAAAAATATTTACATCATAAAGTCGTATGGTTGCGCGCCTTTGGTGCACACACTTCAGTGAAAAGCCACATACACTGGTCTCCTCTCGCCTCGCATTTTCTCCACTTTTGCATTGTTCAAAGTAGTTTTTTAGCGTTTTCTTTTCTTTTCTAATGTATTTATGAATCAATTTTAAGTGAACACAAGTTTTTAAAAGACTCTCGGTGCTCCTCATCACATTTTATTGTTATTTTTCTGTTCTTTTGTTCTTTTTTTGCCCAATTTTTGTATAAAAGTGTTTGTTTCTTAATTTTTTTCCTCTTTGTTCCGCATTCCAATTTGCAAAGTTATCAATATGAAATAATCTTGTTAACTTTAGGTATGCCTGGAGAAGTTGTTCAAGTGAACAACAAAGGGCTAATAGTTCGTTCTCCGGATCCCAGCAACTACGGCGCCGTCGCGGTAAGTTCTCATACCTTACTTTTAGTATGAATTGATTTTTTTATATTTCCTTAATACAGACTTTTTTTTCATAAAAAGAGCTTGATCAAGCGGATAATTTTTTTATTTTTTTCTGAGAAAAACAGTTAGCAGTCTTTTTACAGATGGATTCCAACATCAACAACGACATTCAAAACAGTTCCAATGCTCCTCGGGAAGTCGTGGCTCAACAATCTGAAGCTAACTACCGAGGACCGGGGGTAAACTTTTTTTAATTTTCATTCTTTCAAGTATTTCCTAGTTTTCTTTTGATATTCGTTTATCAACATAGAAACTTTGAATTCCAATTTTTTTTTTCCTAAATAAAAAGATTTTTGGCTCTCTTTCAATACCTTGAGTCAAAGTTTTTCTGTTTCGCTCATGAAGTTAAAAAAATTAGATATTACTAGAAAGTATCATATAATTAAAAAAATGTTTTTTTATCATAATAATAACAAACATAAACAAGCAAGAACTTAGCACTACGAAGTCAAGCAGGTAAACTCAGACGTTTTTAAGAGGTCGGACATTTTGTGAAGAACACATTTCTAAACTACATACCTTTTTTTATCGATTCCTAGTTTGGTTTAAGGATAAAAAAACCACGGGGCTAAACGTAAAATTTTTACCAACTGTTTTCAATCTTTACAATTTCATTTGCAAAGCATATCAAAGAAAAATAACGGAAGTACTTTTTAAGATATTTTTTTCTCATTTTTTTAATAGCTTGTGGTACTAAAAAAATTTTTGAACTTTTTGTACATGGATTTGGTAACCGCAGAGTTTGGAGTTTTATATTCTCAAGATTCATTTAAGTACAAGTTCAATAACCATCACCAATTCTGAGTAGCTGTTGAAAGTTATTCCCGAATAGCGGAAATATGTCGAAGGTAGCCACTAAGTAATAAATTTTAATGGAGAACTTGAATGATTTTTGTACAAATTTTAGAGCAAATAATCTGCCTAACGAATTTTCGAAAGTTGAATCATTAAAAAATCGTTTCAGGTGGCAGCTCACTACGGAGCAACTGCCGATACGCACGCTCCTTCCGGTGATTCTTTGATTGAATTTTTTTTTCAACGATCGAATTATTCAGAAGAGAGCCAAATAGAAGAAATGGAACTGAAATACGGCGCTAGTCACGTTATCAATCTGTTCGTGCCAGTTTCTCTGTGCATGGCTCTTGTCGTGTTCACGATGAATACGGTTACTTTCTACAATCAGAACGATGGCCGTCACTTGTAAGTACACCAATGAGAAAATGAATAGATAAAGGAGAAATTCAGGTTGTACACGCCATTCGTAAAAGATACAGACAACGCGGGCGAAAAGGTTCTCATGTCCCTTGGAAACGCTTTGGTTATGCTGTGCGTCGTTGTTTTCATGACAGTCATCCTCATCATTTTCTACAAATACAGATGCTATAAGGTTTATTATTTTTTTTTATGAAAGTAGGGCTATTTTTCAAGTAATGAGTTTTAATTTTTTCGAAAAATCAGTTTTACGATAAAACGTAATTTTTTTCAAGTATCAAGTTATTCTTGGAAATCAAAAAACTTTTACAGCTCATTCACGGGTGGCTGATTGTGAGCAGCTTCTTGCTCCTCTTCCTCTTCACTGCCATTTACTTACAGTAAGCTCACACTTATCTTCTTATTTTTCTAATCCAATAAATGTTCAGAGAAGTGATGAAAAGCTTCAACGTGTCGATTTCGGTCATAACTGTTGTTTTCTTTCTGCTCAACTACGGCGCACTTGGCATGATTTGCATTCATTGGAAGGGCCCTCTCAGACTTCAGCAGGTTTTTTCTATCAATTCAAAACTCAATTAATCTTTCCCACTTTCAGTTTTACCTCATCACAATGTCCGCTCTAATGGCCTTGGTGTTCATCAAATATCTCCCCGAATGGACGGTTTGGTCGGTTTTGGCTGTGATTTCGATCTGGGACCTTGTAGCTGTTCTTGCACCCAAGGTAAAGCTGAAAAAAAAAAACAAATGTAATATATACTTTCCAGGGACCCCTTCGGATTCTAGTTGAAACAGCTCAAGAGCGTAACGAACCAATCTTCCCGGCACTGATTTACTCTTGTGAGTTTTTTATTTTTTATTGTCGTAAGAAAGATTTAGAAATGAAAAAAACATATGCTTTATTGCCTTTTTCCAAGAAAAAAAAACCTTTGATTAAATGAAAAATTAATGTGATAAGATTACTTCAAATTAACAAGAAGTTGAAGTTGAAAGTTCTTTTTTAGCTGGAGTTCTTTACGCCTACACATTGTTGATCCCGTTAATTGGAACCATCGAAGCTCCCGAAGCTTCTGAACCTCCGACACCGCTTGCTGATACAGGTACACACTTTTCTATTTAAAAACATGGACATTGGTTTATATCTTATACTGAAACTAGAATTGTACTAGAGAAAAAAGCGGCCAAAAAGTGAAGATTCCGCGTTCAAGAAAAACTTTGAAACACTTTTCTCAACATTTAAGCTGGTTTCATGGGAAGTTTTGAAGGACTTGAACCTTCACAATTAGTCGCAAACAAGGTTCCAAAAAAAATTTCCAAAGTAATTTTCAGAAGCCCCTGGCCCGTCCTCGACTCCTACTGCAGGATCACCACCAACTGCTCGCAAACGAAACAAAGTCAAGAGAATCCCTCAAAAAGTAACGCTCACAAGCAATCAGCAGGAAATCGTGAGGTTTGTTTATAGCATATGAAACTTGAACTGAGAAAACTTCTTCAGGAACAGGTCGCCAGAAGTGATTGTAAGACAGCGAACCGTCGCTCCAAACGCTCGGAACCAACCTCAGGCACGCTTGGTTCATGAAGAAAGTGAGTAATTTCTGTAAATGAATGTCAATTTTTCCGGGGTTTCAGAAGGCGTAAAGCTTGGTCTTGGCGACTTCATCTTCTACTCAGTGCTCTTGGGCAAGGCCTCTTCTTACTTCGATTGGAACACGACTGTCGCCTGCTACGTCGCCATTCTCATCGGCCTCTGTTTCACTTTGCTGCTTCTCGCTGTCTTCAAAAGAGCTCTACCGGCCTTGCCTATTTCCATTTTCGCCGGCTTGGTTTTCTACTTCTGTACTCGCTGGATCATCACCCCTTTTATGAGCGAAATTACCAGAAGACAATGGATGTTCTGAATTTTTTAGCTTTTCTTTTATTTTCCATATCGTTTTGCTTCACTTTTCCCTTATTTCCCACTTGTGCAAAGTCTGCTCATTTATCTGTCTGAGCGTTTTTGATCTCAATTTTTGAACTTTGATTCAAACTGGGTACTTCCCTCTTGTCATATGTTTTGATCTTGCCGCAATGGCTTTTTTCTTTCTTTAAGTCTGTGCCAAGTATGAATATCAAAGCTTTTGCGAAGGGTGTTTATAATAAGTTTTTTTGTTTTGACAAGTTTCTACCTGTGCTTCAGTCAAAAGTTTCCCATCGTTGTTCCTTTATTAAATTTCTGTGCGTTATTTTAATAAATTTTCTTGATAGGGAAGTGTTGAGAAAATGTTTGTAAACAAAAAAAAAGCGGTATCAACCGTCAAATGAATGATTACTTGGTTGCGTTTTCAAAGCTACTAACAAATTAAAAACATTTCTGGTAAAGTGAAATGACGAGTTCAAAGAACAAAAATAATACCGATAAGAACGATCGCTATCTTGTAGTCTACTCCTCTGTTCTTCAGAACCAATAAAAAATTGTTGTTTCAAGGAGAATGCGTTTATTTGGAACATTACTTCAAAGACTTTCTCGCCAGGCGATGCCACTCCAAGAAAAAATCCTACGCCTCGAATCAGTAGAACTTTTGGCACGTTACGAGGTTCGGCTTTAGTATTTCATTTGATTTTTTTGAAACGATTTTGAGACTTATAACCCAGACAGAAGTTTTTCGATATCGAAAAAAAGCTGGCGTCCAGCAAAAACAATGAACGTTACACATTTGTTTAAACTAGCCTGCTATCACTGGCGGCACGTCTTATCGCCAATATCAATGTCAGGACACACAACCTGAAGGATCCTCGTTAGGCACAGCGGTCGCACTTCATGGCGCCCCAGGCTCTCACAAAGACTTCAAGTACATCAGAAGCTTTCTCGAAGAGAGCGGAATCCGCTTCATTGGCGTCAATTTTCCTGGATTCGGCGAGACACCCAGTAAGTCTTGAGAAATATTTTGATAAAAACTTTCCATCTTTCCAGAGCTACAAGAAGAAAAATGCTCAAATGAAGAACGGCAGAAGTTTGTGAACGCTTTGATGGATGATCTAAAAATTAATGGAAAGGTTTTATAAAATTAAAATTGTAACCAAAGAAAATCCCAAAATCGTTTTGGTCGTTTTCATTGGCCATAGTCGTGGATGCGAAAATGCTTTGATGTCAGCAGTAGAGAGAAATGTAAGTTTTTTTATTTTCTTACATCAAAGCTCCAATTTTTTTCTATTAGAGCGATGGAGTTATTCTGATCGCTCCCATTGGACTCCGACTTCACAAAGGAATGAAACCCCAATTTATCATCAAAGGATTACTTTTCACTCATTCGATATTGCCGAAATGGCTTGGTGACTGGTTTTTTCTCCAATGTGAGAGTTTATCTAGAAAAATCATTAATTAGACGAATTTACAGTTTACAAAGCACTGAGCTTCAAAATCAGTTCTGGGGAAATTGCTCATCGGTCACTGACCACAATGGACAGTGCCGCGATTGAGAAGCAGTTGCCGTACATTGAAAAACTATCAAATATAAAGGTCAGTCTGGTATTTCTACAGGGAAACTTTTATTGTCCCTTGCAGAGTCAAGTTTTGATCACTTACGCTGGGAAGGATCATTTGGTCGAGAAGGAAGTTATAGACGAGTGCATTCCTGCCTACAGAGGAGTGCAGCATGTATGAATTCAGATGACGAGCTGACGGAAATTTTTATTTTTAGCGTGTCGTGAAAAATGAAGATGATCCATCTGAGCTCGATGAAGTCTTGAAAGGTCTTGCCGAGGGTTCCAAGGTCTGATCTTTCACATTTTGATAAAATTGTTTTTTTTTCAGGGATATGCTTTGTATTTCGCAAACGACAACCATTTTCAAAAACAAGTCACGGGCAGATCTCGTTGCAAAAATCCGTCTTGTCAATTATTTCCTATAATCGTCCCCAAAAAAGCAAACTTTAATTACTTTTTCGATTCGTGATATAAATTTGTAAATTTATTGATTTTTTTGCGAAAATTGGAAGTCCATTCATATATATGGCAGATTTTTACTTGTGAAAGTGTGAAAATTGACAGGAAATGAATGCCTTTTGTGGTTCAATGAAAAACCGTTTCTTTTCATCAATAGTGAGTTTTTTTGCGAATATATTTGATTGCAAGTATTTTTCAGAGACTGATGGTTCGTCATAATGGAAGTGCCGGTGGAAACCAGGAAGGTCTCAGTTCAATTTCTGTTTCTTATCGAGTTGGACCCCAATTAAGCAAGGAAGTAGAAACAGACTGTGTTTACTTGGTAAGTCAATTGATTAGAATTTCCTATTTTTTTGCACAGAAATTCCTAAAAAAATTATTGAAATTTCCTTTCGAATTTCATTTTTTTATAAGGTTGTTTACTGTTCCTTCAAAAATTTTACCCTAATGTTTTTTTATGGGGTTTTTTTACTATCAAATTCGCTGGCTACTATATGCATTTTCTAAATCATACCAGTTCTTTTATCGTTTATTTTCCTTATTGAAAATGGTTTGAACTAAAGCCTTCAAATGTGCTCTTTCTGAAAAAAAAAATGTCAGAACTTTGTGCTATTCCGACCCAAAAAAAACATCATTGTAAGCTGAATTCTTTTAGAAGACATTCAAAATGGTAGTCAAATGATGGAAAGCAAGATTAGAGCATTCATCAAACTTTTGGCAAAATTTTCTGAATTTTCAAGAGCAGGCAAGCAAACTTCGTTTAAAACATAATTACGCCAAAAAAAAAATAGATGAAGTTACTATAACCGCAAAAATTTACAGGACACACATGCCGGGTCGACTACTGAACCTGTGGGAACCGTGGTGGCTATGCATGGAAGTCCAGGTTCTCACAAGGACTTCAAATACATGAAGCCTCTTTTCGAAAAAAACAATGTTAGGTTGATAGCACTCAACTTTCCTGCGTATGGTTATGTGGAAGGTCTCCATTGTTGCGCGGGCGTTTTGATACACAATTATTTTTTTAGGTGATATTCAAAATTCAAACACTAACTTTGAGAGGAATGAATACATATCGGCTTGTTTGAAAGCTTTGAAACTGAAAAGTTCTAAGAATTTGATTCTTCTTGGACATTCAAGAGCAGGTTCATTTTGAAAGTTAATTTCTTTTGAATAACTCCGTTTTTAGGTGATAACGCGCTTCAGCTGGCTGATGAACTAACCGTAAAAAAAAGCGAAGTTAAAATAAAACATGACAAATTTCAGAATGAAGGTTGGCCAATTACGGCTGCACTTCTGGTGAACAGCACTGGACTAGAAGCTCACAGAGGAATCAGCAAGAGGTCAGTAAGATTTTCTTATGGTACTAGAGCAAAGTGTGAGAACTGTAATAACATTTGTGAGCCAATAATTTTCAGATTTGGCGTCATCAAGTTTTTCACTTGGTTAGTTCTCCTGCAGAAAAAGTGGATCGATTTTTGGATTCATCCGCTTTTAGAATTTTGTGAGCGTTTTAAAAAATTTATGAAGAAGACGAAAAAGTATTCAGACTACAACAACGTTGTCAAATTACGAGTTCCTTCAGCCAAGGTGGCTGCCGCTTCTTTACCGCCGCTTTTGACGTTTGCGTTTGAAAAACAAAGAAAAACGGTCGATTCCGTTCGAAAAAAACCCCAGGTTCAAAGTTTAGCCTCGGGAAACAACTGAAAATAAATCAGTTCAGATTCAAGTTCTGTACGCGTTCAGTGGAAACGATTTTCTAATAGAAGAGAGGATCTCCAGAGATTTCGCCAAGGCTTTTGGAGATATGACCGTTTATGTGAGTGAAAAATCTTTTTTCCTGAGATACATCGATTTCGTGCAGACAACTACGAACGATAAAGAAGAAGTGGAAAAAACTACAAGAACGGTGGAAAAAGAGTTCTCTCAAGGCTGCAAACATGTCGGTGTCTGCTTCAAAAACGAAGGTCATTTTCTACAGAAACACCATGCCGATTTTCTCGTCCGAGCAATTTTGTCCTTGATTTCGTTTTCTTCTAGTCATCGATGAGTTAAAAATTTATTCAACTTCACTTTTCAATTTTCCCACTCTCATTTTGCATTGTTTTTTTAAAAATCATATTTTACTCCATAGATTTTTTTAAAAGAGTCTTTCACGATTATCAGGGCTTCAAAAAAATATAGGTAATACAATTTGCTCTCTCAGAAATAAAATAATAGCATGACAAATTTCGAAACATTCAATTAGATTGTTTCATAAATTTTGAAGACAAACTCTCTGACCCTTTTCAACAGGTATTTCCGCATTGATGATAATTGAAATCTATTTGAATTGACATACAGGCTTTATCAAATATACAATAAATACTACTTACAAGTTTTCCCCGTCTTTGAATGATTTTTTAGAACTTACGATACTATGCAGTACACAAAAATGACTATAGATCAAAGCAGATAGAAGGAGAATGAGGGTGTTGTTATGCAGGGAAAAGGAATAGTTAATTATGCGTTTTACGAAATGACCACGTGCAGCGAAGCACAAAGCGAAAGACTCAGCAAGACTAATTTGAGAGTGAAATAAGAAAATCACAAAGAAGACTATCCGTTTTTAGTTATTGGATTGCATCAGATACATGAAAAAAATAAATAAGAGACAAATTACAAAGCCACAGAACTATTAGAACGTTCATGTTGTTTCAGCGAAGAGCCGACTTCCCGCAAAGATGTTATTGTCTTTTTGAACCATCTGCAAGTTCAGATTTTTAAATTAAGATTTTTGTGAAAAACGTTTATTTTTTATTCTGACAAATCTTCCCTAATTGGAATTCTCAGGAACTTTTTGGTTATCAAAAATCCGTTTGAGCAAAGTTTAAAAAAATTCTAAAAAGTCAATAAATCTATCGAATGACATGAAGGTAAAAAAATAATTTTTTTAGATCAAACATTTTTTTCAGTAATCTTTTATAAATGAAACACTCTCACAAAAATCTTGATAGAAACATGATATAAATTCAAATTAAATAAACAGCTTATTTCATATGCGAGTTTTTTTGGAATTTGTTCCATTTTTATAGCTTTGAGGCAATTTTTATAACGTTTTTTTCACAAGATTTGAAATGGGGGAAAAAAAGGTATAGGCACATTTGGAAATTCTCCTTAAGGCTATGAACAGATTTTCAAAAAAAAAATCTAATAGACACTTTGTTGCTGTTCCCCTCCCGGATCCATACTTACTTTTTTCCGTCGCTCTCACTTTGAGTCATGAGTTGATGGGTCAGATCTTGGTTGCGGCATTCAGCTTCAACCAACGCCAATTTTGTCTGCGCCAAGTCGATTTCCAACGCTCTGACACGTCAAATCGCATTAGAAGAGGGTTTGGCGCAAACTTGATGTGGTTTTCATGTTCTTCGAGCTTCGAGAGGAGGTCTGGCCCTTCAACGGACGCGACGCTGTGTGAAGGACTGCGGTTCTTTTCCCACTCTTCGATCGCCGGCCAGCACTTGTCGCAGCTTGAAACTCGAGCCTGAAAACAATCATCATCACTGTTTCACTTCAAACTCTTATTTTAAAAAGGAATAGTTAAAGGTTAAAAAAATTATAAAGCCTGGAAAATTCTAAAATTTAAAATCAACATCCACAAAATGAATTTTTCGACGATTTTTACCATGCATGACTATCAAAGAAAGCGAGCCGTTAATGAATCAAACTCACTATTATCGATCTTTTCTGTGATTCGAACTGCTCGCGTTCGTATTCGCTTCTTCTGCTTTTCTCCGAAAATATTTTCTTGTACTCTTCGAGAAGTTTCTCAGCTCGCGAAGCGTTTTCCTCTAACCTATTGACGTCCCTCCGATACATTTCTTTGATCTGAAGTATCTTTTTTGTAACCATAAGCTACGTTAAACTGACAACCTGCTCGTATTCCCGGAGTAAGTTGCGGTTTTCTTCAAGAACATCTTGATGTTGCCGAGTGAGACGTTCGATGGTGTTTGAAGAAGTTTCAAGTTGATCCTGTAACAAAAGAAACTTTTAGATTCAGTCTCGAGTTTACTGATAATTTTCCTTTCAGGTAAAACTTCTCATACCTCAACAAGATCGAGCTTTTTCCGCAGTTCAATTTTGCTGGTGACAAGCTCGTGAGCCAAATCATCGTTCTCTCGTTCCAGACGCATAACGTTGACGACATGCCGCCCGTTTTCTTTCTTCAAAATTATAATAGTCTTCTAAAACAGCTTTTTGAAACATTACCTCAAGTCGGACCAGAGGGTCTTCATTTTCCCGTTCGATTTCTTTCATTGCAATGTATTCTTTTTCGTACTTATTCAAACGTTTATGCTTGAGCTGGAACATGATTTTGAAAAAGAGTTATTTATCAATGTCTACCTTGAAATTGACAGCCCGCTGAATGAGTCCTTTTGTGGTTGTCTCTGTACGGTATTTTCGTGGGAGAGACACACGAAAATATCTGGAAGTTTTAAATGAAAGGAGTGAGAAAAAGACGATTGACTGCTAGTCGGAAAAAAAAAATGTTCTCTGGGGTTCCACAAAAGAAGAAAAGCGCAATTAGTGCAGAACATGAGAGCCAAATTTTAGCAAAAAAAAAAGAAAAGTTCTCCGAGAGAAAAACTTCATGTGTGTCCAAATTTTCAACGGCTTTGGAATGATAGAAAAATGAATCATATTATCAAAGAAAAAAAGATCGTGTAATAGTCTTTTTCATTGGAATTTAGGAAGGTTTTATTATATATAATATTGAGTTTGCATTATCATGCTGCACTTTTTTTTGAAGATTTTCAAACGCACTTCAAAGTTCCTTCAAAGTCGAGCTGGAGTAGATCAGTTTTTGCATCTTGCAGAAGAGCGAGCGAAATGTGAAAAATGGTTGTCATCCCCTATAAAACCTCATTTTCCGGTTGATCTCCTGCGAAACAAAGAGACTTCGCTGAGAAACAAATCGAGGATGAAGAACACCATTTGCAACGGAAATTTGGCGGTGAATAAGGTCAAAAACCATTGTGACGCGTACATATGCGTCTCGATTCCTATTTGCTCCAAATGAGCGTGAAGATCGGGGAGATAATCCTGGAACCAAGCAACTGAATGGAGGTCGTTCAAATTCACAGTTTCTGAGATGGAATTCGTGCGGATGGAGGCTAGTTATTAGGATTTGAAACATGAAAAAGGCCGGATTAGGTAAGAAATTTTGAAAGAATGAGAAGTTTTTTTGAGAATTTCAGGCTTCTATAAAATGAAAAATAGAAAAATTAAACACGCTTCAAATTTTTTTCAAAAAAATCGTTTTTTTCTGGGTAATAAAAAAATGAACCTGCGCCCTTTTTTCCTTTTATGAAATTGGGGTTTTTTTAATTGCTTTTTCCAATATCGTCATAAAAGATAGAATTTTCCTCCACTAGTGAGTCGATTTTCAGGAATTCACCTTGAGCAATGAGGTAAGCTGATAAAAACGTAGATGAAGACAGTCGAACCCGAGTTTGAACAAATCTCGCAGCCCGTAATCAAACATTATTTTGACTAGAGTACAGAAAGCTTGTTCTTCAGGCATCTGAACTCGAGATCTTACTCGTCATCCCAAACTCCCTGAAACTCACGTGTAAGAGTAAACTAGCGGCTAGAAAAGAAAGTCCTTGGCAATATGATACTTCCTCGTCATACAGCGAATATGCCTGAACAGAAAAATTTGCAATTCAAAACATAGAACATTGATACCTTGCTAATTTTGTACAGTGCTTCTTGACCTTCCCCTCCAGATTGTTTGAAATAGTCATGAGCGGGAAACGTCCGATGAATATCGCGCATGATAACTTGTTCAGAGGGACACTCCTGAAAAGGAACAGTTGGATCGAATTCAAAGAACTGAAAAATCACCTTGTTTAAAAGTATCGCGTATGTTTCAATGAGCTCGGCACATTGGTCTGCCTTAAAGTCAGAAGCTTGTGAAATGAAAAAAAAATGAGAAAAGTTAAACTTTTGAAAGAAGTTGCCACACTTCGCCTCTCAGAGCATCCGGTATACCGTTCAGAATAAGGGATGAGACCGCTTCTGGCCGCTCACTGAAGATGTTCACAATACAACCTTCTAACTTTGATTGATGTACCCTTCAGAAGATTCTTTCCACTGAGATATGCAATCATTCCAGTTTTGCATCACTTCTTCTCCGCAATCTTGAGAAACGACTCCAGACCCAGATAGAAGAGGTTCATCGCAATCTGAGATAAAGGCATGAAAAATGAGAATTGCAGTTGTGGAGGTAGCCAGGTTTGGCTCGACTGAGACGCCGCGCAGCGTCGCGCGCATCATGATAGTTTTCACGTACAAACGGGAGTAGCAAAATATTGGAAAGTTAGACATAATAAAAGGCTAGGGTCAATTAAAAAGCTTCAAAAAAAAAGAAAGAGAAAAAATATTTTTACATAAGATTACTCACCACAAAGCTAAACAATTAAATTTCATTGAAAAGACGTTTTTGCTTTTTTTAGAACTATATAAATACAAATTGTTGGATCTCTTGGTGGAATTATCAAATTCTTTAAAATTTCATTGTTCATCACCGATTGCAGTGACCGTAAGTTAATACTTACAGCTTTTGCCTTAAACTTAGTCTAATTTTTGTTCTTGAAGTGCTAAAAACCATTCATGAAGTTTGTGAATCCATAAGTTTGAAAAAATATGAGAAAAAACTGTCATATCAGCTTTCTAAACTTTCTAAATTAATTTCTGTGAGCCCTCAAACTTCACTTTAGTTGCAATCGCTACTCTTCAATTTCTGGAGTATCGTGCTTTTTCTCAGTCTTTCAGTGGATTTTGATAGAGAGATTTGTCAATTTTAACATTTAAAACGCGTTTTTTTCTAAATTTTTTTGGACTAGGCTTTTCGAAATTGAAAAAATGCAATTGGCACCTGATTCGTCGTCTCCCGTAGGATGCAAAAGTTGTGTTGGCATTCTGGAAGGGCTCCGACCAAGGTTCAGTTTTGATCTCTTTCTGGAAATAACGTCGTGAACAAATACAAACACGACTCCTACGAGAAAAATATTTTTCATTTGTTTCGTTTCTCAGTTTCACATGCCTCATTCGGCGAGGGAAAAAAAGGAGAGAAAAAAACGACGCCCACTCACTTGTCGCTATCAGATTCGAGTGATAAGAATATCAGGCGTTCGTTTGGAGACTGTTTTGAATCATCGGCTCCGCGCTGAAAAGAAAAAAGGTCGAAAGTCTGGCTGAATATCGGAGAACGAATAAGAAATAATGTGAAACGCCAGAATGAGGCGGCAAAAGTATGGGACACAAAAAAGCGCGATCGCAATGTTTAGATGAAGCAGCCTGCCTGCAGTGAAAATATCAATGAGTTGGTGGAGAAGTCAGACGCGGACGTATAAACGGCGAATCACCCGCAGCAAATTTTTCCAAAAACCAACTTCTTTCTTTACCAAATGCAAATTTGATCAAATTTTCTTATCAAGGCTCATAAAAGCGCAAAAATGTAGTCAATTTTGAAGTCATTGATTGATTTGCGAGAAAAAAAAAAATAAAATTTTTATTTTTTTGAAGTATTTCGGTGTAAAAAAATTTGTCAGTTCTATTCTACCTGCTGTTAGTATTCTGTTATCATCTTTTTTTCAATCTCTGATCTCATTTTTTTCATCAATCAGAAAAATAAAGCGCTTGGATTTATCAGACACATAAAAAAACACTTTGTTTTGAAAAATTTTTTTGGGAAACTGTTTATCTGTAGTTGATTCGAGAGTTTATTTTTTTGACAGTTTTTTTGCAACTTTTTGTCTAATTTTTGGTCCAAGCTTCTGCAACTTTTTTTAAGTTGGTCGAAAAAAAGCTTCTTTCCTTCTTTTTTTCCTAACTTCACGCATTTGATTAATTTAAAAAAATGAAGTTTCTAAAGAAAAAAAGCCGCAAGAAATCCTAATGAAAGGAATTTTGGTATTAAAACTGTAAAAAAAAGAATAGTGCGCTTCGAAAAATTGCTTGCTGCTGATTTAAAAGTTATTTGAGAGCGTTCATTATTCACAAAGCGATGAATATTGCGAGTAAATGTAGTACTTTGGAGCCAAGCAGCCGGTGAGCAAGCATACAGCAAAACGATTGATACCATTCTTAAGTTCTCTATTTCAGAATGTGTGCGAGAAACAGAAATTCAAACCAAAAAACCAGTAGGGAAAAATGAATCACGCGAGAAAGGACAAAGCGGACCTCCAAGACGAGTGTGTAGCCTTCGCGGACCACAGAGTGAGGCGTTTTGTAAAAGCGCTCGTGCTCGTGGAACACGCGGGACATCGATTCCATCGAGAATCTGATCGGCTCGCTCACTTCTGCCACGATCACGTCGATCGCCACCGTCATAAATACTTTTGTCTCTAAAAATTCATTGTTTTATATTATTATGCAAATCTTTCCGTTCATAATAACCTTTTTCCAAATTCCCGTCAATTTATGAAAACGCATTATTTTCGTAAAAACTTGATTCAAAGTTCTTTTATTCAAGCCCATCGAGCCATTATCTATTCGGGGATTTTCGTAATTAGCAATACAGGTAATACAAATTATAATTTGCCAAGAAAAAGCTGGAAACATGTTAAGAAAAGTTAAAAAAAATTTTGCAGGCAAAAATTTTTGATTCCTGCAATCAAAACTTGAACGAAAAAACATTGAACTTTCAAAATTGGAGCCAGTTGCAATTCAACAGATTTTTCCTTATACTTGGGGAACTTTTCAAGGTATTCTTGAGAAATTTAGTCACTTTGCACTATTACAAATTCGCTTCTAGATATAAACGATTTCTTTAAATAGCGATTTTTTTCATGAAATTTTTTGAGAAAATACTTTTAGTCATTCAAATTTCTATCCTGAAAAAAGAAGTTTATACTGAAATACAATAAATAAGAACCGGAAATGGCAAAAATAAATTGGAACTCCATGAAAACGTAACTTTTTCAAAGTGCTTTAAACAGACATAAACGAGTTGTTTTTCACCCACCTCGTGGTGTTTCAGTGTTTAATACTTCGAACATGTGCACTCTCGGATCCCAGTTGGCTTGAATTACGAAAATTGAAGGATCGGAGCCTGAAAATACTCTGTTTTCAGAATATCGCGTGAAAAAGTGTTTTTATACAAAATCAGTCACTTTGCTCGTATTCTTCTTCATTTTTCTTGCCCCATTTCCACTAACTTTTTTTCGAATTTATTGTTCTTTCCAAAAGATCAAAAATTCTACCAACCAAATTCGGTTTTCTCCATTTCGAGCAGCTGCAAATCCGAATGCCTCAAATTTCTTCCAGCTGCTAGAAGCATTCCGAAACACTTTGTTATAGTTAACGGAAATCCGCTTGTCTGTGAAGAAGTCAATTTTTTTGTTTTATCAATTTGATCTAAAGAAACCTGCTTCAACTGAACAATCAACTTTTTTGCACGGTCTCGCCGCAATTTGAAGGTTCCACTTTGCTGCGGACAGAGTTTCCAATCAGGAGTTTGAGCTGATCCGTCGTTTTCCTGTATTTCAAAATCAGTAATAGATAAAGAAAACTTTCGAACTCGGATGTCGAGAAAAGCTTCAAAAGTGAATTCGTGCCGGTTTCCATCTGTCGGCTTCTTGTTGGAAAAAGCTTGTGAGAAGCAGTAAAGAGCTCGACCAGCCTGAAAACTCACTGTTTCTTTTTTTCAACCTGAGAACTGAGAGCGATTTTTGATTTCTTCTGCATTTTTTACCACAGAATACTTCTGAAAGATTTTCATCTGGAAGGTCTGGTTGTCTAATTGATTCAATTTGGCAATTGAGGTAAAATCTACGTTCTTAAAAACAATTGAGGTGAAATCTACGTTCTTAAAAACGAAGATGAATTTAGGCAAAAACTTCAATTTTAAATCTGCTCGTCCTCGTTCAAAATAGAAATTCGCTAGAAAACTGCGGAAAATAAAATCAAAAACTGATAAGATTCTCACTCACCGTCTCCGGCTCCAGAGCTCGGAAAACGTGGCATTGATGTGTGGCCGTGCTGGCTTTTCTTCTTTCTTTTGTTTCTGTAGGATCGCTTTCTTCTCCCGAACTCGCTTTGCTTGGTCGAGAATGGGTGAAAGAGATAGCGAAACAGTTGACTTGAGACGTTCCCAACTCTCCTCTAATACAAAATCGGATACATACAATTGCAAACGAAGATAGGAGGCTTCCGGTGGAATCAATCAATCTGGAAACATTTTTCATGAATATACTGGGTAGAAGGAAACTTACTCCACAGTACCCGTAACATCATGAGGAATTACCAGTGTGACTGACACCGTATTCGAACCCCTTTGTTCATCCAGAACCTGCAAATGTTTCCTTATCCTCATTGAAATCTAGAAATAGTGCCTTCATCAGAGCTTGCATCTCCGCTTCATCATTAGGATTGGCCAGTTGAGAACATCCGAGGTATTGAATCTGTAAGATAAAAATTAATGAAATCCATTGAGAAAAACTTACATTACTGAGCCGCGTGCATTGAGTGAAATCATACTCGTTTTCAATCTCTGAATACTCATGTTAACTTCGATTTCAACTTTATGCATACCTTTTTTGAGGGTACCATTTGGAACAACAGAGCCGTTAGATGTAACCTCAGACATGACGAATTTTTATTTTCTGCGCTTGCATTAGCCTGAAATTCAAAAAAAAAAAAGTATTTTGAGAAATATTAGAATCATCGTAAATTTTTTGAACGATGTAGGGTTTCCGGATTTTGATATTTATGACTATACAGAACGATTCAATGAACGATCATAAACTACGAAACAAGAAAAAAACAGAAGTTGAGAGAGAAATACAAAAAAATCGTATTAACAACAGGTGCAGAATTTTTTTCGGAAAAAGGAAATAAAGTTAAATCTTTTTCTTTTTGAAAAAAAGTTTCGAGCAAAAACCAATAATTGTATTTATTCAAATTTGAGAACTTGTGAAGTTTTTGTTGTGGCAATTTTTTTTTAAACTTGAAAAAAACTTGAATTTTGAAAAAAAGAAAGCTTGAAGTTAACACATGGTCTACGGTTTTTTATCAAGCCTTCGTTAAAAAAATCTTGACAAGAAGTTTTACCTTTTTGGATATTTTTTTATATTTTTTTAAAAAAAGAGTTCTGGAAAAGAAATGAAAAACATCACGAGCCTTTTTCGAAAAAAAGAACACAAGATATAATGCGAATGGAGGAGGAACTCGATTTCTCGTGTTGTTGATATGAGATACAGATCTCCGCTAAAAACTTTTCAATCATGGTCCATTAGAATTTTTCTAGGAAATGTTGTTTGAAACTATTCATTTCATTCCCGTTGGAAATGATAAGACTTTTTTTATCTTGATTTTCAAGACTCAGAGAAAAAAATTCAACAAAAAAATAATTTTGATTGACTTTGTGAAAATTCTTAAAAAAATGCCGCTCAATTTTGAAGTTTTTCAAATAACGAAACTTTGAAACTTTTCAAGACTCTCGTCACATTACTTTCTAAGTTCAAAAAGGTTTTGAACGAAATTTGAAACACAAAGAGAAAAGTTATCCTTATCTCATTCCAAATAAATACAAAAAAATTCGATGAGAAAGTGAACAAGAGAACCAAGCAAAGCAAAAAATAGTTGACGCAAAAAGTTTTTAAAAAGAATAGTAGATGAGGGAAAAAGGTTTGCGAAGGGATCGATATAGCACTAGTGCGCTCCCGCGCAGCAGTCCTCATATGGTCGGAGAGAGCGGAACCCAGCCTCCTACCTAAGGAATTTTGCGATTCCGTCTGCTTCTCCACACAAGACGCCGAGCACAAAACCACGGCGTTCGTGGGAAAAAAGATAAAAGGTAGTAGGGTTACCTGAATCATTGACGCTCGCCCCAAATGTAAATAAACACGCGCCATCCCTCCCTAACATCAAATTTTGCTCAGCGGACTGGTTTTTTATTTTATTTTTGTTTAACGGTGACCTTATTTATTCATAATTCAATAAAACCAAAATTTTCTCGAATTTATTTTTTTTTAATAATTAAAATAGCATTATTTCATTTTTCCATGACAACTAAAAAAATATTACATACCAAAAAAATGAATTTCAAAAAAAGTTTTTGTAAGATTGATGTTTTGAAAAAAAGATGAATATTTCCAAAAAAAGTTTCATTGCCTTTTCGCCTTTTTAAATGAGAATGTTATTATTAAGATATCGAACATTTGAAATTTATTGGGGTAAATTTGAGATTCTCACTAGACAAAGTATTTCTGAATGCCCAAGGGTCCGATTCCAACTGCTAAAGTAATAACGAAAACCAAAAATAAGCACAGAAAGCAAAAAAAGGTAGAACTTTGTTTTCGGAGGTTTCTACCAAGTCGATGAAGCCAAAAAAAAACAACGGTATGCAAATAGGAGCAATCTGGTGCAAACCGGAGGCTGCAAAAGAACCCGGGGCCAATTAAACGCGACTTGAATGGTGAATTGTCGCATCGTCTCGCGTCGTGTTTGCATCCGCGCGTGTTTTTTTTTTCTTGGATTGTTTGACAACCTGATCTGCCGTTTGTGCTTACGCCTCCCGCCATTTCTTTCAGAACGCTTCGCCCCTATTTCCTCTTTGTTTCCCGTCAATTATTTTGATAGGCGGCAATTTTACTGAGTTTTCAAGACTAGAATATTTTGATTGTTCTTGAAATTGCTAAACGAATAGCGGTTGCTTCAAAGTGTTCAGAGCACCTGACCTGAAGTTTCTTGCGCAAAATGATAATCAAACGCAATTGCAAATTCTTTTGAAAAAAATAAAAAAATCACGTAAAATTTTTTTATATTATTAACTTTTCCAAATAAAATTGCGTGAGACCTGAAACAAAAAACAAAAATATAAGGCCATTAAAAATCAAGACGTTTGATTCTTTTTTGTTCTATGGACAAATATTCCCACTTACTGGAAATAGTTCAATTTTCCCTCCAAAATGTGGATGTTTTTTTTCAAACGTTGTTCCCTTGCTGTGATATTTTTGCCCCATTGAAATGTTATTGTCTTGCGCGGCTGGCGGCTCGGTCGCCAAGCAATTTTTTTTCGTTCGTCTTCATTTGTTATTTATTTCAAGAAACATAACTTTTGCGTGAATACTATAGTTCAAAAAAATGAATACTAGCACGAAAAAAATCGAATTAATCTAAATATCTCAGTTTTTCGAAATGGTCTTATTTTTTTCTATCTACCTCTTCGTAAGTAATTCTGAAGCAAATTACATTGGGCTATAACGATCGAAGTGCGTTTTAAAGCGTTCTTTGTTTGCTTACGTTACGCTGAAGGACCGGATTTCCTCTCCATCACCAGCGAAATAGCAAAAACTTCTTACCATTTCTGTCGTTATAACAACTCGCAAAACATTGTTCTAGAAATGGAAACGTAGCTTTTTTATTTAATGCCTTTCTCTGTAAATATAAATATGTTTTGATCGATTTTGCGTAGACACGTGTACATTCATACTATGGGAAAGAAAATAGAAAAAAAAAAGAAATAAAATTTCTGAACCTTATTTTCTGTCGCGTGAACAATTTCTTTTCGAGCAAAGCATTGTCAGGAAGAACCCATTTCCTATTACTCACATCTTTTTTCAAATAATATCGCTCTTCGCTACTTAGTAATTCAAGAGAAAAATTTATTTTTCAGTTCTTTTTTTTTCCGTGAATGGAAAATACACCGATCACATGCAGACATTCGGAAAGAGGTATTTGTACCAGGTTTGAAAGTCGGAGTTCCAGAAAAATAAAGAAATCAAAATTTCAGGTGCTCTCTCAGTCATACTTTTGCCATCAGCAAAGCAGAGGAGAAGCGGATGCAAGGAAAAAGCAGTGAGTTTAGAAAGTATTAGGTTACCTTTGCCTACTGGGTTAATTAAGGTGTGCCAGCAAACGAGGCCAGCAGCAATTTGCCAAGAGAAGCTTCTCCTAACGAGGTTCAGCCGACTTGCTTTTCAAACGAAATAACCGAGCATTTCAGGAAGTTGTTCGCATTTTTCCTATTAATAGCCAATCGGATGATGAGAATGAGGTATTTTGATTATCATTAAAAATAAAAGCACGATTCGTTGTGAGCTGATTTATGCGATAAAGTTTTAAAAAAATTTCATTTTTGTTCTTTTTCTCAAGGTTTTTTTTTCTCGAAATTGTTGGCACTATGGAAACTATTTTGAGATTAATTGCCTCAGTTTTGCCTGGGAAGGAACAGTTTCGTTAGATAATCATCGAAAGTCACGAAAAAAACCCCCGAGCGACGACCTAAAAAGTTAGCAAAACAAAAAAATTTGCGCCAAAGTTTGAATTTTTTTCCTTATAATTTTTTTGAAGTTGAATTGAATATTTATTGAAAAACAACATTCTTGCTAACAACATACAATTAGAGAAGATTTAGAAGAGAAAGTTCAGAACACACCGTACAGCGCTGATATTCGCTCCGACATCTACCAGCCGATTCAAATTCAAGTTTTGAACAATCAGGATGAAGGACCAATTTCCGTGGTAAAAATTTTTCTTGTTACAAAATAACTGTGAAAAAAATATTATTTGCTCTTTCTAATTTTATCAAATTTGAGGGCGATTTCTAAACTATAGAAGGTTTTTCAAAGAAAAAAAGGCTACATTAAATGGTTAATACCAGTTTTTGTTATAAAAATGATTTGATCAAAATCAAAAAGTAAAAAATTGAAGGCAAAACAAGACAAAATAATTTAATGATAACCAGAACAAAATGCAGACTCTTCCGCTAAGCGAACCACCGAATTGGTTGATGCGAATGTTCGAGTCTTCGTTGTTTGACGCGCCCATGGCTGTACAGTATCTTTTCATGACAAGTGAAAAGCCTGTCCTTTCTTACTTAGGTGAGATTTGACAGTCAAATTAATCAAAAAAAAAAAGATTTTCAGGAAAGCGATTACTTGGGCTCCCTGAGAAAGAACTGGATTTTTTCCTGCCCCAACTAATCAACATGTACATCCATAAGATGGACGTGGCCAGCACAATTCATGCATACATCGAAATGAGGTTTATTAATTAAATTAATTAGGAGTTTAAACTTATTAATTTTAAATAATGTTTTTCACCTAATGTCCTTGATTTTTTTTTTTGAATTGTTTTAGATTAATTGATTTTTTCAAACTTTTTTGCTTTACAGATGCAAAAAATGCGTTCATTTCTCCTTACTTTGTGTTTGGCTAATAGAACGTTTCACCAACGCACCTCCAGCCATTTCTTTCGGACACAGTCAAATGTTGAGGTTCATCGCGAAATTCTTGCAAGAATAACTTTTCTTTTCATTTCAGAAAAATGATCTTGGACGAATTCGTAAACGACTTAAAGTGCTCCAGCAAAACATCAGAAACAGAGTGAGTAGACCTGAATTTTATCACCGTATTTTTCAATAATCAGGTTCAACTCATTGGAAAGGAAAATCTCAACCCTATCGCCCGTTCATTCTGCGTCTCGTAAGATTTTATAAATTGCGAAGCAAAAGTGGGAGTACAGATCCAATGCTCACGGAGCTCGATTCGACGAAAGGAATGCCTCGCAAAAATCAAACAACCTCATTATCGCCTGAAAAATTCCTCGATTTGGCTCTTCACATTGGTAATTAATTAGTAAAAGAATAATCATATGATAAAAATAAGTTTCAGATTCTTCAAACCGTTTATCTCATGTCGGCGGAATGCAGTCGGTAAGAATTTGTGATTTAATTTTTCTGATGAAATTTTTTGCAGGCATCTGTTATGACTGTGCAATCAAGATTTATTTCCTGGTTAACTTATATTGGAGCAAAGCTTTGCGACGAAATCGGCAAAGAAGCAAAAGTGGGTTTCAAAAAATGAATCTGATTTTTACCAACCTGCAATCGAGTTTCAGATGGTTCGTCTCAAACACGAGATAGCCATTCTAAATCTGGAGCTGCCAGCGAAATGCTGGATTCCATTTTCAAACGACCATTTCGCCATCCGGATCCCGCCGGAGGAGTGCTGTGTCCTCAACAGCAAGGACAAAGTATGATTGACACATGTCTCCGTTTGGCATATGCTCCTCAATAATAGGCGCCTTACATCTTGTATGTGGAGGTCATGCGAGGTCCCGCAAACCAACTGATGAACAAGGATTCTCAAATCATCAGCAAAATCAAAAACAGTGTAAATGTGAGTTCAACTCAACTTTTCAAATGATTGAGAATTTTCAGCCAGACGCATCGTTCACAGAAGCTTTGGACCAAACGGGCGAGTATCTGCGCAACTTGAGAGTGCTATTAAATCTAATAATAGAACAATATTTTTTTTCGTGTCAGATGCGCAATGACCCGGAAGATCCATCAGCAGCCGCTTTGAGCGAACCTTGGATGGACAAGAAGCAAAGAATTCGGAACGGAAGTCCTTACGGCAGTCTTCCTGAATGGGATGTCATACCTGTGATTGTCAAAACTGGAGACGATCTCGCTCAAGAACTTTTTGCTTACCAACTTCTCTGTACATTCAAAGTAATTTTCAGTTCATTTGATTATTTTGATATTTGTGATAAAAATGGAGTTCTCCGCAGTTTCAATCTCGTCCAAACAAATTTGAATACTTAGCAGCCCGATATTGCTTTATAATAACTTTGCACAAAATTTTTATATTTTTCAGCCACTGCTCCGTCGGACAAATATATTTTTTTTCAGCAAATCTGGGAAGATGAAGGTGTTCCTCTACGCGTAAGACCTTACAAAATTGTTGTCACTTCGCCAAATTCCGGAATGATAGAGCCTATAATCGATGCTTGCTCGTTACACCAGGTAATACGCATCAACTAAGTTCATAAAAAAACAAGCTTTCAAGATCAAAAGAAGTCAAGTCAGCGCGATTCCAGGAAAAATAAGCCTTCTTTCTTACTTCATTCGCATGTTCGGTCAAGTTGGACGAGACCGCTTCATAATGTTTTTGTTTTCCTGATTTTTTTCTAAATAGCTTCAAACTTTCAGCGCTCAGAAAAAATTTATTGAGAGTTGTGCTGCATATTCTTTGATTTGCTACTTCCTTCAATTGAAAGACAGGTGTTGAACTCAGTTTGGTTTTTGTTTTGACCTTCCGAGTTACAGACACAACGGTAACATTCTGATAGATTCAGAAGGACACTTGATTCACATTGACTTTGGTTTCCTTTTATCTTCGTCTCCGAAAAATCTTGGATTCGAGATGTCTCCATTCAAATTGACCACTGAACTCAGTGAGTTTGAGAGATAGAAAAGGGTGGAAAGTTGATATTGTTTTTAGTCGAAGTGATGGGCGGCCTGGACTCGGATATGTTCCTCTACTTCAAAAGCCTGCTTCTCAGAGGCCTGATAACAGCTAGAAAGCACCACGAGCGAATCGTGACTCTTGCAGACATAATGAGCACAGGTGACCTACTCCAGAAAGGAAAACTCAAATCCAAGGTTTATCACAGGTTCAAACATGCCCTGCTTCCGCCTGGGCGCAGACACTGTTCGCGCTCTGAGGCTCAGATTTCATATATCATACACTGACGAGCAACTGACTTCTTTGGTTCGTTTTTTTTTTCATTTGTTGCAAGATTTCAAACGGTTTGATTTTTTTTTGTTTTGTTCATAGCAGTGTTCATTGGATTGTTCTGCAAAAGGACAAAAACGTACTTTCACGTGTTAGGTCTTTTTCAAGTTTTTAATGAGAGGAAACTTTGGAAAAATGCGCCAATCGCCTAAAGTCATAAAAATCATTCTAAAGGGTCATTTCATAAATACCAAGAATGCTATGAAATTGATTTTTTTCAGACTTAAAGAGTTACATTAAAAAAATATCTACTCTCAGTATCAGGAAACTTCACAATTCTCAGTTTGATAATTTTTGTTTGGGAAAGAAATAAGTTTAATTACCCAGACTTTTTTTCAATTTTATATCATAAAAAAATTTGAAAAATTTGTTTCAGGTCAGCGACATGGTTGAATCGAGCCGAGATTCCATAACGACTCGACTCTACGACAATTTTCAGTATTACACAAATGGCATTTTGTAAAATGTGTATTCAGCTTCATCATCCACTGTTACTTTGTTATTTTTGTCTCTACCTCTTTTTTTCTGTTAGTGTGAGTTTTAGTTGATTAATCCATTTTTCATATTCGGTACAAAAGCAGGTTGTCATTGTTGACGGTTGACCCACTGGTACTGTTCTTGATTTTTCTTTCCTGGTTCTATTTCTTTTTTTTTCACTTTTCTATCAAATGAAATTTTTTAGAATGCTTGGATAAATAATACAAAAAGGAATAATTTCAAAAAGTCAGGCTTCTGAAATTATGAGTTTTGTTTCGCGCTGTAGAAAGATAATATTTTCCTGAAACTAAGGCTTTTCAAATTTGAATGGAGCTGGTCAAAAAATCACTTTTGAGGCTTTTGGTGATATTTTGAACTTTTCAACTTTTGAGAGGGAAGACCGTTTAATGTTGCATGAAAACGGAAGATGATAACTAGACTTCTTTCTATTCGAAAACACAATGAAATTATGGTTTGGATTGCTCCGCATTCCTTATCATTCTTATCACGCAATATCCGTGATGGAGACTCGAAAAACTGAAAAACTTCACGTGGTGACAGGAAAACGGCATAGATAAGGGCTTCTACTGAAGAGCGATATTTCAGTTTTTGACGCGCCTTTTTTCATTTCTTTGTCAGAAAAAGTTCAAACAAGAAATATTGGATTTAGCAATGCGTTCACTTGCGGTGTTGGTAGCTCTGACCTTGGTGGCAACATCGATCCAAGCGCCATGGATGCAAGAAGCCTCATACACGGACGCCTTCGCGAGGTCTCAGATGCTTCCTCTGGCCGCAGCCGCCTATGCTTCCGCGCCGCAGACTTGTCTCACCAACAAGTTCACGAACGCTCAGGTTTCTCCACGAGGTTCAACTTTTCGGAACTTAACTTCAGCTCAAACGCCAAATCACTGTCAAATGCGACGGCTTCAAAGGGGACGACTGTTCTGGCTACACCGCAGCTCTTCACACTGAAAAGGCGATCGTTGTCAGTTTCCGGTAAATTTAGACATCTTTCTGAGTGAAACAGTGCTTTCTTTTTAGTGGAACACAAGGATTTCTCCAACTGGTATCAGAAGCTGACAAGAGCGTGTTCCAATTCCAGGTAGTAATAACATCCCTCTCTTCCTCTTAAAATCTTGTAATTATGCTTTCCGTTTTTCTTTTTGTTTTAAATATTTAATTTGGCGACCGTCATTAGGGAAATCGTCTTCTCAACTTTGAAAACATCTGAAAAAAAAACAAGAAAAAAGTTGGAATAAATGCAAAAAATTCAAACTTGCCTTCAGTCTCCCTGGGTCGCTGGAGGAAAAGTCTCAAAATATTTTGCGGACGGATTCCTGAAGGTTTGGAACAGTGGAATGAAAGATGACTTCATCGATCTTCAATCCAAAAACCCCGGCTATCAGATCTGGGTGAGTAAAGCCATTTCCAATAAGTATAGAGAAACCGACCCTATAGGTAACTGGACATTCACTCGGAGGATCTATGGCTTCCCTAGCCGCTTCCTACATTGTCAACTCTAAACTGGCCGCTGGAAGTAACGTGTACCTGGTGACTTACGGTCAGCCAAGAACGGGAAACAAAGCTTTCTCTTCTGCTCACGACAGCCAGGTAATGATGCCGAGCTAACTCGAAACCAGAATTTTAGTTCGCTTACTCTTACCGAGTCACACACTATCGAGACGTTGTTCCTCACATTCCTAACGAAAACTTTGAAGGGTACTACCATCACAAGTCTGAGGTAAAATCTCTTTTTTTAACGAGAAATGAGCTGTTTAAGGTTTACTACAAAAACAACATGAAGTCCGGCGCATCCTTCACAATTTGCACAGGTATGCTCAATTTCTGAGCTGAGAGTAGAGGTTGTTGGAATTCAGCGGACGAAGACAGCAAATGCTCTGACGGACTGTGGATCACGACAAGCATTACTGACCACCTGCACTATTTTAACATTGACGTTTCGGATTACGGCGCAAAAAGGATGCAAATGAACAAAAAAATAAAAATTTTCTCTGAATGAATGTCCATATCATTTTTGTGTTTTTTTCCGTGTCCCATAAAAAAACTCAAAAAAAGATCTATTTGGGTTTATACAAAGTTTTAACAAGAAACGAAAATTTTTATTTGGATTAGAAAAAAAAAATGTTTTCAAATAGTTTTCCTCTAAAACTGTTAACTCGGCAAACTTCTTCAAATAAAAATTTATTACTATGAAGATGCAAAAATAATTTATCTACAGTTTACTGTTTTTCCGGGCAGACATCATCAACGGCTTCAGGTACTTTTCGAAAACTGGTAGAACCTAAAAAAAACAAATTAAAGATTTTTCAAAGTTCCCAAACTCACATCAGTGCGATTAAGGCTGCTGTTCTGAGCCCATTTGTACAGATTCTCATAAACATGACCGTCCCTGCGACCCAAAACAGATCGAAGCTCCATATCGCTCAATTCCCAAGCATCGACGTAGGAAACTGCGTTGGGACGGATTTTTCCAAGAGAACGATAGAGCTCAGAACGGATGAAGTTCATCTGCTCGCCACAGAGGTGACCATCCTAAGAATTTCTCTTTTATCTTTGTTTCCAGTTTTTCTCATACTTCTAGAGCGTAAGACGCTACATCAAGCAGTTCATAGTTGAGGTGAAGATGGAGAAGATCATCTAGCGCTTCTTTAATATGAAAGTCGACGACATCATGCACTCTTCGGGCAAAGGCTTGAGCTATGAAAAGCCTTGTGTGAAGACGGCTGGCCTGAAATCCTTGTTTTTTATTTTATGAATTGGAAAGAAGTCTGACCCTGGTGAGCTCAACAGAGCATTTGTTCCAGGCTTCCGAATGTGGAAGTCCAGAAGTAAGCATTTTTTCAAGCTTGTCGAAGGCCCGGAAAATTTGCTGCCTTGCAATATGCTCGAACGTTTTGAGATAAGTATCGTAACCTTGAAAAGTTTGATTTTAGAGGTTTTAATTTTGGGAAATTGCACTTTTTTCTGGTGTTCTGTCGATTAGTGAATGTCTATTGTCAGGAGCTGAGAGATATCCGACAAGTCCTTCCACTTTCTTTCCTTCTTTCACAGCTTTGGCTGCTTTCATCAAGTATCTGAACAGAGTTATTCTTGAATTACCGATCGTCTCGAAACCTCGCCAACTGCAACAGCATAACCATGTTCTCTCCTTCGTAGGTGCAACCACCGATTGCGATACCGTATATTTCAGAAATGTAGCTGGCCATTGAGTATCCATGTCCTCCACAAGATTGTCGAGCCTGAAGAGGTCTTCAAAATCTTTGAAGACTTTGGTAACAAATAGGTCTTGAGGGGGATAACTAGAGCCGAAAAATTTAAAGAAGGTGGGTAAAAGCAAGCAGAAAGGCACAAAACTCTTTAAAACTTAATTTTTGACTAGTTTCTTTACAGCCTTTTGATTTATCCGTCAAGTGTCCCATGTACTAAAAATTAAGTCTAATTGAGTCGAATTATACCTGCTCAATGCCTTGCATCGTCAAGTAAGTCACTACTGACTTCAAACCAGATGTCAAAGCGTGAAGATCCGCCATCAATTCAGTCTGAAAAAGAAAAAAAGTTTTAAATTTTTTCTTTGATAAACCTCTCCAGATTCCATGTCTTTCTTGACTTTCTCATACAATCTTACAGTTTCCGCACCAGCAAAAGAAAAAGCGTAGGCACGGGCGATGTGGGGGAACAAACGATGTTGCTGCGTTTGATACTCGAGAACTTTCACCTCGGGCTCTCTTCAAATTCTTTGATGAGGTACTTTCCACAGCTCGAAAATCACTTCGGATTGATATGTCCCTGGCGGCGGATAGATGAGTATCTGACTGCAATGGTCAGTGAAGAAGCAAGAAAATAGGCCATCGTGTTATTCATGTGCGCTCTGACGTGCACCATCGCAGAATAGCTCATTTTTGCATGAGGAGGTTTGATATAAGTTCCGTCTTTCTCGACCTGCAATAAAGCGCTGTGAAAGTCGCTTTTTTTAAAGTTTCTTTTACTTTCACATGCTTCATCAGCATGTTGGTTCTGGGAATGCGCAAATGATTGAGCTTCAAGAACCCGTTGTCTGTAGCGTTGTAAGCCATTTTGGGCCCAATATCTCCCACTTCGATGTCTAAAAAAGAAACTGTGTACTTGTGGATTAAGAAGAAAAAATTTGTGCCTATTATTGACAAAAAAAAATGTATTTAATGGTTCTGTCGTATTTATTGCATCCCTTCAGAAGTTAATATCCTCTCAGAGCTTGCAAACTTACTCGGCAAGGGCTTATGAGTGTTTTCATCCCTCAGTTGCACCATGAAACTGTGTGGTCCATAGTCTTTTTCGTTTATAATTAACGTCGCCACCACAACCGCGTAGTTTGTGCTTTTGCCCAAGTTTCCAGGCCACCTATTCGAAAAAAATTGTTCAAATATATTTTTATAATTTCCACCATTTCATGGATGTGGTAGTGGGGCTGTTGAGAACAAATTCTTCGGTAGCTTTGTCGTAAGTGGCCGTTGTTTCCAGCTTTCTCAGGTTGCTGCCTAAATCTTGTCCTCAATTATATAACTATAGCTAAAAATCTTGCCGTGTCCCATTTCTGTTTGCGCATATGTTCCAATGATTTCTCTCTTCATAGCTCTATAGAGCCATTTCTTTTTCTGTTCGTCGGTTGCTTGAGCTTGTAAAACTGGAATGAACATGACGCCGTGAAGAGCGAGCGGGTTTCCTTCTCCTCCGATGACCACACTGAATATTTGAATACGTTTTCTTTTCGGGTCAAGTACGAACTTGTTCAGGTGATAAAGCTCTGCTCCGTCATTCACATTGACAAGATCATAGAGATGTTCAGAGAGAATGCCAATCTGGAAAAACACATCTGATAGAAAAAAAACCGGAATAACATCCAGAACCTTTCTTGCAGCTTCCTCGACTTTTTCCTCTCGACTCAAAAAAGGAAGAGGCTTGATGTCCTGGAGTTCTGGGATTTTTAGAACTGCCGAAGTTATTTCATTACGACGATCGGCAGCCTTTATAAACTTTTGTGAGAGATTTCAAAACTATATTTACCCTCTGAGAATTGTAAATTTGAGCTGCCATTTTGTGAGTGTCGAACGTGGACTTCAAACGTTCTTCAGTAATGTCTGGATGATCGCCATCGCGGATTTCTTTGTTAAGATTTCCCATACTGAAAAGTTGAAACATTTTATTGAACGAATATTTTTATAACAAATCGTATTGATGCCGAAGAGAGAACGTGTATCATGGGAGAAGAACTTCAGAAAAGCAAAATTAGCGAATTTTTTTCAAATAGAAAGAAATTCAGAAATGCCGTCTACTAGAAAGACCGATATGGTCCAAATTTTCCTTTAATAGTTCGAAAGTCGAACCAAACGTCCTTATCACTTTACGCCACAGTGTAGCACTCGGTTCGTGTGTCACAGTGTAGCCAACACAGAACAAAAAATGAATGAAAATAACTCATCTTCGTAATAATTCAACTCACAAAACTTTTCTAAACGTGCCATGATGTCCTCTGTTCGTGAAGCTTCAACTTTCTGTGGAAAAAAATTAAAGATTAATTAAAAAAATTTCGGAAGAAAAGGAATATTCAATCTAATACAGACACTTGAAAAACTTCAGAAACTGAAAAATTTTTCGCAACTTAATTATTGCTCAATTTTAAAGAGCAGCAATTCTTGATGGAATTTTCAATGCTCATGTTTCTAAAGCTTCTGCATAGATTCACCGTTTCAATCAATCAGAACGTCAAAGAATACTTGGGTATCATTAAGAAAAAAAATCATCAGTTTTATATCAAAAAAAAATGGCCTTTCTCAAAAAAAAATCAATCATTTTTTCATTATATATAAATGTTTGAAATTGTGCCAAATCCAATATGAATTTTATTTAACTTTAATAGATCTTTGAACCATCTACTTGAATTGACTTGTTCCCACGAGTTGTCAATCATTTTCAAGGTTAAGACACCTGTACCCGATTTTCCATAGCTGTGAGAAATATGTGCTTTTTTATTTGAATACGGCACATAATTATGCAGTCTAATAATTTCGGAAGTTTCGTGCGCAAATATCGCACCAACACTCTATGAAGTGCCAAGCAGATGACGCTTTATTGAGCGTATTTTTGCCAAACTCTGCATCTCAACACAAGGTTAGAGATGCAGATTCAATGGCGCCAATTTTTTTTTCCCTGTGGTCTTTGCTGTGTGGTAAACATGATCTTATTGTTAATTTCATTTAGCTAGCAAGACGGTAAAAGTACCATTTTTTTTTTCTATTTCTCTCCTTTTTCTCTTTTTTTCTCTTATTTCAATAGTTTTTTCTTTTTCTATATTTATTTGGGCATTGATTGGAACACTTTCCCAGTGTATATATCGTATCGCCTTCAACTTTTACTTGCTTGAATTTTTAAGGAAATCATACTAGCTAAAAACTTGAGGTTGATAAAGTTTTCTGATCTCATTTATAGATATTATTTTTTTGTGTTCTGTGAAAAATTTTTTTCATAAGAAAAAAAGACCTGATGAAATTTGCTACAACATGTGCCTTATTATTTTTCATGACTTTATGACATAAAAAAAGAGTTTAACTTTGAAGATGACACAAATTCTGGTTTTTTTGTATTCAGATAGAACTATTTTTTTCAAAAATTCAAATAATTTTTTTAAACAGTTCAAGAATGGCTTTAGAAACCTCTTGTAACTAGAGCTCAAAATGAAAGTTTACTCAACTATTTCAGTATTTCACCATAAATTGCTGAAAAATTCTCTGAACGTCTAGAGAAAATCCGTTCCCATGGTTATCTGCGAAATCTTTTGGTCTTAGAAAAGGACATTTTCAAAACTCTATCGTATGGCTTTTTTTGAAATTCTATCGTATAGCAGTTCTTGTTTCAATGCTCAAATCAAATTTAGAAAATTCACATTCCAAGTGTGACATTGTTGCTGATATCCGTGAGATATATTCGCTTTTTCTCCGATATCAGTACAAAATCAGAGTCCTCCTTTTTTTCTGACAAGTGAAAATGGTTTTACAGTAGCCACAGCTCACAAGATGGCCAATTTAGTGAAAGCGTGCCTCACTCGTGTGAACGATGAGATCCCTCCACTTATTCGACTTACTCTTAAAGAAATGGAGAGTTTGGATGGAACGGTATTTTTTCTTCTTAAAAATCATTTTCTACGTTTTTTGCTGTTTCAGGTCAACCGGCGTTTGGAGCGCGTTGCCTACCTGAAAAAGAAACTTCTTCAGAACTACCGGAAGATGAATCCGAAACAAAAAAAAGCGGCTATAGATGAAATTAGAGTTATTTTGAGATTTTGAGTCAATCAAATAATTTTGTTATTTTTAAGTCTTGTCATCGAGCAATCGGAAAATATTCGAACCAAAAGATTACCCTTGCAAATCAACTTTACGAGAAAGTCGACGCCCGTATTCTTCACATGGATAGAGTCTCCGCGAAGTTCAATGCGTTTGCTCTCAAGCGCCTCGAAGAAACTAGTAAGTCCTCTTTTTCAATGAAACTTGGCTTGAACTGGAACTTTAAGCTGTTACTTTATGAATTCTCTGCTAAATTTGAATTTTTTTTTTTGATTTTCGAGAGTCTCACGGTATATAGCCTGTTCGCCACGGCTTGAATTTTCTGCTTGTCTGCGTTTCTTTGTTCTCTCACCGGCGAGGTCAGACAAACACTAAACGGCACGTGAACATGAGAGGGTCACACAGAGACGAAGAGGGCGCAGAGAAAACTCTGATTTATCAAGTTGTGTCGAATGGGCTATAGAAAAGAAAATGTTCTGATTTTTGCGAAAAAATGTGGTTTCAGCCTTTTTTTTTCTCGATTCAACTCTCAATTGCAGGAAGAGCGAAGAAAATCCAGAAAGAAAATGAGAATAAACAGACTACGGACAAAAAAAGCGAGGAAACTCCTGGTAACATTTTAAAAAGCTCTGAGTAATAAACTTTCTGATTTTTCAGTCAAGAGCGATTCTGGAAAGCCTCAAATCAACCCGGGCACCGACATGCCGATGGATCCAAATGAACCTGTTTATTGTATCTGTCGACAGGTAATATAATAATTTTTTAATCTTTTGAAAATATAATTTAGGTTTCGTACGGGCAAATGGTTGCGTGCGATGGCAAAAATTGTTCTACTGAATGGTTCCATTTTGCTTGCGTGGGAGTAACTGAAGCCCCCAAAGGTGATTTTTTTTTCAGAAGAATCCTCAAAAAGTATGGTTTTGAGCAAGCAACAAGGGCAGATTTTGGCTGGAAAACTAGTTGGAAAGAAGACACTATAATTTTTTTCGTTTTCTAGTCATTCTTGAAAGCTCGGTTTTGTTTGAGGTTTTCCAAAAGAAGGTCTGATTTTACACTGAGACTGGAAATAACTCTAATTCTCACCTCGAAAAAAGATTGTTTTCGAAATTATTTGATTTCGTCAAAAAAAAAAGCTGAGAATCGAAATCAGGAGAGTCACATCAATAATCCATACTCACATTCAAAGTACATGCCTTCAGATCTACCATAGCCCTAATTTCATATTTACCTTCCACATCTTCTTAGTCACTGATTGATCTACAAATTGATTATCTCAATACTTCAGGGAGATGGTACTGCGAAGAATGCAAGGCCAGGAACCCACGTCGGAAGAAACAGGCGGAGAAGAAAGCTAACGAAAAAGAAGCTGCCGAATGAACCATCGCTGTATCAACTCCATATACATAACTGTAAAAAATTGTTTGATAACTTCGTGTGAGACAACCTTGTTCGAAGCAGCTTTAGTAAAATCCCCAGAAAACCTTTGTAGTTTTTCCTTTTTCATTCTTTTTTCTCTGTATTCTTTCATCCAATAATTCTAAATTTTTTACGGTTGAAAACATTATTTCCCAGATTAGTACGTTTTGAGCTTAAAAAATATTCTTTTTACTCAACTATGTGTATTGATCTCTTGAATCTGCACGATGAAGCTTTAAGAACTCCATTTTCATTGATTATTACCACGAAACGAAACGATCTGAAAAATCTCATTCACAAAGTTTTGAGATTGAAAAAGCGAATTCAATCATGAATGCAAAACAAAAATATGAAGCACGTGTCAAGTTGTTTGAAATTCTTTTCTTTTTCAGTATTTTTTGAACAGGTTTTTTTTTACGACGGAGTAAATAATTGCTTCAAAATGAATTTATTCTATGAACCGGCAAATATATTAAAAAACTAGGAAAAAAAAACGGAAAATTTCAAAGTTTGCTTTGCTTTCGCGCGTTGAGCATCATAGGCAGCAAGTGTTTTTTGTGAGACGGAAGAACCTAAAAATTTGAGTTTTCTCAAAGAATCGACTCAATCCAAAGGGTCAAATATTCGTGTTTTTGATTACATCGAGTGAAAGACGATTCTTGTCAACGCTCACGTCATTTTGGTTGAGATCGCTTGATTTGGCCCATTTGAACAAATTTTCGTAGACGTGGCCATCACGTCTTCCAAGGACTGAACGGTGTTCTCGATCAGTGATTTCCCACGAATCCACAAGAGAAACTGCGTTTGGACGGATTTTCTCTAACAATCGATACATTTCAGATCTCAAATAGTCAAGTTGTCGGCCATTCAAATAACCATCCTGAAATTTTGCCTGTTTTCTTCTTTTTCAAGAAACTTGCTTCAAGGGCGTAAGAGGCAATGTCAATGAGCTCGTAGTTCAAATGAAGATGTAGAAGATCTTCGAGCACTTCTCGTACCGCCATATCCTCTACATCGAGTACTCTTTCATAAAAGTTGCAGGCGATGAATAGGCGGGTGTGAAGTCGACTGGCCTGAAAAGTCTTATTAGAATGATAGAGAAAGCTAGAAACGAACTCTGTTCAGTTCGACGGTACAATTGTTCCAGGCCTGCTCTGTGGAAAGCCCCGAATTCTCATACTTCTGAAGACGCTCCGCGGCTCTGAATGTTTGTCGCCGCGCGATGTGTTCGAAGGCTCTGATGTGCTCCGCATAACCTGAGTTCCCACAATCAGTCAAGCTTCAGGTGCAAATATCGGACCTTCATTGGGCCGACAGTCGATGAGCGAATGACGCTGACCGGCGTGCGCTAGATAGGCAACATAGCCAGTGGGCTTTTTTCCTTCTTTTACTGACTTCACTGCTTTGATGAGGTACCTGTGGAAGCGGTTTAGTTTTTTTTTCATTGTGACTCTACAAGGTCATGCACTGCGATCAGTATTTTTTAAAAAAATTGAACAAAATTTTTTTTGGTGGTCCTGATAAATATCCTAAGCTATAAAACCTGTGCGATATCGAGTTTCCAAGAAAGAGAAAAGCTCAAAGACTTGAAAACGCCCAACTTAACCTTTTTCTGAAATTAGGCGCAGACTTGTTCCGCGCCATTTGGGTTTAGGGATGAGTTGGATGAGCCTTATGGTAGAATTTTCTCTAAATTTCTTCTTTAATTTCGAGAAGATTTGAATAAAAAAATTTTTTTCAGGAAAGTCGTTCCTGGCAGCAAGTTTTATTTTCTATACAGTCCACTCCTTTTTTTTGCAGTTGAAAACTTTGATCAAAATCATTAGTAATCACCTTCCAAGTTGTTGCATCATCACAAGATTTTCTCCTTCATATGTGCATCCGGCAATCCCAACTCCGTAAATTTCACCCATGTAGCTAGCCATAGAATATCCATGACCTCCACAAGCTTGACGAGCCTTTGAAATTCAAATGAATATTTGAGATTTCTACTTTAAAACTTGTTCGATTCCCTGACCAGCCAAATATGTAACTACAGCTTTCAATCCAGAAGTGAGAGCGTGTAAATCAGCAATGAGTTCAATCTGCAAGAGAAACTTTTCAATTTTTTGGGAACTCTTACATTTCCAGCTTCCAAACTCCTTTTCATTATTTCGAATTTTCTGATCGATTCCGTTCCAGCGAAGGCAAATGCGTAGGCTCTAGCAATATGTGGGAATAGCCGATGTTGTTGAGTTTGGTACTCAATCACCTTCACTTCATCTTTTCTGAATTGTTTTTTAGAACAGGTTTCTTCAGAAAACTATACTTAGGATCAATGTAGCCCTGCCTCCGGATGCAAGAATATCTTGTGCTGATTGACAAAGCATAGGCCAGTAGCATGGCATGCTGAGTTATCATGTGCGATCTCACGTGAACCATCGCTGAATAAGCTAGTTTTTCGTGAGGCGGCTTTTTGTATGTTCCGTCTTCTTGCACCTTGAATTCAGATTTGGAAGCGAATTCTTATAACAATGGAGGAACCTTAGCGTGTTTCATCAGCATGTTTCTTCTAGGGATCCTCAAGTTGCTCAATTTGAGAAATCCGTTATCCGACGAGTTGTACGCCATCTTTGGCCCGATGTCACCAATTTGGATATCTGCAGAAGTATTTCCACTATTTTTTATACCAAAACTGATAACTCGGCATAGTTTCATGGCTGTTTTCATCACGGAGCTGAACCATGAAACTGTGCGGACCGAGTAGTTTGTCATCAATGATCAAATTCGCCACGACGATTGCGTAGTTACAACTTTTTCCCATGTTTCCTGGCCACCTGGAATATTTTTTTTTCCTAGAGTGCTTTTTTGAGTCAACCATTTTAGAGACGTAAGCGTTGGCGAGTTCAGAATGAATTCTTTGTTTTGTTTGTCGTACGTCGCCGTGGTTTCCAACATTCTGAGGTTGGTACCTGTATTTTTTTTTTTGAATGAAGAATATGAAACAGGAAGGTGGAAGCTTTGGCAGAATACATTTGTATTCTTTATATTTTAATTTTCAACCGTAGGGCGGAAATCAGAGTAAACTAACCGTGTCCCAGTTCCGTTTGGGCGTAAGTTCCAATGATTTCCATTCGAATCGCTCGGTCTAGCCATTCCCGTTTCTGCTCATCATCAGCTTGTCCTTGTAGTGCCGGAATAAACATGGCGAAATGTAATGAAATAGGCATTCCTTCGATTCCAATAACCATTCTAAATAATTAACCGTTTCAAAAAAAAGTTTTGAAAACTGACTCATTCAAACTTTGCGTTTCCCTGTTGTTACTCAAATCTACAATATCCGTGATGTGTTTAGAAAGTGTGAAAACCTGCAAAGTGATACCTTCTGCGTGGAAATATACATTCATTCAAGAAAAAGTAATTAGTTTCTCGATTGTTTGGAATGGAACCTTTCTTGCAGCTTCTTCGACCTTCTCCTCCCTAGTCATAAACGGCAATGGCTTGGTGTCATGAAGTTCAGGAATGGCGTCAATGGCTTTGGCGATTTCTCGTCGCCGCCGAGCCTAATGGACTTCTCACATTTGAATTTATGATTCGCTTACTAGATGGGATCCGAAAAATTCGTCGGCTAGTTTTCGCGTGTCAAAAGTGGCCTTCCGTCTTTCTTCTGTGAGTTCTGGATTGTCGCCTTCTCGAAGCGCAGCATTTAGATGTGCCGACATGTTCCGAACAGTTCTGATTGAAGCTCAATTGAATCGAAATCAGATTCAGTGATTATCATGAATGAACAAAACACACGACGAACAATCGAAAAAAATTTTTTTATCTATACTTTCAATGTTTTCCTTAAATTTGAATGAGAAAGAAGAAATTCATAATTTTTTTAATGAACGAGGGCGGACTTATAGACGCAAATGAGTGTTCGAAGAGAACTTTAGTCGTCCTACCTGTACTACAATGTAGTCTCGTTGGTTGCAAAAACAAAAAATAGCCTTTCGCAAACCAAAAACTTTCCATTTGAAGCAAACTCTCTGTTTTTCTCTTGCAACGTTCAATCGTTTCACTCAAAACGAAAACAAATTCTCTCTCACGGTAAAATTCTGATATTCAGAAAATTGCAGAACTGACGCAATTTTAAAGCAATTCAGGAGATGTTGTTGGAGCACCAGCGCCGTTCTTCGGCACATCCATCAAAAAGTGCCAGCCCCAATTTGCCCCATAACAAATTGCCTGCTTCCGCAACACACGGTTTCCTGAGTTTTTCTTCCTTGAAGCTTTGCAATCGAAAAATCTTTTGAAGCGTGCTTAAATCTTTTTTGGGTCTCTACATTGTTCCAATCGAACTGATATCAAATAAGCAATTAATGTGGCCTTTTGAGTGTAAATTTTTAAAAATAGACTTGGTATTTTTGAGGTGGCCTCAAGGATTTGTGATAGAGATTAATTCGCCGCATGGAAAACGGTGAAAAGGAAAAGATGCAGATGGAAGTTACTCATTGGATTTTTCGATGTTTTAACGTTTTATAGTACTGAGTAAACTTACAACCCTCACAAGAAGTTGTTTTCTTATTATCTAAACTTTATTTAAAAATCATGAAATGGTTTTGTTTTAATTTAAAGAGAATTTCGAAAACCTTCGAAGTTCTGGGAAGAGTTTTTCACGATTTTGAAGCTCAATTTGAAGAAAACCAGCCGACTTGCATAGGATTCTTCTTCTAATTTCAAGTCGAAGAAAAGACTCCGAGCAGAGTGAAAAGTCGATTCCGCGAGCTAATCAACAGGATCGATTCTGTTTGACCGTTCATCTCGCGAACGATGACGAGAGGCTGAGGAAAAGATAGTCGAGCAGAACGTGTTGACCTCTACCTTGCATATTGCGGCCGACGCGTCTTGCGATATCCCCGGCCTCTTGGCTCCTCGGTTTACACTCTACATTATCATTTCCTCTGCTGCCACTGCATGATACTTCATCCAAAATAATCGAAATCGCGCTTTCCATTTTATTCCAAGTTTTGTTCGTTGAGAAAATTCGAATATTTGGATGAATCCAATACTCAATTTGAAAAAAACTTTTTTTATTTAAGCTCTAGATGTATTAAGAAAATAAAATTTTTTTTCTTTCTTGTTCTGGCGGGAAGAAATTATCCTCATTTGCCTCTAGTAATTTTTTGTTAGTCCCAAACAGCCTAACATTTTTATATATTTCTACTTTATTTCTATTTCAAACAGGTGAAAAAAAGCGCCGTGTTTATTGCCCTTTATCTCAAAACGACTGCCACTTAACTTTCCGCCCACGGTTTCCGCCGCTTAAAATTCCAGGAAATGTGCATTTTCTAGTTTCCTATATATATTTTTTTTCATTCATTGATGTCATTTGAATCTAAATGAAAAAAAAGAAGATGAATCTGAACTATTCTAAATATATCATATCACTCGATGAAAAGAAATAACATACAAATATGTTAAACATTCATAACCGATCATTTTTGAAATACGCTGTGATTTTTTTCAATGTATCAGATAGAATTTATGAAAATTGAAATTTTCATGATTTGTGATTTTTTTCACAAAAAGAGGCTACAAAGTTTCCATTTTTTTCATGACACTGAGATTTTCTTAAATTTTAACTTTTTTTTCATAAAAAAATTACTCTTAAAAACTAAATGTTATCAAAGCCTTAATGACTTTTGAAAAATTCACACGCTGACAATTATTTTGATCTCAATTTAGCAAGTTTCCAAATTAAAAAGACGGATTTTTTTAACTTTTAAAAAGTATATTTCATATTAACCTTTAAAGAAATTGAAACAGTTTTTCTTAACCTTTTTTTGTTCTCTTAATTTGTTGAATTTCAATTTTCTCGAACAAATTCAAACTTCTTCTCAACTGCGAGTTGAACAGCTGAAACTCAGAAATGTCAAAAAAGCCCATCTCAAAGTTTATGGCATTTTCTCGTTTTTCTTTCGCTTTTAATTTTTCTTCTTCTCGTTATCCAGAAAAAGCTTTGGCGACAAATAGGTTATTGGAAAAATTGGTTCGAAAAAAGAAAATGATGTGTTTTGTTGGTGGTGCGCAAGGCGTTTTCGGGAATGGGCTGTTCCGTGCCGACAGCCGTGTCTCCAACTCGGCCGTTCATTCTTCATCCGGCTGTCCCTCTGTTTTCGCCGAGCTTTTCCGCTTGTCCGACGCATCATTAATGTCCGGTCGCAACATGTTTCGTCCTTCTTTCATCTCATTAACTTGCTGCTTTTGAGCAATTCTATTGCTTTCAACTATTTAAGTTTGTCTCAGGATTTTGAATATTTACTTGCACAAAAACCAATTTATGCAATCTCAACGTTATCATTACCTCCTTCCATTTATAACTATAATAAATCACAGCTTTTCGTAAATTTATGAACTTTTTTTAGGAGCGGTAGTGATTGTACAAGAGTCTCTAATTTTTTCGTTTTTTTTTAATGCAAAATTGTGTATATATTTTGAAGCTTTTTATCATTATGCACTGCTGAACTCGATTGGATATATATTTAAAGCAACAAAAATTATTCTACTCGCTCCATCTTCTTTCTATAGAAACATTTTCTCAAACCGAAAACTTCACGTCCACTCGTTACACAGCGAAAAACACCGAGGGACCGTGAAACTTGTGAAAAATCCAGAAGTTTTTGTTTGCAATTAATGGGAAAACCACGAGTTTCGTACGCGTGTTGAAAGGTTCTGAGATGATTAAGGACGTGCTCGAGTGGAGGACTCGCCCCAGGGGACAGCCGCGAGTTTGCGGTCTCAGCTCCGCGCAGCTAAGGATCCCTTCGAGAGCTCAATATGGTTTCTGAAGATGGAGCCGTTGCCTGGCATGTCGCGAACAAGAGCCGCTTTATTTTGGCCCCAACACATGACGTTTCATGAGTTTGCATATTTTCTCGCGGTTTTTCGGTGTTTTTTTATTTCGTTTTGCTGTGGATTTAATTTCAAAATTTTTGAAAATTTTTGGTTGGAACAGAATTTCTCTAGAAGTGATTCAACATTTTTAACGTTGGTAGGAATTTCTTCTTTTTCTCAATTGGAAAAAAAGAGCTATAAAGCTTTTTCTCAGTAAAAAAATTTTCAAAAATTTTCAAAGTTTTCTACAATTCAAGACTGAATGTTCTATCCATTTTTTTCAAACTACTTGATAATTCAAAAATTAGGAAGAAAAATCATTTCTTACGTTTTTTTGAAATATTTTGATAAATTCTGAAATTTTTTTAAAAATTTCATGTTTCTTGGATTCCCTTTGTAAACTTGAACCATCTTTCCTTTATTTTTTTCATACTTGAAAAAAACTGAACTTGTTGAAACTGAACTTGTTGGCGCGTCAGTTTTCTTTTTTTCAATATGAAGATAATTTCATCAGCTGGTTATATACATAAAAATAAGACCAGGAACTTTTTTTCTAACTCTTTTTTAGATTTTAGAAAAAAAAAACGAGAAAAGACAGATTTTCTTTCGTCTTTTTAACATGAGCAAAAAGGATCTCGTTAGGCCATGCGAAAAACCACCTGCTGCTGGCTTTCCATGCGTCATCGAAAGTCCAGAAGGAGCAAGTGCAAAGCTTGAAAGCTTCTTGGCGCCGCCGTGTCCCCTCGGCCCGATTCCAACGCTCTCCATTGCCTTACGCCTTATCGGTGCCATATCCGACGATGACAAACAGTTGAGACGGCAGCCTGAGGAGGAGGCTAGATTTCTCTGACTTCTTTCTTCTCTGCTTTAGCCAGATATAGAGCTGCCACCAGACCGAAATAGAGAATAGCTGGGGGACACCACACGTTTTTCCTCCCATTGATTGTTTCCTGTTGCTTCTCTTTTCTCTTTGTGGGTGTGTCACCACAATTTTCTTATTGGTTTTTTTTCCACAAAACTCTTGTCGCTTCCGGCGCCGTCGGCCGGAAGGTCGTTAGGCGGTCCTCCTGCGCAGCAGCGGCGCCTCATCACTTTGCCTTCCAATAAATATCAAATTACTTCCCTGGCTCCACGACGTCGGCCGTTTTGCCTTTGGAGACATTCCCCGACGTTAATCAGGTTGTTCTAGCTTCCGCCTATTGCTGCTTTGCATAAATTCGTCCCAAGACTTCCAAATCAAATTCATCATCTTTCGCATAAACACATGTTTTATTCAGAAGATCGACCATTGTTCCTCTCCCAACTATTCAAAAGGTTCTTCTCCGCAATTCTTTTCCGTCTTCGTGAAATATTCACAAGAAACTTTTTTTCAAGGGTTCTTGCTCCCCTGATCTATGAAACATCGGCTTGACTTTAAGAAAAAAATAATAAGAGGAATTTTTTTCTTCTTATTTGACTTTGGCAGAAATCTTTGTTGAACTTGGAAACTATTTCAAAAAATGATCTGAGTGTAAATTAATGATCTAACGGTTTCCCCGCTTTAACCTGTGGTTTTAGTTTCACTTTTTGCATTCAAAATATTTTTTTAAAGTCCAATCCAATTTGATACTAATTTGGAATGTTATTTAATCAAACAAAAAAACAAAAAAAGTGAGTGTAAAGTGTATCCGAAAACACGGAAAATTTATTTTTTTGTGTTGGAGTGACTCAATTTTCTGAAAGGCATGTCCTACAAATAGTTTTTTTGATGAATGCATTTCTTAATTACCATCGTAAAAATTAATAAATATAAACTAGTTTTGAAGTTTTTAAAATTTTTTTCAGAGGAGTTTGGAAAATCTGGAAATAAGTCTGGAAATAAGAAAGATTTTGAGAAACTAATTTTTCCAAAAAAATGCCAAAAAAAAAACCGATAAATCCAGATTTATTCCAAAAAAATGGTTCAGGTAAAAAAATCGTTTTTTTCCACAATCTTTCAAAGCGCACACAGGATTGCGATTTTTTTTGAATTTTCGAGAGGAGACCGAAGTTTTCGTGAGAAGAGGTGAGATGGAATTTCCCATACATAATAACTGCTCTAGATTCACATTCAAGTTTCACCTTTTTTGCCAAGCTTGTCCCTGCAAATTTGTTTTTGGCTTCGGCGGTTTTCCTCGTTTTCGCCTGCCCCAGCGACATCCTCTCCGTCCGCATATTGTTTTACGCACATTAGAAAATCGGACACGCCTTCTTGCAGCTGCTTTCGCCGCCGGCGTTCCCACCTTTCTCATCTCGTTTGGTCAAATCTTCTTTCCCGTTGCTGTCGTGACTTTTTTTCCGATTTTGCCAAACTCACTATATGTATTATGAGCAAATATTGCGTATTTGGAAAAACGGGATATTGAAAAATAAATTGAATTTTTTGTCAGGATATGAGCCTTTCGAAGAGCAGGGTTTCGAGGAGACCCCTGGATTTCATTAGACTTGCTTTGGTTATTTCTTTTTCTCAGATGAATATCACGCTTTGAATAAGCCATATCTTTAGTAATCGTTTTTCTATTCAACTTGTTTTCTGATTTTTTTTGGTTTCCTATCATTTTTTTACAAATTAGTTAACCTGTACTCAAAGAACGCACAGCCTGGCCTCTCCGTCGCATAGAAATTGACCACTTTTGCTCTAAGAAATTCTCTCAAGTTTTCAGTTAATAAAACGCTATCTCTGAAAAACCGGTTTAATATTTCTCATTCTGCACTTTTATAGAGATTATTCAAAGTTTATCCAAAAAAACAGTTAATGGCGTTTTTTTGCGGAATTTCGCCCCTGAAGAGCGGAAACGGCGCAAAGAATATTGCCCGGCGAAAGTCGCTGACAGTCGGGGGAAAAACAACAGGGGGGGTATAAAAAAGAATGGCGTTTGTGAGGCTGACGGGGCTTCGGCCCCTGCATCATGGCTCTCGACCCAGCTCTGAGCGCGGTCCGGATCCGACCTCCAGATTTGAACCGAGGTTTAACCTGGAGTGCCGAGCCTAACTTGACCGCGTAAAATTTTAAAGTTTTTGAGAAATTGATTGCTCAGGTTTTGTTTTGATTTTATCGAATGGGCCTGAATAATTGCTTGATAATCAATTATCAGTTCAATAAGATAATTATTCTTACTGACTGTTTCTTAGAAGCTGTATTTGATGAGAGATCTGAAAATTTGACACTGTTTGCAATACCATCGCGTTTTATGAAACTATTCTGCAATTGGCATTTTCGTTTTTTGGTTTTTTGATGATAATTGAAGACCCACGTCATTGTCTTGTTTATATAACGTTAATCTAACTTGTTGGACAGTTTTTTCGTTTAGTTTTTGTTCCCCTCGTTTGACGCGCTGCTGATAAATGATCCACGGAAGCTTCGAACTGTTTGCAGAGTCTATTTGTCTTTTTGGTACAACTTTTTCTTTGTAAGCCCTTTTACTATCCGCTTGTCTTTTTCTGTTTTTTTAACGGATTTTTCTCAAAAGAATTACTGTAAATTGCTCTGCTCCTTACGTCACTTTTCATTTGAAACTTCCTTTCATTTTTTTCACATCATCATCAGTAATAGACAGTTTTTTTTATCGTTTTTTTCAAATCCTGAAAAAAACGGTTCTTACTTTGTTTTTTTCTTAATCATCTACCAAGGAAAAAAATAATTTTTTTCTGGTTTTACAACAAAAAAAAAACTAATTTTTACTGTTATTCCTAGCAAAACAAAATTACAAAAGCTTTTTTTCAAGAAGCATTAAAGGATAGAAAAAAATCACAAAGAAGCATCAAAAGAATAATTTTTCTCAATTCTTATTCTCAGGTCTTCAGGAATTTTAGCGTCCCCGCTGACATATTGTTCTGTATGATTCACGACGTCTTCTGGCTTTCCGTGTTTTGATTGCTTTCCTTTCACCAACGTTTTCTTTGGCCGTTATCCTGGTGGTTGCAAATCGTTTACATACGACTTGTCAATATACATTCTCTCTTTAAAGCTTTCAGTAGGTTGATGAAAAATTTTAACTTTAAATAAATTGTTCTAATACGGAGTGATAAAGTTCAATGACTGCTTCTTTTTATTTTCATAATTCTTATTAAGGAAGAAAAAAGTTTAATTCCCAATTAACAAAGATATTGCCACCAAGTTTTGATCGAACATCAAAGTTTACATACACAACTATCTTTGATAAAGCTTCCCCTTTCCAAAAGCTTTTTGAAACAAAAATATTTGGAACAAAGGCTTACCGTTTCTTTTTTCATTTGCAGCAGCAATTTTTCATACTAATTGTTGACACTCAACCTTTTTTCCGGTTATCAAAAGCACTTTTTCATCACCTATTCAAGTTTTTAAACCTTCATCTTGCAGATCAACTAGGATATGGGATGAAATGACTTGAAATGGCAGCGAAGGACGAATGGCAGAACGAGGGGCAGTCTGCCGACGACAGCGGCGTCTCCACTATCGGCTCTTCTTGCTCCCTGCAACTCCAGCTCCGATCATCAAGTGGGCCGGACTCCTTTGCCGAGGTAGGACAAAAAATGTTTTAATCAGAACAAAAATCAATTAACTCTTTTTTTTTCCTTCACTGCAGAGAATTTAGGGTTTTGAAAGTTTTGAAAACTTTTCGTTCGTTTGAAAATATTTTCTGCGTTGTCAAATGTTTTGAACGTCTCCTAAAAAAAACCTCAAGAATGATTTTCTCATGATGAGACTTTTTAATCTTTGCGGAAAACTAACTAGACCGTATATTTTTAGGTGACCGGTTAAGATTCTTGAAAAACCTCACAGAAATTGATTTCGAGGAATCCTGTTTGCAGATCAGAGAAAATATTTTTCACTGCTGCTTTTCTGTCGAACTCTGCTCTTCTGAGTTTTTGTTTCAGTTGCGGCGAAAATTTTCTTGTCATTACCGGAAGGAAAATTCAAAAAAATGTTTAGATTGTTGGAATCAAGAGATTTCAGGGTAGAAGTTTGCAATTTTTTCATTATGGTTTCAACCGGCCAACAAAAAAAAATGTTTTTTGTCAGCTGTGCGTGACTTTCTGTAGTTTTGCAGTTGATTATTCGAAGAATTTTCTATATCGTTGTTCCTTGTGCGAATTTTCATTTACATATTTCGTTTCTGAAGAAATTGTTAAAGATTCTGATGAACGAGCACAACAACAACATCTCGGCGCAAATGGACGTCGTGAAGCTTCTGGCACTGAAGTCGACGGACAACGACGAGGAGCAACATTCGAACTCGAGTAGCCTCGAATCCATCAACTCTCTGCGAAACCATCAAGGTTTTCTTTCTATTTCCTCCGCTTCAGAAGCAACACGTCGCCGTTAATCTCTCCGGTTAAACCTCACTTCATTCTGCCTTTTGTTTCTGTTTTCTTTTTTTGGTCTCACTATTTTCCTCATCACGAGTGGAAATTATTTTGGCTAGATTTTCAAAATCTCTTTCACAGTCACAGTCCACGCTGAAAACTCGTGGTGTAGCACCTGAATGAAAATAAATATAAACTCTGGTTTTATAAACTTTTCTTTGAAATACTTGACACAAGTGTTCAAATTTTTTCCGGCTTCAGAATGGTTAAAATATGTTCGGTGTTTTGGCTTGAATAGATCCCTGAGGACATACTTTTTTTGGAGTTGAACTTCCAGATTTTGTTTAAACCAAAAAAAGAATTTTCAGGTAGCCAGGAACGAGAAAACGAAGAAGACGACACAGGCTCAGGCTCAACGTCATGTTCTGAAGACTCGTTCGAGATGTCGAGTGCTTGCAGCGTCAGACCAAATCTGGGTGCACAAATATTTTTTGGCTTTTTGTGCTTTTCGTTTCCGACTAGCTCCCAGAAAAGACTTTGGTTTGTCCGAAATGAAATTTGCAAGTTAAAAGATGTGGAAAAGGCGAACACACACGAAAAGGCAGAACTGCCGTTAGGCACGCAATCAACGCGTTGCATATCTCAAATTCAAAGATTTTTTCGCAAATATTTCTGACATTCTTTAAAAATGAAATTTCTTTGCAACGCTGATTCAGTGGAGATATTGAAAAAACAATATAACACAAATAATGGACCGAAATAAACAGTTAAACAAATTTAACGCCCTTTTAATCTAGTCTCTGCGGGTTGTTGAGACTTTCTACGGAAAAAATTATTCAGATGGATTTTTCGAAATATTCTTTGATAATGGTCTCTGAAACTCACTTTTCCACAATATGATTGCTTACCGCATCAGTTTCATACTAGTTTAGAAATAGAGCCCATGAAATTAAAAACTACCAGAAAACTGATTCAAAAAAACGTAATTTTGATTAACTTTTAGAAGTCAGCTAAAAAAAAGAGCAATAGACTGAGCAAGAGTTTTGCGTGGCTTCCGTGACGGTTAATTTGGCGAAGATTTGGAATACTATGCAAATGAGCGTTCCGGACTTCAGGGCTGACGCGCGATTCACGCGAGACGACTTGTGACTCCTTCGACGACATTCATAGCCCAGCCGTTTCCAACGCCACGATAAACGACTGCGGATTCGTGTAAGTTCATTTTTCAACTTTTCTGGTTGAACAAGCTTTTGCATGGATAGTTGTAGTTGTAACTGTACACATAAGTTGTTTAAGTGGCAGGTTAAGAATTAGCGGAGGTCAACACTTTTTATTGCTTGCTGGTATTTTGTATATTCCTGAATAAGAAGTAGAAACATCTCATATGCAAGGTCATCTTATTTTTCGCTTGGGATGTTCTGAGAGATAGGCCAGAACACTTCTTAATGTACTAAAAGAGATTTTGAAGGTTTCAACCTGCTCAACTTTCTAATTCTTTAAGAAATGAAGACTCAAAGGCGCAAAATAACCTACTTGAACAAAGTGCATTTTCTTCTTTTTTTTTGCAAATTGAGATTTTTTAAATTTCGATCAACAAATCAAATTTTCACCTCAGAAAGTTCCCAATTACAGGGTGAAACGGTTTTTCTGGTTGGCTTCAGACATTTTTCTCTATCTGAAAAAAATAATCGATATTGAGAAAAATATCGTTAACAGAGAAATATCAGGAAGTAGGCTTTTGAGTGTCTTGCCGGCCGTTAGCATATTCAGGACGCCTTTCATAATGTGTCATTTTGCCGCTCAGTTGACCATGAGTAATATGCGGCTCTCTGCGCCACTTTTTGTTCTAATTGGCTTCGTTCTATTTTCGCTGCTTTTTCCTAGGACAAGCTTTTCAGGCCATGCAAACCGTCGTCTTCATATTCCGTCGATTCGTTCATATCGGCAACTAAGAAAGGAGCTTACCAGACTCCGACTTCCTTCGAGAAGATTCGCCACAGAGTCGCCAACCAGATTGATCACATTGATACCGGTTTGTTCTTTTCGAGATGTTGTAGCATTTTCTGACCTTTTTCGAAATTCCTCATATTTATCGAAAAATACTACTGCACACCTCTCTGCAACTGGCTTATTTAGAATCGGTCTTATTGCTCGAGCGTCTCCTTTCTCAAATCTTCTTCCTTTTCTGTCCATGAATTCGGCTAAGGTGACATTTCCAGGCTTGCCATCTTTGGACTTTGACAAATTGGAGAAGCAGCTAGCGACGGCGGCTCAGGAACGGGAAGAGCAAGAAAGAAGGATGCTTGGAGAAGAGGTACAAACCGAGAAATCCATGAGACCTTGTATCTTCCTTGTTTCTCGATCTTCAAAGGCAATTCGAGCTTCACTTTCAAATTTTTGTCAAATTAGCGTCAATACAAAGTTTTGAATACCTTCACTAGTGCATTTCAAAATGCATCCCTAACATGAACGGCACTCAGGAGATCTCAAGCTTTTCTGACTTTTTATTGTTATGTGATCACTTTCCATGACCTCACGAAACAAAGAAAGAAGACGTGTCCTCTTGGGCCCGACTGTATTGACCAATTGAAAATAATCGAGAAACGGTCAATGTTATTTTTCCTGACCACAAAAAAAGCGTTACGTCATACTTATTTATAAGTTCCGCTGTATCTAACCCAAAATTAAAGCATGTGGGAGCTTAACCGACTATTACCTGAATTTCGGCTTTTCTTCATATTTTTAATTACGGATTCTGTGTGGGAAAATTCTGTCCCGAGTTTTTTCGTCCTTCCATCGTGTCTTTCAACATTCATCTGATTTGCAACGTTCGCTGTCATATTGCCTCTTCATCTGCCTTTAATCGGAAGACGCTTTTTTGACCTTTTTCCGTTTGCGCTCGTTCTTTCTCATCTTGATTTTGGAAGCTTCGCGTTCAAAAATTGCATACCCTTTCAAACTGCACCTCATCCAAACAATGGAAATCAAGAAAGATAAAGCTTGAGAGAACGTTGTGTCTACATTCATCCATAACAAAACAATTAACGAAGTTCTTTCAAGCTAAATTAAAGATTGGTCTTTTTCAGTGCTCAGGACATGTTTCCTCAACACACTCGAAAGATGTTTTTTGGTGGGAATTTTTAACTTTTTCAGGTGAGAAGGAGGCTAGCGTTACAAGCGGACTCGCATATAGGCCCGTCGCCGCAAATCTACACCAGACCACATCGTTCTAATTTAGCCTTGAGACTCCAAACTGCAATGAACCTCCAGGTTAATAGTTCATAATCATGAGCAAAAATCCAAGAGATTATTAAAAAATCTCGTAACCTTTAAGAAAATTAGGCATTCAGGTTGATTGGAATTGCTGCCTAATATCATATTGCAACCATTTTTTGCAAGCTATTCAATTTTTCGTGACATTTCACGTCATGAAAGCTCTCATTTCGTTACCTCTAGAGCTTTTGAAAATATTAAGATTCCAATAACTTTTCAGAAAAATCACTTTTCCTTTCTCTATCTTTGAAATTTGAAGTGGTTACAACGATGTAGTTCAGGTGTGTTACATGAACGAAATGAGCGAGAGTGAGACCGAAAACGAGGAGTCCGACGACTCCGACACCGATATGTTTGTCAGGAAAAGCAAGTCGGCGCCTAATCTCAAAGGTAACACACCTTAAGTCTGTGCTCACGGAAGTACTGTATTTGCAGATTCTTGTAAACCTTCTTCGCGGCAGACTCAAAGAATAAAAGAGTTGACGGGGAGAATACAGAACGACGAAGTTTTGAGCCCAGGTAACGGATATTTCACAAAGCCATCGACATCGAAAGAATGTCATCAGGATTATTTTTTGACAGATTTCAAATGTTTTCTTATGGCATGTTCATCGGAAAAACGTAACATGTTTCAAAACGCAAAAGTATGTTTATCGTCGCATCAAACTTCATCCGAAACATTACTAATTTTTCTTTTGAAACGATTTTCTTGCGTTTCGGAACCCTTTTCGTTTGTCCGACGAACACGCCGTTAAAGATTAATTTCTTTAGAGGTGCGTTTTTTGTAAACCGCAAGAAATTCACTAGAAATTTTTCAAACGCATAGAGTTCTTTCATAAATTTCTTACTGCTCCATTTTTTTTACAGCGTAACTTCTAAAATCATCTGTTTCTGATATCGACAATCTTCCATTTTTTCCATGTTTTCAGTTTTTGATCGAATTTCTCTAGGTTTTTTTTTCACTGGTCAATTTCTTTCTCCGAACACAAAAAAAAAGAGAAGCAAAAAAAAAGACAAAACGACATAGAGCGGTCCCTTGACACCAGAAAAGGTGCCCTTGATAATCTTGGACCTTGATTCATTGCCTCGGGGAACGACTCTGTGGCGGCAAAGTCGTTCCATACAGCCTATTTTTCTAGAAGAACGGATGGGATTTTTTTGCGGCACGAAAGTCAACGGGTATTACAAATGGCTAAAAACGCGGCTGAAGAGTCTCTGACCAATTACAGAAGGTTAGTTAGAAAAATATTTATCTCTTAATTTTGCGATACTTGTCAGTGCGATTTTTTTCTTAAACAGTTACTCAAGATCTTTTCCGTTTCCAAAAATTCAAAAAAATTTATAAGCTAAATTTTGAATTTTGCTGTAAGCTTTTTGAATCGCTTGAAAACAAATTAATTTTTTTTTTCAGAGGAAAGTCCAAAGCCAGCGACGTTCCTCGACAGGCAAGGCAATACTTGAGTAAAAAGAAACTCGACGAAATTGATTCAATACGGAGACTAATCGAAAATGCAATATCTAGTGGGTTGCCCCGAAAATTACGTTGAAAAAGGATATTCAGGGAAAAATATGGAATTGGTACAACTTCTGTTAGAAAGAGACAGTTTGCACATGGAGCACGATTCTTTACGAGTAGACATCGACGACTTCACTCAACACGAAGCTCAGGTTTTTGTTGCTTCCATAACGCTCAGAATATATCGAAAATCTAATCAAAAGATCCTTTTGGTTGAACTTGCTTTAAGTTCGGAGCAGCTCCAGTAGGAAGCTATCTATGTATATACGGAGCGAAACCTTTAACAGTTGCTTTGGGAGTTGAAAAAAAATATGAAGCCGGGTGATAAAACCTTGATTGGCAAATTTTCATATGTTGCTTTGAGCCTTATTTTGACACTTACTCTCAAATTTGATTATTCACGATGCCCATTCAGGTCAGAAATTAAAAAAAACACCTTTTTCAGGCCTCAGCACTAGATCTCAAAAACCTGATTCCTCTGCAAGAAAGACTGGAAGCGGGAAATTTCACGGCTCCGCGCAGATGCGAGAGGAAACCGGCTGCGGCTCCTCCATCGAGCCTTCAGCCGGAAAGAAGGATGAAACCCACGACTCCAGTCACACCTCTCACTACTCCTACGTCCCCTTCCCTCTCGTTTGCTTCTGTCATACCAAATTCCTTCAACATTATTCCTTTCTTCAAACGTTGAGTGACTCTAGCGATAGTGATGTGCAGAGTTTTTATTTCTTAAATTATTCTGTCCAATAAAGATTTAAAAAAAAAAAGAGTTTTATTATTTTGCTGTACTTTTAACATTTTAACATTTATTCAGTCCTCAGAGTAATCTTGTATCTGCTGAATCATGAATATTTGATGAAATGTTTGTCGGTTCGCGCAACTGTCGCCCATCTTTTACCAAGAACAAAACATCTTGCCAATGAGGTTTAGGTCGTCCAACTTCGCGAGTTTTCGCCCATGGTCGCCATTCCACGATTTTCTTCGCCCATGTGTCTTCTCCCGTAGAGATCTTCTTTGCGAAAAGCCATTTTCTCTTCACAGCTTCCGACCGAACTTCGTGTAGCTCTAACTTTTCATAGAGCCAGGAGTTTCTTATTTTGTCGAGCAACGTTACTCCGAGCATCCATCGCATCATTTTCCGCTGATCTGTTTCGAGAAGGTCCCTCTCTTTCTTCTTTAGAGTCCATGTTTCCGAACCATAGAGAAAGGCTGGTTCAATACACTTGGCTTTGTGTATATTGAAAACGTTTCTTCGTGTTAAGCACGTGCGTTGGATTTCGGTTTTTGAACCACCAGCGAAGTAGAGATGAGTACCGAGGTAGATGAACCCGTCCGTGTAGGCGATTCTTTTTCCATCAATCTCGAAATTTTTTTGGGCTCGATTAGCCATTATGAACATTTTCGCGAAGTTAATTGCCAAGCCGGCCTTCTTGCTTTCTTTCGCCAACTGGTTAGCCATTTCTTGGATCTTCTGCGTACTGGATGCAAGCAGTACAATGTCATCAGCGAAACGGAGGTGCGACAAAATTTTCCCATTCACAGAAAATCCATAGTTCTGCCAGTTGAGCCTTCGAAAAATGTGCTCGAGGGTGGCGTTGAACAAATCTGGAGAAATTGTGTCTCCTTGACGCACGCTTTTCTGTATTCGAACTGGTACATCTTGTCCTCGAATTCTGACAGAGACTTCTGCTTCTTCGTAGATGTTTTTCAGAGTCATAACGATCTTCGAATGGACTCCAAACTCGCTGAGAGCCGTCCAGAGAGAACCGAACTCCACAGAATCGAAAGCTTTCTTGTAGTCGACGAACATCAGGTACAAGGGGAATTCGTATTCCTGAGACTTCTGGATCATCTCGGTCACGACCAGGGTGTTTTTTGCTGTCAAGAATCTAGATCGGAAACTAGTTTGCTCGATGGGTTGAGCAGCTTCCAGTTCACGCGTAGCTCTTCTTCGAAGTATCGAGGTGAACAGTTTGTACACGACGAACAGGTGCTACTGGGCGGTAGTTTCCTATATCCAGGCAGCTTCCTTTCTTGTGTAGCAGTCTCACGACAAAGTCCGGCATTGACTGTGGAGCTCTTTCTTTCATGAAGCTTTCGTTGAAAATCGTCATTAGGTGTGGAACGACGATGTCTTCACACGCGAGAAGCATCTCCAGAGTGATCATATCCGGCCCAGAAGCTTTGTTACTTTTGGGCTTTCCTCAACGCCGCACGAACTCCGTCAGCCAGTATCGAAGGGAAGTCTTCTTGAGATGTAAGGACCAGGGCTGGAGAACTTGCGCGAGGTATAAAGAGTTTTATAAAACTGCTGAACAGTTATTGGTCATCGAGAGATTTCCAGGACCACTTTCTGTTAACACGCTTTAGAAAAAGGTGTTCTAGATCCTCAGCCCATTCGCCTCGCAGAACTCTAAAAGAGTTACCCGACGGTTATTACGGACTCCAACGCCATGGCAACTGAGAGAGAGTTCGGTGTCAATCTTACTGCCAACTTTCGCATTGAAGTCACCTAAAGTCAAGGAATAAGTCACGTCCGCCCCCGGGTGCCGATCACGACGTTGGAGGTGACTCAGAACTTTCTCTAGGTCATCTAGGAACATTGAATATACCTCATCGGTGTAATCCGTGGTTGGAGCGTACACTTGGAAGATTCGTATACGTTCTTTTTTGATCTTGACATCGATGAAAGCGAGGCAATCGTTAACAGGTGTGAACTCAACACTGGCAGCCAAGTCTTTGTGCACAAGGAACCCTACTCCTGCTTGAGATGATTTTCCGTGGTAGTAGAGTATGTGCTTGGTGTCATTCAAGACGAGGCTACCAGTGCTGGCCCGGCGAATTTCGCAGAGGCCTATGATGTCAAAGTTCACCAACCTGACCGCGTTCTCGAGGGCTACGAGTCTTTCGTTCGAGAGCATTGTTCTCACGTTGAGCGTTCCAACAAAAAGGTGCTTTGCCATGTAGGAGCAGTACGACGTCCAACTTGTCCAGGGCTTGCGGACGACGGATTATCAACTCTCCGAACGAGAGCGGAAGAGGAGAGCGACCGCTCGGCGTGTAGAAATGAGTTAATAATTTTGCTGTGCATTTGTAAAAATTGAACATCTGCATCAAAGACTTTCGAGTGATCCATCTGAATAAAGAACTAAGAAACAAAGCTTTTGTAGACGGCAAGTTTAAGTCAACAGTCTAAAACGCCGTACAAGTCATCACTACCCGCATTATTCCACCAAAATTCCAACTTTTCGTAAAATTTTTGCAGAGAGATTTATTTCATTCGGAAATACTCTGATTATTTCGAAAAAAAGGAAATTATTTTATGGATTATGGGCTTTTCTTTAATTTCCTGCTTCTTTGGTTGATCCTCTTTCAGATTCAAAAAACTTAAATTTTTTTTTTACATAGCGAAAGAAAAATCACAACAGAATACCAGCATTTTGTCTATTTTTTCCAGCATCACAATGCAGTAGAAAACAAATAAATAAATATTGATGTGAACAAAGATATAAAGCCGGTTTCAATGGCACTGGGCAAGATTTACAACGTCGCATTATTAAGTTGGTCTCGTTCACAACGTCAGAAGCTCATCAAGAAAACTGAACAACAAGTTTTCAAATGATAGCTGAAATTAACATACCTTTGTGTGTTATGCATGAAAGTGCTTGCCAAAAGGATTGATGGCCCGCCGAGACCCTAAAAGATTCTACTTATCAATCATATCAAAAAAAAACAAAATCCAACTTGAGCGCGTTTGGCGTTCACGTTGCGAATATATGCGGACTCTTCAAAAGTTGCTCCTCCAATAACAAAAACAACAATGTGATCGGTACGGCAGCTGAATAAAAAACCTCGTCAGATAGTCTGAGATAAGTCCATTTTCATTTGGTTGGAATGGTCACAATGAGAGTGAATAAATCAAAAACGAACTTCGCAAATAAAATTACTGGAAAAAAAGCTTACGTTTCTGACGAGACTGTAGGAAACTGTTCGTTCATCCTGCCTCTCAAAAGACTTTCAATAACAGTTTTCAAATAAGGTTCATGCTGGGTGTAGATGTTCTCAACGCCTTTCAGTCCTTTTATGAACCTACAAAACCGTTTGCATAGAAAAATTTGAAAATTCACCTTTTGGTCAGTTCTATAGTCGATCCTCCTCCGAACAAGTCGTTTGATCTTCTTCCCGAACCGCCGTATTTCAATAAATTTCTCACTATTTGAGAAGCGTTGGCGTTCTTAACGCAACAATAGACTTTGAAAGAAATGCTTGAAAAAAACCTTTCCTCTCAAGAAACTCAACAAGGTAGTTATATCATTGTTCTGGTGGTTCTCAAAACGAAGAGCGTACAGCATGACTAGCCGGAGAGCGTTCTAAAGATTATTTTTTGCCCGAATTTGGTTTCAGTTTTAAAAAGTTATTCATCACCAATGGAAACCTTTTGGCCGCAACTGACTTTTATAAGTTCTTTAAATAAGATTCTGAGAAAGAATTTCATTTAACTTTCCAGTTGGGAATGTCCTGAATCAGACCACTTTTTGATGTGCCAATTTTAGATTTTGAAAGTCTGCAAAACTCCAAAACAGGCGATACCCAAGACCCAATACAACGGATTTTGAGAAAATTATTCAATTTTGAAATTTTTTATCTCAGAAACTAGAAAGTTGTGCGTGTTAAGACTTCCAAGATACAACAACAGTCAATTTTTGGGAATTCCAAAACACAGAGTGAAATGACCTTCCTTGTGACTTTTGTGACTTGAAGCTATCACGTAGCTGCCAGCCCAAGGTTTTTTTTATGAACTCAGGCAACCGTTCCCAATTTGAAAATATTCTTTTCAAAAATTCAGAAATAAACTCTACCAATGGCGTGGTTTTAGGATGATTCAGTAAACTCTTCACTCTTCCCAAACATCTGGAATGGTCACCTTCGGCAACGATCGTTTGTTCAACCCAAAATTGAAATAAATTGGATTACTGCAAACGAAAAACAATCACTTCTGACATCTCGAGCAGATTTGTACTTGAAACCAGTTTACTCAGCTCTCCCACAATAGTAACATGTTTAGAGACGGTACCTTAAACTCATTATCATATTGTAAAACGAACGGATAAAATCTCTTTACCTGATATCTTCTGGAACTGTGGGTATTCTTCCACGAACTTTTTCATGTCAGCTATGGATTCAAGATTTTTGTGAATCTTCGATTTTTCTTGGAACTCGTTTATGAGTGTTTTGATGTTCTGACCGATTTCTCCAAAGTTTGATGTGATGTTCTGCAATACGAATTTGAAATGTAATGTACAATTCCACAAGTGCTTATGAAGCTTTGTATTTCCCAATCATAAGCGTTTTTCTTGTTCATATTGGTTTTGAAAGAAAGCCAACAAAAAACGAAAGATTGCACTGCCTTTCAGTAAGACGGCCAAAATATGAACATTTCAAATATCAGTTATTTTGTTTTTTCATTAGGATTTCTCTAAATATAGACAAAACTGACGGCTGCAAAGAAATCGTCGTACAATTCGCTGAGAACCATACTTTGGCCATCTGCCGTCAGGCGATTGTTACTCAAAGTTATCAGTTCATGAATCTAAAATTTTCCATTTTAAAAAATAAATTGAAATATGCGCTTTCTCACCATAGCTTCGTAGGTCCACTGGTTCAAAAGAGGCGTGATGGCGTCCAACGATCGTTCAACAATTAATAAAAGTCCTTCGTTGTGAGCCGACTCGAACAAAGTGTTTTCTCGACGTACCACTTGAGACACTTCTTCAGCAATGTTTCTACAATTCAGCGAAGAAGCTTGATATCTGAAAATGATTTTCGAACAGAAATTCCAATAAATCCCACCTTATCATAGGTTTTCTTTTCAACTGGAGCATTAGAGAAACTATTGATTGTTTGATTCTCTCAAACGCAGCTGCCTTCAGATTCATGGAGGAGTCGTAAATTTTATTCATATTCAGGCAATATAAGTCTCTTCTCAACGGAATGCCGTCCAAAAAGTATTCGTGGACTTCACGAACCTATAAAAGCCCAACGTATAGAAGAAAATTTGAAAAAAAATCTTACCACTTCATTCTCGTCGGCTTCAGCAAGCGTTTTTAAATCCTGTTTGCTGATGATGTTTGAAAAATCTGAAATCAAATTTTTCGAAGTTGTTGCAAAACGAACAAGCTCACAAATATAATATTGGCTATACTTTGGTTGGCGAAGCTCTTTAATTAATCTGTCAATGTTCTCTTGTGTTGGCCGAATGAACGCAATACATTTCAGATGGGAAATCGAATCTCGAGGTACGGCAGAATCCAATCGGTCAAATAAATACACCTTAAAAAAATATGAATTTACAATTCGAAAAATAGTTTGAGTTCTTGGTTTACCTCTTTCTGCATTATTTCTGACTGAGCGTAGGCACAAGAAACGCAAGAAGTCTTCAAAACTATTTCATAATCAATAGAAACAAGTAAATTCTTACCGTTTCTTTATCCATCAAAAAAATTTTCATTTGAGGTCCAGCTAGAGCTATCATGTCAGTTATTAACTGACGACTTGACGTAAGAACATCCATTATGACCTTCAAAAAGGGCGAGGTTAAAAGTTACGAAATGAAGATGACTAGATTTGGAAGTAAGACGTTTTTTGAAAAATTTACGACCAAACGAAAACAAAAAGAAATATGAAAAATTGAAAAAAAGAGAAACAAAGAATAGACAGAAATTGACGAGAATGCATTCATACGGCAAACGTGCATGCACACAGCCGCGCTGGCACTCGAGCCCCGCGCAAATTTATTATTTTTTTTCATTGGTTACAGAGCTTTTTCTGTTCTTTGTTTGTTAGTTCATTTTTTTCTCAAGTAACTTTTTTTCAAAAATTTTTTCCAGTCAAAATGGCAACGGCGAGCCGTTCTTCAGCGGCTAATCCACTTAAAAACAAAGTGGATGTTATTGTAACCAGAAAAACTCAGCTTGGATAAAGTAAGTTTGTGGAACGAAAAATGAAATTGATTTTCGAATTTAGGACTTTATGGGCGTAGTTGAATACGTGGCCCCTCTGGTCAACGATATAGAACTCGACAACTATGCTGAACGAAAACTGACAAGAAAACTTGAGAAAAAGCAAATTGATCTAAGGAAGGAGTACGTTACGGATTTGGAAAAGGTGTGATTTATTTAGCATTGCTTTTCTTTTGATAATAAATTATTTTTATTTTAGGTGAATAAACTGGTACAATCTGTCGACGAAATCGTGCAGAATATGAACAAAACTTTCGTCAATTTAACGGATAGAATAGAACACGTCAAAGAAACTAACACAAATCTTTTGCAAGAGACCCGTCGACTCCAAGTTTTGAAGTGCGTTAGGTTTAGCTTTCTTGAAAATTCTTTCTTTTCCAGGAAAAAAGTAGAAGCGAAGAAAAAAGCCGTTGAAAGTTTCCTCGACAAGTTTTCGTTGAGTGATGCAGAGATCGACGCTCTTGACTGTGACCAAAAAGGTTAGCTTGATCGAAAGTCTTAATCATCTGGGAATAGATAACCGTCTTTCTCCGCAGTTTTTCTTGGCTTTGCAACATGCCAAGGAAATTCACAACGACAGCAAGGAGCTCATCACAACTACTGGAAATCATTTAGCAGCGTTAGTTCCGGAAGAAAAAAATTCTGGAAAAAAATTTAAATTTGCAGCATCGAAGTTATGGACGCTATGGAAAAAAGAATGAAGGCAGCTTATACAACCATCTTCTCCAAAATCACTCGTAATTCATGATTCAACAAAAAGGTTACATAATTCACTTTTCAAGGTGAATTTCGACTCCTGAATTCGGATTTCATCGTTGCAAAATGTGTGATTGTGCGCTCACTCTGCTGCCTTCAAGATTTTCCTTATATGCTTCAACTTACTCTCGGTTCGATAAACTTTTTTATTCTCAATAAGAAAGTGCTCAGATGAATACGCGACAATCCGAGGCAACGAAGTTCTGAGACAGTACATCGAAGCGCTCACCAAAGGCCCACACGGCAGTGGAAAACCCATCGAACTCATGAGTCACGACAAAATGAGGCAATTTTTGCATTCTTAGAAGTTTAATAGAAAACTCGAAATTCAGGTACGTAGGAGATATGCTTGCGTTTATGCTGGAAGTTACGGGAAATGAAATGGACCTTCTGGAACAACTTCTTTCTGAATGTGACAAGAAAGGTGCTTTATTTTTTCTATTTTTTTTGTTTTGCTTCTGAAAGTTCTGAAAGCTAGAAATATAATATGACCGCCCAAAAACTTTTTGCAAATAAGCCAGATTTTTTTGACATTTTTTTAATGCCTTTTTGTGTTTTATACTTGCGATTTTTGTTGCAGCTGACGACTGCTGGAAGATTTTTTTAAATAAATACAATTTTTCTTCTAATACTTCCAGAAAGAAACTTCATTTTTTTCAGTTTTGGCCTCTAACTCGGCTCAGGTGTTGAACAACAGCACGAAGTCATTTTGTGCCCCCTTCAAGGTTTCAATAATAAATAAAAAAACTGTATAAAAAAACATTAAAAATTTTAGGTGAGAGTGGAGCAATCTTTGTCGACAGAATCGGAATGTGTTCTTTTGTTCCGCATCTCTAATTTATTTTCTTTCTATGCGCAGAAGTTTCGGTAGATATTTCATTTTTTTTTTCTAATAAATCAAGAATAATCTTTTCAGGCCGGTGATTGGCGAAGGAAGTGAACTCGAAAAAACTTTAGTCGATCTTCACTCGCTGTCGATGACCATGTTCTACGCAGGCTTAAACACATCCGTGCAAAAAATCTTGAGCAAGGTTTCCGAAAAAAACACAATCGATTATCATTTTTTTTTCTCAGATGAGCGCTCCAGACTACGACCTTCTGCCCGTTCAAGCAGTTCATCACTGTTTGATGTTGCTCAAGGAAGTTCTGGACACTCATGACGGAGGAATGGGAAGTCGGCCGGACGCTAAGGAAGATTTTCAAAAGATTTTTGAGTTTGTCCTCGATCCTCTCACAAGAGAAGTTCAGTTGACCGCGACACAACTTCATTCGCCTTTAGGTAACAGATCATCTCATTCTTTTTCCAGAACGCAAAACGTTTCAGATGTTGCTGTGTACACATTGAACTGTTTGTCTGCGATTCAGTCAGTGGTGGTCCTGTACCAATTCGCTGACAAAAGATTGGAAATGATCGATGCAATGGTGAGCAATGTTTTCAAGCAGGACTATATTTTTTGTAGATTGAAAGTAATGCGGACGTCCTGGTGTCAGAAGAGGTTGCGGAAGTTCTCAAACAAACGCGAATCCTCAATATCTACCAGAAAGCATCCGCTCATCAGAAAGAGCAGGTATCACTTTCCGAATCAATATTTTTCAAGTAAAATCGTACGAAGATAGGAATACGACTTTGGTCAGACAGGCAACGTTTTTTTTTTGGTAACAGTGCAATTCTGTATTCAGGAAAACCTCGAATGAAAAATTAATGGTTTTTTCATAGGTGGTTATCAAAGGTTCCATCAAACTTCAGGGTTTGAATTAAAGTTTTCGGATGTATGCAGTTCATAGTTTTGTGTAAAAGAAGCTTATTTGCGATAATTTTCGAGCTTAATAAACTGCTGATAAATTTTTCGATGATTCCTGAAAAAATTTAAAAATGACTGTTTCTTAGCGTCAAAAATCATTGATATCAACAAAAAAAGTTTTTAGGGCCCACTTTCCGCTGTTCCTGGAATGGACAAGGCTACGGTTGCTGAAGTTCTCATCAACTTTTCAGTTTATCTACACAATCCAAGCACTTGTCATCTGGACCACGCTTCAAAAATAAGCAGCTCCAGGATCCGGTAAAGCTATTTCATTACACCATATCAGGATAAAACAAATAAATTACTAAAAAAAACTTTTTTTTTTCAAGTTTTAGATGCTATTTACCTTTTAAAAAAACTTAATAAAGATTGTCTCAAGATAGCGTTAATTATTGAGACCAAGATTACGGTATGTTTCCAGAGAATCCGTTCGACGACGCAGCGTCACTGAGCTCATCAACGTTTACAGCTGCTTGGCGGCAAAGTTCTCTGAGCCGAACAATGGGTACCTTGGCGACGAAAAGTTCAATTTTTCTTCCTGTGGAACAAGTCACTCAGCTTCTTGAAGTCGGCCTTAATAATTAATTTAGTTTTTTTTATTGTGCAATATATGTATTTAATGTCATCATTTTGTGATAATTCACTTGCTTTATGGGGTCGAACATGGACAGATTTCTATTCTTCGGTTGTTTTAAAATAATTATATTGAATTAATGAAGTTTGATATCTCATCACCCGTGCATTTTGAGCATTTTGAAGCCTTCAATCCAACTGCACGGCGCCTGTCATTCAAAAAGCCAAGTCTCTCAGCAGTCCCAAATGTTGATAATAATTGTTTTAGTTGACCTTTTTACCAAACTTTCTTTTTTGTATAGCAAATGGAAAAAAGGAAAAATCCAAACAAGCCCAAAAACTTAAAAACCTTGACAAAACTTCGAACATGCAAATTGTAGGGTTATCGGAAGTGTAGACAGCGCGATGGTTTCTAAGGCGCAAAATTTGGCACATGGTCACAAGCGGCGTAATTTGCAACCGGCAATTTGTCGACGGTATTGTCTTGCTTGAAGTGACATGTTTCGTGTGAGGCCAGCTGTTGCCCACAGACTCCAATCTCATTGAGGAAACCAACTTTAGAAAGAATCGTTTCAAGGTTCTGTTGTCCGGATTCTGACTTTTCATTAGTCTCTGTCGACCACTGTATGAAGCTCCTGAAAAACGTTTTATTCCTCATACTGTTTTTTTAATTTCAGAGTTTTTTTGTAATCAATTTTTTAAGTAAGATAAAAAAACGGAACACACAAAAATGTTTCAAATCTTGAGAAAAATACTAAAGTTTTACATAAATAACATGGTTTACTTTAAGAAAAACTTGTTCCGTTGTAAGCGCAATTATAACATGTCATAGTTTACACGTTCCTCCTAATGCACTTCAATATTAGGATCATTCGTTTAAAAAGTCATAACTTTACCGAAAAAAGAACATGTTTTTTTGGATTTTTAGCTGTTAAATTATATATCAGCAAATTTTCTTTTTTTCGACTTTTGAAAATTTTAAAACATCTTTAAATTTTAGGGGATAAATGTACAGTAGAAAAAAAAATGCAAAAAATATTTTTAAAGAAGCTTATAACATATCGATTCAAATATTTGAAACCATCTTTCACAGCCAACAATATATTTTTTTCAAATTGTTGTCTTTTTTCTCAGCGTTATCAACATTTCTCGAGATGATGAACTTGCCCCGAATCCAGAAAAAGTGTACAAACTTTGCGCCTCCCGCATCTGCTTGTCCTATCTGCGCGCCTCGCGATTGATGAATGGACAGATTATGGGAGGTTCGTGGACCTCACTGGCAACACTTTGTTGGGAAACTCCTGCGAAGCTGAAAAACTCCTAGTTCTGTACACCCTTTCGCACTAATCTAGTCTTATGGAGATTTTAGAAAAGTTCAAGAAAAAAAATCTTGAACGTTATTGAAATCTGAAGTCATTTTTTTCTCTCGTTTTCTCTCAACTCTCATTATTTTTTACTGTCACCCTTCAGCTCTCCACTGATTAATGTAGTCTGCTGAGACCGGATTATGAACACCCATACGTTGGAGGATGAGTAATCGTCTTATAATTTAAGTAATATATCAAGCAAATTTTTCCGTTCCATAATTGAAAAACTCACCTGCTGTAACGTATTGTCTTCCATTTGATTTTTTTAATTTTTTTGTTCTGGGAATTTCAAAAAAATTTCATAGTTCCAATAAATTGTAGTCAAAACCCCTATCAACGGAAAAGAAAACTTATAAAAAAATTTTTTTCTGCGGCTTGAAACTAGGACAAGTATTATGTGCAAAAAAAGCATTTTTCTCCTCAATAATAAATCTTAATTTTTTGTTTTCTTGTTCAACTACTCAATGCATTCATTTTGCGCAGCGGCTGAAGTGAAATTTCGAAAACATTTTTGGAGCTTCTTCAGTTTCAAGCTCCAACCGCTAATAGCGCAAGTCGTTTGTAGTTGGGTGCAGTTTCATGATGACCAGTTAACGTCGTTAAAAATTAATTCCTATTTATTGCATCGTCACAAACTTTTTCTCCCTTGAACTTTTTTAGATGAAAAATTGTTATAAATTGTTTTTATAACTTTTTTTATCCATTATAAATGGTTGAAAAAAAGTCTTTCAAGACGTTTTGAAATTTGAAAGCCATCCTCCTGAAAAACTCAAGTTTTTGAGAGAAGGTGCATTAGCGGCTAATGTTTCGTTCTCAAATGTTCCTTCAAGTTCGTTAATCTTGCAACCTTGAGATTCAATCAGAAGCTGTCAACAGCTGTCATTATTTGAGCAGCGTTACTTACGACCTATTTTAGAGTAACCATAAATAGCCGTTACTTTTGGAAACGGTTCAATTAGATTGGTCCCGACGGCGTGTAATCTGAGCCACGAACACCTCGATGACCCGCGAGTCCATATCGCATGCACACCTGTTTGTTTACTTTTGCATCGACTGGAATTAAACTCTTTCTCTCCTTGCAATAACAGGAATGTACGGGAAAAAACATTCTACCTACTCTCACCACTGTCCTTCAGACCAAAAACGGGAAAGTCTTTTGCAAAAAGGATTTATATTAAGATGTCTTTCTCTGCCAATAAAAAAATAGTATTGGAGGATATTTCCAAAAACTGTTTGGGGAAAATGGTCAAGTGAACTATTTGGCCCAAGCATATTCAAAGTTGTCAACTACATTTAAAAAAAAAATTTTTTTTTTCTGCTTTTTTTCATATTCTGTCTGTCGGGAGATTCTGACAGATTATCGTTTTTGGAATCGTTTTTTGGTGATAATTTATTTAAGGTGCACATGGGAATTTCGACATCTACAGTAAGAACTTAGGGAATTTTGTGCTTTTGAAATAAATTGGAATTTTCTAAAATTTTTCTGTCAATCTCTCATTTTTTTTACATCATACGAAAACGTTTTTATAGACATTTCAAAATATGGCGAAAAAATCGTTCTGTATTTTTATGGTCGTGGGAGCTCTTCAAATGTTTGGCTCCTTGTGTTTCTCACCTATTACGATTCTATGGAAATTTTATTGGCCTTTGGGAAGGGAATCAGTCCGATTTCTTCAAATATTTTTTCTGGCATACTGTAAATGTCACGAAAAAGTTACCAGTTAGTATGAAAAAGTTTCAGTTTCAAAGTCAAAATCATTATTATTACAATTTTTTCAAAAATTTTTTCCGTAAAGGAAATCTTTTTTATAAGTGCAATTGTCGGTTATTCTTTTTTCGATACCAGTTTATCAATTTATCAGTTTCAGTAATCCAATTCTCTATGTCTTGATATTTTGCATGACTTTAATGGTTTGATTGTTTTCATCGAACTTATGTTTGGAGGTTTCTAAAGACTTTTATGTTTCAAGTGTAATAATGGATCGCGCTGACCAATGCGCCTTAAAATCACCCCTCCGCTAGCGCTCATTCATCATCTGAGCAACTTTCAAGTGTATTTCTAAATTAGGGGTCCTTTTGTGAATTGCGTGGCATAGGAGAAATTGACGGGCTCGAATAATGCGCCAAAAGTGGATGGAAGCGCGTCGGGACCCTTAAAAAGCTTACAATGCGTCGTACGTACATACGGCCAACTTCTTACGGCGATGAATGTCTGGAGCGTCGTATACAACCTTTTTTGCTTTTTCTCATGTCTTTCATCTTACTTTGAACGCCTTGATAACGCCGCTCCTTTTCCCACGATCCGTACGCACACTCTTTTTCTACTTCGCCGGGCTGTGAGAAGTTTCAATTTTACGATATCGGTGGCGGTGAACTTTTGAGAGCAAGTGTCATAAAAGAAAATGAGAAAGTTTCTGTTTTACGGTTGAGTCAACATTTTAGTTTTAAAAACAGCAAAGGATCTTTCAACTTAGAGTTTGTTAACTTCATGAATCAAAAAAAGACTTCAAATGTAAAACTTTCCATGTTCTGAATGAGGATTTTTAGAACTAATTTTTTATAAATGTTTTCAATATGGATAATATGTAGACAGAACTTTCATCTGATATTAAAAATAATATTTCGGTTGATAAAAAAATGGAACCTTGAAGATCTGACAGTGTTTTTGGGTTAAAGTGTATATCATTCAGATGAGATAATTGATAAATAATAAAATAAGTTTTTTTTGAGTGATCGAAAAACATTTCAAATGTTAATATGGATAGCCATGTTGTTACACTGAGTTCAGACCACGTTCGACATTCAATCATATCCGAGTTTTCGAGCCATTAGATAGTGTAAAATCCTTTGCTCGGAAGAGAGCCAGATAGAAAAATCTTTTCTAGAAAAGGAACCTTCCTCAATTTCAATCTTAAAAGTTTCAATCCGAGTTCTGAAAACATCTCACGAGTCAAACGTTCTTGGATCGTATCGTTTTTGCATTTTCTTTCAAGGCGTTCCGACAGCTCCAGGCTCCGCCTCTTCTGCCCTCCTTGCCGTGGTGGGCGTCATTCCTCCTATCCTTTCCGCCATCTTCCAACTTCTTCCGTCTGTCGGCAGGCGATTTTTCACAATCAACTCAACCCATGCATATTCAGGCGTAGAGTGGACTCAAGCTTTTTCTCTAGAGGCTTTCCTGCAGAGGCAGTGCAAGTGTTAAAAACTTCTTAGAGCCAGACAAGATTGAAAAAAAAGAAAATAACTGCTTTTACACATATGTCTCGAAGAAATTGTTGGAATTTTGATTACCTCGCTTTATTTTTTACTCATTATAGCAATTTTTTGAAGAACGATTTCAAAAATCTGAGCTGGTAAGGAAGCTTGAAATTGAAGTTTTTAACTTACACTGAAAAAAACAGAAATTGCCTACTTCGTTTGGAAAACTTTCATTCGTCTAGTCTTGGGTTTTTCGAGACAAACCTGAATTTTCTTTCGTGTTATGTTTTTTTTTTCTGAACATTAGAACGTTTTTTTGAAGTCTTTTCAAAAATAAAAGCTCTTCGATTGCTTTTCCGAACGATTTCAAAGTTTTTACAAAGTTGAGATACAATAAAGTGACCGGAAGCTGTCCAATGCATTTATTTATTTTCGAAGCATTGTCCTGCCAGCTTCTAAACCTTCTCGTTGTCTCAGGCGCTAGCCAGCGTTACAAGGACCAACGCAAACATTCTTCCCGAACGGAAGAAACACTTGTTTTCTTCGTTGCTTCCGGCGACTTCATTTTTTTTTCGGAATATTCATTTCATAGTCTTGTTTTCATTAATCTCCGTCACTTTTCTTAACATCACTAAAGCCTGAGTTTTCGTCTTCTGTCATGTTTTTTTTTAATCTTACGGTCAGATAAATTATATGAGTACGCAGGGAAATGAAGGAATTGAAAAATATTCTAGCGTTTTGCGTAAATTTTCCTTTTTTTTGAATTTCCGCAGAATGTCCCAAATAACAGCCTTTACAAGATATGGTAGTTTTAAAAAAATTCAAATTTTCATTAAAATTTTTTTTATCAAAAACACGCTGTGTTGTTTCTTTTTCTACGGTATTTTACCGTAGGTATTCTTCATGAGAAAGGGGAAAGTGACTTATCAGAATTGTGCCGTTGCGTGAAGAGCCTTCAATTGTTATTCTGACTTCAAACTCATAAAACAAAAAATAGTTGCCTGATGAAATTTTCTTCGTCCTTGAGAGAACGCCTACCGAAACAGCTTAGAGATGATTGGCTAATAGCATTAATGCAACGGCGCTTGTGTATTCACAACTCAATTAGATTTCCGATGAAGGAACGCTTTCTCAAATGCCCAATTGGATATTGAGAAATGTATATAATCATTTATTTGTTTCAATTCGAGATCTATCCTATCTGTTTTTGCAAAATTGTCTTTTCTTCCGTATTTTTGCATGTTTTCGCTGTGGAAAAAAACGTGGACAGGCGTGATTCACCGATTCGCGCTGCATCATATCTGTTAAGACGTCGCGTTTGGCTCACGTTGAAAAAAAACAGTTTTTTTTCTTCACTTTTTCGAAGTTCCGCGCCATTTTACTAAAATATGTGAAGCTAAGCATTTGGTTTAGTTCGTTTTTTTTTGGATTCGAATTTCTTTCACTAGTTCAATTTTTTTCTTCAGTTTCACTCTATTTCCAGTTTGTTCTCATATTTTTTACTACTCAAGTTATATCTTTATATCTCTAAACATTATATTATAAACACTTTTTTTCCCACATGAATCATTTCTGATCATAACAAACTTCATAAACAAATCGTTTAGTGAGTCATCAAAAATCGGAACATTTTAGAAATCCTCTCTCATCGCTGCACGTCTAGTGATCCCGAAATTTTCGAAATTTTGGTTTAGAGAACTTTTCCCGTCGAACAACGCAGTCGACGGGATGCTGGCTCTCGGCTTGATCAAAAGGATGTCCGACGACAGCAGCGACAGTCCTTCGCGAACTTCCGAAAACGTTCAACTCCTGCTCATCAGGCACGACCCTTTTGATTTTTTTGTTTATTTGTGAATGTTGTGTTGAGAATTGCGCTACGAAATTTTTTTTTCAGTCTTTAAATTCTTTTTAATTTTTGAAAAATTTAGATGCGATGCATTGACACAGAAGCTTTTCCAAGGTGTCCTGTGCTGAATTCACTTTAGCCAAGTAATAACACAAAATCGAATGACACATAAAATCTTCAAAAAAGCTATTTTAAAGCGTATCCGACCCAATGCGCCTTGGGTGCCAACGCCTAGAATCGCTTCGAGAAAATAACAATATTCACTATCGGCTTTATGATTTACAAGGCGTTTCAAAACGCATCAAATGGCGAGACCAACTTTCTATAATTCAGGAAAAAAGCTGAAAAACAAATCGGACCTCATCGATCGGAATTTCTCAGCACCCTCATTTGTATCGTATTGGCTCTAGTACTGATGATTGTCTTCTTATTCCTTGCAATTGCTTTCTACCATGTCAAGCACATATATCCCAACTGCGATGGAGAAGATATCAACCCATATGATTTGCTGGTTCAGGAGCAGCCGAAAGAGGTTCTTTTTATTGAAAGACTGGAGCATAAAGTTTGGGTTTTACAGTTGGAGGCGACTTCAATGTATTTGAAAGACCGATTTCTAGGTTATCGTATAGTGGAGAGCATTAACTTTCTGGCCAATGGCTCTCACATTGCTGGAAGCAAAGAATCCGCTCACCTAATGCATTATTTGGCCAATGAGGTGTAGCTTTTGTGTCTTTTCATCATGAATTTTTTTTTCATAGTATTCGTCTCTTGGATACTCTGTCAAAATATACAACTATACGGTGCTTCTGAATTATCCTCAAGTGAACAGTCCAAACACCATTCACGTTGATAATGGAAATGAGTCTTGGAAACTGCTCAGCACTGGCAGAGGAACCCCCTTAGGACCAGAAGATGCGAAAAAAGAGGTTTTCCGTCAGAAAATTTTCTTCATTTGTTTTTTCTCTGAATTCCAGCAAGAAGACGCCCGTTCTCAACACTGGTGGAACGCTTACTCGGCCAATGGAACGGCCGACGCACAAATTGTTTATTGCAATTACGGAATGAAAAACGATTTCGAACAGCTCCTTCAGGTGCAATACTCCTCAAGAAGGCCTAATTCAACTGGAATTTCAGATGGGAATCGAGCTGCGAGGTCGGATCGCATTGATGCGTTATGGGGGCATCAGACGCTCGGAAAAAGTGAGGCTGGCACAGTCGCGAGGGCTCGTCGCAGTCATCCTGTTCAGTGATCCCATTCACTACACTTCTGCTGCTGACAAATCGAATGTACGGCTTTGCAGAGATTTTTCAGAAGCGACTGGATAATAGTGAACTTTCATGATACCTTGTCGATTTTAATTTGAAATGCTGCCATTTTCCAGGAAATGCGTAGAAAAATTCGATTCCAAACCGAAAAGTTCTTGGCATTATTCTCGCAAGCTCATAAATCACGACTTGACTTTTTAAAAAAATCGGAATTGCTCTAGATGCTTTTAAGAGGCCTCGCGTCTTTGCGGATTTCCCCCGCAGCGTTTCAGACACATTTGAAAAGTTTTCAATCGATGTCATGATCTCATAAGTTTCCCCGCTTTTTGTTTCATCATTCGAATTTGAAAGATCGATCAATCTTTTGAACAATGGAATCTTAGAATCTATAAACCTCTCAGAAAAAAATTTAAAAAAAAATTTCTTTGCGCTCTTGAAGTTTCCTGGACCAACTAAAATATATAAAAAAATTTTTTTGATTTGAAAATTATAAAAAAACAATTAATTTAATTTTGAAACCAGCACAAAAAAACAATTTATCCGTAAGTTACTGCGAAATCGAAGAATTATCGTTTCTGCTCTCGAACTTGTTTTGAAAAAAATTTCTGATGTGAAGCGAAAACCGTGCCCAAGTCTGATACAATGTGTTTCATGTTAGAACTTTTCATACTCGATCTTAAAAAAAACGAGAAATACTGTCGTTGACTGGGCTATCGTCTCAGATTTATTCTCGTCGTTGAAGGTGTTTCCGGAAAGCACTTACCTTCCTGGCGACGACGCGCAGCGAGGATCCGTTCTGGCCACACATGGCGATCCTCTGACTCCTCTCTTGCCTTCACTCCATTACGTCCATCGGGAAGAAAACGAAGAATCCGCCAGGCTTAAGGGTTTGTAATTGGATACAGTTGGCAAAAAAAGAGTCGGGAAATTTCTTTCAGGAGTTCTCCCGAACATTTTAGTGACGCCCATAGGCTACAATGATGCGAAAAAAATTATGGACCTTCTGGATGGAGAACCTGTTCCGGTATGTTTAAAGAATGGGAAAATTATGATGTTCAAAAATAAAATCAAACTTGTTTTAAACATTCTCACCATCAGCAAATTTGAAGGATTACCACTATAAAAATATTTTCAGAGTTTCGAATGGAAAGGAGGACTTTCATCCGTCTACCGCGTAACTGGAGAAAAGAAGTTCCGAGTTACTGTACATTCGAAGTTCGTGCACAGAGTCATCAGCAACGTCGTTGCCATGATGCCAGGAAGCAAAGAACCAAATCATTGGGTTATGGTCGGAAACCATGTCGACTCTTGGGTCAATGTCAGAAAGGCGCAACTTCTTTTTCGCAATCTGTCGATTTCAGGGTGCGATTGATCCCATCTCTGGAACAGCAACTCAGCTTGAAATGGCAAGAGTAGCGGCTGACGTATGTTTCATTTTCTGAAAGCGAAAAAATAGACTTTCGCGCTTTCGTATGTATGCAGTAGATGAAATTCGATTATATCGCTGTGCGGAAATAAAAGACAGCCATAGATGTGCCAAGGATTTTTTTTAAAAGTAACAAATCATTCAATTTAAAAAATTTAAGTACAAAAGCTGAAGGATTTTTGTGTTAGGTTACCTTTTTTTGATTTTTCCGAGTATTTTCTGTACATAATTAGAGTTTCAGGTCTTCCAAAGAGAACGGCCAAGACGCACGATTGTTTTCTGCCACTGGGACGCCGAAGAATTCGGACTGATCGGATCTACCGAATGGGTCGAAGAAATGCAACACGTGCTTGGTCGAAAGTAGGTCATATATAGATGAATCATTTCAAAACGGGACAAAATGGAAGATATTCAATAAAAACGAGAAAAGTTCAAAAAAAAAAAAATATGTTTACTGGAAGGCTTCGTTTGGATTTTGAAAAAAAAGATCGACGTAACAAAACGTTTTCTCGTTGCGCTGAAGTCGTGAAAAACTTTCCTAAAGGAAAAAATTTTGTGCGTTGCATTTTTCTTTGAAAAATGAAGTTGCAAATCAATCAAAAAGCGGATGATAAGCTATACACGGCTGGCAGTTGCATGTCCATAAACTTTTATCCATAATGGAAAAAAGGGAAAAACTTGACTAAACTGGTTTTTTCGAGGTTTATAGAAAAAGAAGAGTTTTAGGATTTCCGCTTTTTTGAATATTATAAGGAGAGGGTATCCTAAACAGCTTCAAAAAATGATAGCGACATTCAGAGCGGTAGCATACATTAACGTCGACCACATAGCTGGAAACATTGCGCCGGATGTGAAAGCAGTGCCACTTCTCTACCGAACAATCATTGAGGCCTCAAAAAAAGTTTCCGACCTAATAATTTTGTGACATTAAAAATATTTTTTTCAGAATTCGAAACTATAACATAAAAAAGAGAGAAATAAGCAGCGACAGTATTTGTTTGACTCTTGGCGGCATTATCGTGGAAAGGTAGGCTTCTTATTACTTTTTGAGCAATAAGATTTGCAAAAAAACTGAGCTTCCACAAAAATGGGTAGCTTGAGCGATTCCGAGCAGTTTAATTCTAGGATTAAAAATCAAACAAATGTGTTACTAAAGGTCATAGATGTACTACCAATGTTTAATGGAAGCGCAAAAAACGTCTAGAAACTTTTTTCATTGAAATTTCTACTCAGTGTTAGTTCAGAAGCAGAAGTTACCTTCCAGATCAAACTGAAATAGCCACTAAGTTTGATTTGAAAAATAAGCAAAGGGCGTATTTATGATCCCTGAAGATTCTTTTTGTTACAAGCACAATTCGCCATCTCTTCGAAACTATTATCTTTCTAACATTCTCTTTTCCATTCTTTGAGGAGGTAAACAAGGAAAGGCGTTAAAGGAAAAAGAGGTTGCAGATAATAAAGGCAGTTTCCATTCATACTGAAAAGATTATACTGGTATTCAAAATTATAACGCATTTCATTTCTTTTTGAGCTCATTGGTCTTCACCAAAGTTGATTTCATCAGAAAAAATCGTTACTAGAACTATTTTTAACTTTCAAATGTTTTGAACTTTGATTTTTGGTCCTACTCTTACATTATATCCAGGGACAGTTCCTGAGCGACCGAGAAGTACCGCACATCGGACTTCCAACGGCTGGGTCCGACTACCACCGTTTCATTTCTTTTTCTGGAATACCAGCGGCCGACTTGAAGCTGGAGGGCACGCCAGGGCTTTCTTATCCTCTGTATCATACAATGTCAGTGAAAATCAATATGCTAACCGAACACTTGTTGAAATCAGGTATGAAACGCCATGGTTAATCAATAACCTTGTTATTGAACCTTTTAATTCATTCGTCGCGATGGGTCGATTTTGGATGGAAATAATCCATCGACTCGCCAATTATATGGTTTTTCTAGTTTTTTGTTCTTCTGGGAGTAGACTCTACTGTTCAGATTATCCCTTTCAATGTCGTCGATTACGCCAACTTTCTCAGTGCTTTGATTCCTCGGGTTTGTGAAGAAGAACAAAGTGAAGTTAGAAAAATATTCAGGTTGAAACTAACCTTTCTCATCTGAACATATCTTCACACGTTCCTTCATACTTGGACAAGATTCTTTCACTGAAAGACTCTCTCAGACGGTTTGGCAACGCCGCCAGACGATTCCAAGAAATTACGGATGTAAGTTCTATTGTTTTCATTGCGTTTGGCGGATATGTGAATGCAAACCGTGAGAGCGAAAAAAGCGTGTGTTAGGAGCTCAACCTTTTACTTTTTGGGGCACAGATATTATTTAAAACGGCCTTGAAAAAATGCAAACCATGAGAACGAAATAAAAAAGTATAAACTTATGATCAAAGAAGCCGTCAAAAAGCGTGTGAAAAAGCAGTTCGCAGTTACGGATGTGAAAAAAAGACTTTTCAAAAAGGACAAATATGAAAAAGTTTTTGAAGAATCACTATACAATATTGAGAAACTGGGTGGAAAAGAAAGCCAGAAAACGATGAGGAAAAAAATAAACGGAAAAGTTTTATAGGTATAGTAAAAATTGATTAAAATACTCATTTTTGTAAGGAGAATTTTTCAGGGCTTGGCATCGGGAGAAAAGAAAGTCAGACTGTCGGAAGTAACACTGTTGAACGATCGCCTGCAGGCGCTCGAAAGCTGCTTCTTGGACCCGACCCGCAGCCACAGCCTCGACCGTCACATCGTCTTCTCGCAGTCGAAATTTTCGCCGCAGGTCACCTTACTAGCCGGGATCCAGGACGCGGCTCATCAGATCTCCTTGTCGCCCACTCTCGAGAACGTCCATCGACTCTCTCTGGAGTTTTCCAAATTCCAGTTTGCTATCGAAAGTGCCATACACACTCTCACCGTGTGAAGCCATCATCAAGTCCGTGGTTGGCGCATCTGACGCAGTAATCGACGAATACTCTCATTCTCTTTTAAACGTTCTGTTCCTTTATTATCCTCCTTCTCACACTATCATTTTTGTGAATTTACGAAAAATTGAATAATTTAATTGTCTTTAAAATTTTATTTTTCTCGACTCGAATTTACTTACTTGCAAACCCGGTTTCTGGAGGTTTATTTGAACGTATCCTGAAAAATGTTTTTAACATGATTTGTTTTTGATTTCCTTCTACTCTTTTTATTGTCAGTTGCCCAAATAGGTATAGTATGGTCTCACCACAACTTGTCTCCACGGGCAACTTTCCTTCTGAAGCTTTCAAAAGAGCAATAATTGCCTTATAAGAGTTATCATGTTCTAGATTTCTCATTTTCGCCACTGTTCTTCGCCTTAATCACTTCTACTTGTTTTTAGATGCTTTAATTTAATAATATTTTTATCAAAGCTTCGGGAATAAACTTTTTGAGAACTCAATAGCTAACGCAAAATGATATGGAAATGAAAGGGACGACCCAAAAGAACGACCGTTTCACGGACAATGAATAACACGAATCGTCCATACAAAGATTCCGACGTCCCTCATTTATCGTTTAAGATGAGTGAAACCGGGCCATTTGTTCACGCCTTTTCTCAGGCTGGTATGCAAAGATGATCCCAAATAGGTTTATCGAGGCGAGGTTATAAAAAGTTGAGGGACCTTAAATCGGAAGATTCTGAAAATGAAAAAATGAGATAAAACTTATCAAGGCTGAGGACATTTCACTGAGATTCAAATTTTCTTGGTAGCCTTCGGAAAGTTTTTTCCCTAGAAATTTTTGAGGCGTTTTCTTGTTATAAACTAATAGGATTTTCAGATTTTCATAAGAAGTAAAAATGACTTCGCGATCAATTTTTGAAGCACCATAACTCCAATAATGAACGCAAGGTGCAAATTTTCTCTGAAACGGAAAATAAATTCTCTTGATGCAAATTAACTTTTCTTGCGAGTTTCATTTTTTGAAACGTTTCTTTTTTCAGAAATTCGACTCCGATGACGAAAAACTGCCTAATTGTCTTATCGGAGACGTTGAACGCTAAATTGGAACGGCTGAGTTTTTACACAAATTTTCCTTGAACAGTCTTCAAAGATTCAATTTCCAATCAATCAAAAGATCTTCAGATTCGGAAAAAACCAATGGAGAGTGATTAAGACATATTGATACCACACAAAACTGTTGTGTTGTACAGTAACTTCTATTTTTTGCTATCAAACTATCGAGAAAACTTCTTCAATTGATTGATGAAGATGTTCATTTGTTGAATTTTTGGTGATAGACTAAATCGAATAAAACCAAAAAATTTCAATGTGGAGTACTGTGATTTTCGTTGATGTTTTCAAAAATTGCCCAAACAATAAAGATTATTAAGAATAACAGAATTTCATTCTTGGAACTTGGATGCTAAAAGTTTTTTCGTGAACGTTGAACAAGCTAGCTAAAATGCTTTGAAAATTGCAGTTTGAAAGTTACAACGGAGCATTGTTTGCAAAAATAATCGGAGATCTCAAAAACGTATATCTCGCTTTAATACGAACTACATCATTTTTCGAAGTTTCCATAGAATGTGAGAAAAATGTCTCCGGCTGATATCTATGAAAGACCATCGAGCGCCACTTTCTTTCAAAGCGAAAAACTGTCTGATGAGACGATACGTATCGTTTGTCAAACGTGATTCAACAATGTCACTATGACTTTTCCCCCTAATTTCTCACTCAAGACCGTCATTTCGCTGTCTTTATGAAAACGCCTTCGGAGAGTTAAGAAAAAGAATATTCTTCAACGGATTAAAGGCAATTTGAGCAGTGTTTTTGAATTCAAATAAAGTAGCTTCTCTACGTGAAAACCTTCATTGTGGATGACGTACACGAAAATGTCTGTCTTCAAGGAATCAAATTTCATAAACTTTCTATCTAATTTCTGCAACCTGAAAACTTTTTCAACGGGAAAGTTTTGAAGTATATATCTTTTTTGGAAAAAGTTTTTGAAACTCGGCCTTCCATTTTTTTTTTTTTGAGCAGAATTATGACCCAAAACGGCCTCAGAGACATGTTAACCGTGCGAGCCAAAAAAAATGCATAATTTTGAGATCAAAGGAGCCGGTTGGAGAACATGGGAAAGCAGTTCTCTTTTACGGATGGGAAAAACTTTTTTGAGAAGGGCCGCCAACAAATATGAGACCATTTTCAAATGGAATGAATTTCAGCAGGGAAAACGCTCATGGAAAGAAGTTGTATTAAAACTTGGAAAAAAGCTTTTCCTCATTCATGAAAAGTTCCGATGAGTACAGGAAAATCCCTTAGATCGTCACTTTTCTCTGAAGAGTTTCTTAATGTTTCAAATAGTGAGCGATTTTTAAAATTCCGAGTTCCGAGTAAAAAAATCTTCAAGAGCATTTGAAATATCAAAGAACTCTGAATATCATTGTTTTTTAAGTTTTTATGAAACAGCGTTTTCTTCTTGTTTTTCGTTTTGAAATTCACGATAACTGCGTGATTTTGGCCAAACGCCAAGACCAAAAATCTTGACCGGACACAGGCCTATTTATAAGAGGCGCCGAAAAACGTCGCCGGAATACTGTTGTGACAGGGCGGCGGTTTGTCGCGGTGTCGAGACGCGCAGTTTGATGGACGCAGAATGGATGAGGTCCTTGCCGACGGCTGACGTTTTGCGGCGTTGTGCCGCAGGCGCCACCCGGACGCTGGATCCATCATTCTCACGTCGACGCTGATTAGCACTACATATTGTTACCGACGTGCACACACACGCCTCCCGCTCCCAGCCTAACCAGCAACTCCTCTCGGACACAACAGTCACCAACATGTCGCTGCTCGCCGCCGTGCTTGTATTCAGCCTTCTACACTCCGTTTTTGCTGCTCCTCCCATCGATGTTTCCACTCAACCTGTGTTGGGATCTATTCAAGGTTGTTAATCGACAGATAACATCATAAATCTATAAAAATTTCCAGTAATATTGATGGAGCACTTATTTTTGTTAAAAGTATTAATAAGGCGTTAAAATAAAATCCTAAAAAAACCGTGTCAAAAAGCCGCCGTTGGCAATTTATAAGTTCAAACTGATATTCCGAAAAAAATTGTCTATAGCGTGTACCTTATACCCGCTGAAAATGTTTTTCGCAATCTTGAAGTCTTTAAAAAAAGTATTTTTTTCAAATTTCAATTCAAAAAAACATCATTATTCAAACTTGAAGGCCCGGAGATTCCTAAAAGGAATACTTTAAAGTGTCCATTCACCAAGTTGAGGGAAATGAAGATAAAATAGATTCTCAACGGAAAAATCCAATCGAATCATTGAACATGCGTGTTTCAGGTTCACCAGTTGTTGCAGTTGTTCATGGCCTCTCAGATGTGCTGAAAGACGACATCCAGTCGAAAGACACAGAGGATGATCCGCTGCAGAAGTTTGGAAGAACTGTTGAATGACTATTTGCATTCAATTGTGTCCATCTGTTCATTTTCCATCAAAAACTATACCACACTTTGAACTCATAACCGCTACAGTAATCCTCGTTTAACTGATTTTTTGCAATCATTGCTTTTTTTTCCGAATATCAACTGTAGATACATGTACAGCATCTAGTTCATGCTTATTCAAAATCCTATTTTTTCTTTGATTTCACCTTTGAAACTTTTAAAAAGTTTTTTTAAATAAAACTCACACGTTTACAACTACAAAAAGGAATGATTGATATCTTCTATTTTACTATACGAGCATCAAAAAGCGAAATAATATAAAGGAAACAGAAAAAATCAACTCCGGCATTTTTTTTTGTGAAAACAAAATTGAACGAGAAGCTTGCAGAAACGTTTTGAGAAGCAGTAAACTAGTAATCTTACGCGAGAAAATTCCCGCCAATGCATGAAACCGAGTATAAAAGGAAGGTCTTCAAAACTGCAAAGAAAATGAGAATTGTAATTTCAGAGTCACTTTTTCAAAACATCAAGTAAGGTACTCAAAGAAGAGCAAAAAAGATCGAGCGTGAAGTGAAAAGTTCTGGACGATAAATAATTCGGGCTATCCGCACTTACCAATGCTAATGAGTTGGTGCAGGAGAGCTCAGGCCGTTGCCCTCTTTTGAGAATTAATATTATGATGCCGTTTTTGTTTTCAAATAAGCTCTCAGAACTTCCTTTGGAAATTTGATCCTGTCTTGTCTGAAATAACACCCACGGCCTTTCGAGGAAGTTTTCCTCGAATCAACACATGGAAGTTGTTGAGATAAATCAAAGCTTCTCATTTATGACGTTTGTATGTTTTCACTGACTCGTTTTACTTTTATCAAAGGGAAAAACCTTTGTCCCCAGCGCAACAAACTCATCGGAATAGGATTTGTTTCCAAAAAAGTGAGTTGGATGCAAAAGCAGCGGCTGCTTGATGAAAAATGAGCGATCCCGAGAGATTTTCCAACTCAGAGCAAAAATGGAATCTGCCGTCAGGCTAATTTCTGCTTTTTTTTTTACAGTTTCCAATAAAAGTTGGAATTTGGAAAAAAGACTTCATTTCTAATTTTATCGCGCCATCACTTAGTGTTAAGCCTTCCGTCGCACCACGGAAAACCGGATATTGCCTTGGGCAAACTTGTCAGCCGCATGAGATTAAAATTGAATTTCTTCAAAATTTGAGTTTTTGCGTCGTCAGCGATCAAATCGAGTATGTCAGAATTTTAATTCAAGCTTTTTTTTGACAATCTGGTTCATATTTTTTTGCAAAAAGAGCGTTCACTTTTTTTATATCACTTTAATACCAATTTGGTATATTTGGAAAAGGAAACTTCCCTTTTTACAAGTCATTTCTCCAATACCAAAAAAAAGTCTAAACTTTATTAGACGCTTCGAAGCCGGAAAATGTTTTAAAGATGTACATCAGGGATTGACGCGTTCAAAACAAAATTAACAACAGATATCCTTTTGAATACACGTTCCAGTAAAATAAAGAAAACATTCTTTCCCAGGTAGATTTTTCTATCCTTCGGCTGACTCTTCCAATTAAACTTTGGAATGTTAATATTGCTTCATTGCTAGTTGGGTTCGAAAACTATCGACGACGGCGCGGGAAATTGCAAATGGCACATTTAGTATTTTCATTTCCCCTTCTCCAACTTATTACTTTCTACCCGCAGGAAAATCCGATTTGTATTCACAAAATTGTAGTTATCGTACTACTCCTTTGTCTCAATTTGTTGAGAATCAACTGGAATCTCCCTTTTTTGCCCTCATTCTTCCAAGACGGAGAAACTCGAAACTACCCGCCCACACAAAGGCAGCTGATAAGTCATCTATTTGATTTTATTGATGAGTAGTCGCAATTATGGAACAAAGATTATATTAGGTTAATAAGTAGAAAAAAATTTTCAGCATACTCTGGTTTATAATTGGAAAAAAACTTCAGCACTTTCTGTCCGCTTTTTGCAAAAGTGTTAGCTTCTCATGAACTTTTTTTTTTCTCCTTGATAGTTGGAATTTGCATAATACTTTAGTTATTTAGAGGTGAGTTTCCGAGCTTTCATTCTATCATAATGATTTACTTTGATTTCAAAACTTTCCTTTTTCAAAATTTATACAGGGTTCATTAAAAGTTTCTCGATTTATTTCATCCTTTTGCTCAAGACTTTTTTCTCACTAAACAAAATTTTTTTTTTGTAACACAAAACTCAGAAAGACAAGAAAAGTGAAGATCTCGTAATTGGCAATCAAATGAGAAGTCGGCTCATTTTCGCGGCCTCAGTTGAGATAGGAATTCGCGGCTTACCGACCAACGCCCCATTTATTGTTAATGTGAAACGGAGAAAAATTTCATCCCATTCGTTTGTTATGAAACGCGCTCTGTGTATTATTATCATCACAAATCGTGCATCTGGGCGCCCGAATGAGCATATGCACGCGGATAATTGCATAAACGCTTGAGATGCTCTTCTCCGTTCTTGTCTGGAGCTTCTTTCCACACTTTGTTCTCCATGCTCGAAGCACTGAAATGAATTTTGTGCTTTGATACATGATATGTTTGGTACAAAATCTGAAGTAAGGAAAGCAAGATATTTCGAATACACATTTATAAAAACAAATTTTTCAATTTCTTCTTTGAAATTCACTTCGCGAACTTTCAGGAATCAGACAAAAAAACCAACGCGCAACTTCACACTTCAATTATTCATTTGGGATGTTTTCGGAAACGCTTTCTATGGAATTATTCACTGAGCAACCCACTGCTCCAGAGAATCCTAAAATGACATGCTCATTTTTTTCTCAGCAACTCCTTCTTATTTTTTTGCTTTGGTTCAAAAAACAAAAAGATAAACAACAAAGAAGACTAGCAATTAGAAAAATCGGTTGAAAAAAATGATTTTCTGTAATAACAGCTTTTTGATCCTGAAGAAAGAGATATATAGCAGTCTGAAGCCTTTTTTTGGAGCGACATACCGGCAGGTTCAGAAAATGTTGAAAATTTCCTTTTTATAAATTTTTTCAAGGTTTCAATTCTAGAAATTATCAAAAAAACTTTTTGTCAAGGAACTTGATTTTTAACTGGCTTATTAAAAGACTTCGAAAAATAGCCAAAGGACATTTAGATGTAATAACAGAATAATTCGAAATCTGGCCCTGCAAAACTCATGATTTTTCAAGAATGAACATCAAAATGAGTTTTTCATGTCTTTTAGACCTTCTTTGTTTGAAAAACAAAGGTTCGTGTCTTTTAATTTTTTTTCACGTGTTTAGTGCAGCTTTGTTTCCCGAAGAAGCTTTTTCTTTCTGTGATTAATAAATCTTGAATAAAACTACACGTTGAAAATTGCTTTTGTTGCGTATGGCAACTCGTTCTCGAAACTCTTAGTCAGCCTAGACATCCTGTTGGCTACTGAAGCAACTTTTACCGCAGTTTCCGTGTAAACAGCCGTTTTTCAAGCAATGAGTGATAAGTTCTCATAATTTAATTGGAAGCATTGTTCACATTCGCCTTTTTTATTAACTCTGTTCCCTCATTAGAGGATGCAAACACTTTTCGCAAATTGTCGTAACTCGAGACGAGTCATTTATTGCGGTGGAAAAGTTCAGAAGATGCGCGTCTTCTCCCACTCTAGGCAACTCACTTCACTCCTAATCGCTTTGATGTCTTTTGGCTCTTGCTTTTGATTTCCGAACTCTTGTATTACATCCTTGAATGACGTGATCTTCTATTTGCATGACTCGAATACGGCAAAACTTTGTCACGGGAATTTCGGCAAAAAATCAAACTTTTCCCACGTTTTAGTACGCTTTTTAGTACTCTTTTTGCGGCTTAATTTCAGCAAAAATTAGTTTTCAGTTCAACTCTCTTGCTTTTTTTTCCAAAAAACTAGAATGCATTTTTAAGTATTTTGACGTCCGACCAAAATCCAAAATTTTTTCTTGATTCTCACTATGCTGTCAAAGCTCCCTCATGACAAAAAGGAGACTTTCGTTGGTGTGCGTGGTTTCCGTGAGAAATATTTCATTTAGGATTTAATCCTGATGAACTTTTATCATCTGAAGGATTTGGGGGCGATTTCGAAAACGTTGCTAGCATGTAATTTTCCCACATTTCTACTGTAATCCGATAGCCTTTTTCGGTTTGCCTACACGTCGCTGAGCTTTGTTCCGCCGCATTTGGTTTTTTATTGATTATGACACACAAGAATGAAATTTGAAGGTTAGCTTAAATTGCAAAAACTTTTTTTTGACATTCTTTGAAAAACTGTCAACTTTTTTTTCTCATTCTTTTGTCACTAGAAAACCGCATTTTTTTTGCTATTTAGGGAACGGATTAAGAAACCTTTTCAATAAAAATTTGGAAACTGCTATCATCTTTAAAAATTGAAAAAGACTTACATCTTTCTTCATGAGCTTAACTTGTCATATTGATGCTTTCAAACCAACGTTTTTGTTTTCAAAAATCAAGAAGGTTTATTCTACGCTTTACACTATACAAAAACAAACACTTCTGATGGCGGACGAAATGAGATATATAATTGAAAACATATGCGCGCATAGATGAGTGGTTCTACTTGTTCGCAAGGATCGCTCATTTGCAATTTTTTTTAGTTTTTTTCAAGAAACTTTTCTTTGTACCTTCGAATATTTTTTTCAAAAATTTTCAAGAAAGTCATAGTTTCATTCTGCGAAGGAACAAAAAAATGAAAGACTTTCTTGATCGTAGAATCACTGTAGAAAAATCCAAAATTTTTAAAAATTTTTCGAATTACCTTTTTTGAGTTTCTGAAGCTTATTTTTATTCTATTTCTTCTCTAAATCAAGGAATTTTTCTGGTCAATCAGGTTTCTAAAAAACTTTCAGACTGAAAAAAGAGAGGCATTTTACTTCAAGGTTTGGAATTTCTAGAAAATTTGGCAGGACTCTTTTTGGGTGTACCGAAGGAATATACTGTGTCTCGACTCAATAAACTTCCTAGTTTCCGAGTATGGGCACCTGAAGTCAAAGAGAACCCTCAAAATCCATAAAAGCAGTCCCTTTCGGGGCTTTTGGCGCTCATTTCTCAAAAACTTGATAGTTGCGCAGGTTGAGACTTTTGAAATCTTATTTTTGTACGTTAAAAAAATTGGGCCAATTCTTAGGAAATCCTTGACGGCGAAGTAAAACGACCTTCCTTGTGAAAAATTTTTTATGCTATTCTCATTCTTACTTCTACTGTAACGATTTTTAATTCCAAACCCAGCTTTTTTTTGAATAATGTATAAGTATGAAAATCAAAAATCTCAATCTCTACCCTGCCGAAAAATGCTTCAAACTGCCAAACCCTAGAGCGGCTTTTTGGTCGAGCCAGTGGGGCGGCGCGACCACCAACGTGTCCTTAATCCGTCGCTTGCGGCGCATCCTGGGAGACGCTCAGGAATGTGTGGAGACGTGTCACCATACGCACTTTCCAGTCGGTGGCTCCGCCGAGCCGTTGCCATGTCGACGGAATCTCTGGTTTTGGGCCTGTCTTTCAGTATCCGAGTTGCTTTCATCTCATTGCCTCGTTTCCCTTTTCTCTCGTTTGAAGTTCTTCCTGGACCCTTTTCAATGAGGTTATCACCTGCGATTCAAAGTCTTGAAATCATTTTTCAGCTGGCTATCTTCAAAAAGCACTAAGTTATTCAGGACGCTGAGTAAATAATCTTTTGCCCAGATGACGTTTGGATTTCGAATTGACAAGGATAAAGCATTGCTTAAGTTAGTACAATAAAAATTTCAATGAATCATTTCAGTAATATGCATTTCGCATTTTTTGGTTTTTTCCTACCTTCTCATTTCGGATGCTTAGAGAAAAAACTTCTCTCAATCTGCAATTTGAACATTTTTGAAGATCTTAATAATGATTATAAAACTTTCAGCTTTCAAAAGTTTTAGTTTGAAAAATAATCAAATTTAATTTCCAAAAAAATCAACCTTTCTAGTGAAATTCAAAAAGGGTTCTTGATAATATCCAGTCAAAAACTATTAATTTATTCAAAAGACTTTTATCTGTTTTCCATCTGAAGGCCCCTCAAAGAAGATTTGTGCAGAAATGCAATTTCCTTGCACAACTTGTTTTTGTGTCACTATCAATGTTAATCACCTCTGTGTGAACTCCTCAGTGATTTCATTAAAGTGATAAAAAAATTTAATTGTGTCAATTAACTTGTCTAGTGATTTACTTATCACCCGCTTTTTAATTTTGTCTTACTCATTGGCGTTATCAAAGTTTTTGTTCGGAAAAAAAATTATTTTCTACTGTAGTTTCTCGTTTTGAAAAATTTAAGAGCTGAAAGCTAATCTCCCAACTTACAATCATTAAGAAGAAAAAAAAGGTAGCTCAGTATCTTAAACTCATAAAGAATGAGATCAAAACGAGGTCAAAAATGGGTTATTGAGGCGCGAAGCAGACGGCGAGCAGAGGGAGTGCGCGCGAAATCGTTCGACAATCAACACCTTCTGATTCTTGTCATACTTTCTTTCTTCTTTCCTATGTTTTTTCGCTTTTCTAAGCTTAAAAAGGCTGTTAAGGCTCAGATTCTAGATATCTTCACTAAAAAGTGAAAGTATCAAAATTTTTGTGATCTGCATTTAAGAAACTTTTGAATCTAAGTTTGCAATGCTCCTGAATTTTCCAACCGAAAATCAAAAAGCTTTGCCTTATTAGGGAAGATCATTTATTTTATCAAATGTTTTACTCAACTACCGATAATATTTTTTACAAAATATCATACTAACGTTGAAGTTGCATGATTATTCAGCAACTATTTTCTTAGATGTCCATTCAAATTCTTGGGACCGTTTTTTTCATAGGATTATATGCGCAAAGAACTACTTTTCATGGAGTTCATTGGTATTTGCTGAGAAAATAGTTGTGCCAAAATGTGCCTTCGAGCTAATCCGTTTAGAAGACTCTTTTGTTTTTGTGCGTTTGTCCAAAAAAGCGACGAAATACGCCAAAGTCTGCCGCAAAGCGATTTCCAGAAACGTTTCTATTTTTTGACTTTTACACGTAACTTCTTTCGGCACACAATAATTGGATGGCAAAGGTTTGAGGTATAAACTCCAGACTTATCAAAAAATTGAGCCATTTTCTCACAACTGTAAAAGAGTTCTCAATAATATTTGTCAATTTTTCTAATTAAATATTGAGCATCTTTATCAATTTTCCCCAAAAAAAAGTTATTTATGGAATGACGATTGATTTGAAAAAAATGTTCTAATATTTACATGGAAAGTGTCCTTTTAATGATTCTTTGTTTCACTTTTGCATCTTTGTACACCTTCTCAAAAACCTTTTTCCCTTTTTTATACTTTTTTTTTGAGAAAAATGTCCACAAAAACTCAGATGATCAACGACTCCAGTTTGTCGGTCAAAATTTGATTTTCTCGCCAACTCTTCGAAAAACATATATTCTTCCGTTTTGCCGTCTGAATGCCATATCAATTTCCACAAGCAGCTTTTTCAGAAACGTTGGGTTTTGCCAGCCAATGATGTGACAGAATGGGAAAAGGACACAGCAAGCTCAAGTCCGATCAAATTCGCGACCTCGCTCAACAAACTTACTGTAAGCCTTTGATTTGTTTCAATCAACTCGTTCACTCAGTTCATTTAAGAAAAACTTTTCACAAAGTATAAAAAATTTAGAAAATGATAGTATCTATGTAAAGCTGAGAAGTCCACAAAACTTCGCAAAAATTTCTGTCGAGATTTCCTAATTTCAGATAATATCCTACTAGTTTTTTTTAGGCCACGTTATACTCGACCATCAAATTAAACAAATATTTCCCATTTTTTTTTTCACATAACTAAAATAAATGATCAAAGTTTCTTTCTTGGTTAATAAAAAGGTGGCAAAAAATTTTCATGACTTGGAAACAGCAATTCGTCAATTAAACAACGCATTATTATATCTAACAAAAAACCTGGAAGACATTTATTTTGATCAAAATTTGTTCACGAATCATTCCTTCAATGACTTGTAATTCAGTTACCGAAAAGGAAATCAAGCAATGGTACAAAGGGTTTGTGCGAGATTGCCCGAATGGAATGCTCACAGAAGCCGTAAGTCTTTTGAATTATTCTCATGACTTTTTTCCTCAAAGTGAATAACTTTAAATTCTTTTTTTATTTTTCAGTTTGTTTTTCTTTTTATTTCAAACTACATCATTTTCCGTTCAATCGGCTAAAGTCTCGTTTCCAGGGGTTCCAAAAGATTTATAAACAATTCTTCCCACAAGGCGATCCTTCCGACTTTGCTTCCTTCGTTTTCAAAGTTTTCGACGAAAATAAAGTGAGTTATCCTTTCAATTTATGAATTAAGCTCTACAGACTGAAATTGAGTGACGTCTCTTCAATAGGACAAAATAGACTACTAAGCTCACCGTTTCCCTACGCCAAATTTACCCTCGACCGACATTAGTCGTGATTTAGCGTCGCAGAAAAAATGTAGTTTTCCGTGAGGTTGAGTACAAAATCTTTTTTCTTATCCTCGATGCTTATCTTTCCGTATGTAACCAAAAAAGCGTCTGGGTCGGAAGAAAATTGAGTAATAGTGCAGAAAAAGAAAATTTTCAGGATGGTGCGATCGAATTCCACGAATTCATCCGAGCGCTTTCAATAACCTCGCGAGGAAATTTAGACGAAAAACTTCATTGTGAGTAATCATTTTCTCATCGCTTTGCGCGAGTTTTTGGGATCGAAATCGCAACTTTTTCAGGGGCTTTCAAACTCTACGACTTGGACAACGATGGCTTTATCACACGCTCTGAAATGCTCTCTATTGTCGACTCCATCTATAAAATGGTCGGATCTAGCGTCAAACTTCCTGAGGAAGAAAACACTCCCGAGAAAAGAGTTGACCGCATTTTCCGCATGATGGATAAGGTAAGAAACAAAATATTTTCAACAGCGTTAACTTTTTTATTTTGAATTGGTCAAAAAAATGGGATTTCATTAGTTTCTCAAGTGAAGCCATATACATGTTGAATTATAAATTTTTTTTGAGATCAGAAAGAAATATTTAATAGCAGATTTCATTAGAGAACGTTTTACCCCCTGATTGAATTTTTGATAAAACTTTGCTTAAGTGTACTCTAGGCCCTTCTGATTGCAAAAAAAAAATTTCTAGCAATTTATGTTTTTTTCGAGTTAGGAAGCTTCGAAGTCTGCAAAATACGCGATTCATCACTAAAAAGCGCTACTTCAAGCTTTTTAAGTCTCTGAGCTCGAAAAAATTTGATGCTAAAAATTTTTTTTATAAAAACTGGAGGTCCTACAGTACAGTTCAACCGGTAGGTAAATAACGTTTCCTAATAAAACAAGCATCGTCAACATTTTAGTTAAAACTGCTTTATTTTTGTTTTTTATCTCAAGAAAAAACGCAAAAAACTTCGCAGGCTGGACTCCTTGACATTTTAGGCGGAAATAATCGAAAACTTCCACTTTTCAGAATAACGATGCTCAATTGACGCTGGACGAGTTCAAAGAAGGAGCCAAGGCAGATCCATCGATCGTCCACGCCCTGTCGCTCTACGAAGGCCTCTCTTCGTAACTTATACCCGTTCCGCTGTTTTTATATTCGCGGGTTCGGTACCTGATTAAAACAACCTTCCTGAAGTATTATTTTTACAATGAACATGATAATTAACTATTAATGCGTAAATCTAACCGTTTTGAGATACATATGAATAAAGTGTGCAATTCATCGATTTAACTCTTTTAGTCGGGGTCCAAAAAAGTTTCCCCAGAAAGCGTTCCATCAGATAATCAAATAGTTATCGGTAGAAGAAAAGAAAATCAGAGGAATTGCTGGGAAAAAATTCCTGGCGTCCACGAGGCTGCAGGCTACAGTGAATTATTTGGTTAACAGAAAAAGTTTTTCCGTAGCAACAAAAATGAAAGGAGAGGACAGAAAGAAGGTTTTTGCCTTTAAAAAGTCAGATCTGGACCAAATCTCTCAATAATCTTTGAATTTGATGTTTCATGAGCGCTTTTAACTTCTTACTCAGTAGTTAGACTTTTTGCCAATTTCAATTAACTGACTATGGAATGTTTTTTCGGGATCCCCTGTTTTTTTAGATAAAAAAATTTTCAAAACAGATCTTTTTTTCAAGTTATGAAGTTTCAAAACTTGCAAAATACGCGAATTATGACAGAAAAAAAGCGCTATTCCAAAATTTGAATTTCTTAGTTTGGAAACCAGATGTACTGCGAGAAATCTTTTTGAATTGAGATCTTACATCAAATGTTTAACCGGCAGATAAAAAAACGTTTCTTATTGAGAAAGTTCATCTCCAAAGGAACCCAAATCTTAAAAAGGAGAAAGAACCCAAAAAAATGAAAAAAATTTATACATACCAGCAATAATAACAACAGCAAGTATAAAGTTTCAAAAAGCGCGAAGAAAATAATCAAGGCCTTGACCGTAGTCCCAGATGGCAATACCACTCTTGAAATAGTCAGCCAGCTTTATTCTCAACTCAATTGATGAAAGTGTGGGGTAGTATACGACAGATCTTCTGAAAAATTACGTATTTAAGAACGAAAGAAATAAATTATCTTTCAACTATTATTAGACTGATAGAAGTTATTTTTAATCACTTTAAAATTTTTTGACGACTTTGAAAACATGCTGCAAGTTGAGACTAAGAAATGTTTTCATCAAATCTGAGTGCTTACAACTTTAGGACTTTTTTTCAATTCGTCGAGTACTTTCAAGAAACTCAAAAGTTCACATTGAATTCAACTTTCTCTTGATTTAATTCAGCTCTCAAAACTACAAACCTGTGAACAAAGTAGTGCTCCCAAGAGTTCTCGTCCCAGTTGATCTCGGCTTCTCCGGACTTAACGATATCCAAAAACCTCAAAAAGAATAAAATTGTCTCATAATATTCTGAGAAACCAACTTGTTGTTGATTATGTGCTCGAAATTTTCCGTTGGAACGATGTCTCCACTTGAAGGATCACTGACCCCTTTGAATTCGTAACCGTAAAAGTTCATTCCCATCAGAATCTTCTTCATGTTTGCACCTTCTTTTTGAGCAAATTTCAATATTTCTGCTACCTAAAATAATTTTTTTTAGTTTTAAATTGGTTTTTGTAAACCCAGTCGTAGGGAGATACTCCAAAAAGTTTACCAGCTGGATAATCGTAAGTTTCTATCTGTAAAAGTTGTATTGATGTTTGCAACTTTTATTTTTCCGCAAGGCTATTAACAAATTGATAAATTACCCTTATATGAGTTTGAAAAACTTTATAAATCAACAATTTTTGTATAAAAATCACTCAAAAACCGAAAAAACGAATCTCGATACCCTAAACGATTTTAGGGACGGATCGCCCTGAACCTCTTTACTCTTTCAAAAATTCCCAATATGGTACCTGTATGAAAGTTGAAATATCGGTAAGTCGTTTGAAATCTCTATTTCCATAAAGATTATTTGCTCTTCTGCAAAAAAAGACAGTCGAAGAAAGATTTTTGTGCAAACCCGGAGTCATCGATTGGCGTCTTCACGGGGAAGATCACCTCGAGTGATGCTTTTTTAAATCGATTCGCAAGTTCTTCCATGGCCTCGTAAGTCATTCTGCAATGTTTATTGGAAATTTTGACTTTAAAGTTCAACAAACTCTCTGTATTCCAGTGATCCCGTGGAAAAAAGCAATGGAGCAAAAGCTTCAATAACAGCTCCGTTGAACTGATTTCTCTGTGAAATATTTGTAGAAAAAATTCCATTTTTTCAGTTTACACTGTAAAAGTCAACGATTTCTCGAGCACAACGTGTTTGAGCGGAACTGTCGCGCAAAAATTCCACAGCTGATTGGCCCCAGCCTTCGAACAAAATTCGAGGAACAATCGAGATGCTTGGGTTATTGGATACCAGAGCTTCGATCCAACCTAAAATGTTAGAAATTATCTTTTCAGGTGATAAAATATACTTCGATCAATGTCGTGGCTACCCTCAATTTTACAGTGGAGCTTGCTGTCCCTGTATTCCGGTTTTGCCTGAAGCTTGCACTTTGATCAAAAATTCATGGCTGAAAGGCCACCTGAAACCATACTGGAGCGATGTGCGTCAACTTCTTCGTTGTTTTCTTGGCTAGGTCGTATCCACGATTATTCCACTACACCAAAGTTTATTCCTGATGTATTTTGTCATACTTACAGGAGTAACATAGGCCAAAACAGGACCGTTGAAGTTTCGTTCCTCGGCTTCTTGGACAGATAAGCTTTTGTATTCGTCGACGATCGAATCAATGGTAATTATGTTTGGTGGGAAACGATAATCGTCATCTATATTTGGCTTGGCTCCAAATTTCTGAAAGGAGATATTCATAAAAAACACTAAAAAGAAAACCACTTGTTCCGTTTGCGAAACTGCCAAGGCGACAAAAAGCAAAAAAATAAGCATTCTGAAAAAGTGTAGTTTTTTTTTTTCAATTTCTGCATTTGAACCAAATATTGCGCCCTGTAGGTGGAAACCAAAGAAAAAACGTAATAAGCAAAAACAACACATTTTTTTATTAACAAACAATAAATATTCCATGAAAAATTTTGACAAGCTAATATATTTGAAATATATTACATCAACATAGAAGAAACAGTAAAAATAAATTATAAATAAAATTCAAATAAATCAGCCCTGCTGCGAGATCGAAAAACGAGTTAGTTGTAAGAGGAAAGAGTTAAATTGAATCTAATTCATTTAAGTGCGAATGGTGAATTTTCCCGCCTTCGTAATGTACTTGACACCTTTGAATGGTTTGTACTTTTCGCCATACATATCCAGACGGTTTACCTGAACATTTTTATGATTTTGGTGTCAATTTCCATACAACCAACTTTCATTCCACTGACAGCCAATTGATTGATTTTGAACTTGATTGAGATCGGTGGAGAATCTAAAGCTGCAGTGCCGGTCACAGAAACCTACAAAAAATCAAGTCATAGCTTTGGCAAAATTATTTACCGGTCCTTTGAGGGTTGGCGGCTTGCCTAACTCGATTTTGCCGATATTCCAATGCAACAACTTGGTAGTAGGATCGAAACTGCACTTTCCATGTGACGGAACAACATTGCAATTTTGGACGGCTTTCGGCATGGTCATTTCCAGAACGACGTCTTCAAGCTGAAATTTGAAGAATGATTCACTTGAATCCCTCTGAATCAAGAACCATCTTTCCCATGCTTTGCTTTGGTCCGACTGTCAGTTCCATCTTGCCTCCGACTGGCTTTAATAATATCACATGTCGGACGTAAACTGGAATAGCAACCATACTGAAAGAATGCAATATTTTATCTATTTTCAAGTGAATTCCTACTTTTGAGCAGCAATGTGGTAAGAAAGAAGACGGAAATTTCCATCAGGTGGCACGAAGGAAAGCACTTTCTCATTCTGAAAATCGTTTTTTGGTCCTTTCTTGGTAGTAACAAGTCTTACTTCCCAACGCTTGTACCTAACGCAAGGGTGAAACGAAACGTCGTCAAGAAGTCGCGGATTCACCAAAGTCATCGTGAGGTCCGGCATTCCCGATAGTTTGCAACAGACGTCAACCTGGAAATGTTTTTGCATGAATATTTTATTATTTTCCTCAAAATCAGTTTACTTACATATCCTTGGATCTCTGAAGAAACGGTAGTTCCTTGTTTATCAAGAATGACGTCAATCTCTTCGATTACATCGAAATACGCTTCGTTGTTGGTGTACTTGACGCCATGTCGACGCCACGGAATGTTGGAAAGTTGTCCGCTTGGCAACGTCTCCGAGAGATTTGTTCTTCCAGTAACCTGCAATGTATTTTGGACTTCATAATAATGAGACAAACAAAGGAATTTGAGGAAGTATTGATGAGAAAAAGGACAGTTACTGTTAATTTTCTACCTGATTGGCAATGTTGCGCAAGAAGTTTGGAGGTTTGATCAAGTCTTGGAGAATGTTTAGCTCAGTCACAAGTGGGAACCCGTTATCAAGCATTTCGTCTAGCAACTGAAACGTTCAATTTGTTTCTTTTTTGTGGATTATAGCGCACCTCAAAAACAATGACACAGTTCTCCTTCATCGAAGAATCGGAACATTCGCCGAAATATTGCACAAAGGTTTGAATGACCCTATGTAAAAACTCTATAACCATCAATGGAGGGGCTGAAATTGGGATTTTTAAGCTTAATTTTTAAGTTAAATGCTAACTTTCCGTCGTGACAACTGCCAATAAATAAAGTTGGTTGTGATAAACATTGATTAGATAATGATGAGGCGTGGAAATAATTGGCGGTACGTCTTCCGGAGAACTCTCCTAAAAGTGATTATTTAAACATCTCAAGAAAAAAACGTACCTTTTTCTGTAGATCAAAAAAATAATCACAAATCGAACGATGGATAACCGATTTCCAATGTTTTTCAAGAATGACGTCGCTGGAAATTTTTTCGATTATCTCATGAACCACAATTTTTCTTTGCTGTATAAAATACACTAATCGAGACAGATTTTTAAAACTTTTTTTAAGTAGCAAATTAGAAATTCGAAGAACACAACAAACCCAGAAGTATTGACGATAAATAAACTGTTGAGCATCTAGTAAACCTATTGAAAATATGCACAAGTGGCGAGAAAACCGATCGAAACCTCGTTGAGATTTGATGAAGCGAAGATGGCGACCCTAGGTCAGACCCTTAAGTGCTGTGCAAACACTCCTGCCCAATATTACACTAGCAACAGCAAACTCCACGCAGAAAAATTAATTTCTTATTAAGATTTTTTTAAGTCATTTTTTTCTTTGTCAAACCCGACTTAGAAAAAAATTGAAAAAGGTATAAGATGTTCAAAAAATAATATATTTTCTTTTCAAAAGCAATAGAAATTCTAATTTGGGAATTTTGAAAATGTGATTGGTAGTACAAGTTACGATAAAAAAAAAACAGAAATAGGAAAAATGGCAGAAAAGTCCAAAAGTTTATGATACAACTTTTAGCTAGCTCATGAAGTCAGTTAGAAGAAACAAAGTTTGAAAGTGAATTGATTATTTTTGCTTTTATGTCAGTTTTAATACTTTCAACATTTAAACGCGCCCAGTTATTTTATGAACAAACATTTAATTGGCTTGTGAAAGATTTATTAAGAAAAGTTCAACATTTTTCTTCTCGCGAAATCTTTCCACCAGCCAATTATAGAAAATTACACTGTTGGATTTTGGCAAACTTGTTTCTACAAGAATCAACATTTTTGCAGTTCACTCAACAAAATAAATTTTATTGGGCTCTACAAAGGTTTCCCGCTTCCTGGGTCTGTCGAAGATCTTATTGCTAATATAGAAATTCAAAAAATTAGTTATTTGATATTTTTTTCTCATTTTGAAGACAGACATGCAACTTTATTTCAATCACTAAAACACTTAATGAACAAGTTCGATATGTGGAAAGGTTCTGGTGAATAGAACAGTCATTATGCAAAAACGCTGCAAAGTTTCAAGATGATAAAAAAGATAACTAAATATATAGTTGAGAGGAAACAGAGAAGTACACATCCTCAGAAAATAAAATCAACTTTTTTACATCTGGGAAAAATGAATATATGTACATTACGAGAAGCTCAGTGGAAGAAATTATTTTGAGACGGGAAAATTTCGTGTTTTGTGTTGATATCTCAGTTTTTACCCAAGAAGAGATTAGTAGCAAACATTCAAAAAATTACTCAAAAACCCCTTTTAAAATTCAGTTCAAAAATATTGCACGAAGATCAATGAAACGTGCCGAAAGTGCATCAGATCGGAGGAAATCGATTATAGGGATTTTCCAAGGTCCAACTTATCACAGCGTCTGGTTTGAATTTTACTGGAGTAACTTTTCGCTAGTACACATTGATGAGAAATTGAACGACTTTTTACACCGTGATGGAAAGAACTGCAAATTAGGGGCAAAGCGACTGAAGGGTGGAGGGTAGAGTGAGATTGAGAAGCCGCAGAAAGTTTCAGGCGGAAGTTGTAGTGCGATCTTCAGAGCAGACTTTGCGACGGCGTCATTGTGCTCGGCGACGGCTGGTCGTCGCTGTCGGCGCCGCGAAGGCGAAGTCGCGTGAAGTCTTCGAAAATGAGATCGTCCTCGTCTTTGACGTCTCTGAAATACACCAAAACTCTACTGAATATGATGCAAAAACAGAGAGCCCGAATGAACCTCTACTTCATAAACTAGAAAAAAAGCATTTTTTTCAATCAAAAAAGTTTCATTTTTTTCATAACTATTTTTTTAAATTCACTTTTTTTGAAGATTTGATGTCAGCCATTCGAAACGAAATCGCCAGAGGTCGGACGTAAACGACGTATGCTTTCAAAAATAGAATTAATGTCAAATAAGTGAAATGGAAAAATTCTCAATATTTCGGTTTATTGCTCTACATCCTAATTTTATTCTATTTTTCGCAAACTTGTTTGCTTGGGATTTTTTTGTTGTAAAGCTTTTTCCAACTCAAACTCCGTTGTGACAAACGCTCACATTTCCTCGTGAAGCTGGATGAGATCCACTTCAAGGAGATTCGGCTCCTCGTCGTCAATAGGTTTTTCAATAGGTCGTTCCTGCAATTTGACTAACGTTGGCTCAAGCTTTCCTCCAAAGCTTCCGACCTTTTTTTCGGGTGTTTCGGCTGGTTTCGCATGAGTAAGCGTGAACGGCAATTCGGCGACTAGTTCTCCACCCAAGGGACCTCCGATCGATGCTCTCACCTTCACTTTGTACTGCACCACGATCCCCAAACTCTCTTTCGAAGTCTTGCCATCCAGGCTACAAATTCCAATTTTTCATCAAACCAAAAGAGCAAAAAGAAGCGAACAATGTTGCTAATTGGCAAAATTAAAGTTTCCAGTGAATTGTTCAAATGATTCTGCAAATTTTTGCAGATAACAACATAAGCAAAAAAGTTCGAAACCGGTATCCAAAAAAAAAAACTCGGAGCGTTTGAAATTATCATAACCAAAAGCTATTATTTTCACGTTGGAAAAAATTTGACAATCTGAGTTTTACTAGAACTATTTTAAACTTAGAAAAAGCGAAAAAAACAAACTCGAACATAGTACTAGATGCAAGATTGGTGTCTTCATGTTTCAACTGTCCATCCAATGCAAGACCGCGTTTGTCCTTGTTGTTCCGCAACAGCGGACACACCGAGAAAACCTTGGAAAGTGTGGCGCCAGGGCCGACAGGGAATCCTTCGCTGCAAAAAATGAACAATTACACGGAGTTTCGATAATTATTTGTGAAACCTGCTCTCCATTCGTGCCACTTCGCATGTGTAGGAGGCAGTCGTGAATAGGCAAATGTCCGCCACTTGAACCACGCTGACCTTCAAGTCAATCATTTTTCTTCTTGTTTTTTTTTCATAAAGCTGTAGGAACTTTCTTGCTCTCCTGATTTTTTTTTTAGTTTTCATCCATTAAAATTACCTGTTCACAGGCCACCATTAACCCGATTCTGCCACTCATAATTATTTCCACAGCAAATTATGGGCTGAAAATTCAAAAACAACCAACTTTGAGCTTTTTCACCGTCTTGTTGCTGTTGTTCTGAACGTGAACATTGACAGCAATCGATTCTCCATGGTAATACATCTGATAAAATTTTACCAATTTTTTTTATCGAAAAGCCAACCTCTTTATCGAGCGAAGCCTCCATATGTAAAAAGGCCAGTAGACATCATGAAGTCTTTCGAAACATCAACCATTGGTTGAGCTCTTGGTTCCCAGGGAGCATAGGTAAGTTTGCGAATTGCCAAACGAACGCTGTTGCTGAAATTGATTTTTTTAGAAATTTAAAAATTTTCAAACTGTTTTTTTCGGCTTCTCATTACACGCCTCCATGCTTCCAACGATAGTTTTGAGCTCGTAATCGACGCCGCATGGTTTTCCCGTGTCTCCTGGAGCTGGCTGAACAAAAAAAAAAACATCAGCCATTCCTTTTCCGTTGGGTAAATACGTCTAGGTTGTGGTCAGTCAGAAAAAAAAATTGGCTTCCTATCTTAATTGCAAAAAGTAAATTTTCTCAGATTTCTTATGGATAATGAAAACTGAATTGAAGCGTTGCCCACTTGCAAAGTCACGCTACTGGCGCTCTTTGGAGGAACTTCGAACCAAAACGGAAAAGCGTTAACGCCGAGTTTCCTCTTGAGTCGCTCTTGCAAACGCGTGAGTTGCCGGTCTGGCGCATTTGGATCCGGCGGATAAACCTTCAATTCTCAATAAGTCTCGGAAAATAAAAAGAGCAGCCCTCACCTGATATTGTTGCGATATCAAATCCTTTCGGAACGTTAGGCCCAACACGTCTAAATCTTCCCGGCCGTAGCGAAATGCGGCGAGTAGATGAGCCGTTATCTAAGAAAGAATAAAATTTCAAAAAAACCGTTTTCATTAATTAGAGAAATTCTAATAGAAATGCCGAGCTTTTTTTGAAAAACTGCAGACCAAAAAAACCTTTTTGCCTTCTTTGATGTACTCGTCATCGACCAAAACCATGCCGTCTTAAAATTTTTTTTTGTTGTATACTTATGAAAATTAACTAACCGATGAGATCAACATAATCACCTCGATCGATGAAATCTCGTTTTCCCAGGTAAGTTGTTATTTTCCCATTAGGGCTTGTCTTTTTAAACACCCTGCAAGCAGAAAAAAGTCACGAGCATTCAAGAAAGCTAACCTCGTTCCCGTTTTCCGATCTTCATCTACCATAACCACACGCTCGTGAGAGCACTTTCGTCCTGAAAGGCCACTTGCTCAAGGAAAAAATCAAATGAACACGGGTAGAGTGTGTAAAACATGATAAAAACGAGCAGGAGGCAAAGAAAGTCGGTCACAACAAAAAAGGACCGAGTTAGCCAAACAAACCGAAAAACGAGAATTGCGCTTTGGAAGAGCGTGGAGGAGGGTGCAAGACTGGCCGGCGGGAAAATGAAAAATCGGTGTGCAGTTGTCAAACGTTGGAAACTTTCAATACAACTTGATAAAATGTCATACTTCCGGAGTTTTTGTTTAACAAAAAAAATTTCTTTTTCACTCCAAAATTCCTTCAGGTTTTATATAACTCAGATTGAAACACACGAAGATGATTGGAGGAATCTATCCCCTTAAAAAGTGGAACATTGGATTAAGTTATTAAATTTGCATCGATTATTATTTGTTGATCTAACTGTGAAAAAAACTTTCCAATTCCTACGGCCGTCTTAATATGGCAACGTTTCATACTGTAATCAATTTGATAGCGTACATTCGGAGCTAACCTACTGTAATTAGTAGGAAAAAATAAATCTTAATTGATGATTCAATATTCGCTGATTCTTACTTATTTTTGACATTAATACCTGACCACCCCCTTTCAAATTTGATGTTTTGCCTACCGTAAGAAAAATGGCTTTTTTTTCACTCGGGGCTCAGCTCTCAGTGGTAACGGTGCTTATAATAGCTTTTTTTCTTTTTATCTATCAGAATGCTTTCATTCAAACAATTTGACATTTGCAAGCTGCTACGAATTGAGAAAACCATGTCGATGGATTCAGAAGTGAGGCTTAAAAGCAGCTTGACTTGACGGGGTGCGAAGAGAGCAAAAGCCGCTTTAGCCGATAAGCAAGCCGAAACTCCAAATGAAATGCGGCGGTAAGTAAATGAAAAATGTCCCCGGCGACGCGAGGCTACGAAAAGTCGGCTCAAAGGCACTCGAATGACTTGTTCCATGATATGCCACCCCTTCTTTTGTCAATTAGTGTCAATGGAGCAGAGGAAAGGCCTTCCCTTCGCGCGTTGGCTCTTTTTGGAGAATAACTGTAAGAGTTGTTCAAAAAAATTACTTAGTTACTCTGAATAACAAGGTTCACATGTATCAAAAATATATGTGCTATAATCTGTTTTCAGAGTTATGGTTATTTTGAATTTATAAATCATATTTGATAAGCTTTTTGAATTTTTTTGATCAATTGATTAATTGCAAGGAACGGATTGTTTGGATCGGAAAATTTAAAATAGAATATGAAGATATTGAAGTTGTCCATAGAAACAGCTCAAGTTCACTTTCAAGCTGTAACAGCCTGTAGTCAACCGTAGTATGATGTTTTAGAGGGATCCTGTGAAAAACATTGAAAAAAGCAAGAAGCAAACACTTGCGACTCATTCATGATACGGTATCGGATGAGAAATAAGTGCAAGAAGAAAAATTGAGACACCAGAAGCTATCGGTTTTTGATGAATAGACTGATAAACACAGGCAGACGAAATGAAGATGAGGTGCCTTTTTAAAGGCAAACCGAGTAGCGAACCACCTCGTGTCTTGCCCACGAGATAACAACCGCTAGTCCTTCTCTCTTTTTAATTCTTCTCACCTCCGTTGTTTGCGAATTTTGAGGAGTTTTCCCCGGATATGAAAAGAGTTTAAATTGACTTGTGATAAGCTTCTGTGTCTCGCTATTTTGAAGCATTCTGATATTCTGCATAATATTGTCACATTTTTCAAAAAACGGAACAAACCGAATGTTGACTCAAATACGATACAAATAATTTTGAGAGCGATAATTCCAATATCATCACAACCTGTAATGTCTTTTTTCTAAAAACTTTTCAAAACCTCCCGGTCCACAAATCTTGACCGGAAATTGGAAGAAGATCCACTGAACTAGAAGTGAATCGCAAGTGTAGACGCTCGGCTATTAGGGCGAATATTAATGGCAAATGGCCTGGGCGGAGCATAAGGAAAACCAGAGGGCGAGGCGCAAAGATGGAAACTCTTGCTCTCGCCTTTCATCTTATGATTGATTTTCCAGGTAAGTCCGTTCTCGGGAAAAAACAAAACTACAAAATTTGAAAGAAAAAATTAAGTAGAAAATGAAAAAGAAAGAAACATCTTGAGAACGTTTTTTTTTAGTTCAACCAAGATCTCATCCAATTATGTTGAAAAACAAAAGGAGAAAACTTCAAACTCAACATTTTTCAGAGGTATAATGCGTTTCGCGCAAAACGGTCACCTTTTAAGAAAACGGAAAAAAAATACAGACTTTTGCTCTACAAAACTTCTGAAAAAGATAGCAAAAAACAAAGAACTTGAAGCGATGTTGTTCAAATTTGATCTTATTTGGTATACGGTCTTTTTTCCGGAAAGGAAAACGTAACAAGCTGGCGCGGAATGGGCTATACAAAACTTTTAAACAATTGATGCAAAAAAATTAAGCATTTGAAAAAGTACAAGGCATAAAGTCAGTTTCAGGTGAGAAAAAAAATGTACCTGTCGTCTAACAAGACAAAAAGTATATTTGAGCATCAGAGATTGTAAGAAAAAACAACTTGGCTAAATAACTGGGCCATAGGAAAAAAAATAAGCCGTAAATCCAAAAGAAATATCGAAAAAAGCAAAGGTAATGAAATGAATGACAAAGCAGACCACCCGTAGAGCCTAACTTGAAGTTCTTTTGATTGATTTTGAAGTTTATGAATTGCGAGGCGAGGTGCGCGGACGGCGGACCATAATAGGCGACCACGTGCCGCGAGCAAACCTTTCAAGGTTTCAGGCATTGGTCTCCCTCCACCAGAGTACATAAATACTCTAGGGCTTCAAGTATGCTTGCCTGCTTCTCTTTTAGTACGAAATAGCTCTGATGCCATAAAACTTTTAAGGAAAAAGATGATACTCAAAAAAATGAGACAAAAATGACGGAAAACTTGTGAATTTTTAACTGAAACAAAAGGTTAAGCAAAATTTGCGGAGCTATGAATTTTCGGATATTCAACATGTGCACGTCAGTTTGAGGACAACCAACACATTTATAGAATGAGAAAATCCTTCTGCTCAAACATAAGCCACATTATACATTCTTGGGATAAGTGTAACCCAAGGGATACTGCTCAAACACCCATTCTTCTTGTAAACAAAGGATTGAGCAGTTTTCTTTCGATAAAATTTTTTTCTTTTGGAACCTAAAAAATAACTGTTTAAAATAAAAAAAATAACTGCTATCAACAATAAAAAAATAACTAAAGAAAGTATAGAGTATGGAACTTGAGCTTTGCAAGAAACGCGTGCGTAGCGAATTTGTATTACTGCACGCGAAACGCTAGGGTACGCGAGAAGGTGCACGCTGGCGCGCAAATGCACAGAGAACAGCAGAGTTCGCAGTTTGAACTTTACCGAAAATGCTCCTATTTTTATTACATTCATGAATGACTGTAACTCCTCAGATGGATTTCGTTGAAATCTCATGAGTTCGAAGATCCTACTCAATTCATGTGAAAGTGAAAAAGTTCGAAGATAAACGGTCATCTTTGAAGAAAATGATAAAAAAATATTTATTTCTTTTTAGTTCTCAATTTTATGGAAACATTCACAAACCAGTTTCAAGCCAACACCGAACGACAACTTTCTGGAATTTGGTCACGAATCCACGCCAAAGTACACATCATCGGTTTTTTAATTTTTATTCTTTGATCTCTACCGTAATCTCACGCAAGCATACAATTTTTTGCAGTCTGTAATAAATTGCAAGCTTCAAAGTCCAGGTACAGTAATTGTATGTTGTAGTGATACCCCGTTGTTAAAGAGCGTTTCAAAAAAGTAGTGCGTCCGCTCAACTGATAATCGGCCACATGTATGTGCGTTATAAAGGTGCCACTTATTCACAAGTCTTTTTTAATCTACAAAAAACGCTTTTTTTCGTCTCGACATTCTCAACTTCCTCAATATTTATCTCAAGTTGCTCTTCCTTACATCATAGGTCCACCCACGGACTATCCCAAACTTTTCTGAGACTACGTAAAAAATGTTTATTGCTCATTTGAAAAAAAAAGTAAAACCATACAATGTTGATATAAAAGTTAAGTGTCAGCTATTTCTGAGCAACATCATTGTTTGTTTCAATCAAGTTGAAAGCATTTCAATAGTTCGAGAAAATATATATAAATGAAAAAAAAAAAAAACAAAAAAAGTGGGCTGCAATATTTCAAGCAAATCCTGGCCCAGGAAAAGCCGAAGGAAGCGTCAACATCTTGCTTGTTCAAATTTGGCGCCCAAATGAAACAGAAAAGTGCTCGTTCGAGCCCTCCTCAGGCTCGCTCGAAACGAAGGAACTGGAGTTAACGACCAAACATGATTAGCTGAACGTTGTCTGGAATTTTTTTATTTCCATTTGTTGAAGTTCTGCGGGAATGAACCAGCAAATTTTCGAACAACGTAAAACGCAGAAATAGCCAGCTTAAAAAAGATAATTGAACTCGCCCAAGATCAATATCGTCTTGTTAATTTTTTTTTATACTTTAAAAAGTCTGAAAATGTGAAAGTTCAAAGCGTTCTGAGCGACAGAATTCTATCAATCAAATTTCGTAAAGATTATGAAAAAAAAACTGACTAGTCCAGGTTTATTATTTGTTGAATGTTCTTTTGGAAATTTTCCTCTATGCATTGAAAGTGTATACTTCTCTTGATCAACGTTTCCTGTCCAGACACAATATTATTCATGAGTTTTCACTGCATCACCAAGTTGTCGCACGTGAAAAAAATGCGATTTATTGGTGGGATTATTCCGTTTTAAAAGGAGATCGCAGCAATTTTTTTTTTTTAATTATTCAAAGTGAAAAAGTCCTAAAACATTTCTGAAGCCGTCTGAAAAAAGGTTTTAGATTTGCAGTGGTTCAGAAATCAATTTGCTCTAAATAAAAAAATCTGAGATGAAAGTACTGAAATGCTTCTTTTAAAAAAAAAGGTGGCCCTTTCGAAAACAACTGTTTTTAGCTTCTGCAAAATGCAGAGTTCTCGAAGTTCCAAAAAGCGTTTTTTTAACCTTTTAAAAATTTAAAACATCTTCTGAAAGAAAAATATCACACAGCAAAGAAATTTTACGGATTTGATATAATAAGTTTTTCAAAACAGGCAGGGGTCGATGAAACTAATAATATCAGGCGTATTGAAAAATTTGCTTTTTTTGAGGACTTTGTCTCTGCATTTGTTTCAGCGGTTTTTCAGGCTATTTCTTTATTTCAGTCAACTTTTCGAAGCACGCGTCATTTACTTAGGGTGCTAGAACATTTTTCAAATTGATATGATCAATTTTATGGAAAGATGAGATTTCTGCCTTTTTTTCTTCACAGTACAATTAGTATCGTGGGCAACAACGCCAGACACCTCGTGAGAATTTTTTTTTGCAAGGTGACTCGAAGGGGAGATTCAACTCCATAATTAAGAGCAAATCCGAGTCACTCTTATGAGGGCAAGAAAAACTGAACGCTGTGCTCGGCGAGCAGCTTAAGAAGCAGAAAGAGCAGCAAAAGTAAGAGCCTGTGTGCCTGCAAATTGGCGATGAGCGCGGGAAGTGGGACGAAATAGGATGTGAGGATTATAGCTTCTGGAAAGACAAGAAGACGTCTGTTCTCGTCTGAACTATGCACTCAAGATATCCGCGTTTCTGCCGTCATATAGGCTCGCAGTTGCGATTGCGCATGTAAAAAGGATATAGACCATAATGTCCCGTGGTTATAAATCTTTCTACAGGGTTCAAACTCTTTTCCCACGCACAGGAAAATATGTTCTGTGAACGCACCTCGAGAATCGCATCGGAAAAGTTTCAGTTTGTTATTCTTGATGACCAGAAGTTTGACAAAAGTGAATTTTGGAACGTTTTATTTTTCAAAAATGAGCTGAGCGCAGTGGAACTTTTGGCTCACAATTTTCATTTTTTCCTCAAGTCAGTAAAATTAATGTATGAAATTTTACAGTAACAAAAAACTTTGAAAAAAAGCGATCAAAGTTCATAAATTTTTCGAAAAATTTTAGTTAAGACTAAACGAAGTTCCACTCCTGCAGCTTCGCAGTGTGAGAGAATCTTCACCACCTTGTCTTCCAACGGCTGGTCTCAACTTTTTGTTGATTGAGCTCACAACTTACATATGTCAAAGAAGTGTAATGAGGAAACAAATCCGACAAATGGCCAGTTATTCGCGAGAATTCGGTGCTATTTATTGAGCAGTGCTTTTTGAACAAGACTATAATCTTAGTATTCTCTGTTTTTTTCCACAAAAAAAGTGTTGAAAAATTTTTTTAGAATAAAAAGTTTAAAAAAATTTTTTTAAATCAGAAATTCAACAGTATTCTCGAAGTTTATTGAAAATATTCATCATATGAGTGTCCACCGCTAAATTTTTAAAAAATTCGAGAGATCGATTTTTTGAAACGAGTACTTTTGGAGGACTCCCATATTAGGTTTATTGAAAAGTTTTCCACACCATCCTCAAAATCTTCAGAGAGAATGTACGACTGTTTCGAAATTCTAGCAAGTGTCTCTCAAGCAATATCTCTTTTATTGTTCATTCAGTCGAAATTTCTTCTATACGTCTTTGAGATTCAGTGAGCAAGTCCAACACATGTGGACAAAAAATATGAATGGGGAGAGGTTGGAGGTTGGGTGATAAGATTTTTTGCGGAGATCTCGGTGTAATGTCCCTGGCACATAGTTCCTCACGGGCATCGAAACGTTCGTGGACAGCAGTTTTCAACTCAGGTGCAGCTCAAACAGCCAAAACTTGACGCTGACCGACCGAAATTCACGCCGTTTTTGATGATTTCTCCAGGTTTGGTTTTATGGTAATAAGTTTCCGCTTCATTGACTCAATCTACTAACTTTTTTTTTATCTCGGAAATGAATTACTCATCTGCAAATGTGAAAAGTGTTTGCAAACACTAAGCTTTTTTGAGGTGGGAATGTACAAAAAATAAATTTTACTTTGAGATGGTTGAGATTGAACAAGAAAAAATCGAATATTTTTTTTGAGTTCCTCGAAATTTTCTCGGTTATATCTACATTTTTTTTTTTAACACGTTTAACACCACGGATGGAACTTTTTCGCAAGAATACCAGTCAACCAGGACGACAAAACTGGATGACCGATTGCATAAGACCTCCTGGAAAACGTGTGGTCCACGCTTCGATCAATAAAAGGCACTAAAAGGCAATAAAAGGTCGAGAGCGAAGATGGACCATCTAAGTATCTAAGTAAGTAAGTATATCTACATTAAGGCTAAACTTTTAGATTTGAAACTTCTCGTTATTATCTATTTTTAAGCTATAACAAAATTAATCAGAAAATGGTCGCCAATCCGATTCACTCGAAAAAAAAATCTTGCAATCTTGAAAGAAGTGTGTTTCAATATGGAGTCGTAAATTGAAACTTTCGTCTTGTAATCTGTTTTTCAGACGTGCAAGAGTTTCTCCTCCACAACCAGAACGCGATTTTGTCCTTTTTCAAATCCATCGATGACCAGAAATCATCAGTGAGTTTTTGTCTTTTATTTACGAGTAATGACATAGGTTTCTTTCTCATTTATAGGAAGAATGCTCCTCAACCAGTTGCCCAAACTCTGACACTAAATCGACCGTCACACTGGGGGAAAGAAGGTTTGCTAAATTTTTGGAAAAAAGATTTTTCTCTACTATTGCCATTTCTTTTGATATAGAAGGATTTTTAAGGGTTGCTTTTAAAAATGCTTGAAAATTTGACGTGAGATTTTTTATAACTCAACTTCAATTTCACAAACTCCCCGTTTCAATAAAAACCATCCAGAACTAGTTGATGGGTTCTTCGGAAGTTTCAAGCTTTTTAACTCTTGAACTTCAAAAAATTCAACCATTTGAAATTTTGAATCTTTTATTGAGTTAGTTGAAATTTATCTCAAAATCAAGGTTTTTCACTTTTGCAGTTTTTTTTCGTGGTTGCAGTAAAATTTAGTTTAACGGATAAGTTTCTCAAAACTGTCGATATGCGCATTTTTCGAGAAACAAGGGCTTGGTCTGGCTCTTTCAGAAAATTTTCAACCCCAAAAGAAATGACCTTTCTTCCATGGATAGGGAGAAACGACTTTGCTTGCAAGAATATAGCTTGGAAAGCGCCGCAATTCATTTTCCCGGAGTCAAGTTGGGAAGCTATTTTTGGAAAATTTCCTTTTTCTCATGCACTAAAAGATAACTCTAACTTCAGAGCAGGAGTAGAAAATGAATTTTTTTTTCTCAGTCCCATAAAAAAATGCACCTAGAAATAATTTTGCTTTTTATAATCAGATAGGTGTCATTTCAAGGTCCAGGGAAGATTCAAGAGAGAGGAAAAACGAACAACGAAGTGAGTCTAGCTCACCGCAAAGGGACCTTCTAAAATGCGAACGGAGGTTTTACCAGCTTTCGCGTCCCATTAATTCGTCGGCTACGCATAAAAGGTTACGTCTTTTATTGCCTATTTGCAAGAATAACGAATCAAATGTCTCTCAAGTAATGGGAAAAATACTTGACAAATCTGTTTTAATCTTGTCTTCCCATTACAGTATTCCTTCATTCTGGATAAATTTTTCACGAAAGGAAATTTCAGGCGAAGTGCTATTCGAAGAACGGAAAGAATTACACCAAGCAGGTTTTTTTCCAATTATCCCAACACAATGTTTATTACCTTCATTTTTCAGATGTGTTGGAGTTTTTGGTATGAGCCAATACACAGACGAACGGGACTTGTACGCAATTTTCCGCGAATTCGGTCGTATAGAAAAGGTGAGAGAATATAAATCCACATTTAATTTGAGAAAAAGTTTTCGCAAATGGAAGGAGAAATTAATATACAAATCAGATTTTTTGTAAAGAAAACATCCCTCTGATTGCGAGAGCGAGAGAAATTTTTCTCGAAACAATCATTGAAGCTTCAAATGAATTGCATGCGGAATTGAAGCATCAAGAATGATTTTAGCCAGTAGGGCGCAGAATGATATAATATTAGCTTTCAGAAAGCTCTTGAAACTATTTTTTCGATTTTCAAAAATCAATGTTGTTTTAAGTTGCACATGATTGATTCCATTCAGGTAAACGTCATACGGGATCACAGTAATCAGCGTAGCCGAGGCTTCGGTTTTGTCTACATGCGAGCAACTTCGGAGGCTCAGCGGGTAAATTAATCAAGTTTTTCTTTGAAATTAGAAGTTGTTGGCCCTGCACTTATTCTCGTTGACCAAATTAAGCTGTGGTTGTGACACGAGCAAAGAGGTCGTCTTTCTCTATTTTCTGTCTAATCTTCGGTTGCTTTGCAGGCCATTGAAGCTCTGGCCAACGCCATCATCGACGGGCATCGCGTTCGCGTCGACTTTGCTTCAAGCACTCATTCACGTCGATGAAACCTTTTTCTACGGCTTTCCCCTTTTTGTGAATACGAGCTACTTTTGCGTTCGTCTTGGTTCTTGTCCAGTGCGTTCCTCTCAATGAAACTCCTTTTCTCAACGCTGAAAAGAAGAATTGTTCACTCACTCTTTTAGTTAAACAGTTATGTTTGTTTATAGAGATGATCGAATCCGGCTTTTTATATCAACGAAAAGCAGAATACATTTTTGCAAAAAATTTTTCCATTTCAATTTTGTTTTTGGAGCAAAAAGCTACAAACAATGGTTTTGAGACTTAAGCGTTGCAGAAATTTTCAAGTTTTGATAAAACAGAACCTTTGAAAATAAGTGCCTAGAATGAAAAATTACGATTTTTTTCGAAATCATTTTCTAGTTTTTTTCAAATCATTTTTTTGATCATTCAGAAAAAAATGTGCAACTGAAGTTTAATTTTTCTTTCTTTCAAGATTTATGAACATTCTTCAGCATTAAAACTCAATGAGTCAGTCAATTGACTATACTTTGGTAGTTCTGAAAAAAATCCAGTTTGTGGTGTACTTCCTCTCCGTGCAATGTTTATTATAACTTTTTTTCAATATGAACCAAGAAGAACTGGAAAAAGTATTGTGATCTGATTTTAATTTCTGGGATTGCAAAATGAACAGTCAGAGATTTTTCAGAAAGACTTTTTTTTCAATTTTCAACTTTTTTTGAGAATTCGGGAAATGAAAAAATTTAAAAAAAATAATCGTAAACTTTTATGAAAATTTCCGGATTTCCAGTGACGTTCATGGAAAAAAAGAAGTCTAATCCTATGAAAGCAGCTCATACCATTATAGCATCATTATACTAAAAGGCGTCATTTTTTCTTTCACTTAAGAGAGATCTTCCGTTTTTATGGAATTTCCTCTGAAGAAATGCTTCAAGCATATATTCGTGCTATTTTTCAAAGTTTTTTTTTTTTTTTGGCTAAAATGATAATATTTATGAATGATGTGTGCGTGAGAAATAAGTTATTTATCACATCAAATTTTTGCAATCATTTACATTCCTCATTACGAGAAACTTTGTGGCAAAGTTGTTATCTTAAGTTTTGGTGGAGTGTACTCAAATTGATTCTTTTTCTTCTGCTTTGATCGTCGACTTGGCGCCGATAATAGTGCATAGATTGGATCGTTCGGGCGATATTTCACGTCTTTTTCTCTCTGAACGTCGTCACACTAGTTTTTTTATTTAAAAATTTGGTATAATTTTTACGCTTCGTTTTTTTGCGCAAATCAAAAAGTAAATTAATTTAATTTTTTTTTTCAATGGTTGAAAAGTTTTTCAAAAAGGAAACCTTAAATATTTTCAATAAACAGAAGAAATTTTCGAAACTTTTTAAGATAATGCTGTTTTTGTGTTTTCAATTGTCCATTACAGTACAATCGAAAAAAAATCTAAACATTTTAATTTTTTGAGTGGAGCTCGTTATCTCTGAAACTCTCTGAAGCTGCACTTTTTCTTGCAATAAAATTTCTCTAGCGTGTTTCAAGTATCAGTCATCTCAACTATGAAAGTTTTCAAAAAAACTGACCTCCACACAAAAAAGTTCTGATCAAAAAAGCGTGTTTTCTTATCTTTTCTGACGAAATCGTATTTTTTCGCTTTTAAGCGTTTCAGTAAAAATATCTAAGATGAAGAGAAAATCCCAGGTTTTTTTTTCTAATTGCTAGGTTTACTTGACGTTTTTTTTTTCACATTGCAAAGCTAACAGGGATCAAAATCGAAAATTCGAAGTACAAAAGAAAGAGCTAAATCACTTAAAAGAAGATATTGGCGGCGACGACGGATTGCAAGTGACGCGGAAGGACGGAATCGATGTGTTGCCGCCGGGTCGTGGAGTTGTTTTGGAAAATGGTGCCCCATCGCACACCGGCTCTTCGTTGTTTTTGCCCATCGCTTTTTTTTCTGCGAATGCCCAGGGCTTTGTTTGTTTTCATCGATAGCGATCGCTTATCACTCAGCTCCTGCTGGAACGTTGTTATCTAATTCTCAAATTGTATTCTCTTCTCAAAATTTTCAAGTTTGTTCCTTTGAAGTTATTCCTCAATCCTCTCCTTCAAATTCAAAAAAATTAAATGTTCAAAATTTTGATCAGAAAAAAACAGTATTTGAAAAAAACTTTCCGTATTCATGTTATATATCCTATTTTTTCAGGACTTCTTATAAAAGCAAAAAACCTTCTGATTTGAATGTGTTTTCTCCTTCCATCATACTCAAATATTTTCCGATGTCAATTACAACCTATTTAGTGTTGATTTAATAAATTCAAAAAGCTGATTTTGAAAATGATTTTTTTTTAACCTTGCAGCTTTATACCCAGTTATTCAGCTAGAAAAAGGTTTTAAATTTAAAAAAACTTTCATGAACGTGCTTTTTCAATTAATAGAAAAAAGTATCAAATTACCTAAAAGAAAAAAGATAGAGATTTATCGAAGAACGCAGCATAATGATTTTTCTCACTTATGATATCACGGAAAGATTGATGAAAGGGATTGATACGCTGTCCGAAAGCGCGTTTGGGGGCAATCAGTTTTGTTTCACCGCCTGTTTCCGCGTTTTAAAATGCACGGACGGCCTCACCTGCGGCCCTTGTTGGGTGACCGACAAGTTCGTGTTTTGCGTATTCTCTCTGAAACTTGTAAGAGAACAAGAGACGTTGTTTACAGCTGACGATGCTCGGCGGTCACAAACGTGGGCAAAGCGAGAGCAACTTGCCGCTGAGGTCCGTCGTTGACGTCAACACGGAGTCCAACGAGTTGCAGGTTTCTATTTAAAAATTCCTCTGTATAAATTTCCTGCTTACCCTGCGCAATTAATCATTATTACCATTAATACATTTTTTTTTCAAAAATTTTAAGCTTATCTTTTTTTTATCAGTGTTTTTGTGAATGCGCATTTATTACAACAAAAAAAAATAAGAATGCATAGAAGGCGCATTCAAAGAAACACTACGCACGCACTGATGCAATGAGTTTTTTAACTTGAAAGATAATAAACTCTTGACTAAGCTAACGTAGAAGGAACTATTCTTTTAAAAACTACTCATAAACATCATTTTTTTTGAATGAATCTTTGGTGGAGGACTCCAGCAAATGATTAATTGAACAAAAATTTTGAACTTTTTGTTGAGGTACATTTTTAGCATGACCTCACTCCCACCCCTCTATCATACAGCAGAAATGCAATGATCTAAACTTTATACTGATTGAAAAAACATTGTGACTTTGCAGGTGATATCATGCAAGAGTGTCACACGGACAGGATCGCCGAAAAATAACGGTGTCATAATAAACATCGATCCAATCGATCCAGAACCGACCCCTGTTCACACAGCCAAAGAGGTTTTTATCAAAATTAAGAAAAAGAAATAAAGTGATAAACTAACCACTGCAAGAGCACCAAAATGGCAGAAAAAGTCGACGTACTTTTATTCCAAAAAGAGACCACAAGACCGTCGCAAAAGCGAATATCAACTATCATGTGAATTTTAACATTCAAAATTTTTCCGCGTCTCGCACTTTCGCGCGTTTTATGTCTTTTTCCGAACACAATCGTTCTTTTTTCTTGAAAGCGTGCTCGAATGTGATCAATTTTATCTTTTGTTTTGTCGCTTTGCCGAGTCAAAATTGTTTTCAAATGCCATAAACATTGCGAGTGTAATTTGATATTGAAATTCGTAAACAACGGCCGAACTGTTAAACAGATACTTTGTTCTCTATAATTCTGATTCTGTAGTTCAGTCTTCATGTTTTTGAGATTATGTAAGAAAAAATGAGTTGCAGATCGTACAGATTGTTTTGAATCAGTTTTTTCCTGAATCTTATTTAATCGGATTTTTCTTTTCTTCTTGTTTCAGCAATAATGATTTTAGAGAAAGATTCAGGACGATATGATTCTGGAAGCGAATTCCGAAGGTTTCAAGACGTTCGTCGCTTTTTTGTGCCTGATGGTAGCAGCTTTTTTGAACTTCTTCCTTTTGACTGTCATCCACGACGTCGTGCCCCGCCAACCGTTGCCCGACCTCACCTGGATGATCGTCCCTCAGCAACGCTGGGCTTGGAGCGTTGGCGACGTCCTTTCCACTTTCAGGTCATTCTTAAATTTTGTTGTGAAGTATAATCCTGATTCTGGAATTTATTACAAAATTGCTCTCCATTGAGGATTTGCCGTCTATTGTAAAATCATTCAGTTTTCATGATTAATTTTTGATCTTCATGTTAAACTCGAAAGTAATTTAGCTGCCAATTTTCGTAACCATACTATTTTCTATGTTAAAGTTAACGATGTGACGCCATTAGCAACTGCCATATAAAAAGCATTTTTTTAAATATTTTTGAAAAAAATATGAAAAATCCAGAATTCGCATTGAATAAATGAAAAAAACTTTGAGCGGAAAAAAACCAATAAAAATTTTTTTCAGCTCTGTGGTTGGCTTCACTGTAATATTTTTTTGCACCACCAACGACTGGTCGTGCTCCGACGCACTTTTCTGCTCGGGGCCATTTTATACGGTCTTCGGGCTGTTGTACTTGGAGTGAGATTTTGACATTATCAACCTTTTCGTTTTTTAAGTTATTATTCCTTAAGATTTTTTGAAGTTTTTTTTTAGCTAGATACACTAAATTAATAACATGTCGTTCTCAGTAACATCTTCCTTCCTAGTTTCAGCAAAATAAAAATTGGTAAATGACTCTCCACAGAGTTTTCATAGTTATTTAACTTCAAACAAAGTTGAAAAAGTTTGAGCGTTTTTTTTGATGGAAAATATGAATAAAATATTATTTGAACTGAAATATCTGGAAGATGTTTCCAGGTCACTTATCTCCCTCCTTCTTTCGAAAATCGCGATGAAATCTGCCAGCCACAAGTAAACCGCACAGCTATGTATGGAATGGAGATAACTACAAGGTGAACACACTTTACATAAAGTTCTTCAAAAAATGTTTAGGTTTCTGACGTACGTGATCACGTTGGGATTGACCTCAGGTCAAGAAAAAATCCTGTGCGGAGATTTGATGTTCAGCGGCCACACGGTGGTACTGACCATTATGTACTTTGTACAGCTGCAATACACTCCCAAAGGCCTCGTCTGGCTGAGGTACCCTTATTTTTTTCTTGAACCTATTTAGGAGAGGTGATAGCCTTCAAAACCGCTCTTTCCAAAAAAATTTTCAAGAAAGATAAATTTTACAGCATTTTTATCGTGAAAAATGGCATAGAAAACAAACTCTCACCTTTTGTGATTTGAAGGTACCTGGCCGCTCCGATAACTTTCTTCGGAATCGCGGCTCTGGTAGTGTCGGGAGGTCATTACACAATGGATGTTCTGATCGCTTATTGGTTGACAAGCCACGTCTTCTGGGGCTATCATCAGATGTTCGAAATGCCCAAAGACATCCGACCAGAAGCTCCAATGAGCCGGCTTTGGTGAGTTGTTTTTCAGCGTGTTTTGCTTCCGATCTTTCGACTGATCTCTTCAAAATGTAAATAAATTTTTAGGTGGTTTTGGTTGTGTTATTGGTTCGAGTCGGACGTGCGAGAGGGACGCCTTACTAATGAGTGGAACTGGCCTTTCAAGGGTCCGCAGCGGATCCATGAAATCATGGACGCAGTCAATCAGAAGTTGCAGTGATTCCAAATCAACCTTGCTTTTTTGAACTGCGGCAAAAAGTCTCTCCCCGCCGATCTCCTCATTGCCTATCTGAGATCTTAAAACTTTCCATAGCATCGATTGCCGACAGTTATCACCTCATTCTCTCCTGTACTAATATATTTTCTATGAGAAAACTCATGTGACATAATTTTAAGCATTTTGTTCTGTCTTACTCTTGAAAAGGGTTCATTTTTGCCATTTATTTTTGTTAAGTTTCCATTCCACACAACGACTTAATGGGTCAGCAACTTCTTTTTGTTTACGTGTGAGATTATCAAGTTTTTCAGGCATCAAACACGTTAAGATTCTTGTTGAGAACTCTCTGGTGGTCTGCATCTTTCCTGGTTCAATTCTCTCGTCTGGGTTGTCAGCCTTATTATTTTTTGTTTTCAACGCAATCTCGGTGAGAATTCAAGCTCCTTTGTTTGGTTTATTGACGTGTCAAAGAGATTAATTCAATAATTCATGCAAATTATTTTATTGGATGTTGCTTATAGCCTTTTTTCATCTACTTCTGCTTCTACTTATGGATGAGATGGTGCTTTTTTCAATCGATTCGCCCTTTTTCAACTTCTTTCAGTTTCAAAACTTCGAATCTGGTACTATATTTTAATGATTGCGATTCTTAATTTTCACTTCTGGATATAATCACTTTTTGCTTTTATTGAATAAACTTTTAAAGTAACAAAATGGTTTCAGGTGTATCCACATGAAAAAAATCCAACAAAATAACAATTTCATGCAAAGCTTTTTAAGCAATGAGATATTTTTTACTTTGTCAAAAAGCTCAAAGAGCTTTTTTGGAAATTTTCAAAAACATCAAAAGGAGGTGTGATGCAAAATATTTTGCTGACGCATCTCCCCATCACCCGAAGAAAAAAAAGTGACGCCAAAATTATTTCATCCTTCTCTCACAAAATGGAGCGTCAATAGAGCTCTATTTTGCTGACTATTCAATCAGAACATTGAAAATAGGTAATAGGAATTTGTAAAAATTCAAAAAAATAGAAACGCAAAAAGGTCTCGAAAAGTACATATTTCCGTTTTTTTCTGCCATACTCTGAGAAGTTTTTTTGATCTATTTGGCACTTTCTATGGACAGAAGGAGTACAAAATTGTATCAGCATTTTATTTTGCAAAAACTATTTTTTTAATTTTTGGGAAAAATATGGTGGGTTTTTTTCTTAAACTCATATGTAATCGAACTATATCGATCAGGAAGATTTTAGTCTTAGATCGCGTGCAAATAAAAAATATATCTCGAGAAAAGAAATCAGCTTCCAGATCCAAACCACTAAAATTGCAAACTAAAAAAGCCAGTCGTGTAATACCTTAACTGTTCGAACTGAGTTGTGAAACATCGAATTGTGAGAAAGTTCACAAGTATGTGAGAATATTCATTTAATGCAATAATATCAATAAACACTGAAGGAATGGGAAATCAGGGCTCTTCAAAAACGCTCTCGCTGGAGTTGTAGACACGACGGTCGATGGAGTCGAGGAGTCGCTGCATCTCCTGACGGCTCGCCGGCCTACTCGCCTCCCACGGCCTTCCGGCAGACAGGGACGCCGTTCGATGATGCACCTGCGCACATTTCTCCGATATGCTTGTTATACAGTCCTTGCGTACCTCCGACACTATTTCAGGGATCGGTCGGTCGCGGGTTTCTGTAAAATATTATTTGAGGTTTTTTTTACTTCAGTGAAGGTGATTTCAAAAATTTGAACCTCAGTCTCAACTCAGAAACTCACTCTGAAAGCTTACAGTAAAAAAAATATGCAAGAGCTTTTTTGAGTACATCTCTCTCAATGATGGTATTTTTTAAATGTTCTGAAAATTTGCAAAAGCTTCTTTTTCATTTTTTGTATTGAAGTCAGAAAGACCTCATATTGTTTCAAAAAAAACAAAAAATCAAAAACATTTATTTTTACAAAATTTTGATTCCTCCTGACATCTAACCTTTTTTCACTTGAAGACGAAAACAAACCTGGTAACAATATATACATGAAGACAATGCTGATGGAAATCACAACAATAAAGGGCAAGTAGCTGAACGACACACCAACGAGCTGAACCAGACGGAAATAGGGAAAGGACAAAGGTGACTCAAACCTGCTGGAAAGGTAAGTAACTGGTACTGATCAAAAAAGCAAAAGTCCAGGCGACAAAAACCGATACGGTGACCGCGGTGGCTCGAAACTGCAAATCAATATTGGGGATTTAAATAAAATGAGAAGAATTAAGTTTTTTCGTTTTTTTCTTGATTCTTCCAGACCTTTTCTGTTTCAATTCACAAATAATTCAAAGTTATAAGTGTGAGTATTGATTTTGTTTTTGATTTTTCCCTTTTTATCTGATCTTAAGATAAATACTAAATCAAAGAATGTGGAGATTGAGACATGCTTTGGTGAATCAAAGTCATTTTGACCAATTCACAGGGAATCCCCACAATAAATCAAAATCATCTACATTGTGAGACAAATGAGATTTCAAATATGCTTGTTTTTTTTTAAATTTTTGAAAAGTACCTGCTGAGTGAATAATTCACTGGCGATAATCCATGGAATCGGAGATCCTACTCCATAAACGCACATGTACAAGATCAAAGCAAAAATAGTACCATAGCTTGCCCATTCCATCTGAAAAATCCAAAAACGTATGTACGATACTCGATCGAAATTTTTACCATCAAGTAGTTTTGAAGATATGTGAACAACGATAAAAGAATCAGCGCGAACAGACAACTTGTCAGTTGGAATAGCGATAAAGGACGGCGGCCGACCTAGAATTTTTCAGTTCAAGTTATTTTCCCTATGAATCGAGCCTTTTCAATCAAATAAGGAGAAGTGCAAGCAAACAGAAAATAAACGATGCCAATTGCCAGAGTGCTGTAACGGGCCAGCGATCTAGAGCAAAAAAGATTTTAAAAAAAGTGTTTCTTCTACTTACGGATCGAGTTTGGCGTTCAAAAACATGTCCGTCGAATAAGCAAAGACGGCTGTGCAACCGGTGAACTGTTGAGCGATCATGACCAGAATGGAGACGACGAGAGGAACACGGAGGTCTTTTCTAGTGAAGAGCTCATGGAAAGTCCCGCTTCCAGACTGCAAAATGTCAAATAAAATGCCTTGTTTCTTTTTTAACTAACCCGGTCCAAGGCTATCTCGCGAATAATCGATTCAAACATTTGATTCGCAGAGCTCTCGCCCGAAAGCAGTTTTATATCTCTCAAAGCCTACAAAAATAGGAATAAATGAGGGTTAAGAACTAAAAACTACTTTTTCTCGATTGCCGATTTTTCCAAGAGTATATTTTGGAGATTCGGGACAGAATGGCAAAATGCAGACCAAAGCCAGGGCAGGAACGCCTGGAAACGCGAAAGCGTATGGCCAGAGCTTTTCTCCTCCAAGGACTTCAGGCAGCCCAATCAACAAAGAAAACCAGTCGGAAAAAGCCACGGCTACCTGAATAACTACTTTTGGTTTTCAAAAGTTAACTTTTTGAATTAGGAATGATTTTATCTGAATATTGAGATTGGTCTTGACACTTTTTGAAGGTTTGTATGAGAATCGAAGATAGTTTTTCTTCAGATGACGCACCTGATGAAGTGTTCCAGCTGGTCCACGATACCGCATTGGAGTGATTTCCATCAGGTACATGGGCACAAGACCGCTTGTCAGACCCATATTTATACCGAAAATGAATCTACCCGCTATTAACATTTCCGGAGAGCTGAAAATGTTTTCTTCTTAAAAGAAGCCGGTAGATGAAAAACTGTAGCGGTTTGGCAAAAAGCTCGAAAAGTGCGCCGAAAACATTGGCGATTCCGTTGATAATCAGCCCGTTCCTTCTTCCAAACCGTTCTCCAATAACCCTGGGTTCAGAACAAATTTAGAAACAGTAGAAACGAAGCCACTCACCGAGTGAGGGAAGCACCGATGATTGCACCAATAGCTATGCTAGAAACTACGAAAGACCAGATAAAGTTAGAAGCGGTTAGTGTGAGAGGAGTTGAATATCTAAATATTGTTATTTATTTTTAATGGAAGATATTGTTACCTTGTGGCATAAGTAGAGTTTATCCAGTCGGTGATGACCACTTGGGCTGGATTCACCACCCCGTAGCTGTAAAATTGAGCGCTTCCGCCCAACACAACTGTCACCACAGTGATTATATATCTGAATCAAAAATGTAATCAGTAATCATCTATATTCAGGTTTTTTATATTAAAAATGATCAAAAAAAAATGAAATAACTTCGAAGTTTCTGCTCTTCAAAAAAAAAGTTCTTTAAGACCCAGGCTTTTTTAATGTCCTCTTTAGGACTGTACAACGTTTTTGACTGTTTTTCCAAATACCAATGAAAATGATGATCTTACTTTGAGCTACCTTTTTTAATCTTGAGGATTAGATTTTTGACAGACAGTCTCCGAAAAAATGCGACATTTTTGAGCAAAGTTAGGAAAATGTTTCTATAAAAAACTGATCGCAAAACTCACCGTGATGTGACCATTTTGGATGTCAGAAGGTTAGTCAAGAACTCGTTAATCGGACATCAGTCGAGTACTTTGATTGGACAATACAGTCTGCAAGAACAACGGTAGAAATCGAGAACGATAAGAAACGTCGGCAGGAATTGCTCCGATACCCCCAAAAACGCTGTGCTGTGTTTATTGCACTCAGAGATAAAAGAAATAACTATCGAAAGTGTACCAAAAGCGATAAGGTGTCAAAAAACGCAATGAAATTGTGACAGTTTCCGATTAAAGAGTACGAAGAAAATCAAATCAAAAAATATTAGTCAAATTAAAAACTTTTCTTGCTTCATTTTCTCAATTGCATGGGAGAAAGGGATGAAAAGGCACAATCTGAGAAAGTCCCGCAGAGATAAAGTTTTAATCTTCGTTGAAATAATTTTTCAGTTTCAGAATAAAATAATCTTTTTATCTATAAACATCAAAAATCTAGAATATTTCAATTTTTTTGAGCTTAGAAAGGATCGCAACAGGATGCCCCGAAGAACTACCATACTTGTATGGTGGAGCCGTGAAGTCTTGCAAAGATATCACGAAGAAGGTTATAAAACAGAGCCGGAACAAAAACAACTAGTGCGTGTGGACGATAACTCTGCAAACCTCGGGGTTTACCGCCATGCAGTTGACCTTGTAGATCACTCACAATTGAACTTGCTGGCATCTGAAAAAAAATTATTATATATCGATTCACACACGACTTTCCGTAATTGACAAAGAAGTCATTTTGCTCACATTTTCAGATTTTTCTGTTAATTGGCTGAAAACCTCTTTGATCCTTTCTCAGAAACCTTGTAGAAAATTGTTCACGCTATGAGAAGATTATTTGAAAATACTTATTTTCAACTACGTGAGGTTGAAACTTTTGGACATGACCAAGAGTTTGAAATCAAGTGTCTATGTGGGTATTTGAAATACGTCAAAAAGCGGTTAAGCTACATATATTTCAAAGTGAATTGAATTTAAAGCGTCTAATTTTTTGTGGTATTTTTTCTCGTTGAAAAAATTTTTTAATTTTTGCCGCAGTTTTATTCAAATACATAGGAGATTTCAAATAGAAATTTGAACTACTTTGAAAAAATTTTTTTTTCAGTTCGATCTTCCTGCTATCCCTCAGAGGTTTTTTTTGCTTCCCCAACAAACTCAAAAAAATTTTAAAAAAATTACTTTTTTGATTAATTCTTCTCAAAACTGATAAGAAAAAGAAAGCTACAATCATGAGTTTTTCCACTTTTGTTCTCCATCTCAAGTAGGCTAATGACTTTCCTTCTTAAAGTTCAATTTTTTTTTTGCAGAAGTAAAAACAAAATCACATTGATTCAGATAAAAACACTCGAAGCAACTGAAACTTTTGAATTTGTCTGAAGTTTCATTTACGATATGATCCGGAATTTCCAGCATCTAAAAAAATTCGAATTTTAATACTTTCAAGGTAAAAAATTTATTGTCTCCATAAAAGTATTGCTTTCACTGGCTCTTTTGATCCAATACATCATTGTTATGAATTAACTTGGTATTCAAGTCTGTAAGATGAAAAATCGAAAAACCATAATATTAATAATGTTATTTGAATATCAGAGAAGTTCCTCATTGAAAGAAAATCTTCAAAAAAACTTTCCAAAACAATGAAAATTCTGAAAGTTTGGAAACACGTTTTTTTTTACTATAAAAAAACAACAGAAATTCATTTTTTTGCTGAATATTCATAAATTTATCAGTTAGGGAGTAAACATTTGAAAAAGTAATCATCATAAAATCTTTGAAATTGACCTTAATATAATTAAAATTTTTCAAATAGCAAAAAGCTTCAGCCAATTTTTTTCAAACACCGTCAAAAAGGCAAATACGCTCCACGGTTATGCGTCCTCGAGCTGTCTGCTCTCTCTAATCTCTCTACAGAATGAGTCTCGCCGCGAATCCCACCGCTCCCTCCCTTTGTCAATTCGCTGGCCTAAATTTTCGAGCAGCTTCCCTAATTTTTTTTCTTCATTTTTATATTCATGTTTTCGTTATATAGTTTTTTTTTCTCAGTGATAAAAACTGTTTTAATTTTTATTATCACACGCCTATCCACTTTTGTGGGAATACAAAAAAGCAGAATAGAAAATATTTGTTGATATCTTCACTTGGAACTACGCTTCAAAAATATTCTCGAAAGTTCATTAAGCTGAGAGTTCACTCAAGTGATGACCCAAATAAAAAAATGTTTGTTTTCGGAAATGCCTGCGGCAAAATTTCTTTTTCAAAAGGGAAAATCTCGCTTCGTATTTAAATCGCTTTTTTTAATCGTTCTATTGTACTAAGCACATGTTTGCAGCTTGCGGTACTCTCAAAAATGGCCCGTGGACCGAAGAAGCATTTGAAGCGCCTTGCCGCGCCAAAGCACTGGATGCTGGACAAGATGGGTGGCGTCTTCGCTGTCCGACCAAACCCAGGACCACACAAGCTCCGCGACTGCTTGCCCCTCAACTTGTTCCTTCGCAACCGTCTGAAGTACGCTCTGACCTACCTCGAGTCGAAGAAGATCCTCAAGCAGCGTGTCGTCAAGGTCGACAACAAGGTCCGCACCGACCACAAGTTCCCCACTGGATTTATGGGTTAGTTCTACCTGAAAAATTGCTTTGCACTAATTCCAACCTTCAGATGTCATCAGCATTGAGCGCACGAATGAGCACTTCCGCATGCTGTACGACTCCAAGGGACGCTACACCGTCCACAGAATCCAGTCTGCCGAGGCCGACTTCAAGCTGTGCAAGGTCAAGGCTCTCCACACCGCTCTCAAGGCTGTTCCATACATCACCACTACCGATGGACGTACTCTCCGCTACCCAGATCCTCATATCAAGGTTATTTTCCGTTTCAGTTCTTTCCAGAACTTTAAATTTCTAGACCAACGACACCATTGTCCTCAACCTGGCTACTGGTAAAGTCACCGACTACGTCAAGTTCGAGGCCGGAAACCTGGCCATGGTGACTGGAGGTCGTAACGTCGGTCGTGTCGGAGTTATTGGACATCGTGAGAAGCTCCCAGGAGCTCTTGATATTATCCACATCAAGGACGCCGCCGGCCACTCCTTTGCCACCCGGTAAGACTCCTGATCGTTTTTTGATCAAAAACAAAGGAGAAAGAAGTTCGGGGACCTCGAAGGTCGTAAACATCCGAACGAGGTTAGTTCGCTTTTTAACTTTGAGCTTTCCAGAGTCTCCAACGTTTTTGTTATCGGTAAGGGCACCAAGTCTCTCGTGTCCCTGCCTACCGGCCAAGGAATCCGCCTCACCATCTCTGAGGAGCGTGACCGCCGTCTCGCTCAAAAGACTCAGGCATAAAAATGCTTGTTTTTTTGTTGATCCTTAAATAAATTGTTATGAAATTCATTTGTTTTTGTTCTCGCAAAAAATAACGTTTTTTTCTTGAAAAACGGACAACAGATTATGATTTATTCAACGATTTTTCAAAATTTCAATTTCTTTGTCGTGTTGTCGTTTGATGTCATCCAAAGTAGCCACGAAAGCTTGAGAGATTTCGATATTTTTTTGAAGACGTAAGAAGGAGAGAACGACGGCGGCCCAAGAAGCGTACAAGTACAAGTAGAACGATGCCATCTGAAGCACTTCAAACGACTCAACCTGAGAAAAGGACTGAATTTTTGTTTTTAATTTGATGTCTCACCGCAAAAAAGGTTCTTGGAGCTGAGAACGTCGTTAGCAACATCACCGTAGAAGAAAATGATTCTTTGTAAGAGATGTCAAGTTTTTTGTGTATGTATAGAACATCTGAACTTTCATTGAATTTTTCGGCTATGACCTTAATTGTTTCATGGCTGGCTAGAGCCATCGAAAAAAGGGTCCTGGCACGGTAAGAAAAGAGACATTGCCGGGTTGGTGGAGATCTGGCCACGCCTTTTTGCGTCTCAAGCTAACCGTGAATCAGTTGAACACTAACTGAGTAGAAAAGCTGCGCAGAAGTGAACTGTGATAATCCCCAAAACAACTGAATCTCGAATAATCGTCAATTTGTTACGAGCTCTTGAAAGGGGTTCCAGTTTCTCAAACTTTTTGAATAGGAGATAGACAATATTGAAAAAGATTCGCAAAATCGCTGCGGCAAAACAACCTGAAACCTCTGAACAGTTACATAAAGGTTAAAAAAAAATCCACCTGTGAAGAAAGTTGCAAGAAATGGAAATAAAACTCTTGCAACCAATATCAGAACTTTCGACTTTATCCTCCTTATAACAATTTTTCCATCAAAACCGATAGTGAAAGATTGGGTTATCACGTTCCAATAGCTGAAAATTGCATACTCTTGATTTTCGCCTTTTAACACTACCATTGCGGTGTAGTCCATCGGAAAAGGTACGAGTTATTGAAACTCTCCACGTCGTTTAAATAGTCCGTGAGCAGTGCTGAAATAAACTCGTTTTTATACTTCGAAGAAAAAACTCGACCACCTTTTATCTCGTCTTTCTTCAAGTCCACCCCACTGAAGATTTGCTGGACTCGATAAGCATATTGATTGGTTGTTTGCAACGTCTAAAGCTGTGAATAGCAAGTACAATTTTTAGATGGGAAACCGATAAAGCTGAAGATTGTTGGTTCTCAAAGTCGAGTTGCTCGTATTTCCATTCTTCATTATAAATCCATCTGAAAAAAAATAATTGTGAGACTTTTTTTTAAATGATAATTGAAAACCGTGGGTATAGAAGAATAGGAATCGATGTGAAAATAACAACGCAAAAACAGAATAGGGAGCAGAGAAGAGCCGGTCTCAACATTTCCGAGAGCGAAGAAGTTGAAGGAATGCATTAGGCTACCAGGTTACAAGTTTTGTTTCCATGTAACCAACAAATTTTATGTCTTCCCAAGATTTCCCGTGTTCAAAGCGGAACTAAGCTGGAAAAAAAGAAAGAATTTGAGCTTCTGAATTGAATCGAAGGCTAACTTTTTCTCTGCGCTCGGTAGTTCGCTAAGTTTGCTGAAATCTGTTGAACGTGAAACCTGAGTTCAAAGTTCAAATTTTATCAGTTTGGGAGAGGAATATTTCAAAGTTTTGCGTGGTCTTTTGAGCCCACAGGAATTTTTTTCAATTTTCATCTTTAAAAACTCCCGAGGAAAAAAAATTTCGATTTATTTCACTGTTTCAGTTCAAATTAACAATGCATTATAATGATGTCACTATTTTCTTTTAAAAAAGTGTGATCTTTTAATTTCACGATTTCAAACGCAATAGTATATGCTTCGTACTCATTTTGCATATAATTTGTTCCCTTTCCTTCCCAACAAGAGAATTTGTGTCGATGGTCCTGATCCAATAAACAATTTTTGTTAGAGAGTCCCTTGAAAGAACCACTCTTTCCGCCGGAGAAGCGGCAAATGTGGTAATTGGTTCAAACGTTCGCCGTTGTCGTGGGCAACGCTGTCGACAGCCTGAGTTGCAGATAAGCTTGTTGGAATTTCGAAGATTTTTTGCAACATTCTAGTTTCTCCTTGTTTACCAACGGTACACTTTTCTATTCTGGGCTCACGATGAATGTGTTTTTTGAGAAAAAAAACAGGTTGGTACAAAATGAAATCAGTTCTTTTATCTTTTTTGCGTCATTCAATTTCTTACAAGAAACTTGTCTCAAAAAAGAAAGAAATTTGGTTGAATTTCGGAGCCACTTCGTAATCCATTCTCATCTTTATCAAGTTCAATCAAAGTTGACAGGTCAGAAAAATAAAAAAGAAAAACTTTTCTTTGCAATCTTATATACTAACTAAAAATGAATGAATATTGGACTTAAATATTGAATTGAGGAATACTAATCTACTGAGAGTTGTCAACAAGGAAAGTATTGAGAATAAACTTCGATTCCCAAAATAATAGCGGTAATTTTCAGTTTCTAAGCTATTGCTTTTTTAATTTCAATCCCTATTGGGGTTTTTTTTGCCTAATGGATTTTTATTTTTCGCATTGTGACAATCCAGCATTTAGTTAGCCACAGAAAGGCATAACGTAGTGCGAGGCTGATAGAAGCTGGCTGCTTTTTGTGTCCGGCTGGAGAGAGCCGGCATGAGGCTCATCGCGATGCGAGCCATCGATCCTGGACCCACGACGCCTTCACGTCCGCCTCAACGTTATTGCCAGTTCTCCTTCCCCCGGACTATAATTAAATCAGACTTCTCATCAATTGCTTCTTTCAATTTTTTGACTTACTATGGGGTTTCTGTGTGTGTGTGTGTGTGTGTGTTTTTTTTTTCGCCCTTTTCATAGCACATGACAAATTTTATAAATCAAAATCGCGAAAAGTTTGGTTCTTCATTCAAGTTCTAGATGTGTTTTTTCCCCTTGAAGTTGTTTCAAAGAATGAGTTGAATTTTAATATTTGAATGTGCCGAACTTTTTGAACTTCTCAATGCATTCAAGTTTTTTGACCTTTCTTTGCGTCCTTTTTTGAATTTTCTTTCCAAGGTAACTTTTGCGTTTTCTCCGATTCTTCAATTTTTCAACCTTCCAGACTTGTTTATTTTTTTATGAAACATAATAGAACACAACACTGATAATGATTATTTGGTTCGATGACTTCCAAAAGGCTAAACTGTATCTCTTCAAATGAAAATGCCGGTATTTTTGTATATTATCCCGGATATTTTTTTATATAATCCCCTCAGAAATTTTGCTGAAAAGATCTTTCTGAATGGTCAAATTCGATCAGAATACACGAAAAATGAGATCTTCCGCTTTGTTGAAAAAAAAAGAAAGATAAAATTTTAAAAAAAAATTCGTAATCACCTTTTTATGGCTCATCATTTTGTTTTCAAAAAATTGATTTTCTGGAAAAGGCTCAAAGCCCTTACATCAATAGTTATGCCCTTTGTTGAGCATTTTCTGAAGCTTTTTTGATACAAGTTATTCACGCTGCCTGAGCCAAACAAGGCTTTTAGGCAGTTGTCTCTTCATGGCACTTTGGAATTCGCCTCCAGAAGTCAAGTGAGTTGGAGGAGAACATTTGTGAACTGGCCTCAAATGCACCGGCCTTGAGTGTTCATTTGTGTGTTCCTCTACTGTGCCTCTCCAGCCTCTGCGACCAGTTTCAATAATAGGTGCATCGAGAATAATAGGCGACACGCGGCCCGCACACCTGCCAAAATGGTAATCTCATGTTATTTCTCGTAGAACTTGTAAGTGGCTAGCTTTCGCTCTTTTACCGAGCTTCGATACCTATAGAGGTAATGAGGAGTAATGAAAATTTCCTTTCTCTTTTTCAAATAAAGGGTTTTAGCTGAAATCCGGATTCCGCACGTCGAGAAAGTTTGTTAGAGAGTTTTTCTACTGGAAACTTTAACATTTTCACATATCACTTGCGGACTCTGATGCCTTTGAAAGGACTTTATCAGGATATCAAGGAAAAGATTATCTTGGACAAAATTCTCAGTTTTCAAGAACAATATCATAATTTTTCCTTCGCAGCCTTCGCAGAGGTAGAGTGATAGGTTTTTTCCAAAAAAAAAAACGTTTGCCAAAAGGTCAGTAGTGATTTTTTGTGCACCTAAACCTTTATTTTTTCGAAAACTTATCAATTATTTATAAATATCGCCGACACTTTAAATTTTTATTTTTTCGCTTTTCTCTCTCCGTTTGCACTTTTTTTGATTGCCTCAAATTTTGAATGCTGGCGCTGGCTGCAATTACATGAAACAAAAAAGGAGATGCACCAGATGGGGCTTGACCCCGTGTTTTTCGAAATGCATGAACACTGCGCCGCCTGTCTAAATAAATATCTAAACTGAGTCCCAGATGCTTATTCGACTTGCCTGCAGAGCTTCTCGACTCCACTGAAAATTCCCTTCTACCTATCTTCATCACACTTTTTCGAGTGAGAGGAGAGTAAACACGGGTAAGCGATACTTGAGTTTTCGTTTTTGACAGTTTTTCTGCCAATACTTATTCTTCTCTTCTAGTTTAAGATTCTTAAGGTTCAATCGTCACCTTCAACGAAGTAAAGACCAATGAAAAAAAGGTTTAAAAAAATATAAAAAAATCCTCATTTAGTGATACTCCTGTTGTACTAAACAGTTTTGAAAAATTTACCAACCAAAAATAGCTCAAAAAAGTCGAAAGTTTCTCGAAATTATTTTCAGTTTGAACTTCACTTCATTCTTGTAAAAATTGCTATATTTTTGCTTTTTAAGTTTCACCTCATTCATCTTGACTTTTTTCTTCGGTTTTGCGGCAACTCAAACACGAGCTTTTCCGGCCTGAAAAACATGCTGTGCAGCACGTCAGCAGCAAGAACATGACACGAAGAAGCCCCGTGAGAGTCAAAGAATGGATGCCCAAAAGTGGCCGTCGAGCCGCCTCAGGCGCTTCTTTCTTTGCACATCGATTTGCGGCATTGTGCTTCTGTTTCGCACTTCGGGTCACAACCGCTTAATGACTTTGTATATTTCTCAGCGCATCTGAGCAGCGTTCCTTTTTCTTCGCAGTGAGGGAAGCCATTCGATGGGATAAGAATCGGCAGCTCATAGCGCTGCAGGTTATGTGGCTGTCTACGGTCCACAGGGTCGCAGGTTCGATCTCCGCCTCGACCCAAACAAGGGGCTAAGGAAAAGTTGACAGTGGGAAACCACGACTTCAAAATCTCCAGCTGTCCCACACAAGGACTGATATGTAACTATTGCCAGTCCCTGATTATCATTGATATCAGGATAAAACCTCGGTTAATAGACTTGCGGCGCCGACGTCGTAGGAAGAAGAAAAAGCCATCCGGTGAAAAAAGTAACGACATCAAAATAAAAGTTATTCTGTATATCTCGAAAGTTCAGATTTTTCGAAAAGTGCGAATTACAAAAATGATTTTTTTTTCACTCTTACATCAATAATTGTGTGCATAATTTTAATGATTTAAAATAGCAGCTTGCGTAACTTTAAAAACATGTATTTGAATATAACTGTTCAAAACTGACTCAAAATTCAACTCTTGCTCTTTTTTTCACCAATTTCCCGCTTTGCGCGTTCATTGATGGCAGTAATTACGAGATTACTCGAGCTGGCGCAGAGGGTTGGCAAAATGAACGTCCGTCCTCGAAATGTCTGTCCTCTTCTCCTCGGAAACGTTCCAGTGTTGGCAGAAACGCTTTGGATGAGGATTATGCGGGTTCTAGTGAATGTTTCTTCATTATGCTCGTTTTGTGGACTTTTCTAATGAGACAAAGTTCTCAATACGTAGAACAAATCAAGAATGAGTACTGAAGTTCAGCTGAAAAAGGACGTTCTTCCTTGTTCCTGAATATTTTTCTCCGTTATGTTTGTTCTTTTCATGAAATAGTTTGAAAATATTCGAACTATTGTTTCAAGAATGAATTCCTCTGATTCATTAAACTCTACACATTGGCACATTTTGTTTTTTATTTTTTTCTGAATTGAACTGTGACCTCTGAGAGAACCAAAATTGGGCCGAGCCCACAATGAGCCTGGAGTCCGTCGATACACGATATCGAGTTTCCTGTGTCTTTTCCTGTTTGACATTTGCCCTGCCTGTTATCCAAATACACTTTCGCACATTCTGCTTCGACGTTCTCTTTTTGTCTTCATATATATCAAATTAGTAATTTCGCGTAAAGTTTCAAGATGTTTTTTTTATTTTTGATTTTCTGTTTGATCATGACGTTAAAAGATTCAAATATTACGGAATTCAACCAAAAGAAAAAAGAGGTTTTTCATCTCGGCAATTTTCTGGCCCTCGCTTCACCCCAAATAGGATTCTGTACAAAAATATTGCTTAAATAAAGTTTAATTGTGATTTTTCTTCTGCACACCATTTCTCAAGGAATTGACAGATATTAACAACACAACTTTTTTTAGTCATAAATGAATCCATCCCTTTTATATACATCTTACTAGGTAAAATTTTTTAGGCTACCCGTTTAACCTTTAATGGAAATTTGCTGGAGTGTACTTTAGGACCTCCTGAATTCAAAAAAAGAAAAACTATTTTTGCAACAAAACTTTTTTTGATATATGATGTTTCAAAGTTGGCATAACACATAAATTGACAAAAGAGCGCTATTTCAAGCGCTTGAAGCGTCTCAACTCAAAAACCAGATCTGTTGCAAGAAACTTTTTTTTTGGAATTCAGGAGTTCCTGAAGTACACATCAGCAAAATTTCCTCAAAGGTTCAACCGGGGGCTGAAAAACGTTCTCTAGTCTGTTAAAATTCTTTTCTCACGGATCGAGTTATTTTGAGATATGTGTCCCTAAAAATCCTCTGACTTCATTTCTAAAGTTCTTCCACTTCCTGTCTTCAATATCAGAACACGAACTGACGCCCAGCACGTTTTTTTTTTCCGACTTTTGCACTTTTTTGGTTGTGAACACTGACAGGCACGTGTCCGCCAATTGCAGTGTCTCGCGCTCTTTATCTTTCTCGCAAAGCCGAAAGGCTGAAGACGTCGCGTCAATTCAGATGAGATGCTGAAGCAGACAACGGATGCGAACTGCGATTGCATGGGAGCAGTACTCGTCTGCGCGTGAGCAGCTGCAGTCGCGTATCGCCGAGAAAATTCGACGTCAGATGAGCTCCTTGGTGCGTTGCGGTCGCGGCGCTTGTCACTGTTACCATACGAGCTTTTCACTCAAAAAGTCACTCCTGCCATTCACAAATAAAGAAAAAGGCATTTTTTGAAACCAAACGAAACAAAAACGATATTATTTCAGAAATATTTCAAATTGAAAAAAAGACATTGTTTAGATGTAGAAAACTCCTCACATTCCATCATTTTTTTATTGAAGCTTTTAACTGAAAATCAGCTGATATTTTTTTCAAAAAATGAAAAAAAGTTGATAGCCGTTTTTTTTGCGCACGCTTAATTAACATAGCAGCTCAAAATCCAACGCCAGCACTAACAAATTTCATTAAAATGCACATCCTTTCTTCTTAACTTTCTGCTTTTTCCGATGAACTAAAAAATATCCAAAAGTCTTGATAAAAAGTATTCCTCTAGTGAGTTGAATAAAATCTTTTTCAGGTAGGAGACATGGAAAGCGCCGATTTGCTGCTGGTAGCAGCGGACGGCAAAAAGTTGGCAGCTCATGAGTGCATTCTGAGAGCTCGAGCGCCCGGTTTCTACCACAGACATGTTGAAGCGACCGTGGCAGCCATGGGACCACGCCAAGAAGGAAAACTCCGCGAGGTCAGTACATTTTTGTTAGCCTTGAAGGCATAGAAAAATAATAATACAAATCCCTTCTGAAACATAAAAATTATGATTTCGGAACTATTATTTTGTTCCTTGTGAAAACTTACGATACATTTCAGGTCGCTATTGGAGATATCGACTCGGTTGGATTAGAGTTTTTCATCCATTCTGTTTACACAGAAGAGGAATTCGCACAGATCCCTCTCGACCAAAATGAAGACAGACGTGAGATTTTTCAATTTTTTTTCTGTTTGAATGCAAAATCACGCCCTTCAGTTTGCGACAATTGCCGAAAGGTGATAGAATCACGGCTCAAAGTGAAGTTTTCGCTCGGTAAGGAGTCGGGTGCCTTTATTTTTTATAACAAACCACGCTGGCACTTGCAATTTGAGATTTCCTTCAACACTTAGGTGGCGCTTTGGACACTTGAGAAGAATTTTCATGCAAAAAACCAAGTTCTTTGCAGAAGAAACTGCATCGCGATCGTCAAATCGTTCATATGCGATGGATGAATCAACGACAGAGCTGGATTTTCAGATGGCAGGGGCGGATGAGAAGTGAATTGACTTTGCTCGACAGATTGGAACAATGTCTTTTACAGGTTGGATGACGAAACTCCAACTTTAGCCGGACGACCACCCCTAGTGCCGTACTCCATGTCTGGTGTGAGTTTAAGCCTTTTTGTATTTATCAGTGCGTCAAAAATATCCTTTTGACAGCTTTTTTAAAGATTGGCTCATATCCAAACTCACCTCGAAAACAAGTGATGCCAACTGCGATGAGCGTTTCGGCAGGACCTTACCCTCTGAACGGGCCATATCCTATTATGGGCAGCGGAGTGTATGGACACTGCTCCGTGACAAATTCCGCTCCTTCTGTACCAGTGATGACTTCATTTCGGGACCTCGCAACGGGGTCACCTATGAACAGCTCGATTTATTCTCTCGGAGGGAGAAGCGAGGTCGCTGACATTCCTGAAGAGGACGAAGACTGTCAAGACGATCGAAAACCTAAAGCTTTGGACAATCGTGAGCAGTTTGCTCGTTTTCTTTTGAAACTTTACCTTTTTATAGGACCAATGAGCAAGTTCATTCGATTAGACAGCATCACAAACGGTAACGAAGCACACAAAGAGTATCTAGAACGAAAAAGATCAAGTGGAGGTATTTGAGTCTCTTTCATTTGGAATCTCAGTGAAAATTCCAGGAACAAAACAAATCTTTCCGATGTTCATTGGATTGTCAGATAGTTCGGATCCGTTGGAACGAGGGTCGGATAACTGGCGAGGAAGTAACCGTCTGAGCCTTTCGAAAAGGATGTCCATGACGAGCCTGACTAGTTTGACAAGCATCGACATAACTCCTGGCCAAGATGGTACTCAGCTAAACTGGGAAAACAAAACGGCAGATTTTCAGGACAACCCCCTGTAGGCGACATGACGGCTTGTAGTCGGTTGGCCGCTGATTTGATGCAGATGTACGTTAACAACGAAGACACAGACGTGGTTATACGAACAGAAGGAGGAGATATTCACGCTCACAAGTTTATTCATTTTTGACCGGCTCCATTTTCAAAATAGCATACCTCAGGTGCATCTTATCTGCAACGTGTCCTTTCTTCCGGCAACAGCTCCAAAAATCCAAACGCATTGAAATGCGTGGATTCACTCGAAGCTCCATTCATTACCTCCTCATGTTTCTATACGGCGGAGTGACTTCTCTACCAGACGATGTGAGAATCGACTTTGATACAAGAACAATTTGTGTTCAAGGTGGACGTTTGGGAAATCGTCGCGTTGGCAGCACACTTGAATCACAAAGATCTTGCTCAAGTTGTCATTTTGCATCTCAAAGCCACTAAATGTCATTGGTTTCATAGGGTAAGTTTTTAAGTTTTGCAAAACGAAATCTTAGCTTTTCAGCCATGCGCTGCATGTGTATCTGCGGTTTTTGATTGTCTTCCGCAATTAGCTTCTATTCGATGTCTCAGGCCACTCTATGAGGAGGTTCGTGAAATATTCGATGTTTCGATTCAAGACGACGTTTCCAGGCGTTGGCTTGGCAAGCGAAACATTTTGCACGGGTCTGGAAAGGTCGGGTATTCCTGTATTTGAATGAGCGATGGCAGAAAGAAGCGTATGAAGCGGTCATTCAGTACATGGACGATGAAACGGTTATCGACTTGATACTTGGCTCCGAACGATTACAGGTGAATAAACTTATTCAAACAAGTTGCCTGGACCCATGGTTTAGGTTGCTTTGTCGAGGTCAAAATCCGACTCTTCCGTCGCGGTTTTGGGATTGGTAGACGATATTTTAGACGTCGCCATGCAATTTCTCCTTCACTCTTTTCATCTTGTAGTAACCAGCAAGTCCTTCCAACAACAAGGAAAAGTAAGAGTAACTTCGAAGTTTTCAGAAATCTGAACTATGTGCAGTCGCTCAAATAATATTATTTTTGCGATTTCGTTTCATGTACTGAAAAAATGAGATTTGAACGCTTTTTCAACCCAAGGTTGATTTCAGGGCTTGGCGTTGAACTTGGGACTGTTGGAAGATCTGCTTCCTTCTGTGATTCATTCCTTGTCAGCAGATGTGGCCATAAAAACTTACAAAGGCCTGACAGGACTTCTTTCGGAGATTCAACAAGCGCCGCCTTCTCCGAAACGCACCTTGAGCATTCTTGTTGATGAATGGAGCCCTGTAATTCTTATCCAAAATTTTTCTCTGAGTTCAAATTTACAGAGATTCTGCGCTTTGATAAGAAGAATGGTCGAGTTAACTGACAAACATCTTCTGCACTATGCAGCTAGTGTGGTCAGGGCTGATGCTTGGAATTTACTCTCAAGTGATCAAAAACAACGAATAGAAGAGAGTTAGCATTTTTTTTCTTCTACACCTGATTGATAAATCGTTAAGCCGGGATTTTTGTTGAGTTACGGCAACCGAAAGCGGCTCCTCCACGGCTGTCAAGTCATTCGCGCTCGTACAAAAGAAGCGCCTCTGCTGGTGTTCAACCAAACGGCCCGTTCTCTTTGCAGAGAGCAAAAAGTGCAGAAAGGTTGAAGAAGTGCGATTTTCTTTGTCTAATTATTTTCTGGCAGATCTCGTCCTCTCTCCACAATACAAAACCGACCTCAATCCGAAGAATCTACAAAAGAAGATGACAAAAAAACATTGGTTCCTGGAGAAAACACCGAGAAAGCTGAAGAAAATATAGAAAGTAAGAAAAAGGATGCTGATATCTGAAAGACTTGAATTTTTACAGAGCCATCGACTACGTTGCCTGAGAAGAAGACATCCAAGCTAGAATCTCCAAAAAGAAGCAAGTCTCGTGGAGAGAAGGTTCAAGAGAAAACCGGAAGCAAAGCGATTCCAACCACGGAAACGGCCAAAGTAGAAAAATCCGAGGTGAAAAGCAGACAATCAGCAAAAATTTAAAAATGAGTTTTAGTCAAGAACGGATTCACCGCGTGGAAGAGATCCAATCAGAAGATCGCCTGCCAAAAAAAAAGTTATGGAAAACGAGGAGGTAAAAACCGAATTACAGAAATTTTTTGAATTGTTTCCATCACATTCAAGCGATTTTTCAGATGAAAATGGAGCGACAAGTTACCCATACAATTATCACGCTCGACAAAGCAAGAGCTGCCCAGCTTCCGGGTCCTGATTCACAAACATCAAAGGTATTTTTTTTTGCTTACAACGTAGAGCTACTTCCAATTCAGCTGAACAATCTTTTTTTGAGCTTTTTGATCTTTACCAAAGTTTTCTTTTGCACTCTGACATCAGACTGACGTCTTGAGGGCATCTAGCTTTTGTCTAAATCTTTGTAATTCCTCTGATAATTTCAAAAAAGTCATTTAGTCGAAAGTGGAAGACCTTCAAGAGTTTGAATGAGAAGTTTGAAAAAAATTTCTTAGCAAACTTTGCATGAAACTTTGAAGATTCACTTTCTCGGTTTTTTTCATTCTGCAAAAAAATGTTTTACAATATTTTTCAAATAGGTCTCTACCGAGAAACCGAAGTCTGTAGTGAAGCCAATGGTGAAAGACGTTCCGCTGGCTTCATCTGCGAATCGTACAATCACGAGGGATCGCATCTCTCAGCGCCGCACTGAACAAGTGAGAAACATTTTTATTTCTGAATCAAGGTTTCATTTAGGCTAAATCTGCAACCAGTGGAAAGTCCTCGATTCCAACGGCAACAAAACCGACAGGCAGCCGACCGAATTCGGGTAAAGAACCGTCTCGGATCCCAGCAAAGCCCGCTGTCCCAACCTCCACTTCGAGGATCGCCAGAAATCCTCGCATTGTTGGAAACCCCAAAAAACCCGAGAGTAATTCTATTGAAAAAAGGATAAAAATTCTGAAAGAATAAAAAAATTTATTTTATTTTTTTCCATTGCATGGTCTACCAGAATAAACGAGAAAAAAAGCCAGCTTTTTTTGGAGAAGAAAAAGAACGCGAAAAAAACCTTCTTGTTATTATTATTTTTTTGAAAAAGTTTCCTTTATTATTTGAAATGCAACTAAAAAAAGGGTTCCATTGGTTTCATCATCTCTTGATGAATAATTTTAATCGGTCCAAAAAGAAGTGAAAGAGAAGAAAAATTGTTATCGCTCAATAATCTGCCGCTGATAAAATGAAGTACAAGAGTATTATCAATAGGCATGCAAAATTCAAGCTGTCCTTCTCAATTTTGTTTCTTCATGGCCTTCTTGAAAAATTTCAGAAAAATTTTTTCTTTAGAGAATGTTTGAGAAATTTTTCAGAGGGATGATTGCCTTTTGGGCAATTTTACCGGCACTCGCCTTGGGAGCAAATTTGCCGCCGTTTTTCCTAGGCAGGCCACCAGGAGGTGCTCGAAAGTGAGAATTCCTGAGGATAAACGGTAGCTGAGAGCTTTTTTGCAGCTATCAATTGCAAAGACACTTGAGCAGTGTGCAGAAGTTGGATACTCAGTATCCTTATCTCGTAACTGCCAATTTTACGCAAAAACTAGACCACTTCGACCCCTACAACACTGCGACATGGAACCAGGTGGACTTTATTCAAATATCGGCAATTTAGAGTCAATTTTCAGAAATACTATTACAATCCTCTTTATTCGCGCAACAATTCCATCATTTTCTTGATGATTGGTGGTGAAGGTCCAGAATCGTCACATTGGGCGGCGTATCCTGAGGTCTTGTATTGAAACAAAGAACTTTATTTTTTTGTAAATTTTTTTCACTTATCTCTTTGGGCTTATAATATTTCACAAGTTGAATAAATAAACTATTTTCATTTCTAAACAATAATTTCAGTTTGGTGAGCTACGAAAACTAAACTTTTAATGTTAAATATAATCATATAAACTTCAGGTACAATACCTCCAGTGGGCAAAAGAATATGGAGCAGCAGTTTTCGATCTCGAGCACAGATTTTTTGGAGACAGTTGGCCGATTCCGTGAGTGATGATGTTGAAGAGGATATATGTGAAATATTATAGCAATATGGATGTTTCTTCTCTCCGATATCTGACGACGGAGCAAGCTCTGGCTGATCTTGCTTATTTCATCCAATCAATGAACCAAAAATACGGGTTCGACAATCCTCGCTGGGTCACCTTCGGCGGTAGTTACCCTGGTTTGAATTATTTGAAATATCTTCGTTGTGACAATTTTCAAAGCTTCAGGTTCGCTCTCCGCATGGTTCCGCTCCAAATATCCAGAACTAACAGTGGGAGCCGTCGCCAGTAGCGCTCCCCTCAACTTGAAACTCGACTTTTACGGTCTCAGATAAAAGTATTTCGAGAAAATTCATATATTTCAGAATACGCAATGGTTGTGAACGACGATTTGAAAATCACGGATCCCGCTTGTTACGCCTCGGTGCAGGCCGGCTTCACGGGCATTCAACAGCTAACTCTAACACCCGATGGAAGAAATCAACTCAACAACATTTTTCAAGTTTGTATTTTTTTCATTTTTTTCTGGTTAACTATTCAAGAGTTTTTTTATGAAGACCGGGTTTACTCATTTAGGTATAAAAAAATTTTTCAGCTTGCAGCCAAAATTTGATAATAAGACTACAAAATTGGATATCAACAATTTCTTCGGCAATCTGTACAATGCCTATCAAGGAATGACTCAGTACACCTATGATGGACAAGTAGCGATTATTCAATGAAAATCGTGATTTGAAAAGTTCAGAGCGATCGCACTCATCAAAACATGACGGTGAGAGCCATGTGCAACGTCATGACAGACCCCAAGGAGCCGGATCCGGTCAAGAGAGTTCACAATCTTTTCTTATGGTTCTATTTTTTCATTTAAAAGTCAAACAATAAAAAATAAACTAAGGTACAACTACTTCGACCCTGCAGGACCAGATCTTTCTGTGCTTCCCAACAGTTACTGGGACGTCATCAATCAGCTGAAAACGGGCAATCTGACAGCTTTGGGAGAGGATGGAGGTTAATTTTTCTTGCATTCATTGAAACTGAAATAGTTTTACAGCCGCTGCTCGTGGTTGGATGTGGCTGTGCTGCAATGAAATCGGCTTCATGCAAACTACCGATCAAGGAAAAAATGTTTTCGGATCCACTGTGCCCTTGAAGTAAGATATTTCTGTTCCATCGAAGTATCGCCCAATAATTTCCAGTTTATTCATCGACATGTGCACTGATATGTTCGATGACAGCGTGAAGATGAACTTTGTTTACAATAGAAACTTGCAAGCTCAAAACTTCTACGGCGGCACTGATTATTACACAGTAGTTTTTTGAACCGAACAAGTTAGGATCATTTTCCTGCCAGGCTACGAATATTGTGCTTCCGAATGGTTCGTTGGATCCGTGGCACGCCTTGGGTCTCTACAAAGACAATGCAAACGCCGCCTTAAAAACTATTCTCATCAACGGTTAGCGGAAAATCATTGAAAAACAGTTTTACTGATATTCAAAATTTTGAGAATTGCGGATGGACATTGTCAATCGACTCGAAAAAAAACTCTGAAACACCAATCTCAGTAGCTTCCTAGTATTAGAAACAGAGCTTTTCTTAGCTTTCCCTACAGCTTTTTTTGCCGATTCGATGTCCATTAGAATTTTTGATAGAAATTTTAGCAAATGTTCTAACGAAACCGAAAAATTTCATGATTTCTCACTTTCCTCTCATCAAATTTTCAATAAATCAATAAATCTCAGGCACTGCTCATTGCTCTGACATGTACCCGACTTATGTTGGAGAGCCTCCAGCTTTGCCTGCCGCCCGAGCCACAATCAAGCAGAACGTTCAGAACTTTATTCGTGAGTTTCAATTTTCTTGGCAGGTTAAATCCAAAATTTTTAGGCTACGATCCTTCAAAAGACGGACCGAGTGGCTTCAGCTCTTCATTGCTTTCGATGCTCTCTGTTGTTGTGCCCACTCTTGTCGTTTCTCGTTTCATGTGAACAATAAAAAATTATTAATATACTCGGACCTTGTCTTCAAATGTTTGAGAAGAGCAGAAAGAATATTCTAGCACATGAGTATAGCGTTCGCCCGCCTGGCAACCGGAGTCTCTTGGTTCTTTTTCTGGATTTTGTCTCGTCCTATTGCATATCGATCGTCATGGCTTGTGAGTTTTTCTTTTTATACATGAACAAAGTTAGAAATTGATCGAGTCAAAAATGTAGGGAAAATTTGTTTTTGGCTAGGCAAAAACCATCTGAGCTTTTTTTGCAGTCTCTTTTAATGAAAAAACTTTTGAAAGTTTTCGAGCATTGATTTGATATTTTTTATCACAGCAAAGTTCTTCTTCTTATTGTTTACGACACTGATAAGATAATGCAAATTTTCATAGCTCCTTCAACATTCTACGATCCCCACAATGACGTCTCCTACGTGCAGCTGAATAAGAGAAAACGAGGAGATTATGATAGGCATGAAGGTGACAAGTTAGTGAATCGACTTCGGAAGCCGGCTGTAAAGAAAATTTACGTCAAAAGAAACGGCGAAGAGCTTCATACAAGGTAAAAACAAGTTTTTTTCGTACAAATTTAAAAAGAAAACTCAGACCGAAACTGTTTGTTTGGCGACAATGGCAATCGCCAAAGCTCAGTCATTTTCTAGAAGATGTTGGCCCTTACGTCGGTCTCGACGAAGGCGCCAATGCCATTTATCAAACGCAAGTTGAATCATAAACGCTTTTACAAGAAAAATTCTAGTGATGGACGCCAGATTGTAGATGAAGAAGACATTCAAGATCTAGAAACGTATTACATCACTGGTGACGAACAGCTACTAATGTAATTATATTGATCGAAAAGACTGAACTTGATTATTTCAAGCCCTTCTCGAGATGATGGTTATTTCGATGGCTATAATCGGAGAAGAAGTGATCCGGACTTTTCGATTAATAGAAACATTTCGAGTAGAAATCGTGGGAAAGCTTACGATGACCCAAGACACACTTCTCTGTCAGCTCCAGAATACGCCACAAGTTCAGTTAGATCGACTTATCCAACCAACAGTGAGCCTTCCCATTGAGTTAATCTTAGAAATATGAGATTTTCTGTTTCCAATCCTCCAACCCCGCCACCAAAAGTTTATGATGCACGGCGATACAGCCCGGAAGAACGTTTGGTGAGGTATCTACAAGAGAAAAGATGAAATTGAAGTATACAGAATAGTAAAAAACGTTTACCAAGAACTCAAACTGGCCATGGCAGCTATGACGTCTACTACAATGAAGCGATAAACGAGCTACCGCGTATAGCTCTTTCCGAAATTATAACCAAATTTGTAAAATTTTCAGGTAAGCCCACTAATAATAGGAGCGAGTATCGTCCGTTAAGTGTTAGCGACTCGGTCATTGCGGAGAACAGTGTTTTCGACACAGCTCACACTATAAGAAGAGATCGGGAAGCAATTGAAAAACATAAGCAGTAAGAACTTATACTTTTGATTCATTTCCATTTGATTTGCAGAAAGAATTTGGGACAGCGAAGGCGCGAGAGTGCTATGATTTACAATCGCAGGGACCAAACTCATCCTGATGCTTATATTATTTAGTAGCTCTTTTTTTCTGACATTGAAAAAAAACAACAAAAAAAAAAACGTTTTCCAGTGTGTTTCTCAACGGACAAGGAATGAACTGTCAATTCATGAACTTCCAAAGAAAGCAACTTGAGAAGGGCATGAACTATGTGCTGGAACTTATTGCTAGGCGTTTCAACGTGAACCCTTTCAAGTTAGAAAATCATTGAAACTACTTTCACTCTTGAGCACAGATTATGCAACATGGATGGAAAGAAAATTGGAGAAGTGAGCTCTCTAATGTCACGAGGTGTGTTAAAAAATGACGACAATTTAAAGTTTGATTTCAGGAGCTTACGTACTTGTACCTGCTGGACAATCATTTCGGGACACGTGGTACTTCCTTCCGGACAATGCTATCGACACCAGGTATTTATTGCGAAAATGCGTTTCTTAATAAAATTAACTTTGTAAAGGCGCAAAATCGCTAACAAAAACAGCGAAAAGTGCCACAGAGCACACTTGCTTTCTTCATTTTTTGTTCGTGAAAAGCAGCTTTGCAGCTTCCTAAAAGAGAAGTCAGACAGTTGTTTCAAATATTAATTCACCTGTTTTTTTACATGATTTCATGGGAGTTTTTTTGCAAAGAAAAAAATTGAGAAGAAAAAGATTCGAGTTTCTGCAATAATTTATCAAGATAGTTAAAAAATGAGATATCCAAACCGCCTCTCGCTTCTAATAATGAATATTTTTTTACCTTATTCAAAAATTGTATTCCCGGATTAAATATTTGATAGCTCATATATACAATCACTGATAAAAAATCGGACGCTTCTTCATTTTTTTAGCATTGAAGATTGTGAATTCGAAAAACTTTATTATCTTTTTTTCAAAAAAATTTCTTTGAGCTCGGACAGCAACAAAATTGAAGACCGAAGTGCGCAACGTGATCGTCTGCTCCAAAGGCGCAGCAAGAAGAAGCCCAAAAAGTTTTTTTTTTCTTCCAACCATCAAATTTTATTTTCTTTTCAGCCCTTCATACATAAGAAGCAAATCAGAAGAATTTGTGCGCAACTACAAAAATGAGGCTTCTGGAAACTTGTACGGCAACCGATATTAATTCGTTTTTTCAATTCATTATTTTGCACAAAAACCATCACTGTCTGAAAATATTTGCTTATAATTTTTTATAAACATAATGATGATGTTGTTACAGTTAAAGTTGTTCTAGCAGAATACAAGGCACGACGTAAAAAACCCGTGAGATGAGATTCCAATTGAGGCGATGAGGATAAACAGGGCGGGAAGCTCTTTTTTCTGGGATGTACAAAAGAATCAGGTAAAAATATAAAATAATGAACTGATGAAAAAAATCAAGCTCTTTTCTCTGGGATGTACAAGAGAAATCAAGTAAAAATATAAAATAATGAACTGATAAAAAAATCAAGTTTTTTTCTCTGGGGTTTACAGAACAAATGAGATGGGTCAAAAAGACAAACTAAAAAAATCTCTTCTTTTTGGGATGTACAAAATAATCGGATGGGAAATGAGAATTGATATTTGAATAAAAACGTTCACAAAGAAAAAATAAAAAGCACAGTTCTCGTAATCGTCTTTAATCCATTTTGGCCCATGGGTTTTTAATCAAAAAAACTCCTCGATAACCTGGAAAAACTTTTTGTTGAAAAAAAAGAAAAAAAAATAGAAAAAAATACCTCCTTAACAGCGAGGTTTGGAATCAAGCTCGATTCGTTTAGCGGCTCGCGAGAGATAGGGTCAAAATGACCTGAAAAATTGTTTCTTCTTATAAGTTTTTTTGAAATTTTATGAAAAAGGGTATAGTTCTGGAAATTTTGAATTTTGTTTCAAGTTTCTATGCTTTGTTGCGCCTTTTTTCTAGGTTTCCCTGAATTCCAAACATCATGTTTGTTCGCACCCATCACTGAGAAGATTTCATAAGATTTTCAAACAAAATTCCAAATGGTTCAATGAAGGTTTTCATTATTCTAACTATGACAAACCGATTCGGCGGAGGTGCATGGTGACCTCATCGCGATCGTAAGTAATTCCAGAAGGAGTGATCACCGGATCCTTCATCAACTCCAGATTCAGCTTTCCGCATAAATAATCGGGCACTACGCGAGATCTCCGTTTATTCTCAGACTGAAAAATTGTCTATAGAAATTATACTCGAAAATAGGTACATTAGAAAAAATCTCGTTGAGGAGGCATCGAGATTTGTCATGTCGCTCAATGATTGCCTCCGAATCCGTCGGATTCGCTGCGACTTTTTCGTCTTTATCCTTGGCCAGAAGACTGAAAAAAATTTCCTTCGATAAAAATATCCCAACGAAACCTTTCGATATATATTTGGAGATTTGATTCCATTTCGCTCCTTATTAAATCTTCTTCTTGTGTTGCCGCCAATCGAGCTTCACTCAGAGCAGAGTACATCTGGGACAAGTCCTGAAAGCTCATTCAAAATAACTTTTCTCATTTGAAGCGCATACCGATGGTTTAGTGGTCAATCCGGAGGCTTTGGTCAAGAAAGATATCGCTTCTTTGTACTTGTTCCTTTTGAGGCTGATTAAACCAAGGAAGTACAATGGCTAAAATTTCTCGTTTGAAATAGCATTTTTGAAACATACCTTCGGCTCCGCGTTCGAAAGTTCAAGAGCCTGGCGACAGTCATTTTCTGAGAGCGTGAGGTCACCGTTCTGAAAAAGTTGATTTCTGCATTAATTATGTATTAATCTTGAAAAATACCATATAATAAGCCATGGCTCTATTTGAAAAGTATTTGGGAATTGGATTGCCAAGAATGGCAATTGAAAAAGTTCTTTATAGCTTCCGGGTACCTTAATTTTTTTAATGTATACTTTCAATAAATGAAACTCACATTTTTTGAGCGTAACAAGCTTTGCCTCGATCATTCGCTTTCTCATTCTTGTCTTGGTTTGCCGCCATCATTTCTGGAAATTAAAAATGAGTAGCATAAAATTTCGGATAAAAAAGGAAAATAAAAGAGAATCGCAAGAGGCTTGCGGGAAGCAGGAAATTACTGACGCTTTGCATTAGAGCGCAACTGCTTTGACAACTTTGTACCCAAGCTGTTTGCGAGGGAATTAAGTTTCGTGATAACTTTCGAGTTTTCTATTGATTGCTCGAATATTCTACAAAAAGTCCAAATAAATTTTTTTCTAACTGAACACACTTTCTACATAAAAAATTTCTGGATTCAACTTTTTTTGAGAGCTGGAAATTAGCGCGTGGCTTTCAAAGTTCACAACTTTGAAACTATGAGTTAACGTTACTAGATATTGTCAAAAAAATCTTTTTTTTCAAAGATATTCGAGAACTAGTAAAAAAATAAATGAATGAATTCTAAGATTACATAAATGGTACCCTTCTTTCCAAAAATTCTTTTTATCAACATACCGTCACACATTTCATACAAGATCCGATCAATATAGTCGTAATCCGGAACATCGTTGTTGCGATACCGTCGCAGTGTCCTTCGGACCAATCGGACGGGAGCCGACAAAATTCTTGTCAATTTCATGACTGAAGTAAAACCATTTAAGAAACTGATTCGAATATACGAAAAATTCCGTTTTTTTTTTCCAATTTTTGGTTGGAAAAAATAAAAACGAGGCAGCAAAACGTTTAAGATATTTTCAAAAAGACTATTACAAAAAAATGAATATGAGAACTTACTGAGAGTTGACAAAATATTTTAAGGATGCAAGAAAAGAAAACTTCTGAAGGGAGTATTTCAGGATCGATAAGTGTGAAACTATAATAGCATTACTGATTTGAAAAACTGTACTGGGAAAACTGTCTGCGCAAAACGATGCATTTAGTGAGAACACAAAAAATAACGTAAAAATATATTACAGTTTTCCATGAAAACTCATTTTCACCTCAAAAATGATATAAACTTTTCCAAACTTTATAACGCCCAGCCAGGGTTTTAAAAGACTATGAAATGTGTCAAAGGATAATCTAGAAGTATCTCAACTAAAAAAGAACAGATGCCCAACACATGGCAATATAAGGCACAAACTGCGGGGTTGGGAAGAAAAAAAAACGACTGATTCCGTTTCGCGCGTCGCAATGTCCTTTGACCTACCGTCGTTGACCCTCTAGTTTCGTAGAAGTTTTTAGAGTTAACACTTTCACATGTATCGGAATTTGAAAGTTTTTCTAGAATTCAAAAAGAAAAAAAAGTTTGGGTTATAATTTACAGATATAAGGTATAAGCATGAACTTGCAAAATGATATACTATGGAAAATTGGAAAAATAAAGATTTTTTTTGAAACACTATACTGGAATGTGATGTCACGCCGAGACTTATTGGACATCTATTGTGGACCGTAACCCGCGCCGACTACTAACTCTTCGATTATACCATTATTCAGCAGAGATTTTCTACATCTTACTCTGAAGACTGAATAAATTGAATTAAATCAAATTTAATTGAACTAAACTTGTCATGAAAAAAATCTACTGTATCTTATTGCCGGGTGATTTGAAACAGCCGATTATTGTTTTTTGAGTGATCTCTTAAAAAAATCCGCTATTTGTCAAATTTTGATTCCAAGTCAGAGAAATTCTTTATTCGAATAAAAGTTTGCAAAACTAAATTTGAAATGACCATTATTGGTCACCAATCCCTATATTTTTTTTTTGTAAGCTTCGATGGGAAAAAATTTTAATTCAAAATTATTGATAAAAAGCTAAGGAAACAGTTTTGAATAATTACGTGAGCAGAGAAGTTGTGCTGAATTGGCTTGTAGTTTGCCGATTTTCAGGTAATCGCTAGAAGTCACGACATCAACGAACTGAAACAGTAAGAAACACACCCTTGAAAAGGTTTCCTGAGTTGGAAGAGACATAAAAAGTTATTAGCCCAGTTTTCATAGGTCAAGTTTTGCGTCGCTTTTGAAGGTAAAACGCATTGAAAATTTTGAAACTTTTTCTTGCAATTCGCACAACCATCTATGGTGTATATGACGTACACAACAATTGTTAAGAAAGTTTTCCTTTTTTTACTTCGTCCTGGTTGCTATCTAACAAAATTAACTTTATAGACAGCGGAAAACATTTTCAAAAGCCGTGAACTTTTGATAAAACCAACGACATAAGAGCAATCAGATAAGAATGATGTCGGAATGGACTCATAGAAGAATTTCAACTTTTTTTTTTTGTTTACATGGGTTTCATCAACTTTCAACAGTTTATTTCATTTTCATTTCATTCCAGGGCAACTTGTGGATAATAAGAAAAAGGAAAGTTTCTCGCAAAAGAGTTTCCCATTCTTTTTTCCTCACGCTCATTGCTCAGTAGTTCGAACTGAAAAATGGTTTAATTATGATTTTGGTTTGAAAGAAAACTTGCCAAATCCATCTGCTTTCTTTCTTTGAAGAGGTTGTAGACGGGAAAATGAGCGTTTGCCGTAGATGTCCACTGAAGAAAAGCAACCAAGACAACTATGAATAGCGCTATTGGCCTCATCTGAAGACGTTCTTTGCAATGAAAACAAAAAAAATAAAAAATAAAAATAAAAACCAACGCTTCAAAAAAGAGAAACTGCAAAAAGCAGAGGCCGAAATTGAATAGTTAGTACTTGAAGCGATGACGACGATGAAATGGATTACACCCAAATATCCCGAGCATTCTTCTGACGTTAGAAAACTTTGAAGAGCCTGAAACAATGCATCATCAAGAAAACTCACACATTTGTACAAAGACTCCGTGCAAAAAGAAAATCTACAAAACGCAAGAAAGTTGAGACTCTGAGGGAGAAGAATTTCGAGCCGAATAAAAAAAAAACAATCGTTTCCGCTGAGATCTCGGAGGAGTTCCCGTATCATTTTTTGTCTCAAAAAGGATTTCACTAGGTTCTTCAATCTGCACATTGTGAACCTTTAACTGAGAAAAAGTCAAAGTTTTCTTTCTCTGATGAACAGGGACATAACGGGTTTTTTCGCCTCATAGTCTCTCCATATCTCTTCGAGCTGTTATCAGATGATGTATCATTATTACGCCTCTCACTTACGCTAAAACCCGAGTGTTCCACTCAATTTATAGCTGTGTTTCAAGTCACCGCCCTCTTCCCGCTTAGCATTCTGGTTGTTTGTCTGCAACAGTTATCGGAGTCGGATCGCAAAATCAATGGTTCCAGCAAGGTGAAATTTACTCGACCTTTCGCGCAGAAAATGATCAGGTAAGGTTGAATTTGTAAAGAAACTATTAAACGTCGTTAAAACACTGGGTTTGACACTTTTGAACGAAAAAAGCTAAAAATGAGCGTCACTCCAGCGTCAATTCTGGAATAATCTAAAAAAGTCGCTGCAAGACTTTCTGGAGATTCACATAAAGATTCTTCACAGACACTACCTGCACAAACTCTAGTTTCGAACGGACAATTTTTCAAAATCGCAAAACTTAGATTTTAGGCGCAATTCTTTGGTGAGCAGTCTTCAAGGTTTTTAATCATGAAAAATATAATTTGCGCTAGACCTGTGAAAAAAGTTTATCTGAATTTCAAAGAATTTACTCAGCAGATTTGTAGAAAAATCTAAATTCCACAGAAAACGACGCCCAAGAAACTTAAATTTTCTTTTGTTCCTCTTTATTAATTTTTCAGTCGGTTAGTTTTCTCACGAATTATTCATTCCAACAAGATAATCGTCCTCACTATCTGTAAGCGTATTCTTATCAACTTTCGGTTGTTGGCCACCCTTGAATCGATGATTGTAGCTGCTCTGTTGTTGTCGATTTACGCATAACGAATCATAGTTTTTTCTCAAAGTTTCAGAAAGTTTTTAAAATATTTTTCCCCATTTTTTCAACATGAGAGAGGAAAACTTTTCCTCCCCACAATTTTATTATTTCTTTTTTTCTGTGAACTTCTTCGAGGATTGCATAAAGTAAATCCAATTCATAACGGCACGTCTTCAAACTTCTTTTTTGAACTTTGCAAATTTACGAACACCCTGAAAATTTGCCCAAAAAGGCTAATAGCACGCGAATGTTGAAGTAAAAATGCACACCTTATCTGTTTGCGTGCAGTGTTTGAGTTGACGTTGTGATTCAAGCTAATCGCGGTTCCACATCAAATTTTGAGAATTTCTTCGCGCACTTATTCTATTAAGCTGGTTTTTAGGATGAAAAAAATATATCAGAAACGGGATCAACGAAAAATTATCTCTTCTTTAGTTTAGAAGAGGATTCTTTGCCGCTTGTATCAATATTTTTGAAATTTATATTATCCATGTGACTGAAAGCTTAAGATTTTTCGGCTGAAACGATCAATGTTCTCTGTTTGAGATATTGATGAGCATTTTCGAATTATCTGAAGTATCACTTAAACTTTCTTTAGAGACCATTGAGAAGTTTTTTTTTCGAGATTGTCCAGAGAAGATTTTCAAATGAACACTTATCAATTTAATCACATTTTGTCGACGTTTTTATTTAGTATGAAATTCCAGATCAATGTCGGCCAATCCTCTTCTTGAGGATCTCCTACCGACGGAGTCTCTTTTTGTGGGAGAAGCCTATGAGATGCGCAATGTCCGCACAGTTTATGTTGCAGCTCAAGAAGGTTTTCATGTCAACTTTTCTTGATCAAAGTTGTTTCACAACAGATAACTTCAATCGTGAAAATCGCGTGCTTCTTCTGATTGGTCCACGGAGTGCCGAGAAATCAGCTTTGATCGATTTTCTTTGCAATTTTTTCTATGGTGCTGAACTGCACAGTAAGAAAAGATATCGGATTGCTGGCGAAGTTAGTTCTTTTTCAAATTACTTTGTTACTTCTTCACATAATTCAGAAGTTCAACGGTGCGCAAGTCGATAAATTGATCAACTGTTATATTTTCAACAATTCGAGGATGACAGTGCGGCCCGTGATTATTGACACCCCAGGAACAGGCACCGAATTGTAGGTTCTTCATGAAAAGCTTGGAAATCAGAATCATGAAATTATTTTCTAGAGCTGGAGAAGACGTCCCTAGTATGTTGTCAAAGTGGTTGATGGATAATTGGAAAATGCGGTTGGACGTAATCGGCGTCGTATTCTCGGACATGAATCGCTTGACCCAGCAAGAAGAAGAAGAGCTTCATAAAGTTTATTTTTGCAAGTTCTAGTCTCATTTCATTTTTAGGTGCTTGAAGTGATTCCCACTCACGCCAAGAAGAACCTCGTCGTTTTTGTGACCGGAAACGACGGAACTCCTCCGCTGCCTGCAATCCTGAGGCGTTTTGGACTGCAAGATTGTAGGACCGCAAAAATCATAACTTCCTGCTTGTTACAAAAAATTGAAGGTGGGCATTGTTTTAAAAACTCACAAATATATGAAAGAAGATTGAAAAAGTTGTGTTCTGCGGTTAAACTCTGAATCTTTATTCTTTAGAACTGATTTTCGAGATTTTCGAGATTTTTTAATTCATTTTACACTGAATAATTTTTTTGGGAGGTTTGAGGCGAAAATACGTTTTCCTAAAAGAAAAATGTAAATTTTCATAATTTCATATAAGTAGTTTGAGATCTCAAG